CAAGGAGTTCAGCGCTTTCTTCTCTAAATGTCTGAATGAGTGGCTGGAAACCTGAGATCTGCCCAAAAGAAAGACCATCCCTGGGGGGATAGGGATGGTAAAGCCCACCATGACCTTTGCCCAAGCTGTCTCCTCTAGCCAACGACAGCATCCACGGACAGTCAACACTACCATAGAGAAAACACAGCCTGGCGCCCGCATTACTGCCAACCAACTAAAGAAAAAACAGGATAATCTCTGGGTCTTTGTCCGCATGGATAATAGCCACCTAAAGCCTTACAAAATAAAGTCTACACTGAACAGAAGACTTAAGCTCCACCCTCAAGAGCTTAGAGAAGTGACCCGGTGCCCCTCCGGATTTACCTTACACCTAAGGGACAAGCCAACTCAGGCTAAACTCCTGGTCTTTTAAGAAGAAATCACCAATATTCTCAAGGCAGAAAAGATCGAGACCCACACGATCTGGCATCACTATAAGGTCGATAAATGCCCAAGAAAGGTCATCAATACGGAAGGGTTAACAATCGATATTACCGACATTGTTGTTGCTAATGAAATTAAAGCCCAAACAGGTGACAGACCTTTAAGGTACATACTCTCAAGGAACACAGTTGATTCTGATCCAGAGACCACATGGGTGATCTCTCTGCCCCGTGCAGCAAAAAAACCATTCACGCTTTTTGCTCACTTAATGACCTTAAGGCACATTCAATACTCCCCCAAGGTTCACCAGTGTGTGAGCTGCTTCAGATACCATGGTAAGAACTACCGATGTAAAAAGCAAGTATGTGCATGTTGTGCCAGTACAGTACATCAGGGGGAATGCAAAAAACCAATCCCAAAGTGTGTCAACTGCAAAGGACCTCATGCTGCCAACTTCAACAAATGCCCTGCACGCCCCAAGGTTGTGAAAGGCATCATCCACAAGCACACATAGGAGCAAATCCAGGAAATAAGGCTGGCTGGAGAAAGAGCCAGATCCAAGGCCTTCAATGAAACAGGTAGAAACCAAGCTGGGTCAACACTCAGCAATAATAACGAAGACATCACAATGCAAATTGACACAACAGATACAACTCATCCCAGAGATGCCGATACCATTGTTGTCAGTCAATGTTAGGTACATCAAACGAAACACATTGATACGGGCATCTAGTCATCCATTCTGTGAATACAGCAGGAGGACAAAAGAGTACAGGCCCTACAGAGTTAGCCATCAACCTGACTGACTACAAAAGAGAACAAGCAGACATTATTCTGATACAAGAGCCCTAGGTTGGCATACCACCAGACAAAAAAATGGGAGTAAAGACACACCTAAATTATAATATATATTCCCCGGTTGATTCCTGGGACAGCGACAGTACACGACCCAGATCTCTCATCTATATGAGAAAATATCTTTAAGCGGATCAATTTCGGCCCTATGCTACACGAGACATCACCTGGGTCAAGGTACAAGGCATTACATTTGCCAGTGTCTACCGGCCATGTGACAACCCACAGGAAGTGGATGACATTCTGGAAGTATGGACTCCACCTTTTGGCTGCGCTATAGCTGGAGATTTCAATGCTGGCGACACATCCTGGGACTCGAGCAATCCAGGATATCATGGTGGTGTCATACTTGTACAGACTATGGCAGACCACAGACTGGATCTGATTTCTGAACCAGATGTTCCAACACATGATGATGGAAATGTACTAGATCTGGTGTTCTCAGATGTCCCCATGACTGAAGCCTCAGTCAATGATGCACTTCAGTGCACCTCAGATCATAAGACATTACGAATAGTCATTCCAATTCAGGGAGATCTGGACCGAGTCTCTAAGGCCAATTACTAGATAGTACCGGATAACAAACTACAAGAGCTGGCAGATAATGTCCAAACCAGGATCCATGAACTCAACCGGCTGGGTGTATCCCCTGGCCAGGTGGATACATTTACACAGAGCTTGATCAACATGATCCAAGGCTGTATCAGGACAGTGGGCAAGAAGCCCTGTCAATCTAGGCCCACTGCTTGGTGGAATGATGACTGCAAAGCAGCTGTTTAGACATACAAGGCCCTTTCTAAATAGACTACAAGCCAAGAAGGGCGGAATTCAGCCCGACGGGAATTTTACCGCGTGGTTCGGAAAGCTAGGAGAGAGTACTGGCAGACTCTAATTGATTCAGCAACTGAGCCAAAGGACCTATACAGAATCGTCTCTTGGCACAAGCTATCAGCAGGATTGCGTTCCCCTCCAATCATCATAGGAGACCAAATATTCGAGTCACAAGAGAGCAAGGCAAATGCATTACGCTCAGCCACGCTTGAACGAAGTACCTCAGACAACGATATCATCGACCCCTGGTCCGCTCAGATCACACAACCCAAGCCATATATCCCCCTTGAATACCATGTCGGACTGGAAGAGGCGGAAGGGTGCACTTTAGGGACCAAGAGCAACTCCCCGGGAATAGATACCCTCACAGTACGGATTCTGAAAGCTTGCTGGCCATTCATTAGGGAACATATCAGAGCCCTTTTCCAGACCTGTCTACAGATTGGACACCACCCTAAACCATTCAAAATAGCTGAGGTGGTGATGATCCCAAAACCAGGAAAGAAAGACTACTCCAATCCCAGGGCCTACAGACCAATATCGTTATTGTCGTGTCTTGACAAAGGCCTAGAACGACTCATCACGAAAAGAATTACCTGGTTTGTTGTCAAACTTGGAATTCTAGCTCCACAACATTTCGGAGCTCTACCAAAGCGCTCTGCCACTGACCTGGTAGCTGCACTTATACACGATATTGAGCAGGCCCTCAACCAAGGCCTCGTTGCAACAATAGTCACGTCAGATGTGAAAGGGGCCTTTGATGCTGCCCTAATGGGACGGCTGGTGGTTCGCATGAGAGAACAGGGCTGGCCGGGCTTTCTCATAAGATGGGTCCAGTCATTCATGTCCGAGCGGTCCGCAAGGGTTCGGTTTAAAGGTATTGTGACCGATATTAAAGCTCTCACTTGTGGGCTACCATAAGGCTCACCAGCCTCTCCAATCCTTTATATGCTATATACAGAGCCAATCTGTGCCCAACTTGGTATGAAAAAGAGACGCTTTGGATATACAGACAACCTAGCGACTCTCTACATTGGAAAGAACCTTAAGGAAACAGCTACAGAGGCTTCTGAAAATCTTTACTTGCTCAGTTAATAAGGACATAACAACACTATTAAATTTGACCCTGACAAAACTGAGATCATGCACTTCTCAAGGAAAAAGAACTCAAACAACCCTCCAGTCCGCCACAGGACAATGAACAAAATAGCAAAGGACTCCATGCAATGGCTGGGTGTCTTCCTGGATAGAAAACTTAACTTCAAAAATCACGTTTCCTACTGGGCCAAGAAAGCTAATAAGGTAACAAATCACCTTTAAGGACTATGCAACACAGTCAAAGGACTTCCAATAAAATCAACCAAAAGGGCTGTGAAAGCTTGTGTTATTCTTATTCTTACACACGGCCTGGAGGCCTGGTACCCAGGAATTGAGAAAGTCGGGAGCTTAGGTGGGACATCAGCATGTCGCATTAAGGGGCTTCTTGGAACAATAGATGCTGTACTACGAACAGCGATCAGGGCTATCTTGCCAGTCTGGAAAACACACCCTGGACATATCCTATACTTTGAATCGCAGATTCCCCCAGCAGGAGTTCTTGCAGAGTCAATAAGACGACGTCACGGCCTCCGACTAGGACGAATAGACCAGAGACACCCTTTTGTTAGCAGGCTCCAAATATAAGCTCGCAAGAATCCAATAAGGCTACAAAGGAGCTTCCAGCTAATCCCTGACTTCCAGAGACCAACACTTACCAGGCCATCATGGAAGAAGCCCCCAATCCGCAAAGACAAAGACAAAGAAACAGAGCTTTTCAAGCAATGGCTACAGGAAAGAAACGTGAATACTGACCTTGTCATCTATTCAGATGGATCATAATTGGACGACCAAGGCACAACCCGCACTGGATGGGGTTATACCATCAGGAAAGGCGGCACTACACAAGAAGTATACCGGGAAAAGGGCAGACTTCTCTAAACAGAAGTAATAGATGTTGAAGTCCATGGTGCTCTCTAAGGTCTTGCAGCAGCCAGGGCAATTGGACACAGAAAACAGTTATATGTCTGCCTGGACAACATGTCAGTGGTAGGTGGGCTCAATGGGACTCCACCCGAGACATCACAGAACATTTTTCTATGATTTCAAGAACTTGCCACAGTACACACTCCTGGAGTGACCGTCAAGTGGATTCCTGGACACAGAGATATTGATAGTAACGAAGCTGCCGATACACTAATAAAAGAGGGTGCCATGCTAGAAACAGACACGACAAACCTTCTTATAATCTCTTGGGTTAAAAAAGATCTCAAAAGAAAGGGCAAGAAAGAGTTCAATTAATGGTAAAAAAACCAATCAGAACCTAGGTATCAAGAAATATACTCATATGCAGTAACTGAAAGAGACCTTATATCTTTTAAGAGGAGTACTTTATACAGACTTCTAGCGGCTAGATCTGGACATGGCGACTTTGCCAGATACCATGAACGCTTTGGGCATACAGACTCGAATAATCACTGCAACTGTGGTAAGAAGAAAACACCACAACACATTTTCTTTTGTAAGAGGCTGGGGAAAAACCGGCTGCTGCCTAGGTACTCGCCTAGAACAGCTTGTTTATAATACTTAGAGGAGAGGAGCATAGAATAGGCAAAATTCCTGGAAAAGAGCAAGTTCTTTTCAACAATCTGCCCCCGATAAATAGCTTTTCTTGAAGGACCAGATAGATGACCCAAGGTCAAACCGCCGCAACAACGGGGATGGGCCCGTGAGCGGGACTGACTGTACTTATTATCTTGAGACCTCCACAACCCTGCGATGCAGAGGCTCTGGGAGGCGTGGTTTGCACTACTGAGGAGCGATCCCCCACGTTAAATACAATCATCATCATCATTATGAACTACTTCTTCACGAGACTCGGCGGGCCTTTCAAGTCCGTTGATGATTTCAACAGAAGTTTCCTACCCGATAAGGCCGGCGGTGATGAGGCAATCCCTGGGATGAACAATCTCTGTCGTTGCTTCTGTCAGGTCGCCAGGACGCATAGCACGCCGGTGTTCATGCACCCGGATCTCGCCCAGCGAAACGTCATGGTCCGCCCGGACGGCTCGGTGTGCATCATTGACTGGGAGGTCTCAGGTTGGTATCCTCTATACTGGGAGTATCTGAAAGGTAAGGACTTACACAAGACCCTGCCCTTCCTTGAAGAGTTTGAGGAGGAGTTCAACCTCATGGCCAAAATTCGCATGTTGAAGCTGCAGGCGGTGATAGAAGGCATGCGCCGATCTGGAAAGGTTTGATGACCAGCATTGCCACCAGAACTCGAGGCTTAGAAGAATAAGCTAACGTTAGAATAACTCGTGCCGTGACAGTGCTACACCCGAAAGTAGACGTGCTACTCGGGGTATGGCAATCTCATTCTGAATGAAACGCAATTTCAAAGTACCAATGGAAATCATGATCGTGACATTTCAAGAAGTAGCTATAAGGTGTAGAACCGATATAAACAGCTCCCAGTCCAGCCAAAGCTCTACCTACCTACCTACACCTTCTCAAACTCAACAGGAAGCTCACCCCCCTCAACCCAAGCCCTCACTCCGCGCGCAAACAAGTCCGGAAGCTGCAGATTCCAAGGATGCACAGCATCCCAGACCACGCGCGCCGTACAGCCCGCCGCCCTCGCCATCTCCCACTCCCCAAACACCCTGCCCATCATCCTTACCGGCGCGACCTGATCGACCTTCCCGCCCGCCACGACACAGCACCGGACCCCGGACCGCGCCATGTCCCCCACGACCTCCCACCCGAAGTCCTTCGTAATAGACAAATGCATCTCACGCGTCAGCTCCCACGACTTGTTCCGGCGCATTTCCTCCCGCAGCGCCGCGTTGACCTGCAGCCCCATCTTCCAGTAGACCAGGTCGTCAAGTTTGGGTATGGCGTTTTGTATGTTGTCCATGGCCCACAGGAGCCGCGGCCGCGAGCCCGCCCACCGGAATACGCCCGCCCATGGGCTGGCACCCGTCGTGAAGCAGCTGAGTAGGAGGTCCGGGTGGCGCGCGGCGAGGGTCAGGGCCGTGAAGCCGCCGAGGGAGAGGCCGACGACGTGGGCGCGAGCTCCCTTACCATCGAAATTGGGGCAGTGCTTGCGGATCACGACGGCGACGGCGTCGGCCGCATGCGACAGCGTCATGGGCGCGATGTGGCGCGACTGCGAGTGCCGCGGCAGGTCGACCAGGAGCAGGCGGTGGCCCGCGAGCGCGGGGCTCGCGGCCACGGCGTCCCATTCCAGGTGGCAGGACCGGCCGCCGTGGAGGAAGACGATGGTCTGGTCGCCGGCGGCGTTGCGTTCCTCGACGAAGAGCTCATCTTCGGTGCTGCTGGTGTCTGGCTGCATGGTGGTTTGGTTGGAGATTTGCATGAAGACATTGCGGTGGGTGGAGTCTTCCTTCAGCTCGTTCGTAGTTGTTCGCTGCCCTGCCAGATCAACAGGGGAAGTCATCCTTGGACTCGTTTGCATGGCCTTGGTTGGTGCGATATACGGTAAGTAGATCGCTTATGCGCTAAGTACCTAATTAGCAGTAGATGCGCCCATACTCGTCAGTCATTCGGATCCATCGGAGGCGGAGTTTGACTTGTCCATCCGTCGGACGAGGCAAGCATCAGACACATCGAAGTACAAGTCTCAACCTTCCCTTCTAATCTCACCTCACACTCATTTCGTATCACCACAACTTGCCCACCACACTATGGCCGACCAACCAAAGCAAGGGATGGAAAATTTCTACTATGAGAACCCTGAGCTCAGCGATGAGGCAAAGGCCATCCTGAAGAACTACAGTGGTATCCCCGAGACAGAGCAGACTGCTCATGTGCGTGCTGTGGTATGTATTGAGCACAAAGTTGCTCTCGCACTGCTTCTCGCCAAAAAGGACGGCAAAGCTAACATGTGCTCAGCGAGACAAAGCATGGCAACTCTACAGATATCCCTGCATTGGCAGATTCGCCTTCATCACCTTCAGCATCGGCCAATCAGAACACTACCACGACGCCCTGCAGCGCCTCAAGTCCGGGCAGAACCTGCTAGACCTGGCCTGCTGTTTCGGCCAAGACCTCCGCAAACTCGTGATCGACGGCGCGCCGCCCGAGAACGTCGTCGGCAGCGAGCTCGAGCAGGGCTTCATCGATCTAGGCTACGAGCTTTTCAACGACAGCCCAGAGAAGCTGAAAGCGAAGTTTATCGCAGCAGACTTCTTCGACAACTCCGGTTCGCCAGCGCCAGGCTTGGAAGAGCACTCGTACGACATGATCCACGCGGCCTCGTTTTTCCACCTGTTCGGCTGGGACGAGCAGGTCGCGGCTTGGGACCGGGCGCTGAAGATGCTGAAGCCGAAACCGGGATCGATGATCTTTGGCAGACAGACCGCTGTGGCGAGGGCTACGGTGCTGAAGCATCCTGCGACTCGCTCCGGGGAGATGTACAGACATGATCTCGAGAGCTTCAGAGATCTCGTTGCTGGAGTGGCTGAGAAGAGCGGCATTGAGGTGGATATCGAGGTGCACTATGTTGATGGCAGACTGGGAGCGATGTCGGCTGAGGGATGGAAGATGGTGCGGTTCTGCGTGTCGCTGAAATGAGAAATGAGGTGGGTATTAGAGCAGTGCCACCGTACGTCGTGCACTTCATTAGAAGCCCGGCGTCCATGCTTGGGGAGAAACACGATGTCTACTATCTTACGAAACAAGCCAGGCCCTCATTATCTGGTCCGTTTCCACCAACATTAACATCCCACGTCCAAGACGCACTTTTGTCTACCTATTATCTCCTAGCATGTCGCATGTCTCTGTGAATCACAACACAAGCCATACTGCCACTCGATACGTAGCTATGTCATGGCCCTCCCGGCCCATCTCGCGCGAGACTGCGGTAGCTTCTACCGTCCGAACCTTGTCCGAACCTTGCCTAGAGACACGCCCTCAACCCAGCTTCTATGGCCCGAATGCCCCATTATATCTTGCCTACGTGCCTGTGTGTAGGTGGTGTAGACAGGCCAGCCAGGTACTCGTGCATCTGCGGCTTAGCAGGGGTTGCACACAGCGTGGTCCGGGGGCACAGAGCAGCACTATCGCGCATCGCCAAGTCAGTCAGCTCTCAACTCTCGACTCTCGAGACCATGATCAACCCGAACGGAAAGCAACAAGAAGAACGGAATGCCAAGAAGATGAAAGAACACTCAAATACTCAACTCAACTCGTCGAGAATACAACAAGGCACGCAAAGCAAAGAAAAGGAAACGAAAGGTCACTCACAGTACCAGGCGAGCACAAGAACCCGTCGCGCGGCACGGCCGCAGAATCGCACCACACGGCGCCGTGCGCGCCGTCGCAGAACCAGCCCTGCGACGGGCAGGGGAACGGGTACTGCTGGGCTCCGGGAGCGGCGGCTACCATGGTTGACATGGCTGCAGAGGTGGCGATGATGAGGAGGGTTCGAGCTTGCATTTTGGGTATGCTGTTGCTCGACTTTGGTGGTTGGTGAAAGGTTGGCGGAGATGGATGACTGGAGAGAATGGATGGAAGAGATCGTGCGATGTGGTTCGCTTGGATGGATGGATAATGTGAGTTTTGATTGTATGAGTGAAGTGAAGTGAAGTGAAGTGAAGTGAAGTGAAGTGAAGGGATTTCACTCTTTTCTCTTTTTCAAATGTCCTCCCAGAAACGGCCAGCCATCATGGTAACAGTCAGAAGCTCGTAGTCGGAGCAGATGGTCCTAGCCTCATATCGGGATACCATTTTCACATTGTGTGAGGTATCCATCAGTGCCAGCTTCGCACCTGTTCGACTTCTTGTTTTTGTTTTTGTTTTTGGAAGCACTGAGAGCGAGTGAGTATAAGCTGCTGATCAAGAATACAGACGCGAGAATATAGTAGGGTCCGGTCCAACTCGCGCCGTGATGGAATGGCCGCCGTCGTGACACCGCGCTAACTTAAGAGGCCGTTGAGCAGGAAGGTTCTGAGCAAACGCGTCTGCCTGTTCACAATAACAGCTTGGACCCGAGCCATGCTGATCAACGGTTGGGGAATAGGAGCTTCTTGGCCGGGTCTGGAGGCGGGAGCAAAGATGGAACGGCAGTGCCACAGTATTTGACTCTCTGTTGGGAATTTCCTTCATCCTCCCGCCGGATTCTGCTGCAACCCCGATCTGTCCTGTCCGTGGTTGCACACCCGCTTGGACTGCTCTGCCGCCATGCTGTCCCCGTTGCCCCAACAATGAGAGCAAAGAGTGATAGGTACCATTGGGCAAATCGAAGAAGATGGGACGCGGAGTGGGCATTAGGTCATTATTAATTCATACTTGTGTTTTTGCCTCATCAGCAGCTGAGCGAGCAGCTAGCTCCCTCTCACACACCCGCGGCGCGCTCTGGTTTCTGCCCGGACCACACGTAGTAGGTATTGTGACAGCGCACCGTGTGATCGTGCAGCATCTCGCCGATGCCTGCAAACATGGCATCGACCTGCTCCTCAGGCATGCCCATGGTGCTGAGCAGCGAGTTGCACGCCGGTATCAGGATCTGGCACGTGGCCACCATGTAGGCACCTCTCCTTTTCTGCCTCTCCTCTCGGGGCCACTTCCCGTACGGCACCTGGAAGGTCCGGCACTGCACGTTGACGAACCCGGCCTTGCGCATGAGCTCGCCCATCTTGGGCACGATATTTATCTCCCGGCCTTCCAGCCGCCCGTATTCGTACATGGCCTCTAGGTAGGCGTTGACAGCGTTGGTTGGGGATATCGTGCCGTCCTCCGCGATGGCCTCCCAGTGGAATTCCTGCAGCTCTAACCAGCCGCCGGGCCGGAGGTGTCTGGGCGAATCTATCTTAGTACATTCGCCTTGCATGATTCCGATGGGGTCTCGTCTACTCACGCGAAGGAATTTTCTACGACTGTAGGTGTGGACTTCATATATGCCGAAGACTCACGCATGTGGATGAAGTCGTAGTCGGTGTCGTGTACCTACTCCTACAGCGTCAGTGGCTGTTGATGTCACCGAAGAAGGCCCATGATGCACAGGCAGGAAGACGTACCCAAGTGTCCTCCACGTCGTCTATTTGAAAAGAGACATTAGGCGGTACCCTTGGTAAGGGTCAGCTAGTCGCAATGTGCAGTTTCCACTTCTCACAGGATGCTGAACTCACGAGGTTGGCTGTATGGGACTTAGATCTACACCGAGTATGGTGGCATCGGGGAAGCGATCACCCACTGGGTACAATCTCGTCAGCGACGTGGTTAGGTCATGAGTGAGCGCATCACAGCTTACTCTCGACAGCCCACAGGCCGACACCGGTAGCAAGATCCATAATCTTGGTCGGGGGCTCACTCATGGGGGCGAGGAACAGGTTGTTGTCCAGGATGTCCATGACTAGGATGTGCATAACTTCTTCGCGGTGTTGCTCTATCTCATCATTCGGGAGGGCGTAGCGGCCTTCGCGATAGGAGTGGTATCTGGCGTTGGGCGTGAGTTACCACAACGACTCACGGGCGGAGTAGGTAAGCAGGATGCTTCCCATCTCATTTCTCACTCACCTTCGCCCGCCCTGGTACAGGTGATCGTTCAGATAGGTGTCGAGGGTCGCGGAGGTCATGGAGGTGGCCTCGGTGACCCAGTCGCTCGCGGCGGCGCCGTGCTGGTGGGTGGCCATGGTGGGGGCGACGGAGCTCCCCGTACTGGCACTGGCACTGGTAGAATCGGACTCGCAGGCGTCGCGACGGCGTGGCATACAAGCAACGCGACGGGAATTGACGCTGGAGCCGACGTCGACAATGATGGTGGTCTGGGAGTGCAAATCTCAAATCTCAAGATAGGCAGATTGTATCCATCCGGGATTGTGAGGTGGGGAGGGGCGATGCCGATTCATTTAAATAAATGTGCCCCAGCGGTGCAGCGACCCTGCTGTGTCAGTGTGGTTCTTGTGGTTCCCGAATCCTGGGTCAGGGGTAGTGGTACATCCACTTGAAGTGCATATGGCATATGCCCTTCACCCTCATGAACAGTGGACAGTGAACTCCGGTGGTGAGGGGGAGGGGGAGGGACTGATGAGACTCGCCTATCCCGCACGTTACACATTGCACATTGCACATTGCACATTGCACATTGCACATTGCACATTGCACATTGCACATTGCACATTGCACATTGCACATTGCACATTGCACATTGCACATTGCACATTGCACATTGCACATTGCACATTGCACATTGCACATTGCACATTGCACATTGCACATTGCACATTGCACATTGCACATTGCACATTGCACATTGCACATTGCACATTGCACATTGCACATTGCACATTGCACATTGCACATTGCACATTGCACTATTGCACCTTGGGTGACACTCAAGACCCAAGCGATGCAGACACCGAGAGACGACATCCTCGATGCAACCTCAGCCCTGGAGGCGAGCAAATGGAGGGGTGCCACCCGGACCGCTGGACCAGGACCGCCCGTTTGTCGTTTCCTCCCGTCATCTTCTTCCCAAGAATCCCAAGTTCCTCTTCCTCCTCATGCCGGTGCCATGGACCATCATTGGCGAGCCAGGCTGTCGGGACCGCGATCTATACTGTCTTTGTCACTTGATACCGAGGGCTCGCCTCGTCCTGTCACTGCTGTGTCCACTCATGTAGGCAAAGACCCGAACTAATGCAAAGTGGCCAGCAGCGCGCAGGGAGTGGATGATCTCGTGATGACCATGATGACCGTCGTGGTGGCCCGTAATCATGAATGCAACCTACAGTCCTACATTATCCTGCCTCGCGGGGTTTGGGGGCGAGTCTAGAATGTGATGGGTATACCTCGCAGGGCCGAGCCCGACAGATGCCTGTGTGGGGGCACCTATCGTCAATCAGTAGCATGCACTCCCGATTGTCCCGCCGATGCTCCGGTTCCTTGGTGTTTGCTTCGAATCCCATGCGCAAGAAGGTCGCCGGTCGGTTATAGTTCCCTCTCAGGCCTATCTGTGGTGATGAGTTGTGACATGTCTGTCTGTTCCGGGTTGCTGGAATGATGGCGACGTTGGGACCAAAAGGACCTGGCAGTTCGTCCCGATGCGAGGGGTGTGACGGCTGCAGGCTTCCACCCGAGCCAGACTCCCAGATCCAATCCGCCCGGGCGGTTTTGTCCTGTGTAATCCGAAGCATCGGGTCTACAGGTCGTCCCTTCCACTTGTGGCTTCGTGCAGCACCACGGCTGTACTGTATGGTGTTGACCACTTCTACATTGACGGACAACTTGACCGCTCACTTGCTAAAATAAAAGGAAAGAGGATGGGACACAACTCACCTCACGACCACTGTTCAATTCCGCGATGGAGCTACAGAAACGGAGTCGACGGCCAGCCCTGCCGTCTAGCTTGTCTCGGCAGCCAATGGAAACGGAACGTTCCGCTACCAGGCATGGATCACGATCCCACCGCCCCGTCACCTATGATCTATCCTTATTAGGACTAAGGTACCCACAGCGGCGGTCGCTGGACCCGAGATAAGCCGCAGCTTTGTCTTCCTGCCGAAGAAGCTGTGGTTGAGACATCTTCAACTTATCAGCTTGAGCGAGCAGCCTCGTCCCGAGACTGTGTTCATGACTTCACTCCCACGCGCGCCGCGGGTAAAGACGACAAGCACTGGAGAAACTGACCTGATAGGTACACATCCAACCACATCCACCGCAGTGGTTGGTTGGGCTTAGGGTTAGGTCAGGGGTTCAACATTCTGCTACGAATTGCTCACATCTTCAGCACTCTTCTGCTTCAACACAAATGCAAGATGCACCAAAAGAAAGATTAGCGCCCTCGTTCCACTAGGACGGAGATCTACAATATCTGCAACGTCTCGAGGTCTCTCTGTCTTAGACGACAGCAGCATCTAGATCGCGGCTGGTCAGCCCATTTAAGCATGCTGTGCGACTGATCGTCAGCAAGCAAACTTGGAGGTTGATACACCTTCCAATTATTATAAGACACACGCCATCCCGCCATCTCGGATAGGACCCCGGTCTGCTCACTCATCAAGCGCCTGGCGTCGAGGTTGGGTCTACTCCTCCTGTCTTGGGACGGGCGGCCTCGTCGCACGATCATATCATGGCTTCCCTCAAGCATTATGTTCTAGCTCATTGCCACTGTGCTACTGACTTTCCAGATGGCTGATGTAGCGAGCAATGGTGCTTCATTCACAGTCTCACAGACCGCCAGAAGCCCCTCCACGACGGCGACCCCGCAGCGTTGACAGCAGAGGCTGCAACCCTCCATCAGGCCCGTCTTTGCGCTTACTCACACTAATTCACCGTCAACCAACATCACGTGTGAGGATTGCGCATTCTGGACCCTTGCTTTCTTCTTGTGATCTCAAATCTGACCTCAACAAGGCCCGGGCTGCAGTTGACAGTCTCCCAGTGTGTCGCCAGTTGCTGACAGTTGTTGTCGTGGTGGTGCGGACTCTCCACATTTAGCCCGTCGCCTACACGCCCAACTCTTCCCCAGACTTCTCCACTGACCCAGGAATTCCAAATTCGTGGGTCATTGGAGCCGACTGACTGTCTCTGGTCTGGTATACCACTCAAGCTATACTGTCCAGGGCAGTGTTATACCAGGCCCAAGTCACATGTATGAGCTTCCAATGAACATGGAGTTATACTCCAAGCGTCGGCAATACCGGAGGCGCTGGCCCTGGAATGTCGGTGGATGATTGCGAACAGTCGAGGCTGTCCCCCAAATTGCCCCATGGGGAATTTCCCCAAGCTCCCTCAAAGCCCGCTAAAAGATTGGCATCCATCACCGCTATGGAATCCCAAGGACTGGACCGGTCTCGACTCTCCAGCCTCGAGGACCGCCCCGGAGCACGCGTGATCCTATCTACGCCAGCGAGGCAGCCCTCAGTACTGTCGAGAGCCAGCCCAGGTGCTGCTTAACGGGCGTTGGCGCCAAGCTGGTTGGCCCAGGTGATCATCGTCCCATTGAGCCAAGCCTCAGATATGCAGGCTCTGTGTCCGCTCCGCATCCTTCCTTTGTCATTATTAATCCTGACGAGCTCCCGACGACAACTCACAGCCTTCCAACGCTGGCATTACGACCTCTCGGATCTTTTCTCATCAAACACGTCGTCTCTGCCCTTCACGTGGCTGTCTCGCTGCTTCCTGTTCTGCCTGTGTATTGTGGTCCCGAGTGTGCCTGTGCCGGCCGTGTGACTGTGTGTGCGCAGCCCTGCTTGATTGCCGTTGTCTCGCATTAGGTAAGGAGGACGGCCTCACCGCGAGTTGCCCACCATGGCTACCGTCACTGAGACTCTGTTGTCTACCATCACGACGACCGCCACTGTTGCTGCGGCGACGGCTACCGGTCCGGCTGCCCAGGGTGGTATCCTGGAAGGTGTCTTGCCCAACACAGTCAGCAAATCAGATCCGATCAAGCTATTCATCATACAGGTACGGAGCTATTCATGAGGCCATCTTTCACCTGGAATATACAGGTTGTCTCACAGGCAGACATAGCCTCTGTTACAGCTGTGTTATGAAACATTAAATTTCCATCTTGGTTGTGCTAGTCCTCTGCGATTGGCTCATCGTTCTCGGGGACATGGGCGTACTGATTTTCGATAGGCTGGCATTATCATCATCTTTACCCGTCTCCTCCACTACCCGCTGTCCCTTCTCGGTCAGCCTCGCGTCATCGCCGAGGTCATCGGCGGCATCTTGCTTGGTCCATCCGTGTTGATGCGCATACCCAACTTCCAACAAGACATCTTCCCTGACGCATCCCTGCCAGTGTTAAGCAATGTGGCCAACCTAGGACTTATTCTCTTCCTCTTCCTCATCGGCCTCGAGGTTGATATTCGCATGTTCACCACCAACTGGCGTGTTGCCCTCAGCGTGGGACTGGCCGGTATGATACTGCCCTTCGGCCTTGGAGTCGCCATCGCTTGGGGTCTGTTCAACGAGTTTCACAACGATGGTAGCACCAAGGACATCAACTTTGGCATATACGCCCTTTTCATTGGCACCGCCCTGGCCATCACGGCATTTCCTGTGCTCTGCCGCATCTTGTCCGAGCTCAACATGCTCGGTACGCCCGTAGGTGTGACCGTCCTGGCTGCTGGTGTGGGCAATGACGTCGTCGGCTGGATCCTGCTGGCGCTCTGTGTCGCCCTGGTCAACAACGGCTCTGGGTTGACCGCTCTCTGGGTACTGCTGGTCGCAGTAGCCTGGGTGCTCTTCCTTGTCTTTGCAGTAAAACCCGCCTTCCACTGGGCCCTGCGGAGGTCTGGCAGCATCCAGAGGGGTCCCACCCAGGGCATGATCGCACTGACACTCTTGCTCGTCCTAACCTCGGCCTGGTTCACAAGTAGGTCGTCGCACGACATCTTCATGCCACCAAAACTAATTCAGGGGCGCAGGTATCATTGGTGTGCATGCCATCTTCGGCGCTTTCCTAGTGGGTCTGATTTGCCCGCACGACGGGGGCTTCGCAATTCAGGTAACGGAGAAAATTGAGGATCTGGTGACAGTCCTTTTCTTGCCGCTGTACTTTGCCCTCTCTGGTTTAAGCACAAACCTTGGCTTGCTAAATGATGGTCTGACGTGGGGTTATGTTGTCGGCGTTATCGTCGTCGCCTTCGCCGGCAAGATCATTGGTGGCACCTTGGCCGCAAAGTCGATGAAGCTTGTGTGGAGAGAAAGCTTGACCATCGGTGTGCTAATGAGTTGCAAAGGCTTGGTGGAGCTTATTGTTCTTGTGAGTGGAATCCCTAGGTGTCTACATGGAGTCGAAAGTATTGACCGCCATCTAGAATATCGGCCTGCAAGCCAAGATTCTGTCACAAAAGACCTTCACGATTTTCGTGGTCATGGCTCTAGTCACTACGGTTGCCACCACCCCTCTCACAAAGGCGCTGTATCCTCCGTGGTACCAGAAGAAGCTCGATCAGTGGAAGCGGGGTGAGATCGACTGGGATGGGAAGCCTATCGAAACCGAGTCGACGAGACAATCCGAGTCCGTGGGGAAGATGCAGAGCGCCGACATCCGCCGGCTTCTGGTATATCTCCGTCTCGATAGTCTGCCGAGCCTCTTCACCTTTATCTCTCTCCTAGGCGAGGAAAATGCAGCACCTTTGACTAACACACGCAACTCGACTCCTGATCATGATGACGAGCATGTTGCGCAGCGGCCAGCTATCAAGAAGCGGCCTCTCGAGGTTCACGCTCTGCGTATCCTCGAACTCACCGAGCGTACATCGTCTGTCATGAAGGTCACAGAGGGTGAAGACTATTCTCGGCGGGACCCTGTTGTCAATGCCGTGAGGACTTTCTCTCAGTTGCACGACGTAGCTGTCTCAGGCAGCGTTGTCGTCGCCCCTGAGGATTCCTACGCTCAGACGGTCGTCACACAGGCTTCGGACCAGGCGTCCGACTTCGTACTCATTCCGTGGAGTGAGGTTGGTAGCAACACAGAAGATCAATCTATTCCGTTTAGAGTCTCTTCCGAGGATCGCTTCAGGGGAAAATCTCACCTTGACTTCATTCAAGCCACCCTCTCTAAAGCCGTCTGCAACACGGGCATCTTCATCGGCAATGGCTTTAGCGGCATTTCACCTATCGACGAGGCACCGCAAGGATTCTCTCGCACCGTCAGCACCGTTTCCATGTTCAGTCAGAGAGAGACTGCACTTCCACCCATTGCCGACAAGTCGCACCATGTCTTCCTGCCCTTCATTGGCGGAGTCGACGACCGCGTGGCTCTGCGCTTCGTCCTCCAGCTGGCCAAGAACCCTCACATCACCACTACAATTGCGCATATGAGCTGGGCTAACGCGGACGACGAGATCACAACCGTCCATGAGAGCGCCCTGGAAGACACCAATGTAGCAACCACATCGGCAAAGGCCGTCATCAACACCGAAATCACCGCCCAGGATACATCTCTCCTGGCAACCCTCCGATCCGGACTCGCTCCTGAGCTGGCCCGACGCGTGAAATTCACCGAAGTCGAGGTCTCGACAAGCTCGGTGCTCTCGCGGGTAACCGAGCTGGCTTCCGAGACTGTCGGCCAGAGCCCCCGAAACGCTGGCGATATCATCATCGTGGGACGGAGGCACCCACGATTGCCGGCTGCGTCCCGCACCCAGGACCAGACGAGCACCATCCATGACATGCAGAAGGCCGTGGGCGTCCTCGGTGTGAAGATGGCCATGGGTAGCCTGAAGTGTAGCGTGCTTGTTGTCCAGGCGGCGGGCAAGGGGCTGGAGTCATGATTGGATCCCGCGGGTTCCTGGCTTGGATCTCGGTATTTGGGCCGCCATCAGTTGCTTTGTGTTTGCCATCGAGCGCTCATATGGTTGGATTTATGCGGTCGGGTCGGAGTTGTTGATATCATGGCGGAAGCAACTTGCTTTAGATACGCTGTCGCTGCTTTCGTTAGCTGATGGTGGCATGCTATTGGCATAGGAAACGGCCACTGCTCATAGGTTGGGTGCGATGGAGTTCTCACGCAACCCAGGCGCTTTCAATATGACGAATGATGATATATCAATCACAAGACCGGTACTTGCTATATTCATCACAGTAGAAGATATGTACTCGCAGGTTCTGAATCGTTCTTTTTCATGACTCATGAGTTGATTTCAAGGTCGGCTTCCCCTGAATGGAAGCAATGCACACGTATGAGCTGATTCATAGATCATATGGGATAGCCGTGCGTGTTCCCAAGCCGTTGCGACTTCCTGTTGGTGGCCCCAGAAGCAGTCCAGGAGCCACATCGACATATGCATAAACACTCACGAAACCTACCGCTGGCTCACACGACCGGATATTGAATTTGAAGCAACGAAGACGTCACAAGAACGATTTGGTCCTTAACATTTGGATCGCATCCGACCATCGCTGGGCGTACCGAACCGCAACCGCCGATGCATGATTCAGACCCGATCCAGGCGGACAATGTGTTACTTTCCTTTTCAGTATCCAACACACCACCGTTGGTATCAGTTCCAATCACCCGGCATTTCTATTCTCGCAGGTTCAAGCAGCCGTCCCCCTCTCGCCATGCATGGCTGCAACAGAACTCTAAAGATCCATATCTGCATCTTCTCGTCACCTTTACCATACGTACGTATCTCAGGCAGAACCATCACCCAACCCCTCAAAGACGATAGGAAGGTCTTATTCGGGACGCATGTGTGCCACGTACCTGTGCCGGGTATGGAGACCAAGGAGGCCCAGATTTCTACTATTGCGGTTAGGGACGAGAATTGGTTGTTGACTCGGTAGGAATGTTTTGGTACGGGTGATGCTCTGAGAATCAATCAATTCAATGTTTGCATGCACAGGGGGTTCGGGTTGCTGGTTGCTGGGGCTGCACACCTGCATTGAAAAACCCAGGCCCCACTACCAGCAGCAGCAAACAAACAACCCTCAAGTACCCTAATACGATCCCGTTATTTCATACTCAGAGAAAGCCAACTGTGGTACAATGGTAAGCTGAATAGACAACTCAGGTGGGCCCAGGATGAGGTTGGGCAGTGCGCCAGCTAGCAAGGCGCGCAACAAAGAGTTTCGTAGACAGTCTGTTCGACCCTACTGGGGGTCGAGGCTGTTGAGCTTTTTGTTTTTTGGGGTCAATTTTATTCATACTCAGCTTGAATTTTTGTGCGAATTTTTCTTCTTCACTACACGCTTTTGAAGGGTTTCTACCAGCCATCAATCTAGTAGCACTATCAGCACATTCCTGTCCATTGTTGACTGGCTGTGACGAGCCGTCTAACCTATAAGGCTAAGGGTTCTATAGGATTTATGTTCTGAGGTAAGTGAACACAAAAGACGATAGAGGCTTCTGTCAACTAGAAGACACTCAGATGCTGGGGCTTGGTCTGATCCAGGGGATCACTGTATAGTCGAGTCGTCAGGAGATTTCTCTCACCTTTGGGTTGGCTAAGATGTTTAGATCGATCACTGAGGTAGAGACTGTCTATCTGTCTAGCCAGGAAATGTCCATCCTTATATATCCAATCTCTCCCTCACTGATGAGGTGTGCTCACCGTTGCTCGCGTGAGCAGACGTGAGCAACTCTAGTCACGTGATCTTGGCTCCCTGGATCACGTGCCTGAATGCCCTGTGCTGTTCTGTATTGTGTCCCCGTTCTAATTGGGTTTCCTCATAGGTCATCCTTTTCCCTTCAGGCCTGCCCACGGGCCCGTGGTATTGTTGGTTCGTAACACTGGCGCAAGTGCGGATCGATCGATTGACCGGACCGACTCGCTCTTTTTCCTCTCGTCAGCTCTACGAGATTTTTGCCCTCAGGCGTCTCTATTCTGCGGCGTCTCGGCTTACTCTACATTTCCCAGGTTGCAGACGATTTCCGCCCACGCAATATTACCTACGTTTTTGCCCATCGAAGCCCTGCCAATGTCTGATCAGAGAGACGTGTTGACAAGGGACGGGTTTGAGAGTGTTCTGGGTCGTCGCTGGGTCGTCGCTGGGTGGAGCAGGTCTTGTCACCTTCGGCGCCACGAGGCACTTGAGGTCGTTCGGGGCTGCGACAATGGTCTTTGGTAGGGATGTCGGCTGTGCTGGGAGGCTGTGTTGGGGGGCGATAGAATGCGCAACAAGCGGGTACGATGGAAATGGTAGGTGAGGACTCTTTGCGAAGTACGCGAGGGAAATGCACAGAAATATACATAGCCGCTTGTTCTCCTGCCCAGCTATCTGCAGTGGTGCACAGGGGTTCATATGATGATCACCTCCCAGCATGTTCTAGCATGAAATCTACCGTCATATACGGACCCAAACCCCATCGACATATGGAGACGCTACGATATACCATCCCGGATATCTGTATATGTCTGTCTATCTGCCACCCTTTCGTGTGGCTATCATTCGCTTCACATGCTGTGTATAAAGTAGGAGAGTGTAGTGATGTGGATGAAAGTCTGACAGGATCAAGTATCCTAGGCCACCCACCCTACACTTGAAAGGGGATCCGCTTCAGACCCGCGCGATGTCTTTCATATTATGTTTGCCCTCCTCCCCATCTCCTGCTGGATATCCATCTTCCTAAACAGCTGTCTTGGGGGTATCAGAAGCCCGGCTCTATGATCCTAAGTGAAGAACCCCCTAAGAGAACTTTCACATCCAAGCCCCAATCCTTGAACCCTTTCCACCCGCAGATCGCCCACGGCCGGCGACCGAACAATACATCACGATCTTGTACATTCTACACAACCATACCGTGCCACCGTCTCATCCTTGTACGAAGGATACTAAGTACTGGGAGCGGATCCGGCAGAGGCAATCCTCCGCAACACTCTCCGGGGATAGGTCGACTCGCCAACGGCCCCTTGCTCACTGCCGCCCCCCGTCGACTGTGCCGCCCCCCGTCGACTGTGCCGCCTGCCACTTCGCGCGCCGCGCCTTCCACCTGCCGCCCGTGCCTCGAATGAGTTCTTCCGTGTCTTTGACTGGCGCCTGACGGGGCTTAACAGTTTCAAATTCCAAGTTTTCAAACCCCAACTCCCAATCCACCTTGCTGAGCCCCAACCGACCCCCAAGCGCCGCTGCCTTGGAGCGGCCCAGTCGCGATATTCGGATGAGGACCAACTGACGATGTCGAGATGAGGCGCGGCGGGCAGGAGGCTGGTGAGCTGGCAAGGCAGACTCGTTGGCGAGAAAGCGAAGGAGGAATGGTACGCCGCCCACGCCGTCGTGGTGCTTCCTGGCTGCCTGGTACAGTCCAGGGACGAAGGACCAACAGCAAGTGAACTCAGCAGGCATGACAGGCTTCCTCGCTATGTCTCAAAGCCGATCTGCTGAGTTATGACGAGTCGCTGTGTGGCACAAGCGAATTCAGCTTGCCGCCCAGGCGCGCGCGCATCCGCCATGTTGTCCCCCAGCCCCTGAGAACCAGTACGGCGACCCCCCAGTGAAGATAGAACCCGTTCTTAGAATAAAGCTGTCGGTAGCTTCTGCAGCGGCACAAACAGTAAAGGTCAGCCCAGGGGCGGAGTGGACGGCTCGACCCTGTCCCTGCATAGATGCCCTAGCCGAGGCGACCTACGACTGCGTACTCGCCAACGTGGATGCTAGACTCTTGCAGGATGGCTCGTCTGTTCCGAAGCTTATTTATCACGAGCCTAGCCAAGTTGGATGAAACGAACCTCAACGATAGATTGACCGGGAACGTCCTGATAGGCCAACTAATGGCCCTACACACGAGGCCGTACAGCCGGAAAGTTGGAGGGCCGTTTTTGGCTAGGGCCCCATGCGGCATGGCCCAGGCTAAGAGTCGAACTGTGAAGCGCAGGCCAACTGTAAGCACACGGAAAAGACGCTTGACGGTCAAGCCTCTAGAACCTCGACAGAGATCGTTACGCCGCATGAGGCTGTCGACCGTGCGGCAGGGATACCTAGTAATGACGCCGGACAACAGCCATATGTCAACCCATCCATCATGGGGTTCAGCTTCTGGCCCCGTTCAAGTGCCGGGCAAGATTGGTCGCAGAGTTGGCAGGATACAGACACCTTTCGAGGCAGCCGGGGCGGACGAGGCTAGGATATCGCCTACCTACTGGCCTCCTTGATGGCCGAAAACGCCTCGAAAAGTCAGACGGACAATGGAAGAGAACCCCGCCTAGTTTGCCATCGTTGAACGACTCGACAGTAGTTCACCAAAGCCGTGCAGAGAATGGTTGATGACAGGCTTGGTTTCTTTCGTTGGCCATGTTGACATTGCAGCCACTTTGCGAGAGACCGTACGACCGCTGTAATCCTATTTGGCCTCGCGGCTCGTCACTTGAAAAAACCACGTAAGCAATCGAGCCAGGATGATCCCTCCGCCCTACTGCCCTGCTTTTCCCTTTCCAAGCTCGAGATAGATGATCGAGCTTCTGACTGCGGGTACGACGATGCGAGTTTGGACTTGTCATCAGAAGTAATTGCTGCGATATACTGAATCTCGAGTTTGAACGGGCCTTCCTGTGCCCCAAAGAAGCTATCGGCGAGATTAGAGATTAGAGATCTGTATGGCAGGCAACTTGGCAATGGTATATCACAAACCTTCTCATCATAATGCTTATTCTGTTGACGTTCGATAGGTCCAGTGGCTCAGCCTCCGGTTTGGGTTTACCTCTGTAGGTAGGCTTGAAGTCGTCCCAGGGAATATCCAGCTCGGTCTCCTGGGACGTGAAATCGTATTCCCAGCTGATGGTGCTCTGTTCTCGGCCATCAGGGCGCTTGGACGGGGTCTCGTCTTTGAGGATGAGCGTGTATTTCTTCCCGTCGCTCTTGTTGACCTTGAGGCGCAGCTTCTGGCAGTTGGACAGGTCCCACCGTTGTGCATCGGGAGACCGTTGGGAGGCGAAGCCCGCTCCGCCAAGGGCGGTGATGTCTAGCTGGCCGCGGAAAGTAGCGGCGTTTGATGATGACGATGTGGGACCATCCAGATAGCTTTGGCTTTTGCCGCCCCGTACGCGGTCGTCTGAAGCAACCCAGTCATCTGCAAACCACGGCCTTTCACTGGCGTTAGTCTCGGCCGGGTGATAGGGACGAACACTTACCTGTCGGCCCCGAAGAGGTAGATGCAACGTTCAGGGGACGCCATAGCGTGTTTGGAATCCAGGTCCATGTGAAGCTTGTCCTGAAGAATGGGTCAAACACTGCCCAGTTCTCCAGCAGTAGTTGAGAGTTATCTATCAAATTCTTGCTTCAGCTCCTGGAAGTGTTTGTCCGAGTCGTCTAGCAATTGGAACTCGAGAAGTGGGAGTTCGCTAGTGACGGCAGCTGGAGAATGACGAGTGCATCTAGAGAAGTCGCAGCCACTGCAAAGACACTCCAGGTGTGGCTTAGCAGACTTGTGGCTTCCATGCCTAGTGTGAGTCATCAGCCACAATCATTGCTCCCAACTTCCCAGGTATTAGGGGCCCACACCGACAGCGAGACGAGCCGGACCCCACCTCGTTGGACCTCGTTCTCGTCTACGCCAAAGACTGACGCCAACACATGGAAAAGTTCCAACATCCAGTATCATCAAGCGAGCCGTCTATTCCTCGAGGAGCCCGGCGCTGTTTCCCCGCAAACGCCTCGCGAGCCTTTCAGAAGTCTGATCCAACCCTAGCAACCAGCTTCTCCCTCCTGAGCTGCCACGAAAGCCCAAGCGCTCGGGTCCTCGATTGCGAAGGCCCAAGGTTTCTGTTCCGACAAATAAGTTCCGACTTGACCAAGGTGCGGAGGGATCGATGAAGGTCATGTGGCATCCCAGGAGCAGCGGAGGACACACTATTGACCGTGCGCGCCGGAACTTGTTTTGCTAATTATGCATACCTATCACAGTCAGTCCTTTCCACGGGCGGTAGAGCTCCGTACTCCGCACGCTTAGAATCCTCCAAGCTTCCAAGCCTTCCAAGCCTTCCAAGCCTTCCAAGCCTTCCAAGGACCACGTGGGAGCGAGAGTCGACCTGCGAGTTACGTCTCATCGCTCAGCCCAGTATCGCAAGGTACAGCTTCGTCATAACCCCGAAGCAGAAAGCTCCATATCGCGCACTTTGCACCACGGTGTAGGCTGGGCTTTGCGCAGTGCGGCCGCGCTCAGCCTCCGGAGGAATAAGCATCAAGAAAGGCTTAATGCCAGGTGGAGTAAAACTGCCTATTCGAGTGTGCTTGTCCCACAGTCCCAGCCCTGCTGCAACATCGTGATCCGGGCCGGGTGGAGCCTTGTTCAGGCATAGCGATTAAAGTGATGACGGACGGACACCGCTCCACGCGGCCATCGTCAGCGTCCTATCCAGACTTCATACATGCTACTGCAGATCAGCCTTACCGACTCGAGCTTCAACTGCCGGTAGCCTGATCTTACCACGACTGGCAGCATACTGACATTTGGCCGCACGCCGTCGCAGCATCATGCCCTCAATGATGTGCCAAGCTGCGAAATCCGCCATTGTCGACAAAGCCACCGCACTACACAACCCCTGTGCCCCGTGCAGACGTTACTGGAATACTGCGCCGACTTGCTGGTATCAGACAGCTGCCAGTTACTTCGTGGCAAGTTTACCCAGAGCGCATTGGTCGTCATTGGCTTGTTCATACGAGCTCTATGCACGCAGAAGCTCGCAAAGATTGTGGCATCGTGCATAACGCTCGACTCATGCTATGCTCCCCGCCGCCTTCTGACCGGACGCCGTCACGGCCGTGAGTAGAGAGCAAAGGACCTCTGCACCCACTACGGGCCGGCTCATATGGTATGTTGCCCCAAGGTCAATAGTAGGTCTCAGAAGTTTCTGGCAACCGTGACACTCAAGCGAGACAAGTATATGAGAGAGTTGCAATTCTTCATTCGCAGGACAATACAGCTCTGGTAGCTCGGGAGAGCTCTGTATCGTCTGTGTTACATGTTCCGTCGTTAAGAAAACACCACGCTTGCTGGATATAACCAAAACCACTTTATCCCAAAAGGCTGAGCACTTCGCCTTTGAATGCAAGCAACCTGCGCCCTGACTCCCAGTGCAAGAAAGTCGCCCGCTCCTATCCCGTCCCTTGATGCTACCCGCCATGCTTAATTCCCAAATCGCTACCCGCCACTTCGCCTACGGTTGTTGTGCGATGCCGGGTGACCCGGGCATCGACAGCGGTGTTGTTGGATAGTCATAGCCAGCCTCGGAGCAGTTTGGCGAGTGGTCGAATGAGTGAGAAAGCGGTGGTGTCTGACATCACCGATCAGCTACGTGGATCTCGTCGGGGGTGATGGCGCACATGACTCACATGAGGGTTGGAGTGGTCGTACGAATGGGGAGGTTCCAAGCCGCCCGACATGTATCCGTAGCTCATGTACGGGGACATGGAGTCTTCGGACGGATATTGTTCCCTCTTGATGGCATCGCTGAAGTGCGTCATGGACGGCAGGGTGCAAGGGACAGTCGCGGCCATATAGTTGGGATAGCTCTCGGCCGCGGTGATGTGGTGATAGGGCTGGGCAGCGTGGTAGGGTTGCACGTGCATCTCGTCGGGCGGCGGATATGCCGAGTAGGCGAAGGGAGGGGTGTGGGACCGGTCTCGCTCGTCGTACGAGGAAGGGTACATCAGCTCGTCCTCGTGATTCATTGGCGGCGAGTACAGAGGCGGCTGCACGAGCTTCTGGGACGCAGACGCTGACTTCGAGGCCTTGGAGGACGATGTCTTCTTGGAGCTCCGGCTGCTGGACGAGGTCTGTTTCTCGGGTGTGCGCGTGGGCGATGGTGCCTCATCCGACGAGCCGGCACGTCTCTCCAGGTCTTCCAGACGTCTCTTTAACTTCTTGCCTGTGGGAAATTGTCAGTCTCACGAGCCCGAGTTGCAACAAACGAAGCTGCTACATACGGTAGTTGCGCTGGGCAATCCTGTTCTGTATTCTTCGGCGCTCGGCAAGATCTGAGATCTTAGTCCAATCCTCGTCGGCGTTGGCGGAGCTGGAAAAGGCACTGCTCGTACCGTGGGCCGAGTATTGCCTCGGCGCCGGAGCGGTGGCATATGTATATTGGTGTTGAGACATGGCGTACATCGGAGCAACGGACTTAAGCAAGTGCTTTCTATGGCCTCTTGTTGCTATGATGAAGGCAGGCTGAGGTTGGTATATATGACTTTGGATGTTTGAGTCTGGTGACGAACCGAGGTGGTGGGACCATCAGACGGGAGAGGGAGGGAGGAATGGAATATATAGAAGAGCTTCCTTCAGCCATGGACGCCGCCGGCTTGCCTCGTACCCAAGCGGCGGACTTAGAAGCAAGGTAGGTTGAAGTCACTGCGGACCATACCAACATGACCTACCCCGGGACCCACACCATCCATGCCACGAGGGTCTGGAGGTAAGGGCACATGTAGGTAGCTTCGTACCTACGTACCCTTTCTGCAGACATGGGTGACACCACGGACTCGACGTACAGGCATCTGGATGCGAGAGTAGCGCATATGCACTCGATTGCAGGTCCGCCATTTCAGTGCAACGTTGGGCCCAGTGCGCGGTCGACAGCGCCTCAAACCAAACAACAAGGGGGCACGAGTGGCAGCCTGGGAGGGGTGTAGGGGGGGGGGAGTAGCGGGCGATCGCATTCCCGGCTCGGGCTGTGGTACGGAGTACTATGCAAAGTCCAGCAGCTCCTCCAGTGCAGTGTGCGGAAGGGCCTGAACGGGGCAAGACTCCTCGAGTGCGGCTGCGCGTCGACTAACCGCAAGAGGTCGTCGTATGTGGAGATGGTGCCAGCGTGCTAAATTTGCCCACAATCTCGGTTCAAGAGTACCAGCCAGTAAAAGCAGCGACACGCTTTTGGGACCCCAGCTGCCCAGCTCAGAACTCGTGCGAGATGCCGGCTCTCATAGGGCTGCTAGGCTACCCACCATGCGTGCCGCGGCAAGACGATGGATTCCATTCCTGTGGATTTTACGAGCAAACTAGCCTCAGTAGGCAGAAGACGAGACGATGTCATGGCACAGCCAGACGGCGCCCGCGCCCGCGCCCTTCCTTCTACGGTAGTTGGGGTCCTTTTCCCACACCATCGCGAGCTTGTTGCGCTAGACTAATTTCTGTTGGAATTTTATGCTGCGCAGCATAGTGTTAACAGGTTGGTATAGTTCGCGAAAACGAGAACGAAGAAGCTCCAAGGCTAGCAGCTAGCAGCTTGCACACTCTCCACCGCGTACCCCAGCCAGTCAGGCCTCAGCGTTGCTCTCGATGCTATTCGGAGAGCACGCACACACGCGGTGACGAGTCACCCCTCCGAGTCGTATTTCACTGAGGAACACAAGGACGCCGACATGTTGCTATCTTTGAGAGTCAATGGACCTAATTGTGCACTTCCTGAAGCTGGGGCCCTGAAAAGCATCGTCATCAAGGCCTTTCCAAGTCATGTGTTTGGACGTGAAAGGCTGTCCCCGGAGTTAATAAATCTGCCTTGTCTCCTGCGCCGGCGCTCTTCGCTTGGGTTGCCGGGCCACTCTAAATCCGTGTCCGTGTCCTACTACAACGTGTACGGTGTAATGAGCCCCTACAAACATGATGGCTTCAAGGCGCTGGGCAGGCCCATCGGCGGTTACATTTAACCATGAGGATCAACGAGCCGCGGATATTTCCGCGGACTTTGGAGGTTATCTGCATCGTCGTCGTGTATCGCCGTCGTCGCGTGGGAGAGAGACAGAAGTTCCAGAAGTGGAGCACCAAGACCCAGCCCTTGCGGATCCCCCAGGGTGTCAACAGTCAGGGTACAGTACAGCCCTCGTAGCGGTCGTCCATACAGAACTCGAGGCAGGCCGGTCTCTCATGAAACGGTTTTGCGCCAGCTCCGTTCGAGAATACAGCGTGGAACTTTCGGTGGAATTGGGGGGGGGGGGGGGGGGGGGGGGGGGGGGGCTTGGCCACTGCTGAGCAATAACACTCTTTGCCGGCAAATTCACCACGACCGGGGGAGCCCCTGTTGCGTCAGGACTCAGACCATACCGAACTGCCAGCCTCCAGGTCTCAGGGGGAACAGAAGAGGTTCTATTTCGGCCCCAAGGACTTTTGATATCGGTGCTAGTAGTGGTGATGAAGACTGAACAGCGGGGCGAGTGCAAGCCTGCAAATAGGCGGCAGCGGATCGTCTTGAACTCAACTGCTCTGCCAGACCTGAGACCCAGCACCTAGTTTAGTGTTCACTAAGATGTCTATTTTTGGCACGGCCCGTTACTAATCGCCCAGTGTGCGCCTGCCCGTTGATTGGCCTGCCGGATGGCCATTGGCGGGCTCGGTCTCGGGTCCTCCTAGGGTCCTAGGGCTGGCAATGGAAGATGATAGATCAAGCGCGCCCTTTTCACGATCTGCTGATTTGGGGTTTTGCGTCTGGCACAGCGATGGCCCATGCTGGGTTGATGGCTGAGGAGTCAAGAATCCGTCGGCGGGCTGGGCTGGGCAGGGTTGCGGGCTGCGGAGTTTGAATCTTGCAGGTGATGCTTTGTGTCGCATCAGGCAACCGCCTTGGCGATGTATTTTAGAGTATAATCCCCATAGGCTATAGCAGTTAATTCGGCTGCCTGAAGGAGAGGAAGAGTCCTGCTCGGAACCGAATGTCATTATCGCGACTGCTTACCTTGGTATTGTTCCTCAGAAAGCCTGCCGCAATTACCTAGCATCTGGATCCATTTGTTTATTATGATTAACTGAGCTATGCCGTCGCTATCGCTAAGAGATCACAGGAACTGGAACTTTTGACGGCCCACCACGGGACGACGATGACCCCGGTACACAGAAGTGCCGTTCTGATTAGCAATTCCACGTGGGGCAATGAAGACTCCACCAAATGTACCCCTACCTCTTCTTGTTCATCCTGGCAGCCTGGGCATTGCGGTTTTGTGGTCTTCTTTCCCAAAGAAGGAACACGCATATTCGACCTCTCCCCATTGTGAAGGCCGTCTGCGTATTCCGCATATTCACGTGGAGTGACCAGTGCCACCGCCAATGCCAGGCCCGTACAAAGGTCCTCACATTCACAATTTGAAGGCCCGAATTGGACTGCGCCGCAATTCGATGTCCGTAGCATAAATAAGTAAGTGGCTGGCGCCAGCGGCACAGCATGGTCTTGGACCACTGAGATCTCGAATCTCGAATCTCCTCAGCCTCTGTGGACTGCCAGAACTGCGCAGCCAAATCCCACGAGGCCTAAAACACATACTTATTTAGCTTCGCGACGTCATTTGCCATCACATACCTACACGGAGCATACATGAACGGTCGAATTAATCACTGCTCGCTATAAAGCTGCTATCAGGGCCTGAACCTCTCTTCTTCTCCCCTAGACGAACACTCATCCGGCTCGTCACGGACCCTGCCGTCAAGACGCAGTGCTGAGTCCATACCTGAAGAATTCCATCGTGGCCGTTTACGAGCTTTACTTGGCGCCACTTTGAGATCACTCACATACTGCAGGGCGCCGACTATGGGCTGACGTCCTCACCGTCGGGTTGGCCGTCGTCATCAATCAACCAGCTCTTTTCTTAGATTCTATGCGTGGGCTCACGAGCGAGCCAATCGGGGGGCATCTGGGATAAGAATACTCTACGCCCTACCTTATCCCGCCAACCCGCGGCCCGACGATAGCAACGGCCGCGTCTACCTACGCACCTAACGGCCAAATTAACTTCTTTTTCTGCCCTACCGCTACCGCTACCGGGGGTTGAGTGCTGACGCGAGAAGCTTCCGTTCCATCGGAGCACGGTGATGACTGGTTAGCGAGGAAACTTAATGCTGACACCACCCACGCCCGCAGACACACCCACCCAGAGGCATGGAACCGCAGAAAGCCACCATAACCCACGAGCTTGGTAGTGTCCCCCTTATTAAATTCGGACGTTAGCAGATAGGTCCTTTAAGGTTCTCACGCCAAGACCCAGGTAGCATCTTTCTCTCCGCCGAGTCCCTGCCGCGACCTCCACGCTGCGGAGCGCAACGTACTGGTACTTCCTTGCTACATGTCACTTCCATTATTACCGGCCAGGTCGCGGGCGTCCTGGAATTCATGAAACTGTTGATCGGTTGTTGCTCCCCCATCGGCAGCCCTAATGAGGATCCCGGGGTTCAGGTTCATGGCACTGCCGTGACCCAAAGATCTCACGGGTGACATAGGGAACGAGTAGAAAAAGTTGTCCTAACCACCCCTTTTCGCTATACGTGTGCAAGACCCCAAAACGACTACTTCAACTCGCTTCGCGTGAGGTGAGCGGAAAGTGCAGCAGCATGTCGGATTATCACCTTATCCCACCGAGTCACCCCCTTTTCGGAAGCAGCCAACCGACAAACGAGGGTTGATGTGATGGTACAGCATTATTACGTGGGAAGTTACCTGAACAACGCGACGTTCTCCAATCTCTGGGACGAGAGATGAAGGGGGACGCCTCTCGAGGTTCTAGATGCGCGTTCGAAAAAGGAGAGGTGGGCCCTTTGGGGACGTCGGCTGTCGATCACAACCATTACGACGCATACCATTATCTGAGAGTGAGTGTGCTGACTTGCTAATCCGCGCAAGCTCAGGGATCAGATAGCCTATTTCAGTTCAAGCGGTTTCTGGCTCTTGGCCCTTGCTCTTGGCTCTTGGAAAGTAAACTCGGATCCTGCCGAGTTTGGGCCATTTGCGAGTTCTACGTCTGGCTGCCGTACAAGTCAGATCTCCTTGGTGTGCAACATAACGTTCACCCCATCTCGGGTACTTTCTCTGGCCTCTCCTCCTGAAACTATAAGTACTGTAGTAGTTTGACCTATTCCAAGTAACGTTGAGCCCAGTAAAACACGGCATCAGAAGCGGCGCAGCAGGATTCACCAAGGCATAAACGGCGAACCTTCTCACCTTGGGGATGTAATAATAGCTAAGAACCGAGTGCGAGCCTTCCCACGTTGCGAATCCTCTCGGTGCAGATCATCGACGCGTCTCGTCTGAAGTCGGCACCTCATCAAAGGCTTGATAGGACGACAGCCAAACGGCCCCCTACCCCATGGCCCCTCCTTCCCCGGGCACACGGCAATAGGGCGCACGCAGGGTAGCGGAAAGCCGAGCCCGATCCGATTCCATGCCACGCGACTTTTGCTGACAGGATCCGCTGGCTAGGTAGGTATTGGTCTGCCGCTGCGAGAATTAAGAGCTGTCAGATAACGGGCTAAATTGTCCCCCTGTCGTGAATCGGGAGTCTGTAACCAGAACCAGAACCAGAACCTGTTATTCTTAGCAATAGCAATTGTGGCTTAATACCTTAGGTATAACTCCAAGATCTTGTGATTATGGTCACGGGGTATACCAGGGCCTGCGCATCTTGGTCTTTCACAGTAAGGTACCTCAGCTCGACTAAATATGGAAATATATCTTGATGGTGATTGGCATCCGAATATACGATGGATTTTAAGTTTAAGCGCAGCAACCCCCCTGGGAGTTCGTACATCAGTCGAAACGGTTGGTTGCGGTAAGGATGCTGGAGAACGTCTGATACAGTAGATTCCTACTGTGCGTTGCGCCTTCCAACACAGTGCCCCTCAGCGCTGGTCCCTACCAGGGTGGGCCACTTTCCTGCCCGTTTGGGAAAGTTCTCATCATTCGGCATCATTTCCTCAATGTTCTCTTTTCCACCCGTACAATAGTACGGTACCACACCTGTCCCCCAGGGGCCTTGCGACAAGTTTTTGGCTATGTTTTTTATCCCCGGATTACTATTATTATTTGACCTCACAATACATGTTGTACGGGTGTACGAGACCTGCAGCCATGGTCATGGCCATGCATATCCTATCAATGCAGACCAGAGACATCTCACCGCATCCGCATGGCTGTGTGGGACGGCGCCGCATTCGATTCGCCGTCTCGCCGTGCGCCGCTGCAGGGCCCTGCGAGAACCAAGCACACACCACCTGGCAGGGCCATTATTCAGTACCCCTTCTCGAGTCAAGACGCGAGACGCGAGACCAGATGACCGGCGTTAGTCATCAGTACCAATGTACGAGTGTCTTCTTCGGTGTTAGGTGTGTGGTTTTCGATAACGACGGCTCTGTGCGGAACACAGTGCCATCGTAGGCGAGTGCCATCGACAGCAAGGCCAAGAGCCGAGCGTTCCGCTCGCCAGACATGCCTCACTTCATTTCCTTCGCCGTAGACTACCTAGTACCTACGATACGGCTGGTTATACCTCTGCTCCCTCGACAATGGGCAGACAGCCAGACATCATGTATGATGTAGGTACGTGTGCCCCCGGGCCTCCCATGGGCAACGCTCTCACACCAGTGCAGCGTGCTGGTCCTGGCACAGCGACCGCTGAGTGGGTGTCGAGTACCCGTGCCTTTGGTCTGGGTAATGCCAAGACGAGATCCCGTCTGATGAAGGAAGGGTCCTGTTGCTGACAGCACCACACCCAGAATCAGCCACCAAAGTACCCTCGGTACCTACGTCCGCAGGAGCTGCAGCTGTGATAAAGAACTGACGTGAACACTGTCTCTTGTTAGGGGAGGAACGACCTGCTGCTAGGTGCACACGTTTCTGTCGAATCCTCCGTAGGGCTGAGATGACAGGAGCAAATGCCGCCTCTCCAGACGAGGTCATTTCCGAATCCCATTTACCACTGGCCCTCTCTACGTACACGAATCCTACCGACGGCGCAGCGCGGCACAGCACTCCTAATACAGGGTTTCTAAATCTATCCGTCGACCCATCACCCCACAACAGTCCATCTCGCGCGGAATCGCGAGCCACGATGCAGTATTAGGAACTACTGCCCAATCTGGCTGCACAGTGGGGTGGTGGTGGTGGTTGTGGTATACGTATCGCAAGAACCTGCCTGGCGATGGCGTCAAGCACTGCTACGCTGTGCGCCCATCTCCCCGCAGCGGTGGCACCATGTCTGCCCTCTGGCGGTCAAGATAGATTAGCAGACCCCGCGAAGAGTCAACTTGGAATCCCGAGATGCACAATGTGCGCAGTGCTATGTACGATCAGCTGCTGCTGCGGAGGCATGATTGGTGGGAACGGCCTGTGAGCCTGTGAGCCTGTGACCAAGACTCCCTCGGTGTCGCCGTTGCCCATAGGGCTGAACGCTGCACCCCTGTTGGACTTTTGGAACCCTACCTCTCATCACTCACGGGTACAGTACCCGACGCAACTCACATGTAGCTCCACCATACAAACGAACCGCACATGGATCCAGGAGCTACAAGTTTCGCACTGCCCAGCAGACGGGAGTCTATACTAGGCTATCAGAAACAGACGACGTTGCATCTCTTATTGGCGGATTCCGGATACGGTCACCAACGTCTTGTCAGTAGGCGATCTCCTATACGGATGCCTGCTGGGCTCTTGTTCAGCTTCTGCTTGGTTCCAAGAGTCTCAGATGCCAATTTTGGTTATTAAGCACCCCCTCTGGCCGGTCTGGCCTCCTCGTCCCATCATCGAGGCTCAGGGGACGCAACCGCAACCGTACGCTATCCGGCCAATCAGGGGGCGGGCGAGGTTGCAATCACGACTGCCAAAACCCCTGCCACATGACAAATCCCGACCGGCAGGCTTCAGTTGCCCGCCCGTTACAGCCATTCTCTGTTGATTATTCATTCTACCTATGTGATTAGTAACGATATGTCGGATATCTGGTGCCGAGATTTGCTCATGCATACATACCTTCCGACGGAGTATCAAGTAGATGCCGAGATATCGATCGTCTCCTGGGCTGGAACGTTCTGCTCGCAAACTCCTGCCCGAGTGAAGAGCAATTTGGCGGGCCTGATAGATACTTGTCTACATATCTGCAGATCTTCTGATGTTCCGCTGTACTGTGTCGGTCCAGTGGGTAGGGAGGCGGGCCTGGGTGTAAAGACCGGATTCGGGGACTGTACGTGTCGTATCGCCTCTGGTTTGAAATCAACTCATCAATCTCTCTGTGACAGTTACCGCTGCCGGGACCTTTTGTAGTCGATCCATGCTCACAGCTGTGTTATTTGCACTCGCAGTAGAATACATAGTTGGATTGAAATACATAGTTGAATTGATAGTTTATGTTACTGTTACCATGATTGTTTCTACTCCTAGCTGTACATCTTATCGACGATACTGTCTCTAATGCAGGCATGTACATGCACTCACTGCTTGGCGGACTGGAGGCTCTGCTCTTACATATTCGTGCACCAGTCACAATATTCCTCTTGCTGCGTGTGGGTGACACACTCACAAAGCCTTGCTTGAGATTAATTGCCGTCCTTGGACAAGAAGTGCAGATTGGCACCCGTGTCGGAAGACAAGGCAGAAATCTGTAGGTCGTAAAGGCAGCGAGTGCCACCAACATTAATAATAATTATGATCATGTCCCTGAGGTAATTAGCCCGGTAACAGAATCACCGTTACTGTGACCTATACCAGTACGTGTGTTACCTGACGACATGGACCCTCGCATTGAATGTGAGAAAGCCAAGCCGCTTAATTGGCTGAAATTGGACCTCGTCTTCTGGCCAATGGCATGTTGTAGTCATTCACGGATAGGAAGGCAGGGGCTCCCTGTCTGCCAAAGGGCTGCAGCAGTTGCGCGGTGGGGCACGGTAGCGGTACGTACCTCGGTCCCTTCCATTGAAGTTCCACTAGTAGCACAGTGAACTGCGCGGTGAGGCACTGGGGACGAGGACAGAGTGCAGGTGCCAATTGCTGTCGTTGCAGTGCCGCGTACAGCGCGCAACATTGAACCAGCTGGAGCACCTGCAACCATGGCACCGCATGGGCCACACCGCATGAGACCCCGAGGGGCCACCGCCTGTCTCCCACACAAGAGCGTGCAGACAGAGGGAAGATCCCCTGCAAAGAGCGGTCGACGACAACGCCCCACTCTTCACCTCCCCCTACCTCCTGCAGCCCAGTGGACGGGCGGGTGGCCATCCGACCGACGGCCGAACACGTTCTGAGGTCGTGTCTCAGCATCACAATGCATCATCCATCCACCCACCCACCCGATTCATCGTTTGCGAGCCTCAGACGGGCGTACAGAGTATGCGGCATGATGGCGGCACCTTTTGAGGCTCGCGAGTTCGATCCAATTTTTCAACACTCTGCCCGCTCCTTGCATTGCCCGTGCCAGACACACAAACGCCGGGCATCAACAACCAACCAACAAACAGACAGACAGACAGACAATAGGTACGATGGGCGTTTCGCGTTGCATTACATCATCGCCTCGGTCGCATAGGTACTGCCTCTGCTCGCTCCCATCGAACACTGCATCCCATTTAGGGTAGATTCAAGTCGTCTTCCTCGCCGAACCGCTCATCACTCCTCGCTAGGAAATACTACCTTGTGCGGCGAGAACACACGACCTAAATCCGCACGCTTCGCCGTCTGCCAGCGCAACATCGAGCTCATTGGAAATCGAGGGCTTTCAAGGTTCCGCTCTTCTACGACTGGGCTGTCACAGGCATGACAGGAGCCGTCACTACCACCATCCCCCGCGGTTATGACTTATCAAACCCCTTGCCGCACGCGGCACAGGAACGGCTCCTCCACCTACTCGGCGTCTAGGAGCAATCCGAATCGCGAAGCGAAGTGTTATCGCCGAACTGCCTGCCGGCCCAACAGCCTACAACACGCAGGCAAGCAAGGGGCAATCTTGGAACTTAATATGTTGGCAGTTGGCACTCATTCTGTTAAATTGCAGTAGTATCCGGCTTCGTTCCTCTCGGTAGGTACGCCCGGGCTGTTGGTCGGCGCGCGCATGAGTGAGTCCGTGGCATGATCCAAGTCCTCCTTTCCCCTGATTGCCAATCCGCGGTACCCGCAGCGAGGGTAGCATCTTCATATTGAGCATGCCGGGCCGCAATCGCCTCGACCGGTGTTCGCTTGCCAGGATGCTTTTCTTGTTGGTGACTCGCCAACCAACATCGGCCGATCGAACGATGAAGCAATTCGGGATACCGGGTCGATCTGGAATAGCAGGCTCTGTTGTGTGTTCACATGTTCAGTGCCATGGTACGTACAGGTGGACTAATAAATGGCAGAGCCACGTATGTCGAAATCATACATGGGATTCTCTGCACGGCCTCGGGTTTGACGATAATGCGAGAGTAGTACTCGTTGTTGTTGGTCTTGCTAACTACATAGCCTGGCTGCATTATCCAGATCACCAGATCTTTTGGTGCGTCTCCAACCAACCAACATATTGGTTGTGCTGCAATGTTGGCCTGTGGCCGGGAGCTGTGTGACGGTGCGCACATCACTGGGTCGCATTTCAATCTGGAGTCGTGGACATACGTCCGCGTGCGAAGTGCCAACGCTGTATTTTTCCGTGCCTGCTGCCGGGATGATCAGGAGGTCGGAACTCACCAGCGGACACGTCAGACGGAGCGGGCGCTGTTTGACGCGGCACCTCCGGAAGCTATGGAACGTTAATAGTACCAAGACTGCTTGCTTGCTTAAAGGGTTCGAGGACGTAAGGAGCCCCGGATTAGCATGGAGCCTTGTATTTGCCCATCACTGTGTGTCCAGGATGTTCTCCCCAAACCAACATCACCGGATCATTCACCTGGAAAGCATCTATAACGCAAGTCCATGGCCTGAGAGTCGGCTTTCCGTCGTCTACCGAGTCGATTTTGCGATAGTGCATCTGGGCTCTTGAGAAACCCGAACACCGGCAGAACCAGACCAACATACCCCGGAGCCGAACATGGACAAGGGGTCAGCGAGGATCACCATCCATCTATTATGTACGGTGTCCCATGCGAGCCACAGGGCTGCAGCAAACAAGCAGTCTCGTTCTCGGATGTGCAAGGTGGGTCAAAAGATACCTTGTCTGTTATAGTGCTCTCTTCTCGGTCGTGCAAGATGGGTCATCAGATACCTCTCTATACTCCGCAGGGCCACGGAGGTTACGTCGCCTCTCAATCTACCTAAAAGGAGCACGACGCAATGACAAGCTGGATGCTTTCTTGTGACAGGCACGTCCGAACTGTTCTCGCATCATGCAGCAGCACTGCAACATCCAGCTGTCGGCTGTCGGATAGGGGCTGCGTTGATTGGATGACGAAGCCACGGTATCTTTCCTACTGTGGTATCTATCTGGGGAATAGTGGAATATGCACGTGGAGAGTGTACAGTGTGCACACCCTCCGGCCCATCTTAGCGTTCCTTCACGGCCGCCGTTGTCAGAACTTATTTTTCTTTGGCGATCCTCCCCCATGCCAACCCCTGGCTGCCTGGGGCTGCCCAGCAGGCAGCAGGTTGGCAGCCACCGCATCATCCGCGCCTGCCGTCTTCCTGTTGGAGCACCAGGTACCTTAGTATGTACGTACAGCGGTATCGTCGAACTCGCAAAGGGTAAACCATTTACACCGTAACGATGTCGTCCGATGCTCAACGATATAAGAACAAACCGCCTGTCCGCAGCTTTACAACTTCGAATTCGGAACTTTCGTCAGTTACTTACTTTCAGGGTGTGCAAGGACCACACATAGCGGAATCTATCCCGGTTTGAGGAAGACTGCCATATGCGGAAGGGCAGGCGAGGCAGCATGGATTATGGACCAGCCAATCTCAGATCTCCAAAGCCGATCCGCCTAATCAACGAGCGGGCGAGGAGGCGTGGTGGCTCAGGAGCATACGGAGATTGAAAGTTGGCCATGCACCCATGCTAGGCCTCTGATGGAACTAATGTATTGCGTGTAAGGCACAGCACTTGCGGTTCCGAGATGCTCCTGATATCTACCTGGAACGGGCTCCTTGTCTATGCCTGTCGGCGCAAAATGGGTCGCCTCTTCAAGGACATCCATTGCTAGTGAATCTTCGAAGCTTTCTTGCCTACCCCATAGTCTGGCATTTGGCTCATCTGAGTTCAGCTCTGGATACGAAACGGGTTGATGCTGGTTCGGATACGTATAAGGTACCGGCTCCTTCAGTGCCGCAGATCCCTGCGCAACGTGGCTCAGGAGTCAGCTGTAGATACCCCTCTAGGACTTGGGATGAAGTCATCGGCCGAGGCTCAGCATGTCCATAGGGCTCAGCAACAATTTCCATACGAGCATCAACATTGTATGCCGCGTTCACAGCTAGCTGTCATTGACATGGAACAATAGCTCTATACCCGTCAACTACCATGAATGATGACAATGGGCTTGTCGAGTTACCCCATGGGGGTGGGTAGGCATTCATAACTCATCAGATGGGATGAAGCCAACATGACGGGCCCAAACGTGGCCTACCCCGGACTCTCCTGCGGCCGCTGGACGCGGCCGACCACCTGCTCACCTGCTCACCTGCTCCTCGGACGCTGCCGTGTCACCGTGAGACAGGCAGGCAACTGCTGGAGAACGCCATTGTATGACTAAAAGCCCTCTATTCGAGAACAATGGAGTGTGTTAGTTTGAGACACGGCTACAGGTTCGGTGTGCAATGTCTCGCTTCAGCCGCATCTCCGCCTTTCTCGTTTCCTACAAGATGATCGCCGACCTGCTTCCTACAAGGCTTCGGCGGAGCGGGCTATCAAGCAAGCCACCATCTTCCTACCTCCCTTCTCCGTCGATATGGCTTTATGTCATGTCGGCCCCCAACGCAGCTAGCCAGCCTGCCAGCCTACGTACTCGTATGCGCACAGCCAAACATACGGCGTTCCAGGAAGAAAAGGACACGCTGAAGATCTTGGCCTGCCGCCCAGACTGGACGGTCTGGTGTTGCCTCTTCGGCGCTTTCACGGCGCGCCTCCTTCCTGAAAGGTTGCACGTCCTACAGAGACACGGAAAAGGTACCATACATAGTGAATGTGTACTATCTTCGCTCTCGGCTGCCGGTTAATACGCTGGTACGCAGGATTCGCACGACTGGTCGCAAGGCGGCTACGTGTATAGTCTTGATCTATTTCCGTGAGGCTTCTGCTTCGGGCATGGTTTCCCTCTTGGGGTCTGAGCAGCGAACCCGACCCTATGTTGCCAACTTGACCACCCGCCAATGGCCACTGGTCAGTGACCAGTGGTCAACAATAGCTTCCGGTGTCGACCACTTATACGGCTCGCACATGAGCTAGTAGTGGTGTAATGATAGGAGCAGCCATCAATTCAAGACCACCACTACGTACCATACCGCCATACTGCCATACGCCGTACATCACACGCTACCTACTCGGTCCCCAAATAAAATGCCTGCAGCGAAAGATGGAAGCATAGAGCTGAGACACGCGCAGACGCCTCGGGGGTCATCTACTCCCGCGTAACGCAATACAAATCCACGACAACCCCGCGTGACGCGGGTGACACGAGTGGCTGACTGATTGCACTATTCTTCGGTGTACGCAAGCACCACATTGTCATGCATCCATTCGAGGCTGTCTGTGCGGCTGGGTTGTTGCTCCTCGCTATAGTATTACGTTAAGTATCCATAGGTATATGCTATCGACCCGGGCGCGAACGGTGGCATAGGTGGGCTGGGACGGAGATCCGGGCGCGAGCTTCGGAGCCGAGAACTTGCCATCCACCCGCCCCTTCAGCAGCACTTCGGTACCGGTATACCTATCTACGTAAACACCAGGCACAAGCGGGCTCATGATATTGTATCTACTGTTCCGGTCTATTCATAACGTCTTTCTAGACAGTTCCAGTGGTCGCTGTGAAGTCCTCGCTGCCTGTATGCCAGGAATAGATTCCTCAAAGGCGTATCCAAGGCTCCGACACACCGCTACGCAGACAATTGGACTCGTAGGGTTCATGCACCCAACTCAATACACACAGCTGGACGGGACACACGTCTCAGCTCCGCGAAGAGCCAGTTGCTGTGTGTGGGTGATGGCGGGCTGGAATCGACCGTCATCTGTCGACCCCTTCCTGGCCCGTTCTGGTATCCCTGCTTCCCTGCGCTGTGCGACGCTCGGCGTGCATGCGATGGGGTTCGTTCTTGACCTCCTCCGACGCCCGTCTCATCCATCCATATACTGCACCACCAGCTTCAGCTGCTACCTAGGCGCCATCACGTGAATGCGCCAAGAGACCAAGCCGTCAAGCCATCAGTCTTGTTATTCTGCTATTCTCCGCATTATTCTATCGATGCGGTGAGGGGAGTGAGGCGGAAACGCCCATGGCCGGGTCGAGAACCTCGGCGGCTGAAAGGGGAACACGGGGACGGTGACGAGGCGCTGGAATAGGCTTTCGGCCTACATACCCCTCCCTCGCTTGTTTGCTTGCTTGCTGTTCAACCGTAGTCAACTCGTTACGAGTCTATGGATGCTATCCCGACCCCGACTCCGGCCGGCCGTCATGCTCAACTCCCAGGTGTCAGCGTAAGGACGGTGGAGGTGGAAGTGAATGGTTGTCGATTCTAGAGGCCGCTACTGCGCGCCCCTATACCACTTCTCCTGATGTAACCCCGCGCGATATAGAGAGAGTAGCAATCCGTGGCGTTGGGGCAAGGGGATGCAAGGCCAGTGAGCTGCCGTTGCCTCGTTCTGCCCTACGAGAGCTGAATCAACTCCGACGCCTCAGAGACGCCGTCTTTAAAGCGGGCACAAGCCTCTTCTGCATTGCGGCTCGTCTTATATACCCGAGTATCTAAAAAGAAGAAAAATGGGCAGGACATCTGGAGAGATCGTCTCTCCCGCCGCCTTGGCCTTGGGTTGCTTGGGGGGGACGGATCGCATCAAGCGCCTTTGTAGCTACCACCCCAAGCTACCCCCCGTTTGCACAAGCTGATGGGCATTGATGGCGGAGGAGGGTCTGGTAGCGGTGGTGATTCAGATTCTTTCCCGTGCCGCGTAGACATTTCCACCTAGCATTTCGTAAGTGTAAAAGCAGTTGAGTCATGCAGAGGAACAGCAAACCAACCCTGTCTCGCAGGCTGAACCATACTTCAGCCGCACTTTCCAGGCCCATGTGGATGGGGCCGCTTCCGGATGCGATGTTCTCGGTGGCACCGGCAGAGGACTCTAGACATATACAATGCTCACTGAGTACCGGCCCGCTCCCACCCTTCGAGTAGATAAGGGGGAGAAGGGGGCAAAAGCCCAAAAAGGGCAAGCAAGTTATCGAGCAAACTGTCCAGGGCGGCATACATCCACCCAAACCACCGGGCTTGGGGATTGGGTACGACACGGCGGTTGCGGTGGCGGCATGTGTGCGTGGAGGATAAGAGATGAACTTTGCCGCCATCTCGCTTCAAGAGCGCATATTATCGCTTTGGAGTTTCTATTCTCGATCTCCTGATGAGGGCTCCTATGGGCAAGCGAAGCACCCCGATCTTTATGCACGGAAACTGTTCCTCAACCTCTCGTCAGTCCTTCGTCCCTTGACTAAAGCAGGTAGCTATCTGACGAGTCATGACGGAAACAGGGCAAGTAGGATCTACGTATGGCAAGTACGTTGACGTAGGATATCTCAGCTAGAACACCCATTCAGGGACAGGGTCGAGCCGTCCACTCCGCCCCTGGGCTAACATTCACTGTTTATGCCGCTGCAGAAGCTAACGACATCTTCATTCTAAGAACGGGCTCTATTTCCCAAGGGCGCGCATGAATAAACACGATGCCCCAATCTTCACTGATGGGATCACGCCGTACCGGTTCAGAGGGGAATTGGCCTCGTTCGAGTTGCGCGTTGCGGACCTAGGCCGTTCCAACAAAACGCTGAGCGCGGCCCAGAGAGCGACTGAAGGGGAGAAATATCCCTATACCTTCTGCTACGTTTTTCCTTCGTAAATCTATCTGGAGGACTGCGTCTGCGGAGATCAAGCATCGTCTCTCGTCATACGGCCGAGTGGCAACCGGACTTCAGTATCGTGGAGCGACATCCCCGCCACCTTCGAAGACCAGCTATGGCCTTGCGTATCTCGTCGCCGAGGGGAAATCAAGTGCGACCGGAACGACCCTTGCGCCAACTATACTTCCTCCAAAGCTCAGTGTACCTATGCGATCTAAGAAGCGAGCCTGCAACGTCAGGCTGTGGCATTTCGGGGGCGCTGCGCTGAGCCGCGACAAAAGGCGTAATTCACCTCGGCTCCGTCATGGACGATCGATGTGTATGTGTGTGTATGTGTGTGTGTATGTTTGTGTGTGTCAACGATATCCTGCCAGCGCTGCGAAAACCCCGTCTAAACGCAATCATCAACCATCCAGACCAGCCAGCATCAGCTTCGTACGCAGAGTCTCAAGAACAGACCTAGGTCGTGCTGCCGATTGATGAGCAGCTGACCAATGATCGCATTGCTATGGTCCTCGAGTGCCTTACGCAAGATGGGCGAATGCCAGGGCAGATCTGCAGGTGACTTCGCGTAAGCAGTGGTGGCGAAGCTCTCTGCTCCTGGGTCGCGTAGATATATACCCGCTGCTCCTTTCAGCTCTCCCTCAAGTCCACCAACATTGCAGCTTTACACGATCGACCATGTGGCTAATCGACGTCGAGACAATGGGACTCAAATGGTTCATGGGGAATGAGTGGACTCCTCCGTATGCCATTCTGTCGCATCTTTGGGGACCTGATGAGTCGCTGTTCCACGATTTTGTACGAGAGACCGGACGGCATAAGATGGGGTCTCAGAAGATCTTGCGATGCTGCCAACTAGCCAAGCGCGACTCTCTTAACTGGCTCTGGGTGGACACATGCTGCATCAACAAAGAGTCTAGCGCCGAGCTCTCCGAAACTATCAACACGATGTTCCAGTGGTACGAAAAAGCGGCAGTCTGCTACACTTACCTGCCCGACGTTCTGGATATCTACGAGACGTCGAACGAGGATAAGTTTACTGACAGCCGTTGGTTTCGTCGAGGTTGGACGCTCCAGGAGCTTATAGCTCCACAAGAGGTCCATTTCTATGATGAGAGCTGGAAATATATCGCCTCTCGGAGCGCATTGGCGGACCAGATCGCTAAAGTCACGAACGTTGACGTTGCCTTACTCCAGGAGCGTCGTGGACAGGTCTCGAGCATGCTCAGTAACTACAGCGTCGCTCAGCGTCTTTCGTGGGCTGCTAATCGCGAAACGACTCGGGAAGAGGATCAGGCGTACAGCTTGCTAGGTATCTTCGGCATCAGTATGTCTATGCTTTAGTTATGGCGAAGGAACCAAAGCTTTTTCGCGCCTTCAAGAAGAGATCATGCGATCCACTGCAGACTTGTCCATACTCGCCTGGTCCCCTACGCCTGGATCGATCGCCGAACGTGCTCAGCAGCCCTTGGCCTGTTCGCTAGCAGACTTCGCCAAGGGCGGAAAGTTGATACCTACCCAGCAACCAACCGGCGCGGCCTGGTACAGCGAGACGACATTGACTAACGCTGCCCTGCGAATCACCACGTCGGTTCGCGAAGTACCAAATCCCGGGACCACGGAGAAGCAGCTTGTTGCAATTCTGGGCTGTTGAAACGATGATGATTTTACGACTGTCGTTGCACTGGAAGTGTGACCCATCCGAACGACAAAGCTTGCCGAGGCTATGCAGCACGATACTATGCGCTGTACACTGGGATGGTCTGACAAGCCAGAGAAAGATAGGCTAATCCTGGTCGACATTCTCAACGCAGCGGATAACTCCACAGTCAAGAACATCACGTTCGACCGAAGCAATCCAACACAACGATCCGTATCGACAAACCGTCGACGTGACTGGACAGATGTTGGCTGCGGTTCTCGGAGCCTTCCCTAAACAAAGAATGGAAGACCATCGATGTGTATCCCAAACAATACTGGAACTATACTAGCCGGACATTAAGCAAGGAACGAGAAACGACAACAAGATCCAAAAGCGTCGACCAACCCGGTCGGTGTGCTCACTTCGGGGTACGTATCAGTGTTCGGCTTGCCCGTACATGGTGCGATCGCATTGCAAAGCCCGAAAGGAGCTAGGGTTGCCGTCCTCTTCTGCCAGCGCAGTGCTTCCTTGAACGACGGTATCACATATGATCTGATGGAGTACGACAAGTCCACCTTCCAGTCACCCGACAGACGACTACTCGATCGTAATGTTGGCACAGGATATCGACTTACGCTCTCCGACGGCTCCGCATTCGAAATTGTCTTGCACGTCAACGAGATCTCGGAAAGGGTTGTCGCGCATCTGTCTGTGACGTCTGGATCATCCGACGTTCGAACAAAGACACCGAGAGAGAACGACACCCTACATGGCTCTGGCCCTCTACGTAACCCTCTTGACCGCTTCAAGAAGCATCACAGCTCCCCCAGTTCATTCTATATCTGGCATATACGACGTTATTTCCTACCAGTGGTCGAATAAAGGCATGGCTTTTTCAGCTGGACACATCTGGTACAATGGGTTCTCCCTCCATCACGCCGGACCTAAATTCAAGGTCAGGATCGGACATACTTTTCAGAAGGAAATATGTACGATTTACCTTGGATGAGCGACACGAGTCGCAGGCAGAATGCCGCAGACGATCTGATTGGCTTTCATAGGAGTCCACGGTGAAGTGGGTAGGTTTTTCTTTCATGTCTTGAGAGAGAATTCCGAACATGGTGGCTGGGATGCATTAGCCAGCCAGTATTTACAATAGGAACTCAAGTTATATCATATTCAGAGGGCTGATATAGGCAACAAGAGATTCGAAAATCGATAGATCATGTGTTGGGCTAAGTATCCTCTTTACGGTCCTCTCCGGCCGGAAATTTCTGCATTGTGACCCCCAATCTCAAACGCCTTACCATTCCTGTAGTTACCACGGGCCGGCTCGATGACTCGCGTGAGCTGTATCCGATCTGACTAAAACATCATGGCAGGAAGCCGGGTTTCGCTCCCCGTCCATCTCTGAAGCCGATCTAACGTCTGGCGACTAGTTGTTTGCAGACAATTACCATGTTACAACACGAATCTTTGGCAGGGGAAGCCGGCTGGGCATGTTTGTGTTGCATAGTATCTTCGTTGGTAGGGGTGGTACTTCTGAACTACACAGGGCATGAAACTATAGATCGACTGTCTATTTCTTGGAGCTATGCCGGAATGTCCCGCGGCCAAGGGACCAGTATTGTAGCCCCATCTTCCTTACTGGAAACTTGGTAACCCTATTGGGACATCCGTGCATTGCGCCGTGTCATACCAGCGACGCGGACAGATAGATGAGATGATGAGTGGCGGCTGACAGTGTGTAGTACGGCAAACAACAACCCCTCACCGCTCCGACCAAGTCAGGGTTAACGGTAACAAGTCAGCCGCTATCAAGTCGCTAAGCAGATAACGTGTTTACAGCTGTGTGCCTTCCGGACGTCTATAGAACAACCCCTAATACAAAAAAAAAGGTACATGCATGTCTTAGTCAGAAGTCTGGTCTGGAACTCCAAGGGGGAGGGTGTGGGGTTTGACCGAAACCGTTGTATTCCCACACAGCCCCGACGACATAGACCCCTGAATCGACGACATAGACCGAACAGTATACGCAAGCTCGGCTGTATATCATTGCAACACTTTGGTAGCACGTGGCTCACAGAGCCCTGACCTTATGCAGACTTTCCTGAAGAAGCACGAGGCGACGACGCCGCCTCGGGGCGCATTCATCTATTGTGGGCGTACAAGCCTGGAAAACATCTTCTGTATCTAGCCTATCAAGGTTATGGACTCTAGAGTATTTGGAAATGCATCTGCAGTCGAGGGGAACTCAGAACCTGGCCAACTTATCCCCGCCCCCAAGTAACGTTGCCTACTCAGTTGAACAGAGTAAACGACTGGGAACCTCGGTTCGGTGGTGTACGTCAGTCTGGGCAAATATCGCGTACCCTTATATCATTATCAGAACGGTGGGACGCAGGGCGAGTCCAGGACCTCGTCATCACTGGAAGCCAAGTAGTCATGTTGCGTCCAATACCAAACTACCTAACTTTACTGAACATGCGCCATCTCCTTGCTAAGCTCCCAGAGCCGTTCTTCTCCCTCTTGGTTATAAGCATAAGGCGCAAACCCATACTCCAAGCCATCCCCATCGCTCGGGCACGGCCTCACCGACATCGAAGCCATCTCCAGATACAGCCCTCCCCTCCCCTCCAGTTCCCCCGAGACAGCCCCATAAACGCTCGTCGCGCAGGCCTGTTCTACACTTGAAAAGTACCTCTGCATCCTTGGATCCTTCAACACCGCCTCCATCTCAGCGGCGGAGTGCTTCTGCAGATTCGGGCTCGTGAAGGAACCCGGGTGCACCGCGTAGCCGTGCAGGCCTTGGGCCCCGTAGAGCCGCTCAATCTGGTTGGCCATGTAGATGTTGGCCGTCTTGCTGGACCCGTACGCGAGCCAGCCGTTGTAGGCGCCCTCGCCCTCGAAGTTGATGTCGTCGAACCGGACTTCGGCGTAGCGATGGCCCGCCGAGGAGACGTTGACCACGCGCGAGTGGAACGACGGGGTCGAGCTGGCGAGGAGCAGGTCTTTCAGCAGGTAGAATAGGAGAAAGTGCGACAGGTGGTTGGTCATGAACTGCAGCTCCACGCCGTCCTTGGTTCGCGTCTCTGGCGTGTTCATGACCTGGCTCGCTCACGGGGTTAGAAATGCGACTGACTGGATGCATTATGCAGAGAGGGGCAGGCCGGCTTACAGCTGCGTTGTTGATCATGATGTTCAACCCGCTGCTCTGCTTGCGGAACTCATCAGCGCAAGCCCGTACGCTCGCCAAATCCGCCTGGTCCATCACGAGCAGCCGCACGCGCCCAGTGTCAAGCAGCGCCGAGCCAAGCGCCTGCTTGCCCTTCTCGAGGTTGCGGACCGTGCCATACACCATCGCGCCCGTCATGGCGAGGGCACGAACGGTCTCGACCCCGATGCCGGACGAGACGCCCGTGACGAGCACGACCCGGTCGGCCCACGACCCAGCGAGATTCTCGTCGTGGACGACCTGGCTGCCAGTGGGACGTGAGTCGCCAGGGCCGTTCATGGTTTCCCACCTGGCGCGCTCGGCGTAGCGGCCGGTGAGTTGGAAGGGCGTCTTGGAGACGAAGGTCATGGTGAATGCGGGTAAGCACTCGCTATCTTGAGGGATGATTGAAGAGTTGCGACGTAGAGTAAGGAGGTCTCAAGTGCTGTAGGGATTGGCAGCCGGCAGGAACGCCTTGTCCGGAAGGGAAGAGCTAGAGAAGATGAGGTGCAGGATGGGATCACGGAAGTGCCGCCACGTAGGGGGCACAGCGTATAGCTATTGCGGCACAGCAGGTGCCCCTGGCCATTTACCCCTGAAGGGCCGGTAAGGCCGGGGTTTCTGGGAAAGGCGTCAATAGTAATGCAGGCGTTCTCCACACCACCATCGAACAAGAAGTCCTACAGAAGGGTCAAGTCATTCGAGTCTGGGATATCACCAACACTGTACACAAGCTGGATACACGGCTATGAAGGCAAGTCACCTTTCAAGGTATTCTCACGCAAGCAAGCAGCATGGTGTTGATAAGTAGGAGGACGAGATCGCAACCACGCAAAACTCAACCAGACCCAGAGAGAGCGAACTCATGAATGATATTGGGTGCCTGAATAACATACGTAGAAGCTAAGGTATTACAAGCAAAAGAGTACGGACAGGCAATGACCATGCGGTCCCGTCCCATGGCCTCCCCTTCCGATCGTCTCTGACAGGCGCCGGTGTTTGGGCCCGAGTCCATTCCATCCGAGTCGGCCATCAAGGTTCACGCACCACCTCATGGCCAACTTTTTTTCCGCTGAACGCCCCTAGCCACGTGGTCAAAGCCAGATCAAACCCCTAGTTGTAGTCTTGATGGCCTTTATATACCCTGGTGAAAACAAATGAGCTCTATATACGTAACGATGGGGTGGTGCTTTAGAGGAAGTAGTAACAAACAACCAGATCGACAAGTAGCAAGCGTATGGTAACTTTGAAAAACCTTCGACGATTCGGATGCAAGACGGCACAAGACGTGCTTTTTGGATCGCGTGAGAATGAAGCAGTGTTTTGCGCCTGTTGCATCAGGGGGGGTAGCCGTTACGGCGGCCCCTTTAATAAGTTTCGTGATCGCGTCAACCCTACCAGGTGGAGACCGGGACAAATGACTGTCGATTCGCATAGTCTTATCGACTAGACAATGGGGCCGCCGGTTGCTCCAGCCCTTCATCAGATTCCGACTCGAATTCGCTTTCGCTCATGCTACCGTATCCGGTATCAGTATCGATATCCATTCCCACAATGCCGCGAGTTACGGCTATGCATCGTTCGACCATTTGATGTCTCACATCCGGCTCAAGACCGCAGTCTTTCCCGGTCCATATCCTCAAAGTGCCCGATAGTCGTTCAAGGGTGCCCGCACAGGCTTCGGCAGCAAACTCATGGGCCGCGAGACGATCCATCAATTTGAAGGTCGCTGTATAGCCGAGTAGTCCCATATCACAGACAGGGTGAATCTGATCAATCACACCGTATATATCCACCGGCTCGTCGGGCGGTGAGAATTTCTGAAGGTGAGCAATGGCCATTGCACACAGAAGAGAGGTGCGAATCTCGGTTGTCACCATCAGAGAAGTTGGGAGTTCCTTGATTGGAGTCGAGGCGGTCAGGTGCTCAGTAGAACTCGAGGCGTTGGATGACAACGCTGCTGTCACCGGGCCAATAGCTTGCAGTGCCGCCATGATGTTGATGTTTCGCTTCTCGTCAAAAAGCAATGCGCGTGCTACCAACGCACGGTGCTGTGCCACGGACCCGATCGGTGCCGTCCTGATGGCCAGAGACACATCGTCTTCAACGAGTTGAGTCGGATCCGTGTCACCATCCTCCTGCAGAAGACTGTTTGTGAGTGCACTCTGCAGTGTCATGTTTGACCACCAAGCGGCAACCGCGTCCATTGGTGAACGGACCGCGACATCGTCTACAACCGTCGACATGCCATCGGCACTCCCAATGGCACGCTGTTCAGTAGGGTGGTTCCAGGCGAGGTTGTGCGCCCGCTGAACAATGCTTTGGTTCAGGACCTCATCACAGTCCTGCTCAAGCAGCGCAGCCAGATGATCCGGGAGGTCATCGTCCGACTGTTCCTGGCCCCCGCGGCGAAGCTGGGTCAAGATTCGGTGCAGTTGCTTCGCTTCATTCCAATTTGCCCTAGCCAGCTTCGAAGCAAGGGTGTTGAACACGCCGAGCTGAACGCCGGACAAACTGACCTCCCACAAGAGGACTCGAATATGTAACGCCTTGAGCATAAGACGCAACGGGGTATTGGGAAGCGTACCGGAGGCCAGAAGAGTCAACGTCAGCCGGCTTTTGCTGATCTCGACGTCGCCTCCAGCCAACTGAGCATCCAGAGCAATTGTCCAGGCCTTGACCCGTGCAATCTCCTGATCTTCAGTAAGCCCCGTAAGCAGCTGATAGCCATGGACACCAATAAGATTTCTTAGGCTGAGCTTCATCGCCTTGAGACCAAGAGCGGCTGCCTCGAGAAAGAAGTTGTGTCGTGGGACCCAGACAGTCTGGATTGCCGTGAGCCATGCTTGTCGGCGGACATGGATGGGAGAAGCAAGAGACGGTACTGCTTCGAGTGATGCGGTGACTGCTTTCGAAGTCTTCGGATTCGACGGTCTGGGCTCCATGAGTGAAGGAAGCAGTGCCCACCACAGACTACACAGCAGCAGTACCACCTTGATCGAATAGATGACCTGAGCACCGGGAACAGAGTAGCCCATGAAGTTGACGTTCAAGGTCGAAGTGAGGAACCGGAGTAGGTGTATCGGTACGGCGAAGAGGCCGCGACCGTCTGGCGTTTCGTTGCTTTGCTCGTTCTCGCGGACAGCTTCCAGTAACATCAGCCCGGCGAGTGATCCGACCATGAGCTTCCCGAAATAGGGACCTGCATTCCGCCATCCCCTCGCATGCATATGTTGCTGCTGCTGTTGTTGCTGGATCTGCTGCTGGCGGACCATGGTGGGATTGGGTCTGTAGGATTGTTGTGGTACCGGATATGGCTGTCCAGCGGCCAACTGCGCAGCCAGGATACGCTTCATATCATCCGGCACATGAATCATGCCCTGGGGATCAGCACGGCTGCCGGGAGCGACTATAGCCGAGTGCACATAACCACCGGATTCTTGCGAATATGGTGCAGGCGTCGCCGGGGGTACCTGTTGCAGAGGGCTCATGGCACCGTTCAATGCACCGGCCATGAACAGCTTTTCGAAGGCGGCTATCCGTTGCTGCATGGCCGAGTTATCATCCATCAGCCGCGAGTTGCGCTTCTCCAAATGACGGATGTATTCGGTAGCTTTGCTTAAGACCTGTATAGAGTTTAGCCACAACGTTCAACGCTCATCTCCAGGAGCAACGGCAACTAGTTGGCACGCACCGTTGCCTTGTTTAGCTTATGCGCGGGCGTTAGCCCTTGCAATTCCTCGCGGTCTTCGGTGGTGTCTTCTCCTCGCGCACTCTTGGACATGATCCGTAGACTCGGCACGCTGTCACGCAAAGCTGCTATCTTGTCATTGAGATTGGTGCGGTATCTTTTCTCTATCATGTTATGCGCTGTCTTCTTCACCGGGTGGCCGTCGAGGTCATCGTCATCGTCGTCATCGTCCAGATCGGCCGACGACTTTCGCTTGCGACTGTTTGATTTCGACATGTCCTCGGGTGACGATGAAGACGATTTGCCCATTTCCCCCCCTGAACCCGGACTCGGCTCACTCTTCGGAGAGCGGTAGTGGATGCTGGAGGGCATGGCAATCTTCTGCAGGTGATGGCGTTGCTCGTGGCTCAAAAGATTCGGAGGCGCCCTCGTTGCGGTTTGTAGACTCTGTAGAGGTGATTCCGGGTCCGGGGAGGCGACTGGTCCGGCCGTCGAATAGGCGGTCCCTGGTCTGAGGTCGAGTGCCGACGGTGGCAAGGTGACTGGTGGCTGTTCAGAAAGGCCGTTCCCGACCGGCGTCTGTTGGCTCAGACCCCATTCATCTTGGTAGAAAGGGTTTGCGCTGTATGTGTCGTAAGGAGGATTGTCTTGAAATGCCCAATTGGGGTCGCTGAAGAATTGCTGGTTGCTGCTGGCGCTGGTGGTGGACGGCGCGTCGCGGTCACTACCGGCGCTGTGGGCGTTGTAGTAGGGGGCGTCTGTGTCGTCGAGACCAAAGAGGTCGGAGGGATCTTGGTGGTTGGCCATGCTGGTGCTGGTAGGATCATAAGATGCTGCAAGTGTGGTTCGACATCAGCGACACGGCTCAGTCCAGCTTCAGCCGCTCTCACCAACGTCGGGGCGGGAGAGGGGTGACGGTGCTCGAACGGGGAAGGGGGCACGTTGGAGCCGGGGGGTTGACGGGGTTGACGGGGTCGACTGGGTGCTTCGTCGTCGATGGCCTGATCGAGTGGACTAAAGCGGTAGGTATATGAGACGACTCGAGAGCTCAGAGGATGGGCATTGGGGGATCGCGGACGAGTCGAGACAGAAGCGATCGATATGGGATGGCAGATTCTGAGATGGGAAAGCTCGCGGCCGTGAAATCGTACGATGTCTGGACAAATCAGGGTCGACGGCCAGAACCCCCCAGCTGGCACCCCCCACCTCGAGACCTGCCACGCAGCCACTCTGCCACCCGACGCTGCGGCTACTGCGTCGCTATCACGTCTCGGGCATGGCCGGCTGTGGGGCTGTGGGGCTGTGGGGCTGTTCCAATGTTTGGCGCTGTCAATAGAAAAGCAACTGCTAATCATCAGCCACAACCTGCTCTAGAGAGCTGAGAGCCACCGGCCATCCGGGCATCACCTGGCATCGTCGATAGGGGCCCGATTTTCATGACTCGTGTTTGCAATGTTGCTGCAAGCCTTCATTTGTAGATTGTCACCCACTGCCCGAGTAAATCCCCAGAAGCCGATGTCATACCTTGCCACCGATCAATAATATGGTCCGTTGTGGCACAATCCTCTTTTACGGCGTAGTCGCGTCGACCAAACTGAGACAGTGAGACCTGCATCACTGGACATGTGTGATGTGGCTTGTAATCCGGCCGAGAGTCAACCGCCGGCCTGTCAGCCTGTGTGCCAATTGTGTACTGACTGCACCCTCAGCTGGAGCTCGATCCTGGAGTAGACCTACGCCATCGTGATCATGGTTCTTCAGTGCAGCCCTCTTTCGCGCGAATCCCCAATCATCCTCTTCGCCAACTTCTTCGGCCTGTTCGGACTCGGACCATCTTTCAACGCCGTCCATCAGAGGCACGAGCGCCGAGTCCCTCAAAATAGCTTGTCTCCGCGCCTTCACCATCGACACCACCAGTAGCGCGGTCGTGAGCACAGTCTTGGCTGTGGCCCGCAACCGTTAGCTAGGCCCGCCGCACATGGCGCGTCTGCCTCTTGATGGTCTTGGTAATAGTCCAGTCCCGGCGCGACGTTCAGGTCGTCGCCCGGGTCGCGGCCCCGGATCTGGTCCGTCACGGTTGCGGCGAATTCGTCGGCCGCCGTAACGAGATTTGATTTGAACAGGCAGGTGTTCGGTGGATGGATCAGCCGCTATCCGCTATCCGCTGCCCCTTTCGAGACCATCTGGTTAAAGGCGAGCGACGCGAAGTCTGTAGGATTTGCGACGGCATCGCAGGACGTCGTGTACTGCTAGCCCGTTCAGCCGGACGCCATGTGGTACGTGTCGGTGGGCTCCAGGTGTACAGGGCACCGGAGCCAACCTACAGACAACTCCGAAAAGGCGACGCTGTGGGAGACCAGGTCGCACCAGTTACACTGCACCGCGAGAACATGTACTTCGGGGCTCTTGCTGACATCGCTAAAGTGTCGCCATCCCGAAAAAGACTTGGTGGGAGTTGTCAACGGTCGTCGTTGCTAGTGTTACGTGCAACTTCACACCTTATATTCTTTGTCCAGCCCTCTTTATGGCTTGCCTGGGGACAACAAACGGCCCGCTCCGGGAAAAAATATCCCAGGATAAGTTCGGGCTCTGGCTGAACTGGCTTTCGATTATTATACGCTTCTATCCAGAATTGAGAGACGAGAGACTGTTGCTGCTGATGCGGGAGTTATCTTTCCACTTTGAGTGTTGATGCAAGATAGGGGCTGAGTTGCAACCAGCGATGTACCTACCCTCACTATTTGGCGGCGAAACCGTCTCATCCCAAGTCGAGGGCAGAAGTGGTGAAACATTTGAAATATATAGCCCGTCAAGCAATTCCTTTGCACGGTTTGGCTGGAACATTGCTGCTTCGCAGAAATCAGCCAGGCCTTGGGCTCTTAGTCCAAGAGACCGACCTGTTGTTTCTACCATGCTTCCCTATCAATTATCGGTTCTTTGGGTCGTTGTTGCAGTGCGGTATACCAATGCCGTTGACTCGCTCATTGATCTTGGCTATACGGAATTACAGGGTTCTGCCGGAGCTGTCGGCATCACACAACAGCTCGATGTTGCCTTCGCGGCTTCGCCGGCAGAAAGCCTGCGCTTGGCGGCTCCGATCGATCCACCTGCGAAAGGGGGTGGTAGTTGATGCCACCCATGCAGGCAGTCAGCGAACGCGGTCATTGACATTCAAAGCCGGTTTGGGGATAGTTCAAATCAATGTGTCTTCCGTGATCTGACTCGGACTTTACGATGAAGCCCAATGAGCGGTTCAGGGTCGACGAGTATTGCCTCTACGTCACGAACTTTGCTACATCAAACGTGCCCGACCGCGAAGCTCCCGATGATATACCTCGCCCAAAGCGGTGGCTTTCAGTCGAATTCGAACGCGAACTTCAATGGGAGGGTCTGTCGATGTTCGGCAATTTTTTTGGTGTCCAGGTGGCTTCCTGCAACGTCAGGAGGTGATGAACAACGGTAGTTTAAATCGGCCTGATGGACCAAATCCAGGGAATCAACTAATTGAAGCCACATGTCGGCTCTGTAAGCTTCGAAGGATTCTTATGAATAGATGCGTATTCACTGACAAGCAACAGTTTGGAGGAGGTCCAGACGACATCGTCGAGTTGGCGATTCCGCCGGTGTACTCTCTGATCTTCTCCTGGTGATGGCATTCGCCGAGGACAACCCAGGACTCATGAAAGACACGATCATGGATTCATCATCGATAGCAACGCTGCGCACTTAGAATACCTCCAGGGACAATACAACTGCCTCGTGAACGCTACAGGCTGCGACGAATGCCAGACACCCTCGCCTGTCTACGCTCGGTTCCAGCAGCCAGCTTCCTAGCCGAGGACTGCCAGTTCAACGCGCACCTTGACGACCTCATTAGGGAGCCTATTCTCGACGCATTCGCAGACGGAAATACTTGCGCATTCTCACGATCGCAGACTTATATATTGACGAGGGTACGAAGAACGTGCCGCTGGATATTGACTACGGTGCAAGCCCTCGAATCACTTAACAACCAGGCATACGGTGCCCTCTTCAACGCGGTCATAGTCCCCCTGACGATGGAATACTGGACCTGGTTCGTCAAGACGCTCGATCCGAACGCGATGAGGCTGGAGGGGGCGCGAGAGGCTGCGGTTCATGATGGATGACACAGCTATGGGGACGATGTATGAGGTGCAGGCGCTGAATTGCGTACTGGTGACCCCATGATTACGGTGCAGGGTAGTTTGCCGCGAGCGTCGTGCTGGTCCAGATGTCCCACCCGGATCAGGTGGCGCTGACAGCTGCTGGGGTGGGTACCTATGCAGCGTCCTGTGAGTGCCTCTGACAGTGCCGAGGCGGCGATTAGCAGGGCACTCAGTCTGAGGGCTGGCAGGCCGGCAGTGGTGATAGAGGTGGCCCTGAGTTTGAGTTTCGGTGTTATCTATCGTGGTCATGTGTTGACCATGAACTTGGCACGCAAGGAAACTGCGTACCGCCTGGCTCTCTTAGCTAGGTCGAGGCCTCGTGGGCGACATTAGACTCGGACGAGTCTGCTGAAGTATTTTTTGCGCTTCTATTCAGCTCAAGCCATCCTCCAGAGAGTTTCAATGTGGCTATGATGACTCAATGACCCGATTCATGAACACTATACGTGTCCGCTTTTCGTCAGTGATCGTTGGTAGCCTTTCGGCGTTCAGAGTAACAGACTCTAAGTTGCGGCCAAGCCGTGAGTATGGCTGATTTCTAAGTTCTGGGTTAGTCATATGGTAATATTAATTCGTATACTTGCTGTGTGTCGGCTCCAGTGGATGCCTGGGTGCACTCGTTTCCCGGTTGTGCGCTTGACAAGAGCGATGTACGCTCTCAATCCATCTCGAATATTGCCAATACGCATTACGGTATTTGCGAGCGTCAAGTGACAAAGATACAAAAGACATATACTGGACCCGAACATATCGGGTACAGAACCTGCGGGCCCGACCCTCCCCGCCATGTGAGGAAAGAAAATAACTCAACAGCTTGAGGACTAGAGAGTTTATAGATAGTTACGCCAATTTGATTCCTACGTACAGCCAAAACTCGTCAAGAGAAACTAACTACTCACGATCAAATAAAGTAAAATAAATCGTCTTTAAATTCCGATATCAGAAGCGTCCGCTGGCTCCCAGATATCTTCTCATTGGATAGGCCGGTTTGTGGATATGTGTCTCGGGCTTGGTGCTTGAGATCAGCAGGGGAACAACCCCTGCGTAGTTGCGCGATCACGATATGCCAACGGCAGAATCAATCAGAGGCTCTAATCTTGCTCTCGCACATAAGAATATACTGCCTGTACCTCATAGCAAGGTATGGCAGGCCGTAGAGTCACCTGCATTCGGCGATCAGCCTTATGGGGCTACCCTAGAACTGCCCTAACCTTAGAACGTGAGCCGCTGGCACCCGCTGCAGCGTTCAGCCCTACGCGCTGTGGGCCCTGAGCTTAATCCAAGTACGGTCCGCCCCCCTTTTCATTGCTAAACGCCGACGCCAGCCCTTCGGGTAGTCCAACCCGTCAGATAGGAGACAGGCACCAGGTAGCCACATGTTCGATCCCAATAGCAATATGGGCAACCATTGAAGGACTCACCTTTACTGGGAATGAGGTTTGCATGAATCGTACACTGGTGACCAGCTTTCATCCCCTCGGACCATGCTCTGAATAGATCACGAGCACATCCGCGTCCCCATCTTCAAGAATAGACTTCATTAACAATTTCTTTCTGCGGCAAAAGATGTCGATTTCAAGCCAATGCTGTCCTGTGAACGTGCTCAAGTCCGTCATATAGGCTTTGAACTGCAATTTTCGTAAGCCACCTTCGGGTCTAAAGTCCACCCGCAGTGTCGTCCATGAGTAAGGTATAAACTTTGAACCCGAACCTTCTGCTGTCCTGTGGACACAATTAAGTCTCAAGATGAGGCGTTTTCAAGCCCAATTTGCCATGACCACCCGATAGGTACACAGCAGAACTAAAACTGTGTCCTCTGCTAAGTTTTTTCGGATTGCCTACAAAAGGCAGTGCTGGTTATGGTCTCTCCCTGTTTCCTCCCTCTCTTCTTCACTATCGTCCGTCGCTCTATCCCACTGAATACGCTTGTCAACGACGGTGTTATTCAACCATTCCAACACTCACACACTCAAACAAACCACACACAGAGTGTAATCTCCACCGTCACTATCCTTCTTCACCGAGAAGAAGCTGTAAGTACTCCGAGGGCATAGAATGCACTGTTTCCATTGCTGATCCTCATCTCAGAGCTGTGAAACAAAACACACACAGAGTGTAACCTCCACCGTTACTACCTTCTTCACCGAGAAGAAGCTGTAAGTACTCTGAGGGCATAGACTCCACTGGTTCCATTGCTGATCCTCATCTCAGGACTGTGCTCTCATCATCGTCGAGATCATCATCTCCGATCCACCACCATGCCTTCGTCCAAGAGCCAGTACAGACCCGCCCGTGGCTCTGCATCGAAGCAGGCCCGAGGCAACCCCGGTCTCAATCTCAGCCAGCTGCTCGAGGAGCTCGCAGCTGAGCTGCACCAACACAAGCAATACAATATCGATGTCGACACATACCAATCCACAGGCGTCGAGATGACGCAAGTCCATGCCGTCGAGATGCCGCAAGCCCAAGACTTCGACACATACTTCGATATGATGGATGTCGATCCCCAAGACCAATTCGCACGTGACGTCCCTGTCGCCACCTTCTATCCTGCAGAGATGGACCTTGACACCCCCGAGGTCAAAGCTGCCATCCACAACAATCGCCGCCGCTCCAAAGCCAAGGGCAACAACGCACGCCACCAGAACAACCAGAACAACCAACACCACCAGGGTAAGACTAGAGTTGAGCGTGAGGGACGCCGAGCTGCTCCTCAATGTCCTCGAAACCCAAAACCACAGAGCAAGGAACAAGTCAGCTTCCTTGGCTCTCACCGCGTTAAAAAGCCCGCCGACAAGCCAAAACAACAACAAAGACGACGGGGCAAGACACAGTCCGCCCGCCGCAACTAAAATAAAAACAACAAAACACCACAAAAAAAAACCACCACAGCGATTTGAACACAGGGACGTTTGCAAATTCGACATCATCAAAAACACAAAAAGCTCCAAAACAATCAACGCCACAAAAACCCACCCACGGCAATATCCTTTTTCGAGTCGAGTCGAAGCGATACGGAGAAGTGAAGGTGAAAACGATCGGTCACCCACAGTCTACCCACCCACCCGCGATACTTTACTGGTTTTCCCCTCGAGCACCGAGGTTTCCCAGTACTCGACAAACACTGCCGGCGAATGCGTATCAGCCCCAGGACTACCCCAGGCTGTAAGAGAATCATCACATCTCCAGCCTCTTTTAGGTATTCAGCTTAGACTCATCAATGTCACACGAGGGACGCCTCGTGGCCTCTTTACCCACCACGCACTCGTGCGTTCGTATGCCTTGACGTGACAGTAGTTTGACGTGATGTAATTTGTATCGTGACTTGCATCCTCCCTCCATCGTAGGTCTTAGAGCGCATCGTAGACCTCTGTAGGAAGGCACTCGCCAACCCCGTCCCGTTCAGTCTCGTTTCGTCCCATGGACGCAGCTCTTCGTGGACGTCGCGATGCACGAGGGAATAGCCACTCAAGTGCGCGCCCAAGGAGGCAAAGCCCATGGATTCGCTGGGAATGAGGCGGACGTAGAGGTAGTTTGCTGCGCCTGCTACGCGCGGTTCGCCAAGTGTCGTTGTTCGCTGGCGACAACATGAGGTCGTGAATCGTGAATCGTGATGGAAATGGTCGTGGGAGGTCGTTGATGGCCCCGCCGCTATGGAAGCAGGTATGAGACAGGTTGCCATCACCACGTGATCGATTCCGCAACGATCGCTCCAGGGGCAAGCGTGTTCCCTTCCCGCCTCATGCTCGTGCCCAAAATACTTCGACGAGCGAGTGAGACTCGGGCCATGCATTGGCCAGGCCACTTGGGCTGATAGACAGGCGATACCTACGACCGACTTGCAAGTTCGTCCTGGCTGCTCCTTTCGATAACCCGACTTAAACCTGCGGACCGGCCATAGCTCCTCCAGCTCGATCCGTGACTGTTTCCAGCGATGAGAGAACACAGGCGAGGAACAATAACCGCGAAAGTAGTTACCCGAGGGCTGGGATAGCGAGACATAGCCGACATGCCAATCTTATCCTACCTAGGTAGGGTTCCGACTTCACTCCCTCGACCAAGACAGCGGGGGATGACTACCTACTTCACAGCGACGGCAACTTACCTAAAAGCCGGCGATGATGACACAAGTTGAATGCCGGTCCCGAAGAATCGGGATGTGATGCTACCTCCCTTCAATACCCGTACCACAGACATGGCATCGGGAAGCGGGAAGCGGGAGCGGCAGGCGGCAATGCACACCTACAAACAAATACCCATCACCATCACCACCCACCAGCCTCAACGCGTCCTCACAAACACAATATGCGCATCCGAAAAGCCTCCTCGGTTCTACCAACAAAAGCTCGCCTCTCTCTCCTACGAGCATCAAACAGGACCCGTCCGTCCGCCCGTCCGCCCGACCGACCGACCGACCGGGAGGCAAGTCGCACCGACCAGCTGCACACACGTCGACGGCCGTCGCACCAGGAGGCCGCGGACGCCTCATGTCCGCACTGACTGACCACGGCGTAAGACTCTTTCGCTTTTCTCGACGCGCAAGGCATTGATCCCCCCTATCAGTATCCAGTCAAGCGAACTAACTAACTAGATAGTGCCATGACCCAATGACCCAATGACCGACGACAACAGCACGGAGTGGAGGATGAAAACTACCAGCCACCCAAGACCAGATTCGGCAGACAGAACTTGCAGGCGTAGTCAATATGCGTTGCACTTCAGTATGCGTATTCGTCATTATGTACACCACGGATCCAAAGGGGCACCTCAAGTGGGCACATAAACAAGTACCTAAGTCCAAGAACAACATCCGTTCCGTTTGGATATCAGATCGGGCTCCCAAAAATCATGTCATCATGACTCCCACTGTTCATGACTTTGCAAGCCAAGCTCACATGAGAAGGTTCACTCTACTCGCCTAGGTCTAATGTCGACTTTCCCCCAATCCGTGAGTCTGAAGGTGGCCATCACACCTAGACGAGTAGCCAAAGTTTTCGACCAGCCCCATTGCAGCTTTATAGTTCAGGCCCCTATTCCCCACTCCAACGGCACAGCATACATATACGAGTCTAGCAAGTCAGTATGGTAGCCGGGTTGGTACGACCTAGCGGAGTATCCTTACAAGTATCCTTAGGCACAGCGGTTCGATTCCTCTAGCGGTTGAAATGACTTTTCTTTTTGTTATTGACCATCCCCAACCTAAACTCTTTCCTTCTTCTTTTCGTATTGAGTTAAGCCACCTTATGCACCAACTAATCGCTTACCGTTGTTCTAAAGAAAGTTGTTCTAAAGAAACGTTCACTTGAGTGTGTATTGTTTACTTCCGTCAATCAACGGTACTGAAGTTTTGGCCGGGTCGATGGAGAGGAAAACCAGGCAGCCAGAGCTGGAAGCCACGAGGAAAGGGGTTCAAGGGAAGGCGGCAAACCATGCCGCCGTCAGATCTAGACATGCAATATTACTTTGTACAAGAACATGAAATGCAGGAATACACAACCAGTAGAGAAGTAGGACGCCGCAGTGCGTGTCTCGCAATACTTTATCAGAAGTGGCTTCACCAAACGTATCGCGATCAAAGATCACTCAGAACAAGTCATCGGGGACATCTAAGATGTTGGGAGATTTGACAACGTTGAATAGTCAGACCCTACATAAAGTGAGACGTATCTCGAATCAAAGCGAAGAGAAGGTCTGGCCCTGAAGAACCCGAGTCATACTGATCGTGGCAGATATTTTGGATATATCCCTGTTCATTCATTCCACCCATCCTTTCCATCCATTCACCCATCCCTTCGAGTTCAGCAAAAGAACGCAAAGACAAAAGCCATTGTAAGACTCCGATTCACCGAGGGGTGCTATATGCTGCCTCCTTGTACCTATCCGTCCATGTGTGGTGAGTTGGTGAGTGACCGACCTGAACCTTTTCTTCCTCTGCAACTCAGTTTACCTGATCCCAATGATGACCATGACAGGAGTCAAGTTGGCAACATGGACACGTATCGTATCGTATCGTGAAAAGCATTTCCGTTTCCCCATGACCAAAGCCCCGGATCCGATGGTGGTGGTGGCACAAGATTGTCCTCCTGGTTTGACAATCGACAAGCGTAGGAGTGAATCACTGGACTGAGTCTGGGCACTTCAAGTCAGGTCCGAGGTACTTGAACATGATGTTTCTGAAGTCGGATTCGTCGACGACAGCACCGCTGCCTCCGCATCTGGCCTTCTTTTGGAGGTCGGAGCAGAGACCATCGAGGTCGAGGTCCCCGGATTGGACCTTGGGACATGTTTGCAGTTGCTCCCTGTTCAAGTGTCAGCACGCTGATGAATCTGATGAATTCATGTCTCGCAGAGCTGTGAATAACTTACCATATGTTGCCGCATGTGAGGAGCTTGCCATTGGGCGCATACACGCCCTTGGGCGCAGCTACAACTGTATCATCGGCCTCCTTCGCTGCATCAATCTCGGCGCAAATGTCCTTCTTTGGTTTGGTGGCACTCGTGTTCGGGACGTTGAACGGCGTCGTAAAATCCATTTCGAAGGCATCATTGAAGAAACTGTCGTCGAAGTTGGTGTTGGCCAAGATGTTGTCTTGTGGCTCGCGGTAATCACCGAACAGCTGTGGATCAAATTGGCCGCCATTCTGTTGAGACAGCCAGTCAAAATTGCTGAAATCGATGTTGCCGAGACTACTGTTGCCAAGGTTGCCGAAGCCTGTTACGTTTGTTAGCAATCAAGCAGCACATCATAGCCCTAGACCCGCAACGAGGATATCCAATATGCAACTTACTAGACGTGGCAAGACTTGTCAGACCTGGCTGCTCTTCACCAATGGTAGTCAGTGTTTCCAAAGGCTTGAAGCCAAGTGGTGACTGTGAGAATGGCTCCGGAGACGTGCCGCAAGAAGAGCTGGGACCCGTGTGAGAGTTTGTTGACGAAGAAGGCGACCCAGCGTTCGCCCCATTGGCACTGTAGTGAGCAGAGTCCAGGCTCGTCCTGGAGCCGCTGGCATTGTAGGCATTGTCGTAAGGAGACGAATTGCTGTAGATGCCAGAAGATTTGGGGAGGTCTGAGTTTTCGCGGGTCTCCGTGGAGCTGGGGATAGCTTGGTCCTTGGACTTCTCCATGGGACTGGTCTGACCGTTCGGACTGTTACCCGACGATGGGGAAGGATATGCCGATGCTCGCTTGGCTCCGCCAGTACCAGATGCTGCAGGTCCGGGAAGAACACCAAATTTCGGGAACTCGAATTGGAAGTTGACATCGTTGATATTCTGCACAGCAGCGGTCCCAAAGCTGTTGTTTCGCGGAACGCCACCAGACGCCGACCTTGAGTTGGTGTTCACGATGGACAGCTTCTTCTTATACTGTTCCAACTCGGCCGTCATCTTCTCAACCTGACTGCGCAGTTGACTGTTCTCGTTGTTTCTAGCAGCTGATGCCTTTTCCAGCTCCTCAACCTTCGTTTCGAGGTCTTTTAGGTGCTTCTCCTTACGCTCCCGAAAGGCGCGTTGAGCAGCACGGTTCTGGGCCTTTCTTTTCTACCATTGATGTCAGTACTTGTGGTGTTAGAGTCGCATTCTCTTGGTACTCACCGAAGTAGGCTCATTCGTGAGTGGCTTACGGCCTGGCTTCTTCGAAACCTTGCCTTCACCCTCTCGTCTCTTGCCGCCGCCCTCCTCCTCTTCCTCGTCATCCTCATCAGGGTGACTTCTCTTATCTGAGCCATCGTTGTCGGGCGAGCTGACCTTGGAGCCGTCCTGTGAGCCTTCCTTCGAAGAGCTAGAACCTGGTAGATCTCCAATCATTTTTGCCTGGCCGTCATTGCTGAAATCGAAGTCGAAACTAGTATCGGGTCCCAAATCATAGTCGTAGTCTAGGTAGGGACTCTCTTGAATGGCATTGGAGGTGTCGGCTCCGGTGTTGTTCTTCTGTATCTGGGCAACAGGGGAGGTCGTCAGAGATCCGGGTGACAAGGACAGCTCATTGTTGAACTCATTGCCGTTGTTGGCGGGCTGGTTGGAAGTAAGAGCACGGAACAGTAGGTTCTGCTGTTGAGGGGTGAGGATGAAATTGGGAAGGGCGTTGGCTCGGGTCGAGGCCATTGTGATTGTTCCCTGGCAGAACCGGTTGATTGATAATCGAGATGTTCGCGAATCGATGGGGACAGAATAGGGTGTCGAAGAGCAGCCGATTGGTCTGGCTGGCGACCTCGAGTGGGAAGTCTCCGCAACAATGGACACGGAAAATGTGCTTTGTCAACAGCGTCTCCAATGTCAACCTTCAGCGGTGAGGAAGTGCCCTCTTCGTCAATGGCTACCGCGGACAATGTGTAAGAAAGAGCTCGCGGTGATACCAGTTGGATGATATGGTGGTGTTCCAGAACAACGAAGCTATGTCAACTTCAAGGGTCGACGGACGACGGTGGGTGGGTATGGACACTGGACGGTGAGGAATTGGCCTCTGGGATGTGGAAGCTGGATAGGTAGGCAAACGACGTGGAGGGGGAGTAAGGTTCGGCCGATAAAGGTGGCGGGTCCTAAGATCCTGCTGTTGGGATTTCTTTCAGAGTGAGAGTTCCTGTATGGACACTGGCAGCACGCCCCTATCAGCGGGTGTGTATGACGATTTTGGGAAGTCGACGAGGACTGGAAAGCGTGTCAGTGTTGACTCTGCAGGCGTGCGTGATGACTCTGTGGACGATAAGACGCTTTGGCGATGATGGAGGAAATGGAGAGAGGGGGCAGAAGACGGGCGGGTTTTCAGATTTGTAAGCCACCATAGTACATGTACCACAATTGGCCCGTGGTCGAATGCTGTGCCTCGAGAAGTCGAGCTGCCGGTGGCATGGAGGCTAGCAGTCTAGCAGTCTAGCAGCCTTGGCGGGCGATGGCCCCAGTCGGACTTCGGTCATACCGGACCACTGGACCTCACGAGGCCCGGGTGGCTGGTCGTGTTGAAAGCCGATGTTGGTATCGATGTATCTTGTCGCTTTGCCTGCTAGTGAAGCTACTTCCACCATATCATGCATTTCTTAACTCATATTCGACATCAGCAGCAACGACGCTACGTTCACACCTCCCGTCCCCTATCAGACAGATGGCATTCTACAGCGTCCATCACAATGTCGCTATCCACCTGCACCTTGGGCACGATCGATGGTCCAAGCACGGAGGGCATGAAGCGTTCATGAGTGCCGTGCGTAGCAGCATAAGTCTGTACATAAGGTAGAGGTGTCGCTCCTCTCTCATTGACTTCTCATTTCAACGTTGAGCTGACGGTTGCACTTGCAATCGGAACATCCTGACCGATACCCGTATCAGCAGATGATACATGGTGATGGCTGGATGACGACGGCTGGCAGCCTGGCGAGACGCTCGCAATTTCTGGCATTCCGGGCGGTGTCTGTGTTCCGACTGATCAGCATTCAGAACATCCCAAAAGATCCTATCGTCCACTGATGTGTCGATTAGAGCTGCCTCTTGCAGCCATCGACCAGTCTAGGCCCCCGTCAGCCGGAGGTAAGAAACGGTGTGCATTTTCGTACAGTGATCGCCATACTTCCATGCGAGCGATGGAAGATGCTCTGTGCTCTCAGCTGCGGTGTGACTCCTTGCCGTGCACAGCTGGACCCATCTTGCTATTAAGTTCCTGACAGCGTGGTCTTCGGACTACGGGTCAAGCAATGACTGGCCTCGGGGAGATGAATCCTTCAGACCGAAGAACATCCCCAAAAGGCAAAAGCCCATATGCATCGCACACACCACACTGTGATTCACTGCTGGCCACTTGACCCCCTCCTTGAAAGTTGAGGCAGTTTCGCAGGCATCAGTATGCGAGGGATACACTAAGCGTGCATGACTCAGGTGGATTGGCTTGAAGGGTCCGTCTCAATGAGGGGACTTCTGGGGAACGATATGGAATACTTGGCTGACTTTGGTGTCGACCAACATGAATGATACCTGGTTTACCACCAACTTTCACTTGAAGAGGTTGAATGTATCGACTGTCATACCGGTGAAGTTGCTCTTTTCACAAATCAGGCTGAAGCGGGATGCAACAAAATATTGGCGGGGGATCTCATGGATGGAGGGAGCATTTTGGGTTACGCAACTCACTGCCCAGGCAAACAGTCTAATCTTGGGGTACCTAGGCTCTTTCCGCGAACCAACATTTCCATTCACTGGTAACTTTGAGTCGTGATGTCGTGGTGCCTTGATGTCTTGAAGGCGGGTGTTGAATGAAGCAAGTCCAGAACTTAGAAAAGATGGATATCGACCGTCGCCGACATTGACAACTTGACATGTCCCTTTGTGGGTCCTGCTAAAAGGGGGTCCCTCATCCGCTGAGCCAACCACCATCCGCCCTACATCTGCCCACCACGCAGCCACGATACGATACGTCAACTGGCAGATCGATATCATCAGCCTCGTCACCTAGGTAATCTAGGTAATCAAAACTTCAACCACCATACTACTGCATCACGTCGATAGGAGGCTGGATCGGTGCTCAACCCGACGATTGCATCAGTGGTGCCACGCCGGAATAACTTACTGCAGAAGCGTGCATTCCACCGTGAACTGGACGTGCCGACAGCATCCCACGGTGTCTTCTGGCCTCGACCCCGAACCTTCGATGAATCCCCTGACCTGACGTACATCCCTCCACCATGGATCTCGCATACGATCACATCGCGGAAGAGTCCCTTAAAAGGGACAACCAAGCGGCCAACGACAAGAACGACAATAGAGAGTCCTCCGAGACGAAAGCCGAACCACAGTCGACGCTGAATGACGACATCCAAGCAGCATACAGCGCATTCTCGAGCAGCACCTGGGGCAGCTGGCTCGGCGGAACCGTGGGCAAAGTAGTCAAGCAGGTATGTCGGTGAACAAGCTAGTGTGGACTGGAGACCCTTCCAACATCGGAACTTGAAGGGGCAAATGTTGACATGGTTCCCACACCGCAGGGCGAGTCCGTCTACCGCGAAGCCAGCCAAGAAGTAACCTCCCTAGGCGTCGATGCGTCGCGGGGTCTCGCAAGCCTACGCGCGCGCGCCATCTCCATGACCGTGGCACCGACGGCCGAGTCCAGTGCCTCGCAGACAAGCGTCAGCCAGGATAAGGACAAAGAAGCTGGGTCTACAACACCGACGACGGCCAAGGCGACGACCTCGTCCCCCTCCTCCTCGGACGATGCGCTGCAGGAGTCCGAGACGACGTTCTCGCGCCTGCGGGCCGAGGCGGCCAAGCGGCTGAAGGACATCCAGCGCGCCGAGGACGCGGCCGACGAGGCGCTGCTGAAGTTCGGCGGCAACGTGCGGGACTTCTTCCGCGACGCCATCACGGTGAAGCCGAGCGCTGAGTCGGGCGACGGCGCGGACGGCCGGTTCGAGAGCAAGGACGAGGCCGGCAAGCGGGTCATACACACGTCGCGGTACGACGCGCAGCTGCACGTCCTGCACACGACCGAGAAGAGCTTCACCGAGGACCCCGCCACGGGCGAGTTCGTCGCGTGGGCCGAGGGCTTCGATGCCGAGGCCAAGACGGAGAGCATCAGCGCCGACCTGGCCAAGTACCCCGAGCTGAGGGCTAATATGGAGAAGCTCGTCCCGGACAAGGTGCCGTACGCCGATTTCTGGAAGCGGTACTACTTCCTGCGACACAGCATAGACTCGGCCGATGCCCGTCGCCGGGATCTCATGAAGGGTTGGTCATAATGTTTACTTCTTTTATTCATTTCATCTAAACTAATCTGCACACAGCCGCATCGGCAGAGGAAGAGATTGGGTGGGGCGAGGAGTCGGATGACGAGGCCGCGCCCAGCAAAACAGTAGAGAAGCTGCTCCCCCTGAGACCCGGCTCAACCGAGTCCTCGACTACCATCCACCCGCCCGTCGACAAGAGCCGCCTAAAGCCGTCCGAGCCCCGCAAGTCCAACGACGAGAAGTCCCAGGCCGACAGCGATACAAGCTATGACGTTGTGGGTGCCGCGTCCGGAAACCCGAGCCAGGCACCGAGCAGTCCCAAGGAGGCCCGGAAGGTGGAGGATAGCGATGACGAGGAGTGGGAATAATTATGCTCCTCCGAAGAACATGTATGGCCCTCGCGTAATAATGAGCTGCGGTCTTTGGTAATTCCTTGGGAGTTGTAATCGGCGCAGGTTGGGTTTCCATTGGATGGTGTCGAGGAAAGTATCGTCTCCTCTGCGACTCTGTATATCCTTTTCCTAGCAGCAGATCACTCAATATTGAAGCGCCGTACCGTCATAAGAGAGGGGAGCCCACCCACTCCACGATATGAATTCATGTCCCCCTATTCACCGCTTCTTCTTCGTGACCTTGGTGAACCCATCCTCATCCACCTCGGGCGGCGGCTTCTCCTTCACCACGGGCACTAGCGCAGGCGCCTCGCCCATCTCGACATCCGAGTCGCCCTCCTCCTCATCATCATCGTCGTCATCATCCGAGTCGACGTCATCCCACTCAGCCTCCTGGTTTTGTTCTTTGGCCTCGACGACGACCTTTTTTCCTTTGGTGTCGAGCCAGCGCCGGCGCAGGTCTTCTACGAAGGAAAAGTCGCCGGCGGCGCACCGGGCGCGCGCGTGCACGATGCGCGCCGCGACGTCGACCTCGGACTCGTCGTCGACGTTGGTCTCGAACTCGTCCAGCATGACTTGGAGGAGGACGGCCTCGACGTCTTCTTGGGGCGGGTCGTCGGGGATTTTCCTGGGGGTGGTGTTCGATTGTGATTTAGTTGTGGGAGCAGGTGTAGTGGAGGATTGGGCTTTGGCGGCGGTAGATTGAGCTTGCGCTTTGGCGACGTCGACGAGACTGGGGAACATGTCGACGATGGCACCCGCGAACCAGTCTCGCTTGTCGGCTGAGGAAGGGCCGCCCCAGTGGTTTTGTACGGCTACTGTGAGGGAGAGCCAGAGGTGCAGGCTTATGGCGACGGCTTGCTCGAATTGCGCCTGGCGGGCTTCTGTGTGGTGGGCGCGAGCTTGGGTTAGTTTCTTGTTTCTTGAATTATGTGATACAGTCACTCTCGAGCTTATGTGTGTTTGTACATACCTGGTGATGGCCCTGCTTGCGACGCCATATTTGACCAACAACTGTTGTATAGTTCTGTCGGGTGTGGTGTGCTGCGTACGCAAACTGCAAATTGGCCGATGGAGGGGTCGTGTCTCTGACACTGGCGATAAATTCTTTGGCGGCCTCTGTCTTCCCTGGTTCTGCCCGCAGCTACCGCACGGATGGGAGATTTGGGGAAGATTCGCGCTGGGTCTTGCCTCTACCGGCAATGATCGACGAACCATTTCCCTCATCGGGATTCCTGGCGATGGGCTAAGATGAGATGGCCGGGCGCGATTCAATAGATCACCGTTAATGACATCACATCCACTCCCAGGGCCTCGACCTGACTCTGGAGCCCCTCTGAGGCCTGACTCCCGTCTCGACCCCTTGAGCCATAGGCCACAGCTAGATGCGGATAGGAGGTCGTTAGCTCGACGATGCAACCCCGAGGGAAATATGTTTGTTTTCCTCTACTAGTAGGGAGTTGTCTGCTGAATTGTCTCGGTTTCTAGTTGTCGTTGTTGTCGTTGTTTTGTTGTGTTGCAGTTATCCTCACGGCTGACACCCAGTCCTCGTCTCTCTTTCATCATCATCATCATCCCCGGTTGGGTCCCAGCAGCCATGAATACCGCTACGGTGGGGATGGCGGTCACGCCCACCGTCCTGTCGACCTTCCTTTCGCATGTAAGTTATGTGTATGAATCCCGTCGCCGGTCCAAACATGCCATTATCTGCTCCATAGCAGCGACGTTACCCGACATCGGGATTGGAACGCCTGTTGCGTGGGGGCATTTGCGTTCAACGCGACGAAGCTTCTTGCCGCCAGTATAGAGTTCCAGGCTAACGTAGTGTCTCTTCTCGCCCTCGTAGTATCTCAACCGCAAACCGCTACGACAGCGACCTACCGCTCATCTCTCCTACGACGAGGGTCTGCACCTGATTCGATCGTTCCTCGCCTTTGCGTCGCATCACAGTGTCGAGGACCTGCAGGCTTTCACTGCCCAGTGGGTGCCGCATCCAGTATGGGTTTCGGTCGAGGAAGTCAACATCCCCGAGGACAAGCTCGTTGAGTCGGCCAATGTGCTTCAGGAGCAATTGGGTCCCGATGGTATCCGTAAGGTCGGAGGCCGGAATTGGTGGCAATGGCGGGGGCCTGCCGCCACCCCCTTGAAGTGCGAATGGATCGAGATGCGATCTGACTACAACGAGCGCAAGAGGACGGGTGACCAAGCCAAGAGGGTCATGCTCTACGTCCATGGGGGGGCCTACTTCTTCGGCTCTATCGACGAGCACCGCTACCAGATGCAGAGACATGCGCGCAAGCTCAAGGCGAGGGTCTTTGCCCCTGAGTATCGACTGTCGCCTCAGTTCCCCTTTCCGTGTGGCCTCCAGGACTGTCTAGCTGCGTACCTATACCTGCTTACGGTTCAGGACCCGACTACCATCATACTAGCCGGAGATTCGGCGGGTGGTGGCATGGTCGTGAGCATGCTGGTCACCATGAGGGACCGAGGCATTCCTATGCCTGCGGGTGCCATCCTGATCAGTCCATGGGTCGACTTGACGCACTCCTTTCCCAGTGTTGCTGGCGATTGTCCCTTGGACTATATTCCACAACACGGGTTTCATCACAAACCATCCAAGGCATGGCCGCCGTTGAATGCGGACGAGTACGCCATCTTGAAAGACCAGATAGCTAATAACACCAAGCCCGGCCTGACTAAGCTCATGAAGCCTGCTGCAGTAGACCAGAAGCTCTCGCAAAACCTCGACCAGCTACCTTCAGCGTTAGACTTGGACAACGGGTCCCCTCGTAACAGCATGGCTGAGACTACGTATATCTCAATCAATCTTGATGGAAAAGAGGTCCAGCTGAAGGACCAAATTCAGGTGCGTTAAAATGTCGCCCCGGGTGGTTGTGTCGGGTCAAGTTTGCAACGAGATCTTCAACTGCCAATGTTGACCAGGACGATGCTCACTCCTGACACATGGCTGTCCTAGAACGCTGCGCCGCAGATGGATGGCTCCAATGGAAGCACGACTAACCACTGCTTAGATGTACACGACCAACGAACTGTTGTCACACCCGCTGGTCAGCCCTGTCATGCAACCGACTCTGGGTGGTCTTCCACCTTTGCTCATCATGACAGGCGGTGGTGAGATACTTCGAGACGAGCAGATATATCTTGCTCATAAATGTGCACACCCGGAGAAGTACCTCCCAGGTGACATCAACATGCATGAATCGGCACGGAAACAGCTTGCACGCTTCAAGCCAACTGATGTCCAACTTCAAATCTGGGACGATCTGTGCCACGTTGCGCCAACGCTCAGTTTCACGCATCCGGCCAAGTTTATGTATCGATCTATTGCCCAGTTCGGAGCTTGGGCTCTTGCCAGGGCTCAAAAGGTAGATATTGAGATCCTGGACGACGACGACATTTCGTTCATCTCTAGCTCGGGATCGGACTCTGATGGTTCGAGCGCGCAAGAGAAGAAAGAACCCGAAGTGACAGAAGGCGATCAGCCACAAGTTGGAAAGGCTGGAGACCCGTTGCCGCCATTCACGCACCATATGATCCGCCAACGTGTTAATCGGCATGGAATTATCAGGCCATTAGAACCCGCTGCCGACTTGCCAGGTTGCACTCTTCATCCCAACGAGATCGGTGTGGTGAAAGAAGGTCCCGTCAGGAAATGGCTTGAAGCACGACACCAGTGGGATACCCGGTACGGCAGTACCCGTGCCAAAATCCATAAGAAGCGCCTCAAGGAGATGGCCGCAGGATATGTTGGATTCGATGGGGAGACGCCGCCTCCCAGCGCTCTTGCCAGCAGGCGCAAGGGCGGAGATGACTATTATGGGAAGAAGAAGAAGAGACAGAAGAGTATGGGTCTCGCCTTATGGTCACTCTGGGGCTCCAAACACGACGAAGCGACGGTCGGTCGAGAACAGGATGCGGAGAAAGAACCAGAAACCAAAGTTGCAGTCAAAGTTGCTACCAACGAGGAAGGAGAAGGTGCTCGGTCGCACTCTGATATCCAAAAGCAGGAGAACGCGGTGGCCAGGAAAGGCCTCTTGGGTAGTCGAAGCCGCTCGAGGACCAAAATCGTTCGGTACGAACGGCAAATTGCTGCCGACGACGACGACGACGAGGTTAACGAGAATACCCCTGCCGCCGTGCTCATGGCCAAGAGAGACGAGAAGGCGAAACAAGAGGTTGAGGTTGAGCCGCCGCTGCCGTCTCCACGCAGCAATCTGCTTAGCCCCGATTACATGCCGCCGGAGACGGGCGTCACGGGCAAACGGCCGATCGTGGGCGGTATAGCGGTTCCTTTCAGCCTGAATAAGGACGCCGAGACGGCCAGCATGTTGACCCTGAACTCGAAGATGGATCAGCCCTCGCGCGTCGTCAGCCCGAGACCGATGAGCTCCCAGGCCAATCCTTTGGGTCAGACGAGTGCTGCTGCGGCGGCGGCGGCCACCGATAAGGCCCGGGATGAAGTTGTCAAGCCTGAAGAATTGACGCAAAAAGGGGCTCCTGCTGCGGTAACCCCGGGAGGAGCAGGTCCTGAGCCGGCCTCGGCACAAAACATTGTTCTCGGTCTTGAGATCACACCAGGAATTGTGGTGGACTCACACGATGAGCGGCCGCCCTTGGAGTCGTTCGTTACTGCACAGGAAGATCTTCCCAGGGCGCAATGAGTAGGCTTCGAGATGTTGCACCACCGCTTTTGCAAGAGGTTGCTTGGGCGTGAGCGTGGGAGGCAGACACGGGCGAGCAATATACCCCCTTCCAGGACAGTTATCAGACGGACTCTGGAATCCCAACATTGTACTATTTACTTTGTACAACCACCGCTAGCAAACAGTAATATTATAATTCATACAACCCATCGATTTGTCTGCAGCATTGAAGTGAGAGTTGACTGGTTTGTTCTCTATCAAGCACACTCGGCATCACACCGCCCGCCCTTCCCTTCTCTAGACCAAAGAAGGCATTGGCTCCAAGCCTTCGTTCGTTCCACGGTAAACAGCAGGAGCAGGCTCAGTCCAGTCCGTTCTCGGCCTTCCACCTGTCCAGGTACAGCTCGGGGCTCTTGGGGCCCAGGGCGTAGCCCTCGTAGCGGCCTCTTGTTGCGGGCATTCGCTTCGTGACGAAGGGGGTCAACTATATTGTGCACGTCTTGTTAGCGTCTTGTTTTATTGGTTTATGATGGCTTGCCGTGTCGTGGTGATGGAGAGGAGAGGAAAGGGAGGTTTAGACAGCTCCCGTCACTGCCACTGGTGCCGTTCGTCGTGTGTACCAGCCTGAAAACAAAAACAGGCCAGCTCAACTCCCACCAACCCAACCCAACCCCTCTACCGAAACAGTCATATGTATATAGGGGGCCTTCCTCACCTTGAACTCGTCCAGCCCGGCCGGCACGACATACGTGCGCACCTTGGCCCAGTCGATCACGTAGCCGCCGTACTTGGTATGACTACCCATCGAGCCCGTCCGCGTGCCCTTGTAGAAGCCCTTGTTGATGTCCTTGGTCGTCAGCGGTAGCTTGCGGTAGCGCTTGAGGAGCGCCTGCGTGGGCCGCATTTTGTCTTGGTCTTGTCGTCGGGTTGGCCTGTCGCGGATCGGTTGGGTTGGGTTTGGCTTTTGTGGAAGATGAGTGGATGTGTGCGATTGGACGGTTGGAAGTTGGTGAGACGGCTTAGACTGGTGAGGTACTCACTGCTTGCGACTGTGGATTGGTGTCGTGGTGTAGGCCTTGCGGCTCGTGGTGGATGGCTCGATTGAGCTCCAGCAGGTCGCGATCTGGAAAATCGCTGGACAGGAGCCTTGCGCATTGTGGGTCCGTTCATGGTGGGCCCACCCCACTAATGTTGGTGCAGTACCCCCACTATCGCTCACCCTCACGGCAGAAAAAAAAGCTGGGACACCGCCTTTGAAGGCCTCTAAGAACTACTCAGCTAATCCACGTCCGGGACAAGAACAGAACAATTACCAGCAAGTCGGCCTGTGCAAGTGACTTCCTGGATTGGTCCGAGTTACGAAGCGCCCATTTCTCTTCGAAAGCCCGACGGACATCCCACGACTTCTCGTCAGAACTACTACGATGCCGGGCAGACAAGCCCACGGCCGGGCTCCAGGCCACGGGCAGGGTTCGAAAGCAAAAGGCAAAGGCAAAAGCCAAGGCCAAGGAGGATCAGGAGGTGGTGGAAACAGGCGATCGAAAGTAAAGTCGACCAAGAAGGCCCTCAACGCCTTCTCCATCGCCCAGGAGGAGCACGGCGACCGAAACAAGCTCACGCCCCGCAACCGCGCCCTCGATCTCGAAGTAGAACCCGGTAGTCGTGCGAAACATGGAAGAGACGAAGATGACGACGAGGATGAAGATGACGACGAGGGCCCGCCGAGGAAGATGCGCCGGGGTGGTGGCAATGACGATTTCGACGACGGAGGCGATTCTAGCGGCAGCGAGCCGTGGCACGTCGGTGTCGATGCCGACGATGACGATTCCGATATCGATAGCGACGAAGCTTTCGGGGAGAGCGACGAGGAGAGATTCGAGGCTTATACTTTCCGCGGGAGCTCTAAGAAAAAGAAGCAGGCTAGAGATGTGAGCAGCGACGGTTAGAAGGGGAATATGAGCTTTGGCTAATATGGGCGCTACAGGACAGTGAAGAAGAAGAAGATGACGACGATGCTGACGGTGCCTCGCTTGGATCTGACGCTATAGATCTCGCAGAGGCTCTCGATATGTCCATGTCGGAAGACGATGCCCAACCAGATGGCGACAAAGCAGCGGCAGATTCGGACTCTGAGGAGTCAGACGCCGACAGCGCATCTAGTGATGAGTCCTCAGGAGATGATGAAGACGAAGACGACGTATCGGAGTCTGGAATCAACGCCTGGGTCTCCCAGTTCGGTGGGGCCCAAGATGAGGAAGAGGAGGAGGCACAATCGACCATCACGAAACCTAAACTGGGTCTGAAAGATTTAGGTCTACTAGGTGTCAAAGATCCGCAGCTCAAGAAGTCTCTCAAGCTCATGACGAAGGAGGAGAAGTCCAGCAAGCCCAAGAAGCTCGAGGTGCCCCTCGGGACGCGCGAACAGGCCAAACTCGATCGGGTTGAGGCTTACAAAAAGACCAACGAAACACTGGACAGATGGACAGAGACTGTGAAGCACAACCGAAGGGCCGATCACATCGTTTTCCCTCTCCCGCAGAACCAGACAGGTCTTGCTCGACATGACAACACCGAGCTGATGCCCCTGACTCAGAAAGCCGCAGGGACTGAGTTGGAGCAGACTATCCTGGCCATCATGGAGGAAAGTGGTCTAGGCCCGAGTACCAAGAAAGAGAAGGATCAAGAAGCCACAGATGAGGTGGACGAACAAGGCCTCTCGCGGAGCGATCGCAAGGCGTTGCAGCAACAAAAAAGAAGGGAAAGAGATTTGCAGTCTAGAGAAGATGCCCGCAACAAGCGTCTCAAGAAGATCAAGTCCAGAACCTATCGCCGGGTACACAGGAAACAACGGGACAAGGACGGGATGAGAGAGCACGAGGCTGCAAAGGCGGCTGGTCAGATTGACTCCGATGAAGAGCGGGAGGCCCAGGATCGCCAGCGAGCCATGGAGCGCATGGGTGCTCGACACAAAGAGTCTAAGTGGGCAAAAACGGCCAACAAGGGCGGCCGTGCAGCTTGGGACGATGACGTTCGGATAGGGGTTGCCGAAATGGCCAAAAGAGATGAAGAGCTGCGTCGAAAAGTCGCAGGGAAACCATCAGGGAATGATGAAGAGGAGGACGAGTCAGACTATTCAGCCGACTCGGAAGACGTGGATGACCGAAAGAGGCTTCTAAGAAAACTCGAGGGTGCCTCCACGGCAGAGGACACAGGGTCCACGTCTAAGTTGATGAACATGGCGTTCATGCAGAAAGCAGAAGCGGCCAAGAAGAAAGCTAATGATGACCTGGTTGCTGAGATACGACGAGACCTCGCCTCCGATGAGGAGGAACAAGATAATTCAGACGATGAGCCTGATGACGTAGGTCGTCGGAAGTACGGGCAGCCAGCTGATAAGAAGCTGGCCAAGCTGAATGAGCTGAACGAGCGACTTGTCAAAGCTAGCAAGCAAGACAACGACAAGACGGCAGAATTTCAGGAAGCACGAGACAATATCTCAGGTTCGGCGGGTAGGAAGGGGCTTTCTGCCGCGGTTCCACTGGAGCGATCTACCAGTGCATCAACCGGGGGAGCCTGGAGCCAGCCTGTCGCGTCTGGTTCGAGGAAACAGAAAGGAAAGAAGGCGGCGCCGAACACAGACGTGCTAGAACTGGGTGCCGATTCTGTGGCTGTCGCCCCGTCCGCAGCCCCGAGAAGGGCCTCGAAACCCAGCAAGAAGGCCGCTGTAGCATCCGGCGAGTACTCATCTGACGACGAGGACAGCCATCTGCCGATTCAGTTCCGCGAGCAAGATCTCATTGAGAAGGCCTTTGGCGGACTGGACGTGGTGGCTGAGTTTGAGCAAGAAAAGGCTGATGTTGCCGAAGAAGAAGATGAGAAGGTGATCGACAACACGCTGCCCGGTTGGGGAAGCTGGGTCGGTGCCGGAGTGAGCAACCGCGAAAAGAAGAGACATCAGGGACGTTTCCTCACGAAGAAGGAGGGTGTCAAGAAGGATGCGCGACGCGATGCTAAGATGCAGAACGTCATTATCAATGAGAGGCGCGTTAAGAAGGTAAGCCAACCATCCATCCACCCTCTCTGCCATGACCCAAGCCTTTCCCACAATACTGATTGATATCACGTTGTAGAATGACAAGTACCTGGCCTCGGCTCTGCCTCACATGTACGAGTCGCGCGCGCAGTACGAGCGCAGCTTGAGGCTGCCCATCGGCCCCGAGTGGCAGACCAAGGAGACGTTCCAGGAGGCGACGAAGCCGCGCATCCTCATGAAGCAGGGCATCATTGCGCCGATTGCGAAGCCTACGCACTGATTGGGTGCCTGTTTTGTGATGTAGATCTAGGTAGAGATACAAAAAGGATAACTTGATACTAAAGGCACTTGCATGGTCGTTGTTAGATATATTTGAGCCTTGGTATCTTTATATAACTCTGCATTCTTCACGTATATAGTCGGGAGGGAGTACACTACCTACTAAGCTGCCTTGAAACTTCTGTGTTTTTTCCTCTTGTTGAGCTTGGGGACATAGGTATTATGCTATTTTCTCCCCTCTCGTCCCGGCCCGATGGGACATGGAGTGCTCAGGGGCGGGCCCCACTTGTAGGCTGCATTAACCCGGCGGAAAAAAGACCCTGGCTGAACTTGGGATTTGCCTCGCGCTCAGCTGTCGTGGCTACCGTACTCACTCACCAGGTCATGATTCATCAATTTGATGCACCTCTAACCCATACATTCTTAAACCTACCTACGCAAGGGTTATCGCTGCGTCCACTCTTTTCATCACCTTCCATCTCTGATGCCTCGCATCACGGTATCACGCATCCTCGGGCTGGTCCCTCTGACGTGGGTTTGTCTAGCGGGGACCTGGTTCTTCCTACCGTCGCCAGTCGTACGAGACATTTACCACGATGGCTACATTGAGCAGCGTCTGAGGACGGGGAGCACGGTGACGACCGTAGTCGAACGCTCGAGATTTGGCAGCAACGTCCAACAGCAATGCAGTGGCGAATGCAGTGGTCTCATCTTCGATTGGCGCCTCGAGGGACACGGGCCATCGGACAGCTTGATGCTGAGCGTTGGCAAGGCTCGCGTCAACCTGACAGAGGCAGTGCTCAAAGGACCTTCGGATTCGAAACCAGAGGATCAGCGAACAACTGCATACCTCAGTCCCTCCTTCCGCGCGGGCATTGGGGCCGGTGGGACGGATCACGAAACGATTCTGCCTTGGTTCACCTGGAGCGACAAGGTCCTCATCCATGCTCTGATGCACGGCTACAACGAGAACGTCCAACTGAGGATATTCAGTCCCGAGCCCGGCCTGGTCGAGATCTGGAAAGACATCACCATGTGGGCGTCCTACAAGCCCGGCGATGCAGTGAGAGAGACGGAACGCGAGGTCGGATTGCTGGCCAGCTTTTCACATATCCCCACGAGCCAATTCGCCGGCGCCGGCGCCCTCCGAGCGAATCCCGCTAATGTCAAGATCTCCAACGTGCGAGGTGTGTTGCCATCCAAGACGTGGCCGCTGAGGGAGATCATCGCTGGCCCGCTGTACGTGCCTACCTTCATGCTCTCAGTCATCATCTGGGGCTCCACACTCGAAACTGTGCCCTTTACGGTCATCCTATTTGTCCAGATGCTGGCAATCCTTCTGCTGTTCGTCGGTTTCCAGCGCATCAACCTGGCGTGGCTCTTCCGGGGCAGAGGAAAGAGAAGACCAAAGAACCGTGGCATATGGGGTGCAGCAGGACCTATCACCACGGATGAAGAGAGCGGTCTCTTGGGCACCCGCCCCAAAAAGGCGATGGTCATGCCCCCAAGTGCGATATCTAGGCCGAGCAAATCGCGTGCTCCTTTGTTCGACAAGGCCTAAATCCTAGAAAGTCTCGCGTCCTTACAATGTCAACTTCGTATTTGGCACGATACATATATCAGCTTCTGGTACAAGAATCTCTTGTGTGTAACGAATGTTGGCCATTAGTATCAAGTATATAGCTAAGCAAGACGGAACAGTGCGTCATGGCAATAGACGTTTTCTGTCAAATTATTGGATTGACTGATTAGTGTGCCTTGAAAAGCATCGACCTGTTGTATTTTCATTAACACCGCCGCTGCGGGTTCGTATCCATCTCAAGTCATGGCCCGTTAGATGTCTTTTGATCCTAAAAAGCACTTACGTCTGGTCATTAACCTTTCAAGCAGCTACGGCAATCAAATGGGGATATCCACATATCACTGTTTATTCCGCTATAAACCTTCCATATAACGGAAGCGCCTGCGAGCTACAGAGTCTCATCTAGACAACATTCAGTGTAACATTAGCCCTCAGATCCGTACTCGAGCTGCCCACCATCACCGTAAACGCCCCCTTCTCAACAACATACTCCATGTTGAGATCCCAAAGGCCCAACTCCGCCACGTTGAGATCTATGCTCACCGTCTCCGTCGCACCCGCGGCAATCATCACCTTGGCGAAGCCCTTGAGCTGCATATTGGGCACGACGACGCTGCTGACGACGTCCTTGACGTAGACCTGGACGACCTCGGCGCCATCGCGGTCGGACTCGTTCGTCACGTCCACGCTGACCGTCACGACATCATCAGCGCCGACCTCGGCTTGCGATAGTGCGAGTCCAGTGTACGTGAACGCGCTGTACGACAGCCCGTACCCAAAACTATACAGCGGCAGCGGGCTCGCCAGCACGTATTCGTTACCGAAGACGATGGTGCCATTATCGTACACCGCCCCCGGATTCGGGGACCCGCGCGCCGAGTTCAAATAATCGTAATAAATCGGCGTCGTGCCAACATCATACGGAAAGCTCACGCTCAGCCTACCCGCCGGATTCACATCCCCGAACAGCACATCCGCGAGAGCATTACCCCCCTGTTCCGAGGGATAAAACTGCTGCACCAGCGCGCTTGACGCGTTCGAGATCCACGGTTCTGTAACCGGTTTCCCGGAGCTGTAGACGACGACGGTCGGCTTGCCGGTGGCGATGATGGCGCTGACGAGGTGCGGCATTGCGCCCACGAGGTTCAGGTTGGATGCGTCGATGTGCTCGCCTGTTGTCGCGTTTAGACCCGCCCAGAGCTCGTCTTGGTCCCGCGTCCACGTGCCGACGACCACTACGGCTACGTCGGCTGCTTCGGCGGCGGATATGGCGGCCGCGAAGCCGGATTGGGAGCTGGACCAGCGCTCGCAGCCTTGGGCGTAGGTCACTGTGCCCGTCTGTGGACATTAGGAGTCAGTGGTTGCTCTTCATATGAAATTGGGGTGGGGTATGGAGCGCGGGTGCATGCTTCGGAAGCCAAAGCTCCTGACATAGGGGTCAAAGGGGTATTTGGCCCCAAGACGTGACATGACCAGATGAGGAAATAACCGATTCGTGGATTCACTTACGCTGGCGGCTTGAATGCCGTCGAGGGGCGTCACGCCCCGGTATTGAGCTTTGTAGGGAACGTAGTCACCGTACTTCGTATCTGTCAGCTCTTCAAATCATGCGTTGAAGTTGGACATGGGTAAGTAACTCACGTTCATATACCCGTGGGCCATGGGCCCAATGACGGCGATGTTGGCCTTCTTACTAAGAGGCAGGATATTCTCGTGGTTCTCAAGCAGGACGATGGACTCGGCGTCAAGCTGCCGCGCGAGCGCGATGGTCTCAGGTGTGTTGATGTAGTCTGCCTGCTCCTCCTCTGCTACGCCGGTAAAGGGGTTCTCGAAGAGGCCGGCCTCGAACTTGGCGCGGAGTTGGCGGGCGACGGCCTCGTTGACGATGTCGACGGATAGTAGGCCCGACGAGACCATCTCGGGGATGGTCTCGAAGTTGTAGGATCCGCCGCCCATTTCTACGTCGTTTCCGGCTGGGAGGGCCTATTTCATGTGAGTATATACCTAGTAAGGATCTCGTAGCCAACTGTCAGTCATTTCAGGCACTCACGTAGTTGACGACAGCGTGAGAGTCGATAGGGTCACTCTCGCACATGTGGAAGGCGTCGCATAGCCGATCGGTGCCTCCTGAGTCGCTCGAGACCTACACATGGATCCCGTCAGACTTCTCCCCTGACGAAAAGTATCCGGCAAACTCACCCAGTACTTGTAGCCCCATTCCTCCCGTAATATGTCGGTGAGATGGTGCTTGTTCGCTACGGCAGGAACACCGTCGTAGCTGTGGTAGGCGGACATGATGGCATACGCGCCGCCATCGACGATGGCTCGCTTGAACGAGGGCAAGTACGTAGTCCGGAGTTCGCGCTCGCCACCGTGGACGGGTGCGGTGTTGATGCCCTGTTCTGGCGTGGCAAACGCGGCCTTGTGCATTCTCGTCAGCGCTTGCTTGCTTCGATCTTCCCGGGGCAGGCAGTCCTTACAAAGTGCTTCACCATCGACGTGACGTTGCCGGACTGCAGACCCTTGACGTATGAGTATGCCATCTCTCCCGTTCTGGAGTGAAATATTAGCACATGGCTTACAGCAAGGCGGGCGAGTCTCAACCTACAGGAAGCCATCCTCCCCAAAGGTCTCCTCCACGCGACCATACCGCAACTCGCGCGCCAAGTCGGCCAGAGGAGCGAAGATCTGATTCACCCCCAGAGCGCGCGCTTCCTGCGCAATAGCCGCCGCCATCTTCTCGACCAAAGCCGGGTTGAAGGAACAAGCATGGGCAATAGGCGAGTTGAAGATAGTCGCGTTTGGTATCAGAAATCCGTGGATGCCCTCCGACTGGACAAAGGCCGGTATCCCGAGCGTCGTGTTCTGCATCAGGTAGTCCTGGCCCGTCTTGACGCTGTCGCTGAGCATCTGCCAGGGTATCGCGACGCCGACGTAGTACTGCCCGGCGCGGTTCGCCATGCTCCACTCGAGGCCGGTGGCGTTGAGCGTGCCGTCGGTGGTGTTGAGCCAGTTCCGCAGGTCGCCCTGGACGAGCTGGGCTGTCTTCTCCTCGATGGTCATCCGCGAGAGCAGGTCCGCTACTCGGCTCTCGACTGGGGCACTGGCGTCTTTGTAGACTGCCGTGCCATTCTGGGCCAGTACGTTGTGTGTCAGGCCCGCCAGGACGGCAGTTAGTATGGTGATGGAGTACCTCATGTTCGCTGTCTGCTGGAGGGGATTACTTGACAGCAAAACACGATCACGAAGCGAGGGTAGCTGGGACTACGTACGTACACCTTGGGTGCATAATGCGATACATGACATATATACCAGCTACTGATACCAGGAGAAGACCGTCACATTGAAATGGGCTAAATGCCTTCCGCCGGGAAGACTTTCTCCGCATTCGTGAATTTCCTGACATCTGGCTCGCAGAATCTTGTTGTGATATCACACACCGGCAAACCCTGGCTTGTCTCTCCGGCTTACCTCGCCCAGACCGCCGGGTCTTGGGGATTCGCGTTCAAAGCTGCATGCAGGCACACGGCTATCCATTCCGAGGGATAAGTTGGAGTTACGTCGGGGAGAGTTGGAGAAAAAGGGGGGACAGAGCCATGGCACGCAGACGATATCGTTCACAACCCCCTGTTGCGATTGGTGGGGGAAGATTATACCGAGGAGCCCACTATAAAACCATCGTCTTGTTGGCGCAACTGTCCTTCGTCCCCAATTGAACCGACAGTTATTGATCGAGCACCTCCACATGTCAACTGCACTGAAGCGTCACGAGAGGAGCTGTTCAAGGACCGCCCACGCGGTATTGCAGCAATCATGTTCGCATCCAGGCTTCCCCGCTGTCGCGAAGGCGGCCCGGCATCCGTCTCGTCGTGGGCAGTACCGTAGCTGGGTCCTGAACCCAAGCGAGTTTGGGGAGCTCTGCATCGTGACACGAGGGTCTGCATACGACATGCGGGGCCTGTTGGTGTTGACATTATCCTCCAAGTCGTGGTCGATCCGTGTAGGACATTGCTCTAGTTGACGTTTTCTCCCTCTCGTCACCTAACTGCCTTGCTTTTGTGAAATAAACACCGCCAACATGAAGTTCCGCGATGGCATGTGGCTCACCGCGGAGGGGGTCCAAGTCGAGTATGCCGAAGAGGTTTACGACATTGCCGAGACCGAGAAGGGTTTGAGTCTGCTGTGCCCGACGCGGAAGATCTTCAGTAGGGGAGACACGTTGAACCGCAGCACATTGACCGTAGTAAGTCAGGTTTGGAAAACTGATAGCAACCATCGCTGAACATGCTACCAGGACGTAGAAGCAGCATGCGACGGAGTCATATCAGTCGAGACGACGCACTGGGCTGGCGCCGTGAACAAGGGACCTCACTTCGACCTCTTCCCAGACGGGCGACCCAGCATCGAGCACAAGGTCTCGAAAGGCGACAAGGGAACAACCCTCAGCGCCGGCTCGCTATCAGCCACGGTCGCCGGAGACGATCACACCTTCGACATCCGCTTCCACAGCACCGACGGCTCAAAGCACCTCACGTCCCTGCTCGGCCGCAGCGTGGGACTGGCATACACCCCCGCGCCCAGCAACCCGCTGCAGACGGGCGACATGCGAGACTTCAAGCACTACATCTTCACGCAGACGACGCTGGGCGTCGGCGAGTCCGTCCACGGGCTGGGCGAGCGCTTCGGCGCCTACAACAAGGTCGGCCAGTCGGTGGCGCTGTGGAACGCCGACGGCGGCACCTCGAGCGACCAGGCCTACAAGAACGTCTCGTTCTGGCTCAGCTCCCGGGGCTACGGTATCTTTATCGACACCCCCGAAAAGGTCGACCTGGAGATCGGCAGCGAGCGGTGCAGCCGCGTGCAGACCAGCGTCGAGGGCCAGCGGCTGAAGTGGTACATCATCTATGGCCCTACCCCTAAAGAGGTCCTGGGGAGGTACTCTGTCCTCACCGGAAGGCCCAGCAAGGTGCCGAGTTGGAGTTATGGCCTGTGGCTTAGCACGAGTTTCACTACTAATTACGACGAGGCGACGGTGAAGTCGTTCTTGGAGGGTATGAAGGAACGGGATACGCCGGTGGACGTGTTCCATTACGACTGTTTCTGGATGAAGGTGAGAAGACCATCTACCCTCGGAATTATGACCCTAGGCGGAGCTGGCCATCAAACCTACTTGCCTTGTAAATAAAACCTAGCTGACACTTGTTGTTGCAGGCCTTCACATGGACCGACTTCGTCTTCGACTCGGAGCGCTTCCCGGACCCCAAAGCCCAGATCGCGCGGCTGAAGTCGTCGGGCCTGGTGAAGAAGGTCTGCGTGTGGATCAACCCCTACATCGCACAGCACGGCGCCGCCTTCAAGCACGCGGCCGAGAAGGGATACCTGCTGAAACGAAAAAACGGCGAGGTCTGGCAGTGGGACCTGTGGCAGGCCGGCATGGGCCTGGTCGACTTCACCAACCCCGAGGCTGTGAAGTGGTACGTGAGCTGTCTCAACGGGCTCTTCGACCAGGGCGTCGATGCCATCAAGACCGACTTTGGCGAGCGCATCCCGACGCTGGATGTGGAGTGGCACGACAAGTCGGTCGATCCGCACAAGATGCACGTAAGCACATCCATCTCAGTCCCTACGTTTTCCTCGCAGATGAAACCTCCTCTGTAGAGGAGCCTGAATCCCTGACAGCATGTTAGAACTACTACGCCTTCATCTGGAACAAGACCGTGTACGAAGCCCTACAAGCGCGCTACGGCACCACAGAAGCGGTGCTCTTCGCGCGGTCCGCCACCGCCGGCACGCAGCGGTTCCCGCTCGTCTGGGGCGGCGACTGCGAGTCCACACCAGAAGCCATGGCGGAGTCGGTGCGCGGCGGGCTCGGGCTCGGCCTCTGCGGCTACGCCTTCTGGTCCAACGACATCGGCGGCTTCGAGGGGTCCCCCGCGCCGTGGATCTACAAGCGCTGGGTCGCGTTCGGGCTGCTGTGCTCGCACAGCCGCCTGCACGGCAGCAACTCGTACCGCGTACCCTGGACCATCGACTCTGACTCTACGGAAGAAGAAGGCTGCTCGCGCACGCTGGCGCGCTGGACGGCGCTGAAGACGCGTCTGATGCCGTACCTGTTCGCGCAGGCCGGGCGGGCTGTTAGGGAGGGGCTGCCGCTGTCGCTGCGCGCCATGTGTCTCGAGTTCCCCGACGACCCGACGGCCTGGTTTCTGGATCGCCAGTTCATGGTCGGCGAGAGCCTGCTCGCCGCCCCCGTCTTCGACGAGTCGGGCGAGGTGGAGTTCTACCTGCCGCGGGGCACGTGGACGTCGTTCTTCACGAACCAGACGCGCGACGGCCCGGGCTGGTTCAGGGAAAAACACGGGTTTGGCAGCCTGCCGCTGTACGTGCGCGAGAACACGGTGCTGGTGCTGGGCAAGCCTGGCGTCAAGGGCGCCGTGTACGACTACGCGGCCGATGTCGAGGTCTGTCTGTATCAGGTTAGGGAGGGGGCGAGCGCGGAGCTGGTTGATGGTGAGGGCGAAGTGTTGGGGACGTTGAGGGTGGGGACTGATGGCGGGCTTGAGGGGCAGGAGTTGCTGAAGGGGGCGTGGACTAAGAATGATGGTGGTCGTCATGTCGAGGAGTCTTACATGAAGACGATTGAGTGGCTGTGAATGAGGAAGGTTCAAGTTGTTACGTGATCGTGTATCAATGTTGACCAAGAGCTATGGTGATAGTACTGCGTAACCCAATGCATGGAGACTGGGAGATATGACACGGCCTTTATATTCTCCTCGCTCAAGCATATTTAAACCACTGCTTTTCATCTGACAAGTAAGATTAAGGTCGTTGACTCTGAGCACCGTATCGTTGCTAGCATCGCGTATCATGTCTCTCGTTGAATCGTGTCACTTACAATTCAAGTTACGCTACGCTGAGTTATGGTAAAGCTATCACTCGTCCCCTCGAATGCGGTGATGGTACCCGACAACGCCTTGCTATCGCCGTAGTACCGCGCGCGGTAGGTGCCGGCCGCGACGTCGGTCTCGCTCTCCCAGCTGATGACCACCTCGCTGTAGCCCAGCACGCTGTTCGTACGCGTCCAGGTATAGACAAGGGACCAGTCCGAGTCGTCGCGGACCTGCGTCCAGGTGTCGCCGTTCTGCTGCTCGATCGCAGCGAAGGTACCTTCCAGCCGGAGGTTGTTCCGCGGGTTGGCGCCCACAAACGTCGCGTTGATAACTGCACCAGGGGCGTACGTCGTCGACGGCTGTACGGTACAGTCACCGAAGGACTTACCTAGTGGTGCGTTGTCCACTACAACTCCCGTGATGAAGCTGAGGCTGTTATTGCGATTATCTGGTGGGCTCGGGCCCGGAGCAGGCGAGCTGGTAGAGTCAGGGGCCAGATATCCGATGTTGCTGACGGTCAAGTTGATGTACGCGGGCAATTCCCACTGTCCGTATAGTGTGCTCGCTCCCTCGTATCGCTGAATTCCATACTCCTCTGGAGTAGCAATGTAATGTGCGTACGTGTTCGCGGGGCCACCTAGTACGACTTTGGGCTCGGCATCAGTAAAGTCAGCAGTGGCAGCCTTGATAGCGGCACGCCATCTGCGACCGGACATGGTGGTGGCTTCGCCGGCGCTGATGATCATTACAAATTGCCCGACGCGGAGCATTTGTATATCGACAATATTCGGGCTCCAGGCGTAAGGCGTGTCCAACTCACCAACATCAAGCAAGACGGGCTTGGGCTCCTGGCAGGACTTTTGCGCGGGCGAGGGAGCACGGATCAGATCTTTGACGAGGATCCAGATAGGATTCGCATTTGGAATGCCCGAATCTCCCTGGGTGAAATCAAAAGCGCCGGGGCCATCTGTTGTGCCAGCCGCAAAGGAGTAACCAAGCGCTGCCGGGCAAGTCTGCACCTCTGTTCCATTCTCTAGCGTGAAGTTGAAGAAGCTCATGTCTTGGTAGAAATGGAATGATTTGACCGACGAGCCAACGACCGGTGTACCAGATGAGCCAAAAGAGTCCTACATCGAGGTCAGCGATCACTCTATGCGAGATGGTGGTACGGCTTACGTAGACGGATCTAGCCCCGTCATATTGGCGTGTGCCAATGTCGTAGCAACTTGCGATACCAAGATCGAGTGCCTCAAAGTAAGGACCTCTACCATGACATGCTTGTGACTTGCCGTCTGCACAGGTGCTATTTTCAAAGCTGCACATAGCGCCAGATCCATCGTCGCACCTGTAGTCTCGTCAGTCCCCTGACAATAGCCTGCCGTAATACACATATAAACCTACCAAGCGCCGAGGGTGTTAGGGGTAGTGTCTCCTACGTTCGCCTGAGAAAAGCCAGCGACAAAGCCGTCTGCAGCGGAGTCGTCGCTCTCCATAGCCTTCTCGAACATGAGTTCCGCCACGCCCTTGTTGTCACCTGTCACGTGTGTGCTGTTCTGGTAGACGGAGGTGCCGTGAACAGGGAACCAAGTGAGAACACCGATGTTCTTGCTATCCGAAGCGCGCTGGAACTTGAGAACAGTCATTTCCTTGTCGACGTCGTCCGTATACTGCGCTCGCTCCTCAGCTGGGTTGGCCAAGTAAGCATACAGACTTCGACTCAGGTTGCTATCGGTGATGTTGACGGCGCCTGTCATTATTGTTAAAAACGTTTCGATAAATAAACGGGTCCGGGGCTTTACCATAGTCGAGATAGCCCTACAGTCGAAGCAGTCAGTAAGTGAAATGGTATAGTCAGGGGCGTGTCCGCGTACTTCAGTCAAAGACTCGTGAGCTCTCTGAATGGACAAGACTGCGCCATCAACGATAGCTTGGTAGCTTTGCTTGTCAAAGCCCAAGCTGGTGATCTGGGGCAGTAGATAGTTGAACCAAGCCCCAGGCCCAGAGTGGGAATGTGTACCAGTGACAGCGATGTTCCCCTGGCCATATACTGCATATTCTTCCCCCAATGCCGCCACACCGTCGAGGACGCCGTATCGCACCGCCGTATCGCCGCCTTGGACGTCGAGAACAAGGTATACAATTCGGTCGTCGGGGTTGTTTACGTCTCCGATGATGAAAGCTCGCGAGAAGATGCGTTGTCGGAGACCCGTACCGACCTGGGAAGTGTCGGCGTATCCCGCAAAGCCAATCTCGACCACAGGACCAGTGATGTCCGCTTTCCCAACCCCGATCAAGTATTGGTCGCCAGTTCCCTCTGCGCGGGACTTTTCGGTCTGGGCGTTGATGCGATTGGTGTGCTGGAAGTTGAAGCCATGCCTTGCGCCGGATGTGTTGAGTTTAGAGACGGCAAATAAGCCCAATATCATGAACAAGACGATCGAGAAGAGAGCGAAGGCGGACCTCGGCGGCGCGGGGGAGGATTGAGGAGATTGATGGGCCATTGCGAGGGTATGCGCAAGACTGCTGTCGACGCCACTCTTCTCTTGGACGACGGGGAAGGCAGAAGTCGGTCTGCCGGTGTCTGGATACAACCAGGCTTTTATCGATTCAGCCCGCGAGGGAAGTACTGGCATATGGGCGTCCGACATGGCGGTCTGGGTAATCTCCCCTCGTAGGGGATGCAACGTCGATAGCGATGAGGACGTCCTCGTGAATCGGCCCATGGACCATGGTAGATGCGACGGTGCTGGTGCTGGGCTGGCGAGCACCGGGATGAGCTTCCAGGCTAAGGGCTTCTTGCGTGGACCTGCATAGACGGATGCCATCATACAGGCGTGACCGGCCGGAACGGGCGGGCAGATGCAGCCTACACTACCTGACGCGGGGAAGTGCCACCAATCCGCGTTAAGCATGCAGATAGTGGCACGCCGCTCACAGGCTCACAGCCAGCGTGGAAGCGAGCTGACTACCCGTGGTTCATTCGTCTCGACTCTCATCACATGCTGGACAAGACAGGGCTGAGGGGATTGGATTTGTGCGGCTCGTAACGCGGTAGAAGCTGGCATGGGACAGGTCGATCACGATCACGATCACCAGTGGCAGCGGATGCGTTGCGCGTTGTCGAACTTCGTAATCATTCGCCAGTGTTGCTAGACATCTGGCATATTGAATATGCCTTTCCCATTTCCCCTCTGCTCCTTTTCTCGGTCCAGTCGTTGAAGAAGGGAGAAAGGGGAGAGAGGACCGCAGCGGGACCAGATACTTTCTGCCTTAGGTCAAATCTCGGCTAGGTCGATGTATCATGTCGGGGTCGAGATTGAGATGAGATGATAGCGGATCATCCTATCGTGGGATCAGGGTCGTATTGACCCAAACAAACAGATCCCAGATATCCGTATTCAGTATGCGTGCCCGTTCAACAGGACTTACGGTATCTTCGCTGGGCTCTGGGCTCGAGACTCCAGGGCAGCAATGCAAGGCGGCCGTTGCTCATCTGCTCATCTCCTCACCCAGGGGTGCGGGATACGGCATGTTGCTAAGTGGTGGAAATGATCGAGGATGGACGCGACACTTGATCTCCGGATTGCCCAGCCATGACTTCATGACCGAGCAGCAGAATCCGTGAACGAGGATGATCAACCAAGACATGGCATTTGAAGAATGCGATTTTTAAAGACGGGGAATACGAAATGAGAATTCAAGGCCCACCATGAGGGGATCACGGCCGTGCGGCGTTAAGCTTAAATCACTAGCGGATGGGTCGCTCGGTACAGGGGAGCTTGGGCAAGCAACCCTTCTCTTCAGAGAAGCAAGCCATCAGTGAATTGAAGGGACCGGTCAAGCCCGGTCTCATTCTTACGGCTTACACCGGTGTTCTTCCTTCGAATCTCATGCCGCCGAGTCGAGATATCATGACATATTTCATGCTCGTAAGTCAGGTCATATGCAAAGCCATGAGGTAAAGAAAATGGAGACAGACTTCAATGTTGGTTACACGGCATCAAGTGTGTCTGTCTGTCATTCACGGTTCACATGTCGAGATGTCCCAAATATCAAAAGCGACCTTCCCTCTTCGCGAAACACCACAGCAAATCCTCCCGTACTTCATTCATAGTTACATCCAGTGACTGCCCGACATGCAGCCGGTCTGGCGAGTGGTCGGCTGCAGTTGCCCGTCCCTCCATCCCGTCTGCCATCTCAGCTGCACGTAACCCTCCCATCAATCACTCACCTCCACGATCATGATCACGATCATCCACGATGGAACCAACCTACTCCCTCACTTCTCAACGCCGTACCCTTCCCCCAACCACTTGTTATGAGACGCATACAGTACATAATACACAGCTCGTAGTCGATAATCTCGCCGACAACCGCCGCGCCGGCGAGGTACATGTAGACGCAAGGCGTCTGAGAAGGTCCGGTAATTTGGCCGGATCGCCGGCTGTGGATGCGCCGGCGCTGAGGGCTGAGTGGGTGGTGGAGAAGGATGGATGCAGTCGTGAGTATTCTGGGATGCGTGGCGGTGCGGGATGTGTTTTGCCTGAGGGGAGAAGTTGAGAAGGGGGAGGTTACCTTGCTAGATAGTTAGGTATGTAGGTAGGTAGGTAGGTATCTTGCTAAGAAGTGGTGTCGATAGAGTTGACGACCGCGGGACGGCTTATGGCTAGTACCTTGAGCTGCCTTGACGACAATTTGCCTACAAACCTGGCATTTGAGTCTGGTTCATTGTGTTATGCTGCTGGGTGATGGTCATCGTGAGAGTTGGGAATCAGTCTAACATGCTTCTGAGTGAGACTCGGCATGAGGCTCATCACCACGAGGGGCCACGGGCATCCACGACTTCAAAGGCCTCATACTAAAAGCCACAACACATCAACATACATGGTACATCAATCTATTTGGGTATATCAAAACTTCTATCATAATTCGTAAACACACAGTCTTCCCAGGCTGATATGACATCGTACAGCTATCCTTGAACGTTTGAAGAAGACAGACGTAAATCTACTCATCATACGCAACTAGTCCTGAATTTATACTCTGCAACGGGACAAGTTTACGCCGTCTCTTCCTCTTCAAGATGGACCAATTATTTGGGAGTGAGTGATCCAACCTAGTGCTTCTACGGCCCAAGTCCTCTCTCTCGTATGACCTGGAATGGACACCCAAGATCATCAACCCCTAGGACAGTTATACCGGCACATCGCATCTATGCCCCAACGCTAGCCAGCCTTTGCTGTTGCTGCTCGGGCTGGGGCGTCAGTCTCCTTGCCAGATCGGGCACGCCAACGCGATCGGCCATACGGTCCGGTACCAGATCGGGCGACACTGATCGCACCGGATACTCAGTAGCAGGGGTGGCTCGGAGTAGACGGGACGTCATGGGCTGGGGCGCGAGGATGGTAGGAGACTGGACTTCGTCGGATACCTCGTCGACCACGGTCTTGGGAATCGGGGGCCCAGTGCGGATGCTTGACGGCAGGATCTGCTCGAATCCTTGTTGTCTCGCGACTAGCTCGATGCTCTTGAAGTACTACGATGTCGCGGTCAGTGGACTGCAGTCGTTCGTGCTTGCGAAAATGACTTACCTTCACCGTCTTGACTTGGAGCTCGAGCGTGGCATCTTCATCACACACGATCATGGGGTGAGGGTGAAGCTGGAGGCTCGAGAGGGTCCACATGTGGTTCACGCCCTGCTCGATGCAGCGCTGGAGGGCGGATGCCTTGCGAGCACCCAGGATGATGACCACGACTTCCCGGGACTCGAGGACGGTCTGGACACCAACCGTCAAGGCCATCTTGGGGACCTTCTCGATGTCGTTCTCGAAGAACCGAGAGTTGGCAAGGATGGTGTCGTATGCCAGCGTCTTGACGCGGGTTCTTGAGGCCAGGCTCGACCCTGGCTCGTTGAACGCGATGTGTCCATCTTCCCCGATGCCACCCAGAAACAAGTCAATGCCTCCGGCGCGCTTGATCTTGGCCTCGTATTCGACGCATTCCGCTTCTAGGTTCGGAGCGTTGCCGTTGAGGATGTGTACGTTGTTGGGGTTCACGTTGACGTGGGAGAAGAAGTTCTTCCACATGAAGGAGTGGTAGCTCTCGGAGTGATCTCTGGGGATTCCCACATACTCGTCCTATATTATATGTCAGACCTTGGTGGTGGTGGTGAGGACGTCGAGTACCATACCATGTTGAAAGTAACGACATTCTCAAACGAGATCTAGCAACGTCTAGTCAGCCTAGATGCCAGCCAGCCAAATCCATCATAGACATACCAGTCCAGCCTTGTACTTCTCGACCAATACTTTATATACACCAAGAGGACTTGAGCCGGTTGGCAGGCCAAGAACGAAGGGATGTGTCGGAGTAGGGTTGAAGTGCTGGATTCTGTCGATGATGTAATTGGCTACGTAGGAGCTGGCAGCCTCGGACTCGTCGCGGATAATGAGCCTCATGTTGACTGTTCCGGGATAGGCAAGGTCTGGTGGAGGATGGATGGTAGGTTGCGACCAACTAATTATGGAACAATATCAGGAGAGGCGTGTCTTTTGGCAGCAACTTTGCTGAGGGAGATGAGAAAGTATATCAGCGGGCCTTCCAGCACCACCACCGGCTTCGTAGCCATTATGAGGGGCGCATTTCACAGGTGGTGGCAAGGCATCCATCGATGGGAAGCTTCGCCGTCATGATACCGGCATCCCGCCGATAAGATGGAACGTTTGGCCGGGTGTGCTCCACCACGACGATAGAGTTCACACTTGTGTCCCGGGAGTAGCCAGGTGTGCCAGGGTATGCGAGGGATTCATTCCTCAACGTTCAACGTTGTACCATAGTAACCATTGCTGGCGTCAGGTTTTGTCATGTGGCATATCGGGTCATCTGGTTGGTTCGCGAGTCGTGTCCAACCTCCAGCCAACCTTACCCCGGCCATCTCGGCCTAGCCCAGAGGACCGATGGGGTGGAAGAGTGTTGTTAGCAGTACTAACAATAACCAGGCGAGAGGAGGACAGGTCTGACAACTTGACAAGTGTCCGGCATGTGAGCCAATGCAAAGTTCCCATGCCATCGTCTTCCCGCAGCCGCAGCGGGGCAGCCCTGACAATGGGAAATGCGGGAATGGAAGTCATGCGGCAGGTTACCTTTACCGTTCTGTCTATATGGGTCGCGACAGAGCCGCAAGGCAAACGTGGAAACCGGCAGCAAGGCTGAGCCGTCACGCACCGGCAACCGAGTATTAACTTGCTTTGCGCATCTGAGTTTGCGGCTTGACGAGAGTCGGCAGCGCGATATTGGGAAAAGAGATGATTCCAGGAAATGGACCAGGAAATGGAGATCGACGCAGCACTGAGATAGGTATTGCGATGCCCGAGCCACAACTTCACCCTGGCGGAGCCCGTGGCGCAGACTAGTGCATACATTTATACAGCCTGCATAGAAGCAGCACGGGCTGCACAAGAACGCATAAAGCAAAGCCTTGGCTGCCATGTGGCTCGTGCAGGTGATCCCTACTCCTTTAAACGAGCAATTGCGCGTCTAAAACTTCGGGGACTACAAGCCTACAAGCCTACAACGTTACATCACGAACCACCCCAGAGTCCACAGTCCACCTGGAGTCTCGTGGCAGTGTCCAGATCGGATACTGATGGATGTGAGACATTGCGCTCACAGGCACAGGCACATGGCACATAGCCCACCAGTTCAGACCTTATCTGGCCTCTCTCGGCGTCTCTACTGGCATTCTACCGTCGCTTCGCCTGCTCGATACTGCCAATTGGCGCCTGGTGTCCCCATCTGCCCCGTATTTCTATATCCCAGTTGGGCTGGGCCCTCCTATTCCGGCCTCTTATGGTTACTTCTTGATGCAAATGGCCGTGGTGGATCGTCGTTCGAGAACACACAGCCAAGCGCAACCAACAGCCGACGGTGGAAGCACCAACAGGATCCAGAAGGAAGTCACCTACCTGCCTAGGCCAGTGGCGGCCAACAGAGATGCTTTTTGGAACCCTGCCTGGTCCCCATAACCCATTCACCCTTTCCCATCCCAGTCCCGATCCCATATCACCGGGCCTTCTATTCCTGTGCTGGCGAGGTGGTAATAGGCCTTGACGAAGCGTTACCGCTACCCGTAGCTTTCCTAGAGCAGGGGTCTTTCACCCTCATTCATATCCACAACGTGTGTTGTTGTTGGCCCTCATCGTTGTGGTTGTGGTATGTATGCCGTCCTGCTGTCTTAGAGGGGTGCCCTCATCTTGACCACATTACCATCGTACATACGACTTGCCTCTCGAACGCAACCACTCCCGTGTCAGGAAGTGTATTGGGCTCTCATTCTCTCATATTGCACCACTCGCTCGTGCTGTAACCTACTGGGGTGGTTACCCAGTCCTGTCTCGTGCGTTTCTCTCTCGAAAAAGCACGAAGCCTGGTCTTGGCTGTCTCCTCTTGGATCGTACATTACCACATCCAACCAACGGGTCACGTCGTCTAGCATCGCAATTGGTCCGGAAGGTTTCATTGCTCCCGCTTCAGCTTTTGACCGCCTATACGAGCCCTGACGCAGCCCTGAGGAAACCTCACACCCTCACCACTCCTTGACGACTACTCCAATTCGCCTGCCCTGGCCAACACTCTATTCCGGGACATGGCGAATGTTGCTTGAAAGGGTAGATCTTATCAGGTTTCAGCCTCTCTATTTGATACCTTGCCGCGTCTACTACATGACATATTAATTCATCATCCCACTACTTGTCAAGAGAGGAAAGAGAGAAGAGGGACATTCGTTCTCCCACTTGTCATGCAGCCGCTCACTTCTGCAATGACAACAATAAGAAGATCGTTACTGGCTGCCCTCAAGTCGTTGCTCAGGGGCAAGTCTTTCCTGCAGGCGCTGTTTGCGTTTTGGATCAGCCCCAAGACGATACAAGAACACAACCATGCCAATGGCAAGATGATTGAACCACCGAGAAGCATCGACGAGTTCTTGCGGGAGGCGGAGGAGCGGCTGCTAGGCCCCACAGAAGGGGACAGGCTCAGGCAGTTCTCATCAGATCTGAAGGCCCAGTTCCGGGAGCGGTTGCACACACATGCCGAGTGTATGCTGCCATCCTTCAACCACCTCCTGCCCACGGGCCAGGAGAAGGGCCAATATCTCGCCCTTGACGTCGGCGGCTCGACGCTCCGGGTCGCATTGGTGGAGTTAAGGGGCCGGGAGGCCAGTGGACGGGAGAGCGAGATCGTCCGCATGATCAGCTTCAAGATTACGCCCGAGATCAAGAAACTCGAGGGCATGGGCTTCTTCGACTGGATGGCGGCGCGGATCCACGAGGTCATTCACAAAGACGTCTCGCAAACCCAGCAAGACGTCCCTATACCAATGGGCTTAGCGTGGAGCTTTCCGGTGGAGTGCGTTTCTGCCACCTTCCTGTTTATACACGTCGACGGCTTTGGAACCCTGCTGACATGATCCACTACAGACAAGTATCACTAGGCGGTGGGCTCCTGCTGGGCATGGGCAAGGGCTTCCTGGCCACCAACGGCCTGCTGGGCCAAGACCTAGGCGAGATCATCAAGTTCGCGTGCGAACAGCGCAACCTTAACGTGCAGCTGGCGGCCATCATAAACGACAGCTCGGCCACCCTCCTATCACAGGCCTACATCCACGCCGAGACGCGGTTCGGGCTGATACTGGGCACTGGCACTAACATTGCCGTGCACTTGCCGGTGTCGGCGCTCGGGCGTCCCAAGTACGGACAACGGCCCGAGTCCTGGTTCCGGTCCGCGAGCCACGTCATCGTCAACACGGAGCTGGGCATGTTCGGTCGGGACATCCTGCCCCTGACGCGGTGGGACGAGCTCTTGAAAGCGACCCACCCGCGCCCCGAGTTCCAGCCCCTCGAGCACCTGCTCAGCGGCTTCTACCTGGGCGAGATTTGCCGGCTGGCCTTAGTCGAGGCGGTCGAGACAACGGGGCTATTGGGCGGCGAGCTGCCGCCGTCGTTGGCGGCGCCGTACTCGCTCGATACAGAGCTCCTCTCGAGGATCGAGGCGTAAGTTCCCCTGCTCCGAATATAGATTGCTTGCACTATCCCAAGTCATAACCACGAAGCTGACATGCATCCCCCCACAGCGACACCACACCCACCCCCACAAGCGCCATCTCGGCCTTCACATCCGCGCACCCCTCCCCATCGCCCTCTTCCACATCCCCCTCCACCACCCCATACACCCCCACCCCCAACGACCTATCCGCCATCCGCACCCTCGCCGTGTATATAACCCGCCGCAGTGCCGCCATCCTCGCGGCCTCGGTCTTCGCGCTCTGGGAGCTGCGCCACGAGACCGAGGCCGAGTACCTGGCCGCCACGCCCGCGGTCAACGGCAACGTCCCGCTCCTCGACTCGACGCGCGCCGAGCACGCCCTGCCGGCCACCAAGGTCGCCTTCAACGGGTCTGTCATCGAGCACTACCCGGGCTACCGGGCGCGGTGCCAGGGCTACATTGACGGGCTGGTGGCTGGCAGTGTGGTGGATGGCGTGGGCGGTGGCAGAGGTTCCGTGGAGCTGGTGCCGGCGCTGGAGAGCTCGATTTTGGGCGCGGCGGTGGCATTGGGGTGTGCGGTTGCGCAGGAGGGGTATAGGTATGTGTGAGCGTGTGGGCGTTTGCATATGGGAATGAATGGTATGGGCTCGAGGGGACTGATACTGGAGTATATAGACCGTGAGAAATTGAGGGAGGAGGTAATCGTCGGTAAGGTATGAGGGCAAGCAAGCAAGCAGTGATGGATTTAGTGATTAGGCATCTAAAGGCGTTTGTTTGAAGCGAGCGGGCATCATACCTATCCCTCGGCAAACTGAAAAGGCACTCATATCCCAGACCCTCTCGTTCATTCGCAGCTCTCCTCAACGCCTCCTGCGTTTTCGTGGTGCACTCCGTGGTGAATAGTTGGTACTTATGTTGAGCAGAACATGGCGTATATCTGCTGGGTATTGTTCCAGCTCAAGGTGATTTGTCAATTTGTCAAAATTTATCTTCGGGAAACTATTTCTATCCCCAGTTCTCTAATACCTCGGCTTCTACATTTGGGCTTGAAGAGAAAAACTCGATGAAGGTATCGCTGCCGTCTTAGCTACCGTCTATTTCTCAAAGTCTTCGATACTTGGAAAAGTACAGCCGGTCCATATCTCTTTTTCAATCGCGAGGCAACTGCTCAGATTTACATTCAACAGCCTACAACGAAGCAATCGCGTCACCTAGTCGCAAAATTCTTACAGAAGATGATAACAAAGGCTCCTCCTTCCAGAAGCGCCGCTGGCTGCCTGGTAGCACACCGAGAACTCGCTTTCAAGCCCAACTAAGACATACATTGGCTACCTAGCTCGCCTTTGCTCTTCAGCCATTTGATTCGGTGAAATTCTCAGGCCGTCTTTCTTCGGAGCGGAGAACTACAAGAGCTCGATTCCACGGCCTTGCGCCCACGGAAAGTCTCTGCCATGGAGTTATTCAAAACCTTGACGAAAGTCCTCTCTTCCCTTCTTCACAACCATCTCAAACACACTCTCGACAGGTCTAGAACGTCAAGTTCATCCCGCAACCACTCCAAACTGCGACGTCACGACAATTCAGCGAACCCAACCCTCACGCACCACGCAGCTGTTGTCACGGCAGTAGAAGACAGCCCCATAGACCCAGGGGCCAACCCCTATATATACCAGATCATGTCACCTAGCTAGCTTCATAGTTTCCTTCCTTCTTCACGAACATCAACAAAGTCATTTCTGGAGCCACCAGCAGCCGTACTGTGACAGCTGTAAAAGAACGACCATAGTTACTTTGCCGCCGCGCGAAAAGTGCGACCGCCCAAGAACGTAAAGCCTCCATTCTTCGAGGCCCTGAGCTGGAGCTATCAAAGTTTGCCACGAAACCGACGTGGAGAATATCTCGCCGGTTGCAGTTACCCCTTCTGGAGTAGGGAAAAACCCACGCGCAGCGATTCTTCCAAACAAACTCAGAAGCCAACGCCAGGTACCTATAGTTTCTATCTCAAAACATCTCCAGACCACCCAACCCAACGCTTTCTGAGGACGGCATCCCCAATCTTCTCGGCGCTGCTTTCGTTCTGGGAGTCAAAGAAGTCATATACTGACAGACGTTTTCCAAGACACCCGCCTGCCGGTGCATTTGACACCCGCCGCCATCTCCATGGCCATCGCCATGCCGCACATGTACAGCGCTTGGCCAGTGTTGGATCTATGCGATTCCAGCCTGCAAACCATCTATACCAAGACCCACATGTATGATTAGATAAGAGATAGATACCGGATTGCGAGGTTACTTAGCCAGACCTTCAGGTCCAGCTAGACCTCCCAATCCAACCATCAGCAACATCATGACCTTGACCCCATACTCGAGTATTATGATTGATCGTTCAAGCCTGTTCCAACAGCCAGGCCTAATCCTCTGCGATGAATGCAAAGGAGACTGTACCTGGACAACCTCCTATCACTGCCGTCAGTGCAAAGACTACGACCTCTGTCCCCTCTGTGTACGCAAGGGTCGTGGATGCAACAACTACGGATCCCACACATGGATCTTCATGAGACGATCCGAAGGCGGAAACACCAAGCCACTGTCATTTGGCAGAGAAATATCGCTACAGGAAGCACACACCGTGGAGGACTTCTATCCTTCTCGCTTCGAGCCACCTCAAAATGGAGAAGATACACCGCAGGCTCTTTTCGAGAATGAGCACCGATTTATCCGCCGTACCAATCCCCGCGAGATACTGATATACACGGCTGGAACATGTCCAGGCAATGGTCACAGTAGCCCTCGAGCCGGCTATGCCTTCGTCTATCGCCCATCCGCATATCTAGAAGATGGCACGCGCACCCATTTCGGTACGATAGCGTACCGTTTGGAAGCCCGAGGTCCGTCGTGCCGCAAGATTCACACGCCGACAAGTAACCGGGCCGAGCTCCGTGCCATGGTTGCCGCGTTGCAATTCAGAAATTGGAGCACCGATTGTAACGGGGGATGGAGGACCTTGGTAATCGCCACCGACTCGGAGTATGTCGCAAACGGCGTTACGTGTACTGAGTGGATTAAAGGATGGGAGGCCGAGAAATGGACTTTTTGTGACCGGCACACCCAGCCAGAATCGAGTATCAAGAATCAGGACCCATGGAGGCTTCTCATCCGCTTGATTCGTGATCTGCACGGAAGTGGCTTGCATGTCTCTTTCTGGCGAATTCCTAGGGCGTACAATGAGCGAGCCAACTTGTTCGCTAAGGGAGGTGCGGACGTGGATGAGGTTCCAGATTTCATGAAAATCCAATACGCTGGGCCGAAATCGAGCATAATGATACCAATCATGTATGATAAACCCTTACTTGGATTGCGTCGGACTGAAGACATCACGGGTATATCAGTATAACTAGCTTCCCGAGTAGGTGTTGTTGTGCACAAACCCCTTTCCCCAGGTTTGCGTTCGTTAGATAGTGGAACGTCCAACAGATCGCGACAAAAGTCCTCTCCAGTACCTACCTACTTCCTATACTACAGTGTGCGAGTGTCGCCCGCTCAAAGAGACCAAAATCGCTCAAGCAAACGCCGTGTTCTCATGCCGTCGTCAGCAACCGCCCACTCCGTCCGCCTGCCTGCCTGCCTAGCTCCGCCCACCCGGTATCAGTACTCCAAACCCAAACCAACGCATCCTCAGGTCTGTAAAACCTAACCTAGAAAGGGGGTATCTCATTCTGCCGAGAAATATCTCTTCGACTTGCTCCTGATCTGCTGTGCCTTGATCTCCTGCGGCACGGCTATGTGGTGAACAATGTGCGGGCGGTAAATCGTATCGACGAGTGGTGTCCTATTTATTCAACGTTAGCAATTGATCAATGCTTCCATTACGCGGTACTCGAGTGTTGTAAGTAGGACTAACCAGTCATCCACCGACAATGGGAAATACTCGTATAACTCTTCCTCTTCTTCCAAGGGGCTCTCGCCCCCAACATGACCTGACGATGCTCTCTGTAACCGCGGGCTTTGTGATGAATCCGTGTTCGAGCGGTTGTTCGGGCTGCGTTCGTCCTCCGATAGCGATAGACTTATCGGCACGGACTGTGTAGCGGATGCGTTCTTCGAGAACCTGTCCAGGTTCGATATTTTGGCCGAAGACTCTTTTCCCCACGATGGTACGGGTGGCCTGCTTAGATTCGGCGAGAGAGCCAATCTCTTCGCTGGTTGTTGTTGCGAGTTCGATGGTCCTGGGTAAGATGGTGTGGTGGGCGTTGGCGTTGCCCACTCGTTCGATTTGGACGTGGCCAAGTTACTGCCTAACGAATTGAACGTGTTCCCGTTCTGCGACGGGTCTGTCCGTTCCGTTTTCAGATTCGGCGTGGGAGCAGCACTTGCGTCGCTTTGCGTGCGTGTCCTCTCCGTGTTATTCGGCACCTTCTTCTCGCCCGCGCTGAGAGGAACATCCTTTCTGCTATCAAAGTTCCGCGGGCTGCGTCCGCGCACAATCACCGGTCCGCTCTGGATATCGGCAATCTTCATCAGCTCGCCGCTGACCTTTATCTTCCCCAGGAGGCTTATCTGAACAACATAGTGCTGCTGCAGTCCCTTCCGGCGTCCGTTGTTCGCCGTGGCACTCTTGAACTGCAACCGTTTCCACGCAACCGGTATACTGACGCGGTGGCCGTCGGCCTCACCTCCACTGAGATCAAGCAGGATCTTGGGCGGTGCGCTTGCCACCTTGGTCTCCTGTCCCTCGCCCAGGGCCGGATTGCTGTTTTTCCACGGTATCGATATGATCTCAGTGAGCTTGCCCTCGATGCTCTCGATGGCGGATATGGAGGCGTGGAACTCGACGATCGGTATGGCGCGCCCTTGCTCGTTCATGACTTGCGTGCAGTGGCGCGGGAGGTGTATGTACCCCGAGCACTGCCACAGATTCCGCCGGTAGCATGTCAGCTCGAGCGGGCGGCCGGACGTCTCACCGCCAAATACGTCCTCCGCGACGAAGAACATGCCGTACAGCTCGGCCGACATGTTGAGCTCCGAATAGGTACCGAGCGCATCGTCAAGCGGTGTGGCCTTGATTATGGTCGTCGAGAAGCCGAGCAGCTTGTCGTCGAGCTGCTGCGGCGAGGAATCCTCATCGTGGTGCAGGTCTTCGGTGGTCGGCGCGGCTTCGTACGGTCTGGAGTAGTTGAAGGGGTCCTCGAAGGTGGTCGAGAAGGTTTCGAAGTCGTACGACGGTGTAAAAGGCAATGGAGGCAGACCGCCGTTGACAGCTTCTCTGAACTGAGTCTTAGTATATAGGACATGTGCTATGCTATAGGGTCTATCTTGGGCATATTCCAGCGGTCCGGTCCAACGGGCAAGCTAGAGATACGCCACGAAGCAACTTACAGCATGGACTCGTCGAAGTTCAGTTCCGGCTCGAAGCTTTCTAAACCAAGCCCGGAGCTAACCATAGCAGCGTTCAACCCCATGGCCTCGCCGGGGCTGGGAGCCGGCATGGAGTTGAATGTGGCCATCGCATCGTAAGGGCCAGTACCCTCCGTGCCGGCGTGGTGTTTCGATTATATGCTGATGCTGGCGCTGACGTTGTATCCTAGGCGGTGTCGCGACGGGAAGGCGGTCCAATGCGGTAAGGAGGCGGTTAAGACGTCGAAATATAGCTCTATTCAATGCGACGATCTCGGCAGACAGACCAAGGTTTACAGCGGTACAGCGGGCGAGTCGCGACTTGAGATGCAATAGGAAATGGTAGGCCGGCGACTATGCTGCCGCGGTTGAAACAATGACCACTCCAGAAAGGCTCAGCTGTGGGGAGAACAAGCAGCCGGGAGTACAATTCCGCTAGGACACTGGGTGATAATGACCGTTACGGGGGCCGGTAGCTCGTGCGTCCGCCTGTAGAGAGGCATGGTGACAGAACTGATTGAGTGCGACAGCGGTAGTGATAACAGTGCCCGCGGGCTGCAGCAGTAATGTCGCTGCCTGACAGCCCATTGCAGGTGCCATCAACCCTGTGGACGGTAGAGACATGGATTGGTTCAGACGATCAGACCCTGTGATCCCTGTTAGGGGTCGCTCTGGGGGCGTTCAATCGGAGGCCGGGAGGTGGTTATTGGATGGATCCATGGTCCATGGTCCATGGTCCATGGATGGGATGGACCCGACTCTGTGTGGGTGACGTCGGGATGGGGGAATGATGGATCTCGGGCCTTTCCACCTTCTCTAAAGACGATCGTGTGGTGGGGTTGATGATAGACAGGCCTAGCCCTGGGGTAAAGTCCCAGATGTCAAAGAATCCCATCAGCCAATGATCTTTATTTAATCCCCTTAATATGTCACGAGTTACCGGCAGATCACGAGTCCAGGCTCTCGGTGCTTTCTTGCATCTGTCATTCAAAGTTCCGCCGCCGACCCCAACGGCCGTGATGCTTAATCGAGAATGTGAGCGATAAGCCCCTGAATCCGAGGGTTACTGTAAAGGACGATGCAACCCTTCATGGACAACACTTGTCGCCACCGTAAGACGATGAAGAGGCAAGGCGAAGAGGCTTTGATATTCTATTTTTACGCAGCAGTCTTAAGACACGGCGTGATCTACTGGTCCTGCGGTCATGTGTCAGATCCAGAGGATTCGATATTCCAAGACACCGAAACGCCAACCGCTCGCCCCGTGGATGAAGACATTCCAATGATCCTACAATAAAATAACCGAATCAGGTAACCGTTGCGACCTGAGATGAGGCTGGTCTTGGCCTAGAAACTCCCTTAGACCAGCAAAGGTAGGGCGGATTGTCTTCATGCCAAATCAGACCACTTGGTATGTCTCAAGTCAGCTTTTGATTCAACGTCGAAGTCAGAGACTTACATTCTCGGGCAGATTCGTAACTTCATCAAAGGACTGTTGAACCTCGAAGCCCATGGCAGAGAAGAGGTCATGCGTTTCGTCGAGGACCTGTAGTCATGTCAGATCCATTCCCAAAGTAGAAAGTCGACATCGTGTAGGTACTCACCCAGCTTAGTACACTCTTCGTCGACTTCTGTGCCTTGTTTTGTCTGACGCCCATGAACGCTAGCCCCTGCAGCAACAAAGTCGACTGAGCTGACGCAGGAACAATCGGGGCGACGATACCGCCAACGTCCTCACCACTTACAGGGTGGAGACAAGGGATGTAGGATGATAGTTGACCGGCGCCTCTGCAGATGATGACAGTTCCCAGTAGAGTGTCCGCTGCATTCTTGGCTCGCACAACTCCACAACTCTTCTCCTGCAGGGCGAAACGGTAGAGCTCCACGACTTCGGGTCCTGCATGGGCTGCCACGAGGCTCAAAACGGACTCGGCATTGTCCAGTCCGTGGATGAGGTCGAAGCTGATGTTCGCTCGTTGAATGCTTTGAGAAAGCCCCTCAGGGGCTGTCCAGGCTCCGAGGTCCTCGATCACCATGTTTGCAATTCTTTTCGGGAACTGCGTGTCCCAGCCAACATTGTCAAACCAGCTCTTCATGCTTCCATTCTCATCGGCTGGGATGCCTGGGAACACTCCCGGAAATGCGAGCCCGACCTGCAGTTTCTTGATTCCTTGCCTCTGGAGTAATGCTCGCATGGCACGGCGATGTAATGAGCGGCCTATTGATACGTTTCTCTTGGAAGGATCAACAAAGATCGCCCCAATTATGCCAATGCCTTTCGTGAAGTACGTAGCGGCAAAGCCATACAACATGTTGGTACTGCTGTTCCGAACTACGAAGTGGGCTTCTTCCATATCTGTGTTGAACAACTCAAACGAAGACGGGCTGGTGGTGAGGTACGGCAGGTTTGGTGTACTTGATCGCGTGAGGGTCTTCAGCAACTCGCTAAGACCATGGCCGTCTCGGTCTCGTTCGTAGTTCTCAACAAGCCACTGTTGTCTGTTCTTGGATATTCTCTTGCTTTTCCTCATGGTCCCAGGCATGGAGCCCTGCGGAACAAAGTCTCCATGCAGTGCGCGGACAAGAGAAGCCATTGCGGTTTCGGTGAAGTCGAATGTGCAGACGTAGGTTCCGATTGACTTGTCCATGGCGAAATCGTACGGAGAGCTCACGGCAACAACAATGAGAGACTTTTTCTGTCCAGTGCCCCGAAGCATATGACACATCATTGCCACATGTTTCGTGAAGCCGGACTGATACAAGTTTCGATTGGCATCAGCAGTAACTATAATAATCGCAGACGCTCTGTTGATTAGGTTCTCGTGAACTAGGCATTGGTCAGCATGACAAAATCGCCACAGGATCGAGCAGCGGCCCTTGTACCTGGTCTGAGCCCATTCGCTGTGTAGGAAGTATGAAGGAGCTTCCCATGGCGAATGCGTGCTATTGACTTCCCAAGCTCTCGAAAGACGCCTTCTCCACTCATGATTGCTCCCTTCTCCTGATGTGCCCACTTGTCGTGCAGAGAGGAAGCTTTCGCATTTGACTTCTCCATCATGCTCTTCGTGGCTGCAGAGGCAGGTAATGGCTTGACCAGCGGGGTCAGTAATAACAATTCTTCCTCTTGTAATAGACTCTGCGAGAGAGGTAGCAGGTTGTCCTTGTTCCGTACGACGGTGATGGACTGGTCGTATGCTTTCCGAGATAGTGCGAGATGAGTGGGATGTATCTTGGACAGTAGAGACAGCCCCGGTGGATTCAAGGCCTTCTGCCAAGATGTACATACGCTCTTCATTTTCAGCACTCGCCTCAGAGAAGTGAAGATCCGTTCCTTTGAAATGATTCCATTCTCGATTCCCAGCTTCAAGCCTGATATGGCTTCCAACTGCACATCGTGCGCGCGGCAGAGAAGAACAAGGTCGTTGCCTGCCTCGACCGCCATGACAGTCCCGCCCTTGACGCCGTACTCCTGAATCAATGACTGCATCTCAAGGCATTCCGAGATGGCAACGCCGTTAAATCCGAGTTCATTTCGAAGGAGATCGTCGACAACTTGGTCGGATAGACAAGCGTGCATGACGTTCATTCCGGCATTCTGGATACCGCAGCCACCAACGAACATGGCATCCAACCGGCCAGCCCCGATAGCATTTCGAAAGGGTACGAGAGCACTGATACTGAGTTCCTCGAGGGTCTGGGTGATAATTGGCATGTCTAAGCTGGAGCCCTGGAAATCGAGGTTCCCGTAGGATGGGAAATGCTTCCCGCAAGTTGCCACACCTGCGTCTTTGAAGCCGTTGATCGCAGCGATACAATACAGCGAAGCTTCCTGGGGGTCGTCGCCTGTAGCCCGAACCCCAAGGGGTTGATGTCGAGCATTTGTCAAGACATCTAGGACGGGGCCCAGGATGACGTTGACCCCTACTGCGGATACTTCAGTCGCGGTAGCTTTTGCTATGCTATATGCCAGTTCCGGGCTCCCCGTGGCAGCGATTCCCATGGCACTGGGGAACTGGCAGATGTAGTCTTCGTCGAACAGACTGTTGACGCCTCCATTTTCCTGGTCGAGGGCTATCAACAGGGGCACTGGGTGTCCAGCTTGATGGGCTATTGTTTGCAGTTCTTGTACTAGAGATGCCGTCTGCTCGGCAGCTATACATCTTCAAATCAGTACTGACTTGGGCTCGTCACGTGCGTCTCTGAGATCTCAGGTTTGGTGCGGCTCTGTAAGGGCGAGGACCTACATTTGAGGTTCTTGGCGGTCAAGATGATGGATCCCAAGTGGTGATTCTCAATGAGGTTCCTGATCTGAGGCGTGATCTCAGTGCCATCCCATCCCATAATCAACATCTGACCAATGGCCCTATTTATTAATAGTCAGCAAGCTACCTAAGCCACCCAGGCAGACTCGGCCTGGAGCTTCTTCTCGCCAACACCGGTGGGACACCAGAGCGGGTGTGCGTACCGATCCAGGTCCTGCCATAGCGGATCGAATTCGGAATCTGACTTGGCCATATTGACCCGTCTGCGAGACTTTTCGCACAGAGGAGCCTGGCGTCACGTTATGGAGGTCGTGCAACCGGTGTGGGCATGCAGGGCAGATCAGGGTCAACCAGGCTCCAGGCCAAATAACAACGGAGAGTGTAACAAGCAAGACAGGCGAGTCGAGGCCCAGCAAGATGATAGACTGGGGGGACGGGTACACTGGAAAGAGACACTGATGCTGTAGATTGGCTGATCCACGCTGGATGTGTATTGTTCTGAACAGTGAAGAGCGAGGCTTGCTTGAGCTGACAGCTGAACACCACCTGGGCAAGGCGGGTAGGCAGTGGGCCCGCTTATGCAGGAGGCCCGGGATCGAATATGGGGTCCGGCTGATTGGCTAGCTGCCGAAAATACTGGGGAGAGCCGCTATGCCCCTCTAGGACGGGCTAGCCAGAGAGAAAATAGTGGGACCTGGAATCGGGCCCTTTTCTCCAACGCCTCCCACACTTCGCAACGTTACCTTCTCCAACTGGCTCGTTGGACCGAAGGTGTTGGAGCCTCATCCAAGTCACCAGCTCAAGCAACCAATGATCCACTCGCGCAATGTGCAATGGATGGTCACACTCTCGATGACATCCAGAGGTGGCAAGGAACCAACGACAAACGCTTTGGGATGGTGCTGGCAGACCATGAGCAGACATGGCCAGTGAGTTCATTGGTCGACCGCATCGGTGTTGGGTTGGAAGCTGTCTGCGAGCTGCGAGTCGCTATCGCAAACCAGTGACGGCCATGATGAGTAACCGACCTGCTGGCCTGGAATCGCCCGAACCATGCTGGCCAATCCCTTCGTTCACATGTTGCTCTCGTTGGTGTGGGGGGCTGGACTGGTATCAGTCCAACGCTCAAGGCTATCACGACTAGAGTGTTACAGTCACACACAGCTACGCATCCCGAAGAGACTTCGACGTCCCACTACGATTCAGATGATAGCCCTGTGGGTATCAAGGTTCGCGGGTACACATGTCATCCGTCCTGTTAGCGATGCTATCGTCGCCTCCTTGGCAGATGGGGATCGATGGATCCGGTCTAGTCTCCGGCGAACCCTCCGGGGACAAGCGTGAGTCCCAACGTCATTCCATCATAAGTACATGTAGGTCTGCGGTCTCGATACTTCTGTCTATTCCGTTCATGGAGACCAAAATACTCGCCGAAGGGACGACTGTCCTATTGCTTGACGGAACCTAGCGAACAGCTGTATCATTTCCTTGTCCATTAATTGTATACATCCGAAGTCTCGATATGCCCCACTCCCTACCCTCCTCACCCAAGTCGACGCCTAAAAATGGTGGAAATGGTATCACCAAGTTCACCAACTGCCGTATTCTGAAAGACAACTCGCTCGTCGAGGAAGACCTCTGGGTCAACTCCATCACCGGGAAGATCATCCGGAGCCAGGCTGCCTTCTACGATGACTTCGTCCTCCCGAACCAAGTCATCAACCTTGGCGGCCGCATATTATCACCAGGTTTCATCGAGTGTCAGCTGAATGGCGCCTTCGGGTTCAACTTTTCGACGTTGCTCGAGCCCGCCGTCTATGCCAAGAAGGTCAGAGAGGTGAACCGGCAGCTGGTGCGGACTGGCGTTACCTCGTACCTGCCGACCATCACCAGCCAGCGCAGCGACATCTACAAGCGGGCACTGCCGCATCTCGGACCCTCCGGATACCGGCAAGTCGCCGAAGATGGGGCAGAGTCCGTCGGCGCACACGTGGAGGGTCCTTTCTTGAGCCCAACCAAGAACGGTGTTCACAACGTGGACGTGCTGCGGGAAGCCGACACTTTCGAGGACCTGGAAGATTGCTATGGACCCACAAACATCAGCTCAGAGGACAGCTACGAGCCATCACCGATCAAGATGGTCACCGCGGCGCCCGAGCTGGGGCGCATGACGGAGCTGATCCCAGAGGTCACGGCGCGCGGCATCATCTTCTCGGTCGGACACTCGGAGGCGACGTACGAGGAGGCGTCCAAGGCAGTAGCCGCCGGCGCGACCATGATCACACACCTCTTCAACGCCATGCGGCCGTTGCACCACCGCAACCCGGGCATCTTCGGCGTCCTGGGCATGGCCGAGAGCCTGCCGCGCCCCTACTTCGGCATCATCGCCGACGGCGAGCACCTGCACCCCACGACCATCAAGATTGCGTTCAACGCGCACCCAGATGGCTTCATCCTGGTAACTGACGCCATGCACATGGTCGGCTTGCCGGACGGCGCTTATCAGTGGACGAATGGCGATTGTACGAATCATATTGTGAAGAAGGGGCCCAAGTTGATACTGGAGGGTTCCGATCGTATTGCTGGAAGGTAAGACTTCTTCTCCTTCCTGCGATTGAGCGTCGACTGTTTCCATCAGATCGACAAAACAGGTCTGCCTCTCGAAACACCTTGCTGACCAAAGCCTTCGCAACGAATAGCTCCATAACACTCATCGAATGCGTGACCAACTTCCTCCGCTGGTCCGGCGCCACCATTCCGCAGGCGCTGCGGGCCGTAACATCGACACCGGCCGCGATGCTGGGTATGCAGGGCGTCAAGGGGTGTTTGGATGACGGCGCGGATGCGGATCTAGTAGTATTATCCGAGGGTTTGGGCCAGGACGAGGCTGAGCTCGTGATTGATGAGGTTTGGAAGTTTGGGACAAAGGTCTTCAGTCGATAGACGGGTTGGCATATACTAGATTACGTGAAGCAAAGCAGGGCAAAGTAAAGTAGACCAGAGACTGGGTACTTAAACGGCAGATCAGAGGCTACATAGGTCGAGATTGAACCACGGTCTTGCAGATTGGTGAACGCTGTATGTACCAGTTATACCCCCATATCATAATCGTACACCTGGATAATAGATTATCGGGTGATCAATGGTTTATTTGGCGGTCTACATTCTTAGGTAGTTGACTATTTGCTACACGGATACCTGGAACCTTTCATGCCATCATGAAGGTCATGTGTTGCTTGTCAGTTCAGGAAGCTCGCCATCGTCTTGAGCATCATCGGGAACGCCTGCTATCGCTCTTCTGATGAACCGATGTTTTCAGAAACGGTATGCAGAGTTGAGGGGAATTGGTTGGTCAGTCAAAAACTCACCGGCCCTAACGTTGAACAGGTTGCAACATGTTCAGCAGTCCACATAAGTCCGCCCACGCACCTCGGTTTCCCCTCTCAGAAATCACAATAGGTCGTAGATGGACAGCGACCGGCGAATGTGTACGTATAATGTCAATTAGGTTCAAAACCTTTCACGGGTGGCCAATGCGGTGGCTTGCATGTATACACTCGTCTGTCGTGGAATAAGCGTACTGGAATACGGATATACATTGCAAGAGACCATTTTTTATGGTTATTACAAGGTACTTATGCCACAGTTAGGAAAACACCCTCATCATGGCCGCCATGATGGCGTGAGATTATCATCTAGGTACGGTAGGTATGATTACACAGCACTAGCCTTCAGATGCAATCGATTCAGCAACCCTCGATCCGCCTATTCCCTTTCTCTTCCGTCAATATTACTCAGGTCTATGCCCCAGTTGTGAAAGCTGTTTTAGCCGTACAGAACTGGTGGTGGAGCCCCGAACAGAGCGCCGGTCCCTGTGGTGGTCGCTGTGGTGTCTCAGGGTGCATAAAGGTTGAACACACCCGAATTCATTGTTGGAGTGCCGCCGAGAGAGGTCGAGCCGGCTGCCTGGGTGTTCGCTGTAGCGTCTCGGTGTCCATAAGAGTGTCGGTGTCGAGGCGAATTTCTTACTCTTATTCTAGGGCCGCCGAAACTTGAAAGAGGTTGCGCCGGCTGCCTGGGTGGTCCTGGTAGAGGAGTCCTGAAGCCTCTTCGCGGAGTTTCGCATGACGCTCTGGGTAAAACGGCTAGGTAAGTCCAGCTTGCCGAAGTCCTCGAACGCGGTCAACTCCTCGAGGTGCTGCGCGACTAGCGAGGCCACCATGTCGAACAGTTGCCGGTCGCCCGTCGTGGTGAAGGCCTCTCTGAGTACCTCGGTGAAGGCGGTGGCGGACCATCTGCCCTAGATCAACTTTTGGAGCTTCGAGCTCGACAGTAGGAAGAGCGCTGGGATTTCGTAGTAGTCCGCGATCGAGTTGACGCGCAAGTGGCAGAGCAGGGGATGCGTGTCGACGGTCTGCGTGTCCAGTGGAAGGCTACTAACTGTGAGAAAGTCAGATGAGGAAGATCAAACTTGATTTTCCGCTGATCAGGGTCCTTACAAGGGCCTCCACCTTCCGTCTTAAGCAGTTTGGAATCAGCCGTCGAATCCCCTTCGTAATTGCCGGTGTACATGAACGTGATCATTCGCTTACATGTACCGACATCAAAGTCCACGTCTATAGCATTGGTCTTTGCCTCCTTGAAATCGCCACGGATGGCAGCTACGAGCACCGGGGACTGGGCGCACACGACGTTCTTGTGCACCGGCATTTCTTCTCCATTGCATCTCGGAGTGAAGTCGCTGTAGTCGCCCAACTTCATCATGTTCGCAAGGAACTCGAAATGGGATCCGGAAGCCATTCTTTGGCGTTCTTCGACAAGCCGGACGCCTTTGTGTGGGATGCTTTTTTGCAGTGATGGGTGTTGACGTGACGTGTTGGGTGTGTTCGGTGACGAGGGAGTGTTTGTTGGGATAAGGCATTAGACACATGATGCATGCATAAAGTACTTACACATGCAAGGCATGCAATCACCTGGTACGGAAAGGGAGGTACAACCTCACTAGATGCCTGACATGATAAAGTTGACGCAAGTGGAAGCCTCTTCCACGCATAATCGAGTCCGATGGCATCTTCTTCGTGCCTTATCCTGACCTCAGCTACCTACCTAAGTTACGAACACGGATCTCTTGCATCTGGGGTCGCTATGGAAACTCATCTCTGTTCATAGCTACACTCACCATCACATGAACTGCACGAGGGCTGTGCCCCTTCGAGAGGCGGCGTTTCTCTAGCAGGAACTCTAATCACAAGTCTGAATGCTCAACAATCAAAACACCCTCAACGCGTCGTCTATAGGGCGAGCCATTCGTGATACAAGTCCAAGAAGTGATGGACGCCCATTTTGCTTCCTTCTAGGGGAAATCACACTATCAAGAGGTACACAGCTCTACGATCCCACTCCAGTCCAGAACTAAGGTAACTGTAGGAACAGGCTTGAACGATCAATCATAATACTCGAGTATGGGGTCAAGGTCATGATGTTGCTGATGGTTGGATTGGGAGGTCTAGCTGGACTTGCAGGTCTGGCTAAGTGTCCTCACAATCCGGTATCTAATCTCTTATCTAATCATACATGTGGATCCGGTATGAATGGTTTGAAGGTTGGAATCGCATGGATCCAACAGTAACATCATTAAAAACAAGACAGCTGATTGGTTGCTCTTGCGCACTATATTTTTAGCGAGATAGACAGCCATGGAGCGTTACATGTGTGTTGAGGTCGCTAGTGACTTACCTCGGTGGGAGCAGCGGCAAGAGAGCAAAACATGTAAGGCCGATAATTTCCGATCGCTTGAACCTTACGCGACACATGAGAGTACGTGAAGAAGATAGGACTCATGTCTTCGTTAAAACAATGTATCTACTCCCAACCCTTTAGGTGTACATAGGACACGTCTGCCGCTTCTATCTGCTATGCATCCTCCAGGGGTGACGGTATCATGTGGAATACGCAAGATGTTATTGTAACTTCACGACGATATTAAAATAGTGACATACGTAATGATTCCTTGTGTGCTCCTTGCAGTGATGGCACTCGGAATCACTCATCCATTGTCAGAGTGCAGTTTATACATATTGGGCGGATGATCCTACCTCGCCGAATACTGAGACCAGCAACTCAGGCCCGATACAAATTAGGACACCCTATACCCAGACCACTCGTCCACAAGACCTTCACCGATGGGGTTTTGCGGTAATCTACCGATATCTGCGTGCAGTCGATGCCAGACTTAGCCACCATGCCCACAAGACCAGGACTCCTGGGAAGGATTCCGAGACGTCACCGACGGTGTGAGGAAGATTGATGAACACTGTCGGGTAATCATCAGATGACAGAGTTATGACCTGGCGATGGGAACCGGTACCACGTTCTCGCATGTTTTCATCAGTGAACTTTGGACCGGCATCGCGGTCTTATCACGTGAAAACAGCCCGAGATAAACGATCTGCCACACCGGCGGAGCTGGGATCGAGGCGCGTGCAGAGAGCATGCGGCTTTCGTCAGTCGGTTCGAGGCAACAAGCCTACGGTCGGCTTGTCGTCGAAGGTAGAATGATCAACTACCGTCTAGCAGCCCAGCGTACGAACGTAGCTGCAACATCTCTAGCAAGTCCGAGAGAACTTTTGCAAGCCTAGTTCAGGCCTCACCGTCACTCTGGGTGCTTTGACCAGGTACATCACCAACGCTTCACGACAAGTCAGCTCGCGAAGCAGTCAGAATATGGATCAACATGCTGAACATGTACATATGATTATTTCTTGATACATCTACAAACAGCGCCCCTCAACAAACAGTCCTTCCTACCCCCTAGCCATACATCAAGGTCGCTTGACAGTAAGTTTATAAGGTTTATTCAGCTTCTCCAACGGCGCAATCCCACTGCGTCCCAGGCCCGGCGGCCGCGTGATCCCGGCCCCGAAGCCCATCGGCCCATTCACCGTAGTGGCATGGAAACTGGCCGCCGGCCGCGTCATGTCCTCCACTGGCGGTGGTGCCACGTTCTCCTTCTCCTTCTCGACCTCCTTCGGGCTCGGCGCCTGCGGCTCCGGCTTCGTCGGCGAGCTCGAGAAGCAGGCATACGGCTGCTTCGGGCCCCCGGATTCCTCCCGACGGTTGTGGTTCGTGGGCTTGCTGGTCAACTTTGCGGAGCCGAGCTTGTGTTCTGCGAGACTGGGATCGATGGCGGATTTGGCTTGTGTCGAAGCTGTACTTCTAGATTGGGGAAAGGGACGTGACTGTTGGCCCGAAAAACTCCGTTGCGTCGGCCGTCGAACATATGGTGCTTGAGCCTGGTTGGGCTGCGGTGTCATTTTTGGCACGTCGACAGGCTGCTTAGACTTGTCGTGGTCGGCTATGACGTAGCCGAAGCCCAGCAGATTCCTCTGGACGGGAGCGCGGTGGGCTGTAGGCCTCCTCGCGCCGGCTTGAGGCTGCTGCTTCCTGGCAGGAGGAGGCTGCTTTACGGCGCTTCTAGCTTCCGCAGCAGCTACAGTGGCCAAATGCGCCCCAGCTGTAGTGAAGCCCGGTTGAGCTGGCTGCGGCACGGTGAACGACCCAGCCTTGTCCATTGTTGTCTTGTACGGCGCGGCCCAGCCTTCGACCGAGTCCTCGTTTACCTGGGGTCCTTTCTGGGGGTGCTGGAGTTTCTGCCGTTTCCTCGGACCGCCATTCTGGTCTGGCCTATGGTCGACCACAGTGCTAACCTCCTGAGGTTTATTGGGGTCAATAGGGAACAGGTTGTCTTCTGGCGCCGCCATCATCGGCATGCCCTTGTAGATGACTTCCTCCGAAGGTAGGACTCTCCTTAAAATCCTAGCCACTTGGGACATCACGGGACGATCGAATGATGGCCCTTTTTGGAGAAAGACCGACGTGAGATCTTCGATGAAAGGTGAGAGCTGACAGCAACCGCCACCACCGTTGGCAGTATACAGTGGCGAGCTAAGATAGAGTAGAGCCTTGGCTCGGGTCATTGCGACGTACAGAAGGCGCCGCTCTTCATTCTGATCATCGGCCCGTATATGAGGTATGGATCCTTTGTAGACTGCGGGAATGAAGACAACCGGCCACTCAAGACCCTTCGCGGCATGTATCGTGGAAACCGTGACTTGAGGTTTATCTTCCTGATCCTGGGTCTGTTTGTCGGATGCTAACGCCACGTTCGACAGGAAGCGTGCGAGAAGATCATTGTCGGGGACTTGCTGCACGTTGTCAATAATGGGTAGAAGTTCTTCTTCCAGTTGACCCTGATGCATGAACTCCTCGGCGAGGTTGACAAATTCCTGGACATTGGCCCAGCGTGACTCATACTCCGGTCCGTAGGTGTCTTCTAGATACTTCTCGAACTGCAGGTCTCGAAGTAGCTGCTGGATGATCTCAACCAAGTTGATGGGCGTGCCATCGCTTGATCGCAGACGCCTCCGCAGATTTCCAATCAGCCTGATCAGCTCCCCGCTAATTTTCTGTTCGGTCTGCTTCCGGATGTTTGTCTTCGTGTTTCTAACACCCCGACAATGTTTTTCAAGTAGTGTCCAAAGACTCAAAGAACCTCGTTCAGCTTCCTCGAGCAGCGACTTGACTGTCGTATCGCCGATACCTCGTTTTGGGACGTTGATGATGCGTGCGAACGCATCATTGTTATCTGGTTGATGAATTACTCGCATATAATCCAATATGATCTTGATTTCCACTCGCTCGTAGAACTTGAAGCCGCCTATGAGAGCATCAGTGCTGAAATTGGAAGGGTAGCGCGGCTTATAATGACATACCAACCATTCGGTAAGCCACACCTTCCCGTCCTAGAGCGGACTCTATGTGCCTGGACAGTGAGGCGGACCGAAGCAGAATCGCAATATCGTCAAATTCAACCATGTTACCGGATAGTAGCCTTATCCGTTTGATCTCGGAAACAACCCAGGCGGCTTCCTCTGTCGAGCTCTTCAACTTGCGAAGAACTGGTCGCGTACCCTTGACGTGTACTGGCAATAAAACCTTCTTGTATCTGTCTTGATCTTGCTGAATGACTTTCAAAGACGTGTCAAGGATCGAACTTGAGGATCTGTAGTTTTCCTCTAAAGAGATCTCATCGGTCCCCGGGAAGTCATGTAGTAAACGATGCAGATTCCTGATTTCTGCCGATCGCCACCCATATATACTCTGGTCTGGATCACCGACAACAGTTATTCTTCGGTTCTGCTGAGCAAACAGCTTCATGAGATCATACTGGACCCCGTTGGTGTCTTGATATTCATCGATCAGAACTGTCTGGATGTTCGAAACGCAGTGAGGGAACTTCCGGAGGAGTTCAACGCAGCGAACCAGAAGGTCATCGTAGTCGAGCAAGTTTGAGCGGTCAAGGTGACTCTGGTACTCCTGGAAGCACTGCTCCAGGGCCTGGGACTCCACGTTCTGTCCATTCTTGGCCTTGATCGAACGTTCATCTGAAGTCCCTCTCGCTTTCCGCTTGCTGATCCAAGCCCGAGCCACAGGAGGCTCGATGGGCGCGCTCAGTCTTTTACAGATGCGTGTGATAATGCCACGCGAGTCCGAATCGTCAGCGATGCCAAATTTGGGGTCCAGCCCAATGCGCTGGCCGTACGCAGACAGATAGCGACGAGCAATGCTGTGGAATGTGCCTAGAATGATCTTCTTCTCGCGTCCATCACCAAGGGCTTTCCCAATACGCGTCCTCATCTCATTGGATGCCTTGACGGTAAATGTTGCGACGATGACATCGCAGGGTTGGATGCCAACATTGTCGATGAGCCAGGCCACGCGTGAGGTGAGCGTGTGCGTTTTGCCACTACCTGGGCCAGCTAATATAGCGACGGTCGGGGCTTCTGAGCTGACAGCGAGACATTGTGCTTTGTTGAGCGACTTGAATATTTCGGCTTCAGTCGCGGCTGGCATGATAGATGCCGAAAAGTATAGCTCTCAATGCAAGAGTTGATCTCATCAGATTCGGGTTTTTTGTTGTCGGGCAGAGCGCAGCGCAATTAGAGGTTGCAGACGCGTCTTGGTGATGCGAGACGCGGTGGGTTGATGGTTCGAGGCGCGGAATCAGGTGACCATATCCTTTGCAGTCCGTACTCCCGCAGACCATCAACACGCCGAAGCAAGAAAGAGGACAAGTTGTTCCTATTTAGTGTTCATTTCCTCAAAGCAACCGTCATCAGACCGAATGCGATAGCAGGATGAGCCAGTCAGAGATATACAGTTGTTTATTGCATTGAGGGTACGTGCCTTCTTGATCTCAGCTTGAGGCTATGCCCAATGACCAGTGCGGCGCAGGCAGGCATGTCTACTGTGGCTGGTAGCGTGTGTGAACGGTTCAGTTCAGCCACTGCCAAATCAGATCAGAGTCGCCGACTCCATGCTTCTCCTTCGTCGCAAATGTTCGCGCCGTTCAGGTACTGAAATCTGAGCTCCAATCCCGCCGTTCGCCAACAATCCATCCAACGTTGTGCGATGTCGTTGGTAAAGCCCGAACTGCGTTCTGTTTCTTGTTGGTCACATTGATAACCTTGATCATGCCATGTTGGTTCCCGGAGGACACGCAGAGGATTGCGTTGCTGCCCGCCTTTATTCCCTGTCATTTGCTGCTTTCAACTTGAAGGCACATAGCTGGCGCCCGTCGCAGCTATCGCTACGGGGTAGAGGGTGAAATCACATCCCACGAGGAGACAATTTGAAGAGTTGATAAGTTCGAGATGTGACGATGCTGCAATTGGAGTGGCTAGGGCCCTTATTAGGTGCTGCTAAGGCCCCATCGTACATTGATTCGTGTTGGCAGCTGCAGAACGGAGATGTGAAGCACATTGGAGTCCGCATGGCAATGCCAATGGGGGCCGAGAAGAGGAGGATGCGCACAGCAGCAGGGGCCGTGAACACTGAACAGCAGGGTCCGATCGAGCGGGGTCGGTATGCGAGAGGCCATCACCAATCACCCGCCTGGGTCAACTCCTCGGCGCTTAACCTCCCCTGCTCTGCCCTGCCACCCCAGATATCCCGTCCAACCAGGAGGCCGAGACCGCCATCAACTTCCGCCCTCTGCAGAAGACAGTGTGGCAATCTATCTGCATCTATCACGCTGACTGGCCGCTGTTCCTGGGGGCCCGAGGGGCCGTCATGCATGTGCCTTGTGCCCCAAGCCGGGGCCAGTGCCTCGTGAGCAGAGCTTGACAACTTACAAGTCACGGCGCCAACCTCGACATGGCGGTATCGACCTGGGCCGCCCACCTGCATCTTGACTTGACACACTGCCGAACTTCAACAGCCGCTATATACCCTTTGCCTTCCCAGTTCCGTGTCTGACCTTGTCGCTTTTCCATCACTGTGTGTTTCGATTGACCCTTCAGGAGGCTCTGGCTAACGAAGCTATTCGAATGAGGATCTACATCGTACACAATGCAACCTGGGCTTTATAGCGCCGCCTCCTCTCTTGAATTTGGACTGCTGCTCTTGACTTCTTTGCCGTTCATTCCTTTCTGTTCCTCCACTCCAGCCGGCCGTCCCTGGCCCATCGACACTGAGTTGACCGTATACTCCAACTATCACGACCCAGCGCCGGCGCCTGAGGACGGTCCCCCCTTATCGGCTGGTGCCCTTCGAGACACATCCTATCTCCCAGCCCAGATCGGTGGCATAGTCGGCTCCTACGCCTTCTCGCTCGTTGTAGTTGCTGCTCTTCTACTTCTGCTCGCAAAGAAACGTCGCCAACATCTCACAGCTGGAGAAGAGGACATAGATCCTGCTGAGGAGTTTGCCTATCAGTTCGCGTACGCAGCAGGTTTACATCCTGACGAAGATCCCCAGTATCCTTACGCTCCCCAGTCACCCAGTTCACCTATCAAGAACTTCTCTTACCCAGTCCCTACCAGCCCTACGAAGGAGAAGGATCCCAGTCCCTACATATATCCTTCATTTCACTCCACAAGCACCCTTGGTGTCAATCCCTTAGTCGACCCGAGAGTGGTCAAGGCAGATCGCGAAATGGCACAACAACAGCTCGAGGAGATGTACAAGCATGTGATGGAGCAGGAAGCCGCAAAGGAAGCCGGTGTGGTATTGGAACAGCCCCCGGCGCCAGTGTTGAGACAGCCCTCGTCGGATGCTGTGCCAAAGGGGAGCATCTTGAAGAAGGGCAAGAACAAGCCTGCAAACCTGGACCTCACGCAAAGCGAGCCAGAGAAGCAGTCGCGGACGTCTTCATTCTTCTCGGCTCTCAAATCCCCTCGCACCAAGAAGAATGTGAAGGGCATCAGCATCTCGTCGCCCATTATGACTCCCATGTCCGGTACATTTCCGCGCCAGGATGGAGAGGAGATGAACACAATCCCTCCTCGTCATTACGCGCCGGCCTCTCCGCCTCCTATTCCTGGTGACCATTTTTCATATGCACGCAGTAACCGACAGATGGGACCAACAGCTCCCCTGACACCACCAGATGTGTCACCTGAGAGCACGCAAAGCATTGATGAGCGGATCGGTGGTCAGCTAGGTCATTCACGATCCGACTCTCAGGCACCTACGGAGTACGATCCCGTCTCCGCCACTTCAGAAAGATCCACGGCACCCCTCGTGGGCTTGCCTTCATCTCCGAAGCCTGGCGTCAACCGCTTCTCGTCGTTTCCGGCGTCACCAAAGCCCGGGGCCACATTCCCAACGTCTCCCAGAGGAGACACATTCCCCGCCTCTCCTCGAGGAGCCACATTCCCGATATCACCCAAGCCCGGGGCATCCTTCTCACGGCCAAACGCACCGTCGGCCATCCGCACGGGTGGTGCGCTTCCCCTCCGCGCCTACGAGCCGGCCATGGCGTCGCCCTCCGTGCAGACCACCAAGCAAACGACGTTTGAACGCGCACCCCTCTCCCCGTCGGGACTCCGCACACCGTGGACTGGAGCGCCGGTGCCGTACACGCCGTACCAGCCCTTCTCGCCAGTGATGCCCGTCACACCGTCGCTGATCACCAAAGCGGACCGCAAGCGGATGAAGCAGATGCACCCCAAGACGCCGACTATGCAGATGGTGCAGAGCTCGGACGACATATGGTAGATGACAAGACGGAAGGACGCATTTCCCCTGGAATATAGACGCGTGATGACATGCAAAAGTCGCTTGATGAATGATCTACGCAAGGTGGGACATGGTTGGTTACCTATAGGGGAGTTGTTCTTGACCTCAGGGTCTTATGTTTCAGATGTTCATACATAGAGTTGCTTACCCATTATACCACCTGTGTGCTTGAGGGAGTTAATGTATTTAGCTGTTTTCAGGATTGGGTCTATTATATTAGGGATGAATTCTACGATCTATACCATTTGATGCTTTCTTTGGCAACGCGCACCCGCGTCCGTGTCCATACATGGACAACTGATCAGAGCTTTTCCAATCGTGAGCCTTGAGGGCCACTGTTCCGTATCAAATGTCCATGGGTGTCCGGACGGGAGAGAAGAGGATAAGGGTAACAAGCTCTTTGGGATAAGCATCGAGGAGATCAAATGTTGGTGCTTCTTAACCAAGATATGGGATGATGTTGTGGCCCGCGGTGTTGGACTACAGGGGACGGACGCGCGGTGCGTCAGGCAAGGGGGGATATGTCCGGAGCCCCTGAATGCTTAACCTTACACCGAGTCAGTAGGTAGGGCTGGTTGATATACCTAACGCACGTTAACTTTCTGACCTGCGTTAGCATCACGATGTATATACGGTCTGGGCTGTATGTGATACTGATATGCTTTTCCATCGAATGCCCTGCTGAAATCTTGCCGGGAGACTGAGATACCTGATAGAAGGAGGTAGGTCTTGGCGAGGTCAATCTTCGGTTGGGACTGCATGGGATGGACGAGCGAATATCACGGCGATGTTGGCGCATCACTTACGCTGGCTACCTGATAGAAGGTCTCCAGCTGCATCGGGGTGGATGACTCGTGTCCCTGCTACTCAGGCTGCTGCAACCCGTGAAAGTGACGGGCCACACAACTTGAAGGTGGAAACATTAAGCAGACTGCGATGCAATCCGGCAGCAAGATACCGGGTAGCCGACACACATGCATGCCATGCGGTAACGTTAGAAGACATCGGATGCTGGTGATTGCACATGGGATCGGGAATATGCTACAAGGCAAGATCTCATGTTGTGATTTTGAATGACACTGTACCTGCATGTGATAGGGGGCGAGGGGCTGCTAGCGACCCTACCCGTCAGGCCTCATCGGCTAATGATCCCTTTGTCCCTTGGACTCTTGAGATATGCCCCGTGCGCTCGACATCTTGAATCCCATTGTCTTGAGGGAGCCGAGGTTTCCTTGATGTTAACTATATGATAGATCGTCTTTACATACCTCTACACGTCTCTACATACTTCGAGTCCTGGTGCCATCTCGTCTTAGTATGACCTCTTGTATCGATCTCCCCACCACCCGATCAAGTCCCATACGGACAAAGCTGCCTTGTTAGGCGCCTGATGAAGAACAAGATACGACCCCTCGTCTTGCATGTTCCTACTAGCAGTACCTACATGTAGTTAGGTGGTGTTGAATGATTTAACCAGAATTCTGCTTAATACAACGTGTATGACCATCAACTGTGGTGGTGATTCAGGGGCACGGCACCTGGGAGCCGTTGATCTTGGTCATCCTGCGCTTCCACTTCCTTTGATTGATAGGAGCCCAACCAGAGATCGCCAAGACCTATAGTAGATGTTTGTATGTTGTACGCCTCAAGTTGCCCAACTTCCATCTCGATGGTGAGACGATATAACAGCTCCAGTAACGTTGAAGAGAGCAACAATCTTTAGCCCACCAACAACGGCTTCCACCAGACACTGGTACATACCCGTAGGTACACAGTTCTTCCCTTTGTGGACGTTGTTCTTTCGTCTTTCGGCTTCTTTGGTCGCAGAACCAGAAACACCCTAGCGCCAACCACCTGAAGTTCACCATTGCCCACCAACGCGATATATCAACAACCGAGGAAACCTGTTTCGAGCACAATTGTGTGATTCGATTGTGATCATCCCCTCACTCCTATACCTTGAGGTATCTCACCTCAGAACCGTGTAGGTGCACCTGTAGACGTGGAGGTAGGCATCGATTGCTCTAATAATCAGTAAGTGCCGGTGCCCCGAGGTGCTAAAGGTACCTGTTAGGCTGTTAGACCGCTGCAGTTTAGCGCGCTTGCACACGGACCTTTTGGCGTTAGGCAAATTAGGGGTAGCAACCTGGCGGCCTGGCACTCTGGGGCAGCACCTGCAGCCAGAAAGAGGGACCACCTGCACGCAAAGTCACCACCTACCTGCACGGGCACTCACTGAGACTATCTCTCCTGCCTACTGCCTACTGCCTACAACCTGCTACAACCTACCGACTCCGCGTCTGGGCGGGCAGTTGAATCACTTCACCCAACCTCCAACCGCCAAGGGCAAAGGGCAAAGTTGTGCCGACTAATTCCATGCGCAAGAATCACCACGCACCACTTGCCATTACTTTCAGTGCGCAGCAATGACAGCTACAGAAAGTCATCGTCACTCGAGAGCCTCGTCCCCGCCTGCCCGATCGCACTCGACACGTTCATCATCACGACCCACCACCACCTCTACGACCACCACCAGAGACCAGACCAGCGAGCTCCCACATCGGTCTGCGTCGGCATCCCATCATCACCATCGCCAGCACAGCCGCCACAGTTCCTCCAGCAGGCCCGTTCAAGACGTCCTACCACACCAAGACTATGAGACCTCGAATGTGAAACGAAGCTCCAGCAAAGACCGCCATCCACCAGTCTCGCGCAGTACAGACTCCAAGGGGGTCCATCGACGAAGCAGCACACGTTCCAACCACGCGAACCACAAAGACATGGCCGGCCCCACGGCTGTCAATAACGCTGGCCCTGCTGCCCTCCCGCCTGTCATGCAGGCTGCAGCAGATGCCCGACCTACCGGCGGCAAACCACGAACGACGCGAACCTCGATTCCTACGCCCTCAGGAACATGGATCCTTGGTCGCACCGTGGGACAGGGCTCCATGGGCCGCGTGAAACTCGCCCGCCGAGAAGACGGAACTGAGCAGGTGAGTGTTTAGTCAAAACTATGGTGGCATGGTGTCTATAACCCCGCTCCCCCTCCCCGACCACCATTGCCACGGTTGATGCTGACTTAGTACCGCCAGCTCGCCTGTAAAATCATCCCGCGAGGCTCTACCGAGGATGGTCACCATAGTCGCGCAGACAAGGAGAGAGCAGATCAATCCAAGGAAATCCGAACTGCGCGCGAGGCTGCCATTGTCACTCTCCTCCAACATCCCCACATCTGTGGACTACGAGATGTGGTTCGCACCAATTATCATTGGTACATGCTCTTCGAGTATGTGAACGGGGGACAGATGCTCGACTACATCATCTCCCATGGAAAGCTGAAGGAGAAACAAGCAAGGAAATTCAGCAGACAAATTGCCAGCGCTCTCGACTACTGCCACCGGAACAGCATAGTTCACCGCGACCTAAAGATCGAGAACATCCTCATCAGCAAGACTGGCGACATCAAGATAATCGATTTCGGACTGAGCAATCTCTTCTCACCCGGCGGCCATCTGAAGACCTTTTGCGGCAGTCTGTACTTTGCCGCTCCCGAGTTGCTCCAAGCGCGCGCGTATACAGGCCCCGAGGTTGATGTCTGGAGCTTCGGTATCGTGCTATACGTCCTAGTTTGTGGCAAGGTCCCTTTCGATGACCAGAGCATGCCGGCCCTACATGCCAAGATCAAGAAAGGGGCTGTGGACTACCCTGGCTGGCTATCTAATGGCAAGTAGACAAACCTCCATGCTGTTCAATGTGGGTTGCTAACTTAGGATGTAGACTGCCGCCACCTTCTGTCACGCATGCTTGTTACGGATCCTAGACAGCGGGCGACCATGTACGAGGTCCTAAACCATCCTTGGCTAACGAAGGGCTACGGTGGACCGCCCGAGAACTACCTTCCCCCTCGAGAGCCACTGACACTTCCGCTGGACCCAGAGGTCATTAACGCCATGACTGGTTTTAACTTTGGGGCCCCTGAGGGGATCAAGGCTCAACTCACCCGAATGGTTGAATCCGAGGATTACAAGCGGGCTATACAACTTTTGCAGAAGGAGAGGGAGTTGCCGCAACCATCGAAGGATGTGGAGAAGAAGCGTGGTTTTGGCTTCGACTTCTACAAGCGACATAACTCTGCGAATAGTCGAGACAACCTAACCGCCCCGAGCGCGGAGGCCATTCAGCTTGGCAGCGATCCTCTCAATGCCTATAGCCCCTTACTTTCTATTTACTACCTGGTTAAGGAGAAGCAGGCTCGCGACAAGGTGGATGCCGTGCCAAAATCACATACCCCTAAGAACGCTGCCGACTCACCAATGCCTGAGATTGCGCCACCTCCTCAAGCACATACGAACACCGCAGCTTACGAGATGGCAGGGGAGAAAGCCACGGGTGGAAGGACGAGGGCTCGCGCCAGGACTCATGGGGAAGATGACGCCCCTGACGACGTGAAGAAAGCACAGCTATCGCCTAATTTGCCTGCTGCCCCAGGCATCCCAGCTGACGCGCCGGCGAAGAAGTCGAGTGCCGCAGCAGGTATCCTTCGACGTTTCAGCACAAGGCGTCGCAAAGAGCCTGAGAGACAGGACAAGGATCGGTCTCACCCACCAGTGGTCCAGGTCCACTCACCGGCCGAGAATACAGTAACACCCCGCAAGAGTTTCAGCATACGGAAACCCAGACGTGATCGAGATGAGCCCGAAGGTTCAAGGTTACGGTCTGGCAGCAGTCAACCTCAACACCGCGATCTCCTCAGCCCGCCGCTATCCGCCGGTGACAATGCGCCCGGAAGCAAGAAAGGTCTGGGACGGTCCACAAGCGTGAATTCGGGGGATTATAGTAGAAGAAGACCATTTGGATCCACCAGCAGAATTCCCAAAGAACCGCCGCCCACGAGTGGCTCTGACCAGTCCACGGCTACCGACAAACCAGTGCCAGAACAGAAGAGCAAGTTGAACACGCGGGGCACCTCAATGCAAGCAAGGCCGCTGGGACATGCTAGACGGGAAAGCATCCAAGCCAGGAGGGCTCGAAGAGAGGGAGCCCGAGCGACTGATGTCCCCGAAGAGACGGACCAGGACGTTGGCGAGACAAGTGGAAATTCAGCAGATCGTCTAGATGACTCGGAATTGGCCAAACCGGTTTTCTTGAAGGGCCTGTTCAGTGTCTCGACGACGTCTGGCAAGTCAGTGCCGGCAATCCGGGCGGATGTCAAGCGGGTGCTGAAGCAGCTCGGTGTCGAGTACACAGAGATCCGCGGGGGTTTCGCTTGTCGCCACACACCTAGTATCGATCTGAAGAAAGTGGCAGATATGCCCGGCAGTCCCGCACCAGTTTCGGGCCACCACCGTCGGTTCAGTTTTGGCATTAGGAGCGAGCGTGAACGGGAGGAGCTGCGGGAGTTTGACCGGGCGCCACCCACGCCGCGAACTCCCGGGAAGGGACCGGCGGACAGGAGTGACTCTACATCGGAAATTTCCGAGCAAGAAAGCATCCACCGGGATCCCCCTGGGTCCACAAGGAGAGTGCCCGGTGAGACGATGACCCACGTGCAGAGCGACCTAGGAGGAAACATGATCCTCAAATTCGAAATAATCATTGTCAAGGTTCCGCTGCTCTCGTTGCACGGACTAACGTTCAAGCGCATAGAGGGAAACACGTGGCAGTTCAAGAACATGGCCGATCAAATACTTAAGGAGTTACGACTGTAGGCTCACAGTGCTGCCGAGCAGCTATGGCGGGTCAGAAATCGCACGAGTGGGCAGAGTTGGGATGATGGACAGGCGGCTACATTGCTACGAGGCCTACTGGGCGACGCGGCTTTGTTCATTTCAAACGTGTCTTATATTTCACAAAGTTAATGGGGTGGACGTGGCATGCCGTCGTTGAATACGCCTTCTCACTCTCCAATCCCCTTTTTGTAGGGAATGGCGGTCTTTTAATGACGAGGTCTCCAGGCTAGAGGGCCTGCGTGTGAGGAATGTTAGTTTAGGGAAGCCTGGGCGAGCCAGGCATAACGACTATGATGTTTCCTAATAGCGAATACAAATAGTAATGTAGTAACTAGATGTGGTGCTGGTAACAACATATATGCACATTGCCTTGGTGCCGAGTTGGTGATAATAAGGATACACAGCTCTACCTAACGTGGTACCTTCATTGCTGGCCTGCTTACTCTCGACTGAACCTGTGAGATTTCAGATGGTCTGTATTTGGAAGAGGAATAAGGAGGTAGCTGAAAGGGGTACCTTCCCACTTGAATAGATGGGAAAGGTACTTCTAACAGCTAACATGTGATCCCGTAGGATGAGGAAGACACGATGGCGTTGAGGCCTTGGGTGGTCCGTGCGGAGTGTGTGTGATTCTCCCACGGTCAACCAGCCAATCAGTCGATCGATGGCTAGAGGCTCCAAGTGGGCAGCCACACCGGTAGGTACCTTACCGTCGATGCATGGCCCGTGCGCGCACTCCAATCGGCAAATTGGAGCTCGGCCTTGGTGCGGGTGGCCTCGAACCGTGTACACACCTCCAACCCTCCCAGCCAATATTCGCACCTTGGTCGCCTCGACACTGCGGTCTCACTGCATCTCATCAACCCCTTCGGCGACCGCGAAAACATCAATACTTAGTGAAGCTGCCCCCGAGTGCATACGCATCCAATCTCCCTCGAGCCTCCTCGTCAAGAAATCATACCAAGCTCCAGCCTCGGGCGATAGACACCATTGATCATCAGGCCGAGCCGCGTTGAAACGACAAGAGCAACGACAAGAGCAAACGGAACCCTTTGTCTTCGGCCTCGGAATACCCTCTGCGAGTGTCAAGGGCACTGCTTGTGCGTCGAGTGACAGGCTAGACTACCAGTTGCAAAGCTGCACTGCAGAGGCCTTTCCTGCCTAAGATCTTGTCGTCGACTCTGATATAGGTTGGGAGCGCGCCTTGGAGCACTTAGCAGCTGCGGCCACGACTGGACTGAAGCTGCGTGGCAGAGATCTCGTGCCAGATTGGCAAACATACTGTCACTCACCAGCAGTGCCACACACGCACCTTCTACAAGGACTGGACAGCCTCAGGCCCTGCTCTGACACCAAATTACTTTCCCTTCCACAACACCATCACCATTACGATCGTTGAACATAAGAGGAGCGCTTTCTCGAAACTGAAATCGACCTCGAGAAAGCTCTCATCGACAGGGACAACGCGCACGAGGCCGTTCATAGTGAGTGAATCCCGGCCCAGCATATGTTGCAGCCATAGATCGAGCCCTGACTTGCATAATCATAGTCAACCATAGTGGCAAAGACCGCAACCCCGTGTTGACGGCCGATCAATTCTCCAGCACCTTTCAGCCCTCTCCCTCGCGGCCCTACTGGAAGAAGAACAGTCTTAGGACAAGCCCGTCCCAGTCTACGCCGTGGACTGGCAATACACACTAGAAGACAAGGCCCTCTTGCACGATTTTGACATCGACGTCCTCAACCACCCTCCAACTCGATCCGGTGCCTGAACTCTCTACCTATCAACCATTCTTCTGACATTCTTACCGTCTCCACCAGCTGTTCATTCGACACGGTCAAACTTGCGGAAAGTGGAAGAGAGCCGACAGGCTACACAATCTCGTCCATCCAAGTCGAAGTTTCAGATTCAACACCTCGAACTCCATTACAATATCCTTCACTTGAAGACTGACTATACTGTCTCCGCCGCAGCCCCTGCATTGTGTCCGTTCCTCAGGCATTCGGCACAATAGGCCCCGGAGAAGCACCCATTCGAAATCAAATACTTCAAATTTCCTTCAAAGCCAACCATGATGCCCAACATGTACGGCCATCACCAATACAACCCGCATAGCGAGCAGTCGTGGATGCATCAGCAGCCTAACCATCAACACCAAGCCCAGCAAGCCGCCGCTGTCGCTGCCCAGCAACAACACTACAACCGCCTGGCAGGCGCCCACAACAATGCCACTGCTGGCATGGGGGCATCCATCCCTGGTCATGTCCAAGACAACGGCCTGGAAAACGTGTCCGAGGATAATCGCCGGACCCTCAGCTTCATCGCGGACCTCTTGAACGAGAACACGCGCGAGGCTGCTCTGTTGGAGCTCAGCAAGAAGCGCGAGCAAGTCCCGGAGCTGGCCCTGATCCTGTGGCACTCTTTTGGTTGGTGATTCCGTGATCAAGTTTCTGGGAGTGGTAGCTAATCTGGTGAAATCTAGGAGTCATGACTTCATTGATGCAGGAGATCATCTCAGTCTACAATCTCCTCAACCCCTCTCAACTAACGGCGTCGGCTTCGAACCGAGTCTGTAATGCGCTTGCATTACTTCAATGTGTGGCTTCGCACAATGAGACTCGAACTCTCTTCTTGAACGGTACGTAACTCCACCCTGCAGCTGAGACGGGGTGAAATATACTGACCTTTGGATGCAGCACATATTCCCCTCTTCCTCTACCCGTTCTTGAACACCACCTCGAAGTCCCGACCCTTTGAGTACCTTCGACTCACCTCGCTTGGTGTGATCGGCGCATTGGTCAAGAATGACTCTAGCGAAGTCATCAACTTTCTCCTGACCACTGAGATAATTCCCCTGTGCTTGCGCATCATGGAGACTGGATCGGAACTCAGCAAGACAGTCGCCATCTTTATCGTCCAGAAGATCTTGCTGGATGACAATGGTCTGAACTACATATGTGCCACTTACGAGCGCTTCTATGCTGTGGGCACGGTCCTCAGCAACATGGTAGCTCAGCTAGTGGAGCTGCAAACCGCTCGTCTGCTTAAGCATGTTGTACGCTGCTTCCTGCGGCTCAGTGACAACGCCCGTGCTCGAGAGGCTCTGCGACAATGTTTGCCGGAGCCACTCCGCGATGCAACCTTCAGCTCCCTATTGCGTGACGATGCTGCGACCAAGCGATGCCTTGCCCAGTTATTGATCAACCTTTCGGACAATGTCGTTGAGGCCGGTGGCAATGGTCACACCGGCTTATGAAGCTCTGACAAGCAGTACTCGTACTGGTGGCCACGATACTGCAGCCGCCAAGGTCGTCTTCTTCCACCGCGAGGCAGTGGACGCGCTCTTTGAGCGAATTGCTGCCACTGGCGGCAGCTTGAACGTCGACGGCTATACAGCAAACGTCTCGCCAAACTTCATCAAAGCAGCCGCAGAACGAGAAACCACCGCCTCTTCGAGGACATGAGCATGGACCTTCGCGCGTACTAGTTCAATTCTTTCCTTCGTTCTTCCAAACCACTTTCTCACTTTCCGAGTTGGAGTTAGACTACTATATACCCCCGTGGAGTTCTCGAGGCCGTACATTACACTAACACTGGGTCTATACCACAAACAATGATATTTTGCGCATGGCTGGCGTTCTGGGCATCAACGAGTGGAGTGATGGACGGACTATGGTACTGGGACAGGGAACTGGCCGGTGGGCTCAAGCGTTTGCCGCATTTCCTACGGCGCTAGCGCATTTGCATCTCATACACATCATTAGAGCAGTAGCGGAAGATATGGCTCTGTAGCTTTGTAGGTTATGTGTATATGAAAAAAAAAAGGAGGAGACCATTCCAGTCCAACTTTTACAATTCGTGGGTAGACTACAGACTTCTCTGCTCGCATCATTGCCCTTATCTCTCATATGACTGAGCTTATCATACGAGAGGAAGGCTCTTCATTATCCGGCTATAGGGTCTTGGTCTTAAGGCGGTGTACCGGCCGTCCGTAGATTGACAATTACTTGGAGAAACGAGAGTAGCGAGTCAAGCATGTCCCTCCTCCGATGGGTGGAGCGGGCATGAATTCACCAGGCGGATAGGAGTTGGTCCGCCTCAAGGACGCCCCCAGTGTGTGTTTCGCCAAAACTCACACAGTCACGGGACTGAAGCTTGTCTCCAGCACCCCTATACTCAAAGCGCAGCGCAAGGCCCGGGCAGCCGATGCCCACGAATAGCCTAAATGCTTTTAGACAGCTTCAAAAGTAGTCCCAAGACCCTTTCACGAGACCGAGACTTGATATCAACCCGCCTCGGGCCAGACGGGAGGCAGTGTTCGTAGAGAAGGCTCTGGTACGTATAGATAGGATTCATATTATAAAAGAATGTCATGTGGGCTAGCCGCCATTAAATATAGGCGTAGCTTGTAGCTGGTATATCGTATCGTATAGATCGTAGGGTATGCCGTATCCCTCCTTCAGCTCGAAATCAAACACCATTTGCCATTTTCCCATCTGCATTTCATCATCGACATTCAAACCGCCGACGTCTTCAGTACCTCAGCTCAAGGCGCGTGAACCGCCTCTTCGTCGAGTCGTCCAGCCAGTTCATCTCCCGAGGTGTATACTTGTGGGTAGTACGCTTCCACAAACCGCCCTTGCCGAAACCGGAAGGGAGTTCGATGTCTGGGCTATGGTGGACCTTTGTGCTGGTCTTTTGCGTGTGGTGGTGAGCTTGTATGCAACACTCGACTTCGGGCAGAGTTCCATGCTGTGGTACGCCCGTCTTATCGCTTGAGGAAGCCCACATGCCCGTGGGTGCGTGGATAGCGGTCTGTATCGGCATCGGCTTCACCCAGAGGGATGAGACGACAGCCGGCACAGCAGGGATATCTGCGACAAAAGGGGCAGCGTCGGCGCCCCTAGTTGCGCTTCGGGATCGAGTCGAAATCGCTTGCTTGTGCTTGGTCTGACGAAGGCTTCGCTCTGGCTTTGCAGACGCACCATATCCTTCCATCGCAGGATGGACCGTCTCTGCCGAAGTTTCCAACGATCCAAAGAAGACAGGGTGACGGACCGCCACATCGAAGGGGCCAACATCAGGAAGTTTGCTCTTCACAATAGCTTGTTGCAGTTCAGCTGCCCACTGGGAGGGTGGTGCTTGGCCTCTTGAGAATCTCAGCTCGGGATACGATGCAGTTATTGCGCAGCGCAGCGCTACAGACCATTCCCGAGGGGTTGCCCCACTGCGGGCGATCTTTGGCGCAATGTGGCTGGCGTTGATGGCTTCCTGAAGCTCTGCATCCCAGTTCTTGGAGTGTGAAGCCCGTAGAGCGAGCTTGGTACCAGGGTAGCTAGCTACTATGGCCTCGCTCAGTGCTGCACCCCAGCTCTCGCGGTAGGCGATCGTGGGTCGGTGCTGCTGGCGGATGGGAATGTGGACGGGTTTATCGCGAGGGATTTCATCGAGGTTCTTGATGATAAACTCTTCAGGCAACTCATCCAACTCAGCGGTCTTCATCTCAATCTCAGCATGTTCAGGGACCTTTGGCACGTCTGGCGTCTTCTTGGCCTTCCTTCCAAACCATCCACCGAGGAACCCACCGGTGCTCTTGCTAGAAGTAGTGACAGTTGAGGCTTTCGTCGTGGTTGTCTTCACTGATGCTGCGTCCGCGGTAGGGGAAGATGGTGCGGAGCTCATCATTGACGCAATAGATGGGCTTGATGGACGTACTGAATATATTGAGATCCAGTCCAGCTCGACTGATGTGACCTGGCTCTTTACCCATAGGCGGGTAGATTGGAGTCTCTGCATGGGTTGCTCAATGCTTCTTGGCTTCCTGAGCATCGCTAGAGCCGCCGGGTCTGCAGAAGTAGTGCGGTAGACTGTTCTCGTTGGGTCGAGCTGGAATAAACCAGGAGATGAAGACGAGACGGAAACACTCTTGCTCCACAGAGAAATCTTGCTGGCACCGGAGGCCCGGCTCACATGAGGCTGTAAGACCCACAGAGTCTTGCTTGTCAAGGTAACTGCAGGCTGTTTGACTGTGCGTGGCTTTGTCGTCGTAGAGATGGCTGCGGGAAGCTTAGATGTCCTCCTGAAGTCATGTCGGACGGCTTCGGCGTTGAAAACCCCCTCGGACTCCGACTCTGAGTGTGCCATAGGCTTATTCCATAGCCCACCTGTGTATGCCGTGCCATCTATTAGTACAATTGAGGCGGCTTCGCACGGTGGCATTTGGGGTGCCAAAGGCCTGGCGGCTACAAGCAGCCAGCTAGGGGATGAACTTTCAGATGAGGAGCTCTGACTCCTTACAGTCCAGAGTCCCCCCTTCTGAAAGCGCACAAGAGGCTCTACCGTCGCGCGGGGTGTTTTCGAGGCCATGACCTTGGCAGCCGGTGGTTGAGAGGTACTTCGGAAATCATTCCGGACGGCGTTGGCATCAAAAAGACCCTGAGACTCAGGCTCCTGTCTCGCCGCTGGCTTGGTCCACATTTCATTGAAGTGTGCCGGCTTGGTAGCGCGATTCTTCTCAACGGCCTTGCTTGGGGTCAGTAGCCAATTGTGAGCGGAAGACATCGTTGCGGGATCCTGAAACTTCGCAGTCCAGAGGCTCTCGGTCTTGTATCGTGGTAGGGGCTCTAACATTTTCCGTGGAGACTTCTTGACACTTGCAATGGCTGCAGGAAATTGCGAGGTCCTACGGAAATCAGGCCTAGCAACATTGATATCGAAAAGACCATCTTGGGCAGGCTCGGTAAGGATCAAGGGCTGCCTCCACATACTGTGAGACTGAGCAGGCGTAATGGCTGCTCTCGGGATAGCCTTGGGCTCACTTGAATACTGTGACTCCGAAGACTGGAAGAGATACCCAGGCATAGGGGAAGGTCGCGTCAGATTCGAACACTTCGGTGCCCAGAGATCGGTTGTGGTCAGCTGAGCGAGAGGTTCCTTAACGAAACGGGGTGCTCTTGCGGAGATTTTAAATGCGGCGGGCTCTTTGGATGTTCTGCGGTGATCCACTCTTGAGAACTTAAAGTCGAACAAGCCACCGATTTGGGGCGCTACATCGAAAACAGGCTGTATCCAGAGTGCCGATTTACCAGTGGCAATTCCGAAGGCAGTCCGTACTTTGAGAGATTTTGAGCCCCATAGGTTGCTGGTCGTCAGCGGAGAAAGGGGCTCTGCAGTGACACGCGGTGCCCTTGCCGACAGTGTGAGTGCGGCAGGCTGCTTCGATGTTCTGCGATAATCGAGTCTCGGGACATGAACGTCGAACAAGCCATCAACCTGGATGGGTGATATGAGTACAGGTTGCACCCACAGCAGTGGTCCATCAACTGCGACTTGGGAATGACCCTGCGCCGTGGAAAGGAGCGCAGTACTCTTCACTGATGTCCACAGAAGTCCGGAGATCACCGCATTCGCAGCAATGACGTCTGGCGCCCATAAGCATGCGCTTTCAATGCGGAGAACATTCTCCTCAGTCCGAGGCTTCGACCTGATGGAGTCGACCCTTTCCGGAGCGTGATTCTTCCAGGTCGCCTCATCGGGTTGTGACAACCCGCAGGCGCCCATTGTCCGGGAAGGTGGAATTGCCGATGGCTTTTCCCACAGGAGCGAAGCCTGAGACTGAACACGGGGCTGTGTCAGCACCACGTGTACAACGGGAGCAGAAACGGGCTTTGGTGCAGCCCAGAGAAGTTCATCTCTCGAACTGTCGGCTTGTTGATCCACTGACACCCACAGGCTGGTGCTATCAATGGTGGTAAGCGCCTCCACTCGAGGCCGGGACCTAACCACGTCGGTGGTTTTTGGCAGATAGCTCTGCCAAGTCATGCCATCTGGCTGTGGTAGCCCACCGTTGTGGCGAGCGTTATCGGCATCTGAGTTGGCAGACCAAAGAAGATGCCGAACGGAGTTCTGATCAGAGCGAAGCACAGGCGATCGTTCAATCGGCACAGGCTCCTCGAGAATCTCGAGCCCTGCTGGTACATCATCATCATTTTCTTCGTCAGATGGCATATCAGTGACGTACTCAGCCAGTACGGATGTGTTGATTGGAGATGATGGGTACGGCGGAGGAAGCAGGCTGTTCTTGGAAGGAACCTGTTCAGACTTGAGCAGGCTTGCGATCTCCCAAAGGGTGGTCTCGTCGAAGTCATCGCCATCCTCCTCGCTGTCAAAGCCATCATAGTTGTCATCAAAGTTGTCGCCTTCTTCTTCTTCTTCGTACTCGTCAAAGAAGGAGGATGCATATTCCGATGCTTCAACCTGTCTCGCCCTGGCAGCCAAAGCGGCATTCAACATTGGAGCTCCGCTCGTCATCGTCCCTGGCATTGCCATGAACATCTGACTTGGTCGATATTGAATTGTGGCGTGCTCGCTCCTCTCTCCCCACGGGAATTGGAAGATACCCAGTGTTCCTCGCTTATCTGGGAGAGGCTGGGGATTTTCAACAATATCAGGGAGGAGATTCACGCGCTTATTTCTCCGTGGTGGGCGAATAGTGACAGGCCGGGTAGCAGGCCGCGGGACATATTTCCTCCACAGGCCTTTAGAAGCTGCTGTCTCCAGTTGCCAATTCGGTTTTTGCCACAGTCGCGAACTCGTAATTGTCAATCCGCCCTGAGACTTCCTGGCCGCAGGACGGATAGATGGTTCCGGAAGGTCGTACGATTGGACAGTGTTCGTTGATATCTTCACCGGGGTAGCCCAAAGCCCCGCACTGATGGGCGGAAGAACGGGTTGCTCAGACTTCCATAACTCATGGATCGGGACGGTTGGCTTTACCGCCGGCTTGAACATTCTGGAATCGAGAGACTGCATATTTCCCCGAATATCGCTATCAGATTCGGAGTCGTCAGTGTCGGGAGGGCTCGGGCTGCCCAGTGCGGCCTTGGACACAGAGAGGTAATTCATGTTGTTGCGCTTCATTATCAGATCTGGTGCGTGTTCCATGTACTCCATCTGAGCCTCAGCGAGGCGAGCCTGCCAAAGACTAGCATGGGCGCTTTCAGAGCTCTGCGAAGAGTCCTGAGACGAAGGTGTACCAGTGTTGTCTTCGTCCTTTGACCGCAACGAGCCACCACTTTGCATACGCGCTCTTCTCGAAGCCCGGCGCTCAGCCAGAATGGAACGCACCGAAGCTCCCTGAGAGAGCGGGACGACGTTTGAATTTGGCCGCGAATCTCTCGTCGTTGCCGTCTGGATGGTTGAAACAGAATCACGCTCCAGACGATTGTGGGAAGATTGCCATTTGTTCTCCAGCTGACCCATCTCGAGCTCTAGGTCTTCTAGCAGCGCCAGGCGCCGTCCTTCACTCTCTACGGACTCGCGGTTAGCTTGGTCAAACCTCCGCAGCTGTTCTTGGATGACTTGGTACGCAGCTTCGGGCGACTCTACAGGCGACGGTTCAGCCGCTTGTACGACAATTGCCCTGTTCGTGCCTTTGCCCTGGAGAAGCAATGGTGTTGGCGGCGGCATCTTTCGAGATCGTCCCGATTCTTTCCTTGCAGAAAACGTGGGACACTCTTCCCCTATACGATGATGAAATTGCCCAGAGAAACGATTCGCCGCAGTTGGGATACCTGAAAGGGATTCCTCGTCGTCTTCCAGGTAAAAGGATTGCCGATTGTCAAAGGAATGCTCCGACGAGGTATCCAACATGACGGTCACAACCTCAGCAGGGGCATCTTGGTCAACTTTATCTTGCGCCAGATCACGTTGGTCCTTCTGGTCCTTCTGGATGTATGTGGTCCGAGGCTTTTGCCACGACTGTTGGACATCGACTGGAGCAACGGGCGAGTGGACAGAGCCCCAGTGGGTTGTCCAGTCTCCATCTCTGGTCCTGGTCTCACTTCTCGTAGAAGTCATGCTGAGGTTTCTCCCCACGGGAAGAACTGGCGACGACTTGCGCTTCATGTCTCTGTGGGTCGAGTCGTGCTCTTCCCCGTCATTGACCGGTATGCCAGGTGCCCACGAATTGCCCAACGCATCAGCTGCATCACGATTCTGCGAAGCAGCCTGCAAATATCTGTTTGATGTTAATCGCTCAGGGATCTCCGTAACCCCCAAGATGCTCGCAGTCCGTATTGTACTCCTGTCAGTGGTCTTGGAAGCTCTTACGTCATGACGAAACTCGGATTCAGAGAACGCTTCAGTTTGCGTCGGTTGCTCGTCGAAGAATGTGGCAGGTAGAGGAGGCATCTGGGGAATTGATTGACGGTCTGTGACATTGCTAGTCGTCGAAGGAGCACTCAAAGGGACTGAGGTGTAAAGAAAATTCATCTTCTCGTCGAATGTCATGCTCTTCGTGTCATTTGGTAGTGGCCTCGCGGTCGTACCAGCGGTCTTGGGTAAGGGAGGCTGACTGGGCAGCTGAGTTGGGCTTCCAGGCAAAGACTGAAGAATACCTGACTTCCGGCGTGTGATTGAAACTCCAGACCTGGATCGTCTGTGCGCGTTGTGCGGCGAACTTTCAACGGGAAAGACTTGACGGTCATCGTCGCTCTTTCTAGGGATAGGACGGGGGCGGTGAAGGACCGAGTTGCTCGACTCCAACGCCGTTAACGGTGTTTTCGAAGAAGCGTCTTGGACGATATCGCTAACAATATTCGGATCATCGTACACAATATTATTGATAAACATGACTGTTTGCTGTTTCTGGTTCCTGGCTTCTTTTGCCATTGCCTTCGCTGCTTGGGCACGGGGGTTCGAGGGGAGTCCTGTCGTGGGGCGGCGCTGAAGAGGGGTCTTCACTGGCTCTGGGGATGTTGGAGATGCAGGTTGAGGTGTCTCTGGTGCTCTTAGGATAGGTATGCGTAATGGCTCGCCAGGTCGTATCACTTGGAACTTTGATGTCATCGGAGCTGGCTGTGGCTGCCGCGGTGATCGCCTCCGGACACCTTCGGCACCAGGTGATGGTTGTGTTGCAGTAGACGATGCATTTGCTTCCACAGACAGCCCAGCCGCGGATTGACTTGTCTTGGTGGACTCAGATCTTTCCAGATCATTGACATCCTTTCGCATTGTGCTTTTTGCCCGTTGAATTGCGTCTGTTCGTCCGGGAGGACTAGGCGCTCGAGGAGCCGGACGTTGTGCGATGAAAGCCGAAACACGCTGCGCATGTTTTGCTCTCCTTTCCCTTTCATTGTTGGCAGCTGTCGCCAGATCGACTGTTGGTATCCGGTTGAGCGGGTTCTGCGTGTCTTCGTCGCTATTCTGGACGATGGGATGTGATATCTGAATCTTTCCTCCTTTTCCCTTTGGAATCACTTTGGGACGGTTTGACCCATCCTTACTGCGCTTGTTGCTCCAATCGCTCGGAGGTAGTGGCACTGCTGAAAGAGAAGATAGCTCGGCTAGACTCAGTCGTGCCGGCGGGAAAAGTTGCCCTTGGATTGGGAGCCCGCCGACCCCCGAAACGCCTGTGACAGGGTTCGAGATGTTTGGCAGATTGACGTCGTCATTGATGCGGTAGTCTTGATGGGCATCACCCATGGCGGCGAAAGCGGTCGTGGACATAGTGCCAACCTCCTTCAGGTCCTCATAGCGTGATGGAGGGTAGTCGGTGGAATTTGAAGATGATAGGTCTCTGCTTCCTTGAACTTGAATTCCTTGCGAAGTAGGGGAATCGGGCCGGCGTGGAGCCTGTCGAGAGAGGACGAGTGTCTGGAAGAAGAGAAGAACAAACGCTGGAGAAAGTTAGAGATTGACGACTGGATGTCTAGAAGTCACTCACCAACGAGGATCAGCAGACCGATAGCAGGCAGTGTTGTCCGGAAGAACAAGGCGATGGTTGATATACCGAGCAACAGTGTCACACTAGTCTGCAGACAGTCAATACACGCCCACACATTGCAAGTAGAAGTACCCACTCCCATCCATATCGCCAACCCGATGATAACCAAGCCCACAGCTCGGCCACCGCCTGACACTTGTTGGTAGTCTTGAGTGTTCTTTACTGAGCCTTTTGAGAGCGCGTGGACTGCCAGCAGGATGAGAATGACAGCGTCTATCACGATGACAGCGATGGGGACGCCCGGTACTCCGGATACTGGTACGCAAGTAGGGTTGAATTCGGCTCTTGTCAACCCAACAAACGCTATACCAACAATGAGCCGACCGAGAACGAGTATTTGAGGCAAGAGACTGAACGCCGTCTTTTCGCCGTTCCTTCGCACTGCCCAGACCAAATACTGCTCGACGAAAGTCCTCCCCAATTGGTCGAATAGAGACGAAAAGATAACCGCGACTTGACAAGTCGAAGCTGCCGTCGGATCGATTAGAGTCGCGAGGAACTCGACTAGCGCCCAAATGGTTGAAGACAAAAGGAATAAAATGAGGACCAGCCTCAGGCCGTCCCGAAAGATCGCCGAGCCATGGCCTCTAACGTAAAGAACCAGAGCTGCTGACGCCGCGTTGAAAAGAATGCCACTACCCCATGGTGTTAGTTAAATAGACCTCACAGCACTTACTCGAGGGGTTCGACTGACAAGAAGAAGGCGGCGATCAAGGCCGGAATGGCTGCAGAGTTCGCCATGAAGATGGTGTCGCCAGATATAAACGACCAGCGGCCAGAATGGGAATTAAAACCCAGTCAATGGGGCGATGTAAGTTATTAGTGAAGAAACGAATGAGGCATGTTGGCGCGGCGATGGTATCACGACGCCATGGTAGGTGAGAGCGTCAGTAGTCGGTCCTTGCACTCAAGTGTGTAGGAAGGGAAATACAGCAAACCACGGGAAGAACGAGGCAAAGCCGGCATGGACACGAAGTGGCAAACACGTAGCACGCGCATCTCGCAACGAACCTGGGCTTCTCGGGCAGTGGATCAGATCTGAGACATCAGACATGCAGACATGACATCTACAGGGCCATGTTCGAGACTCCTCGAATAGCTCCTTGGCCCGGGCTAAAGAAGGACAGCGATTGGGGGACATGCAAGGCTGAAGGCCATCCAATACATCGCGCTCCGCCCCTGTCCACCATGCCCATGTCGACGATCGTTTCACCTGGGGTTTCAGCACCAGCAAAACCGGAGGAGGTTGACGCTGGCAGGCCGGGCAGTGTGCTTGGTCGTCCCATCCAGCCTCGTGGTTCGGGAGGACGGCTGCAACAGGCAGGATTATTAAGAGATCTCTGTGCCGCCGATGAACCAGTGTTGAGTCTTGACCATACCTCGTAGGTCCTGGTCCTACCCACTCAGGCGCATGATCTGGGTGAAGAAGAGCGATGACAGAGCCGATAGCTATGTGTGAGATCTTCGAGGAAAGAATATGACCATGAGATAGCTGGACTGCTCTCCTTTCTCCATGGCGTGTCCTTCATGCCAGAAGACTGGGGTGATTCGGCTCACACAGGACGGAGTACTAACGTAGATGGAATGTCGTCCCGCGTGGGAACAATGAAACACCCCGACATGCGGCGACGCTTGCCACTGCATACTGATTGAGACGTGCGAATGGCCTAATATGGAAGATAGGTCATTCGAGTAGGCTGACATTTGAGAAGGGTCTTGATCGCGACTCATGCTTTCGTCTGGGTCCCATTTTGGCCATCTCTCCGGTCGCAACAAGTTGAGCCGAGAAGAGCTTGGAGGCACCATGAGGTCTTTTAATACTGCTGATGGGATCTGGAGCGATCGCGGGTTTCAGTCTGCCGATGCTGCTATTAGAGCTGTCAATTCGAGGCTGCCGTTGATCGCCTTAATAGTTCTTTCGGGTGTGCCGGCCATAAGATGGGTGTCAGGCTTGAAAAAAAATCACGGATGGGCGGTAAGCGAAACGCACAGGCCACTATTGATATCTGCCGGGCTTGGTTTATCGTTTATGCAAGCATAACGCAACTATTCAGATACATAAGACATATTCAATCCGCCCTGTCTCTTATCGCCGACCAACATACGAGGGCAAGACGCCAACACAACCCGGGGGCGACTTCCATTCTTCAAAGACTCCCTTCTGCTGTGCTTTTGTGTATCGCTACTATTGTTCTGCCCAATTCTACTTTCATTTAGGAGATCCCATCATGCGCACTTTACAATTTGCTTCCAGGTAACCCTTGGTAGTCAAGTCAGGAGTTCGTTGTCCCAAGGATTTTCAATCAAAAACATCCGGGAAATACACCTTCTCGCCATCCTCATCGGTGTGGGATAGCCTCTGCGCTTCGGTATCCCAGGACCAGTAATAGTCGACCTCTTGGTCATCCATGAGATCACTATCAGACTCGTGTGATGCTTCCGGAGTCACAATCGCTTCCGTAGTCACAGTCGGTGACGCATCATCGTCCGGTGCACTGTCGTGGGCCACCTGCCAGGAAGCAATACTTTGGTTCTCGACTTCGGCAATCGGACTTGTCTGTGTTTCGACCGTGACTTTACGCTCGCCCGCATCGACATCGCAGAACGCATCTAGAACGAGACCGTGTGGCTGGACCGCAGAATCTGGGGACGGTTTTTGGAAGGCCTCAGCTTCGGGATGTGCCCAGATGCACTCCATAGAAAAGGCCTTTGCCGAATCCTTCGCTAACACTTTCCGCACACGAGTACAACTCAACTGGTCTTCCTCCACCGAGTCCAGTGTTGGGCCCAGGCTAGATGCCAGCAATTGCCTCGCCATGTGTTCCAGCTGGGCAGTAAACCATGTCGATGACCATTGTACGATAACGGGATGCTCTTGAGTTCGACAGGAAGATCGATCGGAATCAAAGCTCGGTACTGATACGCCAAGAATGGAAGCGATAGTCGAAGTGACGAGATCGAGGTCTTCAGAGGCCCCCTGACGGCATGTTGAGATCAGGTCACCGGCTTTGCAACGAAAAGTCAAGCCATGGGCCGAAGGATGCCCATGTTCCATGGCTCTTCTCTTGGGTCAGTTCGGGGATACCAAGGATTGATACAAGATCACTCACTCTCGATTGCGGCCAAAATAACAGCGTGGCAGCTCTGACCGTGCCCGACAGAGGTGTCAATGGCTTCCTGGTTTGGCAATGCCTCGGGTTTGGCAATGTCGACTGGGGAGCGGGTCTTTCTTTGTTGAATCGCCATGATAATCGGTGCGGACCTTGATTTCGAACCCAAGGCTTCCAATACCTTTGTACCTGTCAGGACCATCTTATGTCATGACTCTGAGGTAACCCAAATGTCGAAGCCGGGCGAGATTTGGCCCCAAAGCCGAACACTACCTTGCGTCCAGAGCCTCGTCCTCTTCCGGCGGGATATGCGGTTGCTTACTAGCCACCAGGACACCCACCGAATGAGACGCCAGAGATAAACGGGCATGCCGGTGGTGGTGTGCATGACCCCAAGCTGGATATGGGATATTCCCTGCCCTGATCATCTCTGCATTGCTACGTTCTCCAACTGCACTTTTATGTTGCAGCAATCCCATGGTTTTAAAATTCGGTGAGTTTTGACAGACGGCAGTTGTCTGTTGTCTCAGAGTTGGCATCAGCCAGCCTCGGAGTATGACTTGAGCAACCGGCTGGTTCCCCAAATCCATAGCCGAGGTAGGCCGGTTCTTCCAGGACAAGCAAGGTCCAACGAGCGGCTCCGGAACGCTGCTCCAACACCTACGAAATTGTCCTGACGGTGTCTGTCTAGACGTCAATGGCCCGCATCAGCGGCAAGGCACACTGGCTGGCTGGGAACAGGTAAGTGCATGAGTGCGGGCTGCAATGAACGCGACGCCCGGCTTTGCTCAGCACTCTCGATGCGCAGACTAGCGGTAAGAAGGTCTGGTGATGTCTATCATATAGCAGTGGCTCGTGTAGCTCCAGATTGACTCCTACCCTGGTCATATCTCCACTTACATCCCTATGCCAGGGCAGCTTTCCCTTCACCGAACTCTTCCTCCTTTCCTCTTTGTCCTTATTCTCGGATTTCCTGATACCACTTCTCGAAATCCCAAAACGAGAGGCTGTACATACACCACTTAGCCTAGATTGGCCAAGATGTGCGCGCCCTCCATGGCAGAGGGAGGCAAGGCGAGCAGGGTGGTCCACCTGCAGCCGTTGGGCTTGACACTTCACAGCAACTTCCATCGCCTGAGTGCGAAGGCATACGCAAGGCTTTTTACCTTTTCCATACAGTTAAGGGTCTAGGCGGGTAGAAGGCGTACTGCACTGGGCGGAATTCATTCCATGATGCAAATTTCCCAAGCAGTATCCTAAGCTTCGCCGACACTGCCCCAATATGTCTTCTCACTCTTGCTGGACCATCCGGTAGCCAACCTAAAACGCCGCTGCTCTCACCTACAGGCAAGCTCTTCCTCCCGACTTTCCCTTCTTCAACTCCTTACCGACAAGCGAGTCCGTGCTGCATCCCATGAGGCTGGGGTCTTGATCAAACCATACGGGGCTGTCATTACCTCGTCGTCGTTCAATATCACCTCGACGGGGATATGATGCCATACAAAGGTTTGAGGAACTCATCACTGTACACTCCATCTGGTGGAACAGCATTACATAGCCCATTATTACCTTCCAATGCCCTTTCGCTTGGAGAAACGTCCCTTACCCAAGCCCCTAGCGCCGCTGCAGAGCCTATCATGCTCAGGATCCACGACCTCACGCAGCGCGGTATCGAATCGCAGGTCGGCCTTCGAGTCGCCTAACCCTACGATGACAGGCAGTGCTGTTGATATACAGGCTGGGTCAGGCGATATTCCTCCCACGACCACTTGGCTGCCAACCAATCTCGAACTTGTCCCCATGGGACAAGCATCATACAACAGGCTGTCGAGTATGCCAAGCACCGATGGAATCGGCTTCCGCCATCTTGACAACGAAGGCCAGAACCTGTCCGCGCCAGGTGCCAACAATGACCACTGGACTGGGATCTCGACTCATCACCATTCACTCCCAGTCTCACCATCGCCATCAAACCATAACCTCAGCTCTTACCGTCCCTCCCAGGCCCAGCTCGCGTTACCATACGAACAGCTACAGCTGCGCCAAGACACATGGTCGAACGCGCCCGGATTCCTTGGCATTTCAACGTTCAACGGCCTACATCCGCTCGACTCTTGCGATGTAGCCTCTAAGGGGGACGATGGCCCCAGCGAGAACACACGGGATGACTCTGTCGTCAGCAAGCTCAACCCACAGAGCCTTGGACATCCTCTACGTCAAAGCCAAGAGCACTCGGGGGTTGGTGAGGGGTCCAGCCAAAACCCTATGTCCACGCACCGAAAACGTCTCCTCCAGTACTTCAACCTAAAGGAGAACATCATGATTACCACAACTGCCAACGGCAAGAAAGGAGCTCAAGCAACGATAGATACGATAGTGCGGTCCGATTTCTTGTACGAGTTCACTACTCGTGAAGAGGCGAAACGACTGGGCTTACCCATACGCCCCTGGCCCGTAAAAAGACGGAAGCAATACCTTACACCGGTCGGGAGGGTAATCCCCTTTGGGTACGTCGAAGCAAGTATCGAAGCCATCTTGAATGGAATACCCCCTACAACTACAGTCATCATGGTCTTGGACGACGTCGGCGGGCTTCGGAACACTCTCATCATTGGGCGACACTTCCTGGAAAAAGCAGCGAAAGCAGCTGCTAAGAATGATCGAAGGCGACCAAACCAGGGGATTCAGGGCAAGGGCATCGAGGGAACGGCGAATCTGACTACCCGGCTGCCTCAGCTGTCAGATGGCGTGCTGCCGATTAGTAAGTTCAATGCGTCCACGATGTATCGTCGTTACTAACTGCTCCAGCTAGGCGCTGGGTATCTTCCTCGCTTAAACTCAAGTATGTTTGAATCTCAACCATATCTTGGCGTTGGGAATGCCACGAACACGAACTATAACCCGTTCCTGCTCGCGCCACCCGTGCCGGGATACCCAACTACATCCGGAGCCCAGACCCCTTTCACACTATCGTCCTCGGGTGACTTCTCTGCACTCAAGCGATCCTCCGCGACAAGCCAGTCAGCTTTGGAACTACCCGTCTGCCCGTCGGGCTTCGAGGGCAGCAATTTATGGCCCTCGAGTTCTGCACATGGTAGTGTCGTCCCTTCGCCAACGATGCCGTTCAACGAGAACACGATGCCTCCGGTCAGTGAAACGGCCTACGCGCCGAATCATCATTCAGAGCAACCAACGCTCCGGCAGACATACACACAACTATTACACGACCAAACTGGGTCCCAAATGGCACAATTCGAGGGCCATACTGACTACCTTAACCAGTCCCACACTTGGCTAGGCATGAACGACAGAGGAGGCAATCAGTCATAGCTGAAAGGCGCATCATGCCGCCATATACGTTCCAGAGTACTTGTGTACTCGACCAGAGATCCTTGGAAGTCGAAGCAGACGGTAGACGATCATGGCTCCAGACATTTCACATGTTACCTCCCCTGTAGTAGCGAGTACCAGGGCACCCTCGGCCATGGTATCGCGACCAAGGCTACGCATCGACAACGACAGAGACAGAGTAGGGCAGAATGGAGACACTGCACGACCGGCCGCTCTATGCCAGATGACCACGACGTCAAAACATATTTCTTTTGTCCGAGGAGGCTTGCTGCTGGCGTTTGCTTGGATGATCACTCACGTTACGCCACATGGATGATGCTCGGAAAAGCATGGAATGAACAGGTGTACGGATGATTGATGAAGGATGGGATCGGAGCACCCCGGGGCACATCGCAACAACTCCTGTATGTTTGAATTGAACAGCATCGTTTCAGTCATTCGCTTAGTCGAAGCCTTCCGGTTCTCGCACCGAATCCGACGTTGGGTACAATTTTGATTTAAGGGGCTGAAGCTCATGGAGTCCAGCCCGCTCAAGCAAGTGCATATAGAACTCAACACCGCGTATTCTAGCCATCCTTCCCAATGGCCTTGGTCCCATGCGCATGGTGCCTGAACTATCGATCAAGCTCAATCTCCTCCTCCGATCCCACCTTCAAGCTCGTCATCGAACTTGCCCATCAGGCGAGCCACCTCCTCGACCTCCGGAGACTTGATCTTGACAGAGTACGACCTTTCTGCTTTCTCGTCGTCAAATGAGCATGTTCGCGCATGTCACTGAAGGCATTCGACCTCGGTGGACAGCTCGACGTACTCGCGGCCCTCGCGCGAGTCGACGTAGATGCGGAGGCTGGTCCGCTCCCCGCCGTCGGCCGTCTCGGTGGCGGGCAGGGTCCTTGACAGTACAGAACTCCGGAACCGGTTGCTAGGTTGGTGGCTGGATCATCTTGTTGCTTGTGTGTGAGGCCCGATGGGGAAAGCGGAAAGCTTCAGGCTTGTAAGAGTTGGGGAGTAGAGAAATGGATCTTGACTTTACTTCTCTGATGCTGTTTATTTATGTCATTCTCTCGGCAGCCAGCTTCTGTGCCACCGTTGTGCCGCCCCTGACTGCCACTGCCAAGCCAGGAAGACCGGTTGGTGTACGGTTTACGGACAAGTAATCTCGGTACCAATCCAGTTGTAGGCCAAATATCTTCGCCTGCTGTCGCGCGCAGTTGATTTCAACCCTGCTTCCTAAACGTCTTCTACATACGTCTATTAAATCGTGCTCAATGAACCTCTGAAGCTGGGCATCAAGAAGTATCGCGATACGGGATCATTAGCACATAGAAAACGGGTAAGTTCTGCCTCTCGATCGCGTCGAGCCTTACATGCAGGGCATTCGTTCCGCGGAGACAGGACGCGTGTGCGGGTATACATCGGAGTGCTGACAACCACCAAAGCGTTCCAACTACCATCCACGACAATCGTGCCCTTCGCAGCCCTGCCATCCTGCGCGGCCGAGTGCGGTCCGCTCTACGACGCGAACGGCATCTGCGTGCCTCCCAACGTCCCAGACTCGGACGCGACTTCGTACGCGGCGTGCTTCTGCGACTACGACGAGGTCCGGCCGTTCCTGACGGGCACGGCCGGCGTATGCGACGATGCGTGTCCTTACGACCCTGGGGACTTGTCGAGCATCCACGTCTGGGTGTCGAGCTTCTGCGCTGATGAGGGGGCTGCTGCGATGTCGACTTCTGCGCCCTTGATGCCCACGAGCGGTGTCGCGACAACGACGGATGCAAGCGCGGGGGTCCTGTCCACTACCGGTACAGTTGTTTCGTCGATGGTCAATGCGAATACATCGGTATCATCTGCTGCTGCCACGCCGGATACTTCAGTCTTGGGAAGCCAGGCAGCTGCGGATGGACGCGGTGGTCGCAGTCTTGCGGGTGTCGTTATTGGGACAATGGTGGGGATGCTCTGTTCGTGATACCCGGCAGGGATGAGAAGCCGCGTCCAAGTCTCTACAGGCTACAGCCATAACGGGACTTGAGGTCTCTGTACAGCAGTAGTAAAAGTCCGATTGTTCCATTGTCTCCGGGTGCATTCTGAAAGGAGTTGGCTTCACCTGCACATGCACCTCCACATCGCCGACAGGGTTTGGTGAAGCTGCGGGGTTCTGCGGAACTCCTCACGGCGCGACTCCGCTGCTTGCACAACAGAAAGCGGGAGTTACGGACGTCCTAACTTCATATAAAAACGGCATATCTCCTCACTCCAGTTATCACCACACAGCGACCAAACACCTCTTCACCAGCAACATCCTCGTCCAAGATCACCTTCCTCAACATAAACTCACCACCACCTGAACAACAACTCTGCCAAAGCGACCAACAAAATGGCACCCCACAACATCTCCGTCATCTACCCCGCCGGCACCAAGTTCGACATGGACTACTACCTCAAGAGCCACATGCCGCTGGTACAAAAGAAATGGGCTCCTTACGGCCTGACGAGCTGGAAGGTCGCGCACTACACCAACGAGGGCGCGCCCTACGTCGTCCAGGCCTGGCTCGAGTTCGGCAGCGCAGACCAGTGGGCCAAGGCTTCCGCCAGCCCCGAGGCCAAGGAGGTCATGGGCGATATTCCCAACTTCTCCGACAAGCAGCCGGCTATGCTGATCGGCGATGTTGTGGGCGGGGAGACGTGCTGAGGGCGTGGTGGGACGCGATGTGATGTGATGCTCTAGGGAGTCTTATGATACGGCTATCGTTTGTTGAGTTGGGGTCGGCATTGCAGGGTCTCATGGGCACGAATGGACATGGACGGCAGTACTGAGGGATCATCACTGCAGTCGTTTTCGCAACACGACCTTGCGCGGGCCGAGGAAATATCACTAGCAGCCCGAGTCCTCTGTTTCATCGTTTCGGGACGGATGGGAACTTGGTGGACCTGTCCGACAAGACCTCTATGATCAATTCAAGTCCTCGTTTCGTACCTTTTGCTGATCCAGTCGGGCTGTATTCTTTCAGTGTCCATAGGATCATAAACAGTCTTCCGGTCCGTGCGCAGCTATCCAGTACCCTCAGGCTAGGTAGTCGTCGTCGCAAGTTAACACGACAAGTCGCCCTCTATGCATGCATCCCGACGCCAGGAGAGACGTGTCATCCGTGCCAGGAGTTCTTGATCTGGTTAGTTAAGCCAAGCCCCAAGGCCCTACAATACGGAACCCTCATCCGGCTAATCTACAGATAACGATTATCTATGCCCAATGTCGAAGCTCACCGAGCTGTTCTTAGTAGCCTCGTCTTAAATAGGAGCGTAGCCGTGGCGCTACCCAATCCACTTTTGCCGCGTTCAACACCTCGAAGCATTATCGCGCACGAATCGGGATCCGGCCGCCAATCTATACGTATGAGGCAATCGTGTATGCTCTATATCTTATGTCCACTTGATCCCTTCGTGATTGATCCAATCGTTGCCGTTGTAAACTCAGGATATGATAAAGCCGTGATGGGAAGGGGGATGGCAGGATGGAGGTAGCGGGTAGTTGGTCCTCGGCACACTTCGCTCGCGCCGGCCACCTCTTCCTGATAGCAGAGCCCCGGCGGCAGAACACTGGTTTTGGAATGCGATTGAATGAGATTATTGTTAAAAACCTGTTCGAGTGCCTGTTCTGTGACCGTAGTTGTCACCAAGACCTACCTCTGTATAGTGGCAACCATCTAGACATGAAGACATGACGCACAGAGGCCGCAGGTTACGTAATTCGAGACCTTCTGCGTAACCAATTGATTCAAACTGGGAGGTTCTCCTATTCATTATCTAGAGATTCGTCACAATAGTCAATTCATTAGGAAAGAGGAGCAGTTTTTGGAAATATATTGATGAGGTACTCTACAGATTAAAAATTAGCACCTCCGCCAGCCTCCTGGAAGGGACCAGACAATAACTGACGACAGATACTTGAAGAAACTTTTACTGGTTCAGAGCCGACGAGTGGAGGCACTCCTCGCAGACGCAGGACGCGCAGTAACTGCTGCCCGCCGGCCGCAGCACTGCCGCGTTGGGCCGTAGAAGAGGGAACCTAGGTTCGATTCCTATCGGCGCTGGCTGGGACTTTCGTCTTTGGCTCATCTCGACGCACTGGGTCTTGTACTTGGGAGCATATTGCTTGCAAGGACACATACACATTTTGAGTAATGGCGTTGGCTGGTGGCTTCGTGATGTTGTTGTGTGTTACCGGTCTCAAGTCTTCGAGATTTCGATTGATCTGAGCTGTTGGTTTAGACTGGTTGGAGCTGTTGAGGGATGGCTAGATTGTAGAGATGGTGGTGGTGATGATGATGGGGATTATTTGGGATAAACGAAGCCCGGTTGTGTGCTTATATGCGTGCTTTCGACTGATAATAATGAACATGTTTTAATCGGAATAAAGCTAGATATAACAAAGAGCCTGTGTATATATGGTAATGGGTTTGTTGGTATCTAATAGAAAGAAGAACACGAACAGCTCAGTGTCGCTTTCAAAGAAACAGAAACAGAATAAAGAATAAGGAAACATAATAATACGATTTTTTAACCACGAGTTCGACATCATTCAATATAATAGAACATATTTTTAGTACGAGTAGCCTTAATACCGGAGAAAACACCTTGTTTTTGACAACATCCCAGCGTCCAGGAGCTAGTTAGTTGACTAACATCTCACCCCCCCCTGCGGACCACCCCCCCACGGACCACTCCACACCACACCACTCTCATTCAGATGAAGCCATCTACAACCACCACAGTTGCTAAATACACTAAGGTCGTGGTGTTCTAACTATAATACAGCTCCCAGAATCCGATTCCGACCCTAAATCTTTACCAGGGACCTCTTGTGGGACCTCTTTGCCTGCAGCGGAGTCCCTATAGACCCTCCTGTTCCTCAGCTCCATTTTGGCCTCCCTTATATTAGCCATTGTGACGAATCGTTCCCCTGGTGTTGGTTTGACTGCTTTTCGAGTGGTATTAGCCTTTTTAGCCACTTGAGCCTCAAGCAGCTCACATTTGGCCCGTAGATTTGCAATGGTAGCAGCCTGAACATCCATGGCCTTGCCAGCCTTCTGCACCAACAAGCGCTCAGAGGGCCCCCCAAAGGAAGGGTCCTTTCTTTCGAGCTTTCGAGCACTCTCCCGCAAAGCCCGGCTTCCAGAGGGTGTTGTGACAATGGTTTTAGCTACCATCTCGAGAAAATCTGGTGTTGTAGCTCGCTCGGAAGCCTTAGGGTCCCTCTGGCGTGCCCTGGCCACCCCCTTGTCCTCCAGAATCACATATTTCGACTTCAATGCCTCCGCTCTGTTACGAGGAATAATCCCAGTCTTTTTCCAGGCAATTCTGATATTAAAGAGCGTTATTGTGTCCTTCCGGGCCTGCTCGTAGCACTCCAAAACCTCCTCCTTAGATGGCCTGAGTCCCAGACGGCCGCTGGGCGTCTCCTGGAGTAAGGTCTTCAACCTCTTCTTCACCAAATTGAAGACTCCTATATCTAACACCTGGACTACATGGGAGCAGTGAGGTTCATAAAAGATCAACCATACTTTGTTTCTCAAGCAGGTGGCTAGGAACTCGTCATTCGTGTGGGAGTCGTGGCCATCACACACCAAAACCACCCATGTGTTGCCGTGGACCTCCCAAATGTGAGGAATAAAGATACGTTGAAGCCATTCTAACGCAATGGGATTCGAGGTCCATCTATTGGGCGACGTAATAAACCTCCAGTCGGTGAATTTGTCCTCATTTTGGTTGCTAAATCACTGGGCTTGTACGTTAACCCCCTTGAGAATCACCAGCGGCGGCAAGGTCTCACCAGATCCGCTCACACACTCTAGGGCAGTTATCCATTCACTCTTCTCGACCCCTTTCTTCATAGCCACGTTGCCGGAGGCCTCGGAGACCACCCAATGGGAGTCCCCAACCCCCTGGGCGATTCCCATTTCGTCGACGTTGTACCAGCGTGCTGGCATGAGGTTAACCACGTCAGGGGCGTCACACCGATCGAAAAAAATATTGATATTTGCTGCTGTAGCACCATTCACTCGGTTGTAGTCAATAATACGAGACTTTATTATCTTGACTTCCGGGTTTCGAGACAGGAACTTGGATGCCTAATTTTTCCCTAATTCTTGAGCATCCCCGGTGGCATGGAGCATCCGCTGGGCCATGAGACGGAACTTAGAGACCGCCGGAGAATACCCTAGCCGTGCTTGCCCCAGGGCCCAGCTTGCCAGCTTATTTTCGAGATACGGTGAAAGAGCCTGTTGGAGAGCGCTGGTCTCATTTCGCGTTGGGGTGCCAGAGATTCGTCGGTTGACGTACGAGCGACTGATTTGCCATTCAAGGGCTGACGAGCGGACTGGAGCTCCGCGTTGGATGGCCAAGATGGCGGCTTCAGCTTTTATTTGACGGTCGTAAAATGACATCATGAGATTCAGCAGTGGATAAGGATTCAAATAGTGTGCTTTGTGAAAAAAAAGATGCAAAAGTGATGGTGTAGATGGTGGATCACCATAATCCTGGTGGTTGGTGAATTACGCGTTTGTGGGTCAGAACGCGCTGGTCCGCGGGGGGGTGGTCCGCAGGGGGGTGGGAGATGTTACATGCAGTGTTGTCACCGCCGTATCCAGACATGCACGCCACTGGTTCTACCCTGCGTGTCTCGCTGGTGTAGGCCACCGCCTTGGAAGGTGTGGAAGTAAATAGATAGGATGCTGATGCGAGTGTTTCGTATGTGTGTGTACTCGTTATTGGTGTCTGTGTTGCGAATTCTTGGAGGGACTGTGACACTGTAGGCATAGTGGCGTTTGATATAGTTTATGCGTGACTTTGATTTGCGCATTCTGTGGTCGGGTTGTCTACTGAGAGCAATATCCCAGATCCGATGAGTGCGTGATGAACGGTACAGCGTTGTTGTATTCAGGAAAAGGTCTATCTACTCTGTTCTGTGTGCGATCGCTATATATGGGGGCCACGGAGCCTGTGTCACCCGACACAGCAACTGGCAGCCTCATCATGCTTACATACACAGATGGATTCTGCTCACATCTACCTATATAATCTAGTCTAGTTCACCGAGTTCAGCACAGCGCCGGCAGCCAATATGACCTTCGAGCCCATGTCCCGTATCGTACACTTGAGGCGGGCAAAACATAAACAGTTGATCGATTGTGACCTAGTGAAAATCACGTAAGTCACTGGGTAAATATTGTACTGGGTGAGTAGTGTTCCGTCAGGTAGGCCTTCTCCGCCAACTTGTAGGCATCATCATTCTCCTTTGAGACGTGCCAGAAGAGGGGCTCGATGCCATCTGTGCGCTTCAGACAATGCAGGTTCTACGCCTCGCGCAAGACAGCGACAATATCGTCGATTACCTCTCCGTACGATGTCTTCCCGCCCCGATCCTTGATAGCCGCCAGGCCCTCCACCGTCATGACCTCGGCGAGGAAGTCCGACTCCGACTTGAAAATGACCTTTTTCAGCAGCTCAGCGGGCGTGCCGTTGATGGTCGGCGTGTCTTGGAACATGGGAGGGCTCGATTGCCAGTGTTTCAGGTTGAAGGCCTTCATCCTGGCGTCCTAGACTGTTGTGAGCTGCGTTACCTGGGCGTTGGCATCGTCGTAGAGATGAAGTATGGGCCTGTTCAAGTCGCTGCCGGGGCCGAAGAAGACGCCGCCTGCACCGTAACGGCTACCACCGTTCCGCGAAACCTTGCCTGCGATCACGATGATGATCTCGTCCTTGGCATGGCCGTCGGCGAGGCCGGTGACCTTCGGGTGCACATACTTGCCCTGGATGTGCTCGAGGTCGCTGGCCTTTTCGTAGTCGGGCACGTACTCCTTCGGATTGAACAGCCGCGCCATCGTGATCGTAGTGAAGATTTCTGATTCAGGCCTGCGCGCTTCTGATAGTCAATTGACGGGTACACGCGAGCGAAGTGGTACGTTGAGGAAGGTGATTGGAGGTACGTGAGAGCTCGGGATTGGGTCACCAAGACAGAAAGTCTTTGGGAAACCTCAGATTGGATATCGGAAGATCGAAGTGAGTGTACCTTTGGTCTTTTGTCGAATGATTCAAAGCAGTGGTTGAGTGTCTGCGAAGTTGTAGAAAGGGGGATTCACAAGCGTCCGGGGCAACGGTGGAGCTCCAGCGACCCTAGATGTAGATTGTAAAAGAGAAGGGAAGCGGGATGCGAGGGTTCTGAGTCCAGAAGATGGCGGCAGTCAATCAAGTTCAGCTTAAGGTGGTGTGGTAGGCACGGCCTTGCTAAGCTGCAGGTCACGTTAAAGGGGCAAGCAGGATCAATAGCTGGACACCTGCAATATCACCAACGCAGCTTCACTGGCATACACAAACAACTTCAATGGCCCATTTTGCGGGACCACCTGCAGTTTTCTGGGTGATACTTCCTCATATGTTCCAACATCTACGAAAATGCAAGACACGATGCTACGGCTGCTGCATATTCGAGCGGTCACAAACCCTAATACCGCGCACTCACCCTGAATTATCTAAGGTTAGACGCAAGTTACTTCCCTCGCACTTGCGAGTTGGTGCCTTCGTTCTAGCAGCTATTCGACGAGTACGTAACACGCTTGTTGTTGCTTGAACAATCGCTGGCCGCGCCCCTTGTACGCAGTCACCTGAAACTCCCGCCAGACATAGACGTCGCCATACCCCGAATTTCCGCATACTCGTAAGAATAGCTGCCGCAGAGGACACATACCTTATACTGATAAGACCATATATCATCCAGGCATGTACTGCTGATTACGCACAGAAAAGTGGGAAGGATACAGGCGAGGCGAGTAACACCAGACTGATGGATAAGTAGGGCATGCAAACAGCTGGCTTAGATTTCACATACCTTGAGCTCAACATAGCCGAGTATGAAGTCACGCAAACAGATCAAGAGGTGCTAGGTATTTTCAACTTTGATTTGATCAACTCCTATATGAGGTACGCGAAACAGCCGAACAAAAACAAAAACAGTTCGAAACAATAATACTCCTTACCTCGTTTTCTTACCTTCCCTCACCCATGAGCCAGTAAATCACCTACCGTGTCATTGGAAGTCAAGCAGCAGAGTAGCGTCGGGGCAAACCTTCGCTCACTTACCGTCACCTCCTCTCTGTCGTCGCCCAGCCGCGCATTCAGCCGCTCAACTTGACAACCTCCATTACCCGGCTCGACCAGACGGGATTGCTACCAGGCGCTTTACGGACGGGTTCTTGGACTGGTACATGGACGGGTTCCTGGGCGGGCTCCTGTGAATCACGGTCAATATTCGGAAAGCCCCCGGTGTGAGCAGCAGTGGTCTGGTGGCGCCCATGTCCATCGTTTTCATCACCGCTTTCCATAACAGGCTCGACAGTCGCCCGGGGCGCTGGGGTAGGGGAAGCAGACTTGCCCGCGGCCTGTGACCGGCGGCGTGTCGCGGCTTCTTGAGCTCGCGGCGCTCCTGGGTAGGAGACACGCCGTCAGCGCCCAAGGGCTTAGGCCCGAACTCGTACTCGTCGTCGTCGTCGTCTTGCACCTGGCGCTTGCGCTTGCCCTCGGGCGTGAGTTTCACCTGCTCCTGCACCTGCTCCTGCTCGGGGTTGCCGTTATTGCGGTAAAGCGACAGACCGGCCCACCACGGTCTTGACGTCGGCGTTAGCCGACACACCGTGCAGAGCGCGCGCCACTCGTCGCCCACGGGGCGAATCATCTTTTCCTGGCAACGATCGCAGATGAGCCAGCAGCGGTCTGTAACGCAATTGGTTATGTTGCGGTACACCTTCCGCGGGCACGCTGGGTAGAGGAAATACTTGGCCTGGGTGATGGGCTGCTTGAACAGGTCTCCCAAACCGGTATCCCTGGCCGTGAATGGAGAGGTCTGTGGAATGAGCACCTCGCCCTGCTCGTTGGGTTGAGGGTGGTGACCCTTGTGTGGCGTCTGCGGTGTTGAGAAGGGGCTGTTACCGCGGTCACTGTCATCTTGGACAGGCGACAAGAAATCGGTGATACCCTCCTCTCTTGGGGTTTCAGCCCTGGGTGAGGAGGCTCCACTGCTTTTTTGGGGTGAATTGTCGGTCTTGTTCTTGTTGGTTTCTCCTTTGAGGCTGCGAGTATCCTCCTCGATCTTCGCAGTTTTCTCCCTGGTCTTCGCAGCTTCCTCATTGGTCTTCGCAATCTCCTCTGCGAGAGTTGCCTTCTCTTCTTCGAGGCTTGCCACTCGGCGTTTTCGTTCAAGAAACTCTTCGTAGTCGTCCTCGAAGTCGTTGTCGTTGTCGTTCTTGTTTTTGTTGTTGTTGTTGTTGTTCTTGTTGTGGTCTTCGCCACCGTCGCCACCGTCGCCGCTCACAGTCTGAATAAGCTCGACAAAAGCATCGAAGGTGTCTTTGGCCTTTGATGCTTTTTCGAAAATTTGGTACACCTTTTGGGCCGTTCGTGAGCCGCTCTTCTCAATCAATCCCCCGGCGGCCTTTGAGGCAGCCACAGACCCAATCTCACTAAGTATCGCCCCCAAGATTCCGCCTCTCAGGGAGACTTTGTCCTGTCCGATGTTTTTGCTGATACCTGTAGGTCGTCCTGACACCGAGCTGGAGGTGCTAACACTATGACGGCGGTGATTGTCATGTATGTAAGCGTCCTTTGCTCCTCGCCTGGTGGAACCCCCCGTACCTCTGATCTCTCGTGGCCTAATGCAAGAGGACAGCACAGATGAGACACGCGGAATCAGTGTCTCGTAAAACCGGTGCAACAGTTTCCCATAGCCAACCTGTCCGGATTCTTCAGAAGCCATCTTTACGCCGGGCTTCGACCGCGAGGCCCTAAGTTATATAGCGCGATTCTTTGAGTTCCGGGGCGGCGAGATCTGCGATGTTCGTGACCAAGCCCAGGAGGGCAGATGGTCGCCCATTGCGATGCTATGAGGGCAGAAACCTTCGAATCCGAACAATTCAGGCAGCCACGGCAACCAGACTCTGGCTGTTCATTCACTGCATACTGGAGTTACACTGCATCAACGGAGGAGGCCTCGGCAGCGCATGACAGGAGCTGTGATTCGGTCTCTCATTGGAGGTATGTTGACCCATTGCACAGGAGTATGTACCAACCCGTGCTTATCACCCCAATGGCTGTTGGTAGCCGTCGAATACGACCACGAAAACCAGTTGCTGCGTAGCACCATACCTATGAGGCCAATTCAGAGCTCGGCGAGCTTGCAGGTGTTAAGGACGGTTCTGCACTTGCGTGCCTCCGTACCACAGCTCGTTCGACCCGCGGTGCTCTATCATCGGCTTCAATGCACATGTCATAAAACATACGAGGTAGGTGACCGTGGTCCACTCAGCCTTGTCCCAGTGCTGAGCCCGCTGCTCTCCGGACCTAGAGGCTTTTGAGGTAATTAGTACTTTCATGATGTCTCGAACTTGACCATGTTCCCTCCCATAGTCTTCCGAGCGAAGAAGGCTACCCGTGAGTTCGATCTCAATCGCTCGTAATCAAAGTATTGGATCGCATCCTAGACGAGTGATCGGTTGTGGCCTATGCTAGGACCTACGAGGGCGCCCTTGATTCCGTGGAAGTCTGCTGGCATCCCTCCCTGTAAGTCAGAATATTGCAGTGCTTTCGACACGACACAAATCCTCCATTCCAGAGGAGGCAGTGTAATGGCGACTTTGCTTCTGAGTATAACCATGGATATGAGACTTAGACCGACGCAAGAAACACGACTGGAGCGTCTGTGTGCAAGGAAGGGGCACTTAAAATCCTCCATAATCATAATGCAGCCATCTTACACTTGTTTAGAGCAGCCGGAACGTTTTCAAGCAACAATTACATGTAAGTCAGCAGTCATGGGCGAGGTATTCTGTTGTTCTCGGGCACACTCGCCTCAGACACGGCGAGTACACGAAGTACTGCGCCGCGGTGACAGGCTCCTCGTACTGGGCACCGTCCGGCATGAAGTATCTGCTGCCAGACTTATCAGCGAGGACATAGGGGTTCTCGGGATAGCAGGATCAATCTGACTATACCGAACCTTCTTATGTCCCCGTACATCACCCGTCTATGATTTATGATCATATCTATTGAATCCGAACAAGCACCATGAAATAAGCAATAGAAGTGGCATATCCCACCAGAGCTGATTATCCCTACATGCTTATATCTCTCAATTCCTACGTGTGAACGAGAGTTTTATCAACGCAGCGCGCACGGAGACTTATGAAGGCTGCGTTTATCGAACGATCGTTTAGCAAGGACACGTGCAAGATCACCAGTGTTCGCACAAATGGGCGTCGGGCTGGAGGAAACTGTGGTTCAAGCTGATATCATAAACAGAAGCTGATAGCGCTACTTGAAAGAGTGTATATGCTGATAAGCACGCTTCCTGCACCCTGGAGACAACGGATCGCAAATGACATCAAAACAGCAGAGTACTGGCCAACTTCGTCCCCAAAGCCGCTGAGACCGTATAAATGCAATCAAAGCCGAAAAGCAACACAGTATGGGTCCCAAACGAAAGGCGAAACCGTCCAAAGAGAAAGAAAAACAATGCCACACAACAATTTCAACCTCGACGTGCAATGCTCCGTATGCCGAGATTGGCTCTGTAATATTCCAAGCTCAACGGGTGCGCAGCGGTGATGTCTGACGGCGAAGAGCGATTGCCAACCGATTATTTGACGAACTTCAAGAACCTAATACTCCTTATTTGCTTGATGATCTTGACACGCAGATGATCAGGGTGGTCGGGATCCGGATGATAACTGGCGTCTTCATTCTGAAGTTGTTCATGCAGATGTTTCCATTTCGTGAGCTGCTCGAGCACGGCATTGCTTTTCATCTTCTGGTCGTCCGTAAGACAAGCGTCAGCCTCACCCTCTGTGAGCTTCTTCCAAGGCCTCAGAGTACCAGTTTCCTTGTCATAGTGGTCTACCAGGATGGAGTAGGTGTATTCCGGACCATTACCGTGGTTGAGCTGGCCCCAGTACTGCTTCATCGGATCGAGCAGGCCCTCGTGCCCTTCAAGCTCCTTCACGGAAGCATATGCTGCTTCGAGGAGGACGACGATATGACGGGCCTGTTCAAGCTGCGTGAACTGTAAATTCCAGTACTGGGAGCGGTGCATCTTGAGGAGACTCTCGTGGTAACCTAATACCAGAAACTGTGTGCCGTCCCTGAAATCCACTCTCCTACTTTCGAATTGAATGGTCGTATACTTGTGCCGGGAGACCTGTCGATCTCTTTCAACAACAGGTCTCAACTCCTCACCCGGTGTAAGGAGAGCATAGGCGTTGTTGCTGTTTATGAGTCTGACTGCTTTGCTCTCGATGGTGAATGGATCCATATTGGTATCGAATCTGGTTTCCACTACAGCAACATCGTTCTTGATAACATCCACCATGATGGGTCCCTGCTTGCGCCGAAGGGTTTGAGATCCCTCGAACTTCCGTTCAGCTCCGGTGGGCGGTTGTTTTTTTGACTGGTCACTGGCGACGCCACCCCGTAGGATATCGGAATAGAGTGGTGATGGGGGTGACATTTTGATCTGCGTGTTTAGATAGGCAATTGCTTGGGTAGAGGGAGAAGAAAAAGGTGAATGGATGCTAAGGTGAAGGCCTCAATGCCATGTATTCATGTCTAGGCAATGGATGTTCGATATTCGTATGTAGGGAGCGTTTTCCTCACCCCCCTCAAGCTGATGCAAATTCGTTGGTGCTTTCAAGTTCTGGGCAAGTTCTGGGAATGCAAATATTGGTTGTTGGAACGAGACGGTAGACGGTGGCAGGCGTACGGTGACAAGAACGATCGAATGTGCATACTGCATTAGGCTCGAACCCTTTCACTGGTGGCTTTTGGTAGCTGCAGTCGTATCTGGTGCCTGCTTCCCAGACCCCTTGTTGTCTAGCGATACCTTCCAGTGTCCGATGGTATCCCCCGAAGTCCAGAAGTCCCCGTGAAGGAGCGACCAGTTCAATTGACCCTCGTTCCTGAAAAGTTCGGAGATAAAGTTACCACTGTGTGAGGCATCAAGGGACTGCAGTTGGCCAGTCATCTGAGTAAGCGCGATGGCGCGCAAGTTTTTTCCCCAGACATGATAGACACTATATGGAACAAGGTGACAGGGAACAGATATTGTCAATTAGGTTCGATCCCTTTCACTGGTGGCTTGACAGTCGTATCTATGATGCAGAAGTCTCCGTACACCACCCATTCTAGCAGACGACGGTAGATCCATCGTATTCAGGATAGGCACACTGGGATAAGCTTTAAAAGAAGCGTATAAATCCAGAATTACTTATTCCAGTATGCTTGTGCTAGTGTTTCAAGATTTTCTACGAGTGATCCGGGATCATATCAACGTGCGCGCACGCAGACTTATGAGGGCTGAGTGTATCACTTGTGGGAACGAGCTTTTTTGTCTGACGGCACAGCTTGCAGAGCACATCACGGCTAGAAGGGCTGTTGGTCACAACAAAGCGTGCCTAGGAATGCCTGATACCCGTAACATGCAAGAGATGAAGCGAAGAAGCGAGCAACCAACATCATAATGACAGTCCTTCATATCAAACCTGTGAATAACACCTCCCTGGATACAAAATGCTGTTTGCGCCGGAATGCCATTTTCCTCGCCACCGATAAGCATTTCTTCAAATCATCTGTACCCAACATCCCGGCCGATGAGCAGCCCACCTGCGGTTCATTTCTCGAGTCAACACTACCGGAAGAGGTCGCCTGGCCACCGAGTAAGTCCATGTTGGGAGCAAGCACAGCGAGACCCTGTTCCAAGACCATACCGCGAGCAAGGGTACGAACATAAGCCGCAGCATGGAGTGAACAGGATAGTATACCAATCCGGGCCTGGTACATGAGCCCTGGTCCTACAAGTCAAAGAACCATCTAACACTTGTTGTACCAGCGATCAGGATGCTAATAAATTGCAGAACACACGAACGCATCATACGCCCAGCCCAGGCCCAAGCATGAGTCCGGTAATCGAAATGTCATTGAATGTTGGTTCGTCAGATGTCCCACTTTCCAGTATCGGTTCAACAAACTTTTACGACGACCGAGTTCGACCCCTTTTGTTCAGACGAGCCCCTTCTTTCTCTTATATAACGGTACCAACCCGGGTTTTCAAATTCTCACTACTTGAAATACTACTATATATAACGTAATAGGCTGCGGCTCGATGTCGCGCAGGTTGCTTTCGCTGAGATCTGGCCAGACGATAGCTGTGTCGATCTCAAGCCTGAATACTTGGGAGCTTCACCATGGCAAACCTGTCAAGCCAGCCGGAATTACGATACGGCCATTTCCCAAAGCCCCCTACGCATCGTTCCCAGAACTAGGGCACTTGGGTTTGAAGGGTTCATCTGATCCAAATCAGAGCAAGGAACTGCCAGGCCAGTTTGACCAAGGCGTCAGCAAGCAAAGAGGCCAGACTAAACCAACCTATAACTTCATCCCACTTTCGAGATTCGAAACTTTCCTGTTCACTAATAACACATACATCACGAACCTATCACTCAGGGCCTCCACAACAAGCATCGAACGCCCCTATCAGCCAGGAATCCGGTTTCTTTGCATGAAACAACGACTCTACTGGCGTATGTGCCCTTTGCTCATGACATTCTTGACACATGCTAATACGGTGTCAGAACTTCGACCGACGGCCATCATCGTGCCCAAGCAGCCAGAAGCGAAGGCGTTTCTCCATGGCCCAATAACCAGCACAACCAGTCGGGGACAATGGATCTGATCACCCGTCGCCGGACAGCAGAGACCCAGGCATAGGCTAGGAGAGCTGCGGCTGGTACCCAGTCGAAATCCTAGCGACGCAAGGAGAAGCTCGCAGCCCGAAAGGCTGTCAAGAAGGCTGCCAAAAGCGCAAAGGACGACACTATAAGAGACGATGAGGACATCGTAGAGGTGGTTGGGGAGATGAGAAATGGAAGATAAGATGTATTGCTACCCTAGCTGACTGCCTTCAGCTGGGGTTGTCATACGGTTCAGGAATCTAGCCTACCTCTGCAGGCTGAGGCCAGCAATTTAGATACACACACAATGCAGTAGATTTTCACTGCAACGACAGGTTCGGTCAGACAGGGGGAAGGCAAACTTGGAACCGCACTTTAGCTCATGAAGGACTTCCCTCCCTTACGTAGGTGTTGCTACTTCCACATGGAGAAAAAGAGTCCAATTCTTGCACCCCCAAGATGAATACTGCTCCACACACCATCCTGTTGAGCCTCGATCTTCTCCAGTGATCTCCCCGTCCCTGACAGAAGAGAAGGCCGGCAAGAAGCGGAGAAGAACACCACCAGCAAAACGCAAAAACCATATGCCGAAGGAATAGGAAGCACAGAGTTACCTGACTCCACGGTCCGGGTACCAATCCGGCGAACAGCCACCCATATCGCTACGCGGACTGGGCTTCACGTCCTGCTCCTCCAGATGCTCGTAAGCCCCACCGTCATGCTCCCCTGAACCAGACACCGGCGGCGCTGGTCCGTAGCCTCGCGCAGGCATATACGGCGGATTCATATCGACCGTACTGTGGTTTCTGCGTGGCGCCTGATAGGCCACCGGTGCGTTTGTATGTCCCGCATCGAGGGGAACGGTCGAGGCGTAGGTGCTCATTGGCGGCGAAAGAGGGTACCCAAAGTAAGGAGGCGGGACTGCCGATTCGGCTTGGCTGAAGCTGCTGGAAGAAGTCGCGGTCTGGGTGAGTGGGAGGCCCCATCCGTATTGGGCATCAGCGTGTGGCGTAGCCATCAGGACAGGGTCCTTGGTATAGCTGTGGTCGATGAGCACCGCTTCACATCATCATCGAGGTCCAACGTACCTCTCTGCGTAATACTGAGCGTGGCCACTGCTAGTTGCTGAGTAGGAGTGGACCGTCTGGCTCGGCATGTCTAGCTGGCCAGTACTGACACTTCTTGATCCAACCTGCTGTTCCATGCTGTGAACTGGCGGGAGACTTCTCCGTGGGAGCTTAGGAGAGGCTGTATCCGACCCGCTAGAGCAGTCATCGTGACTGCTCCCCGAACTTGAACCTCGATCACTGCGTTTCTTGCTGTTGTATTTGCGTACGCCCCAGCGTATTAAGCGGCCACGATACGCGCGCGTCCTGTCCCGCTAAGTCAGCCAGATGCTGTTAGGCCGCCAAGGGGAAATGACAGGATAGGACGCTTACGAGGCCTTGAAGTTGTATCGCTCGATCATGATCTGCCGGACCACAGCGAGGGTGTGTTGCGCGTAGAGCTCCCTGATGGTAGCCTCGTGTAATTCCCATGGCTTAGTCATTGTGTACTTTAAACTCCTGGTCTTTCTGTCGTAAATATGGTATGGCCTTTATGCCGGGTATCGTGATGCGTGGGTGAAGCAAGAGCGACCGCCTGGTGGTAGGGATGGGTCCTCATAGTTCGTATAATCGACGAAGTGCGAAGAAGAGCGGCAGAGAGCATGGTGACAACATAATTAGCAGAGCCTCGTTGGGCATATCAACGGAACGGGGGTGGGCAGGTTAGGTCCATTTGCTTGAAAGGCTTGCCTGCGAATCCCGATAGGGGTCTCTTGAGTAGAGGCGCCCCACGAATATGACATTGAGCTTCTCGACAAGCAGGCTGTGGAGATTCTTGATCTTGGACCGTTGACCAATGTGTACTGACAGCATTGGTGTCTTGGCCCATACTCTCTTTGGTAAAGACTACGCGCGGTCGGCACTGGCTTCTCATGGACGACCTGTCGAAGCAGCGTATCAGGGGTACGGAATTGTACAACCCTCGGCCTGCAAGTAGAGCCTCGTCGGCTCAAAGGTGCCTCCACTAGGACGAAAGCGGCACGGTCCACTACGCAGGTCTATTAACATGTAAGCAGAGACGATTCACGGTGGGGCCCCCAAGGCAACACGGAGATCCTGATATGCAGCTGAAGGAGTGATGAACAAGGGCAGTGCCCCGAATCGTAATCATGTCCTCAGAGCCTGCTTTTCTAGCGTCAATTAAGGCTGCAAGAAGATGGCTTAGATTGGCCAATTTCTATTGCCTTGTGGGATTATGACCGGGGTTGGGAAGGGGGCGTCATCCTCGAGCGGCTGAGTCGGCCTAGGGTTCGATGTTTTGATCATTGTTTCCGCGAATGCCTCGGATGGTCGCCTCTGCTACGTACTTGAGCCGCAAAGTAACACACGTGTGTCAATTCTTGCGTATCGAGGTATGACTGCAGAAGCTGATCCCTATCCCTCACCTGCGCCTGACACCTGCATCCGACGTGGTATTAGCCCACTGACACCACATTTGCACCCCGGTGGCTAAATTCTGATTGAGGTGATCTTATCGCCTTGAGCCTTGGGCTCTACACTGAGGTGGAAAGGCCTAACCACCTAACCATCTAGACCCATGTTCCCACCGGCCTATAGGAGAACATGGGGCCTGCAGACCGAGATTTGCCGATACTCACCTTTCACCTTGTCTGCTTCGTCACCACCATGTGCCTTACACGTGGGCTGTGTGACTCCCCAATCTCCATAGCCAATGTACTCCGCACTGAAAATGTGCACAATGAAACGATAGGCAGTGCATGCCATAGCCACAATGTCTGTCATCTTTGAGGTTACACAGGACGGCACACCTCATATACGTACTACATGTGCGCCACGAAAGCCGGCGGCCAATAACAGTACTTCGACCCGACGAGCATGGTGCATGATAATGCAAGCTCATCTTCAGGATTTCCCAACGTTACTTCAAAGGATTCTTGAGGATTGCTGAAGAGTTTTATGGACGGCAGACCATCACGAACCATGTTAGAGTGTTGCATCGCGTTTTCGGTAGAATCTCAGCTCAAAGTATTATTGAATCTTGATGGATGGGGGAAGGGAATCAGCAGGTTGGAAGTTGGGTAGCCAATCTCGCCTGTTACTATGCCTATTGGATGCCAGTACCTCAGATTTTGCCTTACTTCGCTAGCCGGCACATTTAAGGCTTCACCAACTAGAAGGAGCCTCACGTAGGTCGCATTATGATTCTACATACACAAGCATCTCATATGTATTCAACATCCTTGGTCAGTTGGCAGTGTATATGCAAAATTAAAACGGTACTTCCTCCTAGAAATATATAAATATGGTCAAGTGTTGAATTGAATACATAGCATACGAGAAACACCGCGAGATATATGAATTATTATACTAGTAGTTAAAAAAACGACACTCCATGTCCATGGTTTCCTCTAGCTTCGCCGCAACCCCTTCATTGTTACACGCCCTCTCAAACCAAATTCCTGTGGGCATACATAAATGTCCACCCTTTCATATGCCCGTGTCATGGCGTCGGCCAAGGAGGCAGACCGACGGCTTATGTCAAGTTTCCTTCGTGGCAATAGCTACCCCAAGAACATCCGCGCTCTTATCAGGGAGAGGTACGGCGGTAATTGCGAAGCGATCAACCATATTCCCCGCCTTATCGAGCACCTGTCCCCATCCCATCCGGAACGAGGTTCCCGGCGGGAACGCGCGGAAGAGACCGTCAGCCCCGATGGACTCGGCGCCCTCGGGCAGAAACTGGAACAGATTTCCGTCCGCCAGCAGGGCGGCCACGCTGGCGATGCTCGTCGGGACGCGCGGCAGCGCGTTTGTGTTGGGCATGAGAAACCATCCCAGTGCCGAGAAGAGGAGGATAGCTCCTAGCATGGCCTCCAGGGCCTGCGTGCTGACGGCGTCCTGGACCACGCGACTCCTTGTGCTGACCGCGGTAGCGTTGTGTACGACTGTGTCGTTGTCGTGCTGGACGTCTCTTACGAGCGTACCGTTTGTGCTATTCGCCTGGAATTGGTAGTACGAGCTTAACATCTGAACGCCAAAGATGCTCTGCTGGAAGGTGATCTTGTCGGCTACGGCTTGCGCCTGAGACGGGTCCCCAAGCGCCGTGATGGGAACCCCGTAGCGCGATGTGGCCAGAAGGGTGAAGAATTGGCTCAGGGCGGTAGGCGCGGACGAGATATTTACCACTTCTTCGATAAATAAGAGCACTCCTCCAAGTATGTCGAGCGCACAGATTGGGTAGGGCCATTCGCGCGCTGTGTGTTCTTGAGCGACGGGTCGAGATGACGGGTCGAGGCGGAGCTCGGTGCCGAAGAAGGTAGTAGCGACGTCTACCGCTTCAAATGTTTGGTTGCAGCCAAGTGCTGAGACGGATGAGACCTCTGGATTTGGCGACATCGACATGTGACCCCAGATCCACAGGTTGTCGCTGCACTGCGCGAACCATGACTGCCATGAAGCCGAAGCTGAACCAAAATAGTATTCGGTTGAGTTTCTCGGGGGGTATAGCGTACTATATGTTGTTCCCAGGTACGATAAACAGCCCTCCTCGGCTATGTAGAAGTCAATCTTGTTTGTTATAGAATAAGGGTCGACGGGTTCTTGGTAGTCGACGGTCACATTCGTGCTGATCTGTGTTGAATTGTACAACCTGCATGTGAATCGTGGCCTCAAGGCTGGAACCGTCGCCTCGATTGTGACTGTTGAGTTGGAATCATCTTGGTTTTCCGAGTACTCTATTGAGTTGGGTGGCAGCTGGAACTTGGGAAATGCGAGATTTTCGTACGTGAAGACCGGGTACGTAAAATTGCTATCTAGTATTAGAGCAGTCGTCACAGTTGCCTCATTTGTAATATCTTCGGTCAAGCCCTCGATATCTATCGCAGACGCGTTTTCGCAGTTCACCGCGCTAAATGGGTGCAATGTACCATGCAGCTGGATCGGCGACGATATCGGGAACTGCATAGTGTAAAACAGTGAGGCCGCTATGATCGTTAGCAGCGAAGCGATGCCAAGGGCCACTGTGTTGAATAGAGCTGCCAGGCTGCCCGCTTGAACCTCCTTCACTATGGTTGATGGTGTGGTATGGTCGAGTAGATCTAGTCCGACTGAGCGGCTGTATGGGCTTCCGATGCTAAGATTAATATACGGTAGTAAACATCGTGACTGGAAATCTACAGCACCGAAGTACAAAGTGACGAGGCTGAAAATCGCTGCCGGCCCCGCTGCCCATAGAAAGTGCAAGTTGTCGTCGCCTTCGTCACTGAGTCCCGAGTTCTTTTGGGATGATCGAAAAGCAGCTTCCAGTCCAGCAATCAACCCGGCCAAGACCAGGGATGTTGCAATTCTTGCCAGAGGATGAAGAGACGCGGGATAACTTCCAGGCCTCGAGTCGGCATGGACAGACTCAAGATTGTCGTTTTCTGGTATATGCTCCAAAGCAATGATGGCGAATTGTTTGTGAGTAGTTGTCCAATCGTGACGGATCTGATAGTCAGAAAAACTGACTGAACAGGAGAGCAAATCACAGTCTGCCGATCCCAGTCCGGATAACGACTGTAGAAGAAACTGGCTGTGGATCAAAAGGGACGCTGTTCCAATAAGGGTACTGGGGTTGGATGGCAAGTCCCGTGTCTTCATCTGGTGAAGCTTGTACCAACCCACGGCAAGAAGCACTGACGCTACAACAAAGAGAGCAGTCAATAGATACGCAGCTGGTGGCTGAACGATCAGTCGGTTTTCCAAAGTGACTGCGGCCGCGGTGGATGGAGTCGAGGTGGGCTCCATCAGGTACCCATGCGCTATGATGGCTGCGAATTGCTGCCAATAGTCATGCCACATGCCAAATATAAATTCTTCATCAAGAGGAGAAGTTGAAAGTGCTGGGTCGATCTCTCCCGTTAGATTGCGTAAAGTCAATACGGTGTAAGTGTACACGTCCACGTCAACATGAATGTCAGGCGTCGAATACAAAGTATATCCGATTCCACTGCTGTAGGAATCTAAGAGAACCTGCATGATATTCCATACATGGACATCTTGGAGTTGTCTGGCGTTCGGGTTGCTGGACAGTATAGCTGATATCGCTTGCGTGCCATTCCTGGTTACATCAAGAGCGCTTATATGATATCTGGGGATGCACAGACATTGCGTGGTTTGCAGCACAATCGGCTCCCAGTTTCCCTCTTCGTGAAAATCATCGATCCTGAGTGTGCCATAGACTAGGCCGATACGCTGATCATCCGGATCGGTCGAGCCCCCGCAGCCTCCACTTACGAATCGTCCGAAAGAAGCAGCCTTCCCAATGGAAGCCGAGTCGAAGTCGAAGAAGTAAGTGTTGGTTACGTCAACTTGGCAAGGTGTAGAGCTACCAATGGTCTCTATGCTTATATTGAAATACTTGTAATGGTGTTCACCTGTAAGAACAACAAACTTGTCGACCTGGATGCTTGTTCTTGCAGGTTCACATTCCAGATCAGCTGAGAAGCCGTCTAAAGTCGTTCGAAACTCGGAAGTGGGTGCGAGATCAGATTCAATCTGTGGAAAGGTGAACTGTTTGGTCACACCATCGGGAAGTGTGAAGTTCAGCCGGATCAGACCATCAACCATGAAGTAGGGCAAGTCGCCAGCTCCGCCTAGATCCACCGCGGAACGGTTGGCGAACTTGCTTAGAAAAATTATTGGGACATCGGAATGCGATACCTTCGTTAGGGATAGAGCGATGAAACCAGTCGATATGACGTTTATGATCCCGATCAACATGGATATGGTTGTGATGGCAGCGACGTGGTGGTCCCCGTTTCGGATAGCCTGAACCAACGAAACAGGCTGTGTCACATGGACAAGTAGTCCAAGAGCAAAGACTGGTTCGCTTCTGCAGGGCCGTTGGCCATTTTGTACCATGGTGCGGACAATTTTGCTTGGTACTCGACACGTGCCCATAATGCTCCGATCAACGTGAAGATGGCGGTGGGTCCATATGTCCAGAGGTACTGCAGATTTGAAGAGCTGGTGGCTAAGCCCTGTTGGCTGTTTGAAATGTAAAGCGATGTTTCGATGGCAATGCTGCATATCGCGAAGACGGCGAGGAAGCCGGCAACGGCGCGCCGCCGCAGGTATGGAGGACTCCAAGTGATGGGCAAGCTTGTAGAAGCGTGATTCGAGTCAGACTCAGCCGCCGGGGTAGTAGGATCGACCAAGCCTCTGCTGGAAGATGATCCTTCGCCTACGGGACTGCCGCCGTAACTGGATTGGTCGCTGGACAGCATGGCGCCAACACCGCAGAGGAATTCTTGAATAGTTCTCGGGGACATGATCAATGGTGGTTCAAGGTCGAGACACCGAATTGGCAAGCTGTATTCCGTCGAGCGACGCCATGGGAGACGGAGACTTCCGGAGGTCGAGGCGGTTTTGAGTTGGGCTGCCTGTCTGACGAAAGGTGCTCTTGAAGGCGAATTTAGAGAGCAAGCCACAGAGTGACACTCTTGGCTTCGCCCCTAAATTGTAGATTTCTGCTGCCGTATAGCCCACCCTTTAATCGTCTCGACCTAAAACGCCCTTTCTATTGTTCCTTAGATCACATGTTTGAAATCGGCCCCCAGAATCATCTTGAGTTCATCTCAGCCTCTAACACTGTTCGAGCCCCCTCACCCCGTGAAGCCCCCACGGCATCTTGGTGGTACCTCAAGGCGCATTCACGGTTTCATCTCACGGCCGCCACTCCCATCTCTCGGCCGTCATGGATATCTGGCCAAGGCTGGCTGTGTTCTTCAATGAAAGCACTAAGCCTGGCCAGACAAGTGAATGTAACTGTCTAAACGAACATTGAAACTTCTCCGTTTCAAGGTAGTCTATCTGGCGACGGCAAAAGCACCAGCAACGAAATTGCAAGCGTACGAAGAGCGTGCCCGTCCAGGCAGGCAGCCTGCCTGTCTGCCTCGCTGACCGCGGGGCACAGATAGAGAGATAAAAGAAACAGGGAGAAAGAAAGCCTTACCACTCCGTCTGCTCAGCTGATTACATACCATGTACATATCCAATGCACGAGCAATGCTACCCCATGCAGGATCGATAGGCTCGCGCTCTGTTGCGCCACGTCGCATCGCGTTGCATTGCGTCGTGCTGCTTACAGTTGTGATGCGTTACATTGCGTTACACTGCCACTGCTCTTCAATCCCTTTCGTGTGACCGAGTCCTGTGAGACACCAGTCCTTGCCGAGGAGCCCGAGGCAAAGGCATCGCCGACTCCCAAAAGTCCATGGATGCACTGCTCCGCTCACATCTACGACTTGCATTGCCGGAAGGATTCATACGCCAAGGCCTACCATAGACTTACGATGACGTGAGCGTAGCTTGAGATGAAGCTCTGGGTGGGCATCCAAGCGGGCAGTTGAACAGATATTTCACAGCGTTCAGCGCCGATCAATGGTTATTCCATTTGATTACCCCTGAAATAGGCATTTGGTCCAAGTGCTGATGATGTAACTTTTGGTTTCTCAAAAGGTGGACGTTGATATACCATGAATACACTGCTGGATAGGAATATAGAAGTACTGCTTGAAACAACAACCGCATTACATCATATGGGGCCTCGAAAACGACTGGCAACCCCGCCTTTCCAATCAGAGAGGACGCTACTGGCCCTCCGCGCCTGAGCAGCCGTCATGCTGGGCCTCTAGCTCGCCGCGGACTTCTTGTCGATGGTGTTCTGGCGGGTGACAGTCGGCGACATGGCGGTGGGGCTGCCAACCGGGTCTGCGCCCGTGATACCAGCCTCCTGATCCTTGTGCGCAGACGATGCATGCGAGTCAATCTTCTCAGCGTTCGAGCCGAACCCGCCGGAAGAAGTCGACCCTCCTACTGGCGAGTTTGGCGAGCTCTGGTACGCTGGGCCAGTTGCGCCGGCCGCGGCGTGTATGGCCTCGAACCACTTCTGAGCCTCGGCGGGAGAGTGGGCAATGAAGGAGAACTCGGACGTCCCAGTGAGCTTGCTGCTGATGCTCTTGCTTTTGTCCTTGCCCTTTACGCTGAATTTTTCACCACTCGGCGCACCTACTATGGCGTCAGGTAGAAAGATGGACATTTCTGGCTTGGGGTCGTTGCGGAGATTATCGTCGTCCTTGAACTCGTGAAGATACTTGGACGGAGTGACGACGTAGTAACCGGATTGCGTGCCGAAGGAGAGCTTGTTGCGCGACTTGCGCTCGAGGCTGCCCTCGATAAGCGGCTTCGTGGAAACATGACCCTGGTTCGGGAAGCTGAGGGTGTCCACGCTTCGCGGCGGCTCGTTCGGGTCAACAAGTCTGCCCCTCTCGCGGTTCTGGAACCCGTTCCATTCAAAGTCACCCGGAATGCGCTGCGCCGCACCGAGCATATCGGTGTAGAGAGCTCGGGTCTTCTCAGCCTGACCGCCAGCAACTTGGTTGAAGGCCTCGATGGCTTGCTGGATCGTCAAGATAACGTGGGCCTCAAAAGCCTGAAAGCCGTCCTGGACGTTGATCAGGTCGTTCCGGTGGTTGTTCTCCTCTACCACCTGCTTGTTCAACCTGTGGACAACACCACGCTGGAGTACGTATGGGTCCTCGGCGGGGGTCGACTTGCCGCCAGTGGATTCGAACGATGCAGTGTGCTGTCCCAGGAGCTCGATGTGCTTCTGGGTGGTATTCCTGGCCTTCTCGATCTCCTTTGCGCTCTTCTCGACCTTGTGCGACACCTCCTTGTGCTTGGCCTTGATTTCTTTGTGTAGCCGCTCGAGTATGGGAAGGACGGTCCCCTTGAGCGTCTTCTCGGTTTCGGCGTTCGTGTTGATCAGAGCCTGGGCACCCTGTTAGCGACCGTGTATGTCTATTGTATGAGCTGAACTCACCTGCGTGTTGACCCTCATGTTCTCAAAGAGGCCGGCGACACCTCCAAGGCCCTGGTCGAAATGCGACCCCTCTTTCAAGGGATGGGAGATCGTCTTAAGAACCTTCTCATACTCTTTGGCATGCGCCTTGTGGATCTTTTCGGTGGCACCGACGTATTCTTCGAGGTATCCCACGGCATGTTTCCAGGCCTGCAGTCTCTCGGATAGGAGACCGGCTGTCTGTAGGGGGATGCGATCAGCGCCAGGACACGAAAGCAACCTCAGAGGCTGGAGCGACTCACGGTGGTGGGGTCGAGGTCGGGGACGGCGTCGTCGCTGAAGGTTGTCCCCTGCCGTAGGGGCATCTGCATTTCGCCACTCATGGTGCTTGTTGTAGATTGTAGATGAATATCAGATAAAGAGGTAAGGTAGAGGGGGTCGAGGGTCGAGGGTCGAGGGTGTTGCAATCGAGGGAGGGCGGAATGGTGTGGTTTTGTCGGCGGTTGTAGGGATCCATGAAAGGAGGGAACCTGGGAGGTGGCCTCAGGTGGAACGGCGGGGGTGACGTAGTCGTAGTAGAGGGTCTAGGCCTGATAGCGGGTCACTGGCGCTCGAATGGAACGATAAGGGGCTGTATAGGGGTATGGGGTATCAGCTGGACGAATCCATTATTCTAGGGGAAATCGTCTGCAATAAACACTCAGATATTGTGTGATACAACTGGAAATAGTCTCGCCATAGCCCACCCCGGGGCTACCTTGCAAAAACCAGGGGAAATCTGATTCATGACGTTGCGTAAGTGCCGTGTCTTTGTCCCCTTTGTGCGAAAGCTGCAAACTAGACTACCCCTCCATAGAGCAGCTAGTCCAACAGGGTTTAGTCTCATCTGATGATCTACAGGTTTACCGCCGTCAAAACTCCAAAACTTGGAACATCGTGAACGCCATGTCCGTCATAGCATACATTGCATCCGATCAATTATGTGGTTAACCTCTTTGTCGATCGAGAATAAATCAGACAGCGCGCATCAGCCTCCGCGATGGACACAGACGAGTTTCCCTTCATCGGGTCTGTACCAGTACAGGTGTGCATTGAAATCGCAACAGGTGGGATAGTGTTCGGGAAGCACCAAGGTCTGGAAGTACAAAGGCTTGACGATGTGTCCAGGTGACCTGATTCAAACGGACCCAAATGCGGGTTGCCTCCGCACGCCAACCAATCCTCAAAAGTCACAAGTCATAAGCGCGAAACCCACAGAGACCGGACGCCAGTTATATATATATGCCACAACACGAGAGTGAAGAGTAGAATTGCCTCCGGTCCATACAGTCGCTGTCTAATAAATCAAAATGGGGTATATGCTGTGCAGTATCTCCAACGACAAACCCAAGCAGTCAATGCCAAGGGGAGCCCCCGAAGCGCCGGTTGAAACAGAGAGTGCGCCGCCCGATGTGATGCTGTCCCACGTCTATTATGATGCCCCCTCTTCCTTCCATTCCATCCGTTCATCACTGGTAACGCCGGTGTCCAAAAATCAAATGCTGTTCTTCGCTGTTGCGCCGCCGCGCCTTTGGGAGTGGTGATATGTATAGTCGGTTGGTTGCGAAACCCCATATGTCGCCGAGGGCCAGGATCCGGAGGGTGGGTAATGACTATTCAGCTTCATTACGCCTTCGAAGGCGACGCCACTAGCCGCTTCGCCCCTGGAGAAGCCTATTTCGCCGTTCGCGAAGGCGACGCCACTAGCCACTTCGGCCTTGGAGAAGCCTGAGTCGCCGTTCGCTGTCCGCGCCCCCGATGGCAGCGTGGCCAGGGAAGAAGCTAAACCCGCCGACCGAGCTCCCCCGGGAGCCGTGCCCGTGTCCATGCCCGTTCCTCGAGGAGCTCCTCGAGCGCGCATCCTGGCTGCTCGCCACCTCGGTAGGCGAGCCGTCCGCCGGCAGGAGCTCGGCGATCGTGTCCATGGGATCCGTCAACACCACCCGTGTCGGCGAGCTCGGCGCGCTCATCGCCGTCCGGTAGTCCGGCAGCGCGAGCGACCCGGTGTAACTCGGTGTCCTGGGCAGCGGCGCCCGCGTCGCCGTCGTGTAGCTCGGCACCTTGCTCAGGGTGTCCATGTCGGGGAATTCGGCGGCGTGGAACTCGTCGTGCTCGGGCGGCGTGCCGTGGCCCGAGCGGCCCGGTGGGTGCTCCTCCTCGCTGCTGGGGTGCCGTGATAGCTCTGCCGAATGCGGCGCCGAGGACTCGGCTGTGTGATCGCCTTCGTGGTAGGGTGTCACCGCACCCGACGTTGCGCCGGAAGTAAGTCCATTCACGGAAATGTAAGACTGCGTTCTCCTGGATCGATCCAGCGACACGTTCTGCAACCTAGAAGATAGTGCCGCGGGCGGTACTGCGATTGCGTGTGCCATGGACGCCAAGTTCTCCGAGGAACCGGCTCTCGATTGCGCGTAGAAGGGGCTGCTGATACCGCTTTGGATGCCGGGGGTCATGAGGCCGGGGGTCATGATGCCACTAGGGTCCACGTCGTCGTAGAGCTGGTCCAGCACATGCTGGCCATAGCCCGGAGGAGCCATGTTTGATGTTTGCTCCGCGCGTTGGTCGCCAGCCGTCGTCTCGGGGGCCTGTGAGACGATATTGCCTTCATCATCTAGAGGCATGTTGGGCGAAATGAATATTGTCACCGGCAATGTGGCTCGGAGCTGCTCATAAAGTTAACACCCGTCCCCTGAGCGCGGAAGGTAGATAAGGGGATCCGTACCTCGGAGACGTGACCGTCTGGATTCTTCAGCGCAACAGTCAGCTTCAGCTTGTGCCTTATCTTGATTCCGTGCACAGTGCAGTCCTGGATGCATTTGCTCAGTTTTTTCGGCATTGGCAACTCCTTATTCACGACCCAGCCTTCTTGTCCCGTCTCTTCAATGTTGTTCTGCCAATCTGTGTCCCGGTTTACCTCGAAAGTCCAGGTATGCACATCACGATCGCGCTTGTGCGACCTTGTAGGAATCGCATATCCAGATACCGTAAACTCCTGGATCTCGATGAGCTTGACCGTGATAGTACCCATTTCCAGCCCCTTCAACAGCGGGGTGAAGCGCATCTCCAGTGGCACGTTGCTACCGAATACGACAGCCTTCTGGGGGATGACGACCGAGTACTCGATCTTGTTCGGCCATATATTCTCGACACTCATGGCGTGGTTGAACTCCAGCGCGGCGGGTTCCAACGTTCGGATAATTCGTAATCGCTTGTAGGCATGATAGTTCTTGGCCAGCTTTCCACGTGACACGGTCGCTTTCAAGACGTAAGTAATGCCCGTCTGGTAGAGCCCTTCGACGCTCTCGGCCGTGTCGCCTGGCAGTAGAAACTCGAATGGCCACTCGTAATTCCCAGGCTGCAGGGTGTTGTGGTGGTTGGATTCGCCGACGAATGGCGGCCAGTTGTGTTTGAGGATGGTAGTGGTCCTGTCGACCTTCTGATTGTGTATGCCAGATGGCGTCTGCTTTCCGTCCAGCCATGCCACCCGACACTCGCCCTGCAATCGCAAATGCACATCCTCGCATTTCAGCTGTTCCCTCAAACACAGGACTAGAACGCCTTTCAGGAGCTGGCCGGAAGCCTCATCGTCGCCTCCACGGAGAACGATGAAATCATTGTCGAGTCTGCGCCAAGCCTCAGTAAGATACGGCGCATTTCGTATCCAATCGAAAACGTCGTCAGGACTTACCGTATCTCGAACAGGGCGCAAGCGTTCCGACTTGCCGCTGTTGTAAAAGGACTGATTGCTGTTGTAAAAGGATTGAAAGACGGCATGTCGAAAGGCGCGAGTTATCGGCCGATCACGAAGTGAGGATGATGAGTGGAATAAGTGATTGTAAATGTCTGCTCAAAAGAGCAGCGAAGGTCGCCGGGAGGGAGACACCGGTAAAGTTGAGGGAAGAGAGTCATGCGCCCGAGCACGTGCGGTGGGCGAGGCGTGAGTAATAATAAAAGCAGCGGCTCAGAGCGACGAGCGTGACGGAACCAACACGCAAAGAGCTTGTGAGCTTGTGTGGGACTGCAGTTCGATTTTTTCAAGGATGACGGAGACGAAGATACGAACAGAGGGATGAGTGGATGAGTGGGTACGACGGTTGGATGGTCCTTGCCTGGCTTCCAGCCGCCAGCTTGCCTCTCGCTCTCTTTACGGTGCGTCCGTCTCATTCGCTACAGTACTACCGGTCAGTCTTTTTCGGGCTCAGCAGGGGAGTTGCGCAGTTCCGATTTGGAACAAGGCTATGCCCGCTTCGAAAGAGGATTGTCTGAGCCTTCGAAGCGACCATGGATTTGCATTTGGCCTTTGGCGTGCGACACGCTGACGACGCGCGCAACCGCGTGGGTTTGATAAATGCCACAGAAAAAAGAATTTCGCCGCCGTTCTCGGGCCTCTTTCGGTCCCTTATTTAGTCATTCTTTGTACCATGGCGTTTTGCTCGAGGGGTCTATTGTATCTGCCTAGCATCGGGTTGCCATCCATGGACCATCATCCATGTAACCATGCCACCATCGATACCGGAACGGTGAAGGCCGGAAGGCTGATAAGACGAAAAGTACTGGCAACACTCTGCGCCGATGCAAGCCCGCCGCATTCCCGCGTAGCAAATACCTCCAGGGCAGGGATCTAGTACCGGTAGTGTGAGGCTAAAAAAGAAGTCAGGAGTCAGAACCCAGCCGCCAGGACGGATAACAGGTGGGGCCGTCCTTTGACATGGTTCAGCTACCTGCCGCCTGCATGGCATGGCATTGTGGCTCCTCAACCCATTTTCCAGCCACAATGACGGATGGGTCACGGACCAGGGTACAAGGTACCTTGGAGCCCAACTGGTACCCGTTTGTACCAGATTCGTACCCAACTGGGATGATAGCTACTTCTGGGATGGGGACACCACCCATCCCTTCTTTCAATAAAGCAACTTCCAGAATACAGACCAACAGCCACCATTCGTGACCCTGGTCCTTATTCTGGATACCGCTACCACAAGGCACAGCATTGGCAGGGCAAGCCCATCACCAGGGCTGCAGGGGTTTAGGGGCACAGGGGCACAGGGGCACAGGGGCACAGGGGCTTGGTCGGATCATGGGAACATGACTCGCGCGATGGAACTTTGAAGTTTGAAGGCCTGATGGAAAGCGACGATAGGTGTTCAAATGTTCAGATGTTCTAGCCCTCGAAAGATGGACTGATCATCTGTCTGAACGTTGTATTCGTTGTAGCGCCCCTGATAAGAAATAACAAGCTGCAGCGTGCCGTACATGAATGCAGATGGTCGTCTATGCGCGACCTATGCTCAATATACCTCGTGCCTTCTTTCTTCCGCCAGATATTATATCCCTCCTCCCTGCAGCGTCTCATCTTTACTGCGGATCTGATGAGTCTGGATCGTCTCGACCATCTCGTTTTGTGGAGGTCGTATGCGCCTGCATATAGTCACCTAGCTCGCTGCAGCGTGTTGTCCAACACTGCGACCCCCAACTCACAGCCACGGTGAAGCTGACCTTGGCACAATGCTGTACGCTTCAGATCCAACTCAGAAGTGACAAATTGACTTACTAAGACGGCAACGCGAGGGATCTTTTGGGCTGAGGATTTGCATTCCACGGCCACGAAAAAGGGGACTCACAAGCCGGTCAATGTCTATTCTCGTCAACGGCAAAGGCCGGAGGATTCCAAGCAGACACAGTTGGGGCAGGCACACGACTCCACGTCCCACACGGGGTATCGGAAATCGGAACCGACAGCAACTTCGAGTATGCAGATGCAGTCCAGTGCTACGATGATCTGCATGGTCCCTGAAGTTCGTAACGACCTCGAGGCTCTGCTCCCCGGATCCATCTGACAAGTCCATGTCGGCGGAACAAACAGCCGCAGCACCAAGACTTGATCACCGAGGCCAATTGTTGACCCGGCCTGCTAATGTTGTCACATGAAAGCTCCAAAAGCCGCATTCGATCGAACGACATATTTGACTCGACTCCTTGAGATCAATGCGTGCATACCGTGTTTCGGTGGAGTACCTTATCGGGCTTGAAACGTTTGCGCCACTGACGGCAAAGGCCGAATTCGCTGACTCAAGCAACGGCAGCACGACTCAACCTTTCAACGGCAGGGAGACAACCCATTTCCAACGTCAAGAATTTACTATGTACAAGAGGATATCTCAAACTACCTCCCGACCGCTCCAACTTACAGGACTTCACCGCCGCCCTGCATCGCGCCCGTCTCTCTGCATGTAACTCGAAAACCCTTCTGCATCGTGTACCCACCCTCCTGCCGCAAAACTTGTTCAACACTTTCAAAGTTCAAACACCATCTGGCATATGATCCAACCCGGCAGGCCTGCCCAACCTGCCCAACCTGCCAACCTAGACCTGCCAAATCCACACGATCCATCAGTGCATCAGTCCATCGTTGCCAAGCTCGTACCGGTCAGGGGCCTCACCATTACCGACCAATGAGAACCCGCCCTGATTGAGCCGCGCGACGAGATAGGGTCAGCACGCGGCGCGGCGGCGATACCGTCCCTTTGACGCCCGTTTCGGCACCAGTGGGGCTGCAGGGTCTATACACCCAATCAATGTCCTAGAACAGGGGTATAACCGGGTCCGGATTTTCTTTGGTGCCGAAACGGGCGTTAAAGGGATGGACTCCTCCGAGAACAACACCGCGGATCCACTGCTTGCGCTACTGAGAAACCAGGGCCGGGAGTCGGATCGCCGAGCGTTGCTGCAGGTGTCAAACAGGGCTCATGAGATCCTAGCCGCAGGGAAATCCACTCCTCATTGGTGCTTGGACTAGGCAGCTAGGGTCCGGTTTGGTGTTGGGCACGGGTAAGTTTCAACTGACATCGTGATCACTGATCAGAGGTCATGCTGCTTCAGCCCACGAGACGGGGCCCCTCTCAGATGCAGGTGATTTTGACATGTGAACGCACGGTGCCGGGCTACGGTGTCCATAACGCTTTGCGGTTGCTTTCCGCCCCTTCCTCTCCGCTCCGCTCGGCGGGAATTCAGGATTACTGAAGCTTGAACATGGTGCTTCACTACAGCATTCACTCTGAACAAATTTTTTGTTGGTTCGCGATAGGCAGGAAAAGTTCCAAAACACCAAAAGAGATGTGGACCTTGCGTTTGGATCTCGTTGGACGCGGTTCTTCCCGAGATAGCTACAATGCCTCCGCTGCGATATCGAAACCAAGCTCCACTCTCATCTATCCAGCCGCCAGCCCTGGGCTGCCTGGGATCCTCGGTGGAGCCATGTGGCTTCCATCGGTGGAGAAGTCCCTGTGTCACAGGCTCAGGAGTCACAGGATGCCTCATCCCACGTGGGGGGTCTGTCTGCTCGTGAAGACAGAGAAACCCCTTTCACGCGCAGCCAGCCTAGACCAACCTGTGCCTGACGATCAGAAGGAAGGATGTGCATGAGATCAATCTGTACCAGGTGGGTATGTTCCAAGGTAACTCTACACCGATCGCTCAACAACACACGACAGACCATCTACACGATATTCTCATTTACCTCTCAACTGAAATTCCGTCAACCACTGTCGTCGTTGTCGTCATCAAGAAAAGGAAGGAGGCCTAGACGCTAGAGCATATCGCAGACGGTAGACTCATATAATAGACTCACTCACCTACCTGCAGGGCCGAGTCAAGCCCATCCCAAACGTGAAGGCTTCTAGCTTGGAACTACACGATAGTTGTCTGTTGGTAAGGTACGGACCTGCATGCACCTGATGCAGCCAGCCATGCGGCTCTTCGGGGAAGCTGGGTAGCCACGCCGTTACCGGCCAACCGAACCTTCGTGGCCGGCGCCGTGGCCGGTATCGAGACGGGGGTCATGCTAGCCGACTTTTTCTCGATCGATCGATTGATGGACGGCGACTTGCGGTCTTTTCACATGTTTCTTGCAGATAAACACACCTAATAACATGCTTGCACCCAAACACGCACTGGCAGCAGCTCGTACGACGTGAGGCTCAAATCAATCCATTTATTTGAATCCGACCCCTTCTCCATGCACTGCAACGCCGCCGAATCCAATCACAGCTGTCTCGACCACGGCAGCACGGCATCCGAGACCCTAGCATTGGCAAGCGGCAGGCAACGGGATACCCATTTTCCTGCGCAATCGCAGTCCAGTATCGGCCGATTGATTCTTCATGGAAGCGTCTCGACCTTTTTACTCCGTTGAATCTAAACTGCCGAATCCACACTTCCACCGAGGAGCCTCCGGACAGGACCTTGCCTTCCGGATCGCCCCGGCAGCCGATGCTTGCCAGGGATCTCAACGTTTCGTTTGAGACGGCGCCATGCAAGGAACGAATCTTTCCGTACGCCAAGAAGCCATTTGCGATCCGGTGAATCAACCTGCCGGACCAAGCTCTCGAAATAACCAATACAGAGCCCATACGATGGAGCTCGGAGTGTACACAATCGTCTGCTCGACCCAAACTGATCATTCACGACTGCTCAAATCGTTTCCACCCCAAAAACGTCTTCTATGTTCCTTTTCCAGTACCACGTCTGAGCCGGAGAGTCAGTTAGCCGGCTCCCTATGTTCCTTGTCCAGTACTATGTGTGAGCCGGAGAGTCAGTTGGCCGGCTCCAAGTTCTGATGCGGCCTAGGAAGGTGTCAGTCAAAACCCTTGATGTCGTGAGTGCGGCAGACTTACCTTTCGTACCGCTCGTTATGATGGCATCCTCGGTGAACTCAAGCCAGCTCAGCGGTTCTTGATCGGCGACCTTGGTCAGTACGGGCGGTAGTATCGCCACCTTGGCTCTCGGCTCCACCGGATGATTAATCGTCTTCTCTTCGCCGTCCACGGCCAATTCTCCGGAGTCTGACCGTATCCTACTTGGCGAGGCGCCTTGAGCGTCGGTGGGATGTAGACCGGGCAGTTGAGTAGAAACAGAGCCGCGTTGCCGGTTAGACGCCTATCGGAATGGTTAGCTGACAGCCTTCGATGCCTTTGGGAAACAGACTGACCGTCTTTGGCTTGTGCAACATGCCCACGCTGAAATCCCAGAGACACAATCTGCAATCCTCTCCCACACTGCCGAAGCGGTAGTTCTTCTCGTCGCACCTCCACGGATCGAATGCAACCGATGCGACCCATGATTGATGACCTTGACACCGTGCTATGATTGTAGTGTCTTCTGGACACCATATAGATATCAAATCATCGTGTCCTCCTGTCAATACGTATTTGCCATCCGGAGACCAGCAGACACAGGTAAATCCGCCATAGTACGCGTTATACACACCGAGAAGTCTACGACAGCGTTAGTCTGGAGACTCAGAGCATTTTCCCTTGCGGTATTTTTACTCTTCCTTGAGATAATCAATTATGCGCATTGTGCCGTCCTCGGAGACAACGGCAAGATGGCGGCTGTCAGGAGAAAACTCAAAGGCGTTGATCCTCTGATTCGATAGTTTCCATACAGCCACAGGGTTCGTCTTCTGATTCTTTGAGTGGACGGATTTCACGACGGTGATCCGCTTGCGATATTCGAACGCCTTGGGAGGTGCAGCATCCACGGTGGAGTTCCCCTCTTCCTCTTCTGGATTGAAGATGGCGTCTTCCTTCTCCTTATCGTATACCACAAGCGAGCCGTCCATGTGCGCTGCCAAAAATAGGTTCTCTGCTCCAGGAATCCAGCGTATTTGAGTAACCGGCGTCTTGTTGACAACACCCTGTAGCTTTGTCAGCCCATGCTTCTCTCAACAGATTTCTATGTACCTACATTCTTATTGAGTCTCGTATATCGCTGAGACATAGGTTCCCACCAGATGATCTCGCCGGTGGAGAAGCCCATGATGACATCGATATGGCTGGAACCCTTGGTGACCAAGTTGACGTCGTGACTCAAGCAATGGGCCTTGGTAAACAAAATCTTGGTCAGATAATCAGCTTTCGAGGAAGACGACAAGTCCAGCCACTGGAAAGCACGGTTAATGTTTGCAAAAGCGAAGAGGCCGTCACTCGGCCGGTCCGCCATTTTCTTGGAGAAGGTCTCGTTGATGATGACGCGTGATATGAAGGACGAATTGCTCTTAGTCATGTTATTCTTGGGCTTTCGTCGCTTGTTGGGGTCCTTAGTCTTCTCCGGAGCAAGGAGCGCATTCCCATCCCCAAAAGCCGGAGCGGAGACGGCGGTGACCGAAATCGGGGGCCCTCCGTCACTTACGGACGCGGCTCGACCCTCACCATCGCTGCTCAACTTGGCATCGTTAGAGTATCGGCCTTCGTTCGGGTGCTCGGCTATGCTGTTCGACAGCGTCATGGTCGACAAGAGTTTGTGGATAGCCGGCGGTGGTGCGCAGGGTTCTAGACTGAACAGCGAGATCTTGGTGCCGGCCGTGGCAGGCTGAGGCGTCGTAGCCAAGGGGTTTGGGTTGACGATGGGGGCTTCTGACGGGTGCGGCGGCGGTGTCGCGAGGAGTAGGTCTTCCTTGAGCATGTACGTACCCTCTCCTACCAGGAACTGGTCTTCGGGGCTCGATAGTATATTATTCGTCTCGATCATCGGGGTGGCATGGCCGGCAGCAACAGCGGCATTGTATGCGGCCTGGGTCGGATACCGAGGCGGAGGCGGTAGTACACTGTTTGGGCCAGCAGACGCGGCATGGTCAGTCGTGTGTAGTTTTGGCAGTGAGTGAGGAGCACATGGTATGCTTACAACATGGTGACCGGTTCTGCGAGCTCAATGGTTCGGGTAGTGAAGCTGGGTATGTGTTCTGTCGGCTATATACTACGGGTCTATGGGAACCCGTCGCTCTCCTCGAGGAGCATTGCGTCGAGGAGGGAGTCGACAACGTAGTTCGTGGCGATAAGACAGACAGCTTGCGGCCAGGAAGACAGGATACAAGAGATGCAGCAGGTGGACATGATAACTTGAAGTCTGGGGTGTTGTTGGTGTTAAGTGCAGGCAGGCAGGGTATAATGTGCGAGAGGTCCGGCGCTGGAAGTGGAAGTGGAAGTGGAAGTGGAAAGCTCAAGGTCGGGGTTGGGGTTGGGGTTGGGGTTGCGATGACGGTGTGGGGTAGTTATTATTATCAGTGACCTGTTGACAGCTGCTCCCACAATCTCCTTGCCCGTTCCCTGTAATAACAAAATATACTATACCATTACGGCAACATCCTGGGCATTATCACAAGCATTGAGCAGTCTGGCAGCTTCAACAATGCAGGTGACGGGACGCACGGAATATGCAGGGCTGGTGAACTGCTGTTCGCATTAAATACTTGAACAGTCCAAGCGTTTGAAAGAACCTGGGGTAATGGAGATCACAGGTATTGTGTGCATTATGTACCTACACAGGAGTTGGAGCTCATCATGTCACCTGACAAAAGTCGACTCTCAACCATCAATACGGAAGTCTGTATGAAACAAAAACAGAAAGGAGAAGTTGCTTGAATGGGCTGACTACAGTCTGTGCAGATCTTTGCGGCTTCGGTTAAACCCGACGTGCTGAACGGTGAACCATCAAATCGGATAATCTCCATCCTCTGGCTAGGTGCAATTTATTGATTTGTGCAGTGTCCATTCGTCGCCCACTTGCATCCCGCATCTTCAATGTTTCTATCTTTACCACACCGCAACACCAATCACCTTTGTCGTTTCCCGATATCTCCAGGTCCTCAGAGCAGTCGTTATATCGTTTGCTCACCCAACTTGTTCGCTTTACCTGTGTCACCGATCTGTCGGTCCCTTTTGTGAGCCTCGTAGCATTCAATCGCGGTCCTTGCTGCTTGCACCTCTGAGCAACCCACCCAACACCAGGAATGGCATCGCAATAAGGGAGCTGAATTGCCATAGTGCCTTATCAGTATGGCTACAGGTGTGTGCCCTACCCCTTCTCCTCTCCATCGCTCTGCGTCGACTGACGGGTCCATCTGCAGTGCGTGTCTGCGTGTGCGGGGACGAGGGCACCGGCAAGTCGAGCCTCATCGCTTCGCTCGTCAAGGATGTCTTCGTGAGCAACAAGATCCAGCCCGTCCTCCCTCAGATCACCATCCCTCCCAGCATCGGTACTCCCGAAAATGTCACCACCACCATCGTCGACACATCGGCTCGCCCACAAGACCGGACCACCTTGCGCAAGGAGATCCGCAAGTCCAACGTCATCCTGCTCGTCTACTCCGACCACTACAGCTACGAGCGAGTGGCTCTCTTCTGGATGCCCTACTTTCGATCGCTCGGGGTTAACGTCCCCGTGGTACTGTGCGCCAACAAATCCGACCTGACCGATAATCCGACCCCACAAGTAGTCGATGAGGAGATGCTCCCTGTCATGAGCGAGTTCAGGGAGATCGATTCTTGCATACGCGCCAGCGCTAGGGAACACTCAAATGTCAACGAGACCTTCTTCCTATGCCAGAAGGCCGTCGCACACCCCATTGCTCCGCTCTTCGACTACAAGGAAGGCAACCTGAAGCCAGCATGCGTTTCGGCTTTGAAGAGAGTCTTCTATCTCTGCGACAAGGATCAGGATGGCTACCTAAACGACGACGAGATCCAACACTTCCAGTTCAAATGCTTTGACAAGCCCCTGGCGCCCGAAGACCTGGAGAACATCAAGTTGTCCATTTCAAAGGCGGTCCCAGGGTCGAGTACCGAGAAGGGCGTTGACAAGAGAGGGTTTCTGCAGCTGAACAAGATCTATGCTGAGAAGGGTCGACATGAAACTATCTGGATCATCCTACGCAAGTACCATTACACCGACAGCCTCAGTTTGGAGGATAGCTTTATTCATCCAAAGTTCGACGTCCCAGAATATGCCTCTGCCGAGTTGAGCCCAGTTGGCTATCGCTTTTTCATGGACCTCTTCCTGCTATTCGACAAGGATAATGACGGGGGACTGAACGATCGCGAACTAGCATCTCTGTTTGCCCCTACTCCAGGACCACCTCAATCATGGGTAGAAGCGTCGTTCCCTTCGTCGACGGTACGGAACGAGGCTGGCCACATCACCTTGCAGGGTTGGCTGGCTCAGTGGAGTATGACCACGTTCCTCGAGCCCAAAACCACCTTGGAGTATCTTGCATACCTGGGATTTGAGCCTACAAACGCCCGGGAATCTCTGACCTCGGCCCTAAAGGTAACACGAGCTCGCAAGAGAAGGAGACGCCCAGGCCGAGTTGAGCGCAATGTCGTTCTGTGTTACATCGCAGGTGCTCCAGGGGCTGGCAAATCATCACTCCTGGACGCTTTCATCAACCGCCCCTTCGATGGCATGTACCACCCGACCATCAAGCCGCGGAGAGCTGTCAACAGCGTTGAGCTGCAGGGCGGCAGGCAATGTTATTTGATTCTAGAGGAACTAGGGGAGCTTGAACCTGCTATACTGGAAAACCAGGCAAAGCTGGATGCTTGCGATCTGATTTGTTATTCCTATGACTCCTCGGACCCCGACTCGTTCTCTCATATTGTTGACCTCCGAAAGCGGTGCCCGCAGCTCGATGACCTCCCTTCGATCTACACGGCTCTGAAGGCGGACAGGGACAAGACGACCCAGCGAAGTGAGTTGCAACCGGACCAGTACACTTCGGGCTTGATGATGGGCACGCCTGTCCATGTCAGTGTAACGTGGAACAGCATCGGGGAGCTTTTCGTTGCTCTAGCCGAGGCGGCAACAAATCCAAGCACGGCTTTTCCGAAGAGCGAGGAGCCCCCACCCGACAGGACAAGTCTGTATCTTGCGCTCGGGACAACCACGTGTGCGGCGGTGGCTGCTTTCATGATTTGGAGGAGATCTACCAACTCTGCCTGATGTCTACCTAATTCTCACCCCACACAACTCTTCTCATACCGACGTTTGATACAATTAACACAGCATCTGGAGGCGCACAGTACAGTTTATGGATGGACTATGCATGGAGAGATTTGATTGTGTTTCGACGGACCCCGCTCTACCAGTTTGATTATGATACCCAACTCTACTGTCGTTGATGAGCACATACAGATGACTACGCAGATACACAATGTTTTAGTTTAATGGTCTAATCTTCACGTTCTCGCTATCAAGTGACGAAGTGAAGTTGTTCTTCGTGCGTAAATTTCATTGGGATGTGCTGGTTTGTCTGAGATCTTTCGCATCTCCTTCCAAGCTCTCTGTGTCTGTCTCAGGTGGTCGACGGCGTGTGCTGAGCTAACCTTAGGAAAATCACACGCGGTACCTTGAGTGAGCAGTATCATTGCAACAGTCCAACTGTGCCATCATGATTTTAGCTTGTCTACGGCTGGCCACATAGAGAGCTACGTGGAATGTAACACACCTTCATTAGGACTCTTCGCAGGTGAAGGGGACTTACACGACCATGTACTTTGAAGAAAAGGACACTGAGAGCAACGGAGTCCGTTTTCAAGCCGATGGAATATAGGGGTCAGGAGTGTAACTCAATTTCTCATTGACGAAATTTTAGGGAAGCGTGGCGGTTGTCGGTATCGATCGAAAGCTCATGACGGTACGGAGTAGCCTCTCGATTCTCTTCCGTCTCTTGAGCAGTCGACCATGCGCGTGCATGATGTGGCATGACCTTTAGGAGAAGCTGAGAGCCCTAATTAGAACGCATCATGCGCCCATAGGTGACAACTGGTAGAAGCATATCTCGAAATAACTCGTACTCAAAGAGCAAACCGTCTCACAGTAAGCAGCAGCAAGCTCCTGGGCGCAAGATGTAGTGCCGTTACAATGAGGTCGTGTTTGCTTGTTGGTGTATGTCAATCGATCTAGTGATTCACTGCATAGACGTCACACGAGATGGATATAAGTATACTAGGTCCCTATGCGGAACGGTAGAAAGTAGACTTTCTACGCCTGCCTTAGCACAGTCTTTCTTTCTTAAAGCTTATAGTATAATCTATCACCGCTTGACTGCGGCGTTCCTACTTCTCTCGGCCGACGCCTCTTGGGCACTCTGTGTACCATTCTCTTCTACATCTTCTCCTTATGCTAATCTAAACAGCTACGCAGTTCTTGCCTTACATGTTTACTCATGGGGCGTTTAGACTGGCGACAATATTGTCACTAATGAAATATGCTGGAACTCCCTTGCATGTAAGCTGGATACCTTCTACTACCAACACTGCACATACCAGGGGCAAGACATGCTCAAGCTATTCCGCCGTAGCAACAACTTCCGCCCAGCACTACCTTGACGGGTCTCTCCAAAGAGCAACAGAAGATATTTTTCCATATGGTACTCTAGGTGAACAAGCCTCCACCAGGACGCACACGTGCGCGAGAGGGACCGTCCGTCGAACACACATCTGAGCCCACGCCGCAAGATGAAGTGGAGGACCAAGTAGCCTAGCACATTACTCGTCGGTCCGCGAAACAGAAGGATCCCCCGATCTTCACCAACAATCCGGGTACGAGATGGCCATTGATTATACGTGCGCAGATCTGCACTGTTTTCCACCCACACAACCTGCAGCCATCAGGATTCTGCGCCATATTCCACCCTACCAACATCTTGTCTTTACAAGTACCTATTTCCATTTTTTTCGATCACATCGAACCCGTACGTGTTTCAATTCTGACAACGCCCGTCGACGACATTTTCCTCCAAACCGTCACCGCACAACATCATCTTGCGAACCGTGCACGGTCGCCATCTGCGCAATGCCGCCCAAGATGGGAGCAGGCTCGGCTGCTGTCTTTGTGGACCTTTCGAAGGCTCAACGGAAGGAGTACGCAACCTAACGATTTCACGACTTCGATTGGGGAACGGAGTTCCGACGACACCGCTCCAGCACGCAAAGAATTCTGCCTGTGTAGGGCACAAATATGTGACCAAAAGAAAACATGATGATTACATATCTTGAATAGAAGCCGAGCTTAACAGTGCCCGCGCGAATGGTAATAGGCACCATCTACGAGTGGAACCAAGATAACGTGCGTGCCCATTTAATAAGATGCAACCTTAAACAGAAACACAGGGCACCTGATCTGACGCCGCCAGCTTAAGTCAAAAGTTAGGGAATGACCATGCGAAGCCGGTTCCTACCTTCCGAGAAGTCTTCCCACCAGACTCTTTACCACCAGTCCGACTATCATCACCGTTAAGAGTGGCATCATCACCCTTCTTCCACATATCCTGTGCGAGGAGACTACTTTATCATTCCACAGGCAGGTTGTATCACGGGCTTGGCCGAGCCTGACGTTTGAGTGGAGCTGCTAAGCAATTTAGAACACCGCTTCAGGAAGACCGGATCAAAATTGATATTCGCCTTCTACCAGCCGCAACCCTATTGCATTGTCTCCGCGCGCATTTTTCCCAGCTGGGTGCTAACATAACTCAACACATTTGGTGGTTGCCTGTGTCGATAATCCACCGGGTATAAAGACTATGAAAATGAAAGAGTAAAAACTATATAGTTGTCCTATCAACTAGGCTATGATGAGACGAGTATCTAGTGGCTTTCAGGTTATTGATTTTATTTGCTGTTGCGGAGCGGTCGATGGTAGAGTGTCTGATTTGATAAATTAAAACCAAGCAACCCTTCAGGAGTCCAAAGTGCAATGGATGGCCAAGTCTACACGAAACCGTCGGGCAGATCGACTCACCCCAGGGAATTAAATCCTATACATCTCAAGAACTAATTCCCTATTAACGGAAGACGTGGAATTGACCAGGGCGTAAACTGAACTAGTTATAAAGATAAAAAAGAAAACCGGTTCTGTTTACTTGATATAGGTGGCGACCAGGGGTGGGAAGGTGGTGAGCGTTGCCCCGTACTGGTTGCTCTAGGAAACACAATCTTGCAATAGGGAATTCTTCCAGGGACCTGTGCACTGGCAATTTCTTCACCCCGCGCACAAGGTTCTGCAAACAATCTCTCGTACCAGATTCCCCAGCCGAACACACAACAATCCCGCTCTCCCATATCACTTTCCACCCTTCCTCCCAATCACCATTCATCGCACACAAGATGCCTCGCCGGCACTTCCCTCACCTCGACAAGCTCCTGTACCTCGGCTTCCACGGAGGCTTCCGCTGGGAGACCCAGGGCTTCGATCAACGCGATGCCGAGACCGGCGCGCTCATGCACCACTACCGCCTCCTCCTGCATCACGGCAACTGACTCCACGTCTCCAAGGTGATCTGCCGCGCCCTGGCACCCGATACGGCGAACAAAGGCAGAACTAGCCAGGCTCTCTCCCAGATCTACGACTGGGCGGCTGAGAACGTCGGCATGTGCGGTCTCCTGGAGCCGGAGGACTTCCTCGCCTGCGCCAAGGATTCCTTCGAGTGGTCGGCCAAGTTCCGCGACGACGCTTTCTGGGCTTTCACCTATAAGCTGTTTCATGCTCGCGAGCTCTTTGTGGCGCCTGTCTACGATCCGATGGGCAAGACGCAGCCCCGGGGCCACCCTCTTCGTACGTTGCACCAACTTGGAATTTTGCCCGTCGTTTTCCGTCGCATATCATAGGCTGTGGGCATATGAATGAAACATCTTCATAACGCACCCCCTACCCACTTGGGAAGAACCTTCACTGACCAAAGACACTGCAGTGACCGCTCCCGATAACTTCCGCCAGGAGTTCCTCACCCGCTATGATATCCATAGCAAAACCTACCAGAAGTACTTCCCCCGGGAGCTCACCCACGCCGACGGAGAAGGCGATGGCGATGACAAGCTGTTCATTGTCCCCGTTGCCGAAGCCTCGAAGCTCAGCGAAGATTACGCGGCCCAGACCGCCGAGGTGGACCAGCCCAACGAGCCCACCATTGGCTTCTATGACTTTGGACCACGTTACCGCGACGGTTACGAGGATGTCAAGGCCAAGGCCGCCGCTGACGAGAAGGCCAAGAAGGCAAAGCCGGCTGGTATACTCGATGAGGCGATCGTGGGTGACGACGAGGATGATATCATGATGGATCTGGACGACGACGAGGCCATGAACGATCTTGCAGAGGGCGTTGAGAAGAAGCTGCGCTGATGGGAATCTGCAGACGGGTATTAGAGCGAGGACGTGATATGATATGATGGCTAGAATCATGGAAACGGCGCATTGCACAACAGTCAATGATTACTACAGGACTGAATGCACCGGAATAAACACCACAAATATGATGATTCTCCCGTGACGATAACACATCATGGCTTTTGTGAAACATCATCGCTGACATCCACATACCAAGCCGCTGTCATTAGTTGAAAGCACCGACGTTGGCACCACCGATATGGCCACAGACCTGTGTTATTCTACTGTCGTGCCTCAGGTCGTGCCTCATGCCGTCCCTCGTGTTGTCCCTCGTGGTGTCAATTGCCATAGTTAGCCGATTCACATACACGCTCCTACGCCAACCCCTAGGTTCGTTCCATATTGTTCCTTATTGGTCCCAATGTCAATGGCAATATTGATTAACCTCTTAGCGCCTATTACAATGACTGTGTAAGTGGTTAGTATGTATCTAACGGCAGTGGGTGGCGGATGGACGTCAGATCAGATCATAAGATCCGCCCAAGCCACCGGTGGATCCACTTGAAAGGGGTTGGATCAAACGACGGCCGGCGGCATGGTATGACTATGGGTTTGCATCAAGCCGCATAAGCCCAAGCACGTTGACCGGTAAGAAGACCAGGGAGCATTTTTGAAGGATGTATGAAGCGAGGGAGTCTCTGTTCTTATTGCCCCTACAGCCCATAGTGCGCCACGTGTTTATCGTATGACTACACCAGTCTATACCAATGTAGCGCAATCTTTGACCCCGAGGTGTCTACATCTATGTCTAAGGTCCAGGTACCACAAGGACATCCGATGCGCATCTATGTGTAGCTCTACAGCTTCGCGCCGCTCTTCCTCCGCTGGAACTTCTCGTTATCTTTCTTCAGCGGGTCGGCCTCGTGACCAATTTGGCCCTTGTTCTGATCGCCCGGCGCCTGCGCCGAATCGCTCTTCTTCGGCGCGCTCTTGTACCCCTCCTCGACGTTCTCCTCGTTTACCACGTTGCCATTGGCATCCCTCTTGATACCGAGCTCAAGAAGCTTGGCAAAGACCTTGGCAAAGTGCTCGAAGAAAAGGTCCTTGTCCTGGGCATACCGCTCGACCCACGGCCGGAACGCCTTGTCGGACAGCAGCGACATGTCCGTCGGCAGCATCATGAGCTCCGCAGCCTTCTCCCCGCCCTCCTCCTCTCCTTCCGCAGCCAGGTCCTCATCCACGAACACGAACTGCTCCACACCGCTTTCCAGCGTCTTCTTCTTCCAATCATTCGCTAGCAGCAGCTTGAAGTACTGATTTGAGAACCGCGTCGGGTTGTTCACCCACTTGCCCTCGAAGCCCGAGCGGTCGCCGTGGCAGCGCCCCAGATTGTGCGCGCCCGACAGCGCTACGATCTCTTGGTCTGAGAACCCCATGCGGTAGAAGATGAAGCGCAGGTGTTCTGCGCCCTGCGCGCCGTCCGGCAGGCGGCCCCGCGGCGGCACCTTGCTTTCATCGGTGAAGTCTGTACGGTCGCCCGCCCAGTGTATCGCCGGCCCGCCCATCTCCTCGATCGCTGTGACGGCTGCGAGCGTCCATAAATCCGCGTAGGTGATCCAGGGATGAGCGGCCTTGACGGGCTCGAGGAAAGCGCGCGCGTGCTGGAGGCCCGCGTTGGCCGGGTCGCCGCCCTCGGCCTCGTAGCGCATGCCTGCGCCGTTGGAGCCGCCCGTGTTCGTCTCGGCGCAGTAAGTTCCTGCTGCGTGCCAGGCTAGACGCACCAGGACGGGGCCGGCGGAGCCGTCGTCGTAGTCGGGCTGGTGTAGGAGTTTGCGGACGGAGGACTTGACGGCATCGAGTTGCGCCGCCGTCGGGGCTGCGGCGGGCGTCTGCGCCATGATGGTTGGGGCGCGATTGCGGATGCGACCGTTTTTGGGTTATGCTGGTCTGGGAGGCAGGCCTATCCGTTGAGGCGACTTTCACAGTGCGTTTCTATTGTACAGTCGCACGACAAGAAAGTGATGACGAGCGCTCATGAAGTTGTAGATGAAATTTGGGAGGTCATCGCTGGACCTCGGCAAAATGGACCTCGGGATTCTTGAGAAGGTGCAATTCCCGGTCGCGTCGAGTCAGGCCTTGGCTAGCGCGCCTTCCGAGTGGCGTTATCGAAGCTATCGTCATCTATGATCCACCCCTTTATCAGTGATGATCCACCCCTTTTAAGTGGATTCTCCGGTGGCTTGGGCAGATCTCGTGACCTGATCCAGCGACGTCGGGTCCGCCTACATGGAACACCGCCATGATTATCTTATGTCGTCGGCGCTGACTTTGATCCTGTCCAACTACTCTTACTACACCTATTCATGCTCATGCCCGGGGTTCAGAATACCCCCTATACCCGTGAGTACCAGTGTAAGTGATCAGCAGACAGGCCACTGACCAAATCTATGGCTATCAGATCGTCCCTGGTGACTGCCAACTGTAAGGGATAAAAGATCACTTGTGATTCGGAGTTGAATAAGCATGGCATCTGTATCTGTCATGGTCAAGTCCGCCTTCGAATGACTACCTACGCAGGTAAGTTTACCATCTTGCTGACCAACTTCCAGTCTAGGCCCTCCAGTTCATATATGGCCATCCCCACCAAAACGCGTTGTGTCATCAACAGACTGAGTGTTTTAACACATGCTAGACCCAATGTCAATAACATATACAGACCCAGTGTCAGTGACGTTTACAGACCCAGTGTCAATGACATTTACAGGCCCATTGTCGGTGAGATTTACAGACCCAATGTCAGTGACATCTACTGACCTAATGTCGGTAATGTTAGAAACCATGTGTCAGTGACATTTCACGATATAAAGAAGGCGGGTTCACTTATTTATTGACGGCGGGACAATCGTGTATGGGGGGTTCATCGCGGTTCATTCATTCGTTCCTATCATCACCACTGACTCCGTACTCATGCCGATCTAACTACTCTTAGTGGAGTTTCTGAACTCCCTCGATGATACCGCCCATATCGTCATCCTCGTCGTCGCTGTCGATGTCCATCATCACATCGTCATCGTCGTCGTCCAAGACCGCGTCCTGATCCACCACCACATTCTTGCGCGCCTCCTCGGCTCTGGCCTTCGCATCCTTAGCAGCCTTGGCTTCAAAGTATCCGTCGCGATATCGCGGCGGGCGCGGCGGGCCGAGGTCGAAGAAGAAGAGTTCCTCTGGCTGCTTCCGCGCCGGGACGATGCCGATATAGCTGTCCATGCCGGGGTTGTCGGTTTCGTTCTCGACTATGGTGACCACTCGTTTGTCGTCACCGTCGCCCTCGCCGTGCGCGTGGGTCAGGTTGGGATCGAAGTACTTCTCCTCCACCTCCTTGTTCTTGGACTTGATGTCCTCGACTTGCTCGATGTTGGCCTGGCTTGCGTTCAGGCCCAGTGCGCGCGGAACTTGTCCCGGAAGTTGTCCAGGGCTTGGACAAGGGGGTGGCCCTTGGGCTCGACATGGGGATCGAGAACGAAGGTGAGGTACAGTTCTCGGGCGTGGAAGAGCTTGTAGGTGAATCTCCAAAAGGACTCGTTGTCGATGTCCTGCGAGCACTCCCAGCACGCTTTGGCCTCGGCGAAGAAGTCGGCGGGCTCCATAACTTCGCACAGCTCGACGTTCTCTACGGCATACTCGTAGACTTCAGCCAGAGCCTGGCTAATCTCGGCCCTTCTTGTCGGTGTGGAGCTTGGTTACGAGCTGGTGCGCCATCTATCGGGACTTGCTAGGGTGCAAAAGGTAGTGATGGACGTGCACCATGCTGTTCTGCCGCCCATCGACCTCCTTGTAGCCTTTGGTCTCCCACCGCAGGCCGCCGTGGTAGCTCAGGTACAGCAGGTCGTGCAGGAAGAGGTTCCGCGTGAACGACGACATGGTGCGAAAGAGGAGGAAGAGAGACAGAGAGAGTGGTGTGTGTGTATGTGTGTGTGTGCGTGTGTGTGCGAAGTGCGAAGCGCGAGAGGAGGAATCGTTCGGGCCTGGCAAAAGGTGCAATCGAACAAGCGCGTGCAGCAGGTACGAGTTCGGAGGTGGAGATAGAGAGGCAGAGGTGCATGGGGGTTTCTGCCACTGGTGACCCGCCTCCTAAGGCAACCAACGCTCCAGCTACCCGTTGCTTCAGCTGGGCATCCTTTATCAGTGCACAGGAAAAATTTTTCCCCATCAACCGGTTGGTGTACTGGTCAAGACCAACAATCTCAATTGCTAGTCAATCCTAGCTCTTGAGAGGTTCGGGGTTCAAACCCCCTGGGTAGTAGTAATCTTCGACTTGTCCATTGCACACCGGGCAAGATGATGCAACAGGTTTAGGATTGGGTGTCCCCCGTTAGCTTATCATTTACGAAGTGACTATTAAACTACCAACTGCCCATAGCCCAGATGGTAGGGTGACCCAACTTTTTTTTCTTCCGCCCAATTTTCTTTTTCCTTTTTTTAATTTTCTTCGAAGCCTTGGTTGGTAGTTGGCTAGATAATATAGCAAGACATGTTATGCGAGAAGTCCTTTTAGCAAGAAGGCATCTAGGGGTTATGTTTGTTTGTTTGTTTTGTATTTAACGTGGGGGGTAGCTCCTCAGTAGAGCAAACCACGCCTCCCAGAGCCTCTGTATTGCAGGGTTGTGGAGGTCTCAAGATAATAAGTACAGTCAGTCCCGCTCACGGGCCCATCCCCGTTGTTGCGGCGGTATGACCTTGGGGTCATCCATCTGGTCCTTCAAGAAAAGCTATCTATCGGGGGCAGATTGTTGAAAAGAACTTGCTCTTCTCCACGAATTTTGCCCATTCTGTGCTCCTCTCCCCTAAGTATTATAAACAAGCTGTCCTAGGCGAGTACCTAGGCAGCAGCCGGTTTTTCCCCAGCCTCTTACAAAAGAAAATGTGTTGTGATGTTTTCTTCTCACCACAGCTGCAGTGATCATTCGAGTCTGTATGCCCAAAGCGTTCATAGTATCTGGCAAAGTCGCCATGTCCAGATCTGGCCGCTAGAAGTCTGTGTAAAATACTCCTCTTAAAAGATATAAGGTCTCTTTCAATTACTGCATGTGAGTATACTTCTTGATATCTAGGTTCTGATTGGGTTTTCCACCATTGGTTGAACTCTTTCTTGCCCTTTTTTTTGAGATCTCTCTTGACCTAAGAGATTATAGGAAGGTTTGTCATGTCTATTTCTAGCATGGCACCCTCTTTTGCTAGTGTGTCATCTACTACTTCTGCTTGGAGAAGTCTGCCCTTTCCCCGGTATACTTCTTGTGTAGTGCCGCCTTTCCTGATGGTATAACCCCATCCAGTGCGGGTTGTGCCTTGGTCGTCCAATTGTGATCCATCTGAATAGATGACAAGGTCAGTGTTCATGTTTCTCTCCTGTAGCCATTGCTTGAAGAGCTCTGTTTTTTTGTCTTTGTCTTTACGGATTAGGGGCTTCTTCCATGATGGCCTGGTAAGTGTTGGTCTCTGGAAGTCAGGGACTAGCTGGAAGCTCCTTTGTAGCCTTGTTAGATTCTTGCGAGCTTGTATTTAGAGCCTGCCAACAAGAGGGTGTCTCTGGTCTATTCGTCCTAGTCAGAGGCCGTGACGTCGTCTTATTGACTCTGCAAGAACTCCTGCTAGGGGAATCTGTGATTCAAAGTGTAGGATATGTCCAGAGTGTATTTTCCAAGACTGGCAAGATAGCCCTGATCGCTGTTCGTAGTACGGCATTTATTGTTCCAAGAAGCCCCTTAATGCGACATGCTGATGTCCCACCTAAGCTCCCGACTTTCTCGATTCCTGGGTACCAGGCCTCCAGGCCGTGTGTAAGAATAAGAATAACACAAGCTTTCACAGCCCTTTTGGTTGACTTTACTGGAAGTCCTTTGACTGTGTTGCATAGTCCTTAAAGGTGATTTGTTACCTTATTAGCTTTCTTGGCCCAGTAGGAAACGTGATTTTTGAAGTTTAGTTTTCTATCCAGGAAGACACCCAGCCATTGCATGGAGTCCTTTGCTGTTTTGTTCATTGTCCCGTGGCGGACTGGAGGGTTGTCTGAGTTCTTTTTCCTTGAGAAGTGCATGATCTCAGTTTTGTTAGGGTCAAATTTAATAGCGTTGTTATGTCCCTATTGACTGAGCAAGTAAAGATTTTCAGAAGCCTCTGTAGCTGTTTCCTCAAGGTTCTTTCCAATGCAGAGAGTCGCTAGGTTGTCTGTATATCCAAAACGTCTCTTTTTCATACCAAGTCGGGCACAGATTGGCTCTGTATACAGCATATAAAGGATTGGAGAGGCTGGTGAGCCTTATGGTAGCCCACAAGTGAGAGCTTTAATATCGGTCACAATACCTTCAAACCGAACCCTTGCGGACCGCTCGGACATGAATGACTGGACCCATCTTATGAGAAAGCCCGGCCAGCCCTGTTCTCTCATGCGAACCACCAGCCGTCCCATTAGGGCAGCATCAAAGGCCCCTTTCACATCTGACGTGACTACTGTTGCAACGAGGCCTTGGTTGAGGGCCTGCTCAATATCGTGTATGAGTGCAGCTACCAGGTCAGTGGCAGAGCGCTTTGGTAGAGCTCCAAAATGTTGTGGAGCTAGAATTCCAAGTTTGACAACAAACCAGGTAATTCTTTTCGCGATGAGTCGTTCTAGGCCTTTGTCAAGACATGACAATAGCGATATTGGTCTGTAGGCCCTGGGATTGGAGTAGTCTTTCTTTCCTGGTTTTGGGATCATCACCACCTCAGCTATTTTGAATGGTTTAGGGTGGTGTCCAATCTGTAGACAGGTCTGGAAAAGGGCTCTGATATGTTCCCCAATGAATGGCCAGCAAGCTTTCAGAATCCGTACTGTGAGGGTATCTATTCCCGGGGAGTTGCTCTTGGTCCCTAAAGTGCACCCTTCCGCCTCTTCCAGTCCGACATGGTATTCAAGGGGGATATATGACTTGGGTTGTGTGATCTGAGCGGACCAGGGGTCGATGATATCGTTGTCTGAGGTACTTCGTTCAAGCGTGGCTGAGCGTAATGCATTTGCCTTGCTCTCTTATGACTCGAATATTTGGTCTCTTATGATGATTGGAGGGGAACGCAATCCTGCTGATAGCTTGTGCCAAGAAATGATTCTGTATAGGTCCTTTGGCTCAGTTGCTGAATCAATTAGAGTCTGCCAGTACTCTCTCCTAGCTTTCCGAACCACGTGGCAAAATTCCTGTCGGGCTGAATTCCGCCCTTCTTGGCTTGTAGTCTGTTTAGAAAGGGCCCTGTATGTCTGAATAGCTGCTTTGCAGTCATCATTCCACCAAGCAGTGGGCTTAGATTGACGGGGCTTCTTGCCCACTGTCCTGATACAGCCTTGGATCATGTTGATCAAGCTTTGTGTAAAGGCATCTACCTGGCCAGGGGATACACCCAGCCGGGGGAGTTCATGAATCCTGGTTTGGACATTGTCTGCCAGCTCTTGTAGTTTATCGTCCGGTACTATCTAATGATTAGCCTTGGGGACTCGGTCTAGACCTCCCTGAATTGAGACATCTATTCGTAATGTCTTATGATCTGAAGTGCACTGGAGTGCATCATTCACTGAGGCTTCGGCCATGGGGACATCTGAGAACACCAGATCTAGTACATTTCCGTCATCATGTGTTGGGACATCTGGTTCAGAAATCAGATCCAGTCCGTGGTCTGCCATAGTCTGTGCAAGTATGACACCACCATGATATCCTGGATTGCTCAAGTCCCAGGATGTGTTGCAAGCATTGAAATCTCCAGCTATAACGCAGCCAAAAGGTGGAGTCCATACTTCCAGAATATCATCCACTTCCTGTGGGTTGTCATATGGCCGGTAGACACTGGCAAATGTAATGCCTTGTACCTTGACCCAGGTGATGTCTTGTGTAGCATAGGGCCGAAGTTGATCCGCTTGAAGGTGTTTTCTCACATAGATGAGAGATCTGGGCCGTGTACTGTCGCTGTCCCAGGAATCTACTGGGGAGTATATATCGTAATTAGCGTGTGTCTTTACTCCCATTCTCCTGCCTGGTGGTATGCCAACCCAGGGCTCTTGCATCAGAATGATGTCTGCTTGTTCTCTTTTGTAGTCAGCCAGGTTAATGACTAACTTTGTAGGGCCTGTACTCTTTTGTCCTCCTGTTGTATTCATAGAATGGATGACTAGATGCCCGTGTCAATGTGTTTCGTTTGATGTACCTAACATTGACTGACAACAATGGTATCGGCATCTCTGGGATGAGTTGTATCTGTTGTGTCGATTTGCATTATGATGTCTTTGTTATTGTTGCTGGGTGTTGACCCAGCTTGGTTTCTGCCTGTTTCATTAAAGGCCTTGGATCTGGCTCTTTCTCCGGCTAGCCTTATTTCCTGGATTTGTTCCCATGTGTGCTTATGGATGATGCCTTTCATGGCCTTAGGGCGTGCAGGGCATTTGTCAAAGTTGGCAGTATGAGGTCCTTTGCAGTTGACACACTTTGGGATTGGTTTTTCGCACTCCCCCTGGTGTACTGTACCGGCACAATGTGCACATACTTGCTTTTCACATCGGTACTTCCTACCATGGTATCTGAAGCAGCTCGCACACTGGTGAACCTTGGGGGAGTATTGAATGTGCCTTGAGGTCATTAAATGAGCAAAAAGCGTGAATAGTTTCTTTGCTGCACGGGGCAGAGAGATCACCCATGTGGTCTCCGGATCAGAATCAACTGTATTCCTTGAGAATATGCACCTTAAAGGTCTGTCACCTATTTGGGCTTTAATTTCATCAGCAATAGCAATGTCGGTAATGTCGATTGTTAATCCTTCCGCACTGATGACCTTTCTTGGGCATCTATCGACCTTAACATCTCACCCCCCCCTGCGGACCACCCCCCCACGGACCACTCCACACCACACCACTCTCATTCAGATGAAGCCATCTACAACCACCACAGTTGCTAAATACACTAAGGTCGTGGTGTTCTAACCATAATACAGCTCCCAGAATCCGATTCCGACCCTAAATCTTCACCAGGGACCTCTTGTGGGACCTCTTCGCCTGCAGCGGAGTCCCTATAGACCCTCCTGTTCCTTAGCTCTATTTTGGCCTCCCTTATATTAGCCATTGTGACAAATCGTTTCCCTGGTGTTGGTTTGATTGCTTTTCGAGTGGTATTAGCCTTTTTAGCCATTTGAGCCTCAAGCAGCTCACATTTGGCCCGTAGATTTGTAATGGTAGCAGCCTGAACATCCATGGCCTTGCCAGCCTTCCGCACCAACAAGCGCTCAGAGGGCCCCCCAAAGGAAGGGTCTTTTCTTTCGAGCTTTTGAGCACTTTCCCGTAAAGCCCGGCTTCCAGAGGGTGTTGTGACAATGGTTTTAGCTACCATCTCAAGAAAATCTGGTGTTGTGGCTCGCTCGGAAGCCTTAGGGTCCCTCTGGCGTGCCCTGGCCACCCCCTTGTCCTCCAGAATCACATATTTTGACTTCAACGCCTCTGTTCTGTTGCGAGGAACAATCCCAGTCTTTTTCCAGGCAATTATGATGTTGAGGAGCGTCATTATGTCCTTCTTGGCCTGCTCGTAGCACTCCAAAACCTCCTCCTTAGATGGCCTGAGTCCCAGACGGCCGCTGGGCGTCTCCTGGAGTAAGGTCTTCAACCTCTTCTTCACCAAATTGAAGACTCCTATATCTAACACCTGGACTACATGGGAGCAGTGAGGTTCATAAAAGATCAACCATACTTTGTTTCTCAAGCAGGTGGCTAGGAACTCGTCATTCGTGTGGGAGTCGTGGCCATCACACACCAAAACCACCCATGTGTTGCCGTGGACCTCCCAAATGTGAGGAATAAAGATACGTTGAAGCCATTCTAACGCAATGGGATTCGAGGTCCATCTATTGGGCGACGTAATAAACCTCCAGTCGGTGAATTTGTCCTCATTTTGGTTGCTAAATCACTGGGCTTGTACGTTAACCCCCTTGAGAATCACCAGCGGCGGCAAGGTCTCACCAGATCCGTTCACACACTCTAGGGCAGTTATCCATTCACCCTTCTTGACCCCTTTCTTTATAGTCACGTTGCCAGAGGCCTCGGAGACCACCCAATGGGAGTCCCCAACCCCCTGGGCGATTCCTATTTCGTCGATGTTGTACCAGCGTGCTGGCATGAGGTTAACCACGTCAGGGGCGTCACACCGATCGAAAAAAATGTTGATATTTGCCGCTGTAGCACCATTCACTCGGTTATAGTCGATAACACGAGACTTCATTATCTTGATTTCCGGGTTTCGAGACAGGAACTTGGATGCCCAATTTTTCCCTAATTCTCGAGCATCCCCGGTGGCATGGAGCATCCGCTGGGCCATGAGACGGAACTTAGAGACCGCTGGAGAATACCCTAGCCGTGCTTGCCCCTGGGCCCAGCTTGCCAGCTTATGTTCGAGATACGGTGAAAGAGCCTGTTGGAGAGCGCTGGTCTCATTCCGCGTTGGGGTGCCAGAGATTCGTCGGTTGACGTACGAACGACTGATTTGCCATTCGAGGGCTAACGAGCGGACTGGAGCTCCGTGTTGGATGGCCAAAATGGCGGCTTCAGCTTTTATTTGACAGTCGTAAAATGACATCATGAGATTCAGCAGTAGATAAGGATTCAAATAGTGTGCTTTGTAAAAAAAAAGATGCAAAAGTAATGGTGTAGATGGTGGATCACCATAATCCTGGTGGTTGGTGAATTACGCGTTTGTGGGTCAGAACGCACTGGTCCGCGGGGGGGTGGTCCGCAGGGGGGTGGGAGATGTTATAGTGATGCCAGACGGTATGGGTCTCGATCTTTTCTGCCTTGAGATTATCGGTGATTTCTTCTTGGAAGGCCAGGAGCTTAGCCTGAGTTGGCTTGTCCCTTGGGTGTAAGGTAAATCCGGAGGGGCACCGGGTCACTTCTCTAAGCTCTTAAGGGTGGAGCTTAAGTCTTCTGTTCAGTATAGACTTTATTCTATAAGGCTCTAGGTGGCTATTATCCATGCAGACAAAGGCCCAGAGATCATCCTGTTTCTTCTTCAGTTGATTGGTAGTGATACGGGCGCCAGGCTGTGTTTTCTTTATGGTAATATTGACTGTCCGTGGATGCTGTCGTTGGCTAGAGGAGACAGCTTGGGCAAAGGTCATGGTGGGCTTTACCATCCCTATCCCCCTAGGGATGGTCTTTCTTTTGGGCAGATCTCGGGTTTCCAGCCACTCGCTCAGACATTTAGAGAAGAAAGCGCTGAACTCCTTGGCATGAGAGTATAGTTCGGTTCCAATTTTCTTAAGTGTCTTATTAACCGCTGCAGCACACTCTTAAAACATTGTTATCCTGGCTTTATAAAGGTGTTTGTCTTTAGCCAGTATTCTGGCAACTTGGTCCTGGCACTCTAAGGAGAAGGTTTTATTCTTTATACCGTATATAATGGCTTGGTCTGTCGAGATTTTGTTCAATTAAGGTCGTTTTATTCTAGTGGTGCTGTTGTCATTAATATTTCAGGATTTTCCTTTCAGAGGAGAAATAACGGTGAAGTCAGCCTCAGAGACTTGTGACGGGCTGCTGCTGATGTCGTCAAGCAGCGCCTGGCGGAGCCTGCTCGGAGTTGCCGGGCTGTATGTCTTTCTAGGGCCCGGGGATTTGAGCACGCCGCCAGTGGTTGTCTTTGGGACGGCCACAGGCGTGTTTGGGGGCCCGTCGTGGAAGGGTACCATCTGGCTTGTGAGAAAAATTCTCTTATGCCTTAGCAGAGATAGTCAGTTACTGAGAGAAGTGCCTACTTTAGTGCAAATATCAAGGTTGCGCCCTAACAGCGGGGCGCCAAGAAAAATAGTTGTTTTTGTGAGGCTCGTTCCATCTAGGGGTTATGATAGCTACATGTAAGATGCAAGAGACACATCTAAGCTAGACACCGGAACCTGATTCTTAATATCTTACATGGTAGTATTGGTACCGTTTAAGCAGCTCTAGCAATTGACGTGAGAACAATGCATGACCGAGCGGAAGTAACATTTCTTTTTAAGAAGCATACTTGTCTAACAATACTTAGCTAGCTAAGTGTTGCTCATATGCCCTCGTCCTCTTCATCCTCACCACCACCCCCGATATCCGCAATCAGCTGCATGCCCCTAGCCCGCGCTCTCTCCTGCTTGATGTCCCACTGCTGCGTCATCGTGATGGAGTCATCGCCGTCGTCATTGCCCTCGCCATCGGCATCATTCTCGTCCTCGTCGTCTTCGACATCTGGCTTCGTCTCGCTGGCCTGCGCGCGCTTGATCTTGCGCAGGATGACTTGGTCTGAGTAAAAGTCGGCAAGCGATACTTCCTGTTTACGAATTTAGCCACGTGCCGCAAGTCATGAGCGGTACATCAGGTAATGTAGCCACGGAACGAAAGCTGCGTCAGTCTTACCTTGTTACACCCGGTCTGTGGGCACATTGCTCGGCCGCCCTGGTGGCCTCGGAGAAACTCTGCAATGGCAGGCTTGTTAAACGTATGCTTGCACTTGCGACTCGTGTACGGCTGGTCCATGACCACCATCGACAGCGGGCAGTTGATACTGATGTGCTCTTCCGCGAGCACTAAGTCCTCATCCTCGTCATCGTCCCCGTCTCCATCTCCACCATTCTGCGTGAACCAGCGCGTAGCATCGGGCAGCGGCTTGCCGTCTTGTCCGTGGATGGCGTCGTGCCACATGGACTTGAAGCCCACATAGTCGTTGTTTAGCCCGTAGCGCTCGTGCAGCGTCTTGGTGGCGTAGTCATCTGCCGCCTTCTTCTTCTCGTGGCGCAGGATGCGCGTCGGGCCCACGACATCGGGCTCCGCATCCGCCATGTCCTCGTCCTCGTCCTCCTCTCCAGCGGCGTTGTCGCGGGCGTCGCGCGCAGCCTTCCACTGCACCGCGTTCGCGGTCTCGGCCTCGACCCTGCGCACCGTGTCCTTCAGCGCCTGCTTGCCGTCTTCGAGCTCGATGCGCAGGTCGATGACGTCGCGGACGGCGCGGTCGCACTCGTCGGTCAGCTGCGGCACGTCGACCCGCAGCGCCAGCACCGCCTTCTCCTCAGCCCACTCCCTCTCGTTCTTCTCGGCTTGGCTCTGCTCGCGCTTCTCCTGCATGCGCCGCAGCGAGCCCTTCCGCGTGCTGTAGCGGTCGTTGATGTTGCCCACGCTGCTGGTCAGGAGGCTGATTGATTTGTTCAGCTCGTCCTCGTACTTGCGCGTGTCCTGGTTTCTCGAGAGCTCGGCCAGCGCCCGGCGCGCCTCTGTATTGAGCGGGCATGAGGGGGGCTCGTACTCGGGGAGCTGTGCGGGGCCGTTGGCTTGCGGCACTTGAGATGATGATGCGGCGCTGGGTCGGCCACGGTTGCGCTGAGCTCCAGACTGGAGTCTGCCACGACTAGACATATTGAGGTGCGCTTAATGAGGTCAGTGAGTGAGAGAAGTGAAAGGACTGATGCGATTGAATGAGATCCGTAATTCTGGTGTAATTTGGTCGGATCAGACTCCGCTCGTGGTGGTGTTTTGTGCTGTGTGGTCGATGCAGCCAAGAACAAAGTGAAGCTGAAGCGCGTCTCCCAGTCGCGTTGAGTGGTTGCCGATAAGGGTGCTATCAATATCTATCACACTGTACTCCAGCACTGTGCTTTTCGTGATCTCGAGACCCACTTTTCAAGTTGCCGTTCGATTGCTGCACCAAAAGACCGAAACGACTTTGCAGCACAAGGTTTCAAGTTCAGAGCTGCTTTTCCAAGGAATTGATTACAAGCATGCCAAAAGTGCAACAATGTCCCAGATTAGATACATTTCTTTCATTACTTGGCAGACGGAGGCTACAGCGCATCATTTCGTAACAACCGTGCTGTTTCCCGTATTACCGTCCGCCCCGGTTTTGCGGGTACATCGGTCGACCTCTTCCCAAGCAGGCCTCGCTCACTTACACCAACACGCCATCAACCCAAAACAGCTCGTCAGCATAGTAAATACTCATTGTTTCGCGGAAATGGTATTAATCCACATCTTCCGCCTCCAAACCCCCATAAACACTCTCACTCCCCAGTCGATATCGTCCTGTCATCTTATCATGAATCGTGTATAGCGTCCTGAGCCACATATCGAATATGGCTTCCATAAGACTTGTTTGAATATCTCCCAGCTGCATAATAAGCAGTTGGTCTCTTAGCCTCTCGTAGGCTTCTATCATGACCCAAATCTGCAGCGCTGACGTCTCGGCACTGGGTCGCACCGGTGAGGCGCTCACTGCCGACGACAGCTCCCGAGTCAGGAGATCGAAGCATATCTGTAAGCTCGGACTATCTGGTGAAGATACTGGCGTAGGATCTGGTTCCTGATGTTCATACGTCTGCCGCGGCGATGATTGATGCGACGATGGTGGTGGTGAGAATGAGACGGGTTTGAAGTAAGTGGCGTCCTCCTCTGAAGCGACCAAAGTGCCGTCGTCCGATGTGGGGGAATCCATGATGGGCGGGATAATGGGCGGGAGTTCCGAGAATTCTACCGCCGTTTTTAATGAAAAGTTATCTGCACCGTAGTCCCCTGCCACACATGTTTCGTAGCTGTGCTTCAGCGGCAGAGGCGAAGGTTCAGGAGTCGGGTCGCGCAGCAGAGAGCAACCCGATTCGACCAGCGCTCTGTACGACTCGGCGATGTGCTCGACGCTCGAGACATTCTGCGCCGTCGCGGGGTCTCGCACTGAAGCCCCTTCCAGTTGACCGATATGGTACACGGGCGTTTTGGCGTACCTCCTCGTTCTCGGACGGGGGGACGATGCGGTGAAGCAGGGAGAATCTGTGGCCTGTTCGAGCGATTTTCTTGAAATCACATCATCGATGCTGAGGTATGCAAACTCGGGAATCACAACACTGGTCGGACGCAGCTGCGACCTTTCAGATCGCATAGAATGGTCTTCGTGACAGAGAGTTCCACTCCTGCAAAGCTGCTCGAGCCATCGGCCATTGGCGTGGTCAGCGGGCAACGGTAAAGAGAGCTGCTGCGTAGGGCTCGCGCATTCATATGTGTTGAATCTAGCCCTGGAAGCGCAAGCTGCAGTAGTCCTAGCGTCGCTATGGTTGTCCTGATAACTGCACTGCTGGCCTATCTTTTGCGTCTTCCTCCGCAGCCGCTTCCCCTCGGGCCTTTCAATTGGCGATGCCGTCCATGTGGGGCTTCTGTACCGATCCATCTCGATGGCACGGGTTGATCCTGGTGGCAAGTCTGAGTATTAAGACCGTACGGTGATGTGCGCGTGGGATTGAGCACTAACTATATGGCGGAGTGGAAGTTGGCACCGAAGGACGAACAGGGTGAGCTCTTCACTCAGCAAGATATAGTCAGACGGTAAGGTATGGAACTGTTTTGGAAGATGACGTTGGAAGGGCACCATGCGTCAATGCATCGTAGGATGCGCGCAGTTATAAACCAATCCGAAAACAGGATTCCCACAGCCCTGGACCATAGAGGTGTGTGCCCAGGCAGGCAAAGGGCTGACCTGCAGTAGACGGGCCGTTGGGCTCACAACCGCATGGTGAGGTGACGCCCATGCAACGCCAACTGGCATCCGTCAAGCGAATCTGCGCTGCGTCTGCATTGTAGAGTCTAAAGTTAGCAGAGCCTGCCGATCCGATACAGAGTGCAGGCAGAGGCGGACAACAGAGTTTCGTGGCGTTAACCTGCCATGTTGGAACTTGCGGTCAAGAAACTTTGTCGACCGTCATCCACCGCCATCCCGTGACCGTTCTTGGGGGAGATGGAACGCCTGGGGGAGGCAGCGTGAGGCTAGCCATGCCGGTGATACGAACCGGCTGCGCCACGAGGTGGGTTGATTTCCTCTGTTTGCGCCAACCGCGACCAGGAACCACTGGAAACTGTTCTGGGAATGTATGACTCCAAGGTTGATGGAGTTGAGAGTCTGACTTGGGTGCTCTCATCTCCTGAACGGCAAGACCAGGTCGCACGTAGAATTTAATCATCTCAAAAGTGGGAGCTTGCCAAGCGATCGGGTGATTCCAGAATGGCGGTTGGCTGAGGTCATCTCCACGACCCTACAGATCTTCCAAGCCTTATCGATCAGATCAGCTGACCCTCCGACTCCAGGCCCACCCGATCGGTACGTACCCCCAGGGCCCACACGAGGTAGGGAAGAGAAATTTAAGTTTAAAAGATGCACCTCACCTGCCTCAATGAAGCCCAAAGTCGAATTGTTTTGATCGCGAAGTCGAAGGAGGTGGGTGCCACCCTTTCCGTGTTAGGGATGACGAGTTATAGCCTTCTCCATCGACAGATGGACCGTGCCGTGCTCCTCATACAATTACGGTAAGGGGTCAGTCATCCCAACGCTGATACACTGGGCCGATATAAACTTCGCCTGTTGAACTCTAACACTGCTGTGGGATGCGCCTCTCGGTGCACTTCGGACCATCCTTCATGTTTTCTTTCATTAAAACTTACGTAAGCTTCTGATACCTACAAGTTCGCTGGTCAAGTTGCGTGTCTCTCATACCCAGGTGAGTTACCCCTGACACGTTCGAGAACATTATTGGCTATGGTCACCCATTTTCGCGCATTCTACCCCGAAACCGAGACTTGAAAGAGCCTCGGTTGCGTCATTGCCTCCTCCCTGATATCAGCTCAGGCGGGTTTCTCACCATGAAGCTCTTCCGTAGATCCCGCCGTCCTCGTCGTCTCATCTTGGCCTGCACCCGACGCTGGTTCTTCTGTGCCACCTTCAACGCTAACGGCGCTCATGCCCTTCGTGATACCCGAGAAGGGACAAGAACCACCATTGTCAGCATCTGACGGTTCTTCTTCCACATCATCCAAGATCTTCTTCCCAAACAGGTAGCCCTCCTTCTCGACCTCAGGCGCCTCACTTTCCTCCGCGAATTCGTCTCCGTCTCGAACGTACCACTTGGCAAACAGGTCGTTCTGTATCCAAATCACCTTGCCCAGCGCCTTTACGAGCGCAATCTTCCTGTCCATCTTGAGCCTTGGATGGCCGAGGAGCGCCTCGGTGAGAGTGTCCTGGATGAACGACAGGCAGACTCCGATGTGGACGTATTCGATATGCAACGGGTGCTTCCGCCCTTGACCCACGTGCATCATGCTAAATCTCCATCAGTAACGCGTTCAAGACTAATCGCGGGGCGTCACTCACCCGACTTTGTCCAGATAGTACCAGAACTCCATCTCGCTGGGGTCGGAACAAAGCTTGTTCAGATACGCCCGCAAGAACATCTTGCGATGCATGATCTGGGGACTGTTGTCGCTCAGGTTCGGGTCGACGGGCCCCTCATAGCTTGTACTCCGCGTCTCGAATGCGCGGGCTGTGATGTCGTATTGGAGAAGCTTGTGGTAGACGATGTTGACTAGGGCCGGAATGAGGGCCTTGATGTACTTGGCTCCTGATATGAGTGCCTCAATATCCCCTATGACCGGGTAAGTTGATGCGCAGAGAGATTGAGGCGAGAGATTGGGGTTTCTTCATACTTGAACTGAAGTCTAGGAATGAGTGGAGGTACTGGATCCGGGTTTCGAGATTCGTGTAGAGATATTTTCGATCAATGTGCTTCATCGGACGCAACGGAGGACCCATATTGAACGACTATGCTACTGCTCAATTGCTCCTGAAGTTGTGCTGATATGTTTGATGTTCTCGTGGCTTCTAGCGGTCGGTCAGAGATCGTCTGGTGACTCCTGAGATGTAGAGGGGGGAACAACAAAGAAGATTTACATGAAGTGAAGACATCGCGACAAGAGAGAACATGGCTACCGCGGTCGCTTTTAAGGAAATCGAATTCATCGGGTTGCGCAGCTGAGTGCTGACCATGGGTGAGGCGATGGTGGTCTGATTCGGTTCTCAGGTCGCATGATGAGTGGAGGCGCTGAGGCAAGGTCAGGGGTTCAGCTTCCGGGGGTGGAGCACGCCGGACACCACGGCGCAAGATCACGGGGGCCCGACTTCACGATAACTACAACCCGGTTGTGCCTATTTTAGACCATTTCATCAAACTAGAGAGCTATCGGACAATTCTGATCTAATAGCGGGGGCTTTTTTTGTTGGTTCGTACATCGGCTATAGGTGCAATCGGGGTACCGGACTCGACAATGCGCAGGGAAGATGGCCGTATGCGGCGATTCATTCTGGTGTTGGGCTGTTGGTGGATAAAAATTGTTGTGAGGTTTAGCGAGATCATGGCAGACCAACCAAACAAGAGACAAACAACCCAGCGAGAGCCGAACTGAAGCCTTTGATCAACGGTATTCAAGTTGTGTTCCTGTCGACACCACCACGATTCTACATCCTCATCCTCATCTCTTCCCGACTACCATTCTACCTTGGCATTACCCTTTATCGACCATGACGATGTCGGCTTATGCAGTCAACGCACCTTCGGGCAACGACAGTCCAGCGTGGATGACGCCCCAGATCCTGTATATCACGAGCGATAATAATGGACACGGGACCAATTCAACGTTGGTCACTGCCGGAGGTATCATTCAGCACGACGGCCAATTATATTTCTTGGCGGCGAGGGATCTTTCCAACAAGCAGTGGCAGATTTGCAACTTTGAGAATAGCGAGACTGCAAACCATATGATTACATACCATTCAAGCATTTGGCAGACCCTGTTAGCGAGCCCGAGGGATTCTATGTCGGCCATTTTGTATACGAAAGCGATATCTATGGCTACATCTTGATCAAGATCTTGCCGGAGATATACCAAAATGACGAAGATGAGATTAGAGAGCAATCGATGACGATTGATGAAACAGGCGGTTGGCCCTGCACTATAGGTATCTTTGGTACAACAACAGATCTATATAATCCGGGCACCATTGTGCTTGATAGCAGTAGGGGGTACCGTCTTCTTGATACACAGGCAGACGAGCTGGAACAGGTTCACCTCTCGAGCTCCTGCACAACGAATAGTTCGGTGTATTACGGGCTTCCAATCGCGTTGAAAGCCACAGATGACGAGCCACAACTGTCCGACAGTGGTACCTGGGTTTACATTCGACGCGACGATGAGAGCCTCGGACTTTTCGGCTACGTGGTGGGCCGAACGGCTGTCGAGGAAGAGCACCCAGGCAATAGATTCGCCCCCAAGGCACGCTCAGAGCATATGCTACTGGTGCAGCTTGGAGAGGAGGTAGAATGCGACATTGGGCTCCAGCTCAAGCTGATCACCAAACACTTGAGCATGGAAGAATTCCGGGCTGCTCAGGAAAACACGCGGCGTTGGACAAAAGTTGGCTCATCTGAGTAGACCAGGGTATACGTCATGGAACAGGGTCCTGCGTCTCGTCCGCTGACTAGAATATATTACACTGGTGCGCTGGAATACCATAATAGGATACGGTCATTACCCAGGAGAATAAATCGATCTGAACCAGTGCGACGATTAGAAATCATTACTGATTCAAAGCACCATTTGGTTTTTTCCCCCCTTCCATGATTGAGACCAGGTCAGTCCTTTGTAATGGTTCGCGTCACTTAAGACGTCGAGTCCAGTGTGAGCGTTGTCTTCCAAGGTCGACCTCCAGCTGGAACTCGTACAACCGATTCACGACCAAGTAGGTAAGGCATGCTGCGTTTGAGGGCCATGATTATAGCAGTCAGAAGGAAGTACACTTGCGCATTAGGCCAATGATTTATTTCTGAAGACATCACTGCCAAGGCCATGAATATGAGCTACTACAGCCTGTCTACGACGATGATGGCAACCATGAAAACCCAAGAAGAACTCGGCCACCACAGGTCATTGAGGAAAGGAAGCCAGTCGTACCAGCCACATGAATGAGTACGTACCAGACTCAGGCATGGAAGAGGGCAAACAGGACGAATCAGAAAGGTTTGCTGCCAATACGAGGAGAAGAAACCAGAGAAAGATCATGCTGGGCTCGAAGAAAAAGTCACTGCGAAAGAAAACCCACGGTGTTCTTACACAAATGGTGGGACATATCGAGGTGCTTCGTCTTTATCTTGACACTACTGGCAGGTGTTTCCAATCTGATCGTAATTGAGCATTTAGACTCTAAGCACCGATACACGTGGCAGGCTAGATACGCCACTGAGCACATATTCCAACACACCGCCTCAAACTAAGGACATCACCAAGTTTAAACCTGAGTGACTCCACATAACACGTGGTGACTGTACCGGCGGTACTGCATCCAACTGCCACGCCCTCTGAACAATGGGCACCCTCCGGCCACAATACTGTCCAATACAACGCGAGAAAAAAACCCTGATGAACGTCCCAGAGCCTGAATGACTGGTTTTCGAATGCGTCGAAACTTGAGTACACCAAAGGTAGCCTTGTACGCAAACGAGGTCTCCGCAGTTATAACACCATACCAATTATGCGACGTCTTCATCTTCTTCCTCGTCGTCGTACTCTTCCTCCGAATCCTCCTATCCTGAAGGGTCCTTTGCGGAGGAGTCCCCGAGGATGGCATCAAGAGTTGCCTTGTGGGCCCTCATTTCGTCCAATTGAAGCTCAAACCCCTCCAAATCCACCTCTCCTGGAAAGTTCTTTGAGGAGGAGTCCTCGTGGGCGGCCGTGGCAAGAGCTGCAATGTGGGACATCTCTGCCACCCATTGAAGCTCGAATTCCTTCATTTTAAGCTGGTTCAATAGATCCTCGGTAGTCGGGATGAGTCCATGGCAGTAGTATCTTCGTGATATTGTGCGGTGGAGCCATGGACGAGAAGGTCGAATGGCTTCGAGGAAGTGTCTTATTCGGAATTCAGGTGGATAGTCGATATTCAGGTCATGGACACGTTTCATCAGTTGCTGGTAGTGACTGCTAAAAACTGGTCTCCGTGATCACAGTATCGAAGAAAAGCCAGTTCGTTTAGAACGGGTGAAACGTCGTCGATTCTCGACGCAGAGTTCGTGCCTGAGTATAATTGGCGTAGAGAAATCCACATATCTCCAGGGTCGTGCAGGCCCATAATCTTGTTGTAAGGTTCCTCCGTGATGTTCTGGGTAATAATGAGGTATAGAAGGGACCTTTCGGCCCTAATACCGGGACCAGGGCTCCAAGAGGAAGGGGGTAAATCGGTAACGCCAGACTTCTCTTTATCTGGGTCTCGGTCATAGGCCGTGACGCCTTCAACGACTAGGTCCCATAACCCCAAGGAGACAAGCAAGTGCTCCATGGCTTCGGACCACATCCCATAGTTATCTGTGCCGACGAGCCACTGATAACGCTGAAGCCGAGGGACGATATGATCGATTTCATACATCGTGAGTGAGGGTGTTACAAGATGATCGAGGTGTGTGTAGCCTCGGAGGAGTGACAGAGACCGACCTAGGGGTACATCGACGACGAGGGAAGCTAATCCTCAAGGTCGTGTAATAGGGAGAGGGTGCGGAAGTTGACAGGATGAATGGATGAAGCTGTTCGGAGATCCAGCGAGGTCGTAGATACGAGAGCGAGATGCTACCATGTGAGGTTTCAGAATGGTCTGTATTGAAGAGGAGAAGGAAGGCGGAAGGGGGTACCTGTTCAGCGCACGTATCATGGGGGAGGGAAAGAGAGGGATTGAGGTGCTCGACCCAACATGCTCGCGTGTTCTGTCCATCAGGCTCCTCCGTCAGTAATGGGTCGAAACAAAGAACAAAACAACTAGAAAGTAACTTCCGGCAGCTATCTGATCAAGTGTCAGGAAGCAGCCCGTGAACAAAGGAACCATTCAAGTACATAGACACGGCTTCCATGCCTCATCAGTACTACAGCTCCCTGCAAAACAACATAAGTTATCATGCAAGCCCCCATATGATTGGCCTCCTGACATCGAGAGATCCCACAGGATGACTAATATACGTGCTCAGGCTAGACAAGCGTAACGCCACTGAGCACCTATCCCGACCAATATCTAAGCCAACGCCCATTTGACGTGCCACAGGGGCTGTTATCTCACAACATTTGATTGCCGTTCCACCGTCTTCAATCCGTCGAACCGTCAACTTCCTCCAAGAAGCTGTAGTAGCGCGCCGCCTTGGCTTTCCGCCACTTCTTACCATAGAAAATCAGAGGCACCGCTGCAGCCATGGAGGCAAGCACGCACATGCCGTAGAAGAAGAATGGCCAGCCGTATCCTGCAGCATCGATGAATGGCTGCACGGAGTAGGAGATGGCGAAGTTGACCATAGACGAACACATGGCGAGGACGACGACCAGTTCGCCGGAAATCTGCGGTTTCTCTGTTAGCCTATGGACTATGGCTTTCGCCATGCGCGAGTTAAAGTCGAGCTTGGGGGCTGGTGTAAAGTTTGAACTTACGCCCGGGAAGCATTCCATCGCGTAAGCAGTAGCAATCGCGCACGCGCCGACCTGATGCGATATCATAGCACCGATTCCGATCGCAAGACCAATCCAATGGATGCCCGTCTGGGCTCCCCACCCGTAAAGCATATAGCCCAGAGCAGCATAAACAGCACAGGGGATCAACATGTACAGCCGCATCTCGGGCTCCCTGACGCCGCCATTTCTGCGAGCCAGAAAGATGACGAGGTGGTCACTCATCAAGCCCGTAGCCCATCCTACACAGTTTCCGATCAGGGCTGCGAAGAAGACGAGACCGGTCGCTGTGGTGCTGAAGTTGTAGGGCGGTTCGGTCAGGATCTCTGAGATGGTGTTGAAGGAGACGATGCCTGCCGTGCAGCCGAAGGCGAAGATGAAGCCAGCCTATAACGGGTTAGTGTCAGTGTTTTTCCCGCGACGATCGGCAACTGTAAACTTACGATCACAACATTCGGGAAGCCCCAAAGGAAGAGCGGACGGCGAAAGTACTGCCAGTACGTAGTACGGTTCTGCGGGTAGTGCACCCAGGGCTTGAGCTTTTGGAGGTATGTCCGCTTGGGGTAGTCATCGATGAAGCCCGGGTTGTGGCTCGTGTTTGTCACCGTTCGGAGATCCTTTTTGTCGTCGCCTTTAACGTCACCGGCCTCCTCGGATACCCTGTTGATGGCTCCAATGGCGGGAGTGGGTTGGGCGTTGAATAGGAACCGAGGGAACAGGGTCTCCTCGAAGGAAAAGAAGAGAAGAATGAATACGGTGGCATCAATGATGGTTACTATGTATTGAGACCACCTCCAGCCGACCGTATCGGCGATGCTGCCGCCTGAGATCAATCCTAGGCTGTGGAAGTCAGCATTCTTGGCTCGGTGGCAGCAAGGGGAGTCAGCGTCTCACATGGAACCGAGCTGCTGCCCGAACAAGTAAACCGACAACATTCGACCTCGGTCATGGACGTAGAACATGTCGAAGATCTGGTAGTGAGATTAGTCTTTGTTTCCGGCTGTTTGATAGGAGACTGCATACCGCAAGTTGTATGACTGCCTGATAGGCCGATGTGCCGATCCCATTGAGAACCATAGCGAGCATCCACTGGGCAGTCCCATTGAAGCTCCCAAGCCATGCACCGGCGCCCATGCAGATGAGTGTGGTAGTGAGGAATATGAACCGGCGACCGATCTTGTTGGCAAGTGGGATCCACCAGATGTTCACGAACCCCTAATGGTTTATGTCAGCTGGCTGGCACACGAGTTGGGGTCTTGGGCGTCGCCTACCAGCAGGAGGTAGTTCAAGGCACTACCGCCGTTCATGTTGGTCAAAGTGACGCCGGTATCCTCGCTGACGGTTGTCCATGCCGCTGTTTACATGTTTAGCCATGCAGCAAATAGGCGAAAGTTGAACCTTGGCCGCTTAGGACTGCGTGCGACTGACCTCCGAGTGTGTTCTCACCAAAGGAGAAGGCACAAGCATAGAGTGCTACCAGAAACAACTGGTAGTACTTCTTCCGTTTTGGCCATCTCTAGAACCACCGTCAACGATTTGCCTTCATCTAGGTATCCGGTCGGCTGAACTTACGAGGGTATCTCCACCACACTCTGTCGGCTGTGGAATAAGGACAAGATCTGAGCTTCCGCCGTTGACATGAGACATGTCAAGTGACTTGTTCACTATAATATGGTCAGTCTTGACAGATGATTGGTATATGGCATTAGCACGTACCGTCAATGAGGAGCTCGGTCCCAGGGGTCCTGTCTTGGTCTGTCGTCTCGATAGCCATGATTGATGTACAACTATCATCATCTTACCCCCTTCACCTCGCGGCTTCGTCGAAGGATATATATACAACATGGCCTTATCTTGAAGAGATTCGTGCCGGGTATACAGACGTGATAACGGTGATACCCCTATGCCCGGTCTGGGCTACGCATGTGGGGCGCGGATCACCACCATCCTCCCCAGAGTCTCCACTATGGCTGGGAAGGTCCACGCGAATGGTTCGACGAATCGGAGACGCTGCTTGTCGGCACTGACTCGGCCGACAAGCGGACAACCATGACAACCTGCTTCTTATCGGGGGGTTGGAGTATCCACAGAGCCAGACTGAGATAACATGCCCACGGCATCATCTTATCACCGCTCTGACGTTCGAGGGTCTGGGACAAGCTGAAGACCAATCTACGCCGCTGCGCCGTCGGTAATCTGTTGGCTTGGTCTGGCCTTCCCTGAATAGTGATACCGCCTTGGACACTCTTATCGCCCCAGGGGCTTTCGCATTCCTCATCTCGAACCAAGACGATTGGGCCTGGCTTCATCGGACTCCTCGCAATCAGGGAATGCAGACCCAGTTGCAGATATGCCGCGCCGAAAGGCACACGAGGCAAGCGGCCCAGTCCACAGACGAGCCCGGACAGGTACCGCAGCCTCCAGATCAGCCCGAACTCACAAGTTAAGTGTCTATGCTCACCACGGAACAGGATGCCGGCAATGCATTATGCGCAAGGTCAAGTGCGATGAAGCCAAACCCGAATGCAGGAACTGCGTGGGTCGCGGTCTGATCTGTACCCACGAGGTGCAGCTGAAGTGGCACGCCGAGTTTGAGACCCGGGGAGTAGCCTTTGGACGGCAGGGAGTGTGGACCAAGAAGCCCGAACGGAAGAGCCGGAATCCACAGCCCCGGTCGGATCTTGACAACGCCTCCGTTCAATGGTGTTGCGTCCCTTGGATCCAGCCACATCACTTCCTCAATACTCTCTACTCCGACTTTGAGCACAGAACAGATGGCGAGGCCCAAGCAATTACCGACATCGGAGACGAAGTCAGTGTCGCGAGTCTGGAGCTAGTGTCTCTTTCTCCCAGATCACCACTGCAGACGGGACTGACCCCAAGCCCGTCATCTTTCCCTAGTATCGGGGGCATCGATTTCAGCTTACTCGACTACTACCTCTACAAGATCTGTCCATTGACGACGGCATCCCGATCTATTACCTCCCCATTTGCCACGCTTGTTCTTCCCATGGTTAGCACCCCCGGCCAGGAAGATGTCTTGCAATCTGTACTCGCTCTTGCTGCCTGCCACAGAAGTGCAAGTGGGCCACACTGGACTCAGACAGCACTGAAACTGAAGGGTTCGGTTCTTACCTCCCTAAGGCGCCGGCTAGCTTCACATTACGATTTGGCGACCTTCCAACAGGACCCCCAGATACTGGTCATCATGATGTTCTTGTGTCTCTATGAGATAGTCGACAAGTGTGATCATCGATGGGTCATCCACCTAAAGGCAAGCCAGGACATTATGCAAAGAGCAAGGAACTCAGGAACATCACTCGCTGCCCGCAGCAGCAACGAGCTGATGTCCTTTACTGAGCGGTTCTTCGCCTTTCAGGATGTCATCAGCAGAACTGCCTGCGGGAATTCCGCCTTATTTGATGCTGAATACTGGGAGACTACAGACTGCCAGTTTCAAGTCGACTCTTGGATGAGCTGTAGTCCTGAACTTGCAGGTATCATCTGCCGCACCACTGAGATTGGCAGAGAGAAAATGGCCGGAAACATATCAGCTGAATTGCTCACAGAACATGGGAATGCACTGCAAAGCAGACTCAACTCCATAGCATCCAGGTCTATGGACAGGGAGGACGAGGGCTTGGCCTTCACGGCCGAGCTCAAGCGGATGTCTGTTCTTCTCTACATGCATTGCGTTCTTCACGATACATCCCCAACCACGCCACTGGTGGTCGACCTCGTACGGCGAATTCTTCATGGGGTAAATACACTCTTGGAAAGTGGGAGTCTCGCAGGAGTCGCCTTCTCCGTCTTCGTCGCAGCAGTAGAACTGGACACGGCGGATGAAGAACTATTCACTGACTCAAATACCGGGGAGCCAGTCTACGGCAGACGACTCGTGTTGGAAGTATTGGACGCCATGTCCAGGCACTCTCTATCCAACGTGTCGAGGACGCGGGCAGTCATCCGAAAAGTCTGGCGTCTCCGGGACATGCACGCCGAAAGCGATTCACTCCAATACTCGGCTCAACATTATCTTTCCGGAGCTGGCCAGCTAAATGATTGGAACTTCTTCGTCGCTCCGAATAGCTCCAATATCAGCCTAGCCTGAGACGACTTTGGCGTTACGCATATGTATTACAACGCCGAACTCATAGCTCCGGTCCAAATCTCGGACCGGCATAGACCGGGTCAGGTGGACACCCTTCAGGCCCCTCATTAGGCAACTGATAAGGAGAGCATGAAGGTCCAGCCGAATATGCGGAGAAGACCCAGATTTAGCGCAGCGCCCACGACGCAGCTGGCTGGACCTTTGACTCCTGAACCACGCTGCCACAATACCCAGCGACAACTTATACCATGGTGCGGTCTCGGTCACTCGCATCATCTCGTATTCATAACACTCGAGTTGTCTTTGTCAACCTCAACCACTACCATTGTCCCTACAGCTAAGCACAACATGAGCACCGAACTTTCGAAGCAATCCGACATCCTCATCGTCGGTGGTGGGACATGGGGTTGTTCCTCGGCTTTACATCTGGCACGTCGAGGATATGAGAATGTCACTGTTCTGGATGCTCATCCCATCCCATCGCCAATCTCTGCCGGCAACGACGTTAACAAGATAGTCGAGCAAGGTTTGTGTATTCGCATCTCGTACATAACAACAATCTGACACGGAGACAAAAGGATCATTCAGTGACGGCGATGACGAAGCTGCCGTTGCACAAGCTCTGCTCCTGGCAGCAGGCGAAGGCTGGAGCAAGGATCCCGTGTTCAAGCCTTTCTACCACGATACCGGCTACATCGTGGCCGCCTCATCGCCCGAAGCGCTGAAGTATCTCGAGGAGCGCGAGATTAAACACCACAAAGACGCCTTCAAGAAACTCACAACAGCTCAAGACTTCCACGCCACCATGCCAGCTGGTGTCCTGACCGGCGAGTTCTCCGGCTGGCAGGGATATTACAAGTCAAACGGAGCCGGCTGGGTCCATGCCCGGAAGGCACTGGTCTCGGCATACGCCGAGGCCAAGAGACTCGGCGTCAAGTTCATCACCGGGTCCCCTGAGGGCCAGGTGGTTAACCTCCTGCATGCCGAAGGCGACATCCGCGGCGCCAAGACGGCCGACGGCAAGGAGCACATCGCCGACCGCACGATCCTAGCCCTCGGCGCGTCGGCGCCGCAGCTCCTCGATTTCGAGAACCAGCTGCGGCCCACGGCATGGACACTAGCCCACATCCCCATGACGGACGACGAAGTCAAGGTCTACAAGGACCTGCCCGTGCTGTTCAACATCGAGAAGGGGTTCTTCATGGAGCCGGACGAGGACAAGCACGAGCTCAAGCTCTGCGACGAGCACCCCGGATACTGCAACTGGATCTCGGAGCCGGGCTCCTCCGCTCTGCCCCAGTCTGTGCCCATCGCTAGGCACGAAGTCCCGGCGTCTTCCGAGCGCAGGATCCGCGACTTTCTGCGAGAGATCATGCCTCAGCTGGCAGAAAGACCACTGGCCCACGCGCGGGTCTGTTGGTGCGCCGACACGCCCAATCGCGCGTTCCTCATCACGTACCACCCGAAGCACCCGTCGCTGGTCGTGGCGTCGGGCGACTCAGGACACGGGTTCATGCACATCCCGTCGATAGGTGGGTACATTGCCGACTGCATGGAGGGCAAGCTGGACGCGCGGTTTGCTAGGTCGTGGCGCTGGCGGCCTGAAACTGCGACGGAGTTCTGGGGGGACGACACGTTGAATCGCTGGGGCGCCGGGAATAAGATGTTGAGCTTGAAGGAGACTGAGACGGAGGGGTGGACGAAGATTAATGGATGAGAGCATCTGGCTGTGAGATGGGATTACAGTGTAATGAACACCAGGTTGTCGTATCTAGGCTCTCAGCAAGGATCACGAGCTGGTCAGTGTCTTAATGGTCAAGTGATTATTACCCTTCAAGTTTCAAGTAGACATGGTCACCGTCGCGGCCCCTTTGCAGGTTTGACACTCTGCCTCTGGCGATGGCCACGGCACCTGGAGCTGGTACCTGCGTTAGTTGGTCAAGTGATTACCCTTCAAGTAGACAGGGCCACCGCCGCGGCCCCTTTGCGGGTTCGACGCGTAATCTCTGGCGGTGGCAACCGCAACTAATACCACATTCAGTAATTGTAATGACCGAAATGAATCATAGACGAAGGAGTTAAGAATCTTGCAGCCAAGGTGTATTAATGTGTATACCGTTTAGCTCCACACCGTCGTCTCTTTACGGTCCGGAGGGCTTTCCTCCGGCTACGATGGAGCGCCTCCGCATTTGCTCCAATTTCTCGGACAGATGGACGACAAGGTTTGTTCCACCCGGAACTGTAAATCACGGCGGCCGCTGCGCCGTCTACCCCAAAACTCCAAATACTAACTGAGGTATAGTGAAGTTGGGGATGGCGATTATTCTTCATTTCCATGCGCGCAAATGAACACCTGTGGTCCAAAAAAGCCGAAAGCCGAAAGCTGTGATTAGTCTCATGCGTCATCGTGCCAGCTTTACTCAAGATTTTTTTTCCTCGGGGCCCTATCCCCGACGAAACTCTTGCCCCCGAAGGTGGTCTGCGGCGAAAGGTTTGGTAAACCTGGAAGTTGGGGTACACGGCATGGTGCCGAAAACAGCCACGGAGATTGGGGTAATAGTCATTGCACTATAGTTCTTCCCGTGTTTCTACAGGCTGTGTCTTGGCATATTTATATAGCTTCCCCGTGCTTTTCTCGTTGAGGTGCGTGGTTAGTTACTCTGTGTTGCGACGATCGAAAACAAAATGTTGTTCCTAGCTTTCCCCCCTTTTATCGTTCGCCGCCTTCGGCGCTCACGGCCTGCCGTCCAGCCATCCGAGGGAATTCCCGTCCACCTATCCAAGGGCGGTTAACGCATGCACGACAACGCAACAATGGCCCGGCTGGAGCAATATCAAGCACGCCTTCATATTGTCAGTGGTTTCTTCTCGCGCTGTCAGGTGTACTACTCACTAACGACCATGGACATACAGCGGGGATAGCTATACTCAGACCGGTAGGTACATAGACTCCGTTCATTCAACTTTCGCTCACACTCTCAGGCTTCACCTACAACTCCACACAACCTTCGGCTTTAAACCCTCTCGGCAATCCCCCCTACCCAGGATATACGTCCTCCAATGGGCCAAACTGGGTCGATTACCTAACCGTCAAGTACAACGCGTCTCTCCTTCAGACATACAACCTCGCCTACGGCGGCGCCACCGTGGCCAGCGACCTCGTAGCCCCCTACCTGCCGACGGTGCTATCGGTCAAGCAGCAAGTGCAGACCGAGTTCCTCCCAGGCTACACCGGCTCCTCCTCCGAGGCGTCCTGGACGGGGGCAGACTCGGTCTTTGCGATCTGGATCGGCATCAACGATGTTGGGAACTCGTACGGATCAGGCGCCAGCGCCAGCGATGCTCTGAACGCCGAGATATTCTCCGTGTACTCTGGCTTGGTGGACCAGCTGTACGATGCCGGGGCGCGGAACTTCATGTTCATCTATGTGCCGCCCGTCGACAGGAGTCCCCTGACGGTCGGCCAAGGGGCCTCTTCGACGACTGTGGAGAAAGCCGACATTGCGTCTTGGAACGCGCGAGTGGCCAGCCAAGCGGCTGCTTTGAAGAGCAATCACACTGCTGACGCCAATGTGTGGACTTATGACGCGAACAAGCTCTTTACCGATGTTTTGAACAATCCCGCCACGTACCCCCAAACGGCTGGGATCAAGAACACGACGGCTTATTGTGACGCGTATATGAAGTGAGTTTTTCAAAGACTCTTCCAATTGACGCGATCACTTGCTAATTATTACTGCAGCGGCACCGACGAGGACGACACCCTCATCGCGAGTTGTGGCATCCCTGTCAACCAGTACTTCTGGCTCAACAGCTTGCACCCGACGTACCCGATCCACGACGTCGTCGCTCAGCAGGTCGCCCAAGGTTTGGCGGCTGGACCTAACGTTTGCTAGGTCTGAGGATACGAAGTATGAGGCTGCGTTGATCACCGTTTTCGTTGGAGAGAGAGAGAAATAAGGTAGAGATAAAACGGCAATTGGTTCGACAAGTGATGACTTTTACTCACTGAAGAATGAAGAGTACCCGATTGGCATATCACTTTGCGCAACGTTGGTTCCGGTGAAACATGATGCTTAGTCTACGTTCCAGCGGGAGCTGCTTGAATGCACTCAAAGTAAGCATGTATTGTTGGCGCTCTTTATCAGGAAGCTGTAGTGAAACATTCCAATTGCCCACGCGTCTTCAACTTACTCTCTGTGTACCCATCTTCAACAGCGTCTGCCAATTCTCACGACTGGGAAATGAACTTGCTTTCGTAATCTCCAGCTTCGCCGCAATCCTTTCCAATGGCGTTGCGCCGTCCGCCGGGTTACAGCCCGGCACCTACCGAGGTGACGTATCTCTCTGCAGACTCTTCCGACGATGCCATCGACATCATGAGCGTCGAGCCCGGGGGTATGTACGACATACTATTCAGCCGACCTCGAGCTCCCAACTTGTGGGAGACTGGGAGCGCGTTTGGCAACTGGTTGGGTGGGATAGGCGCTGGACCGCCTGCACCTGCTTCACAGCCTGCACCAGCTCGACCACCGACTCCGGTTCCCGCTCCTGCTGCAGTTCCCGCTCCAAGACCTGCTGCAGTTCCAATTGCAATACCTCGTGGGGGAGGCTGGGTTCCCATTACCGCTCCGAGGCCCGATCCAGCAGCGCAGCCTGCTCCACAACCAGCTGCCGCTCCAAGGCCTGCTCCAGCTCCCGCTCCGAGACCTGATGCAGTTCCCATTGTAATACCCCCTGGGGGAGGCTGGGTTCCCATTACCGCTGTAAGGCCGGATGGGAGACCTTTTCCGGGAGCGGGACCTGGAAGGCCTCCTCCAGGAGCAGGGCGTGCTCCCGCTCCTGGGCCGACGATTAATTCTCCTCCACCTAATTATGATCGCGGCCGGATAAGGCGACATTCGGAGCGAGAAGCCAGGTCTTGAGATCACTAGCAAAGAAACACAAACTGAGCGTCCAAAAGAGGGAAAACCGCTGTATGACCATTGACGACCTCAAAGCGGAGATTGAGACGACACTGAGCACGACGAGGAAGTCGTTTGACCTCGGGGAGCTCCGGATTCTTACTGTTTTATTTATTCTCTTCCTGGCTCCTGCCGGCTCGCGCCCGAAATGCATCTTGCGGCTCCGATTTGGAGATATTCGGGTTGTATTAGCGAGAGATCCTTACGGCGGGCTACACTGTCACGGCGAGTATACTGAGGAGCTGGGATATGGCCTGCAGCAAGCAGCTATTACTCTATTGACGAGAATATCAAGACTAGAGAGGAAAGGAAGAGAGAGAGAGATAGGTACAGTGGGAGGTTGCCCCTTTAAGGGGATCCTCTGGTCAGATCCTTCCCCTATTGGGAAGTATCCACTTGTCATGTGGGAAGGTCTGTGCAGGCCGTCACAAGTGTAGTAAAGCTGGGAAATAGGTATTGGGGACATACAGGTGATACGGGGTCTTGGAAACAGCGGATAATAATTTGAATTTACCGAAGTGGGTTTGATTAGATATAGTCTTACTGAACAATTTTATAAATATATTATAATATGTATATGTGAGGTTCTTTGTCAATCCTGTGTTTTCTATTTGTATGCTGATGGCTCGGTCCACCTGACCTGCCTCGTCCAACACCGCCTACCTGATCAAGGCGCATGCTCAATCGAGATATCGCGCACCGCCTGCTTGTCCAGACACCGCCTTCTTAGTTTGGACACCGCCTGCTTAGATCGGACACCGCCTTTGAATCAGGTGGGTGAGGAGTAGGCAAATCTAGTAGGTGGTAAATGAGCTGAGCAAGCGGTAAGTAAGAGGGTAGACAAGCGGTAAGAAGAACAGGCAGGCGGTGAGTGAAATGGGTAGGCGGTAGGAGAAAAGGGCAGGCGGTGAGCTATAGGTAAGGATGGGGCGGGGTCTAGGTAGCTGGCGACACCGAGATGGTATGGGGTCCACGCTTCCTTCATCTGGTACTACCTTAAACTTGCGTTGCGTGCCATTATCCTCTCGTGTATCGCCACTCTCGCGCGTGCCGTTGCCCGTCTCGTAACCTCGAGAGTCCTTGGCTAGATACTGTCTAATAGATATGTCTTTCCTTGTTCAAACTATTTGATACTGTTAGGTACGACTCCTCGCATGCCTTCATCACGTTCGTTTGATTTCGTATTGATACAGGAAACCACTTTGCCGAATGGACATATGTCACTACATTTCTAAATGCTTTGACACGAAGCCCAAGGTACGCACTCCCATTCGACGTTGCCCTTGTTCATCCCGCGCATAGTGCCATACGATACGAGCTGACTGAGCTTGCTGTCCATCTTAAGTTTGACGCACTCGAGTCGGTGACTGCGTATGTCTTTTTGAAGGCAGGGTTCAAACACGAAGCCCGAAGTAAGCACTCTCATTCAATGTGACCCTTCTTTATCCCATGCATGGTGTCATACGATACGAGCTAACTCATCCCCAGGTCAACCGGGAGAAGCTTGCTGCCAGAGCCGGCTTCAAGGACGCTGCCGCAGCCAGAGCTCACTACGAACCATTCCTCAAGCCCGATTATCCCGAACCTCCCCGCCCGACCGAGAAAATCCTTACGATGCAAAAAACCGTCCTAAACAAACCGCAGCCAAGCATACCTCCCTTGCCGGCCCGCTCTCGATACCAATGTGACAGACGCGCTCAGAGATCGCCAATGGCAACCTCTCACCCCCTACTTGGAATCGCTTGTAGCTGCCACTATAGAAGGTCGATACCTAATGGCGGTAGCAGACCGAAATAAACCACCAGTCTAGAGTCCCGGACCAGGGGAATCGCACCCAGTACTCTGACTGGCCCAGTGGTGGTAATGGTCCAGCATCCACAGTCACTCTCACTACCTGTCTCTCGCCTTGGCACCGCACAGCAGCCATGTGCAGATGCGTACTGCACACCCGAAGCGGGCTTCCCATCCAGTCCAGGCGGCACATGCCCAGGCAGGCTCGATTGCCATCTTCGTAACGCACCGTCATTCCACCAATGTAGCATTGGCTGTCTTTGCCCTGGCCGTGTTCATGCTATCTGGGCTAGCGTTGGGGAAGTTAGTCGGGCGAAATGTCCCACGACACTTTCGCTCTACAAGGGAGCGGCTCTTATCCGCCGGAGGGCGGGGTGGAGGATCACATGCTCGCATTTTGACCTTCTGCCGGAAAACCGCCTTGAAGAGAGCAGTTCTTATTGGATGTATGAATAGTGGGCTCTCATGCGGGGGTGTATGGTAGAGGCTCACATGCCTCATCCTCTTAAGGGATTTAATAGGCCTGACGATTTAAATGGCTGGCTCTTCAGGTGTTACCGCTCCCGAATTCAGCCGGTAGTTTATTAGCTTCCAGGGCTATCTACCTAGCGGGATTACCGATTATGACAAGGACTAGAAGAGGCGAGACCCGACCAGATAAATGTTTGATAGCTCATCACCGGACTGAGAAATCTGTTCTTCATCTACCGGACACCTTCAACAGCATGCCGCAAACGGTCCTTGGGGGAAAACAGCACGATGCCTTGTGTAGTAACCCAGATCCCGGACTCAATATGCCTCGGAGGAGTAATGACATAGAGATAAGTCGAACGATGTATGGAGACATCACGAGGCAGCTTCCTGTCGCGTAAGGCTAATGACCTGTGCAGTTACAATCGGCTCCCGTCCGATGCCCAGCAACCTGATATCGAACAATCCATCCTCAACGAACTCGCCGAACTTTTCGTCCGGAATCGCGCTCATGAGGTCTTCGGTATACACCTAGCTCATGGCCACTTTACAGTCCAGGAGGGTACTATATTGGTCGGTCTCGCTGAACGCGACACCGAGCACCCATATCGATGGACGACGCCGGCTCCAATCCACAGCTTGGATTGGAGCAAGGTACATGGACACGTGTTCGTTCTGACCGATGCCGGTTTCCACCCATATGAGTACGAAACTGGCGACATCCCCGACCTGACTGATGTCGACCCCGGCTTCTTCGACCAGCTGGCCCGTTTCCTTAGATCACACCGCCTGGACAACGTTCTCGCACTCCAGGTGTTGGACTATCCAATGCCTGTCAGAAGGCCAACCATAAGGGGGGGATAGAATGTATGTTGTTCTGCAGAGGGCTACAATACTAATCAGGCCTGGGGGCCATGTATATGTACATGAATGGTTCCTTTGTTCCCAGGATGTGCTTCCTGACAATGCCGCTGGCACGTATGGAGCTTGTCTTCGAGGCCCTGGGAACCATCATGATGAAGCGTTCGGATTTGAAGACTTGCCAGCCGTACCGGCAAACTGGTTGGACGTTCACTGCCGAGAATGGCAAGCCACGGGTCTGTCAAGACGGAAAGGAGTATCATGGCACGATGCCGTCTGGCCAACATCTCATCGGCAAGGCTTCGCTGGGGGGGAGAAAAATTGAAAGCCTTCCACAGGCCATTGCGGCACTCCGGGAAAATGATCTTCTTTTTTGACTACATAGATAGCTTGCAGTAATCTCTAGCGATCCTTATTCCATATTCCGACGACAACCAAAGTGTTATTAAAGGCTGCGGCTGTGGTGGGCACCTTGGAACCGTTAACATACAAGACGACAAGTGATTTAAAGACGCAAATACCCCCGCCTCGGTGATTTCGGTCCGTTTCACATGGACCTGGTCTGGCTCTAGTGCTGGCATCGCGGACGAAACGAGAAGAGATGCAGCCAACGTTTTGTGCACTGAGTCAGGGGGGGTAAAGGTAATGTATGATCCCATCGCGTGTGAGTAATTGTTGGAGATGACCAGCAAATTATAAGGTCCAGGTTCCACGCCATTAAAGAAGCGAATAGCACCTGGCTCTTACAAAGGATGTACAGGTCCGGCGCTAATTTCACATGTTAAATCAAAGCCGATCGAGCAAGCATGACGTACTTACGAGAGAATTCTTCGGTCGCGGCACCCTCAGAAGCCGGATTGGTTGGAGATGATTCTGGATAGAGACGTGGGGTTGAAGGCGACGGGATTGGATGGGATCCATCTATGTCTAATGATTAGTATATGACTGCCAAGAGAAGAGAAGCTTTCTGCTTACCCCCTGAACATACTCCTTTCCCCTGATTTTGAGAGACCACTGTAACTCCTGACATAGAAGCAACATACCCGAGTCCGGGCGTCCCAGCCGGTGGCGAGGTGACCTCAGCCAAGGAGGTTGGCAGCTGGCAATTGGCAGCAGCGAGAGAACAGCCTCCACCGCCAAATTCAACATATGATCGCTTGCGCTTCCGGGAAGGACTTTCTGTGACTTGTATTTTTGGTCTAGGCGACGGCGATGGTGATGATAGCACTAACAAATGTTGGAAAGGCGGAAGTACTGGAAATGGCGCAACTAGACCATTGGCGACAGAAGTTGGAGGCAGGGCACCGGTGCCCACGTCGTCATCTCGTCTGTGTTGAGAAACAGGAGAATGGAGGGGCGGAATTGGGGTTCCATCTGAGGAAGGCTCAGCGTAGATCTGGTAGAGCGCGTTTTGAACTTCCTCAGATAAAATTATGGGATCGATTCCCCGTAGTTGTTCGATTTGTGGCTGTGATAATACCGAAAAAGCTGCGATGAGGATGGTGCCATTCTCATCCCTATCGTCTCCATACTCAGAGGCGGCTTGTATCGAGGCGTTACGGAGAGGAAGCGGAACTTGTCAGAAGGCGAACCATATAGGGGGGTAAAGATGTATGTTGTTCTGCAGAGGGCTACAATACTAATCAGGCCTGGAGGCCATGTATATGTACATGTATGATTCCTTTGTTCCCAGGATATGCTTCCTGACAGGCCCGTCCGAGTACCACTACTTCAAGCAATAGCTGCAGATCGCCGGCCTTACTGGGCCAGATTGTCCAACAGTTCATCTCGTCCCTAATTTGGGGTGTGGATAAGGCTCTATCTCCTGGTTCCTTGCCGAGCGCTTTCCTGAGTGTTAACGCATCGACGCCGTCAAGATTAGCAAGAGCCAGTTCATGCCACACACATGTAGGATGGACCCCAAAAAGTTCGGAACATGTTCTATACTTATACAGAAACAATCAAGCCAGCCGATCAACAGACATTGTCGAATAGTGAGGAGCAGTGGGGAGCAGTGGGAAGCAGTGGGAAGCAGCGGGGAGCAGCAGGGAGCAGGGCTGCTATCAGCTGCAGCTTTCCTGACAAGTGCTGCCGTCTGGCAGGTAGGTAACAGCTGGCATATAGATTTGAAGAAAAGGCTCGAAACCTTGACTTACTATGAGAGGAGATAACTAAAAAGGCGCCTAGGGTCATGAAAAGAAACTGTAACACTAAGCTCAGTTCTGACCCAATGCGAGTCAAGATCAGCAAAGCAGTCAATACCGAGCTCGAGGTCTATAAAGCCCTCCAGGGAGAAGACATTACGCCCCAGATTCTGGCGATCGTTAACAACGAGGGCAAGAGGGTTGGCTTTGTTTCTCCGGACCTGAAGCACGAGGGTGCCCGCGTGATGAATCCAGCGGACGAGGAGGACAGGGATGCATGCCTCGAAGTCCTAAATGAGATGCACAAGAAGGGCTGGGTGCACGAGGACCCGCATTCTGATAATTTCCTCATCTTGGACCGGGGGATCTTGTCTAGGAAAGTCTATGTCATTGACTTTGAAACCGCTCAAAGAGCAACTCCCAGTTTGATCGAAGATGACGTAGACAAGTTCCAATTCTTTTGGGAACAAAGGGCGTATGGTTAATGGGTTTGCATGGTTAAGGATTCTGTGGAATTGCCTGGCATTTTCTTTTTATTAGACTTTGGTTATAGACTATGTGTTCTGCTTTTTGGTGAATTTGAGTCATTTGGGTTTGGCTCTTCGCTTGCGGTAGAAAAGCTTATTAGCAAAATAAATCGGGATATAAGGGCAACGTTGGGAGCAAGGGCGGTGCTGCATAAGTCCTTTGAAGTGTGATGCGGGGGGTAAATGTCATTAGTGCCCGTGACTATTCCATTGGGGTGGTCAAGACTGTGTTTTCGCTTTACTGTCAACATTGTTTCTCTCGTCGCCCACGGGCTACACTGACCCTTACTAGTCTCTGTACGCGCACTTGTGATAAGCAACACAAGCGTCTGAATGATATATACCTAGGTTAGTTAATTCTCCTTAGGTGCTTATTCCAGGCGTAGAGCTCGCTGCCCGTCCAGCATTTAGTGTAGCTGTGGTAGGCCCGGAGGCAGATACCGATACAGGCCGGCGTCCCCGCATGCAGCAAGACACCTCAGGCCTGCAGAGGACTGGGAGTGATGCATAATGGCGGAGATGATGCAGAGTGCTGATGATTGGCTCTCGTTGGTGCTTCGGTGCGTGAGGCGCAGCGAGCCAACAGATCACCCAGCACCAACCGACTTCTCGCTGCATCCATACGAGGGGGCAGATTGTCAGAATAAAAAGAGCCAAGACTGCTGCCTGAGCACTCAGAGGCGGCACCATCATTTCGTACACTTCACCCCTTGCATAATCCTTTTGCCTTCTCCACGATGCTCTCGGCCATGGCCTCCCAAGCACCACGGGTGTTCCCGGTCTCCAAGGTCCTAGCCGTTGCGGCCGCTCTCAGAAAAGACGGTGCTTCGCCATCATTGTGCTTCGGGACAGATGAGAAGCCGATCGACGTGGGACAGTGTCAAATCTATGCCGTCAAGTTTCCGGACGGCGAGACTTGGGCCATTCGCATTCCTGTGCATGCAGGTAGTACTCTCACGCCCAGTGGCCTCTCGAGTATAGTCGAGGACGAGATGGCGACCTGCCAGAACTCAACCTCCCGAGCTGCGTGCGGCACCGGGAGTTGGTGCCTCGAGTTGTCCACGAAACCCTCGAGTCATCGCTGTTCGCCATCTCACACGGCAACCTGGCCGCGCACAAGATCATCGATCATGAATACAATATCACTGGGTAAGTCTGTGCAGTGACCATGTCGTAGATTGGTGACACTGACGTGTCGTTACAGGATCATTGGTTGGTTCTTTGCTCGCTTCTGTCCACTGCAGCTTGCGTTGCGCCTTCCTAGATTTCTTGCGATCGATCCAGACGTGGCTGATCCAGCACCTCTACCATCTGGATTCTCGACTTTTGCGACTGGAAGTATATAGCCCCCATCCGAGCTCCTAGCGGATCGTCAAATTATCATATCGCATCTGTCTGCTATCGACTCACAACCGGATTCACTTGCATCACTCATGAAGACTGTCTTATCGGCTCCCAACGTCGACTGGCAGGACCTGGTCTACAACTCCTGCTTCAGTAAAGGTCTTCATCGATGGATGTCAGAACGATCCTGGTTTGATGCCTCAGGCAAGGAGGTCACCATCACCTCGGAGAATACTGCTCAGTAGGGCAGGAGGTCAAAAGCGGTTGGATGCTCTTCGAGTGCGAGAGCTATAGAGGTTATCATGGACAGTCGAAGCAAAACTCAATTGATACAGGGCCAAGTTCCAGGCTTCGAAAACCCCGTGCGACCATCAAGATGGGGTATTGTGACCTGGTAGTAAAGAGTGAATTGACTAGAAGTTACTGTCTAACACAGTCCGGATCTACCTCGTGTTCTTTTTAGTAGCGAGTGTGGGAGTTATCGCAGCATAACGAAAGATAAAAAGTAACCAAGACAAACCCAAAAGAAACCCAAAAGAAACCCCCAAAACGAAACCAAACGCCGAAAAGTCACCAACCATAAGTTGTTGCCCCCGTTCTGCCCCTTCCTTCTCTTCTAACATCCCGTTTCCCAAGCCCCGCTAATCACGCCCTCCCAAAGATTCTCTCACTAGAATGGCTTCCCTTTCACTCTATCCATAGCACTGGATACGGGTGCGTTCTCTACCTGGTATCGACGTGGCCTCTGTGCGTCGCACTTGTGTGGCCGTTGCCCCCGCAAATGCAAGCGCATTTGTTATTTTCCCACAACTGGGGAGAGAAGAACCATGCAGCTTCGCGTCCTACCATGTCCGTTGGGGCCTTCACCGTCTACTGTCAGCGGGAGAATGTAGCAAGTAACGAATATGCGAACACTTACATCGCTCGGGTGAAGGTTGATATTGGCTCGTGCCTCGGTGATTTCCACGCGCCCTTCGAAGTCATCACCAGGGTATACGCACAAGCCGAAAAGGCCGACAGTGTCAGTCTCGCGAAGACGCGATGCCAAGGCTTCGACAAAGGCCAGGACCTTCGGGTTCTCGGGTGAGATGGACTCCTCATTGGCATCCTTCATGGGCGAGTAGTGGAACTCGAACGGTCGGAATAGGCCGTCCTCCGCGAGGACCCAGTTGACCGCCTCAAGATGCTTGAGGTTAGCCCGAGTGATTGCGACCACGGCACTGATGTGCCGAGGTATTCGACCAGTCACTCGCTCGGTTGAAGGTCGAAATGACGATGAAGAAGGCTCAGGCCGAAAACCTTCTCCATGCCATGTTCGAGGAAAAGCTCGCGGAAACTCGAAACAAGGTCGTACCCGTTCTTCTGGTCAAACACCTCGCCGGCGAGACCAAGGTCAGGGAGCTTGTCGAAGGTGGCAGGGGAGTAGGATACGAGCGCCATGGTACAGTAGCTAGATTTCTCTGATGTAGAGTATGAAATGATGAAAGTGTTCCGTTGTGGTGTGTGAGGCAATGAAAGCTATTCCGATGAAGAGAAGTAGACGACGAATGGTTTAGTGGTGGTCTGTCGAATTGAGATGATCTGGAAGCAGACTTGAACGCTTTATATATTCGTTCATCTCCCATCAGTCGTGGACATCATGTTGCATGAACAAAGAGCAGCGAAGTGTCGTTGGTCCTGCGTATTCCCCATGACTACGCCTAGACACCTTCGTAACTGTCTAAACTACCAACATGTCCATTCGTCTGTGAGGTTGGCATCCTCATCCTCAGTCACAAAGAAGAGATATAACCAGGATGGGTATCCTTCATCGATTGCCTTTGTTCGCGTTAGCAGCGAGATGTAGGGGACATGCAAGGTACTTGCCTTTGCCATCATGCTGATGTACTGACCTCGGGTATCCATCGGTTCCCTTCGCTGCGTCTGCGGAGTGGACTACATAGGTTACAGCCAGCCTGCTAGTTAATGTGCTTCGGGACGAAGGACGCCTGGCTGTCAACAAGAAGGTCGTTGTGAGCTGACTTATCCAACAGCCAGCAAATCGCCGGCATCAAGTGCCTGGACTTCATGTGATATACACCAGAGGCCAACGTCAGTAGGCCCCGTGGTATGCAAGCACAAAGAGATATCCGGCTTCGGGAAGAGCACGGATGGCCTGTCGATGATTTGGAAACCGAAAGCGGTCGCAGTCAGGTTCGCGGCCCAGGTGGAAGATGCAGACCAATACCGACTGTATGCTCGCAGTCAGGTTTTCTGAGATTCTAGGACATATCTTGGACGAATGCGGCAATGTACTAGGAATGCGTGTTCGATGTTGGTACGTTGGTCTGATATGCATTGAACAAGGAAGCACATCCTCATGCCGTTGCTGTTATACCATCCCGGCTACTGTGCCCTGTTGATGCATGCGTTCAGATCAAATGATTGATTTCGATACCAACACCAAGAGGGCCTGCTGGTCAGTGGAATGGCAGAAACCGGATACGGTTTAGGTGAAGCGGCCGCGTGCTGTGCCGCATGATCACGGCAGATCACCAACAGCCAATGCATCACCAACATACTCGTCCGACCGATCACAACTAAACACCAGGCCGCGTACCAGGCTTGACTTTGAGGTTGGCAATGTCCTGACACCTGCTACTGCCACGGTTCCATCTGACTAGCCATAAGTGATGCAAACGGTCAAGAGCCCGGCTTGACAACGTTCTACTCTGCCGGTAGTGTAGCGGTATGTGCTGCCTCTCACAGCATGAGGATGCAGCGATCTTGGTAGGGCAACTGAGTGCTTTGGCATGTTTGCCCAGGGCATTCTTCATGGGGGCGAAAGGATCGTATCTACTGCACCAGAGTACTGTACTTGCAGGCCAAAGTTTCGTCCTTTGTCAAGTACCTTCAGCCCTGGTCTTGCATAATTAGCCCAAAATACCATACTTCGCTGAGCAAAAGCCCTCTACGTCACTACGGGTCGCCAGCTGAAAGCGACGGAGCATGGTTGCTGACCTCAATCTTGTGCCTCCCCATCTTCTCCCTTTTCCATTTCGTATGGTACAAGCTCGACGCCTCTCACACGACCTACTCCAGTCCCAGGGCCAATTTCTTGAACGGGCTTCCTCAAAGACATGTCCAAGGGCGATTTACCTCAGTGGCGACAGCTTCAAATGCTAGGCATGGCCATTTTCCCGCTCCACAGGTCTGACTTGATTGCGATGTAGTTCGGGGCTGAATTAGAGCCTATTCTGGGCCATTTTCTGAAAGCCGAGCTGGGAGCATATGAGGCCTCTTGTGGCTTCATATGTACCAATGTGCCGAACTCGTCGTCCTCGGACCCCTTCACTCTTTCGGCCCGAGAAGCCTTCCAAGAGTCATCTGCCTTGAGATACCAATACCCAGACATCAGTCTGCCCACGAGTGTGTGTCAACTCGACGAAAATGCCTACGCCGACGGCTACCCCGAAGGAGTCCCAGAGTCACGTCTTACTCGAGTAAGTCCACTCACCTTAGGTACAGCTGACTCAGGTGCTCTTACCCGATGGTTACACAAGGTCAAGAAGGCTAAACCATGGACTCAATTTCGCTTGTCCGGCTCGTCCCAGGCCAGTCACCTCACTGGGATGGGACATGAGCAAAGTTCGAGCGGCCCGAGTTCGAATACGGGGCCGAGCATCGATCGCACCATCATCGAGAATGATGTCTGAAGTTTGTAGCAGGCTAGATGATCGGGGCTCGACAGTTGATGGCAGAATGAGACAGCAAGACTCAAGAGGAAGACAGCAAGAGAGAAATCGATGGCTTGGCTACATAGCGCGTTGAGGCTCGTACTCAGCAGGTCTCCGTGATGTCGCTCGGCATTCGCGATGCGAACAATTCGGACATATTAGATGGAGGCGCCGGAGGCACGCATGCACATCGGCCCCACAGGGGTCTCCGTGTTTCATCTCAGGGGCCAACCTCAAATATCTGAGCAGAACCCATCTTCTGACTTCCTGCGAACTCATTAATGTGAACGTGAACACATCAGATACTGATCATATTAAACCAACCTCATACCCAACCCATACCCAATTCACCACACTCAAGCGCCCCCACGCCCACGCCCACTCCCGGCCCACCATGCCCCCCTTCACAGACACCACCCTCTTCCCGGCCTTCTACGAGCTGCCCACCCCCACCCGCAGCGACATCACCACCGCCGACGACACCACATCATGGTACCTACTAGCACAAATCAAGGAGAACATGACGGTCACAAAGCCGACGCTGATCTGCACGGACCGGCGGGGGATGGACTTCGCCATCACGTTCGAGGACACGGCGATGAGCCTGCGGGGCTACCGGAAGGGGCACACGCTGGTGGTGCGGCGGGCTACACGCACGGAGCGCGGGCAGGGGAAGAAGGCTGTTGTCAGGGTCGAGGCTGGGCGGAGCGGGGATGCGAAGGTGAGTTTGATATTGACGACTTTGGGGAGTTGGATGAGGACTGGCTAGGAATGAGGTGGTGGGGAGAATGCTGACGTTGAGTGCGTAGGTGATACCAGGTGGTCTGGAGCAGGTCTTCGAGCTGGCTTCTTGCTGGATAGGGAGGGCGTGGGCGAGAAGTGTGCGGCGTGTGGGAAGACGGAGGGCGCGTTGATGAAATGCACCGGGTGCGGGATCGCTGCTTACTGCAGCAAGGTAGGCTGTTCCTTACTTTCGGATGAAGAGCACGATCACTGCTAACGAACCGAACACAGGCTTGTCAAGCGAAGGGCTGGAGCGAAATGCTACATAAGTCGAATTGCAAGGTGTTGGAGTCGATCAAGGAGATATGGGGTTGACGGTAATACGTCTGCTGTAGTTGTTGCTTGGGGAGTTATAGGAATTGATGCATGGCACTGGCTGTCGTTAGAATAAGGCAGTGTGGCTCAATTTGACTTTGGTCTCAAAACACGATTCAACGATTTGAAATGGATCTGTTTTGGCCGCTTTAGATATCGACGATGCATTATATGCATTGAGATCTCGCCGGAACCATGGGCTTGGGTCCTGCCCTCCCAAACTCGAGTCATGATAACCCTTCATCCAAGCCTACGAGTCATGCTGCCATGCTAGACCCAAACATAAAGGCATCCGTATCATCGATCCTCACGTAACCGATACATGATGTCCATCCTGACAGTATACTTGATACCGGCCGTGACGTCGTCACCCGAGTGTCTAAGCCGGGAATGCTGGAAGATGAGCACCCGGCCCGCCTTCGGGTCTATATCCATCTTGCGCTTGCCATCCCTGGAGAGAAACGAAGTCGCGTCTCCACGCAGCTCTGCCTCGTCCCCAACTTCTCGTTGCAAATTATTCAGGTACAGATGCACCGTAAAGTAGGTCTGGCTGTATCCGCCGTCGTCGTAGGTGTGCACGGGCCGCCCCGGCACGGCCCCGGAGCCGTTGTTGCCGGACCGCGCGGCGAATTTCGAGTCGTAGCTGTTATCGCTGCCCTTGTCGCCGATGCGCGGGCGCTTGGTCGTCGGGCTCGCGAGCGCCTTGACCAGCGCGATGATGTTAGGCGCGCTGATGCTGACGATGGAGATTGACCCCTCGATGACCGCCCAGTAGAGGTACTGCGGTAACCGCCACGTCAGGTCCTTTTGGACCGTCGGGATGAGCTCGATCGTCGACACCATTCTGCCGAGCGAGATCACGATGACCGAGTAGGTCAGGAAGAAGGCGCCTAGCAGGTACAAGCGCCGCCTCAGCGAGGTTTTCAGCCCCCATATCATGGGGACCGGGAGCAGCAGGATGTAAAAGTCGACGGCGGTGGAGAGGACAGCCGTGGACAGGTACCAGGGGAAGTCGTCGACGCAGTGCCCGGGTAAAGTCGGGTTCCAGGCCTTTGGGATGGGCGTGCATTGGAAGATTGTCGAAACGATGGATGAGATGGTCCAGGCGGTGACCAGAATGCCGGCGAACCAGAGGTTGTACCGGAAGGCTTTGTTGTGGGAGGGAAAGATGCGCGCGTAGAAGCAGATGGCCGACAGCTTGGGGAAAGATATGGAGCTGTCAAAGAAGAAGATGGCGATATATTGGCGTTTTCCGTTTTCGAAAAGCAGCAAAGGGTTGTTCGCGGCGACTACATCGGCATGGAGCCCGAGTCCGATCTCTCGCCAGGAGAGACAAATTCCAAGCAGAGCGAGCTGGATAGGCTATTCATTTGTTAGACCGGTAATGGAGGGCAGTCTACGCGGTCACCAGCCTCAGGACTTGTTGCTCTTGGGTGACCTGTATCCTCGACGGTGAAAGGGTCGAGGTGTCTTTCTTGGCGAAAGCCAACGACGTACCATCCCCCCCCCCCATAGGAGTCGGACAGCCAAACCCCACCATCACCACCAAAACACCCCTTTATTCACTTACACGCCTTCAGCCCGATATTGAAGTTATTTAAAATGTAATTGGTGCTCTAGATAGCCCGGATCTTGGGGTATACTCTGATATAGAATTTACCCCGCCTAGCCTACGTGATTGGTCATCTATTACCCTGCGTTTCTTACCTCAAATAGTAAATCTATGGCCCTACAAGGCTCCCCTGAAGCCTTGTTCTATATGCAATACAGCATCGTATAGCCGCCCAAAATGCCTCCCTATTCGTATACAGAGGATCAGATAGCGAATTCCATCTTAGATATCACGGATGAGGGCCTGTCTTTACGAAAAAGTGCTCAAAAACACGGCATCCCGCCCTAAACGCTGTCTGATCGACTTAACGGCAAGCCTACGAGGGCTGAAGCCCACAAGCAGCAACAGAGACTCTCCCCTTCTCAAGAAACCATTATAGTCAAATGGATTTTGCGTCAGGAGAAGCTAGGACTAGCCCCTTCGCACTCCCTAGTTCGTGAGATCGTCACAAAGTTGTTAAAAAAGAAGGGAGATAAACGCGCTTTGGGAGATACGTTCATGGCAGGCTTCAAGCGCCGCAACCCTCAAATAAAGACCAAAATTGGCAAAAGGATGGAATCAGCGCGCTTTAAGGGGTTCACGCCCAAGGCAGTCAACTGGTTCTTCGACATTCTCGAGGATTACGGCTGGGTGAAGCCAGAGAACAGGTATAATGTCGATAAGGGCGGCATTATGACGGGCTATAGTAGCTCTATCTATCCCTTTAATTCCGCAAAAGTTCTAATCGTATTCACAGGTATCGACTCTCTCGTTCTGGGTAGTTCTGCTACCAAGAAATCCTTCCTGAAAAGCCCCCAGAGCCGCAGTTGGACCTCTTTTATCGAGGCCATCTCAACTACGGGAAGAATCCTCAAACCGGGCATTATCTTTAAGGGCAAGGACCTCCAGGTCCAATGGTTTATCAAGGAGTTTCAAAAGACCGCCGATTGGCATTTTATATGCTCAGATAACGGCTGGACCTCCAATGACATCGCCTGCCAGTGGCTAGAAGACGTGTTCATCCCACAGGTGGACAAGGTACGAGGAAAATATCAGTCTGAAGCTGTTCTTTTGATACTAGATGGCCATGGTAGCCACACCTCCGTACGTATATGATTTTTCTTTATTTTATTTAGACTTCTTTTAGTTTTTCTAGAATTAATCCGGGTTAACCCGTATTAATAGGACGAATTTATGACCATGTGTTATTTCGCCAATATCTTGCTCTGTTTCTTCCCTGCAAAGACCAGTCACGGCATGCAGCCCCTGGATAACGGGCCCTATTATGCCCTGAAGGCTCACTACCAGAAATTTCTCTCGCAGCTGAATTCCTTGGCGGATGCCTCGCCTGTTGACAAGATCAACTTCATTCGGTGCTATAGCCAAGCAAGAACTTCTGCTTTTACTAAAGCAAACATCCTCTCTGGATTCAGAACCACTGGATGTTATCCAATCAGCCGCAGAAAATGCCTAACACATACAGAAATCCAGGAAGATAAGCAGAAGACCCCTGAGCCTGAGACCCCTAAAAGCTCTAAACCAGAGGACCAACGGACCCCTACTACAAGCCGGGAGATCATAGATTTCGGCAAAAATAAATCCCCTAGCACCCGCTTAAAGTACAGGAAGATAGCCAACGCGTTCGAGACCAAGGAGACGGAAATTGTCATCCAAGCCCGGACGATCAAAGCCCTGGAGGCTGAACTGGAGCGACTATGGCCCAAAAAGCGGCAAAAGATTCCTAATCCTAACAAGAAATTTAGATTAGTGACAGAGATCTTGTCTAAAGGAGATATTATTGGCCTTAAAACGCCTGCAGAGATACAAGAAGAGATAATTATTGAGTCAGAGGATAAAGAGGAAGATAAGGATGAAGCCCCTGAAGAGGCCGCTTTGGAGGCCATCCAGCAGTCTAGGCTGACACGTTCCGGCCGCGCAATACGGGCGCACGCTAGACTGTATGAATGAGCAGCTTCAGCACTCTCAAATGATAATTTTGCTGAATTTCTCTGATCTGAATGACGTCTTTTACATGTGGATGAATAAAGGGGTGTTTTGGTGGTGATGGTGGGTTTTGGCTGTCCGACTAGTGGGGGTGTCCGACTTCTATGGGGGGGATGGTACATTAACAGATTGACTGCGGAATAAGCAGTAATCCAATGCTGATCCCAGCCGATCAATCCTGAAGCCCTGTCACAGGAAGAACTCGAAAACAGACGTGGATATGTGTCCAATAGTCATCTAGGCGGTGTCTCATGACTTAGCCACTTCAGCCGATTGGTGTCACAACCGAAACCTGTGAGCAGCATCATACTGTTAGAGGTCGACGAGCGTACCGTGAGTCTGGCCTTGGGGAAACAAGCTCGAGCATCACATAAGTATAGAGTCAGTCCCCCACCGGCAAGGGGTTTCAGTTCCAGCTTTTTGAGGATCTACTCGGCGTCATTGGCCGTATGGCGCAATGGTCAAATGCGCCTGGTTGTGTTCTCGTTTGTGCGGTGAGCGACGAGAACAAGTGGGTTCGAATCTTGCTATGGCCCCCTTTCTGACCCGGCTTGTGCGAGTCGACAACCAGCACACGAAAGTGGAGAGGCCCCATTATCGCAGAACCCAATAGCTAAGCAGCTTGTCTCCATAATACCCACTCCTGCGAGGTTTTTCCCCCTTATAGTTTTCTTCGCCAGCAGATAACAAATACCTACTTCACCCACTAATGCGACATATATCGAACGGCTATTGGAACGATGTGTACACCAGAGGATTGAGGTTCACTGGGTCGCTTTGTCACTAGACAGGAGGTTTTTCTGACAGAATCGTGCTTGGGTATTGACTAAAACCATCTGGACACTCCAGATTGGTACTGCTACAACGAGGATAGGCTCGTGCGCGGATCTGAATGTATCTAGACTGACACCTCTACAACCTTGCGATGCAATGGCTCTGGGAGGCGTGGTTTGCCCTGTTGAGGGACTGCACCCACGATAAATACAATCAATCAATCAATCATCAATCCTCGGCGTCATTACGCGCGCTCCATGTCAGGCGACGGTAGCTGGCCCACATCCGCTCTGGTATCCTGTGCTTTTACTGTGGCCAGAGCATGCATCAGACCCGAAACAGGTATTCTGAATATAGATGCCTAGGTACCCGTTCGGTCCACGCAGCGACCCACCACCGTCGTTGGACCGTGTATGTACACCGTAAAGCAAGAATTGAATGGAAGCCTGGAAGTTATCAGTACAGGAATGATCGTGTATTACTTTTCTCAGAACGGGGTGATCCCGAAAGGATGACGTGGGGCGAATGACCCTAGTCAGAACCACGACTTTATCCGGCGACAGATTCGTGTTGCGCCCCCCGAGGAGCCACAAGGCTTGATCCTATTCCCATGTAGCCTTGCATACGTGGGCCTCGGGATCTCCGCGATGACCGGCATGATGGGTTTTGCAGGATCTGGGCTGTCTATCCTTGTGGATGCTCCCTTAGATCAGGTACAGTGTCAGAATTTTTTCGTGAGGGAGGCAAAAAGAACGTTTGCCTGATGCAGCGGGATATCCTATTTGTGTCAGGCGGTGGATCTTGTTCAGCACTTTGCCACGCTGCTGGAGCAACGCATGAGCAGTAGGTGGCGACGTTCGTGGGCATCAGAGGGATGTGTGTCTCTACGGAGGGTACAAGTACAGCTGTAAACGCTGCCTTTCCAGAAGAGCATGACCCTCAATAACCCACGTCTCTTGCTTTTCATCTCTCTTGTGCCGGCAATGACTCGTGATTCGATTTTTGCTTGTCTACTTGCGGGCGCGCTGCCCGTCCTAGCAGCGACTCTCCCTAGCTTCCTCCACACCCGAGACAGCTTTAAGCAGCCCCTGGGTCTCTGCGAAACAGATAAAAAGGTACAGCAATATTCGGGCTACATCAAGGTAGAGGACGATATTGAGTTGTTTTTCTGGTACGCATATTCCAAAGACTCACACCCTACACCTTGACACCGCCGTACATGCAATGCGCCACAATCTTAAGTTGTCCAGTGTGTCGTCCATTTTAAGGTTCAATTTTCAAATGCGCCCTAACATGGTTCTAAGAGACTCACTGGTTCCAATCTTGGCTAACCCAAGGACGCTCGTAGGTTTTTTGAAGCTCGCAAAGATCCAGACAAGAAGCCACTCGTGGCATCTTTCGCAGGCGGTCCGGGTCTCGACAGTACCGGTGAAGTCCTGCTACTCGGGCCTTGCACGTTTGACGACGTGGAAGGAGATGACCCAAAACGCAACGACTTCAGCTTCACAGAAGTGGCAAACATGATATTCATAGACCAACCGGTCGGTGTTGGCTTTTCAAAGGGCAGCGACGATAAAATCGAGGAGATGGATTCTACTGACAAGGCGGCTCCACTGATTTGGAAGTTCTTCCAGGAACTGTACAAGCACAAGGAGTTCTCCAAATTCAAGGGTCGCGACACAGGAATAATGACCTCGTCGTACGGAGGGCATTATGGACCAGCCTTTGCAAGCTACATGCTGAAACAGAAAGCGAGCAAGACTGGCGTGCCTATCAACCTCCGGTGGCTCGCCATCGATAGTGGTAGCATGGACCTCGGTATCATGGCGAGCTCCTCGATCGATTACGCCTATAATAATTCATACAAAAAGCTCATCACGAAACCGGCAGACTACGACGCTTTGCGGCAGGAATTCACCGAGGATTGTGCTCCACTTCTGAAAAAGTGTAAGGAATCCGATGAAGATGACGACTGCGAGGATGCTGCCATGAATTGCATGCCGTTCGCTGCAGGCGACGTACTCAAAGAAATGGGTATGGATTTCGACAAGCTAGATGTGTCAGAGTCCGTGAATGAGGACTCACCATGGGATGGTCCCAAAAACGACTGGCTCTCTCAGGCAAAAATAGGGCGGGAGTTAGGTGCCGAGCAGGAGTACGCGGGCTTCAACATGGAGATCATAAAGCAGTTCTACGGAACAGGGGATCGTACGTACCACCGCCTGTCTTTTTTTACCTCAAAGTTATGTCTCGACCGATTGCTAATGACTCCAAGCTGCACGCTCGTCGTTATCCACTCTTGGCATGGTTGCAAAGGCCGGTGTTGCCATCTTACTCACGGCTGGCGACAAGGAGTAAGTCATACATGCTCTCAAGTCAACGCCCTCATGCTAACAAAATTTTAACCTAGTTTGTTTTGCAACCATAAAGGTGTACAGAAGTCCGCGGAGAGCATTGATTTTAAAGGCCGCGATAAGTTCGCACGCAAGGCGTTGTCTCCGTGGAAGGTCAACGGCAATACTTACGGGGAGTATAAGACAGAAGGCAGTATCTCATACCTGAATGTAAAAGATGCAGGACACGGCACATTCGCGTATCGTAAGCCACCCATCTTCTATTCAGGCACTATTTCGCACCGGTGCTGACCTGAAGCAGAGCCCGCAGCAGGACTGGCTTTTTTCCGGCAATTTTTGGCAAAAGACCACTTAGTCTCTGAGGGTTGATACCATTCTGCTGGTAACTGCCACCGAAGCGGCATCAGGAAAACCTGGTATGGTAGTGGCATCACACGAAGGGATTACAACCTCCCGGATGAAACATACGTGGCTTGTTGAGGAGGAGGCAAGTCAGTGAGGCATGATTCGTTCATCTGCTTCCAACTTAGGGCCGGAACACACTCGCTTCATATCCAACGGGGGGCGAACGCGAGAGCTATACGGGAATCATGGATAGACATAGAGGAGTTATAGAGGATATATAGATCAATGGGCATAAATTCATAAAGTCAACTTTACCTTCTGAGTCCTTGTCCACAGCCCTCCAAACGGTCCACATGTTTCACCTGGAGGATGGGCTGGATTTTGAGCTCGAAAATATTAGTAGCAGGAGTTCGAGAACTTACGTTTCATTCAGAGGTCGCGATCCGAGCTTTACCCCAACCGCCGCACGATAAATGGAGTATCAAAATCGTCCACCAAGGTGTCTCGCGGGCGACAGACTCATTGCAGGACTATTGAAGGGCCACCAGCTCTGGGCCACCCGAAATGATGCTGAACAGTAAAGGCTGTGATGAAGTAATGCCGTTCATCGCCGGTAGCTACCTACAGAGGAATCACGGCTCTGTACCTAGGTATTCAGGCGGCAAGCTGACTTGCTCAAACTCATGTTGTCAGTCTCCAACCCCTTCCACCACAGCGACGGCATCGGGCTCTACGGTATCTGCCCCGGGATGGTGCAGATTTCTCCTACTAGATCTTTAGACCTGGTGGCGTTGCCTTACTCCGCTCTCCTCACTATCAACCTACTGCCCTATTGCGATATAGATACCCCCCCACGCCGCCTACCAGACAATGCAGCGTTAATTCTGTGCGAACTCAGATTCGGAGGGAACCTGGCGCCCTGTTCGATGGCGGAGGTGATCCTGAGCCAGCCAGCGGCGGCAGCATTATGCGCACTGCATCAACTGGGCCGGTTCGAGTTCGGGACCTACGTGCCTGTCGTCCGAGTGGGCCTCTTTGGGTGCGCAGCGTAGCGAATGAGCTTGGGTTATTTTGGCAAAGCCGAGGATGTGTTTCTTGGTTTCAAGTGACAGTCCACCCGGACGTTCCCTGCGGGCAATGCTGGATGGCGCGCAAGCCACAGTGGCGCTCAGGCGGTGGCAGTGCACCTACATGGCCAATAGGGCATTTTGGGACCACCTAGCTAGATTCTTCTGAGACCACATACATACAGAAAATCACCAGAAATATACCTATACATCCGATTGACCATCATACACGCTATTTCACAGGCAAGGCATTCGCCAGCCGAGGCGAAAGATTCTGATTCCTGTTCAGAGGATGGATTTACCACGGAGGTTCATCTCCATTAGACACTGGTTGGAAAGACTGAGCAGGTAGAGGCCACGATCGTGAGTTCGAATTGGAAGGCTCGCTGGCAACGCAGTCGAGATCAATCACAAAGATTTCGATACTATGGCTAGCAAACTCCCTCGCCAAACGGATGGAATATCCCCAGACATTGATGGATCTCCCCTGCGACAAAAGCACGCTTGCCGGTCATTTTTGCCTCTCCATGCAATTAAGGACAAGAAAGATAGCCAGTACCATCTATAGCGATCTCATCAGATCCTTGAAAAGTTCCATCCTCTGGTGGCATTCCCTCAATGCCTTATTGCCCTGCTTTGACCACTTGTGTACCACAGCCTGCCCTTTCCTGATCACAGCAGATGTGATCTGCGCCTCCTGAGTTTCCTGCTTCTCCTGCTTCTCCTGCTTCTCCTGCTTCTCCTGCTTCTCCTGCTTCTCCTGCTTCTCCTGCTTCTCTTCGTCGACCGAACATAGACTCATCTCCTTGATGATGCAATCTCCGAATAAATCGAAACCTCTGGGTTCCTTGATAAACTGCCGCAGGACGAAAATCGTGGCACAGAGCCAGAAACGGGTACCTGAGTCAATAAGGTATCAGCATTCGTCATGAGTACCTAGGTAGTCACCATTGGGCAGGTAGCAATATGCCCGTCACTCACCTCGTCCTTCTCGCAGTCCGTAGTTCATGATACCAGTCCGCTGCAGCGTGAGCAAGAGGTATCCCACCTTGGCGCCCGGCATTGTCGCGCGTCCGAAGTGCTGGGTGGATGCTTCAAGCATCCTTGCAAAGCTCTTGCTGGGGACGGAGTCCGCTTCGCTGCAGGCCGGAGTGCAGGTGATAGCGGTAGTCGGGCAGCCGGACGTCTGCTGGGGGTAGAGGTGGAGGGCGTGGCCGCCTGCTGTGATGAGTCCAATTACCCATCCTCTGGCTGAGGTTGCGCCGGTGGGGTTCTTGAGGAAGAGAAGCCAAAGGCCGGTGACGTGTGAGCTCAGAACCGTGTTCCAGTTCGGGTGCTTGTCGCTGTCGGAGTAAGGGAGGAAAGTGATGGAGGGAAGGCTGGTGACCTTTGCGCTTCGAGGGTCTTGCTGTGCCGACGACATGGTGACGGAGGAAGGTGTGGTACGGTGCTTCTGATGCTCTTTCTCTGCTAGCAAATGAAGACGCAGGGCGGTGCCGATGGTTTGCAAATTCAGTCGCAGGTTGGCTTGGTGGATTGTTTCGAATGGATCGCGGATGTGCGCGTGGATTGTTGCAAAGGACGTGGTGTGCAGTTACAGGCTGCATACCTAAGATGTTGGAATGTGATCTATGACGAGGCAGTATCTCTACGTTTTCATTCGTATGGGATTAACAGCTACAATCAGTCGTGACAAAGGAGGTTTTTCTGACGGAATCGTGCTTGGGTATTGACTAAAACCATCTGAACACTCCAGATTGGTACCGCTACAGCGAGGATAGGCTCGTGCGCGGATCTGAATGTATCTAATTTGACACCTCTACAACCTTGCGATGCAATGGCTCTGGGAGGCGTGGTTTGCACTACTGAGGAGCTACCCCCCACGTTAAATACAAAACAAACAAACAAACAAACACAGTCGTGACAAACTCTAGTCTCTGCAAACAAGCAGCATTCCCATATAAGAGTCGTTCTATTTGCACCTTACCGAAAGTCCCTATTTCCACCTTACTTTAGTCTGCCACTTGCTAGCCAACTTCAACCTATCTGCCAGCCTAGATGGCCACCACGATAAAAATACCACTCCCCTTCTAGCTGGATACGTTGATCGCAGTCAATTAAATAGCCACCACGATCGGGTTACGTATAGAGATGCCACGCAATTGTAGATCATCGTGTTCCTTACATCTAGATATCTTGATCGGATAGGTATCGGTTGCGATCACTTAGATGACTATTAGACGCGATCATCTGTCTAACTATCGGCCGCGATTACTAACGATCGGTCGCGTTCAATCAGCGCCGCACCAGATAGCCAACTGTTACGGTGTTACATGATACCTCCACATGTTCATGTACATATATACCTCTAGCTTCCCCTTTCTCTTCCGACCTTGCCTCTTCTTCCTTAGATATCGTTGAATCTAGATATTTCATATCATCAGCCCTGACCAGCGCAGCTGCAGGCCTGATTGTCACATATTACTCTTGCCGGACGTCGAGTAGCATAAAAAGCAGGCAGGCTTTATTTATATCGCGACAAATGTGCCGACTTCAAAAGCTCGGCTAGGTGTACAGAAGTTCGGGTCTAGGTTTGTCACGAATGCACTCCTGGTTTTAGGATTAATCCCCTGCTGGTGGCAACTTTCTTCTGCAATATGTTCGTTTCGGTAGAGCAACAAAGGCCGCAGCCTGGATTCCCTTGATGTGCGCCACTTTTAAGCTGCGCAAACCAGACAGAGTCTAGCCCGTTGAACTACTCAGTGTGGCTCGGAACCCGGGGTCTCAGCCCTGTACTACAGTATGGCCTGGAACCGGGGGGGGTAGGGGTGATGTGGCCGTGGACCTCAATGTGGCCTGGTCCAAGTACAAGCTCGCAAGGAACCAACAAGGCTACAAAGGAGCTTCCAGCTAGTCCCTGACTTCCAGAGACCAACACTTACCAAGCCATCATGGAAAAAGCCCCCAGTCCGCAAAAACAAAGACAAAGAAACAGAGCTCTTCAAGCAATGGCTATAGGAGAGAAATGTGAACACTGACCTTGTCATCTATTCAGATGGATCATAGTTGGACGATCAAGGCACAACCCGCACTGGATGGGGTTACACCATCAGGAAAGGCGGCACTACACAAGAAGTATACCAGGGAAAGGGCAGACTTCTCCAAGCAGAAGTAGTAGATGCTGAAGTCCATGGTGCTCTCCAAGGTCTTGCAGCAGCCAGGGTAATTGGATACGGAAAATAGCTATATGTCTGCCTGGACAACACGTCAGTGGTAGATGGGCTCAATGGGACTCCACCCGAGACATCACAGAACATTTTTCTACGATTTCAAGAACTTGCCACAGTACACACTCCTGGAGTGACCGTCAAGTGGATTCCTGGACACAGAGATATTGATGGCAACAAAGCTGCCAATACACTAACAAAAAAAGGTGCCATGCTAGAAACAGACACGACAAACCTTCCTATAATCTCTTGGGTCAAGAGAGATCTCAAAAAAAAGGGCAAGAAAGAGTTTAACTAATAGTGAAAAGATTAGCTTTCAAGTTGTCAGATTTGAGCCAATCGTCAGAGTGAAGTGTGTTCCTTTCTGACCTGCCCCGAGTCGAATTTGCTCAGAGACGACCAACCAATGAACGATGCATATCCGCACTTACAGGAGCTCGTTCTCAAACTCTCCTCCGCCACGGTCGCAAGCCCAGGCCCCCTCGTCGGGATGCACTCGCTACCTATAATTGCAAAAGTGCCCAGCGACATAGGCAGAAATGTCTGCGACATCAATGAACCGACAGCCGGCATCGAAAAAGAAAGACCGAGTGCACACATGAATACAAAGAGATTCGAGACTCTATCTAAACCCCTTGCGGCTGGGCTGTTCCCATTGCCGCGTGTTACCATATCACCAAAATCAAGTGGGTCTTTATGCTCCGGCCAAGCACGATGTCCGCCTGGGGGACGTCGTCGTCAGTTCTACTAGCTATGGGCATGGCGGCGTGTACCGGTACGACTACGGGAAGACTATACAGAACAAGGTCTTCGTTCCCACGTGTTGGATTAAAGGTGAGCCCAGAGGGCACCTTGACAGGTAGACAACGGAACCTAGTTGTTCCGTCCCGATCCAGCCCCCTCTGGCACAAAACTGCCACAGTCGCACAACGACACTCCAGACCACGGGGTTCTTGAACAAGCCACCAACATTCATGCAGCGGCCGCACTTAACGCTACTTATCGGATGAAGGGACACCAGTTCAAAAAAAAAAAACCTTTGAGAAGCGCCCTTGATCGATTTCCAAGGCTGCAACATGAATTTCGACAACCAAACGCTAGCTCGGACCGGCTTTACAAACCCGAAATCCTCTATACCGCTAGAGACGACGAGGACTGCTTGTCAATAGAGAAATGGTCGCGTGATGTAGGACGTCTGCGTCAATCGGGGAACGACTTCGCGATGTATGCTCAGAGACCTTGGAAATGACTATTGAGAACAAGGACCTGTTGTAGAAGCTGGAGATGGGAAGGTTGGGGGGATGGCATGTCACGGAATGGAAGGGCATGAGATATCCCAAGCCGGAGCCAAGATGACCCACCCAGAACAGAAGCACGGACCTCAGACTCATCTAGTATGCTTAACGTCCGTGCATATAGGCCAGCCAGTTTATTTTGTACAGCCAGATACAGCTAGGGCCACTAACTGCCACAATGGCATCCTGCTTACTTGATACACTACTAAACGTGCAGGCGTATTACAATCATGGTCCATTGCAATCTTCACAGACACCCAATCCCGCCCAAAGAGCTCTTCCCCCAGTTAACAGTGATCTCCTCTCCATCGCGTATATCCCGTAACGCATAAATAACGATCCGGTACCTCTGAGATATCGCTGCACCACGTACTACTGCTGAGGGGTGTTGGCACCGGTGGTTCACGAAGCGGGAAATGTTGCTCTCCATTCCAGTGTAGATCTGGGCGACAGTCGGCTCCCCCTGCAATGTCAGGTCACACGAGATCCAAAGCAAAGCTATCCTCGTACATGTCAGGGGCTAGGTCCGTTGGTGGTTGACTGCCGGTTGATGCACGGGAAACTGACTATGTCGATTTAGAATGGCCACCGAAGACGAAAACATCAGAGACAGAGAGGTATGGACGTCGGTCTCTCGCGATTGGTACTCCAAGGCATCCGACAAGGCCTCAACCACCGGTCGCCTGTATCACCATCTAGCAATTCTCGCTCGGCCGAACGCACTTCAACAATTGTTCTATGAAGCCGTGTGCAATGTGGCCTAAAGATTGCGGTTGTAGAGATTAATGTAACTAGCTATCATGAATGGCGCCAACAGTGATCACATATCCTTCCTGCATCCCGGCTACGACTTTAGCCTCGACAACATCTGACGGCTCGCCGCGTGTCAGATCGTCGCCAACAATGCCTTGGTCGGTTACCTAGCCCCGTTAACTGTACCAGCGCCATCCGTATCGTCGACTTGTTCCTCATAGCCCCTACCTAAGCACTACTCGTTCGTTCCAAGCGAGCCCAAGCAGGCCTGTGGCCCATCATTACCCCCCCTGGAACAGGAAATGGTCTGGTGAGTCACAGAGCCAGATTCGCAGCTCCTCCAAAGCTTCAAGGTCGTTTCCCTCAAGGGCCATCAAGCCAACCCCGCATTCCAAGTTGCCTCCGACAGCCTCACTTAGGCTGAGTAATGGATCGTCTAGACCGTGCGACTTGGTATCACAGTGCGGGTTATGAGGAAGGGTCAACCTAATCATCAACACCCGCCGCCATCTCCAGCTCCGAGATACCATTACCGACCGTACGCCAAGTTTGTTTACGAGGTGTACGTTGTACTTTCTATCGCTCTTTGCGATTTATTTCAGACGGTATGGGCTGCCGTTATTGTTCTACTCCTATAAGAAAATTTGCAAACTGGGTCAGCTTTGAGTCTTGTTGCTTGATGGACGCAATGTCACCTGGGCTTCCCGCTTTGCCTGGTCGACCTCAGCTATTGCCACGCGTCTCGAGGTGCTTGCCGCCTTTGTTATATTCGCTCTCATCAAGGCGAATCGTGCAGAAGTACAAGACTTTTGGAAGGCAGGTCCCACCGTCGATGGCCGTACGCATCTGCCCCAGGACCAAGAGAAAATGATGGACTCCGTCTGCCCCAGCCAGCGCGTCTCACCTTATGGTCTATTTTGTCCTTGTGTCAAGTCCGGACAGACATACCTGGTGGCCACCATGCCTGGCGTCGCTGCCCACCATATGCTTCGTCCTTCCGAACTCGATCCACGGCTGGCGTCGAGAGTTTGAAAAGCTCATCGACGCAGGCCATCCCATTATGCAGCATCTCCACTTCTCCATTCTGTATAACGACTTCAAAAGAGATGAAACATATCATCACACCAGCGACCATGTTCGGCAGACCATGGCTAAGACCACAAGGTGCTACGTCAACCAACAAAACCAACAACTCGAATGTCATCTCGAAGGCTGAGTGGGGCTTAGCAACTGGTTCTTGTTGGTCAGCTCGTCTGGGGCACCGGGGCTACGCAAAGCTTATAACGACAAAGATGTCAGCTACACGGCCAAGGATGATTCAGATTACGAAGGCAAGGTGTTCACTACCAATGGTCTTGCTGCATCTTTCGTTTTTTTTGACGAGGCGCACACTTACCGCGGCTCTTTATCAAGTCCGACTCAGCCGTTCGCCCTGCTAAAAACTATCACCGAAAAGTCATGGGATCCCACGGTCGCCTTCGCCATCTCGGGCTCCATCTCGGGCGGTGGTCCTGGCCAACTGACCAACATCGTTGACCACATTCTTCGAGTCAAGGGTGAACAACACGAAGGCAAGCCCAGCATCGGCGGTATTACCAACGTAACTGAGCTTGAAAATAAGAAAGTTGACTGGAACTACCTGCTGCAAAAACACCATATTGTAAGCAACCAAAAGACCAAGGATGAGGTGAACAAACTGTTGGATTCTGGGCTACGTTAGCCCATCCATAGTCATCCTTCAGGATCAACATCTCCATCTGTGACTCTGTCACATACGTGGCCAATATAAGGCCACGTATCCTTTCCTTTAGTATCTTGGATATATAGGGCCACTCTGGCCGCTCCAGAGTAGCTGGAATTCCTCTCCTTAGATAGAACACTTTGAAATCTCACATAAACGCAAGAAATCGATCGGCGAGTTAATGAAGAACCTTGTCCCCCGTGTACTCATGGCCCGTCGCAATGTGGACACCTTTCGCGGCCAGATTATTGGCGATGCCGGACGAGAAATAGTCGTACAACACGTCGAGTGCAACATGGTTAATGGGGCTGGTCGCAACGCATTTTACTAGCTGACTGCCAACGTCCAGGCATATGTTAGAAAACCTTTCGATGAGAGGCACAATGCTTGGACAGTCAACGGAAGGCGGGGTCCTGAACCTATGCAGCACAGCTTTGAAACTCGAGTTCTTCGGTGGAGAGGGTGCCACAGCGATGAAACTGGGCAGAAAAGGTGGTTGTATCTGGACCCAGCTACTTCGTGCGAACGTCTACCCCAAAGTCGCTTGCCTTTATCTGGACAAGCTCGCCACAGAGGAGGACCTTGAATACAATAATATTAATCGCTATGGAGATGAGGCCTCCTTGCTTGCAGCTACCGATGCCAGCCAAAACGACGTGCAGCGGCAGTTGGCCACATCCCCGTTCTGGCCATATTGCACACAGCTCATAAAGCAGTCTTCGAAATTTGCCCAGCTCTGCCAATATATAAATAACATGGTGGCATACAGGAACCGCCGGCCCAGCGCCGGTGACGATCCTGGCCCTGCTGATGGCACGAACATCCGATATATGGTTGTCTTATCTGACACGCCTGTCTCCAGCTACATCACTTTTATATTACTGTGCGTCAAATATCCAAAAGTCAAGGTGATACTGATCAACGGACGCACTCGCAAGGTGGCCACTGAGAAGACACCTTGCTACGGGCGTAGAGAAATGATCGAAGACTTGATGTCCGACTGCACGAATAAATCACGCAATAAGATCATTGTCTCCACCTACCGTATCTATGGGACGGCGCTTAACATGTAACGCGCAAATTACTGCATGATGTTAGAGCCTACTTGCGATGCTGAAGAAGAAGCCCAAGCGGCTGCTTGCGTCAACCGACGGGGCCAGTGTATACGACCTGTCACTGTGCGGTTGCGTGATAAACATAACCTTCCCGAAACACTGAAACGCTCTCGTCATTAAAACTAAAGACGACATGGAGAACTGGCAAGAGCAGGGCATTCCTTGGGATGACTTCCTGTAATAGCTTGGCATGAGCTGTCGATACTTGCTGTATCTAAGATGACAAAGGTTTAGAAGTTAATGTTTATTTTAATAAGGAAGAAATAATATACTGTTTAGATAATTGAAGGGAAGACATGTTGCTGATGAGAAAATGTTCTGGTTAGAGTTGCTTGAAATGCATCAGTTTTTAAAAGAATAACAAAGAATAAAATGTTTCTCCTTCCAGATACTAGATAGTTGTCGAGGTGTTTACCGCTCGTTTGGTATTCTGACTACTTAAGATGTTCAGACTAAATGTAGACTTGAACTGGCTTCCTGCTTCAATCAAATCCCTGCCTCCAGGACCTAGGCATGGTTCCGCTTGCCGTTCGGACAGACGAAATGCTCAATGAAGTGCTTGTCTTTGGGCGTATTCCAGCACAGAAGACAGTCTGACGGCCGAGACAAGAGACTTAAGAACGCATATCGCAATCACAGCTGTTGCATCATCGGCTACTTCGAAAACACTGAAGTGGTTTATCTGGTTTTTGTACCATCCCCAATATGCCTCGTAGACATAACTCTGACGACATAACGGCCCGACACTTTTAACTGCCTGAGACAAGCCGACGGATGACAGTTGTGGTTTAAAAGCCTGAAGCAGTTGCTGGACTCGCCGCAGTCAAGTTGGCAAACGACGGGCTCCCCAGCGATATCAGGCCTCATGAAGTCTATAACCCTGTCATTACTCTTAGTGTTAATAGGCAAGATCTTCCCAAACAGCCATCCGATTGTTGAACCCTTGGAGTAGACAATTTCTCCGTGGGTTCGCCCAACAGCCTGAAGGCCGAAACCCTTCACCCTGTAATGCTTGATACGCGGCCTTGTTTGTTGAGGCATGTTAATACAATCATAATTAGCCTGGTCATAGAGCTCGCATCCAGCAGCACCTTCGAACGTTGTGTTGGCAGGCCACGGCCAATCTTCCGGCCAGCCTGGCGGCCGGGGCCAGCTCTCGACTGATACATAGATATTCTCTGTGACCGGCCAGACCGGCTGGAGGAAAAGAAGCAGTTTCTGTTCCGTTAAAGACGCCAAGTTAGACAAGCACCCGGGTATGGTTTCCCATTTGAATTCGAGATCGTCAGAGTCTGCTAAGGATTCCTGAAAAGCCTTGCCGATCTTGTAGATAGACCGGGTATAACTATCGTCTAAAAGGTGGTGGAGCCTTGAGGGATCCTGTAGCCCCTTGTAACTCTGAGGGGCAATATCAAAGCCATTCTGCCATGATAGAAAGATGAAACACAAGAGGCCATCAAACTTGCCACAGACCATATTCCACCTTCGGCCCTTGGCAAGGTGGTTATGGAACGTCTTTTTCCCAAGTCCAAGTTCCTCTATCGCCTTGTTTATCACTGCCGGATCTGCTCTGATAGCGCCCATTTTGGTGGAATCAATCTGTGTTACAAGCTGGCATTGGCTGAGACGCAAGATGAATTTTGCAAAGATCGAGTTGCTACTAACATTTTTAAGAGAGGTAACAATGCGCTGAACAGAGTCCTATGTAGAATCAAAGCGAAATCTGTTGTCCGGAGCCCACTTGCTTGTTACAAGTGAGATAAATTGCTTGATTGCTTCCCTGCTGCGAACTGCCGATGCCAGGAGAAGTACATTTAGACTAGGGGGGTCGTCTGCAGGGCATAGAGGGATGTTGCAGAGCTTATCCACCGATCTGATCCGTGATACCGTCTGTGCCAGTTCAGGATTTGCTGGTAACCGCCCTGTCTTTGGAATCTTCGATGCTTTCTCAGGCTTTGTGTTATTGCCGGGCCTTTTCCGTGAAGAAAGGAGTGTCTTCTGCGGGCAAATGGCCACACGGCAACCTTCTCCTCTGGACTCCTTTCCGCCTTTATGTTTGCCTTTATTCTCTCTGTTATCTCTGCCATCCTTGTCGTTCTCGGGTTCGTCCTTGTCTGCCCTGAACTGAGCCTCATCTGGGCGACGAGACACATGAGAGTCTTCCGGTCCAGCGTCTTTGGATTGATACGCGACATCACTATCCTCAGACATGGCAACCACAGCAGGCAAATTATCATTCTTTCTCCCAGCCGTATGATGCCCACCAGCAATTTCTGTGAGTTCTTTGATTCTCTTATCGTCGAGCCTAGAGGGTGGCAATGATGCGTCGCTGGCCAATACGTCGCTGGCCGATAATAGAGCCGAAGTAGAAGAGCTGCTCGTCCTGTTCACACGCTTCTTAAGCATGCGCCCTGTAGCCGCTGAAGCAAGCTGGCTATCTTGCTCTGAGAGGGGCCTATCCTGAATTACAGTGCCTGTTACGTCCTTGCTACTAAGAGCGGCATCGGTTGCAACCTGTGACGCACTTTGCACGTGCTAGAGAAAATCTCATTTAATCTGCTTGACGAGGCTCCTTTTCAGGGCATTTATATGTTCTTTGGGGAGAATGTCGATGCTGGTACCGGTACTAGACCTAGCTTGTGTCAGGTGATTCACAATATCTTCATGAAATGCTGTCAATCTTTGATCAAGTTTTAGCGACGTTTTATTAAGGAAAGAGGTGAACCACACAGGTGGATCCGCAGGCATGTCTATGCTGATGCTGACAACGGCTGGGGATATTGATGAGATGCTAACAAGTGACGAAGTTTTTGTTTACTGGAGAATAGGAACAGTGGGCGACACCGAGGCTGCTAGTCGACTTAGCGAGATACATGCATATGATGATGCAGGATTTGATTGGCTAGGTATACGAACGAGATTGCGGAGACGGATTGAGTGGGGTAAATGGTTACAGCTTGCGGAATCTCAGCCAGCCGGGACAAGGCGCGGATTAACCAGCTCCCCTACAGTCGAATGAATTGAGATCTAGCGTGCTCCGCATTCCTGGGCATGCTACGTTTATCCGGGACGGCGTTACTGCATAAGCGATAAGGGGAGGAAGATTGGTAGAAGTGATTACATGGGCCTTCTACTGAGAACTATAGAGACAGATGTCCATTCGGCAAAGTGGTTTCCTAGACCAATACAAAATCCCATGAATGTGATGAAGGCATGTGAGGAGTCGTACCTAACAGTATCAAATAGATTGAAAAAGGGAAGATATACCTACTAGGCAATATCTAGCCAAGGACTCTCGAGGTTACAAGACAGGCAATGGCACGCGCGAGAGTGGCGATACACGAGAGGATAATGGCATGCAACGCAAGTTTACGCACGTACCAGATGAAAGAAGCATGGATCCTAGACCATCTCGGTGTTGCTAGCTACCTAAACTCCGCCCCATCCCTACCTACAGCTCACCGCCTGCTCTTTTCTCCTACCGCCTACCCATTCCACTCACCGCGTGCTTGATCTTCTGTCAGATTTGAGCCAATCGTGAGGTTGAAGTGTGTCTGTGTATTCTGTCTCTCTAGAGTGTCCTCGTGCGACCGTGGCAGTTTTGTGCCAGAGGGGGCTGGATCGGGACGGAACAACTAGGTTCCGGTGTCTACCTATCAAGGTGCCCTCTGGGCTCACCTTTAATCCAACACTATGTCACGTGGATGACAACGCACTAGACTGCGACCAGCCACCGGGCAAAACTAGTACTGGAGACTTGTACACAAATAGACAGTGCTCATCACACTATCATAATACACTCATCAATTGACCCTCGTATTTAACAGGTTTATTAGACTTATTATTAAAGGGTTTTTGGGACTTGTCTTTTTACTTTATTATATTATATTATTTAACGTTCAAGGGTTTTTAAGTTCTTTATAAAATAATCTTTAACTTTTATAATTATACGGTATTAATTTTAATAGTTAGCTTTTACTTTTTTACCTTTATCTCTACTTACTTATGGTTTTATCGTGTTTCGATTGCCTTCTTTTGTAAGTCGACTAAGCTGTTTTCAATGTCGATTTATTTTAATTTTAACTTAATATAAGCAGTGTTTTGATATTTTATAGTTTTACATTACTTTAAAATGTTTTTATTTAAAAAATATTTTACGCGGCTTATTTAGTTGTTAAAGTGTTATTAAACATATTAATTGTATTTAAATCGTGTGTACTTATCATGTTTATATTAGTTAATAATATAACCAGGCGAGTCATAAGTAAAAGCTAGATAATGGAGTTTTATACAAGGTAAACGTTTAATTTAATACGTGAAAAAGTACAGCTAGAACCTGTTTTTTTATTAAATATTAAACAAATTTAAACTATAATTACTTAGCTCATTACGATATTCATAAGTAAAACTATTAGTTTTATTCGCTTTATAAAGTTTCTAAGGGTAATACCTCCGTTTATAATTACGCCTTTTAACTAGTAAAACATAGGTGCTTTTTATCGTAGTATGACGAATAAGCGATATAAAGGTTTTTATATAAGTATAACGTTTAAATTTAATAAGGGTTAAAGCTATAATCGTCGCGTAGTAAAGCGTCGTTATAATGCCGATCGCGCCGGTAAAGCTTAGCCTAAAAAAATAAATTCTTATAAACCTGTCAGGTGTTAGATCCCAGATATAGTGCCCTTAGGTGCAGTACCCGCTAGGGGGCTGTCAAAGGAACAGTGGATCCACCCTTGCATGGTGCAGTATAGTATTAGTTGTAGATTAGCCCTGCCAAGCATACTTGAGAATGACAACAATATTTGCAGCGACCGCTCACACCCTAAATGCTTGTGACCCTTCTAGAATCTTACAAAACCTAATAATAAATATAACGTTATTTATATTAGTGTTCGCGGTTTTAATATCGAAATTGATATAGGTTTTGGCTATTATAATTTAAATAATGCTTATTAATTAAAGGGGTAAAATAATATTAACTTTATTGTTAATATAACGGTATATGAGCAAGTTAATAATAAAATATTTAACAAGTAAAACTCGTAGCGATTTTTAAAACGTGGCCGCCGATAGACCTGTTCCAAAACTGTTTAATTTTTACGAGTAATGTACAGAGTTAGACCAGATAAAAAACTAGCCACATAAGCGTTAACTTACTTTTCGATATGATTATAATATATTAAAACATCATTCGTTTTAGAAATTTTATTAGTGACTTTAGGACACTTTAACAACGTTTAATGTATAAAAAAAAGCTTAGGAAAAAGCGAACTATTAATATATACCGGCTTTTAGTAATAATCGGGCAATAACGGGTATAACGATACAAGGCTTATTTTAAGCTTTATTTTAACCTCTATACCATAAATTACGATAATATTATTATTAATAGTTTTAATACACGTTAGTTTTATATATAAACTTCCTGTATTATAGTTAAATCGGTTCTAATTATCGAATATTTAATTTTGCCAAAAACAAAACTTGTTTAAAATAAAAAAAAGTAAGTAAAATATAATATTGTTGGATCCATGTGATTCCACAGTCAAACCATCTATACAGAACCCACATGTATGATTAGATAAGAGATTAGATACTGGATTGTAAGGTCACTTAGCTAGACCTTCAGGTCCAGCTAGACTTCCCAATCCAACTATTAGCAACATGATGACCTTGACCCCTACTCGAGTATTATGATTGATTGTTCAAGCCTGTTCCCACAAATATAGTATATTATACGCTTCGTTTTTTATCGTTAAATATAATCATTTTTAATAGTATTAATATCGTAAGGTTTAATTATACCGGCGTATTGATTATAAGCGCGTATATTACCACTTTTTTATTAACCTTTCCTATTTATAAAATGCTTTATAATTTTATTAATATATAGCTTTAAACCTTATACCTAGCTGTAAACAGCAGTATTTTACTTTTAAGCGCCGTTTTTAAAGCGGTATTAAGCTACTAAGACTTATTAAATTCAATATCGGTCGGGTATTTCGTAGTACCGGCAAGCTTCAAGGCTAAATTAAGACATGTTACGACCGGTGGGCCCGTAGAAAACGAAAAAAAAAAGAAACGTGCTTACTTATATACCGTATTTTTCCTAGTCTTATAATAGAAACGGATCGTTTTTAACCCCGGCGTTATTATATTCGGCTTTAATTTAAAAAAACGTGATTAAACGTTTTCTTATAAAAACCTAGTAACTATTTTTTTTTAAATTTATGACTTTTAAATTATTAAAAAAAGTTGAAACTAGTTATTTACGTAAAAGTGCGACTTAAAGGTTTAATTTATAAAGCTTAGCCTTACTTGTTGTCAATCATTAACTGTAAATAATGTATACAAGTGAAAAAAACCATACTTGGCTCATTTTTATACGCTTTAATATACGACCTTTTAACGTTTTTAAAACGCGCGATTTTAATATTAAGCTTTTAAATCTCGTCTGATATCTTTCGTATTAATTTAATATCATAACTAGCTTTTTAAATACGATAACGTTTTATCTGCCGTACGTTGGCTTTAACTTTTCGATTTTAAGTTTTTAATATTTCGCTTTTACTTTTTTAACTTCTTACTTACTTTTCAAAACAAGTGATAATATTCGTCACATCGGACAAAATTTCGCATTATTCAATTACTTTGTTTTAAACGCTCGTCTCGCATGCTACGTAATTTATAATAGTATGATAATCGTACGTTTTTACGTATTAACTTCTACAACTGTTAAATAAGCACTACGCGTAGAGGTTAAAACAAACCTACGATCAGGATTAAATCTTAATACCAAGTGAATAAAATGTAATTAATAAAATTAAATCTTTATTTTAATAATTAATTAGTTTAAAAACAAATAGCTTAACACATAAGTAGTAGCGGTAGCCGGCGAACGGCTGTTACGGACTTACTTTTTTAAATCGCTACGCGCTGAAAATAAGCCGTAGATTCATTAGCTTAACTATTTAAATATACGCATTATTAAAATCTTTTGAAGGCCTAATCGAGGCTATATATTTAACGATAGCTCTACTTGATAATATTAATATGGTTTTTGATTGAAATAAAGTTTGCTAGTAATTTAAAAACTGAGTATTGTTTAAAAGGGTCGTTTATTTTTGAGAGATTTTATAAGGTTATTGCTTTAAGCAAGTAGCTAAATTTAAAAGGACTTTATAAAAAGGCTATATTCTACCATAGTAAACCAAGTATATAATCGACGAAAAAGGTTTAATTTAAAAAGTTTATAAAGGTCGTATATTTAAACGTGTAAATAGTTTTAAAACAAACAGGTATAGGTTATTATTAAGTCCTTAAGAAATATTTAAGTATTATTTTAACGTAACGGTTTCGAAGATTTTATTTAATGTGTTAGTTAAATAAGCGGTTTAAAAAGACATTAAGTATTTCACGGTATATAAAGGTAAAGAAAAGAAAAATATTCTAAATTTCTAACCTTTTTATAAATAAAATAGTCAAGGTAAATAAATTTTCTTTAGAGCTATATAGTGGTAATAATAAGTTTAACCCGTATATTATCTACACTTAAAAAGATGTAATAACGCTATAGTTACTTACTTGTTAAATGAACTATATATCATTTAAAGTTTTATATTTTCGTCTTTGGAAAGTGTTTTTTTAATATCATTTATTATTATTATTATTATTATTATTATTATTATTATTATTATTATTATTATTATTATTATTATTATTATTATTATTATTATTATTATTATTATTATTATTATTATTATTATTATTATTATTATTATTATTATTATTATTATTATTATTATTATTATTATTATTATTATTATTAAAAAGAATAAAGTTTTTTTTTATTAAGTTGTAATATTTATGAGAAACGGCGCTTATATCGGTATTAACTAACGAGTAAAAGTTAAAAACCCGGTTAGTTATTTGTTTAGTGTTTTTAATAATTTAATAACGCTGAAAGATTTGCTTTTTAATATTATTAAAAAGGGGGTTTAATATTAAGAAGGTTTAAAAGATAAGGCTAGAAAGCTAGGTATTTTTTTTTCAGGCTTTAAATTTAATTACATCATAAAAGCAAAGACTTTCTACCCGTTATTTCTCAATTGAGCGGTAAGAAAGTTTCAACTGGTTTTTTTCACTTATTAAATGGTCATTTTAATATATGAAGTATACGTTATATTTATTACTATTTTTGTAGGAACAGGCTTGAACGATCAATCATAATACTCGAGTATGGGGTCAAGGTCATGATGTTGCTGATGGTTGAATTGGGAAGTCTAGCTGGACCTGCAGGTCTGGCTAAGTGACCTCACAATCCGGTATCTAATCTCTTATTTAATCATACAAGTGGGTTCTGTATGGATGGTTTGACTGTGGAAACACATGAATCCAACAATAAAATTAAAATTAATTAGTATCAAAGTTAAAGCTTACAGCTTTTTAATCGAAATATTTTATAAAGGTTTTGAAATAGTTAATTTTAAATTTTGATAAAACTGTTTAAGCGTTTATTATTATTAAAAAAAGGTCTTAGTTAGCTTAAAACTATGATAAGTTCAAATTAAATATTATAAAAATAACGAACACATGGATTATATCAACGGATAGTTTTATATAAAGTGTATGAAGGCTTAATTATTAATATTATTAATATTATTAACTTTTCATTTATTAATTATTATACTTATAAAAAAAACTTTTTTAAACTTTATAACGTATTTTAAATAAAGTAGGAGCTACTTATGTATATGAAGAAGTTAACAAATTATATTTAATATGAAAAAGGGTTATACGTTTATATACGCTGATTTTTATTAGCTTATATTATTTAAAGTAATGAATAACCGGTTTTATTTATTTATTATACTATTAACATATAGTTTTTAAGGTAGTATGTATATATATATATATAAACTAATTTATGTAAAAGAAGTATCAGCTTGTGTTAAGACAAGATTAGCGCTATCATTATTACCGAAATAGCAGCGGCTGTGTCACGATTCCGTAAATGTATTACAAGGATACAAGGACCCTTATTAACTATCGACGTATAACGAACTCTGGTTAAAGGAAAAGAAAGGTCTGGAGATGCACCCGAATTAGTGGGCAGCTAGGTTTGAGCAGTCGTCCTCCACCAGACCCACCATGGCATGGATCAACCTGTCGTCCGATCAGTCACGTGCTCAGTCACGTGACCCGGGGACCATAGGGACCATCGCTAGACCTGATGGATGGTGGAGCCATCACAGGCTGTCGTCTTTACAAAAAAAAGCGCCGTGTTTAAAATCTTTAAAAAACCGAATTAAGAACGGAAAATAACACGATTTATTACCGTATAAAACGAATGAAGTTGTAACTATCTTTTCATAAGCGTAAAAATAAAAACTGATATATGCATTAAATATAAGGATTAAATTGAAGTTTTTTTATAATATAGCATATTTTTTTAGAAACATTAAATGAAGACTATATGTAATTATAATTACAAGCGAAAAACTGTATATTGATTAGTTATAAAAATACTTACGTATTTATTAAATATTTATACTTTTTTCTACATTATAAAATTTAATAATTTTAAGCCTATATCTTTAATTTTTTTTCATTAACAGTATTAATTAAAATAACTATATACTAAGTAAATTATATCTTTTTACTTAATGATCTTAATTAAAAGTAGTAGTTAAAATAATCATGTATTAAGTAAGTTTAAGCACCTCGGCTAATACTTTTTAGCTAAATTAATAAGTAAAAAGGTACTGCAAGCCCTTTTTAAAAGCTGCTAAAAGCTACAAGAAGCTGCAAAAAGCCGAGAAAACCCCTCCTTTTCGAACTTTCCTAAAAATATAAAAAAAAGCCACGATGTTTCGGAGCGTTACGAAAAAAATGACCCCGTAGCACGTTTTTATACACGCGGTGGGTGCGGCGGCGCTGGGTTCGGCGGCGCTGGCGGACTTGCAAGTTCAAGAAGGTCGCGAATCGGGACTTGTGGGAGGAGCTCAGCGGCATCATCGAGAGCCTGGCTGCGGCCGGCACGGAGGTGTCGTTCTGGCTTATTCCGCCGGGAGGCGCTGTCAAGCAGGACTCCGTGCTGGTGCGAGAGACTAAGGACGCTGCGAGGGAGGCGGCGACGTCGCACTATGACGCTGTTGCTACTGAGTTCACGCGCCTGTGTGGTATCATGGTGTAAGCGCACTGCGCGATGCTCTGAGTGTTCACATCGTTGCTTCGTCCGCGAAGTCGAATCTCATTCTTCTGCGCGTATTGTGATGTCCTATTATATGAGCTCTGCTGTTAGGGCACACTTGGTACTGGCGATCCGTCGATACAAACCGACCAAGGTTAAATGATGTCGCTGGATCTGGCAGTAGCCGAAGACGGCTATCCCACCACCCCAACGCACCGCACGACCATCTACGCCAAATACTCACTCATTTGCGGTACTCGTACTTGGCAGTCCGCCTCGAAAGTGGACTGGAGTTTCGGTCTGAAGATGGCCTGCTTACAACACGTCGTGTTGAGGCCAAGATTCTTTTGCTCGGTCGTCGGGCTGACCAACCAATGTGGTGACGATCATAGGGGTTCGGACGATAGCCCAAGATTGAAGGGTCTTGTGGGTCTATTTCACCTCATGGCGACAGCGTCATCGTCACCGGCTCGGGTTGATGTCGTCGGTAGCATTTGCGGGGCTGGTGTCGCATGGTATATGGGTCTGGGAGGCCTTGCGACGACCGTGATGCGGGGTGTAAGGAGGTCGTCGGTGCAGAGGCATGTTGGACATTCGAGCCAGACTTTGGTATTGAGGCATTGTCCATTGACAAATAATCATCACTCGGAGCTCACTCCTATTCACGGGAGGTGAATCCAGGGACTCGTCCCCCCATCCGGAATGTGTCCAAATGAAGCAACGAAAACATCGTCTCACTATTCCAATATGTCTATGCGCTCTTTCATACTAGCCACTTCACTGTCTGGACTCGTAATGTCGCCGGTATCAGGGCCATAACATCTCCCAGTCTTCCAGCCAGCCACGGCAACCGGGTAATGCAAGCAGCTTCAATCCGTGACACCGGATCTGCAGGGGTGTTTCTTCACGTCAGCAAAACACGCCCTGTCCACGGGACCATTGAGAGGCGTGTCCCAGACTCAGAACTACCGGTGACAGTTGCATAGATTTCGACGCGAGAAACGAATCAGGCTAGAAATAGCTGACGCTGTTTGATCGTTAGGGGTAGTAATGCGCGGGCGCCTGTGGGGTTGCCTTTTCGCGGATCTTTGGGGCTGATCCCTCCCCTGTTTGCCTGTGATGTCCCGGCGACGCCGGTTTGGGGGAGGGGATCTGAAACCAACATCGTGCCCAAAACTCGGATCGTCACTTCTTGCTACTCGGCGGTCGGCATGGGGGTAATATTCTGGAGGCACAACGTTCCATACTTCCAATTATGTAGTCCCATCTTCCATTCATGACTTTGTCTCCTCTTCCTTTCTTCATTCCTATCGGAAAGGCTGGCCCAACAAGAACAAATTCTACGACTTCGATGTGATACACTTTACGATTTTCCTTGACAGTTCTATTTCACATCTTCCATTCTTCGGATCTGGTGTTCTCTTATTTCAGACAATCATTTCAAGATGGCTGGCCTTCTGAATGACTTGGGGGACGGTCTAGGATCGGTCTTGGGTGGGGGCAACGACGAAGCCGGACCAGCAGAAACACCAGCGACGGAGACTGGAGACAAGCCTGCAAAGACGACGGCGGAAGCCACCTCAACTTCGGCTTCAGATGCAGAGGAGACTGCAGACAAATCTTCGGAGACGACTGCGGAAGCTACCACGACTTCGGCTTCAGACGCAGAGACGACTGCAGACCCCGAGACGACCCAGGACGCGCAAGATTCGTCGGCAACGACCACAGCCGCCGAGAGCACTACCGAGAGCACTACTGAGGATGTGGCGCCGACAACTACTTTCGCGCCGTCTACCACCTTTCAGGTCGGCGATCAGACCACTCTCGTCACCTCGGTCTCATCATCTTCACCTTCCTCTTTATCCTCATCTTCATCCACCTCTCTCACCGACAGCATAGCCGAGAGCCTAGGCATCAGCAGCAGCATCACATCAGCGACATCCCTCGCCACATCACCCGCATCCACCACAGACGCAGCAACGTCAACCAGTCCCACCGCCCAACAGACAGTCGCGAGCCCCAGCTCAACCGCAACGTCTCAAGCGGTAACTGACGGCACCGAACTCACCCAATCCCAAGCCTCCGGCAACAGCAGCAACAGCGGTCTGCCCGTACCCGTCATAGCCGGCATCGCAGGCGGCGCCGGCGGGCTCGTCCTCATCGTGGGGGCCATCTTCGTGCTGCGGCTTGTCTGGCGGCAGAGACGGCACGGCAACGACGAGGCGCTGGAGAGGCTGGACTCGATGTACGAGGCCGGCAAGCCGTCGGCCGCCGAGGCGGACGAGAAGACTACCGGTATGCGCTGGAACAGGGGGTTGTCGTCGTTCCACCGGCCTGATCAGGCGTTCAAGGGGTATCGCATGTGAGATGCGCCGGTTTAACAGTGTGAGGGCATGAATATGTAGGGGTCACACGAGACACGCAGTCACATTCCGGAGTTCATTGGGTTCAATACATAGACGATCGTGTAATGTAATGAAACGTGTACTACCTTGTCGCGCAGGCTTTACCCGTCACAGCATCCTGCCAGAGCCGCGAGAGAGCAAGGTCCACTTGGTCCCCCGACTCGCGGGAACCAGTAGGCGTCCTTCCCGAAGCCAATGTTTTGTTTCAGGGGCACTCCAAACCGGAAGGTGTACCAGTATTACTTCGCTACACGCATGCAGTGGACTATCAACGCGAACTTGCCCGAGAGTGACCACCAGCCGATCGCTATCGTCGACGGAACTTTTGGGCCGAGTGCCATGGGCGTCACTAAACACATTGCGATTCTGTCGATTTGGATGCATCGGAGCCGGAATCCTGGCGCACTATCGGGAGGTGGTCGAGCAGACGCAAGAAGGGTGATCGACCCTGTCAACCAGCATAGCAATGTCACGGATATTCGCGGAAAGGCTCAGCTGATAGAGCTAGAGCCGTTGAGGGATATCGTAGGTATGGGTATGGGTCTTCTGAATCCATTGAGAAGATTCATGACACTAATGATGAGACAGACTACGCATATCTTACATTCGATCCAAGGTCGGAGAGGTATAAGGCTGACAGCTTACCAGAAGATTATTCCTAACCATATCATTTTAGGTCTACCATACAGCACGCTTACGCCGTTTAAAATATGTGCATGGGCTGTTCGCTCCAGCAGCGAAGTGCGGCATTCAGAGGCAAAACCGGCAACCCTCCACTCTCCTCGGTCCACGGTACTTGAAAATGTACCCGTTTGAGGAAGTTGTGCCGGTGTACCGTTCCTGTCTACTAACGGGGAACTTAGAAGTTAGAAAGACCGGATCTTTCACACTATTACCACTTGTAATCCTCATGATATCAAAATATATCGACCCTTGGCGGGCCCAGATGTCTTATTGACTATTTACGGGGAGAGGTGACCGGATGCGAAGGCGTCAGCTGGCGCTCTTAGGGATTGACGCACATTCCGTCGCACTTGGAAAAACAATCAGACTGTTCATGTGTCTGTGTGCAGTCAGCGACGTCTTCTACTACTCCAAGAGCCCCTTCGACCTCAAACCTGTACGTCTCTACGATTGTTGACTCACTATCGGCCTGACCCTCCCAGCGCTGACAAACCCCGAAAGTACCGGGGCACTGGTTATTGCCGCTCTTACTGTTGCACTCACACATCCTGGCATCCACAGTGGGAATACTATTAAGGTATAGGGATGCAACGGGCAGGCAAAGTATGGCGTGCATGGTGAAGAATGTTGAGGTGTGCTTTAAAGTTGAGAGAGTTGTTAGTCCGCATAGCAGAAGGACGGTGTTTATTAGAGAAGCCTACCCGGATTAGCATCATTTGTATGCGAGGGATAGTGTCTTAGTTGCAATTCTTTCACTATTACCTAGCTTAGGATATAAAGAAATGCTGCAAGCATTTCTTGCATAAACGAACGATGACGTTATCATGTCTTTTCTTTTCATAGACTTTTGTCTTCCACCGTCTCGTTTGATCCGACCGGCACCGTGATCCACACCGACACAGGCGACATTTGTATAGAGGAGTCGATTTTCCTTGAATATCGAGACATATCCCTAAAAGCCTGCGCAATAGAAGGACTACGTTCTCAGTCCCGACCGGGCTTGGATTTTACAGCATTCCGTTGAATCAGAGGTTTAAAGCTTCTGATCGAGTTCTCTTCGTCGGCTCGAGATCTGCGGTCTCTGACGTGGTTACGCAAGCGTTCGAGGAGCTCTAGAAGACTTTTGAGTCTTTCCGCCGTGTGGGTTGTGTCGGAGTGTTGGGTCGTATCCTCAGTCTGCCCCTTCTAGTTCGTCCATAACCTTGTCATAAAACCCTAGCTTCCCATTGTGATAAGACTTCATACAGTAAGCTAAAGCCTGACATTTATTGTCATTGAGGCACGCCGAGAGTACATTATCCTCCCGTTCGGCCGACTTTACCATTTGTATATAGTCTTTTCGGTCCGTCCACCGTTGCTTGTCTTCGTCGTCTACCGGTTGTTGTCCTTGTCGTAATTTTCGGGCGAGTCGAACGGGACGGGCATGATGTTTAGGAAACTCGGGAATGCTACCAGCTCTAAGGAAAAGGTACATGCACCTTCCCAGTCGATGATTCCAAGAACCTTGAAACTCTCATCGACGATGATATTGTTGTGGAGGAAGTCCGCGTGACAGAGTGGAAACGGCCCATGATTCATGTGTGACAACCGACTAGCCATTGCCTCGATGCGAGAAGGGAACCTGTTGATGGCAGCAAGAACTTGTTCAGCCGGCCCCCCTTGCATCATCCGTAATATCTCGGCCTTTTCACGTGGAAATCTGGCGTGCCCGGCCCAAGCCTTGAAGAATGATGTCGCTGTGCTGAACGGTCCGCCGATGTCCGGGAAGGGCCGATATCGTATCCGCCATCATTACTCCTAATAATGGTCCCGATCTTAGGGAAACGCAATGATTGATTGATTGTATTTATCGTGGGTGCAGTCCCTCCATAGGGCAAACCACGCCTCCCAGAGCCATTGCATCGCAAGGTTGTAGAGGTGTCAGTCTAGATACATTCAGATCCGCGCACGAGCCTATCCTCGCTGTACCGGTACCAACCTGGAGTGACCAGATGGTTTTAGTCAATAACTAAGCACGATTCCGTCAGAAAAACCTCCTATCCAGTAACAAAGCGACCCAGTGAACCTCAGTCCTCTGGTGTACACATCGTTCCAGTAGCCGTTCGATATATGTCGCATTGGTGGGTGAAGTAGGTATTTGTTATCTGCTGGCAAGGGAAACCACAAGGGGAAAAACCTCGCAGGAGAGGCTGTTATGGAGACAAGCTGTTTGGCTATCGGGCTCTGCGATAAGGGACCTCTCCGCTGTCGTGTGCTGGTTGTCGACTCGCACAAACGAGAACACAACCAGGCGCATTTGACCATTGCGCCATACGGCCTTAGGGAAACGCAAAGCGGCCATTTGCACCTGCAAATAAGTTAGGGAAAAACACTCCGCAAGACTGAGAAGATCAAGCTGACTGACGTGATATTCAGCCACCGAACGATAGAAGCTTTGGCGGTGTGCCAAAGGGATCTGGCCTTTATGCACATCGTACCCGCCCGCGGCATCCATAGCGGTATTCCCTGGCATGTATCTCATCAAGATGAAGAAACACTAATAGGAATGTTCTCATCAACCTCATATGCGAATACTTGGGGTACTGGAAGGGTAGATTGGGCCTTGATCAATTGCATGACGGCTACCTCGCTGCGCAACTTCGTCGAGTTTTCAACAGACCTGCGTAAGCTGATGCGGGCCACCCATATAATTTGGTCAGAGAACTGTAGTAACCGGACGAGGTTATGTAACCTGTCACGGCGAGCGTACTGAGGAGCTGGGACATGGCCGGCAGCAAGCAGCTATTACTCTATTGACGAGAATATCAAGACTAGAGAGGAAAGGAAGAGAGAGAGAGATAGGTACAGCGGGAGGTTGCCCCTTTAAGGAGATCCTCTGGTCAGATCTTTCCCTTATTGGGAAGTATCGGCTTGTCATGTGGGAAGGTTCGTGCAGGCCGTCACATAACCCATTGGTAGTTATGTCGAGCGGTTTGCAAGGTAAACCTTCATTGAGGCTCGAGGCTAGCTGACAGAGCTTGTTCCATTTCGTTTTCTGGATGACCTCGTGCACGGTGTTGTCTTGGCTATGTCCGTTTATTTTCCAGTTAAGCACATCGATACGTGATAGGCTTGGTGACATGGTGACGGAGTTGATTAGATGTTTGATTGAGTATGGTGGGACCCGAAAGCGATGGTGGGCCACGATGGGTATTTATATACGAGTGAGACGCTTTGACCATCACTACCACTGTGGGCCACAAAGACCATGTTGCATTTGATTCAGTAAAATCAGGTACAATCCATCCAACGCAAGAACTCATAAGACTAGGGCTGCCTCGCAGGAGTAGACATGTTACTTATGACAACGCCCTAACTTTGATGATTTAGACGTCCTTTGCCAGGTGATGCTCGCTAAAAGCAATCATTACTAAAGATACTGACTTCTCAATGTCAGGCAGATTTAGCTACAGCTTGAGTTGAAGCGCAAGCTCTTACATCCCCAAGCTTCAAAGCCGCCCATGATGAGTGGCCTGAGGCTTATAGCTAGCCAAAAAAATATCTCTCACGATATACCACCAAGACCAGCACAGGTATGAATCAGTTCTGCGTCCCACATTCACACTTTTCACCCCGCTTGACTTGCGTCTTGCACAAAAATGCGCAGCATTCGGTGTACGCGCTACCTGACATAGTGATCTCCTAAAGGTATTAGATGACAAGCTATGTCTTCCGCAGAAGGGTCATCTTACCGGGCAAGAGTGTTTATTTTCGAAGGGAGTTTTGGAGGATTGGTAGCAATCGGTTTTGGCTGTTCCGATAAGTAAATGCACAATGTTTGTTGGCTGGATCCAATACCCCGCTTACATAGTCTAATAGTAGAGTTGAGGGTGATGAGAAGTGGACACTAGATGATTGTGTAAAAACGCAGCTTTTATATTCAGATTTTCTAGAAATGCCGAGTTATGCCTCAGAAACTTGAAATAGGTGGGGGCGTTCTCTCTTATGCTCGTTGAAGATATAGGTTCCCTGTGGTTTGCTCGTGATCGTCGGTGATCCCAGCCCAAAGCGGACGTGAACATAGACGTGGGGCATTCCATCCCTCCATGCAACCAACCTAGGTTACCATTCCAGTTGGTTCAAGAATAGGCTGAATCGACTTGCGGCAAGTAATATTGGTGTGGCATGACGAGTTGCTCGCGACGCCGGGGTGTAACACTGTGAGTCGCCTAGGGCTGCTATTGGGTAGGGCCAAGCCTGGACCCTTCTACACCTAATCCAGTTGCCTTATTAGTGCACCGGAGCCCCCTGCAAGACCCGTTGCCGATGAGCCATACATCTGGCCACAACCTAGGCTGCCTAGGTGATAAGTCCCTTTCGTCACGTATTAGCGAATGCGATGCGGATTGTTTGACTGGTGCGCACACCGCGTCGTGCTGGCATGAGTCCTTCTTTAATACTGCAGATCTCAGTGCATTGTATCGAGCTGGGTGCGCTATATTGCTTCATCCCACAGCCAGTAAGCAAAGGCCACTCCGATAGTAACCAAGAAAAGAGTAGCAAGAACAACTGCGTAGATATATACATACGCATGCCTCACGACCGGCGAGAGCATCCTCCAGCAATTGCACTTGAAAGTGGTGCGCAACGAGGTTGAGGTCGCGCGTAAGAAACGCTGCCGCTACGAGGGCAACACCATCGCCTACCTGACCACGATGCAACGGTTTATGTCGTAGACCAAGAAAGCTGCTCGCTGAGGCGCCGCCAGCAGACCCGCATGCCTTCGAGCCCCTAGACATGCCGCCCTGTCGCGCCTAATCATTCCTCCACTTGTGCATTAGTCCAACATGACCCCAATGTCCGTGCGCAGACCCTCTCAAGCCCTTTGTTATTTGCATGTCTGCAGTATCTTTTCATCATCCCCATTCTTGTTCTTGCCGACTACCAACCTCTTTTTCCATGAAGCAAATGAGACGTTTGATTGGCTCCAGCTCTTTATGGACGACGAGATCTTGAGACTACGACGCCTACTTCAGGTTAAGCAACGCCAACGCAAGGAAGCCGGTAAACAATGCGAGGAGGCCGACCGACAACGCGCGGATGCCAAAGACCGCTTATTGACTAAACAACTCCAGCATGAAGATGAGCAGAAGCGTCGCGAAAGGGCCAAAGAACGCGCCAAGAAATCACTGCCACAAACAATTCAATAATACCTCGAGGCCTGCCACTGGCTAAGTCTTGCCATTCAGCCAGTCACCGACCGCTCTTTAACTACACAAAGCAAAACAACCAACCCGACAAGACAAATCTATCCCAGGAGGATTTTCCTATAAGACAACTTCGCAACGAATAAAAAAGTGTTCAGCATTAGCTCTTGTCAGATGTGAGCCAATCGTCAGAGTGAAGTGTGTGTGTGTATTTCATCTGTTTAGAGTGTCCTTGTGCGACCGTGGCAGTTTTGTGCCAGAGGGGGCTGGATCGGGACGGAACAACTAGGTTCCGTTGTCTACCTGTCAAAGTGCCTTCTAGGCGTACCTTTAATCCAACAGCTCTCAACCGGATCTTCATTTTCCACACAACCTATCTTTCTATCCCTGATTTAACTAAAATACGTTAGATCTTTAATTCGGCCTATTAATAGTAGGCTAGGCTTAAAAGATTTTAAATATAACACTGTTAAAAACGCTATAAAAAGATGTTTAAAAGGGCTTATTAAAATAAAGCATTATAATCTCGTTTTAATTATAAGAAGCCGTTATATTTAAAAGCTATCTAAACCTCGGCGATATAAAAGACTTTATATTAACACTTTTAAAGCCTATGTTTATTAATAATAACAACATTAGCGCTAAAATACTAGCTTTAAAGTAAACTCTTTAATGTAAAGTAAAAAAAAACTGATTAAACAAACTAGTTTTACTTATACAAAACCTTATAAAGCCGAAACATTTTCATTGTAGCTGTAAGATTCTAGAAGGATCACAAGCCTTGGGGGTGTGAGCGGTCGCTGCAAATATTGTTGTCATTCTCAAATATACTTGGTAGGGCTAAACTACAGCTAAATACCATACTGCACCATGCCAGGGTGGATTCACTGGTCACCTAGCAGCCCCTTAGCGGGTACTGCACCTAAGGGCACTATATCTTGGATCTAACATCTGACAGTAACTATTATATATTGTGACGGTCTAATACCTGTATCCACCTGGTTGAATGCTGAGTCATCAGGTCACGTGTAGATTAGATAAAGAAGGACACCACAATATGTGCTGCAGCCATTCGGGTGTACACACACCTAGATTCCTTTCCTTTCTCACCTTCTTATTTTTGGAATACCACAGTTTTTCCAGCACAACGCCGCAGGCATCGTGACAAATACAAGCACTTATATAAGCTTATTTAAAACGAAATAGTTATAAGTCCAAAGTTAACAATCTAGTCCAAGTGGGATATAATTTATAAATATAATAACGGCTTTGCTTTTGCGTTAAAAACCTTGGTTGTTACTGTCGTTATTTAGCTCTTTTTATTTGTAATTAATAAAGGTAATTAATAGAAATATATATATATATATATATATATATATAAAGGCATTTATTTTCTTTTTTATTTTAAATAATCTTATTATTGTATATTATTTAATATATATACTTAACTTAAACGTTATAAACGGTGATAAAACAAGGTTGTATTGTACGGATATTACTTAAGTTTTACCTTTATATTATAAGCTGTTAGCGCGGAACCGCTCGGAGCGTTTTAATATAATATAGCCGTAGGTTTTAATTTTTAAGCCGTTAAAGATATTTTCGTAACGGTACGTAAAAAAAGCGCAGCACTGTGACGGTGTACAGCTTTATTTACCTGGTTAGATGCTGAGTCATCAGGTCACGTGTAGATTAGATGAGAAAGGACACAACTATATGTGCTGCAGCCATTTGGGTGCACGCACACCTGGATTCCTTTCCTTCCTCACCTTATTATTTTGGGAATACAATACCAGATTCTACCAAAACGCCGCAGGCATCGTGACAAGCACCTTATATAAGCTTTAACGTTCAAGGAGGTTTTCAAGGTTGTCGATTAAAACCTGCTTGAGCTGTAAGTACCTAGGTAGTAATATTAAACGTTAAAGTAAAAACGATAATAATAGCAGGAACAACGATCAACGTGCTTATTTTTTTCACTTCAACCTAATTTAACTGTTTTAATAAAAATATAACCACGTTAAAACCTTAGCTTTTTAATAAGAAGTAAAGCCAAAAGTAATAATTAACAGGCTAAGTAATAAAACCGAAAATATAAGATCGACCATTTTACATTTAATAATATCTTTCAAAGTTAGCGTATAATAAGTAAGTAAAGAACACTTGTTTTAATTACCTTTTTGATAAGCAAAAACATATTAATCTGTTAAATTTTCTTGATCTTATTCATAATTAACTTGTTAAAAGCCGCGGTTTTAACGTAAACTACGTGCTTTTTTATCTAAGTAAATCTTTTAGTACGCTTTATAAGGTACGGCTTTTATTACACGGTTATACCTTCGTAGTTGTGATGGTATGGTCACCCGTATAGTCACCCATACCACCAGATCTCCAAGCCACTCACGTGCATTGGTCACGTGAGCGGAACGACTGTTGATCTGCCAGCCACTAGGGCAACGGATAGTGGTGCGTGCACACAGATCATATCCCCCACCAGAATTGGCTGGTGGGCTCGATCTCTTCTTCCCTCCTCATCAAGAGATTTTTATACGTGGATAGTGTATACAGTGCTCTTACGTCCTATCCTATATTTAGAACGTAACAGTAGTTAAAGAAATAAAAGCATCAAACTTCAAACGCTTATAATATAAAAGCAAGGTATATAACCGACTGCAGCTTATTTGAAAAATATACGTTTTATACATCTTAATACAATAAACCTAGCTTTTTTGTATTTGTTACAAACCAATAAACAGTGCGGCCTGGTAACAGGCCAAGAGGAGACAATTGGAAACAGGTTGACCAGTGAGTGGGGTGCCGACCAGTGGAGAAATCGGAGCAACGGTACATAGATCACGGGACCAGCAGAACCTGGGCCACGTGACTAAGAATATGGATCACTGGATCATCATGGTGAGCCAGTGAGCAGGATCACCTTGCATCACTGGTGATCTAGGGTGAGCCACCTAATCAGTAAGAGAGAGATTGGATATATAAGGATATATATTTCTTAGTTAAATAGATAGACAGTCTCTACCTCAGTGATCAATTTAAGCATCTTAGCCAACCCTAAGGTGAGAGAAATCTCCTGACGACTCAACTATTTAGTGATCCCCCGGATCAGATCAAGCCCTAGCATCTGAGTGTCTTCTAGTTGAAAGAAACCTCTATCGTCCATTGTATTGACTTACCTCAAAACATAAACCCTATAGAATCCTTTAGCCTTATAGGTTAGACGGTTCGTCACAGTATTTTTATAATAGCGGTATATTTAAACACTTCTTATTTTTTAATTAGGTTAAACAGCTATTATTTAACTATATTGAGTAAATTGATTAAGCCGATAATTTATTAGCGGTTATTTAAGCTTAAATAATACTATATAAATCAAGCGTTTTTAGGGGGTTGTAGAACTACGAAATATATTATAATATAAGTAAAGTAGATGCCTTATAGTCGTAAATTTTAAAAAGGTATAACTTTTTTACTGTTGACGGCTCGATTTAATTAATATTAATAAGCAGGTATAAAAAAAGAAATAAATAAACAAGGGTTAAAAAACCAAAACCCCGTTTATATCAAAGCTTTATTTGATTCTAACAAACATATGTGAATAGATTAATAAAAGGTAAAATGCCGGCTATATATTATAAATAATAAGCATTTACATTAAAATACGTTTCGCCTTTTAGCTTATAATGTTAAAAGCTTTATTTATATTGTGTTGGATGGAGTGGTGCAGGTGGTGTGGCTGAAGGTGGTCTGTGCGCGGACCAGGTGGATTTTGGGTAGTTTCAGCGCCCTGAGAACGGTCAATTAGCGAAGGTTGCACCACAGCTCTAGCGCTACGTTAGCTAGACGCGTTGTAACTGTACTTAAGTGTAAATCTGTCTGCAATTGTCAGATTTAAGCCAATTATGAGAGTGAAGTGTGTGTGTGTGTGTGTATTCTGTCTGTTTAGAGTGTCTCTGTACGACCCTAGCAGTTTTGTGCCAGAGGGATCTGGATTGGGACGGAACAACTAGGTTCCGGTGTCTACCTATCAAGGTGCCCTCTGAACTCACCTTTAATCTAACAGCAATAGGTAGTTACAAAACCACGAACGAACGTACCACTAATACTTCCGTATATGAATTCTCACATATCGTTATTACTGAATACATAGATGGTGATTGATGCTATTGATTGTTCTGCTCTTTATGCAGAGATTGATCATCTATCTTCTTGGTGAGTCAGATGCCTTATGCATCTTTGCCTCACTGGAGATCTTCTGGTGTCTATCTCCGGCTCCTATTCAACAGTTATTTACGTTTTTTTAAACGTAATTATAAAAGTTATTAAAGGCGTTAATAGGAAGTGGTTTTAACTTGTTAACTGAAAAATCGAATTACCGTTTCTTTGCTTACCCCGGCCCGAGGTTATAGGCCGGGATACTGTGTAAATGACCGTCTTAACAAAAGGATTTCTTGCGTGGCTTAACTGCCTACAGTCCAATGCCCAAAGTCGTCAAGTTGAGAGAACTAGGTATGGAGCCACAGACAGATGACCCCTAGGACGCGTCATGACATTCAAGTTACAGCGATGTCTGATGGAGTGGCAGAGGAAGATGGGCATTCATTGAAGCCGAGCGACGTGTTCATCTTGCTGTGAGAAGTTATTAACCAGAAGGGAAACGCCTAGTCAAAGAAGTAAGGCAGATCATGCCCACCTACTTATTTTATCCGTGCAACAGTACATCCATCGTATTTCAACTTGTAGAAATCCCTGACATGCAAAACTTAAGAAGTCATCTGCCAGCGTTGTCAGCTGTGGCCCTGTGGGCCTCTGGTCAGCCCTACCCCACGGAATCCCTGTGATCCCGCAGCTAGCGTCGACGCCAGCTCCATCTTAGTATCTTACCTCGGTTGTAAGATACTGATAGACCGCATTTGGCGATTCCCCCCTTAGAACGACATCGCTTAAGCCGATTCTCCAGAGCAGCTGCACTTCTGACGTTGTTCCGCAGCTCCCGTGGGGATCGTGCAGCAGGTGGTGCAGCAGGTGGGTGCAAGTGGTGGGGTCATCCGTTAGAGTTCGGAAACGCCAACATTCAGTCGTCATTCCTCGCAACCTCATTCGCAACCCCTTCTTCTTATATGTACTGCCTCGCTGAGCAGGCAGCTGTAATACGTCCTAGAGTCTCGAACGCGTTCCATCCCCCTTTATCTTGTTTCCGTCGCACCTAAGATACGACCTCTTTGTTAACCGAAGAGACACCAAGCCGAACTCGACCCTCGATATCCTGCTTACAGTCACCGACCGGCCGGCTTCTTCGAAACCCTCCCTTCATTTTTACCGTACAGTCTGGGAACCAACCGCCGTCATGTTCAACATCATAGCTCATTTCTTCTCGTATGTGAAACCACCCTCAACTACCCCGCGCGGCCCATTACAACAGCAGCACCAGCAGCCATGACAGATCGCAAACTGACCGCGCAATCGCACCGCGCACAGCTCCATCGCCTCCTTCCTCTTCCCCCTCTTCGCCTCCTACAAAGCGCTCAAGACGTCCGACCCGGCCCAGCTCACACCATGGCTCATGTACTGGTCCGTCTTCATGTGCGTGCTCCTCGTCGAGTCCTGGACCGACTTCATCCTAGTCTGGGTGCCCTTCTACTCGTGGATGCGCCTCGCCTTCCTGCTATGGCTGGTCCTGCCCTCGACCCAAGGCGCCCGCAAGCTGTACGAAGGGTACCTGCACCCATACCTCGAGGAGAACGAGCTGGCCATCGAGGACTTCATCGCGAGGGGCCACGACCGACTCAAAGCCGCCGGCTTGTCCTGGCTCAAGCGCTTCATCGAGTATGTGCGAACACAGGTGTTTAACATGCAGCCCAGCCAGACCCGCGACGATGAGACCAGGGCCAGTGCCGCACCCCAGGGCTATACACAGGCATTGCTGGCTAGGTTCAGCGTGCCGGCTGCTCGGTGGGCTGCTAGTAGTAACGCCGTGGGTGGCGGCCACGACTTCTATAACATGCTGGCGGGTGCCGTCAGTGCCGCCGCTACTGCTGGGGGCGGTGGTGCGGGCTCCGTGACCACGTCGTCGAACAACATGGCGGCTAGTGGGACTCTGATACCAGAGAATATCGGTAGCGCAACTGAAAAGATGAGCTTCATCACGGCGCAGAAAGAGAGATTGGCCTTCCTGATGGGCACACTCGACCAGGAGGCGCAGCAGCTGGAGAAGGACGAAGCGGATCGCAAGATCGTAGAGCAGGCGCAGAAAGAGCTGCGACCGGTCGACATGAATCTGGACGGGCAGGAGAGCGGTTCTCGATCGCGGCCGACGAGCGGCCACAGTGCACAGAGCGGACTTAGCAAGAGCCGTAGCGAGGTTGACTTTGAGAAGATCGACGCAGAGAGCGGAGCCGAAGACAACGCGGGCGAACTCCGCAGACGTGCAGCCGCTGCCGCTGACGAGACTCCTGGTGCTGAACGTTCGGGCTGGAACATTCCTTTCTGGGGCGCCGTGGGCGGCTCCAAGACCACAGGGTATCAGGAGTGAACGAACTCAGGACACGATAAAGGCAGCAAAGGGTTTGTACGGAGTTTTTGGGTTTGGAGGTATATGGTCCGGCTGGCGTTCCGCGATGGTTTAGTGGTGATCAACCGGGTCTGGTGTGGGTGGAGGCTCACACACGGTAGTCTAGAGCATGGAATCTGGAGTTGGAAGTGCCGCGCAAACTGTACTGGGTCAAAGACGATTGGAGCCCTGACGAGTATTGTATAGTAAGCCCGGCATTGTCTATTCGCGCTCGCCTGGCCATGTTCTATATGTGACAAAGTAGAACCGTATATATGCGGTGACAGCGCCAGCACCTGCCGCCACCTCTCCTGAATCTTTGTACAGTTGGGTATCTCCCACCTCTTCTTCGTCCAATTCCACACCTATCGTACACGGCCGCATTCGACACTGTCCGCCTCCGCCCACGTCTACGACGTCTTCTTGAACGGGTAGCGCACCTCGTCGTCCTTGCGCAGCCAGATCTGCTTGCGCTTCTTGGTGGTGACGTGCTCGACCCACGTCTGCACGGCGTGCTGCTTCATGAAGCGGCGGATGAAGCGCGGGTCCCAAAGCTCCGACGCGATGCCCAGGTCCTTGCAGCACCGCATCAGCGCGTTCGACTTGCACCCCTCGGCCGCCGTTGACACGCCGTCCTCGCTGAAGTATTGTTGTTCGCCGCGGGCCTGGCCTACGAATCTGTTTGCCAATGACAGTCGTCAGTATCTGTTGCTGTATTTGCTAGCTTACGGCGAGAGGGATGCGTCTAGGGTATGAGGTGGAGAGACGGGGGAGAAGAGGCAGAAGGGACCAGGGAAGGGCCAGACGAACCGCCCATGCACCACGAGCGCATACTCCCGCGTGACAAGCCGGTCCTGCACCGCCAGCTCGCCCCGCGGCGCCAGCCCCCACCCTCCGGGCCCGAACGCCGCGTTCAGGATCCGCCGGTACTTGATCTCGGGCAGGTAGATGATGCCGTCGGGCTTGACCTCGATGTCGTCGGCGTCTAGGGGTGCTTGTAGTATGGCTGCCGTCTCGGGCGCGAAGGCGGACGTGCCGAGGCCGTGGTAGGAGTTTGCCCAGTCTATTGGGTTGGCGGTGCTGTTTTCGCCGTTGGGGGAATTGGGGGACGGGGTGGTGGTGGTTGTGGAAGGGGCGTCCGGGAGGGGTGTGCCGGATACGGGCGGTATGGGCGTACGGCTTGCCGCCGGTGTGGGAGTGGGAGTGGACTTTGACCGTGCGGGCTTTGAGGATGCGAATGCGGGCGTGCGCGAGGACGGCGGTGGTGTTGAGGAAGAGGTGGTGGCTGTCTTGGAGGCGGTTGAGGTCTGTGGGTATGGCTTCGCTTTCGATGTCGATATCAGCGATCGCGACGTTATCTGAGCGCTTTTCCTGGGTCGTGTTGTTAGACGTACATGCCGGCTGGCTGCTCGGAGCGGCGTCATGGTGCGGAAGGACATCGTGGTCGTGGGCCTGGGTTCGAGAGGCGGGAGCTTGGGCTGGTTGAAGCTTCTGAAATTTCGGGTGGTGATGCAGGTTTGGTTTACTAGGGGCGTTCGCGCCAAGGCGGTTGGTGGCGCGGCCGCTAAGACGCGGGTGGACCTGCAGTTCTAGGCCTCGTTTCTACCGCTCTCACAGGCCTCAAACAGCGTCTCACAAATTGAGGCTTATCGTCTATGAATGTTCATGAGCGGAATCTTATTGCAAGCCAGGACTTCCGAGAGATGGCCCCAAATTCCTTTGCTCGCTTGCTACAAATACAGAGGCATAATTGCCTCGTTGCCATGTCTATTTTCCTTCTTTAGTTGGGTTCATCCTGATCATGCGTCCTTGCTCGACGTTCTCTCGTCGTTGTTGTGTTTCTTCCAGCATGCTCTGAAGACCTCCATCTATTCACGTCAGCTATACGGACAGTCGTACGATTTGTTGCCATCTGTGAGGATTTGCATACCTCCTTTGTGCAGGCCCGCCAGTCTTTTTTCTCGAAGTGGCAGTCGGTCAGCTTCATATTCTCATCTACAAGCTTGAATCAGCTTTGTCGTTCGTTGCCTGCCCAATTGCTGTGTGAGCATAGGTAGGTACCTGCGCATCCGGTACTGAAGATTCGCTTGTCCCTGTGTGGTTGAAGCAACGTCGAGTCAGCCGAGCAAATTTGATCGTAAGCCTTGGTACCTCACCAGTCATCCGGTTCATCGTCGTCCAGCGTCGCAGCCGACTTCTGCTGGGCTGTGCTCTCACTCTTCGACATTGTCTGCGGTTGTGCTGCTCCAGGCTGACTGACAGGAGTTGTTGAGAGATTGGGGTTGGGTCGGCGGGTCCGGTGCTCCGGTTTAGTGGCTGAACCCGCTAGAAGGCGGTGTAAGTCCGGCTTTGATCAGCGCCCGGCATCGTCTCTGTGTGAACTCACCCAAACCCTCAACTCGGCAAGTTTTGCTCGCTGTAGCTTCACAGCGGCCTGGAGCCAATATGGCGTCTCGGAAACTCAACGTGCTAGTGTATACAGGCACAGGGAGTACGGTTGAATCCGTTAAGCACGCCATCTACTCTCTCCGCCGCCTGCTCTCGCCGAACTACGCCGTCATACCCATCACCGAAACCGTGCTGCTCAAAGAGCCATGGGGGCCTTCGTGTGCGCTCCTTGTCTTCCCTGGTGGTGCTGACCTCGGCTATTGTCGGGTTCTCAATGGTGCGGGCAACTCCATCATATCCCAGTATGTGCGCCGGGGCGGTGCATATCTCGGGTTCTGCGCCGGAGGTTACTACGGAAGCAGGAAAGTCGAGTTCGAGGTCGGGGACAAACACCTGGAGGTCATCGGATCGAGGGAGCTGGCCTTCTTCCCCGGGACATGTAAAGGTGGTGCATTCAAAGGCTTCCAGTACCACAGCGAGAAGGGTGCTCGGGCGATACGCATCAACGTGAAGAAGGGCGCATTCAAAGGGGCAGGTGTGGTACCTGAGGTGTTCACATCATACTACAACGGGGGAGGCGCTTTCATACTCTCTGGAGAGCGTGACGAGGACGTCGAGGTTCTGGCTAGCTATGCCGACGAGATCGATATTGACGCTGGCGAGGAAAAGGCCGCATTGGTGTACTGCAGGGTCGGCCAAGGAGCAGCGATCCTCACCGGACCTCATCCTGAGTTCGCTGCAGCGGACCTCAGTCCGCACCATATCATCGAAGGGTACGACGATCTACTTGCTCGTCTTCGAGACGACGATAGCAACCGTGCAAGCTTCCTGGAGGCTTGTCTGTCCAAGCTTGAGCTGGAAGCCAACCAAGAATCATCAGGTGTGCCTTCCCTGTCTCGACTTCATCTGTCATCTATCAACAGCCGCGATGTGGACGACATGCTGCATTCTTGGGAGGATATCATAACAAGGGAAGATGGGGAGGAGTATATCAGGGGAGAGCAAGACACCTTTCATCTGGAAAAGCCAGAGACCCGGTGGTCGATGGGCGGCTTGAAGGAGTCATTGCCTTCAAAGGGGACTACGGATCAGCTTACGTCTGCGTCTAGCCGAAACGATGAAGCTATAGTCGACTACAGCACTGTCACGAAACGCGTTGTGCTGCATGAAAACGCATGGCCTGAAGCTAAGGCGACCCCTTACTTCAATCACCACGCCTTCTTCACTAGTCTGAAGGAGTACCGGAAGACAGATACCGAGGCTGAGGAATGGGGCGACTTTCTGATGTATGGCGAAGCCGTCACTAGTACGAACACCCTGCTGGAGAAGAATTTCAAGTTGCTCTCCAAGCTTCCCTCTGGCTTCACCCTCGCAGCCACAACACAAGTAGCAGGACGCGGCCGTGGCAGCAATGTCTGGGTGTCCCCAGCTGGGTCTTTGGTCATGTCAACTGTCATCAATCATCCCGCCCACCTCGCGCCAAGCCGGCCCATCGTCTTCATCCAGTATCTAGCCGCGGTTGCCATCGTCGAAGCCGTCAAGAGCTACGACCACGGGTACGAAGACGTGCCGGTCAAGCTGAAATGGCCAAACGATGTCTATGCACGCGATCCACGGCAGCCAACATCACCTCCAACCTACGTCAAGATAGGCGGTATCCTGTCTAATTGCGCCTACTCCTCAGGCTCCTACCAGATCGTGTTGGGTATCGGTCTCAACACCACGAATGGGCGCCCCACGACATCTCTCGACGCTCTGCTCCCATCGCACCTCGCGCCCTTCCGCATCGAAAAGCTCCTGGCACGGATCCTCACGCGGCTGGAAGCGTTATACAAGGCATTTGTGCGCCGCGGTTTCACGCGAGATATGGAGTACGCGTACTACAACCACTGGCTGCACGGCCGCCAGATCGTCACCCTGGAAGCCGAGGGCGGGGTGAGGGCGCGGATCGTGGGTATCACGACGGATTGGGGGATGCTCAAGGCTGAGGAGCTTGGTTTTGACGACAAGCCGACGGGCAAGATTTGGGCTCTGCAGAGCGATGAGAATAGCTTTGACTTTTTCCGCGGTTTGGTGAAGAGGAAGATCTGATATATGCGTGTATGTATCAGCACGATCAAAGCTTTCGGTCATGCGACCGGGAAGCTGTGCGGCCATCAACGCCCATTGTGTGTGAGCGAGGGTGGGGTGGGTTACGACGGCTTGGTGTTGTAGCTGCCTCTGAACAGGAAGCCGTTGTTGCCTTTCGAACATGAGGTCTGGTTGTTGCAGACGGGGAGGAAGGTTCGACACGGCGAGTGGCTGTTGGCCTTTAGAATCATTGATTCATCCACAGCTGCAGCCATGCAGCACCCTTCCGTCCTTTCTCAACTACAATGCAACAACACGTACAGCAAATACGGCATATTCGGACGATTTTGGCCTTCTTTATCCTGCCGGTCTGTCGAACTATTGATACATTTGGAGCGGAGGTTTGGCAAGCGCCTGTGTCATTCGCTACTCAACAACCGCTCACTATGCCAGACTTACGATCTTGAAAACATGGAGAGATAGGCTCTCCGAGAGATCAAAGCGGCCCTGGAAGGACGTCGTGGAGACTCACCCGAGACATGAGTTTGAGTTTGAGTCGCTGCTCTGCTCTCCAGCTGATTTCTCACGACCGGCTGATGTCTTCAATATCTTAGAGCTAACAAACGACATAGTGCATCCTGCTTCCGTACTACAATTGATTCACGAGTCACTATAATTGCCTCAACCTATCCCCTACCTATAGAATATATGAATACATGAATATGTCTTTCTCCGTGGGGAGATAGCGCTCATGTACACACGCAGTCCGCTAACAATCCCGTGTGTCCATGAATTTCAGACATTAAATTTGTTTGGGGTTCCCGCTTCAGAGAAAGTAAGCAGCGTGATAAGCTGTGGTAGGCTGGCTGCTTTTGGACTTTTCGAGCAGTAAGGGGCACGTGTCACAGTTACGCAATGTGTCACAGACATCGGATAGCGGTGTCACAAGAAGGACATGGAAATGATTCACTGTGGTATTACTTTGATAGTGGTGAACATGGACCATAATTACATTGCTAAAAGTATAAATGCTCAACTGTCCCTTCCGCAAGCCCTTCGCCTTTCCTCGTTCTGTATTTATAGTCCACAGCCGCAAACCCGAGGACAACCATTTCCACCACGCATCAGATATCTATTGACTAACAGACCAGATCGCGCGCCATGTATCTCACAGTCGCCTTCAGCAGCGACAAGCGCGACATGACCGCCGAGCACGTCGAGCAAACCTTCCAGTCCGACTTCTGCGACGTCGGCGCCTCGGAGCCCTTCTCCGAGTCCCTAGTCGCCACCGAGCGCGCCTCCGTCGACGACTGCCACGGCCTGACGGCCTGGCTCAGCGCCAACCCGGGCTACTACAAGGCGACCGACTTCACGGGGTATACGTTCAACGACCTGGTCACGTTTGGGAGTTGCGCGTTTGGGTTCTACCGCACGGACGGCGGCGTGGGGGTTTTTAGTTTGGGGAATCAGGATGTCCTGGATTTGGTCGGTATGGCGGTAAGAAAGTATGCGGTGGACGGCATGGTGGGTGCGGCGGGGCAGGTTGGGTGTGATGGTAACACGAGTATTAGTTGGAGTCTTTATGATGTTGCCAAGAGGGATGATGGGACTATGGTGCATGGGGACCAGGCACCTGCGTGATGGGTGAGGCGGGCTTGGTGCTGGTGCTGGGGATTTCTGCATGGTGGATGGGGATTTGGGGAGCGTAGGCTTCGAGATATATCAGCTGATGAATGATATACTCACGAGACTCGATGCCATGCTCGTGGCTAAAGGCAATGTGATTTCTTATTCCCCTGCCTCATACTCCTCAACGATATTTACGTTTATGCAGATCAACCTTGAGGAATACGGATTCTTATGAGCAAGTAGTTCGCCGTTAACACAACCCGGCTTTCTCTTATAAAGATGATGTGTAAAACAACCTCTAAATTTCTCACGTCAAACTTGGTATATGTATCGAGTAGGTGCTTCGTCGTCCGTTTTAAAGTTCTCTTCGAGCCTCACGGCAGCATGGCAATCGATCAAACTTTCCCTCAGTTGGTCGTATTTCTGTTGGACCTTGTGGTCAGGCGGGTGGCCGACAAAGACAGCCCAGGCTGCTTGTTGCCTCCCGGCACCTTTTGAATCATGATGCCGAGTTATACGGTGTGCAGGCCTCAAAGTGTGGTATGGAGTTAGCTCAACGCGTAGCGTACCCTTATTGCAGCATTATAAATTAACTCTTTCTTAAAACATTAATAACGCCACGATTTCGCCGGCCAATTGAACAATAATATAGGCCCCGTTTAAATCGTCTTTTTATTTTACGGTTCGTTTATTTCTACGTATAACCTTTCGTAACTGGTTACGTTAAAACTACAATATTTTAATATATATTATCTCTAAAATAATAGTTATAATATAAGTCATAACTTATACTTAAGTAATAACTAACCGTAAAAGATATATTTTGTAATTAATAATCAATCCGGATATTTACCTGTAGTAGTAGTAGTAGTAGTAGTAGCATTTAACGCCAGGGGGCCTGCTGCAGAGCAGCGGCCCTGGGCCTCCAAAAGGGCGCGCGGGCGTGCTAGGCTAGGTCTCATACTATATATATACATACAGCTGCCCAGCTAGCAGATCTCGTTCGTAAACAGCTACTGCATCTAAGCAGCGGTTCTCATCGTGTCCCCCCTCCTCCGGGTGAGGGTTGGTGCCGACGTCCTTCGCAGTCTTTAAATTCCTGGTATATCCAAGCTCAAACAGCTTGATTCGAGCTGTAGGGTAAGGTTTATAGAACTTATGCTCCTGCTTCACGTGCGAGTGCACTACAAAAGAGAAAGGATATTTACCTGTGACGAGCCGTCTTACCTATAAGGCTAAAGGGTTCTATAGGGTTTATGTTCTGAGGTAAGTCAACACAAAAGACAATAGAGGCTTCTGTCAACTAGAAGACACTCAGATACTGGGGCTTGGTCTGAACTGGGTTCACTGCGTAGTCGAGTCGTCAGGAGATTTCTCCCACCTTAGGGTTGGCTAAGATGCTTAGATTGATCACTGAGGTAGAGACTGTCTATCTATCTAGCTGGGAAATGTCCGTCCTTATATGTCCAATCTCTCCCTCACTGATGGAGTAGGATCACCTTGTCTCAGAGTGATGCTCACTGGCTCACTCCCTGATTCAGTGATCCTTGCAGGCTCACTTCGTGATCCAGTTATCCGTTACTTGACCTTTGTTATATAATCCGTAATACCCATTGTTCCATTCCTGGCTTCTGATTCCATTGGTTCTTGGTGTACTCCCCTTGGCCCTCCAACAGGCCGTGGTATTTGTTGGTTCGTAATATTACCGAACGTTTCATAAAAAAGATTAAGCGAAAATAATCCGTATTAATAAACTGTTAACTCCGCTTTTATTATATTATTAAAACCTATTGCTTTTAATAACTTTTATTTATAAGATTCAAAATTATCAAGATAAAAGATTATGTTATATTTATTTAAGTTCTTTTTTCGCTCGAGCCTTATTTTCAATGGCTATTATTTCCGATAAGTTTTAATAATAAGCCTTTAAATTTTTCGAAACGGAAGTTTTACTTCGTATTTATATTGATTTCTTTATATATTTAATTATTATTCCAAAATATTTAATAATCTTTATTATTAAGAGCTTTTGACCAGTAATTCAGGCTTTTTTATAATCGTTTATAATCGTATATTGTACTCTTTTTTAAACCGATTAAGTTTTAAATGTATTATGCTTTTATTTTTCGTATTATATCTATACGTTTATTATTTATATAAAAGGGTTTCTTTTTATCTCGAAGAAAACCTTAAAATCCTATCTTTTTTATCCACCTTTCAATTTTTTTAATCCATCTTTTTATACTTAATATTTATTTTCTTATTATATCTTCTCTATTAATTTAACCTTTATTCAACGCTAAAAACAACGTTACTTTCGATAATATTAAAAACAGCTTTATTGTTAGTATTATAAGTAAGCTAATACTAGCTACTTTTTTTTCTTCGCTTTTACCGATGTTTTTTCTTTAACGATGTCTTATTTATACAGCGTAATGCTTCTTATATATATTAATAATGCTTTTTACAAACCTTCAAGTCTCATTAACTAGACATACCGCCGGCATATATTATTATAACACTTATTTATTTTAACCTTATTTGATAATTATCTTTAAAAAAGGATTTCTATTTTGAAAGCTTAAACCGTACTTATATAAAAATTTTAAACCGAATCTTCATACACGGTATATTAAATATAGAAGATTTTATAGCCTTAAATAATTCTTCCTTATAGCTGAGCTATTACTATTTACGTTATTTGCCGGTTTATATTCGGTTTAAAAAGCGATTTAATTCAAATAAGTATATAAGTTCGCGGTTATAATACGTAACGCGTTCTTATTTTTTATTGAGCATTTAAGCTTTACATAACTAATCTTGATATTTTACGCTTTTTAAAGTTAAAAGATTACGTAAAAAGCAACTAAGTGTGACGGCCTGCACAGACCTTCCCACATAACAAGTGGATACTTCTTAATAGGGGAAGGATCTGACCAGAGGATCCCCTTAAAGGGGCAACCTCCCACTGTACCTATCTCTCTCTCTCTTTCTTTCCTCTCTAGTCTTGATATTCTCGTCAATAGAGTAATAGCTGCTTGCTGCCGGCCATGTCCCAGCTCCTCGGTACGCTCGCCGTGACACTAAGTTCTTATTTCTTGCGCCGAAGTTAAGTTAATGTTTAATAAATAAGATCGTACGTTGTTTAACGTATATTTCCGGCCTTTATGAATACTTTCACTTTTCTTGACTATATATTAATAATACTTCTTAAACGTAATTAAAACGCCAGATTTTAAAAATAACCACGTATGTTTTTCTTACTTATTTCATGCTTAAGCCTTTTTTAATTATATATTTAAAGAAATCAAGAAAACTTAAGCTATATATATTAGTAGTAAAGTCTATAGGTTTTCTAAAAGAGCTAATCTCATAAGTATAAATATTTATGTTTATATCTTTTTATATTACTACTCATTATTAACGTTTTTAATAAGATAAAATTATAATTAATAACTCATAAACGCTTTTAACACTCGCGCTTTTTATAATAAGTACTTTTCTTACCAAATATACTTTTTTACTATCCTTTTTTATTTATCAAATCCCAACTTCTTTAATAAATACCTTTTTACTTTTAAATAAATCCGCGTATAATATATTTTTAAACCGAAACTCATATGATATTATACGAAAACATATAACTAACAGAATAATACGTAAATTCCTTTTTATTTCTCTTATTAAGATAAGAAGAAATATAATATGTTGCGTTTATATATATATATATTGTAGGAACAGGCTTGAACGATCAATCATAATACTCGAGTATGGGGTCAAGGTCATGATGTTGCTGATGGTTGGATTGGGAAGTCTAGCTGGACCTGAAGGTCTGGCTAAGCGACCTCACAATCCGGTATCTAATCTCTTATCTAATCATACATGTGGGTTCTGTATGGATGGTTTGACTGTGTAATCACATGGATCCAATAGGTTTAGTTATTATTGATAAATTATAACTTTACTTTAATTATAAAATAAATTAAAGAAAAAAGATTAAAGCTAAAAACCAATGTTGACTTTTATTTAATAATTATATTCAATAAGCGGCATTTTGATAATATTCGGAGCTTAATTAGCTTAAGGTTTAAGGTTTATAATATAAATAGTAAAAAAGGTATATAAAAATTAGAATTTTGTCTAAATAACACGTAAATAATATGAATCGGCATAAAATTAACAAGGAATCTTAAAAATATTAATCATGAATATTATATAAATATACGAGCGATTATATAAAAGTTAAAAAAAAAGACTTATATTTAAGATAATTATTGGATCCATGTGGTTCCACAGTCAAACCATCCACACAGAACCACATATATGATTAGATAAGAGATTAGATACGGGATTGTGAGGTCACTTAGCCAGACCTGCAGGTCCAGCTAGACTTCTCAATTCAACTATCAGTAACATCATGACCTTGACCCCATACTCGAGTATTATGATTGATCGTTCAAGCCTGTTCCCACAATAATAGTATAAAAAAAGCTATTTTAAAAAAGTTATAAGGTTTAGTAATGTATTTATTAAATAAGGCTATATAAAATATACGCGTTGTAATTAGTTAAAATAAACCCATTTATTGATTAAATAAATCCTTTATTCAAATAAGTTTATTTTCAAGAAATTACGGTTACTTAAGCAGTTAATATATAATGGGTTTATAACTTATACTATTTATCGTGTCTAATCGCCAGCCTTATTTTACGAAAGATACGTTAGCCTTACCCGTAAAATGCGCGAAGCGCATTGAGAAGCTACGAAGTAGCTGGTGGATATTGAAACCACTGGACTCGGATATGTTACTAGTGTTGCCCTGCCCGTAGTGAAGCCATGCTTGGATTGTCTGAACCAAGCTGGCTATACAACTCGCAAGCTGCAGCGCATCCCCGAATCAACTGATCATGGAGGTCTCTGGCCAGCCAATCTGTGTAGTCGACACACGTATTCATCAGATAGACCTGAACTATTATGACCTGCGCATCAAGGTAACTCCGTCGAATGGACTTCCACCCAAACTCATCGTGATGAGAAGAAACTACCCATCTCACTGAGGGAATGGCGAATCCATGCACCCGCTGGAAAACCCCACAGCAGGAGCCTCCCCTTTCAACCCTACGCCGCCTTTTTGCTGCGCCACCGTGACTTCATGTTCCCAACCCAGCAAGTTGAGAGATAGTATCGATCAATTGTTGGATCAATTCAGGCTCTGCCGCGACCCCGAGAAAATAAATGATTTTTCTGGTGGATCACGGCGGAACTCTATTCATCTTCTCCCTCAACCTCAACGCCAATGCACCCTCTTCTGATGATTGAGCATGTGAGTTCCGTCGCCACAAGTCCTCCAAGCTCAACCACCCCCTTGCCGATATGGTTGACGATATTTCGCCCACGGTCAGGGTCTTCTCTCCAATGCCGACAAAAAGCTTCCAGCGAGTTAGTAATGGGTATCATGGCGTATTGGATTGATGTGGGGCGCAGTGAGTACCGGAGTACCGGGGATGAATTTTAGCATTTGTCCGTCTTCGATTTCATACAGCTGCATGCCAGGTTGGATGGTGACAACCCGAGGACCCTGCAGGGGCTTGGGGTTCTGGAAGACGAAACTTGGAAGCTGCATGACGGCTGGTTCGCGACTGGTGATGAGGCTGGGATCCAAGCCGGCTCCCGTTGCAGCAGGATAGTACGGATTGTATAAGAGCATATTCACATCTGCCGGAATTTCGTATGTGACTTCACCAGGCTGGTTGATTGGGTGTGCAATCTCGGGAGGGGAAGACGCGTTATGTTGAAAAGATCGGTGCACGCAGGCACACGAGGATAAAGAAATCGAGCCTTGTTGCATGGAAGTGCAGGTGTTGTTGCTGGCGGAACTTCCTTCGTTGGCGATCTGTTGTACAGCTTCGTTCTCTCTCTCAGATTCTGGCTTGAAGTCTTTCATTATGATATTAAAAGCGTCGGTGGAATGGCGCTGGGACTGGTAACGGCGCTGAGACTCGTCTCTCTCTTGCCGGCCAAGAGCGTCAGCCTCATCCATTTCCCGGAAGTATGCTTCGAGGTCTGCTTCGAAGTCGATCATAGTGTTCGAAGCGTCGAGAGAATGGCTGTGATCGAATGAGGTGAGCAGCGCACCGCGGCGGGAATAATGGAAGTTCGGGGCGAAGCAGAGTGATTGAAAGACTTGTAAGGGGACGTTGGAGAAGGTCCCGTAGCGGAGCGTGCAGGAAGAGGGTGATCGAGAAGGGCTGCAGCAGTAAAGTATGTGTCCGGCGGAAATTCAGCTGCAACTGATGCGTCGAGAATCCTTAGCTGAAGCGGCAGGTTGCGATACTGTGAAAGTTTGTGGGCTGTAGGTCACCATTACGCGTAAAGAAAACATGACAGTCACTTCAACTCGGTTGCCTAAGAACTGACGTTTGTGTCCCTTGGGGAGACGCGTCCCTCTAGAAGAAACTTTAATCACAAGACTCAACGCTCAACAATCAAAACACACCCTCAAGGTGTCAACTGGGCGAGCCACTAGAGACCCGTCCGAGAAAACGGCTCGAACTCTTTCAATCACGTTGCGTAAGATGCCCTCGCTGTCAATCCTTCTCTGGCACCAGCATGGGTATCTTTTCGAAAACGTCTGCCACTTCAAAACCCGTCCTCAAGGCCTGTCGGCGTGACACCATATCCTGTGTTGTGGAAGCAGCTGTTGTATACAAATAGGCAGAGTGAGAATATTTCAAACATAGCAAACACACATAACAACGAAGCCTACACGCATGCGCGCCTAGACACACGCGCGCATACTTGTTATTAAACGTCGACTAGTCGGGTTCGGTTCATCTTGTTACGCGCTTATAAACGCCACCGAACCACAACATGCGCACCGCCAGGGCTCTCGCATGTCTCCTTGGTCTCACAACGGTGACCCAGGTTACAGGCACGTTCACATGCAACCCGACCCGGTCGAAGCCAAGGAGCTATGACCCGACGTGACGGACGACGATTTGAACTGTTTAATCTGCACGTGTCAATGGAAGCTAAACACCAAGCACGTTCCGCTATGTGTCCCCCCATTGGCTTCCCTAGAGCCTCTTTCACAGCGATATCTAATGAGGCGCTAGACCGTTGGGAGGAAATCATCGGGAAGAATGTACGCAAGATATCTAGTGAAAAGTCGACTTCATTCAGCATTGGTGAGACGACTGAGAGGTTTTCCACCACCGTGGTTGCAGGAGCGCGTTCCAGGGAAGGCTAGTTGTACTGTGATGCTCTGCGGGGGCGAGAATGCTTCTGGTGTACATGGAAGTGCTTCCTGGCTGGAGAGACCCAGTTCATGAGCACCCAAGACCGACCGGCGTTGGAAATTTTCATCATGGGTATTACAAACTAATGACTAGAGCTTTTCAGTGTTCCAATCCAACAAAGCAAGGCATCCTGGAGTCAAAATGACATGACTCCACACAGACTTTTCACACGTTCGGTACATAGTCCACTTTCAAGATCGTCTAAGTTTCGTGGTAAGCATCACCTTGAGAACCGTCTTGTGCTGGAAGAACCTGTTATAAGCCTCGCAGACGTTCTCCAAGACATCTAGTAGACATTAGCATGTACTCTATGATTGGCAGGTGGAGTCGGGGTTCACGTGCCTTCGTCTGTGAACATGAACGTGGGGTCGTATTTGCCGCTGACCACGATGTCCAGAAGATAGGGGTAGAACTGTCAGCCAGGATTAGCATCAATAATATGGTTGTCAGAAACAATGCAGGTGTCATATGAAACTTCTGCGCAAACAACTGGCCACCTCGGAGCGCGATCGCCTTCTCCATCAGTGCACCGATTGGGAACTCGTTGGTGGTGAAAAGAAGTCGCCGATGAGGGCCATGTTCCCGCCCTTCCTGGTGGCCTTGATGATCTCCGCCGTCGTGTCACCCTGGTCCCTCTCCACGCTCGTGGCCCGCATCGCCTTGTGCTTCATCGGGGTGGCGGACCGGAAGCCGCTGGCCTCGATGCCGCGGCCTAGCCCGTGCGGCTCGACGCTGAGCAGGTAGTCGGCGACGTTGCTGTGCTCGTTGACGTCGACAGGCGTCAGGCCGAGGTCGGCCGCCATCTGGAGCCGGTTCTTGTCGACATCCATGGCGTACACCTTCTTGGCGCCGCGGAACAAAGATAGCTTGCCGATCGACAGGCCGACGGGCCCGCATCCCCAGACGCCGACGACGTCGCCCTCGCCCACCTCGGCCAGCTCGCAGAATGGTACCAACTTGGCGTCAATTCATCGTGCTGGTGTTGTTCAATTGGAGGTTGAAGGAGTAAGGGGGTCGCAGACGCGTTGGACGCGTTTTAAAATTGGGTGGGGGGTACTCAGACTTTTGGCGGGTCAGTGTGAATAGCTCTCCTCATAATCATCACAACTACCGAACAATGCCTCCTCGAGTGACAGTGTCCGACCTAACCACTCGACAGGACGCCCATACTGCCAGGCGACCATGACGCCCGGATCGATCCGCCTGGTGATGTGAGATGTGATTTCTTCTTTTCTTCAAACTCTGTCACCCGACAGTGAATGGGGATTCTCGTCACCGTGACGTAGCTGGATGGCCCCGACTCCCGGCTCGTTCGCCCCACTGCCCCGGCGCGCTTTGCAGGATCCGATGATTGCCGGGACGGCGGGAGAAACCCTCTTTATGCTTGTGCCGAGTGGTATCGTGGCTCCGGAGCCGGAAACCCAGAGAGTGAAGCAGGGAATCGCCGGCTGACTTCCAGAACTCTCGACATGATGCCTCTATCTCGCAGCAGCATTCGCGATCTTCGAGCCAAGCAACGCAAACTCGGAATACTTTTAGTTAAGTCTTGCTGAAGGGCTTTCTATGTGAAAGCTGAGAGATGCACAGCGTATGGATCCTGTCCTTGCGAATATGATTCTTGCTACGAGGATGTTCCTTTTACGTTACATGAATATTGACCACTCGACGCTTTCAACCCAAGTACAAGGATGACTGCAACAGGAAGCCGATAAACTTAATCAAGCACGATCTTCAATTCAGGTAGGAGTGGGTGAGGGTGGTTATGGGAATGGGTCGGGTGAGTGCGCACAAGAGGTCATCAACAAATGATGGACGGTAGACAGGGTCTCACTTCGGGTGACATTCTTCTCCGCCGGCCCATGCTGCCGGATAATTACGAACCTTGACTATAGCCAAGCCTCCAAGCTTCTGTACTTATACCCCAAAAGTGACATAGGTGCTTGTGCCCCCAGCATCAACCGCGCAAATCAAGAGCCCGGGATCGAAAGGGCGGTATTCGGTGAATTCACCGACGAGGCGTGCCAAGCCGCTTCTCCTCACCAGAACCGTTCGGAAGAAGCTCACCGGCGCTGCTCTCCCCACCTGCAGGTTACATTCGAGGGGTCTCTGCCTCAATGAGGGGATATCAACCCAATATCTAAGTACCTTGTGCGGAGAAATTTGACTCACCTGAGAAAGCCTGCGATACCTCCAGCCGAGACGGCAGGACGGACATGATAGAAAAGGTGCCAGGATGGCGACCCCAACTCCTGTCGAGCTCCTGTCCAGCAGCAGCCTGACACCGAGATGAAAATGGCGCCACCAATGCGAGCGATATCCAGCGTCCGCGGGCTATTCTGCCTGGCCCTCCTAGCCGTTTCCACGACTGGACGATCCGTCGCGAGACTGAGTACTCGCGCCTGTGCTTCAGCAAATGCAGCGGGTGGTCGCGAGCGCATCAGCATCAACGATGGCTGGCGCTTCTCGCGTTTCACAGAGAACCCTGATGGACTCTCCTACGAGGACAACCTGAAGGAATGGATCCTACCGCAAGGCAATGACTTCATCGTCAACGGCACGAAGCACACGCGCCCTTCAGGGACGGCACCCGGCGCGGACGTCGAGTACGTGCAGGCGTTCTTTGATGACAGTGCGTGGGAGAAGGTCAATCTGCCGCATGACTGGGCTATCAAAGGACCCTTTGGTGCTCCGAATATCAGCACCAGCGAAGGGTCGCTGCCGGTAAATGGCGTCGGGTGGTACAGACGGAATCTGTCGGAGGCAGAGACGGCCGCGGGGAAAAGCGTGTTCCTGGATATCGACGGGGCCATGAGCTATGCTGCTGTTTGGCTCAACGGCGGTAAGTGATTCCGATTTATTCCAATTTGACGACGGAAAGAGGACGGCAAGTTGTAGCCGCTTTCATGCTGACAAGCTGAACAGAGCTCGTTGGTGGATGGCCGTACGGATACGCATCATTTCGCCTAGATCTAACGCCTTACCTCAAAGGCTCCGACAACACGCTCGCAATCCGGCTGGATAACCCCTTGGACTCATCGCGATGGTATCCCGGCGCGGGCATCTACCGCAACGTGTGGCTCGTCACAGCCGACGAGACGCACGTGAGTCAGTACGGTACATACGCAACGACGCCTGAGGTCACTTCCGAGTCCGCTACTGTCAACCTAGTAGTCTCAGTTGAGAACAAGGGCTCATTATCACGGCAAGTAGGCGTTGTGACCAAAGTCTACCCCTACGACGCTGCTCTGCGGGAACCTGGTTCCGAGGTGGTGGCCAGCTTCACAAAGCAGGTGATCAACGTAGCAGCAGGCACGAAGCAGTCCGTCCGGGGTTCAGTCACGGTGACAGACCCCCTGCTTTGGGGTCCTGTGCCGTCGCAGACTCCGAATCTGTACGTTGCGATGACCACCTTGACGGGCAGCAACGGCACGGTTATCGATACATACTCTACACGCTTTGGCATTCGGTCTATCGAGTACGTTGCGGAGCAGGGCCTCCTCGTCAACGGAGAACATGTCTATTTGCAGGGCACGTGTAATCACCACGATTTAGGATCGCTGGGCGCGGCGTTCAACTACCGGGCTACGCACCGGCAGCTCGAGATGCTGCAGGAGATGGGCGTTAACGCACGTAAGTGGTATCCCGCTCTTTTGCCCTCTGCAGTGTTGTCTCGCGACTCCTACCTGTAGTCATCGCTACAGGGGAGTATACACTAACTGTAAACCGTAGTACGCACCTCGCACAACCCTCCCGCACCTGAATTCCTCGAAATGGCCGACGAAATGGGCTTCGTCGTCATGGATGAGCTCTTCGACGTCTGGCTCGAGCCCAAAGTGACCAACGACTACAACGTGCTCTTCGCCGACTGGCACGAGGCCGACCTGCGGTCGTTCCTCCGCCGCGACCGCAACCACGCCTCCGTCGTCGCCTGGAGTTTCGGCAACGAGATCCCGGAGCAGAGCTCGGCGGATGGGCGAACCCTTGCCCGGTCCCTGCAGGCCATCATCTTGTCCGAGGAGCCGACGCGTCAGACCTCGCTCGCGCTGAACAGCGCCAAGCCTGGGACGGGCCTGCCCGACACCGCCGACATCATCGGCCTGAACTACCAGGGCGAGGGCCAGGGCACCACCTTCGAGTCAGCGTTCCCGGCCTTCCACGCGCAATACCCGGACAAGATGATCTGGAGCACGGAGACCTCGTCCGTGCTGAGCACGCGCGGGACTTACATCTTCCCCGTCGTGGGCAACAGCTCCACAACGGTAGGCGTAGGTCCATCGCCCGGCTGGGACGAGGCCGCGCTGACGGTGTCGGCCTACGAGCTCTACGCGCCATCGTGGGGCTCGTCGCCCGACAAGGTGTTCGCGCAGCAGGACCGCTATCCCTACGTGGCGGGCGAGTTCGTCTGGACGGGCTTCGACTACCTGGGCGAGCCGACGCCATACGACACGGGCGCGCGCAGCTCGTACTTCGGCATCATCGACCTGGCGGGCTTCAAGAAGGACCGCTTCTACCTGTACCAGGCGCGCTGGCGCGCGAACCTGCCCATGGCGCACCTGCTGCCGCACTGGAGCTTCGGCGCCGAGCGCATGAACCGGACGACGCCCGTGCATGTTTTCTCGTCCGGCGACGAGGCGGAGCTGTTTGTGAATGGGGTCTCGAAGGGCAGGAAGGTCAAGGAAGAGTACGAGTACCGCTTCCGCTGGGACGACGTGGTCTACACGCCCGGCGAGATAAAAGTGGTCGCGTACAAAGACGGCGCGGTCTGGGCCGAGGACAGCAAGCGCACCGTCGGCGCCGCCGCGCAGCTCAACGTTACGGTTGATCGTGCGACCATCGACGGTGACGGCAGGGATCTCGCCTTCGTGACGGTGGCTGTTGTGGACGCAGACGGGGACGTGGTGCCCGAGGCCGCGAACGCGATCACCTTTGCGCTGGAGGGGCCGGGTGAGATTGTCAGCACGGATAATGGGGACCCGAGGGATATGACGCCGTTTCCGTCGCCGGAGCGGAATGCGTTTAGTGGGTATGCGCTGGCGATAGTGCGCGCGGATAGGGGCGCTGTGGGCGAGATCACCTTGTCGGCTTCGGCGGATGGGCTTGTGGGTGGGGAGGTGGTCGTGCAGGCTGCTTGATAGGGGGTTTCAATGTGTGCCGGGGAGGCAGGTTGGTTGACCTTTCGCAGCTTCAATGCAAAGCACTTGAGTCAACTTGAAATCGATGCTCGGGGAGTCCCAACCGGCATTGCTTATCTCCACGAAAGTCTTTGATGGCGGGAACGTATGCCCACCTGGCGTTTTCTTGCTGGTGTATAAGAATCCGGTTTACGACATGCCACTGAATCCCCGAAAAGGGAGTGGCGCCAGGTAGGAAATTGACTCCAACGTATCACGCGGTATCTGGCTCGCATCCTGAAGATTCGACATATTGTATGACCCTTGACCTGGTATTCGCAGATCGTGAGCAGTGTCAGATGGATAATTATAGTCACCCCTCATAAGTCTCCGTCCTTTAGTTTTGCTCCAGTAAACCCTTGGATATTAATGCTACATAATCAACCAACCAACCAACCATGGAATGAACACCCTGGGACAAGCAGGTTCGATCCAGTTGGCCAATTTTAATACTTCTTCCAGATTGCTCATTCTGGTTATAACAAGTACAATCTTTTGCTTGGTGCATGAGGACCCGCCCTCAGAGACCTGCGGCGACTGGAAGCTCTCTAGTCCATGCAATTACTGAGATGATAGCTCTTGAACATAAGTCCCTCCAAACATGTTTCACTGTGGGCGTAGATGGATGTTCTCTCGCAGTAGCTGTCCGTGTGGAGATTCACTACCCATCGCAGTCAGTGCCCATGCCATCTGTTCACACCACCCGCTCTCTTCTCTTGGAGTCGGGTGCGAGTCAGTTGCAACACTCCCTGACGCATGATCCGTAGATCTCAAGGATCCTGACGGAATAGAACACCTCCATCAGCTTGAAGCATGCGCCCAATGCTGACGTGTCACTGTTGAACATGTGGTAGGCGCTCGAGCCCGTACAGCTGTCGCTATTATAGACTTCGAACTCGACGTAGTGGGGGGTGGGGCCGTGGACCTGAGCAGGTGTGACCGCGGCTGCCTTTGTGCCGAGGGCGAGGGCGATCGTGGTAGAGTGTTGCATGATGGGATTTGAGTGTTGTAGGATCAATATTGCGGGATTTCGGACCTTGAATTTCTACTTGACAGACGGCGTCCTTCGAGCAGGTACAATTCGTGATATTGCGGTTCTGTCGTTGGATGTGTGTTGGGAGTAAACAAAACGAGGTGATTCCAGATTGAACGAACATTTCAGGGGTGGCAAGCAAGAACTCGAAGCCACTCAAATAGACTCAAAGGCCCCCAGGTATTCAGGAGGGGAAATCACTTTGTTGTAGCGGGCTTGCGCATGTGTCAGGCTCGGCTATGGTTGTATATATTGTGATGATATGTGTAGCTAGTCTTTCGGAGCGGCAACTTCACGGGCTTTGGACTGAACCAATTGCAAAAGGGGCACTGCCTGCAAGGCTCTCTTCGTTTGGATTTTCTGACGCCAGTGGTAGCCACATACAGCAGCTACCAATCAATCTTGTAGCAGAGGAAGGAAGCTCGAGCTACCGCGGGCTCTCCATCCCGTCACATGTGGTCAAGTCCTGCGGTGACCACGGGTGGGAATATTCGCATGTGCAAATATCCGCATCTAGACACGGTCCGCAATGCTTCACGCTCCGCGAGGGCCCTTCAAGAACGCTTGCATGGTTGCTGGAACTGGATAGAGGTTTGCATGTGTGCCCTTCGAGAGACGGCGTTCCTCTAGTATGAACTCTAAAAGATGGCATGAAGCAATCGGATCTGGCATCTTTAGTCGTCGGAATTGCGTTCGCCGTATCTTCACAATCCATCCAGAAACACCCAGCCCCCCTTTAATCCCTACCAGGTGATCAGGCCAGATCGCCTCGCAGAGAAGTCATGACGTTCCGGCAGTGACGAACCAACAGCAGAATTTGCCACCCCATAGGCTTCAAAGGCCATATCTGCCTTCTTGACTGAACCCGATCTGCACTGTCATCCCATGCTGCAAGCCTTCGGTCAAGTGGCCCATCGTATCTGGAAAATCCCTGATTGGGACTCTGATGGTACTCTGTATCTTTGGTGAATTTGTACCAGATGGAGAACAGTCACACATGGCCCTTTGTGACCTGAGATTATCACAAGCGCCTTTGTACTTCATGACATCATACACTCCGAGTCCCTAGCTTCAAGCCCCAACGCTTCCTCACCATCTTCATTATCCTCATGAATATCTCTCGCATTTAAATTCAATCATGTCAAGTCCCCCAGCAGCCTCAACCCACCTGAAGAAGTCCATACCGTACGACCAGTGGATCAGCTACCGCATCGGCCGGGGCGAGCAAGGCGTCCTGACCTTCGAGCCGTACAAGTCGTCACTACTCCCGCTATGGCGCTTCCGGAGCGTGCCGATCGCTCGAAAGAGCGCCTCGGATCTGTGGGCCAGATTCGAAGAGTTTGACGAGCAGAGTGACTTCGCCGGCATGGATATGGTCCGAAAGTTCATCCAGATGGGCATGACTCGGTCGAAGCGCTATGCGAATCATGCCGGCGGACGGAAGTACAGGAAGGGAACGCGCGAGGAGCTGCCGAAGAGCGCGGCGCACAAGGACAAGCAGGAGAAGGAGGCTGCTAGTCAGATCTTTCGGGAGGTGTGGGAGCGGTGTAAGGCGCATGAGGGATATCAGAGGGGCAAGGAAGAGTTCTTGAAGCAGCAGGCTGAGTGGAGAAAGGGGCAGGATGCGAAGTAATTGCCGGATAGTTGGCTCTATCGATGTATGACCTCCTTCGTCCCCGTTGGCAGTTGGATTGCAAGGCGAAGCCTATCTGACATATATCAGTCACACTGAACGTAAGGGCCGTGTATTCCTCACTTGTGTGGGTTTTCTACGTTTTTTGAGTCTTGCATGCGAGCGATTTGATCCAGCCAAAAATCCACCAAAGAGGAAAAGGAGAAGGAGCCTCCACAAGTTTTCAATGACAGCATCGTTGCCTCAGATGGTCAATGGGTGCACGTGAGAACTTGACCGTGGCATGGAACCCTAGTCGGTTCCGAGCAAGTTGACATCCTCCTCCAACCGGGAAACGACCGCTTCGTAGAAATTCTGACAGAAACTATCGTTCTGGAGGTTGGCGACTCCGTATACGCTTTCGAGGCACCATTTTACCGCCGTCGCATAGTTACTACCATCACTCTCCATTATGCGGTCCTCAAGGCGGCTTCCAGCCTCTCGCTTGGACACAATAGAGTTCATATCCATGTCGTCTGCCACGTTGAGCTCGTCAATTGCCTCGCCAATGATGATCTGTATGAGTAACGCCCCCAGCGACAAGACGGTCAGGTTCATGGGCCGCAGTGAGCTTGGTGACTTGGCTTGCTGAGTTGGTTGTTGTGAGGCTCTAGGAAGCACGCCTTTGGTGACAAACGGGCGATAAGGTGAGTACTTGCTCACTGCCGCGGTATCGTCCCCAAAAAGGAAGACGATGTCGTCCAGGCGGACACTTTTCGCAAGCCAGGGTGTATCGTAGAGGTTGAGTATGCTATCGGAGAGAGCAAATGCCAGCTGTATTCTCTCGGGATAGTCAAATGGCGGCAGTCCAGGCTGGCTACCAACTAGGACCTGCCTGAGCGTGGTTGCGTCTCGAAAATCGGACATGTCGCCGGGAGGGCACAACTCAAATTTGCGCTGTGCGTCAAGAACATACCCATATGGTCCCACAGCCTCCTTCTTCTGTGACCCTAGGACTATTTGACAGATGTCTGAGATCTTCGACAGTTGTGGGCTGGTCATCGTAGGCAGATACGTCAGAGTCTGGAACGATTTCACCAGAGTCTCTGTAGCAGACGACGAACCCTTGGTTGCTGATTTCTCAAAAGACGAGGTCCATTTGATCCCCTTTTTAGGTTTTGCGGCCACCGAATGATATGAAATGGGATGCGTGGGTGTGCCGATTTTGTTGCCAGGGTCAGCGAGTCGGAGTCCAAGACTATTCCAGTGCCGGGTTGTTGGAAGCCAACTTGCTGTATCATCGGCAGCTGAGTTCAAGACAATATGAAAGTTGAGTGCCTTCGCAACCTGCTCTTCGGTGTCGCCCGGTACCAAGACTGCATCTCTTGGCACAAGTTCCAGTCCGATAATATGCGTGTACGCACATGCGCAAGTCATTGCACTGGAGACAGCATTGTAGATGCTTTTTGACAGTCCGCGAAGGAGTTTGGTGACTCGCGCCTGGGACCGCTGACGCCTATCCGACTCCAGGCCGCAGTCTTGTCGGCAAAGATCCTGGAGAACCGAATTACCGTTCTTTATCCGAGATAAAATGCCTTCATAGTCCTTCTTCCTCAGAGTGAAGACAGTATGTTGTTTGAGCTCTCGGAGCATCGACGACCGATCGTTTAACTTGATCTGCAGCGTCAAGAAGATATGGTTTTAGTCTCCATCTGTCCAGTAGCTGTTTCGCGGAGATCCTGACTCACCTGGCCGTCTTGTTGGATGCATAGTTTCTCCTTCAACTCTTGTGTGGCAGCGGACATCTCCGCCACGTATGTTTCAAACTTCTCCGAAGATCTCCATAACCTAAGGCGCAGTTTATCCCCATATCGCTTCCACTCGGGTCCGAAGGGGTTCTGGATCATGGTGTCTATCATCGACGTGGACGCTACGCCGACGAGAAGGTGCTCGCAAGTGTTTTGCAGACGGATCCATTCTGTCTCAAGGTCCCGCTCCAGGCGATTGACGTCCCGTTGAGCAGTTTTGAAGGAGGAGAGGAAAGACTTGTAGCCCTGCAGCGCCTTGATCGCTATGGGCAGAACTCCCAGGACAAACCCAGCTACTTCGAGACCAGACATGGCTGGAGTAAGACACAACTATACCGAAGGGAGGACATCACTCCTTGACGATTCACCCAGAAGTTGACAAGGAGCCCCGCAGCGGCGGCGAGCTGCGAGCTGCGAGCTGAGAAGTAATGTAACATCACGTGCTTGGACTCCTCTTGACTGGCAGGCGCATGACGGTTATGCACGAAGATGGCGACGCGCTTACCCGAGATACTCATCAGCTGCGGGGGCAATACCGTAACTTATACCTTGATCCTCATGTTGTAGAAGACGATACTCTCCTTTTACTCCTGATGACTACTCTGAACAACCATGCTCTGATCCTCTTCTCTTCTACCACCTTTGAATACGACACTCGATGGGCAACGGCCAATTGATTAGTGGCACAATGGTGGTGCCAGGTCAAGCTGCGTCTGAACCTCCCCATATCGCAACAACTGGCCACTCGCAGTATTGCACTTCTCAAGGGCATTGTTGTTTTACTCGACGACAACGCAACACAGTGCTCAGCAGCCTCATCTCACTTAGCACGACTGAAGTTATGGGTGGGAGGCATGGGTGCACATCGACAATCGGGTGGCCGATCGCTCGAACACCGTCTCCGAGATGCATCCTATATTCGCAATCATATCATTTCTCTACTTCGGCAGCTTTGTGATTCAGTCGAGGAGGGTGAGCAATTTCAATGTCAAACCTTGGGCGGCCAAGTCGTACTGGACTGTTTTAGCTGTTGCATCAGTGACAGGGGTCGACGCCCAGCCTGAAGATACCCAGGATTCGATCGACGATGAGCTAGCACAGTACCTGCTAGACGACGACACTCCTCAGAAGTCTGACGTCGATGTAGCACTTGCCGACGTTGGTCATGTGCTAGACTGTCTCCTGAGACTGTCCGTGACAATCAGCAATCCAGCACCTCATGACCAGTTCCAGTCTAGGGCAGGCTGGGAAACCCTGAACTACTTTGAGGAATATGACGTCCGGCATGTGCAGGAGAAGTTCACCAAAGTCGATAGCAGTCTTGCCGAGAGGCTTGGCAAAGCTATAACGTTTCGCCGCCAGTACTTCCGATATCGCCAGGAGCATCACGACAGGCTTGCTGAGGGGCTCAACGCCGATGATTCCACGGCTGATCCCGAGAGAGAACGGACCGAGGGAGAACGGACAACAATTGCATCCTCACTACCGGAACACCTGAAGGACCGCCATAGCAGTGGCACCTCGGACGAACTCAAGATTTGGGATGCAGATGACCGATCAGAAGTCTCTAGAACTTCCTATACCCCGTCAAACCACAATCCAGATCAGCTGAAGGTTCCACCAATACCCAAGGGATACACAGATGGGCCTTTTATGTGCCCCTTGTGTTTCTTTATGGTGGAGACCAACTCGAAAAACGAGTGGAAGTCAGTGTTTCTCGCCATACACCCTTGCCACACACCACTGACATCATCTACAGAAAACATGTTTTCCGCGATCTCAGACCATACATGTGCCTCTCCAGATCATGTTTGACACAAGATCATCAGTATTCGCGTCGCTCTGAGTGGGCAGAGCACATGAGGTATAAGCATTGGAAATCATGGCACTGCTCCTTGGGTTGCGGTGAAGACTTTGACAGCCCCGGCACCTTTCGACGCCATATAGCGACAACACACTCAGGAGACATTAAATACAGCATGCATGAGTCCCTAGAGCAGCTGAGTGGACGACCTGACCCGAGTAAGGCGATGGGACACTGCCCATTGTGTGCCGATGTTCAGATCAAATCCGCTCAAGGATACTATTCTCACGTTGGCGACCACCTCGAACATCTTTCTCTCTTTGCACTCCCCCATTTCGAACCAGAGGAAGGGCACGAAGAGGACAGTGACTCGGAAGCCGAGCTTAAGGCTGAAATCGAAGCACGTAGGGAGCCTGAAGAAGAGAAGGAGAAGGCAGAGGTAGCCACTGCGGCAGAAGCTCATACCGGGAAAAGCCTCGTGGCATTGAAGCTTGAAGAGATGTCCAGGAGTTCGCGGATGGGTTCCGCGACAGGCGATCAGAAGCATGAGGAGGATGCAGTCAAGAGGGAGCCCGAAGAAGAAAAGGAGAGGGAACAGGTGGCCACCGCGGCAGAAGATAATACCGAGAAAGAGGATGAGGCACACAAGAAGCAGCTCCTAGAGGAAGTCAAGCTCAAGGTCGAAATTGAAGCACGCAAGAAGCTTGAAGACGAAACGATAAGGACGGACGCGGACCCAGCAACATATGATCAAAAGAAGGATGAGGAGAAGAGTGCACTCAAGAAGCGGTTCCTAGAGGAAGCCAAGCACAAGGTCGAAATTGAAGCACGCAAGAAGCTTGAAGACGAAAAGATCAAGAAGGCGGATGCAACCACCCAGACGTATGTTTCGCAGCTCCAGAACATAGAGAGCCAAATCAGGCAAACGCATCCAGACGCCCCGCAGAACACGGTTCGCGAAATTGCTAGAAATTTGTTGCAGAGCGCGCAAAACCAGCATAACACGCTGACACAGTCGGCCATGAATGCTGCCGCTGGAGGTCCCGGGCAAGCGGCTGGTGCCAACGACCCCATCAGTATGCCCATGACAGACGATCAGAAAAAGAAGAAGAAGGAGTAGAAGGATCTCATGGAGGGCCACATTGAGGATAGGGCTCTAGACGTTGCCGAGCTCAGGGCCGAACTTGAAGCAACTCGGGAGCCTCGAGCCGAGAGGGAGAAGAGGGTCCCTGATTATCCTACTCGGGGCCGTGCTGGTTGCGATACTCCCAGTATCACAGGACGCCTCATTGACAGCAGTCGTGAACCTGAGCAGAACGTGGAGGACATCGCAAAGGACCACCGAAGTCAACTCAATACTGCCGATCAAGATGCAAGGATCAGTATAGCCTCTATGGGAACGATCGATCGGAATATCGAACGTGGAAATCAACAAGCCCAGCCCTCAGGGGGTGATGATATCCGCACCAAGAACGACCTGGTTCAGATCGATCAAATTCTTGAGCAGGTGCAGAGCACCGTCTACGAGAAGTCTAACACCGCGGCGGACTACATGCCTCTCAGATTCCGTCACAGCCATGAAGCCGATCTCGAAGTCTCACTGTCATCGGAACATCCCCATGAAGAATACCAGCGGGGGAACGAACGAGCGAAACATGAAAATGAAGAACAGGGCTATATTTCTGGGGCGGAAGAAAAAATCCATCTGCAGGGGCCCTGTGCCCGTGCCTATGGATGAGCCTAGTACCATGCCTCGGTACAGCACTAGGAGAAAAACAGCAGAAGATTCGGGGTATGACAGGTCCAGCAATGACTCGGGGTATGGCGGATCCAGCTCCGGTGCGAATATATATTACACCGCTACTGGCCCCCCATCACCCGCTGTTTACCAAGACACATTTCGATCTTCCAAAAAACGTAAGTTTTGAACTTCCCTCAACATTCTGGCTATAAGCAATCTACTGACCTAAGCTCCGCAGGCGATTACCAGGGTGACTCTCACTTTAGGACTGGTCGAGACAGAGAGGTCGCTGTCCACAACCATTACAGTGCCGGTTCTGATGAGACAGGCGCTCACCCTCCGTACAGAAACTCAACATCGACCAAGAAAGACTCAAAGAGATACTACCGCTAAAATGGCCTGTTGTGATGAGATAGACACTCACATTATGTTTGTTCGAAACAAAGAGGTTGCTGTCCACAACCGGTACAGTGCCGGTTCTGATAGGAGAGGGCCCAGATACCTACGAACACCGAAGTCTACGCATACTGATCCACGTAGGTTCGGAAGGCGCTCAACCCCAGGCAAATCATTGCACGAGCAAATATAGCCATGGCGTTATCCGCATCTAGGCATATTGCTCTCAGCCGAACCAGAAGAACTCGGTGCAGACAGCAGCAATAATGGAATCGATATGTATCATCCAGAAAATGAAAGGTATATATAAAGGGGATGTTGTCTCGCATCCTATGTCGGTAATGCCTCCGGCTTCGTGGTGGCTTGTAGTGTACATGTATTGTAGTGGTACAAGAGGTAGCGTTGGGTCTATCGCGTCTCCCTCATAAATCCAAGTCCTAAAAACGCCAGGCCAGGCTGCAGTCGAGTGAAGATGATATCCCGGCGTTTCCCCCTCAAACATATAAACGCCCCTTTCCTCCTATTGACACACTCGTCATGGTCGTGGTCGTGTCGTCGGTTGGCAGACCAGCCTGACCCCTTTAGAGCTGCCCTGACTACCGGTCCTTGTACACCTTTGGCTTCCAGCCCTCTTTGATCTCGGCCTCCTGCGCCGCCTTCTCCATAACGGGTTTAATCTCCGCTTCTATCCGTTCGCGCGCCCTCAGCACCTTGCTCTGCAGGTAGAAACTACCTCCCTTCTGCGGATCATTGACATCGAAGAGCTTCTTGAACCGGCCCATCACGTCCTCCATGTTTGCCTGACCGCCCTGTGGCGGCTTGACGTTCAGGATCTTGCAGGCTTCGTCCAGGGTCATGCCGCTCGAGAGGCTGGCTCGCGCAGACGGTCCGTTGGGGTTCTTGGCTTGGGCGCGCGCGTAGTTGGACGAGGCCTGGGCTTGCTTGTAGGCTTCGGTGAAGGCGCGTCCGAGGACACGGCTGCCGACGAGGACGATCTGGGTTACGATGCGGTGCGCCTTGTGGCGAAGTCAGTCCTATGCTCCACTACGGCTTGGGAGGACGCGCCCGTGGTTGAGGCGGAGATAAACTCACCATATTTGCGGTCAGGGAAACGCCAGATACCGCCGTGTGCTTCCGTAAGACACTGGTGCTTGGGGGAACCGAGCGAGATGGGAAAGGTGGTTGAAGCCGCTGACTTGTTGAGGCGAGGAATACCGTCGCGGCTAAAAATTGTCTCGAACGAATTGCTCCGTATCGATTAGCAGTGGAAGTTGCAGGGACCACGTCGGGGAGAGGAAGGCGGCCAGACCGTCGGCAACCTCCGGAGACCCCGAGCCACACCACCTGCAGGATTCGGGCACCAGCCTCTGTGGCTGGTGTACTGCATCGGCTCCAGGGCTGTCAATGCACGGTTTAAGCTTCCAACACGCGCCACAATTCGGTGAAGACAGATTCATGATCTTTCCATTTGAATCATCATCATCTCGACCAGCACACCTCCCAGACGCCTAGATCCCCGCCCGCGACCCACGATCACATCTTCCGACGCTTCGCTACTTGATCCGCCTCCGAAAAGTTTGAATCCTCCTCTGCATCCACGATCGATTCTCCCGAAGAACTTCGTCGACGTCCGTTCTCTAGCTCCGTCACCATCGGCCTCGCCCTTGTTTACCTGAGCCGAAGAGCTAGCTTGTGACACCTGGGCAACACAATATGGCACAATACTACGGCACACCCCCGCAGAACCAGTTCGGAGGTGGTGCTTCGTCTGCGCAAAACCTGCAGTTCTACCCGTCTTCATATTCTCCAGGTGTGCCCCCTCAAGGAGCACCCGCGCAATCCTATGGGTACGGCGCACCACCCCCTGGACCTGCCGGCTATGGAGGCTTTGGCGGGGCTTCCGGCGTGAGTGGCAGGATGGGAGAGCAAGGTGGACTACGGACAGGCTGGCTGGCAGCCTTTTCTACAGAAGGTTACGACGGTGAACCGCCGTTACTGGAAGAGCTTGGCGTCAACTTTGGCCACATTCAAATGAAGGTAGGTTAAGACGGACGGTTCTTGGCTTTAGAGAGGCTGATACTGACATTGCCCCAGACTTTGGCAGTCCTAAACCCATTCGCCCGTATCGATCAACATATAATGGACGACTCCGACCTCGCGGGCCCCATTCTATTCTTTCTCTTGTTCGGTACCTTTTTGCTTCTCAGCGGCAAAGTACACTTCGGATACATCTACGGGCTGGCACTGATGGGATCGATTGCGTTACATACCATCCTGTCCCTCATGTCGTCTGACGGTTCGAGCTCGCCAACACCTTCACACCCCGCGCATATGCCGGCCTACCCTTCAGGTCCAGGGTACCCCGCCGATCCAAGCGCAGGCGGCAACGATGACCCCAAGGACCAACTGAGCAGCACCTTGACCTTCGTAAGGAGCGCAAGTGTTCTGGGATACTGTTTGTTACCGCTAGTTCTGATCAGTTTGGTTGGCATCGTTATGCCCATGGATGGACCGCTTGGATATGTGCTCACGAGTGCTGCGATCATGTGGTGTACAACAAGTGCGAGTGGCATGTTCTGCGCGGTAGGAAGGATGCGGCAGATGAGAATGCTTGTGGCATACCCACTGATGCTGTTCTACGTCGGTTTCGGGATCATGAGCATTTTCAGCAGCCGAGGATCGGGTACCCTGGCGAAAGTAGCCGAAATGCCTTGAGCGGTGGCCGTCAAGGGGAGATGAAACAGGAAACCTACCGAACTGTGGAAGTCAGGATGACTCAGCAGTTGATGAGTGTGCGATAAGGGGTAATCCGCTTCCGCGTTGGCTAGGTTAAGCATATCATCGTTAAGGGGTACGATTATTTTGCCGGAAAAGGTGGGCCAAAAGCGGCAGCATAGGAGGAGCGCATCGTTCAGGCATGGTGTTGAGTACCTTAGTTGACATAATCTAACATCAGGTGACACATGATCGCAGGCTGCAGAGCCAGTGTCTTCAACAAGACGTCCTCGTCGCTCAATCATGTGGCTTGTCAAAAAATGAAATCCCCGCGGCCATTGGACGGCCAGGACTCCCGAAACGATAGAGGCAGACCCATCAGTCGTGTTTCTCACAGGCAACGCTCCGCAACCGCACCCATTACCGCATTTACACCGAGGACGCCATGGCCGCCGCGGCCGCCGCCGCATGCGCCGTTACCCAAGACGGCATGTCGCTGCGCCGGTCCTCTCATATACTCGTATCGCATTGCGGGCAAACGATGAAGCAAACATGATGCACAAGCTGCTTCCCACAGCCAGCAGCCGAGCTCGGATGCCGGCCGTTTTACTGTGCAGTCGGGAAGTACAGTCGGGAAGTCATTGGGGACCTATGGATTGGCAATTTGTGAATCCCAAGGCTTGGCTGATGCAGATTGGGTGGAAGCATCAATGGCATGCATGCAACACCTGCATGGCGATAATGCGGGCACAAGAGGCTCTTGCCGAGAGGCACTGCCGTCTTGATAACATCCTCTTCATATACCGAGGGGTCACGCTGTCGTGAAAGCCACCAACGTGACAGTTCGGTTCAGTTCACACCCATATGGATTTGAGAGTGGGCTTCTATCAGTAGGGCTGTCCATAGAGTTGTCGAGGTTTGTCATGCAGTGCAACGGCAAAAAGGGCCGTTGAATCGCGGGGGCTGTGATCGATCCGGGATCAAAGATCCAGTCAACCCCAGCTTGCATCAGGAGTCAGGTGCGATGATTCTTATTCGTGAATTCGGTGTTGATGGTCGAATTGACAAATACGTTCCTTGCCATGGGGTATGCCCTGGTGAGAAAGATCCCCGCGGTTGCCCCAAACCCCAGCTCTTCCCCAGCGCCCGTCTTCCCCATATTCCTCATCATCACCCCAACTTTCTGGGACACCCTGTTTTCGAAGCTTGGCGTGCCAACCGCCCAGAGTCCTTGACGATCCATCGCGCGGTTGGGCACAGATTGGAGCAATTTCCGGGTGACCATCCATCCCGGTGACCATCCACGCGGCAGAGCAGCTTACTAGTTGTGTGACATTGGTTTTTGTCAAGGTAGGTAGAGTCACAATGGGAGGGGCCTTGACCATTCATAAATTATCTGACCCCCTGGCTGTCAATGGTCGTTTTGAGTTCTTCCTTTTCTACATATATCTTTCTGGACACCAGTCCCGCTACAAAAACCCTCTGCCTCTGTCCATCGAGTAGAAGGATTCCACCATGTCGGACCCTGCTGCCCTTGACAGCGATACGAGCGCGGGGGCGCATGGAGAGGCACTGGAGACCACGGCGTCACCCGGTGTTCAGAAGCATGGCGACAAGAATCTTCATGGGGCTGCGGAAAAAGGGTTTGTGGCAACAGACAAGTGAGTCTACATGTCTCAGCCAAGGTTTATGGGGCAGTATACTGATGCGCGAAACAGCCGAGGCGTATCTCTCATCCAGTTCGACCCGGAAGCGGAGAGGAAGTTGCGGAACAAACTCGACTACATGGTCGTTCCCACCGTGTCGATACTGTATCTGTTCTGCTTCATCGATCGCGCAAACGTCGGTATGTCATCCTCACTGCCTTCTCTCCATGTCCCACGGATCTTGTTGACTTGAGTACTAGGTAACGCTAGACTGGCTGGACTGGAAAAGGACCTCGGCATGGAGGGAAACGACTACAACAAGCTCCTATCCATCTTCTACATCAGCTACATCCTCTTCGAGATCCCGTCGAACCTCTGCTGCAAATGTTTGGGCCCCGGCTGGTTCATCCCCACCATCTCCCTCGGCTTCGGAATCGCTTCGCTAGGGACAGCTTTCGTGCATGACCTACCTTCGGCTTGCGGTGTTCGTTTCGTCTTGGGCATATTTGAGGCCGGAATGTTGCCAGGAATTAGCTATTACCTGTCACGCTGGTATCGAAGGTCCGAGTTGGCCTTTCGGCTGTCTCTGTTCATCGTCATGGCGCCGCTAGCTGGGGCTTTCGGCGGTCTCCTTGCCTCGGGTATCCTCACACTTGATCACTTCGGCAGCCTGCATTCCTGGCGCATGATATTTGGCATCGAGGGCATCATCACGATTGGCATTTCGCTGTTCGCATTCGCCACGCTGACTGACCGCCCAGAAACAGCACGGTGGCTTACCCAGGAGGAGAAGGACCTGGCCATCGCGCGCGTCAAGTCGGAGCGCGTTGGGCAAACATTGGTGCTCGACGTCATGAACCGCAAGAAGCTGTGGCTCGGCTTCTGCAACCCCATGATCCAGGCGACAGCCTTCATATTCCTGCTGAACAACATCACGGTGCAGGGTCTCGCGTTCTTCGCGCCTACTATTGTCAGCAGCATCTACCCGACAGCAAGCACGATCAGAAAGCAGCTGTACACCGTGCCACCCTACGCCGTCGGCGCCGTCTTCGAGGTTCTGTTCCCGCTGATGAGCTGGCGCTTCGACCGCCGGCAGATCTTCCTCATCGCCACGGCGCCCCTGACCATGCTCGGCTACATCCTGTTCCTCGCGAGCGACGAGCCGAGGGTGCGGTACGCGGCCACATTCTTCACGGCCATCAACTGCTTCGCCGTGGGCTCGCTGTCCAACGCGCAGGCCTCGGCGCAGGTCGTCAGCGACACGGCCCGCAGCATGGGTATCGCCACGAACATCATGTACGGCAACATCGGCGGGCTCATCGCCACCTGGTCGTACCTCTCGTGGGACGGGCCCGATTATCCGATCGGTAACGGCCTGAACCTGGCGGCTTCGAGTCTCATCTTGATACTGGCTACGGCAGGCTTGTTATGGATGAAGTGGGATAACAAGAGGAGGGACAAACTCGATGTGGACGAGAAGCTGCGGGGCTTGACGCCGGAGCAGGTTGGGAGCCTGGAGTGGAAGCATCCCGGTTGGCGATGGAAGCCCTAATGCCTCTCTCTGGATGAGTGAAAGGTATTGCCTTTAAGTTTACAAGAAAGCTGCGGGACTGATGCGTGGTTTTAGCGACGAGCGTTTATTAAGAACCAACTGCTTGCAAGTGTTGCGATTCGATGATGTGTAATATTACATTTCCAAATGAGATGGGGAGGTACCTAGGTATCTATGGTCCCTGATCTACATCTTCGTCTCGTCCATCTATTCATTCCCAAAACCATCCCAAGAGCTCCCGGGGCCATCCATCCAAGCCGCGCAAGTCCAACGTCACTCCAACGTTACTCCAACACCACTCACTCTAAGCATCACCCTTCACCCTCTTGAACAGCACCTCCTTCGTGGGGTCCGGGAACGCACTCGCGCCCATGCTCAGGTTCGCATAGCGCTCAGTCACGCCGTCGGGCAGGCGCATGTCGTAGTCGAGCAGCACGCGCGCCAGGATCAGCTTGATCTCGTTGGCGGCGAAGAAGCGGCCCGGGCACGCGTGCCGCCCGTACCCGAAGTGCATGAAGTCTTTCGTTACAGTCACGAACTGGTGCTGCTCGCGGTTCTTGTAGCCATGCGGGTCCGGGACCGTGCCGTTGCGCAGGTCCAGGAAGCGGTGGGCATCGAAGGTCTGTGGTGGGCGTTTGTGTTAGTGGTGCTGTTTGGGGAGGCGGTAAGGTAGGGGCGTGTTTTTTCGGTCTTCGAAGGTGTGTTCTTACCTCTGGGTTCTTGTATAGCTCCGGGTCCTGCACAGCAAGCGCGTGCGGCGTCTCGACCATGACGCCGGCGGGCAGTTGCGTGCCGTCGCTCAGCGTGACGGGCTTGGCGACCCAGCGCTGGAAGCGGACTTTTGAAAAATTACTCGTTAGTCTCACATCCTGAGACCAATCTCGGCTTGGGGGTACGAGCCAACTTACTCAAACTGCCCGGGTTCACGCGTTGCGACTCTTTCATGACGCTGTCGAGGAGCTTCATCTCGAAGAGCGCGTGGGTCGTCATGACGCCGTCGGTGGTGGCCAAGACGCGCTTGATCTCGTCGCGGAGCTCGGAGATGATGTCCGGACGGGCGACGAGGTCGTAAAGACTGTACGGTATCCGTCAGTATAAGCCCAGCCCAGAAGTGCTGGCCAGGGAGCTCTTACATCATGGTCACCGTCAGCGTCGTGGTGTGGATAGCCGCCATACTCATGTTCAGCTGCGTCTCCGCCACGACATCGTCGCTGAGACCAAAGTCGTCGACCTTGTTCAGCATCCACTGCAGGGCATCATCCGGCAACTCGCGTCCGGCGCGCATGGCCTCGCGCCGCTCCCTGATGACGGGCGCCAGGAACGCGTGCGCCTTCTTGCGCTCCGCGTGCAGGGCGTCGACCTCGGGCGTGAAGTAGCGCCCCAGCCAGCGCAGCTTCGAGCTCCACTGCTTGAGTTTTGAGACCGCGTTAATGAAGGCCATGGTGTAGTTCATGCTGGCGTGCAGGTACTCGGGCGCCCGGCACAGGTCGGGCCCGATGAAGATGGCGCCTGAGATCACGGCTACCATCTGCAGCACCGTCGGGTAGACGGTGACGGACGTCCAGTCGTCGCACGGGGGCATCGTGTCGGTGATGGTGCGTGCTGTTTCGGCCGACAGCCGGGGGTTGATGCGGACTACATACAAGACGTGTGAGACTCGTGTGCTTGTTTCTTGCTACGTGCATCTGGATTCTGGGGTTCCTTACCTAGGGACCGGGTCAGGTCGCCGCGGATGATGTGGATCAAGAACTCGGTGAGCTTCCTGTCGCCCATGCCCAGGTGCTTGTGTTCGTTCACCTAGGTAGTCCAATGTCAGACCATGTCCCCATCGGTGCGTTACTATGTCTGTCTCTCACCACATCGAACGCCGTGTTGATGTCGATGATGTCGTCCGGCAGGCGTCTCACTTCCTCCATGAGATTCCTTGGCAGAACGATACGCTCCCCTATTTTTTCACTAAGGTCAGTACGCTTTCGCTGGAGAACTGGCGTCGCGGGTGGGTCATCGTTACCATCGAGAGTCGTCAGCCGGTATGCCTTGCTCTTGAACAGCTGGTATCCCTTTTTGTAGAAGTCTACGCCGTTCGTGATGAACGCCTTGCGTCGCTTCTCCGCGTGGCCGTACTCCTTGCCCAGGAGAGGCAGATTATTGGAATCGCCGCCGCGGCCGAGTAGCGAAGTCGCGACGAACACGCACGCCAGGACGGCAACGACGGAGGCCATTGCTGGCCATCGGTTGGCAACGACGGTCTGGATCTGATCCATGTTTGCTGGTGATCCGGGGGAGTGGTGAGATAGAGGTGGAGGTGAGACATCAGCGTCACACGTTGAGGGGAGTAGCAAACATATATATGTGATACAGTCATCGAGTGGAAGCACATACACCGCCGGTCCGTCGCCAGTGCTTGCCTCCCTTGCCTCCTCACCCGACACCAACGGCAATGGGTAGGGATATGCGAGGGGCAGTGCCCATTGTCTCTCCACAAGGATTCGTTCAGCTCAGCTTCACCCCAGCGAAGTGGGTTTCAACGCAAATAGGGGCCCTGCTCGGTACTGTACCCATCCAGCGGTAACATCGATTACCTAGCCAGTTGCCACATTGGCATCGTGCCGGGCCCTACTGTAGGCTCTTTGAGATTATTAATAACGAGTAACTGTAACCTGCCACCCTAAAAACTATAAGCTGCCACCCGCTAAGCCCAATTCGGACAACGTCCGACCTTTAATTGGCTGCACATTCCACATCGTTCGGTCAGATTTGAGCCAATCGTCAGAGTGAAGTGTCTGTGTGTGTATTCTGTCTGTCTAGAGTGTCCTTGTCAGATTTGAGCCAATCGTGAGAGTGAAGTGTGTGTCTGTATTCTCTCTGTCTAGAGTGTCCTTGTGCGACCGTGGCAGTTTTGTGCCAGAGGGGGCTGGATCGGGACGAAACAACTAGGTTCCGTTGTCTACCTGTCAAGGTGCCTTCTAGGCGTACCTTTAATCCAACACGTTCCCGCACCATGTCCCCCAACATCCAAAGTACCTTCATTTACATGCGTTTCCTACCTAATCCGAAGTACTTCCTATAGTTTCGCTATTTAAGATAAAATACCGCAGCGATCTTTTATCGCAACGACGGGTTAATAATTAAGATTAGCGGTTAGGGTTAGCGGTTAAAGTAAGCTAGAGGTTTAAAAGACAGTGCGAGCCCTTCATTTATAAATGTATCCTTGTATACGCCGTAGTAGTAGTAGTAGTAGTAATAGTAGTAGTTGTAGTAGTAGTAGTAGTAGTATGAAGCTGCGCGTTATAATTACAGTAGACTGAGCGCTATAGTTATAGTGGGTTGAGCGCTGTGATCTGGGATGCTGTTCGAATCGGGCTTAGCGGGTGGCAGCTTACGGTTTTCAGGGTGGCAGGTTACAATTACTCATTAATAACCTGCCAACCTTCCACGCCTCGAATGCCGTGCCTTCGTATGATCCGTGACCAATGAGCTGACAGTCCGAAAAAGTTCTACCGGCTGGGATGCGTGTGGATCCCAGCCACTGGATCTAGCTACCAGTACCCTATCGGATCTCCTGTCATCCAGGGCGTTCTACGATAAGGTTACCTGGGATGGCTGCCCCAGGTGACAGGTACCAACCCACTGTAATTTAGGTATTTAGATACTTCTCGGATGGGATCCCTTCTCATCCGAACTTAACCAAGCACCGACAGAATACAGATCATCCCAACCAAGACTTGTGATAGATCTCCGTTCTGGTTCCGCTACCACAAAAGCACATGCGTGCCGCAGGATCATGCTTTAATGACAGCTCCTTCGGAACTTTTCTAGTGCTCACGTAAGCGCAGTCCGGCTCGGTTTCGTAGCAACAGTAGAAGTATTTGTTACATCCACTATAAGCACCATAAGAACTGAAATTACCTCGTATGTAAGCGATCACGAGGGTCTTCATTCTCATGTGATATTGCTCGATTGGACAAAGGGGTACGAGACTCGATGTAGCATACCGGTGCTTAGTTGAGAGGAGTAGAACGCGAGCGCGATGGGCGTCGGTCGGAATCTTGACCCGTGACCTTGCCGGACTATTACTAACCTAAGCTTACGGTATGCACGTCGTCCCGTTGGCCGGAGACGGGCGCTCGTTGATTTCTCTTTGAGACAAGCGGTCACTCCAGTCCCGGGGGCCGGCATCCGGACAATCCAGCGGTCGTAGTCCAGGCTACCAAATTAACTGTTTTACCCGCCCATTGTAAGGCTACCTAGCTCCCAGGCAGCCAGATAGGACTGTCGTCCCTAGTTTCCGGGTCGCTATAGTAAGACAAGTTGCCCTGTTCAGCTTGATGGCTGGGTATCGAGCTGTGCCACAGTGTAGAAAACTGGGCTCTAAGAGATACGGCCGGGATCCTGGTGCTGTAGCATGTAGCATCCTGTGATAGTACCACTTGGATGGCGACGAGCAATTCAGGATCCCAGCTCAGCCGAATCACGGCCAGACGAAGGCGCATGGTGTGAGAGACACATACCCAGCATGTTGGCTGACTCCGAAGCTATATGTCCCGAGATACGTTGGTCGACAGGGTGACCGTATGTCCATTATAGACACGAAGTGGCACCGGTACGTTATGCGGTGGCTTGCTATCGTACACACCCCTTGAACGGATCTACAATTCTATATAATTGACTATACCCGCCCCTACTTCTCCTGAAATTGTCATTATCCAAAACCGCCTCACCAACACCCAAACATCGCAACACCACCCGCCGCCCAGCCATCACGAATCCAAATACTTCCTCCTCAACCTCCCCTTCCACTCCTCCAGCGAGATCCACCTTTCCCCGCCCTCCCCATTCACACCATCTGGCAACGGCACCGCCCCCTTCGGCAGCCCCGCAAACCGACCGGGTTCCCAGCGCGGGATCTCGACAAACGCGTGGTCCCTCCTGCACGCAAATCCCTTCTTCCGGCCCAGCTTGTCTTGTAGGAGCAGCGTGTGGCACTCCTTATCGAGCTGGACGTGGCCGACGCAGTCGGCGCAGCTGTATAGCGGCACGTCCATGACGGTCCATTGCTTGTCGCAGCCGTCGCAGCTGACGAACCAGCTGGGCTTGCTGGGACTGCTGTCCGTGGCGGCGTCTACGTCTGCGTCGGAGGCGCTGGCGCTGGCGGGCTGGGGTCGCGTTGCCCCCGTGTCTAGGGTGGGCGTTGGGACGCGGCTGCCGTCAAGCTTGTTGCCGTTGATGTCGGAGCTTTGGGACTGCACGCTACTGCTGCTGTCGGTGCGCGGCAGGGGCCTCTGCCAGACCTTTTGCACCAGAGAGGGGGTGGCATCGCTGAAGGTCGTCGTTCGCTGCCCCAACTGCTCCGCTAGAGGCTTCGCGTTGATCGGCGAGTTCACAGGCGTCATAATCCAGTCCTCCCACCGCTGCTGCGCCTCATACTGGATCAGGTTGCGCATAGCCCACGTGATGCGCGCGTTCTCGTCGTCCTGGAGCGTCGTCAGCAGGCGCGCCAGCAGCCAGTACGCCGAGTCGTCGTTCTCCTCGTCCGAGTCTGAGAGGAGTTCAATGCTGGTCCACACGATGCGCTGGATCCAGTCGCGCGCCAGCTTGGAGTCGCTGCCCAGCTTGTGGTGGTACCGGATCAGGCAGCACACCGTGATGGTCGTCATCCATACGTCGAGCACGTCGCTGGTGTCTGGAAGAAGGGCGGCTATGGATGAGCCGTAGGACTCTATCTTTTCGGAGGGCAGGTTCGGCCGGAAGGCCCGGTCGAGGTACGTCTCTGCTAGGGAGTCGGCCATGGTGTCGACCATATGCCGGGATAGAGTGTCGCTTGGGTGTGCGCGGATGCCCGTGAGGGCATCGACCCGAACAGCGACCACCATATCTTGATGGACGATGTCTTCTGCTTTTGCCAGATTTTTTGCAAAGCAATCTCGGAGTAAGAAGAGCAGGTCGTGCGCCTCTTGCTTCTTGCCGATGTCGATGGCGATGGTGAAAAATGACTCGATGACATCCCATTTCCCAGTCGCATCAGCGGCTTGCGCGAGCATGTCCGAGTCTTTGACGACGAGGTCCGATATAAACTCGTTGACGAGCTCATCGAAGTAGGCTGTCCAGACCTCGCTGGCCGCGTTCAGTGCCTCGACGAAGGCGATGAACTCGCCCCACTGCTGTGACTTTTGGTAGCGGCGAAGTACTTCGGCGTAACTTAGGAAGTGGACGTAGTCGTACTGGAGACTCTCTCGGTGCGTACGCGCAGCGAGCTCGAGGTCTTTGCCCAGGTCCCATAGACGATCCCCCAAATCGATGGTGATGCGCGCCAGGAGCGAGGAGTTGAAATGATTACCCAACCACTCATCGTCTCCACTGCGCATGTCATCGACAATCTGTCTTGCTCGTGATAGTAACCCAACGGCTTCATCGTTGCTCGTGTTCGCTTGCTTCGCGATGAAGTGGCACGCGTGCAGATTCTGTGGGTTGAGCTCAATGGCCTTTCTCGCACGTCGCTGGTAGATCTCCGTCACGTTGTCTTCATGGCACAGCTGGAACGTGACGAGAGCTCCGACCGTCTCCCAGAGCGACTTCTGAGCCGGAGTGCCGTCGACTTCATCGAGCAGTTGGGAGGCCCAGGTTTCGATCTCTAGTAGCTCTTCCAGTCGGAAGTCTTGACGCTCCCATGGCTCCCCGTCCGTCGCTTGATCTACCCTGTACAATGCTGGATCATCAGGCATCTTGGAAGCCCGGGCAGGGTCAAGCTGATGTTGATTTTAGTGGAAATCGAAAATCTGGAATTCAAGTCAGACTCACCCGCGACAGATAACCTCGGATGAAGCAGCAGGCTGATAGGAAGTGTCGCTTCAGAAACTCCTTGCGAAGGAAGAGATGAGTCGCCAAGTGTTTTGCCGCATACGAAAGAAGTGCTCCGTGCAGGTTCGTATTCGGTGTCCTCAAAGCTTTCACTAGTGACAGACCAGGCTCGGTGTTGATGAGCTTCGTCACATGGGAGTCGTGGAACCAGCGCAACATCTCCGTGACACCTATAGTTGTATAAACCCACTCACTGCGAGTTCTGCGCAGATGGAGGTACTCTTGACGGTTCCAGGTCTTCATACTCACGTTTAGGTCGAAGGACCAAAACATAGATTCGATTCCGCACTCTTCTGTAAAGAGTTTCACGAGGAGTGGTCCCACCTGGGATTTGAGTTCTGGGTTGGCTGCAGATAGGTCGACGACCTCCATGTGTTCCAGGAGGTAGTACATTGCGTAGTTCCGTATCTTCCTGCTTGTCCGTAATGACTCGTCGGTCAGGATCACCAACGAAGTAAGTGCGATATTGATATGCGCGTTGTCGGGGTCGTAAGTAATGGAACCCCCTTCTTTGACACCCGCTTTGGTCTTGAAGAACTGCTCGAAACCGAAGCGCTCGTAGAGCTCTGTCGGGCACACGTTGCGCATAAAGTGACGGACGATATCAATCTCTGTGTCCTGAATAACACGCTTCCCCTGAGACGACGCGATACTCAATACATCAGATGGATCTGGCTCTTTTCTGGGAATCTGTCCTCGAATCTCCGAGGACCGCCAGTCGACCACACCTGTGTCAGTAATGGTAAATATAGCGTACTTATCGATGAGCTTCTGCGCAAAAGGAAGCAACGAAACGGTTAGTGTAGCTGGCGGCTGAGCGTCATTGATAGCATCGCTAAGAATTGTGCTTGTCGACCGCCGAGACAGGGACTGGGTGTAAGCCGCTTTTGCCATTACGGAGCCGCCGCGATGCTTGACCGACAGCAAAGCCTCGATCGTCGCTACGTCGAACCAGCGTCGACCACTGTCGACCCACAGAATGATCTCGTTAATCTCTTCAATTTCCTTCGGAGTGCGGGAGGTGTTGAGACGCTTGATCTCCGACTGGATCTGGTCAATTCGGGATTTGTCAGCTTGCGCCAATACCTCATTGATATCTTCAACCAGGTCTACCTTGGAAAGGGCGTTCAAGCTCGTGCTCAGTTTAAAATAGTCACCACCAGACTTGTCCCGCAAGTCGTGGAGAATCTTCTCTCGCCACTCGGCTATTCCTGGCCGGCTGGCATTGCTGAGGATGGGCATGCGGCTCATTCGATCGAGGATGTACTTCTCAATATCGTTCCCGTTTCGCTCCGAAATCGGCACTGTATTGAACTGGATGCCCTGTTCGTGAACAAGAAAGTCCGTCACCATTTCGGGCCTGGCTGTCAGGAAGATTCGGGTCTTCTGGTTCTCGGCGATGGAACACAGCCGTTGAAGTAAGGGGACAAGAGGAGCATCGAGTCCATCGATGAAGAGGTAGAATGTGGTGTCGGGGTTCCGCCGCTCCTTATTGTTGACGAAGAGTTGATGCCAGAGATCGATTGCGCCTTCGAATGACGGCGTCTTCTCAACAATGTGAGCAACAGATTTCGTCATGGCCTCGTAAGCTGTGGCAATTTGCCATAGCAGTGTTCTTGTGACTGTCTCGATGACCTCGCTCGCTCCCTCTTCATCACCTTTCCTCTTGTCGCCCTCGGCAAAGTAATAAGCGGCGACCACTCTGGATGTAGGTCCCTCTTGACCCAGTCTCCTGATAGACTTCACCGTATTGGCCATCACTGTAATGGTTCGAGTGTCAGTACTTGAGGGTGAGATGAGGTCAGCCTTGCATCGACTACTGCTTACTGGATGTCTTTCCGGTACCGCTTTCACCGCGGACAACGATGATGGTCTTCTCCGGATCCTTAGCCTTAGTCCACCGAGAGCAAACCTCGTCTTCCCTCCACCACAACCCTGTGTCTTCGACTAGCGCGTTCAGGCGAGACTCGAACGCCCTCTGCCAGACCGGGATTGGTTCCCCATCCGTATCAAGTGCTGTGCCGGGGAACCCAAGAGCTTTGGCTATGCCTCTTCGCCACTTCTTCGCGTCATCTTCCTTCTTCTGTTCCTTCTGGGCGTCCAATATCAACTTGATATCCCCAGCGCTGTCGCTTACGATCTTGTAGGTCTGGGCATTCACTAGCAGTGACTCCTTGGCGTTGAGCTTCTCCATCATGCCTAGCAGGTCCTGGATGCCATCATCGCTTAGGAACAGCTGTTTGGTGAAAGCAAGAAAACGTGAGTGCTTCTTGCGCAGCTTGATTGTCCGGTCGCATATCTGGACGAACAGCCGAAGGTTCTGGCAGGCAACGCGTGAGAGCCTGGCGTCCATCCGATCTTTGTAGGACTCTAGACGCTCCAGGAACTCGACGCATTTCTCGAGGAGCTCCGCGAGGTTTTCGAATATCCCCTCGTAGCCCTGCCATGCTTGTATGACAAAGGTGAGCGCGTTGTAGCACATCCCCGCTGGGGCAAACACCTGCGGGGACTGAGTAAGCGGTCTTGAGGAAGATTAATGACACCTTATCGTTGGTACACGTACATTGGAGACGCCATCCGTCACGATGCCACCGACCGTACTAATGCACTGAAGGGTCTTTGTGACGGCGTTTTTGAACGTGCCATACTTCTCTGCCTGCTTCTTGTCCTTCTCGCTCACATTATCGATATACCTCAGCACCGCGTCAATATCGAGAGTTGTCTGGACCTTTTTGGGATCGCCGCCGGCTAGCTCGATGACCTTGTTGTGGACTTCCGACCAGATAGCCTCGATCTCCCTCTCGGCAGTCAGGTCCGCCTTGCTAGTGGTGGAGCCCGTGCTCAACACACTGGTTGATGCTTGTAGTGTGGACGGCGGCATTTCGAGGGTCGTCCCGTCCTGGTGTGAAGCTCCGCTTTTCGAGCATTCACTTTGCTTGCTCACTTGCAGCTGTATTAAACATGAAATGCAACGCTGATATCCGACAATGATGTACCAAGAAGATCTTCAAAATGAACGGAATGATGCTCAAGCCGCAAGAAACAACAATCCCACGGGCGTTGGGCTGCCACAGCACATATAAGTATGTAGTTGAACCAAACCAGTTGGCCCCCAAATCGGTGGGAACGCGGCACAAGGCAACAGGCTGACAGGGGCAGCTGAGCAGGGCCAACAGAGGCCGTCACTCAGCCGCAGTCCATGCGCTCGTTGGTGGGTGGCTCTGGAAATAGCAGCAATGATTGGTGCCCTGGTGTTCCGCAAGGATCCGGGGCCCACGTCGCTCAGGGGTTCCCATGACTAAGAAAATGTCACTGATCTGCAGTGTTCGCGCATGAAGTGAACGAATGTCGCCTCGTCGCAAGTTGCAAGAGGAGCACATGCTTACAAGGTAGGCAGGCAAACACTGCCTGCCTACATATAGTCAGCCTCACCGAAACTGTCGCACCTTTGTACGGATGTTACTGCGATTTTGCGAGAGGATATGGTCACACTCGGGACTCGGCAGTTGTTACCCTGCAGTCATCGCACCATTCCGGGGGATAGCCGGTCTTAAGAGCTGGTGAACATGAAACGCTGTTGGGTCTCGAAACTCGAGATTGTTCCGTTTCGTTTCGGTAAGTATGCGCCGTCCCAATCCTTCGGGATTCTGGTAGGGCTCACGAACTGATGAGATATGGATAGGAACATCTCGACCGGGCGCACATTCGTGAGCTAGGCGCTCGATGCAACAGAGATTGCCGCTCTCCATGCGCTCGAGTACAGGGCCTACGATGCGAAGCAGCACCAACTGCCTCCTCCAACACAAGGCTGACTTGACTTGTACAGACTGTGCCACCCAAACCACATACCTGTTTAGGATTGCAAAATCTCGATTGCTTACCGGCGGCTTGGTCGCATCGAATACGGTCGAGTGGATGATTATCGCTGCCTAAGAGTCTGTAGAATTTGGACAGTTCGCATAGCAACATACTGTAAGTGCTAGCAAGCAGGACGCGTAATGACGATCATTTGTGTGATGAAGAAGAGATGGAGCTGGTGCCAATCCATCTCTGCTAGCTAGGAATCTGACCAAATATGGTGGTCACATGACCGCTCCACATAAGTCCATTCCAGCGATCTATCCTGTCATCCTCCATCCTCTCACACCATGTGTCGCGACTGTCTAGAAACAGCGTGTGGTATCACATCAAGCCTCACTCGAGCAAAGCGATACCCAAGTCACCCCTTTACCCGTCCATGACCTTCACCCTGTCCCAATCAGCAACTAATGACGGACGCGTTTCCGGGCGCACTGTAGGCCTTGCCGTCGTTGTCCGGCTTGCCAGTCTTGCCGTAGATGTTGATCAGGATGCTCGGGTCGTCCTGCGCGTAGGCCCCCGGGAAGCTGAACGTCTGGGCCGGCGAGAAGGTGCCGGATCCAGTGACCGTGAGCTGGGCGCAAGACATGTAGAACTGCGCCGCCAACAATTTACTGGCCGAGTGCAGTGCCAGGATCTCGACGCGCATCAGGTAGTCGCCGGCGGCGATGCACGTCGGCAAGTCGAAGTTGACCCAGCCCGCGTTGGCGATCATGTTGTCGACGCCCCACGTCAGGGTCGACGTGTCGAACGTGTCCTCCCAGATCTTGAACCACGAGAGGCCCGTCTTGCTCGCCGACGCCGCGGACCCGTCCACCTTGGCCAGCCACGCCGTGACCGGGCCCTTGTGCGACGCGGCGATCGGGTTGTCCGGGTCGTTGGCAAACTGCGCGCCGCCGATCACGTGCCCGAAGTAGGCGCCCAGGGAGTCGCCCGCCGCCACGCTGATCATCTTGTCCGAGGTCGTGCCCTGCTGCTGGCAGATTATATCTTGTGATGTCACATCATAGACGGGGTTGTTGTTGGACGGGGCCCGCAGACCGACGAGAGAGCCTTGGTCCGCACCGTTGACAGAGACTTCCTGCGTGCAATGTGAGTCCGCGTGTATGTCGGCCGAGCTGTCAGACGTACCTGGAAGATGGTGTGGGCCTCAGCCGAGAGGGCGAACGCGAGAGCTGTTGCGACGGAGAACTTCATCTTGACTGTCAGTTGCGGGGTTCTGAGACCAGGTACTGGGGCCCAGGGCGTTTATATAGATGACTGTTTCCATCAAGACCTGGGGAAACCGGGGATGGTACCCATATCAGTGCATGACGGCCGTCGCGGAATGCCGAACGAACGTGTGAGGAACTACATGATCGTCACATTAGCGGGATCTGCATTCGTGTATCCGTCGAATCTCGCATGACCCAGAGATCACTTCGCGCTCCGACGGCGAGCCGTAGTAACGCTGGCTCCGCGGACACGGCCCGGCAGAAGGTTGCAATCTACCCGGCTATTTGGAAAGCCCTGGACATGGTGGCCTCCCAACACCAGATGACTTCGGTAAGGACTAGGGTACTATAGCCGGCAAAACGACGGGAACCAATAGATTGGCAGAAGTCCGCAATCGCGTGGGTGAGGTTGGTCTCTTCATATAGCACCTGTATCTGATTGGGGTTGGTATTCCTGGGGGCTTTCGTGGATTTGCTCCGCTCCGGATTTGAAAGCAGACAATCGCACCGAATAGTACTTGACTTGGGGTGTGCTCATTTATCTACAGAGAGCATCCGGGGCGCACGAAGGCTTCCGATAGAAACAATCCGCGTTGGAGTCAGCACGATATCGTTCGCGGCGCGCATGATAGTCCATGACGAGCGGCACTCGCCGACCCTCCCTGTAAACCACCAATTTCACGAAATTCCTGATCTCGCCAATCTACTTCGAAAGCAGTCTAATTAATCGCACCGAAAATCGATGCTCCTGTGTTCTGCGCTTGGATATCCGATTGAAGGTGTTGAATCGTCCATAGGCGTGTCGATCATGTATTAATATGTCATGATACGCTTCATGGACTCAGGGGCCATACTATCGTGCTCAAGTTTGCTACGCCATTGGTAGAAGGCTATGCAATCCTGGAGGCCGTTGCAAGTGGCGCTTGTCTACGTCTCGCGTCGAAACAGTCGCTTTCGATTATGTATTGCTGTAAATAGCAGTTAGCCAGGTAGCTAGGTAGCTAGAGAGATTTGAGTCGTATCATTGCAGACCTAGGTTCGATTTCTATCAGCAGTAGCTGCTGTTCTCCTTTAGGCTCATCTGAGAGGACAACTGTCCCTCAGCCTAGCAATCTCTTGGAAGCCGTAAAGGGAACAAGACGCAGCACTACCGCATGACGACGTAGGATGTTGAAGATTCAAAAATAATATCGTATCCGTTGCTTGATCTTCCAGCACATGAACAGTGGTTGGCCAGTCAGAGCTTATCAATCAGAGCTTATCAAGCAGGCAGGTCACAATGCTTCGGAGGAGAGTATGTTGGGGGGATGATAATGCTATAGTAGCATTCTGGATGCTGTCTATGAATACAAGTGCCCATCACACTAACTTCTTGAGCACGGCAATGAGATAAGCTACCGTCGCCATCAAAGCTAACCAGACCGTAGCGTGTGATGTTTAATGGTGTCAAATGCACGCGAAGAACAAGCCCCCCGCAAGAATCGATTCACAATCTTCCCAATGGCGCCAATCTCGCCACAAGGTTCTGTCCGATGAGGTGCCCGAAGAGGTCGCGTTGCTGTCTGCGGTGACTGGGGAGCAGTCGCTGTCAGAGGTGGTTGAGTTGCCTCTGCTCCCAGACGTGGCCTTTTTGCCTTCTGCGCCTCCGTATTCGGCAAGTCCGGCTTTTTGATCTCAGCTAATTCCTCCAAGGTGAAGGTTGACGCTCCGAAAAGAGCCTGGTCAAGGCCTTGTACTGTTGCCACGATGTCGCTGTCTGGTTCTTGGTTCGCCGCTGCATCTTTTCTCACCTGGCGGATATGAGAGACCTGTGCCGATGAAGAAAAGATCATTTCACTGATAGCAACTGTCGCGACCTTGGCCGGCCACCTGGAGACTTCCGACGCTGATCGCGGTCTTTGCGATATTGTTCAGCGTCCCGCCTGTCCACCAGCGGCCAGGCGAAGCCGAGCTGCGCGCCGCTGTCGGACAGCTTGAGCTGGTATCGCAACGTGTCGCCGCCCTGGCCTGGGGTGGGAGCTGCTGCTGGTTGGTGGCGGATCGGACGATGTAGTTGACGTTGGAGTCGACCGGGCTGACGTTGATCCTGGGCGAGGAGGGTGATTATAGCTGCGGTGGAGTAGTGGTGCCCTTTGGTGATCTGGCGAAAGGATTCCATGGTCGCGATTAAAGTTGCTCCCAAGCGAGGGCTCGTTGTCGGCCGTGGCAGTGCCTCCGTCACTGTGATGAATGACTTGGTTAGCGATGGACGGACGGATAAGACCCGAGGGATGAAGCGTGGCAGAGGAAGGATGTGACAGGTGGAGTAGGTGGCTGAGGGTTGATACGACAGAAGCAGGGGTGAAAATGGCAGAGTCGAGAGTGAGGATAATGCAGACACTTGCGGTAATGGACCCGTCGAGGGGGGGTGGACTTGAACGAGGACATGGCGTGGGATCGCGGTTTGGCTTGAGTGAACGAGGTCGGTGGTACGGATGAAGGGGAGTCGAAGGCTGGACACGGATTGCCTGCTCGCTGTCCATTTTGGAAATGTCTGTCGTGCTCTGGAAGGAGGCGCGGACGGTAAAGGAAGCAGGGTGGAACGGCCAAGGGGCAGTTCTGATACGGTCGAGGGCTGGTATGGCGACGGTCTATTGATAAGAATGGTGATGGGCCCATAAAGATGGTGTGATGAAGAGAAGAAGAAGAGGGCGAGGTTCTGGGCGAGGTTCGCGGACTTGAATAACACAAGGGGAAGAGTCACGAGGAAGGCGTCGAAGATTTGATGCGGCATCGTCAAACTATCTGGGAAGGGCCGCAGGCTTGACGCCAACCTCGCGAGCAGTCATAGCCGGAGAGATGGAAGGCGTCGACGTTTGATACAGCAGGGCCAAAACATCTGCAGAAGGGCCACACACTCGATGTCGCCCGCAAGAGAAGTCGTAGCTAGGGAAAGGGAAGGCGTCGGCACTCTGAATACGGGTGCCCTGAGCCCACAGAAGTCTCCGTGGAGGCTACCTTTCAATCGGCCAGGCAATTCCAAGGTGCCTATACGTTGTCCATACTTTGATGCCTGAGGATACGGTACCCACGGCGACTTTTGAGGGGCGACTGTACAGCATGTGTAGAACATCTGGAAGGTGTCGCGTACATGTACTTGACTTCGACCCAGCAGAAAGAGACGTGCTTCAGTCTTCAGAGTGAGCAGGGGTCGACGGGTACGACACTGGTCGAGCCAAAGCGCAAGCACAGTCGCTCTTGGGAAAGACTGCGCTACTAGCTGCATTTTTGGCAAGCGGAGTGGGAACTCTTTACTCCTGAGGAGCATGCGCGGCATGGACGTGACCTCAGCAGCCGTTGCAACGGGCAGTCTTGCTACAGACCTCGAAGCATCCGTGCTGGCAAGAAATCGCCATCGAGCGTGCTTGAAGCTCGTGCTTTCCCATCCAAAGATCAGGGGCGGTAGCACAGCTTCCAGTGCTTTCCCAGGTGAGTGGCTGCCACGTGGAGAGTGACGGCAGGCGCTTCGCACGATCCAAAACCCACGATCGCTTTGTGATATCGTGCAGGCGTTCTGGTATCCGCAGAACAACAAGTCTTTTTTTACCCCCTCCCCCCTCCCCCCTCCCCTCTCCCATATGTCGGCCTTCTGGCAGTTGCAGTGGACCATCTGCATATAGTCTTCTGGGTACGACGGGAGCGGATGTCTGCCGGTTCCTGATCCTCAACGTGTGTGTGATGGTGCCTCCAGATGTGACGGTTGTGGGTTCCTGGCTGACCAAGTTAACAGGGTAGATCGTCCATGCACTCAAGTCGGTGATCAAATCATTCATTAGATGTTCTTAGGTTGCAGAAGTGAGCCCATATCTCGCATTCGCATCACCCATCTTTCAGCTGAAGTACCACCATGCAACGCAGCAAGCAGTGCACAATCCTAGTACCACTGCACCTTCTCCTCGTCCATCTTGCCTTCCTCGTCTAGCTGTGCCATCAGCTCCTTGATACGTGCGACCAAAGCCTTGCCATATTCAGGCCCCAGCGGAGGCGCAGGCTTGTCCAAGTCGGGCCGAAGCCAAGGATGGGCTTGATGCCGGCTGAAGCCTTCATCATCACGTCGATTGCAGCATCATCGTAGCCCGCACCGCAGATGACAGCAACAGGAGGCTTGGAGTAGTCTTTACGTCCCAGGGCGGAGTCGCAAGGTGGTGACTCGCCCTTGAGAATAGCCGGGATCTCGGCTGCGCCAGCCTCGGCCGCCATGATGAAATGGATGACTACGCTATGGTTAGCCACTTCACAGCGCGTTGTTCGAATCAAAACCACGAACCGTCGTACTGAGGTTTGAGGCCGGCGATGACACCTTTGCCAATCTGTTCAGTCTTGCCGCACAAGATGACCGGGGCGCCCATGATGAAGCGGAACGATGGATCGTGCGTCTCCGAGGGTACAATGATAGTGACATCCGAAAAGAATATCACAAAGGGCGAAGTAGGAGATGCTGTGTAGTGGCAAGTGTAATTGCTCAGAAGGAGGCGTCGGTCAGCGGCAGGTACGTCGGTAATGAGGATCCTGTGCAACAGGGGTAGTACAGTGGGTCAGCACAAATACCGAACACCTCACTCTTGTGACGGCCTGCACAGACCTTCCCACATGACAAGCCGATACTTCCCAATAAGGGAAGGATCTGACCAGAGGATCCCCTTAAAGGGGCAACCTCCCGCTGTACCTATCTCTCTCTCTCTTCCTTTCCTCTCTAGTCTTGATATTCTCGTCAATAGAGTAATAGCTGCTTGCTGCAGGCCATGTCCCAGCTCCCCAGTATGCTCGCCGTGACAACTCTTACATAAGAACCCTTCTTGTTATAACCACGTTAAAAGCCTTATGTGAGATAAATAAAATACAAGATAAATATAGATATATAAAGTTTTAAGACCGTAATAAAGCCGACATTTTAAAATATTATAACTTGGATAATTATATAGATTTCAATAAAACTGTGACGGCTGTGGCGGCCTGCACAGACCTTCCCACATGACAAGTGGATACCTCCCAATAGGGGAAGGATCTGACCAGAGGATCCCCTTAAAGGGGCAACCTCCCACTGTACCTATCTCTCTCTCTCTCTTCCTTTCCTCTCTAGTCTTGATATTCTCGTCAATAGAGTAATAGCTGCTTGCTGCCGGCCATGTCCCAGCTCCTCAGTACGCTCGCCGTGACAAAAACTACATAAAAGTAGATATTTTATACTTATTTTTATTTTTTTAATTTGGTCGATGCATCTAAATAGCCTTTCAATGTAGGTTGAAATACACTATTTTTAAAATTATGACTGAATTATAAATTCTATTTATTTTCAAAAGATCGTTTTAAAAAAGAATTTTATATAAATATATGATTGGTTTTTTAATAGTGCTGATAATTAAAAATAAAACGTATATAAGTAACATAAAACCACTAGTTTAATATCTATATAGTAAAGATTTTTCAATATCTTTCTCTTATCTCTAATCAAAGAAAGGCTTTGATAAGCGTGTCTAAAAATGTGAGAAGTAAAATTGAAAGGTGTTCGGTTTTTTTGTCCACCCACTGTACCAACTGCATATTTGGGGTGGCAAGCCCATGCAACCGTGGTGCCAACAGCATATTGGGGTCGAGGCCCCGAGCCGGTTATGAAACGGTTATCCAACGCAGTAAGGTGCAACTGCACGTATTCAATTTGATGCTGTTATTTCCACTGAGTGGCATGCAATTAATCGTACTCAAAGTAATAAACTAATTGAATGCACCATGTATCATAATCCGCAGTCCACAGTTATTCCTGAGAGTTTCTTCTCCATGGCAGCACATTAACTAAAGAGACCCTGTACCCCTCCCATCCGTATTGACATGACCTGACCAAGTTTAGCTGTCCCCTTTATCTTGCAGACCAGTACCTTCACGTGCTTGTAATGTCGACAGGGGGGGTTATTGAAAGGCCAACCATAAAGGGGGGGTAACTAGTATATGGTTTTGCAAAGAGGTATAAGATTAATCGGGCGCAGAAGCCATGTATATGTACACGAATGGTTCCTTTATTGACGGGATGCTTCCTGACAGGGATTTCTGTCGCGCTTCTTTCACTGCTTCAATTCCTGAGGGCAACAATGGCCTTTTCCAAGCCAGGAACGAGATGGACTCAAGAGCAGGAAGCCACTCTTCCCACTCGCCAATCTGGGTGTTCATCTCCTTATTGGCCTGGTCCGAAAAGAACAAGGCACAGTTTTCATCGAGCCACGCATAGGTGAAGTCCTTCTTCCTTTCTTTGCGGGCTAACTCAACCAACGCCATTTCACGGCGCAAGACTTTGAATTCGTCAAATTTGCCGGCAGTGTCGTCCACGGGAAGCAGAACATCCCAGGCGCTCTGGCCTTTGGGTCCTGGGATCACAGACCATCCGGCGATCGCGACGCTGTGCTTCCTCAGCCCTTTGTGAGGAAAGGAGTCCTGGGCTACACCCTCGGTCGAAATGATGTAGCAGTCCGTATGACCCACTATCTTGATTTGCTCTTGGGGGTTCGTTGACAGGCGCAAATGGTATGGTTGGTATGCTCCATCGCTTCCTGCGATCTTCACCAGGATTCTCGTGATCTCCGTCGAGAGAATCCGTTGAAGGCCCTTGAGGAAAAATCCATCGTGCCAAGCTTCACTGGCTGGGATCATGATCGTGGAGGTTGGGTGTAGGCGGAACTCTGGGGTGATGGTGACGAAACGCTCGTTTGCAGGCGGGCGGATATGGGTCGTGACCATTCCATCGGCGCCTCGGCTGACTTCCTCGGACGTGCCCCAGACAAGGGCATATTCAATGTCCCCCTCGGCGCGGATGAAGTAAATCGGGCTGATGGACCCCATTGCTGCCAGGAATGCAGTCCGGGCATCGTGGTTAACGTACTGTATTGGGCAAGAACCTTTAGCTGTGGCAAAGTCGTCGCGGTGGATTCGAAGGGGTTGGAGGTCTCCGCGCTCGGCGTATTCCATGTGGAGGTGACAGATTGGCTCGCTGGACCCGAAGTGTTGCGTCAGTGCTGTCTTCCAAATGAGATAGGCGAAATCTTGTGGTAGGTTTGGGAACACCGTAAACATCCTGGGAGGCTGTTGCTCCATGATAGGCAATATGCTGCACGCAGAGGGTCAATAGGTGAGGGCATATGCTGGTGGTAATTGCGGCTAAACTTGCAGGTTCGTGAGGATTGATGTAGGCATGCCAGAGTCTACAGTCTCGGAAGCTGGGGATCTGCGGGGTTAAATAGACCTGCTAGTTAATTGATACCTGGAGTCACTTGACATGTGCTCCGAGCTCTCCTGTTGGCTCTGAAGTACCCACGGACTCACTGTAATGAAGATGAATGATCTGCATGCTCATATTATCCTGTCGGTGTTGTGACGGCTTTGGTCATGTTTGTTAGCCCGTTGCCATGTGTTGCCAGGCCATTTCGAAATTGTTCGGAGCCTCACCTTGGATGAAATCTGTCATACCAGATCTCATTGGAGAGCTGGCTTGGTTTGATGCATCCTATGTCAGTAGAGAATGGCGCACTGTCCTTTTGATCTGACTTGAGATCCATAAGATCTCGCCTGTGACAAGTCGGCTCGCTTCGTCCCATTACCTGGAGACTTGAGTAGGGCCATCACCACCATCAAGGTGAGTCAATGGCTGTATCTCTAATTTTGACCCTCGGTGGGCCAAATATGGCTGTTTGGACTTTATTCTAAACCTCGTTACGCGCCTTTATGTGACTGCACAGTAGATGACACAAAACCTTGTCCACTTGTGCTACCTATAGTACTGATTCATATTAGACCCAAGTGATTTCCATCAGCAGCCACTTTGCACGGTACAGACTGATATTTGTTGCTTCAACTCCATTCAAACCTGGGGTGGTTTTTGTTAGATATCATAACAGTGGCGTATTTAGCCTTGTTATGATGTGTCATCCTGTGGAATCACATGTAGCTATCAGAGGTACCTTTCCACCTATTTAAGGAAGACGGTACCCCCATTAGCTACCTTCTTTCCCTTCCAATACAGACCATTCCTAAATTTCACAGTTTTCGGTCAGCACAGCCATAGCGCCATAACCCGTTAGCTGACTCCTGAAGCATTCTCGCGCACAAGCACAGAGTTATACTCATTGCTCAGCATAAAGAGTATGTAACCTCTTCATTATTGCTACATGACCTCTTCAGCAGTTTATATAGCATTACATTCACACAGCTTGCTACCTGTGTGTGTCTTGGCAGTTGCTCTTTGCTCCTTAGTGCAAGGTCTAATGCAAAGTTTTATGCAAGGTTTAGTGCAAAGGGTTGACAGAAGAAGGCACGTGATGTCGCGTCTTGGTGGAACGCGCTAGAGCACGCTAGCCAGGTATGCAGCTCAAAGAACTTCAACTTTTCTTTTTGTCTGCCCCTCTCCGCCATTTCAGGCTCAGAGCATCGCGGGACGTCCAGTGCCATGCGGTGAGGAATTCCCCTGCCATGTATCAAAAGGTAATACCTATCAGCACCAGTCCAGGGCAAGTATTCTGAATAGCGAGGCCACCTGCAGGTAGTCGTGTTGAAAGAGCGCTACTGCACAGGCTGCCTAGGCTTCCCCAGAGGCACTAAACTGGTGCCCGCATCCGCTGAAGAACGCTTGGACCTCCACGCGTTTCTTTTCTCTGAGACTAAGACTTCACCGCGCCCGTTTGCCGTCAAGGTTTTGCTATCTCTCCTCCTCCTTGTCTCGCACCCCCCAACTCCCAACTCCCACCCAAGGGACCAGTGTCGAGTTGGGCAGTCTGTGAGATACGACCTGCTTCCTCTGGTAGCCTATCTCCTCCTGCCTATGATGCTACCTTGGGTATTTCTTTGATCTCTCCCGCCAAGTCGGGCGCTCCGGATTTGGACTGCCTTTGGTCGTTAACATATTCACCTGGGGTCAGGTATTTGTGGTTGCTCGGGTACCTCGTCTTTCTCCCACAGTGCAGCACACTTTTCTCTTCATACCATCCCTCACAGTTTCTTCCTACTACGACGCATCTTGTCACATATTCGTCCGACCATTGCACCACTGCTAGCCTCAACCTGCAAGAGGAAAGACCAAGATGCCGCCTCCCCCGGCCTTCGACTACTATGCCCAGCTTGAGGTCTCGCGCACAGCCACTGACGAAGAGATCACTACTTCGTACCGTCAGCTGGCTCGAAAATGGCATCCTGACAAGAACCCTGAGAACGTCGAGGAGTCCACCGCCACCTTCCAGAAGGTATAGCCTCCCATCCTCGTTCCGTCCGCCTCACTAGTGCTAACTCACATGACCCAGATTCAACTAGCGTACGAGACACTGCGTGATCCTGTCCATCGCCGACGATATGACACGCCTCGGCCAACACCTGGATATCCCCCGGCATACAACCCACCCCGAGCAAATACCAACCCTTTCCACCACTTCGACGATGACGATGAAGATGACGATTGGTACAATGAGTACGAAGATGAAGACGACGACGACGAAGAAAACCTCGAAGACTTCCTCTTTCGCCACTTTGGAGGACACTTTCATTTCGGTGGTAGTTCTTATGGCGGTGGACAACCACAGACTAGGGAGGAGTATATAGAAGCCAGAGCTGAGAGGGAACGAAGGGACCGGGAAGAGACTTTCATCGCTCGCGAGGTCGAGCGGGAGCGCCACGAGAAGGCCGAGAAGCGAAAACAGGCAAAGGAGACCGCCATGAAAGCCGAGGAGGAGGCTCGCAACAACGAGAGAACATCTCGACTTCACCAGGAGAAGCAAAAGCAGGAGGCTCGCTGGCAACGACTCAATGCCACCACCAAGGACGAGAAGCTAGCGACCTGTCTCCATTCCGAGGGCTGCAACAAGGTCCCCCAGAAGAAGAAGTTCAAGTGCGTCGCATGTAGAGCCAAGAGGGGTATGTTGGCATTTGAGTGTCCTTACTGTGCCTTGTTCCTCTGCCAGCTCTGTGTCAACGATTCTGCCAAGAAGCGCCTCCAGGAACAGGAAGATCTAAAGCGGGAGGCTCACTCAGCGGCCCAACCAGAGCCGGAGCCAGAGTCTGAACCCGACCAAGAGGACGAGGAGATGGCAGGACCTCTGAATGCACAGGCCAGGAAGAGAAATACTGGTCGCGGCAAGAAGATGAACGATGCCGATAAACTATGCTTCAACTGCGGCGAGATCGGTCATTACGCCAAGCATTGTGTTTACCCTGCCCGGCAACGTTCCCATGAGCCTGAGCAGCCGGATGAGGCCAAAGCACCTGCTGACGGGCAAGCCAAGAAGGGCAATGATGGATGTGGCAAGAAGACGGATAAGGATGATAGGCCTTGCCTCGGCTGCGGCCAGTATGGTCATTTGTGGAAGGATTGTGTGCACCTTGCCCGGCCAAATCCCCTTGGACCTGAGCGGCAGGATGAGAACAAGCCACCTGCGGGCGGACAAGCCAAAAAGGGGAATGCTGCACGTGTGAAGAAGATGGATAAGGCGGATAAGCCTTGCTTCAACTGTGGCGAGATTGGTCATTTCGCCAAGCACTGTGTCAACTCTGCAAGTCAACGTCCACAGGGCAGCAATAAGCCACAAGGAAAGCAGCCACAAGGAAAGCAGCCACAAGGAAAGCAGCCACAAGGAAAGCAGCCACAAGGAAAGCTGGCAGGTCACCAGAAGCACGGTGGAAGGCCTGGTGGAGTTCACGATGGCAAGCCCTTGAACAACCCAAACCGTACCGATTCTACCTATATCAAGACCAACGGAGACGCCACCGGCAAGGCCAATGGGGAGACACCTGCCAAGGCCAATGGAGAGACACCTGCCAAGGCCAAAGCAGAACCACGCGTCAAGACCAGCGCAAAGGCACAGGAGAAGCATGGCCAGGACGCAAGCGAGAAGCTACAAGAGAAGCCTAACGGGAAGGGACATGGCAAGCCTAAGGGAAAGCCACACAGGAAGCCTGATGGAAATGCCAGTCACAATGTAGGCGGTGCCCAGACGAGTAGCAAGGTCTAGGGATTTGATACCAGCATGGGACTTGGGAGCGCGGAGTTTAGGAGACTATTTGGTTGATCTTCACATTCTACTTGGGTGTATCTCGTGAAGCAGGTAAAGAACTTGACTTCAGCCAGTAGACACCAGACCGACGAATGAGTGTGCCCCATATGGGCTGGCTTGCTTGACACATGAACATGATGAGCAATCCTAGCTCAATCACCAGGATGAATTTTAAGATGGAGATATACCGGTATAGATTGTGACAGGTTTACTAACATGCTTGCTGCAATGTTATGGTAATACCAGATTCTGGCTACTTGGGTAGGAACTGCTGACACTGGCGGTCACTGATGTGAAATGATCACGAAAACGCCCACCACTAACTCACTCCCCCATCACGATAGCTGCTTGTTGTTGCTACTGGCTGATGCTTGTCAATCTAGAACTTTCAGCATGCAAAGTGAGAGGCCTTGCTTAGGCAGCCTTCCTCTTTAAAATCTTTGTTTGGTCAGGATGGTATGAAATGTAACTGCTTGGAGGACATGATACCAACTCCTAATTCTACTTGTCTAAATATACATGTTATCTTTGCATCTGTCGGCTTTGTGCAAAGACCACCTCTCTTACGTAGCCAGCCTAAGGCTGGGCATTGTCAGGGTGTTTGCTGATGGGGCGAGTTGCGCTGTATTAGGTATATTGGTTATCAGACTTCAGCACGGGTTTAAGTATATCAGTATGACAACAATCTTGGAGAAGTCCTCTATAGGCAGGTGCTGGCTCCTTTGGTTTTGTGGTCTGCCGGTCCGGTGAAGGCTTTGCTAAGCATATATGGGACTCGGCAACGGGACCATCTGCATCGTATTGATTGTGGTGGCCATCACACCTAGACGAGCATCGATTTGTTTTCAAATTAGACCAGACCGTGGTTTTAGTATATCTCAAATGACAACGACCTTGCAAATACCTGCCAGGGCAGATGCTTCCTGGTTCCTGCGATATGGCCTGCTGGTCATGTAAGGACGTTGACCTAGCCGAATTGGTTGCCAGGAGGCCTGCCCCCTATTCCTCACAACTTGCCCTCTGCAGCTCACACCCTTTCCAGGCACCTAACTACTTTGAAAGCTCTTGTTGGGATGGAAGATGCACAGAACCCCACAGATTTGTGAATAAGTACTTCGGCTGGGCGTCTTGTTCAACCTACTTCGCCGGTTCCGCATTGTTTCTACAACACCTTGCTGATTCTCCATTCTCCCATCATACCTCGCCGACCCCACTTCCTTACCATCACACCTCGCCGTTACCTTTTGGTTTCGACAATCTCGGGAACAATCCTCACTCGGCTACTTGCATTGTAAGACACCTTCTAGTCTACTCTCGTTCCTCATTGCAGTCCCAACTATGTAGTATCAAGATGGCATCTGTCGCGCAGGCGGGAATGGCGAACATGGGCGACCTCCAACGCCTGCCCCCCGAGGTCCGCAACATCATTTAACCGCTGGTGCTTGCGAAGGACTTTCCCTGCGTCATCGATTGGCCTCAACATGACGCCCTCTTCACCATGCCAGCTGCGCTCAGCAACAAGACCATCACATTCGGGAAGGGCCAGGAGACAACCGCTACCGAGCTCCTCACTCTCTTCGGTCAGATCGAGCCGGACATGGATGCCCGGGATGTCGACATTGAGAAACATACACACACAGCACTCATGAGAACATGCAAGGCGATCTACAAGGAAGCCACATCGAGCCTATACCTGGCGAACCATATCATCATCGACCGACCCTTTCTGACCCTATGGACCGACATCGTCTTCCACAACCTGAAGCACATCACCACTATGATTCTGTGGATTGGACAATTCGAGCAGCGCGGCTATGATTGGGAGATGTTGATACACCAACTATGTGCCCTCCCTCTCGACAGCCTGAAGAGCATCCAGGTCTATTTCCAACGCCCGAACCATTACCCGGATGCGGAGGAGTGGTTCACCGGTGAAGGCAGGGGTATGTTGCAGGCCATGGAGGCCATGGCCAAGATTCGCACGGTCAAGACAGGAATAATGTCAAGTTTGCTACATTGCGGCATCTAGGACGAAGTTGCACACCTGTCTACTCGGTTCCACATTGGCGCCCCTTCCTCGCGCAAGATACCCTTTCCCGGACACCTACGTATCAATTTGGAGGTCTTTTCGGATGCCCTCGATTTTAGAGCTGGTGGAGTGGGATGGTTCGTCATGCTTGGACTGGTGTCGAGACGTAAGGGCAAGACGACCTCTGGCTGCTCACAAGACTATACTGAGCAGGGATTTCGTGGAAAACGGTAGCAAGAGAATGAAAAGCACTCTCCAATATGTCAGCTCTCGTGATATTGTCTGGAAATATGGTTACGTGAAATGTTTGAGTGGACTCATCATTCCCATTCTAGATCCACGGCTACATGAATCCATGAGATCTCTGCCTTTGTTAGCTGTGTGCGAGATTCCTAGTTCTTACGTAGCCTGCTCGAGGCTGAACACATATGTGGGATATTTGTCATCAAACTGCAACACGGGTTCGGGTATAGCTTTATGACAACGACTCAAGAAAAGTCTTTCTAAGAGTGGGTGCTTGCTTCTTTCGCTTGTGGCCTGCCAGTCCTGTGAGGGTATTGCCCTGGGCGTATTGGTTCTAGGCCGCCAACCCCCTAAGGTGTTTCTCCTAGTCCGCCCTCTGCAGGCTCACTCCTTGTCTAGGCACCTACCTAAGTACTTTGATAGCTTCCATTAGGCATGAAAAATTCTCGGACCCCGCACAAATTTGTGAATTCTTTGGTTGGGTCCATTCTACAATTTCTTGATGATTTCCACCGCCCGCTTTCACATTCTTCCTACAACACCTTTCCGTCACCTCTCCCCTTCCCCAACTTCGGCATTATGTCTTACTCCATCTACATTGTAAGACACCTTCTAGCCTGCTTGCATTCCTTGTTGCGGTTTTAGCTAATTTTTGTGGGATCAAGATAGCAACGCGCGTGTCTTGGAAGGTGTTAGGCGGCAAGGATTCCAATCGGTCACGCAGGCCAAACTTGCCACTGCCGACATGGACGGCCTTTTTGGTGAGCAATCTAATGGTCGGCGGCCATCAAACTTATGCTGGCATCAAGAACATGCTGACGTTGCTATTCTCCCACCTCAGAAGCATCGAACTGATCATCATTGTCGTTCCTCAATCGACCAGGAAGGCTTCCGAGCGGAACAAGGAAGAGGCGCGAAAGTGCCACCAGGAGCGCGAGCTCTCTCTGGACCGTCTGTCCAAGAAGACAGTCTTGTAGTGCAAGGGCTACCATGGCTGCAACCAAACCTTCGCCAAGTCGGCGGCCCTAGGTAAGCACATGCCCACCACCTACACCACGGGCACCAGGCCGTATGTGTGCACCTCCCCCGGCTGCCGATGTACCAACACCGGTGGCAACTTCACCGAAATACGCACCCTTAGGGCCCACATGCGGGATCACTTGCTCCCTTAGATAGAAGGGGAGAGATTCTATTGAACCTTCCTTTCGTCCATCGCCGCACATCCTTACTTCTCATCCTTTTCATAATTGCTAGTCGCATTCAATCTCTAACTCGACTTGAGTATTACAGCCAATTCTTTCATCGCCGATACACTCTATACCCTCCTTTAGTCGAGAGCAATGGCAAAGACAGACCAAGAGCGCCCATCATGTCGTCCAACCGCACCATTATGTACTGGAACGCGGTGTGCATGAAGACATCCTCATTGCATACCAGAAGACCATGAATGTGCAACCTGTCTCGGCTGCCGATACGGTGGCGCCTTTGGTGGCAAGGGCATCTTCAGGAAGCACCTTCTGGAGCACCTTTGGAGCACTTGCTTCCTGAGATTAGAGGAGAGATCCTGCAGATTGGGAACAGGTTGTCTGACTGTCCGGTACCAGACTCTCCTCAATCAGATCGAGCCAGACGTGGATGCACAGGATGTGGAGAAAACGTGCCGGCTGGCACCAGCAAGATCATTCCGCCCACTGCTGAGCGAGAGGACGCCGTCTCCTGACTCAAGGTCAGCCAGTCGAAGGAGGAGCCGAGCAAGCACTGCACTTCCTGCTTTCATAAACCGCAAGGACACACTGGGAGAAATTGCGCTCCATGTTGCCGTTCGAGCGGGACAAGTGGTGGCGATGCATAGCCTATACGGCAAGGGTGCGCAGCTTGAGATTCGCAACAACTCGGGGTGGACCGTGATGCACATTGCCAAAGCTGTTACCGATCAGGATCTCAGATCACCGTTCCTGCCGGCGACATCAGCACTTCTTCCTGCCGACTATACCAAGTCGGTACTCCCGAGTCGAACATCAGGACCCTGTTCAACGAACTACTCCCATACATCAATCTCCTCGCGCACGCCAAACTCAACCCGCTTCGGCATCCGGTTTCTCCTCTTCAGGTACTGTGTACTTGAGGCCGTGAGCATACTCTTGCGATCAACATCACCGATCTCCTGGATAAGGTAAGCCGAACACCATAGACCAGGGGAGGTCAGCATCCCATTTACCCATCGTCCTTTTCCACGTTGCCTTAGTCCATTCGCTAACTGACGGCTACGAATGCTCTACATAGTCCATCGCAATGGCCAAGAACAACACCATGACTCACCCCAGCGAGGGCACTGTCGAGGTGTTCCTCGTTGGCTAGAGCCACCAGGCGAAGTTCGACCTCATGAAGAAGGAAAACAAGAACCTTACCTTGTTGTGGGTTACATGCAAGAACCACTTCATGGGACGCATCCCTCCCGATGACGATCAGCAATGCGCTGACCGCTTCAACAGGTAAGCACCCCAGAGCTCCAGCCCCGCGTGTGGAAAGATATAGAACTAGCAATCTAACATGATGTTAGCGACATCTACACCAGTGCTTTGGACCACATGGCTACTGTTTGTGAGAAACCGGAGAGGCTAGACAAGGCTTCGAACCATGCGCAGAACCTGATTGGCGAGGGGAAGACTGCTCTGGACCCGCGAGGAACTCCGCGATGTCGAGCAACAGGTGAAAGGGAAATTAGCTATCTTCAAGCTGCTTCGTTCAGTTCGTCCACCGACACGCGGCCGGAAATGGCCATAAACCAAATGCAGGGATATCCAATTGGAAACTCCCGCGTTCGCTTGTCATGGGGGGGCGTAGGTACTCCTTACCGCCCTGCGCCTCCGCCTCCCCGGCGATGGACGGGTCGATCGTCGAGCTCCGGCCAGGTCAAGAAGGGCAAGGGCAAGAAACGGAAGCGCAAGGGCCTGATGATACCGTTCAGCATCATGGAGAGAGAGGGCTAAGACACCGCTTTAGGCATTGTACGGTTCCTTGTCAGACCGCTCAAGATGTCGCAGTTCACTCCATTGTTCTTACGTAGCCTGAATATATACCCCATGCCCCAAATCTGCAGGTCACTCTATCGTTGCCAGCATACGCATGATACCTCAGTTGATATGGAAGCAGAGCTAGGCAGCTGTGATACCCTCCTTTAGTAGGAGGAAACCACCGCAGTGGCGGGATAGTTGCGGTAAGAATCTATGAGACAAAGATGGGACCCGCGCGGAGGGTGGTGCAGCCGGCTCTGAAGGGGCCTTCCGCTACTGGAAATTGGTCTGGTGGAAGGTCGACCTCGCTCTAGGTGATATATGAAAACTAAAAGATGTGGCTTTGGATCTTGCTTTGAGGTAGTTTTTGTACTTTTCTATGCCACTCTTTTTCTAGCCTGAGCAGCAGAGACATTCTCCTCTCATCGCTTTGTTTCCAATGTCTACAATCAATTCTGTTCCAGACTCAACTTCGCCAACCTTCACGAACTCCCGTTCACCGAACAAGGCATGCGCTGAGCGGTCCGATTTTCTACAGTCAGCCAGCGACCCTATTAACCTTCAACTCGAGCCTAGTCGATGACGGCCTCGGTAGCCTTCCTTCCCTACCTCCTTGAAGGTTAGTTGTACAGAGGACCGACCGCAGCTTCCGAAAACTGGGACATGCCTCTCAGTCGGTCGCAAGCTAGTGTGCAACAGCCTAGCCGCTGTTATTTTGTGGCGTTTTATTTTGTTAGACTTGGCGTACAGCACGGGGGCTCTGCTTTTTGTTGTCTTTTGGGGTATTTGGCTTTGGCTCCTCCCTTGCGGTCGAAGAGCTTAATAGTAAAATACATCGAGGCCATCCCCAGCAGAGGCGTGCAAAGATAGGGTGCAGAGCTGAACGGCCTTGAGCTGCGTCCGACGGTCGAACTGGAAGATTTCTCAGGGCGCATACAGTCTGGACTTGACGCGTGCTGCAAGTGTTGTTCTACTTGGTCTGGCATCGAGGACCTGCGGGACAGACGGCGGACCCAGCTGGTGCCATGGGTAGACAGTACGACTATAGCACCCTGGGCATCGGTGACCCGGCTGGCGGCGTCCTTTGTGGCGTCCTCGACAACGACCTGGATAAGTGAATGCGGCTTCTGATGCTATGCGTATCCCCGTTGTTGGGATGCCGTTACGGAGACTTATGGGGGGCGACTGTGGCATCTCGATCCTCGTCACATCGGCAATGGGCGGTTACTGGATGAAATCCCTTGAACTGATTGTATTTGATAATTTAGAGCAATGAAAACACATCCAAACAAAACATAATCCCATCCCAGATCAACACGACCCCATCCTAGATCATCACAACCCAATCCAAAGTGAGCGTAGTCCAAGCCAAAAGGCACGGCGTCGTGCGAGCAAGTAACTGACCAGTCCTCCAGAAAAATGAGAAACCAAGATCCTACCCAAGGAAAGCTTCCTCCACCAACGCACCGGCGTCTTGCGAACAGGTACCGAACTTCCAGAAACATAAGAAACCAAGACCCTGCTCAAGGAAAGCATCCTCTACCAACGCGCCTGCGCGTTCAACCCCTGGCCACCCCCGCCGAGCCGCACCCACGCCCGCATGATCTCATCGAGCTTGCATCGAGTAGTGCTACTCACTGAGTTTGCGCCCATTCCCATTCATTTGTCTCAGGGTTCAATGTTTTATATCTGTGCCAGTCCTCGTCCCAAACCCAAGGTGACGCCTGCTCAGTCGATGCAGAAGAAGTGTAGGAGGCCGACGACGCGGGCGCTTGGTAGTACGCGGAACCGGAGCCGGAGGCGGTGCTTGATGTGGCTGCAGCAGCGTACGATTTAGAATAGCTACCATGTGCCGAAGGGTTGGCTGTGACGGGCGCGTAGCTTGTCGTCGCCCCTCCTCGGAACTGATTGGGGTTGTACGGATATGATGCCTTGCCAGCGGTTGTAGCAGGTGCATATTGTGTCGTTGCCTGTGTGCCCTGGGATGAAGCGGCGAGGATCGAAGGCACGAAGGCAGTCGGCTGGCCAAGAGCTATCGTCGGCCAGGGCTTCTGAGGGGGCCCTGCTCCAGGGTTCCTCCATGTGTCGATACCTAGACCCCAAGAATAATCCTCGCGGACTATCTTGCCACCTTTTTTTTCGTTGGTAATAACCTTGTCCAGTAATTGTAGGGCTTTCCCATCTGGCAGGGCCCTCCACTCTTTGGTCTATAAAGATCTTGAGATGATGGCCACCGGTCAAAAGGCCTGCAATGTTGAGATCTGCTTCTTGCTCACCCCCTTCGCGGTTGGAGCTGGGGGTAGTGACTTCGTGCGGCCCGCCCCTGCAGAAGTAAGGAACGATGGTCAGCTCTTGAATGATCTTGCAAATACGTATGGAAGACATTCGGAGTAATAGGATCAGCATAACCAACGCAAATCGGTAAACGGTAGGAGGTGTAACTCGCGCAGCACTTGGAATAAGCCAGTAGCCTAGGGTGAAAGAGGTGGCGTGTCACCCGGATGGCTGCTTGTTTCGCTGCAAACTACAATCCCAACCGCTTGGTCGATTGCGACCGTACCGCACAGGCAGTTTGATGGGGTAAGTCCAGGATTGCGTGAGTGCTGTACTTACTTGATTGTGACCTTGGTTAACCCAAGCTCGAAAGCATACAGGTACATCAGTCGAGCACGATCCAAGAGGTGCACACGACTTCGCCGCATTCCCAGCGCAAATATTTTTGTCCACATCGCCCAAGACTGCCAAAGCAGCGGCAAAATCGTGTACTTAATGAGAAGAAGATCTTTGGATAATCATGTAGAACTCTGCAGTCCTCGGAGACTACCAACAACTCAGTCAAGTCTGGACGTTGCTCTGTCTGAAATTTCTTTGACTTCCGAACTCTTTCATCACCACCCCAATCAGCTTTTTATCGAACACCATGATGAGCAATGCATCAAAGCGTCTTTTCAACAGTACGGTCACTGCCTCCATATCCCATGTGACACCTCGCTGACATTTCTGAAGCGCGGATGGACCTGCGGTTCATCGCATATCTCGTTATATCTCTCATATTTACCTTCCACGGTAAGAACATCAGCCTTGATCTGGACAGAATTTTTCGCTCACATATCTCAGTCCTCGTATTGACTGGCTGTCTGTTACTGTCTCCTGGGATTCCGGACCTTTTCGTGTTCAAACTTCAACTCAATCAGTCTGAAGGATACGAGGTGAGAGTAGGATATTACGGTAAGTGCCGCTCGATCAGGCTATGCCATCCCCAATGTTCAATACTTACTTTCCCCAGGGATCTGTGCCGAACAGCTGCCAGGTCGTCAACTTGCATGCCAAGCAAGCTATATGCGCAGTGCCGATGCGTTGGAAGACTTCTTCCTTTCGAACTCAACGCTGGACAGCGATTCCATTCCCGCGCGGGCCCTTCTATCCAGTGCGCGAACATTCCAGAACAACGTGTTCTACCCTTTGCTGGCTGGATCCGGCGCTCTCATCTTTCTGAGCACAATATCGATGCTACTGCTGAAACGGTCCATCAAGAACCCCAAGTTCAACCCAAACACGATCAACACCCAGAAACGTTTCAGATCTGGGATGCTAGTTCTCGGGCAGCTTGCTTTCGGCCTTGCTGTGGCAGCAGCGTTCTCGACTACCCAGACTGTGGGCGCATTGCATTTCGCCACCACGAAAGTGGAGGGTTCTCTATCTGATATCATTATCACGAGTGGCATTCCAGTTCAGGGACTTCAGGTGAGCAGCACAAGGACTTTGCCATCATCAATTCTTCCACAGACAACAATGTGACTGACCCCAAGTGTTGCAGTGGACAATGGTGGCAATGATCGCATTTCTGCAATGGTCAATGTCTAGCATGTTCCCCGAGGGCCAAGCAGGCATGCCACCAATGCGCGCAGGCCCTGGGATGGGTATGCCGCCGCCTCCCCCGCCGCCCCCGCCGATGGGACCCCCTCGCTTCTAGTCCGAAGACGTATGGCTGGGCTGGTATACACTATAAGCAGCCTGCTACGCACTGGAAAATGCCTGGTAATAGGCCTCTCGAGGATTTACTATGTCGTTGCAAATTGGAGTGGCATTGTCGTAAAGGAGATGGTTATAAAATGGCGTACACAAGCGGTGCGAGCTAAAGGCCATGCTTTGCAGAAGAACAGAATCAACATGGGACGGGTATACTCAATCTGAACTTTGAAATCGTTACTCATTACAAAAGCATTGTCCGAGCTTGATCACATCAGACACTAACATATATGGGTATTGAAACCGGCCAAAGGAGTGAGTAATTGCAACCATTAGAACCATCACTTGAGAACGTAGCAGGGATAATAACTCACGAGCCTTCAGTGAATAACATATCCCGAGGACATTTAAGTCCCAACAATGGACATCAGCATAGAGTAACTCCAACATATATCTTATCCAATTTCTATGAAGGTCCCTGAGGGTCGACCTACCTGGTTCAACATAGCCAAGCAGACAGACAACCATATCTACGAACACCCACCCACCCACACACGTGCCAACGAACACCACCAAGACACCTCCACGCTACCAGAGCAGCCCAGCCTTTCTGCCCTACCAACCACCAACAATGAGTTCTCTGTCCTCACTCTTGTCACCGGTGTCAGCCGCCCAGCCCTCAGGCTTCTCCAGCACCACCAGAATGACCGACGTAGCCCAGGCGGCGCAAAAGGAGCTGACCAGTGGAGGAGGGCTAAGAGGCGGCGATAGCGAAGATTGCTGCGAAGTCTGCTGTTCCTCGTGGGTCCTGTTCCTGCGCTGCTTCCTGTGCTGCGGCTGCCACGAGGACTGAATTGTCAGGAAGCGTGCCGGGAACAAAGGAATCTTGTGTGTACATATACAGGGCTTCCACGCCTGATTAGTACTGTAGGTCCTTGCAGAATACCAAGTCTTTTCACCTCCTATATGGTTGGCCATCTGGCATGAATTGAGTGCATGTAAAAACCCCAAGTCAGAATCCAAAGCCAGCCATCAAACCTGCATTTACTCCAACATATGCTTACCAGGAAGCACAAGCGATGTCGCTATTCGGACTATCGAGTGAACTACTAGCGGCCATGGCTGACACGCGCTTCCAGATATAGCAGATGCCGACGGACGGGTATTCTAGTTCAGGGAGTCACGAACCAACCGGGTGGTCAACATCCACTGGCTACATCCACAACTTGAACTGCGGGCACAAAAGCTACGTGACCTTCATAAACGAGTGTTAAGATGGGTTGAGTACGCCGGACGTATTTTCGTGACCCCTGGGCCTTACGGGAGACATGCTTGTTGGTGCACAAGCTGGTGCCTCTGTCGTTCCGCAAACCCTCTGGGCACCACACTGGATCATATTAGATAAAACATATAAATGTAGAAACTAGAAGTCGCCATGACCGGGCGTAGATCTGAGAAGTTATCTGGTAACGACGAGACCAGCTCACGGTCTTCGCAAGTCGCCAACCTCGTTGATGGGTGGCACGCTGACCACCGCCGTCTCGTTCATGGTTCCGCCACGATAAGCATACGTGAAAGTCCATCCAGAGCCAGCGCCCCCGTGTTCCCCCTTGCTGTTCAAGACCACGATGCCGCTCTGTACCTCCGGATACTTCCTCACCATGCGTGAAACAACATCCTCGGCCGCGAGCTGCGGTGTCATGCCCAGTCTCAGATTCTCTACTGCTTGATAACAAGGCAGGAATCTCATCATGATATCGCCCTATGCTGTCAATATCATCGATACTCATCTGGAAAGGAGAAGGCGCGTTGCATTGTACTCACATCGCCAGTCGCACCACACCCACCTATGTCTCCATCGACATACGACCCGCTCCCTGTGATGGGACCGTCGCCCACGCGGCCGGGTACTTTGCGACTCGCTCCATTGGTCGATGTCCCGGCCGCCATGGCGCCAGAGGAATGCAGCGCGATCATCGAGATGGTATCATGGCCCTCTGAAGCCCCACGAGCTTGCAACTGAGAAGCATATCCTGAAGAGGTGGAGTTGAGTGCCAGCGGAGTGTACGGCCCGCACGAACTTCCCGAGTCAGGCGTGACATTGATGCGGTAGTTGGGCTGGCAGCCACTGGCCTTCCACTCCTCGCACGAAGCTGCCGAGGCCTCCGTGGTCAGATTCTCCGCGACGAAGCCATTCGCGATGGCGAAGTCGGTGGCCAGTTCCCCAGCGAGCATCGTGTGAGTGGTGTGCTCCAACACGGCTCGCGCTACCGAGATGGCATCCTTGATGCGCCTCAGAGCCGCTACACTGCCGGACTTCATGGTCGTGCCGTCCATGATCATGGCGTCGAGCGTTGTCTATTTTTTCTTGAGCCCACGACCCCCTTAAAGCTTTGCGGAGCCGGGCCTCACCTCGCAGTTTTCGTCCGGTGACCCGCCGTAGCCTACACTACCATCACACTGATTCGCCTCACATGTAGAACACCCCAGCTCTACAGCGTCAAGGGCGGAGGTTTGCGTATCGAGCAGAGACAAGTAGGCTGCGTCCGTGGCCACAGTGAACGCGCCGCCCCAGGTGTGGATGACCATCGGAAGACCCGGCGCATTACTCGTGCCGTTGCCGTTGCCCTTTGCAAGTGTAGCCGTGGCGTGCGGGAGTGAGAGGGCCAGCAGAGAGCCGAGGCCGAAGCTTCGGAGGAGCGCCATGGTGGATAACAACAGAACGAGTGCGAACAAGTACCAATGCCTCATGAGCCGATGAGGCGATCCAGCTTCATGAGGACAAGTAAACGGCCTACATGGTACCATCGCGGTCAATATGTGCAATCCCTATCCTCTGAAGGCCAAGACCTTCTCCAGATCCTTATCGTCGTCTGTCTGTTGATGATGGATTGACGCTAACCCGCGAGGGCAGCTGGAAATTGCCAATGGCGGGTCCACGTGACACTGGAGAGTCCGGGGCTCCCTTTTCCCCGCAGTGCTGAGTAATCAGCGGAGCTGGAGCCGAGCTCCAGCTGTCAGGCTGTCTCCTCCGCCCAGGGTTCTCTTTGCACTCCACTATTCTCTCCAAACCACGCGCGCCCACGTTCTCATTCTCATTCTCATTCTCATCTCTCCGAGGACTTTGGCGTCCTAGATACCTATTGCACCACGTCTCTCGTGAGCATACACTTGAAAGGTACCACCACTCGTCTAGTCGGCTATGTATTTGTCAAACGTTCTGTGGTGATAACGCGATGAGGGGCCGCGTTTTGTATCCGACCACGCGTCCGCGACTTGGAGCGGATTTTATCCACACCCCGACGAAACATCCACGTCGTCGTCCTTATAATGTTCGAGCGGGGACATAGCGGCTAGCGAGTGCAGGTGCACGTTGAGCAGGTTGGAGTATTCATGGCGAAAAGCTCGGGCTAATCCCCCAGAAGCAATTTAGATCGTCTAGGCAGTTGCTATCTAGCGCTGATCGCGCAAGTCTAGGCCATCCTCAATGGCCTCGACCTGAGGCAACTGGGTCAGCCCTCATAATAAGGGGCTTCTCCGGCCTTGGTGGTCCAGTTGAGGATGATGCGTGTGTCTTCGCAAACGAGGTCTTGAGTTCGACTTTCGTCTGATCGCAAAAACACTCCGGCTTCCTGAAAGTCAATACGGCCTAACGTCGATCTCGCCAAGTACAACGTCGTAAACGGCTTGAAGTCGTTGTGCTCCTCCTTTGTCGAGACTACTAGTAATCTGGGCAAGCTGCTAGTTAGGTTCTGGCCTCTTTCTCTCCCACTTAGCTCGCGGACGCCAACAGCGCCAATCAGCAGACTACTGAATCATCCTTCCCCTTTTCAACCTACTCGGGCAGCCGAATCATCACAGTCACACCTGAAGCGACAAGCTGAGTCTGAATTGGGAAACCATTGGCGGAGGCTACGAGCTGTGATCAAAACTTGCCATCTACATCGACGTAATGCCTCTAGCGACAGTTTTTGCCGATGCCGCAAAGGTTAGCTGGGCTTAGCCCACGTGGCGACCAAGATGGCCCGAGCCTTATAAGAGGTTTGTCTAGAACCTTCATATTTCGTTCATATGCTGCTGTTATTCTCGGAGATCCTCTGTCAATCGGTTTCCATTCTCTCTAAATCCGTTCAGCATGCGGTTTTCATGGGGTTATGTGCTTGTCTTGCCATCTGTCCTTGGGGAGAAGTTGACCATTCCAGCCGTCGATAGTGCGGTCAGGTCTCAGCTGTCAAGCTTCAGTCAATATGCCGACAGCAATGGCAGAGTCGGCCAAGAGGCTGCCTTAACGGCAGCAGCAGAAGCTGCGGCAGCTTCTACCGTTGCCCCGAGCGATCCAGATTCGGCTGCGCTCACCGGACACATACTTGAGCAGCGACAGGCGGTTGGAAGTTATTGGTATGAGACAATAGCCCACCAAGGCATTTCGGCTTTCAACGCCAACCGCGCCAACTACAAGGTCTATCGCAACGTGAAGGACTACGGAGCCAAGGGGTACAAGTAACACACCAACTCGCAATGACGAGCGCTAATCATAGCATACAGAGATGGGAAGACAGATGACACAGCAGCTATCCAGAGAGCCATCAGTGACGGGAACAGATGTGCTCCAGGAGCCTGTTTATCATCTAGCACGACAAATGCTGTAGTCTACTTCCCCGGGGGGACATACCTACTCTCATCGTCGATCGTGAGCTACTATGCCACCAACCTCATTGGCAACCCCGATAACATGCCAGTCTTGAAAGCGACCAATGGATTCAACGGATTCGGCGTCATTGATGGAGCTCAATACCAGCCTGGTGGCGTTTTGCCATATGGTCCGACAAACATCTTCTGGCGCCAAGTTCGCAACTTTGTGATCGACTTGACTGCAATTCCCGCTGCAGTTGAGGCGACTGGAATCCACTGGCCGACAGCCCAGGCCACCAGCTTACAGAACATAATATTCAAGATGTCGAGTGATTCCGGAACCAAACACCAAGGTCTCTTCATCGAGGCGGGATCAGGGGGTATCATGAACGATCTCGTCTTCTACGGCGGGCTCAACGGCGCCGTGTTCGGCAACCAGCAGTTCACCGTCCGCAATCTCACCTTCTACAATGCGGTGACGGCCATATACCAGATCTGGGACTGGGGGTGGACCTACAAAAGCATATCGGTGAACAACTGTACCGTCGGATTGGACATGGCATCCCGGGACCCCAGCAACGAGGCCGTCGGATCCGTCACCTTCTTCGACAGCTCCTTTACCAATACGAAGATCGCCTTCAACATCTCGCGCAACGCCATCACCCAGCCCAGTAGTGGGGGCAGTCTGGCAATCGAGAACGTCTCGCTGAAAAACGTGGCCCTCGCAATCCAGCACGGACCTAGTCGGCTTCCCATCCTCGCCGGCACGACGGGCTCGACTACGATCGCGAGTTGGGTGAGTGGACGCGTGTACAACCCGACCGGACCCAACGTCGTCACGGGAGCGATCACGCCACCGGCACGGCCCGCATCTCTTGTGGCCAAGGGTCGGTTCTACGAGCGCTCAAAGCCCTCCTACGCCACGCTGCCTTCCACCTCCTTCTCCTCCATCCGCGCAGGCGGCGCTCGCGGCGACGGCGTCACTGACGACACGGCTGCTTTGCAGAAAGTGATCACTGCCGCAGCAGCGGCTGGTCGCGTGGTCTACTTCGACGCCGGTACCTACAAAGTCACGCGCACGCTACTAATCCCGGCTAAGAGCCGCATCGTGGGCGAGGGATACGCAGTCATCATGTCAAGCGGCGCCTTCTTCGCCAACATCAACGCGCCGCAAGTCGTCGTACAAGTCGGCAACCCAGGCGACGTAGGCGTGGTGGAATGGAGCGACATGATAGTATCGACCCAAGGCGCGCAAGCAGGCGCGATCCTAATCCGCTGGAACCTCGCCTCCGCGGCCGAGTCCCCAAGCGGGATGTGGGACGTCCACACGCGCATCGGCGGCACGACCGGCTCGAACCTCTCCTACGCCAACTGCGCCGCCGCGCCTAAATCCACCCTCGTGAACAGCGCCTGCATCTCGGGCTACACGTCCCTGCACGTCGCCAAGTCGGCGTCGGGGCTCTACATGGAGAACGTCTGGCTCTGGGTCGCCGACCACGACGTCGACGACGCGGCCCTGCGGCAGATCACCGTGTACGCCGGCCGCGGCTTACTCATAGAATCAACCGCCGGCACGATCTGGCTCGTGGGCACCAGCTCGGAGCACCACGTGCGGTACCAGTACCAGTTCAGCAACACCCAAAACATATTCGCGGGCCAGATCCAGACCGAGACGCCGTACTACCAGCCCAACCCGGGGTCGCGGCAGCCGTTCCCGCTGAACGCGGCGATCGACGATCCGAATTTCGACTTTCTGTGCCCGAAGGCGACGGCGCCGGGGACGTGTGCGGAGGCGTGGGGACTGCGGGTTAGTGCGAGTCGGAATGTGCTGATTTACGGGGCCGGGTGAGTCCTTGTTCCCCCTGAACCCAGACTGCCTAAAAGCTGCGGCTGATGGATCGTACCTACCTATCCTTGCTGACACCGGACCTACAGATTCTACTCGTTCTTCAACAATTACACCACCTCGTGCTCCGACAAGGGCGCCGGTGCACTGTGCCAACAAGGGATGGTGCAGTACGACGCGGCGAACACGAAGGGGTTCTGGATGTATGGACTAAATACGGTAGGTGCCGTCGGCATGGTCTACAGAGACACCACGAAGATGGTGGACTATTCGCAAAACGTGAATGTCTACCCTAGTACGATCATGGTGTTTAATAGTAATAGCTAGAGTTTTCATGAAGTCAAAATGAATATAGTAAAATAATGTCTGAATGTAACAGGTTCGCCGAGTGTTGTCCGAGTGTTCTTATTAGGTATATGAGGTACCAACCGCAAATCGAGACTCCCCTTTCTAGTCTAATTCAACGCCTGCAAGCGCTTCGCTGATGAACTTCTGGTCTGTGACTGATGCGCCCCCCTTCTCCAGAACCGTGGGCTCTGGTGTAGCCGGAGACGACTCTTTCGGATCGATGCTCGCCCAGTCCACCTCCTCGCCCGTCTCACTCCTGCTGGCCTCGCTGTCAGTCTCCGGGGGCGTCTGAACTCCGCGCGCGCCCATATTGCGTTTTAACATGCACATTTCCACCGAAATGCCCGGACCGAACGCACAGCCCACAACAAATTCCCGAGCGCGTCCTCCAGGAGCGCAGGCGTCCATATCTTTACTGCGCAAGCGGTCCATGACGCTGAAGATGGTCGCAGAGCTTGAGTTTCCGTGGTTCATGTACCGGTCGTAGCTGGCGCGCATGTGCTCAGGGGTGATACACATGGTTCGCTCAGTGTTCATCAAGATTGTCGCACCGCCCGGATGCATCGCCCAGTCAAAGTCAGCCGCTTCACGATACCCGACTGGTAAGTCCGGCACGGTCTCCAGGAGCTCGGCGAAGCTCGGCGCAACCACTTGATCTGTCAGCTTCGGTACCCGTGGTGACAGAATCACTTTCCATCCGACCGGGTCCACGTCAAAACCGAGATCGTGTTCGGTGTCGGGGATTATCTTGTGTTCCCATCCGAGGAGCTTGTATACCGGCTCTGCTGTCGGCTCGCCAATTCCGTTGCTGAGGACCAACGCGCTTGCGCAGTCGGAGAAGAGACATGCACCGATTCGCTTCTCTTGCAACTCATTGATGCTGTTCAACTCGCTGCGCACCATAGTCGTGCTCACCTCGAGTGCGACACATAATATCCTCGCCGGTTTCCGCCTCATGCTGTGTCCCAGGGCGAGATTGGCAGCTGTGCGCAGTGTCGCTAAGCCACCCGAGCAACCAATACCGTGCAGCAGGACTTTCTCTAGCTGGTGTGTGATTCCTAAGCCCTTCGCAACGTAGTGGTCGAAACCTGGGTTCGCGCTGTCTGTACATGTTGTTGACACGATGTGGGTGATCTCCGAGAGGTCGATCCGCGCCTCTGCCACAGCTTTCCTCGAGGCTTCGATAGCTAGTGGTACACCATCTGACATGAACACCTCGTGTAGTTGCGCTATCGACGGCGCATTGGGTTCGTTCACCACGGGGTGGTCTGAGGTTCCGATGGAGGAGCGGGTTTCGATGCCAGTATATTGGTTGATGGATAGGACTTTCTGCATACTAAGCGACGCAGCCATCAGCATGAGCTCTTCCAATTGGGGATGCTGGCGGCTCGACTCACGCGGGCGAGTCTGGGTAGAACTTGGTTGCAAGCTTGTTGACCTCGTCCGGCTTGAGGCTATTTGGTGGATATTGAGCGCCCAGCCCAATGATGGAGAGGCCCAGCCCTCCACAACTTGATGTTGCCATATTAAGTGGATGTGGTTGAAGTTAGAATTGGCAGGTAACAGCTGATACCGTCTCTTCTGTCAAAGGCTGGGTTATTGGACAAAGTAAGACTTGACAGCACGCGACAAGGTGGGAAACCGAGGCTATGTAACAAGCGGTCAAGCAATGACACCTGGAACCGGTGGCTCGGATACTTCAACGGCCGAGATATCGACTGCAGGAGGCGTAACGGGGGCGCGTTGGTAAAAGAACGACTCCAGGTCAACTTCTGTTCTGCTTGTCTTGTGGCAACAATGACACTTAAGGAGAGTCAAACGATTGACAGCTGGTGAACCATCCCAGCGGCAAGAAAGCAATTGGATCGGTTAGGTATTAGGTACCTGATAGGAAGAGTAGAAGACGTCAAGACTTGAGAGATGAGTGAGGTTCCATTTCCCATGCCCAGCCACCTCCAGGCTCCAGCTGCACCTCGCACCAGCCCGGTTACAGCTGGAGGCACACAGGCTCGCTCAGCATGACGTCCATGTTACATGACGAGGGGTGAAACTTGCCCCTTGATACGGCAGGTGGGATGGTGGGGCCCGGGGGTTCACCTCGCTGTCCAGTGTCCACTTCGCTCAGGCTGAGGGACCCAATGATCCCTGTAGCTGGACGGATTTGGCTGGGCCTTCCGGTGGCCGAACTCTCCCCTCCCGTGGGACGTGGGACGGGCAGATGCGATGGCGGGGACCGACAGCCTGGCAGGCCTGACGTAGAAAGAGTAGAGTTCTTCAGTGGGCGTAATGTTGGATGTGATTAACCGTTGATTGGAGGCGTACCTGCGCTGTCAGGCACAAGAGATCTATGGGCGGTCATTGAAGATAAGGTAGTACCACCAGGTACTGCATCATGAGTCATCATCGTGTCGCATCCAATCACAGCTGGAGGGCAGATGGTGAAGCAAAAGCCAACCTCGCCGCTGCCTCGTAACGGACCTGCCAACCTCGTAACAGGAAGCACCGTCCTGACGGTTGACCCCCTGGCCTTTGCAAGCCTACCGTCGACCACTTGGCCACGATACCATCGCCAAGTCGGTTATCACTCCATCCAAAAACCTGGAGAAATTAGGGGACGGGCGCATGGCAAGGTGGAATTACACATGCATGTGAAAATTCCGCCCCCAAGGTGGCACCACAATAATCAAAGTGGGAAGCGCGACTCCACTTGCCGTGAAGACAGATTTCGACAGCACGCAAGGAAGACGATTCCCGAGGAAGGATCAGATGGACGATTCTCACTGATGAGTTTTCTGCAGACTGCCAGACAACCTTGAAGACGGACGGTCCTCCAGCGACAATACGGACTTCCCGCATCAATCGATTGTTCGAAGCCATGCACGCAGCCGAGCTACCCTTCGCCGTCCATGGCATTATCGAGACAGTCGCGGCTCTGTCCTTCATCTTCAACCCCGAGAAGCAGCTTCCAGGATGCACGCCAGCCGCAAAGCTCATCTTGCGCCAATACGGCGGCCTTCTGCTGGCTTCCGGCTTGGTGTGCCTGGCAGTCCTGATTGAACCCGGCTTCAACGACTTGAAGAAGATGCTTGCGATGGCGATGGGGAGCTACCATGCGTGGCCCTGCTATCGCGCGTATGTGCGCATTCGACAGGATACCGACTCGAATACGATGGGGGGCTCTGCCCTGGGTGGCCCTTCTTTGCATTTGGTGGTGCACCTGATCTGCCTGGCCATGTTCGCGTTTGCTGCGGCATCACCAACGGCTTGAAGGGGAACCTGACGCATCGTCGTAGCAACCGACCGGCCCTGACTGCCTCCAGTCCCTTCTTGGAACTTCTCGCATGAGACAGCTTGCGGAGACAAAGCCTTTTTCAGCGTGGTTGAATTCCACGGTCTACTGATAGCATCCGACAAAGAGTCTGGCATGAGATGCTTTCATCCAACCACAAAGATAGCGACAGGGAGCTCAGTACTTTTCCCGGGCATCGCTATGAAGTGGCAGGGCTTTATGTTGCTTCATCAATCGCTAGTTGGATGTTGCTTGATGGGAGACCATCAGGACATCCCGCCAAACACTACGAGACCCTTCATGTCCTAGCTTGCCCACAGTCTTCTTACCTTTTGACCAGCACCCATACTACACACATCGGCCTGTTGCACCCTTACAATCATGTGCCACTACCTCTATATCAATACGCTCTGCGGTCGCTGCCGTGGCGCGTTGGCATCGCCAGAGTACCAACCGCGCAGCTGTCAGGAGGCCAAGGATTTCGGCGAGTTCGGTGCGTGCGAACATTGTGCGGGCCATTTCAGGAATCCCATCGTGGAGATGATTGAGGACGACGATAAAGAGTTCTGCGGTTCATGTGCCAGCAGAGAGAGTCGTGCCCTCATTTCACCACCTGCCTCAGAAGCATCCTGCTGAACTCGAGCCTGCCATGGCGCTACCGGTACCGCCTTGGAGGCAGGAAAAGAAGGCACTGTGGACGCTACCCGTGCAAAGGTATTAGCTACGCGAAGGCAGTTCTCGTGGGCTATGCATAGGCGGTCGTCTGGGACACCTGTCGGAAAACACCAGGATGGATCATTGGGGCACTGTGTCTGCACTTAGGTCACAGATAGTTCATGGGCGTCGCTCAATAAACAGTCAACCTCTGCCTCTTCTGTCCCGTGGAACAGCGTCGCCAACTACGATGCCTCGCGTCATTTCCGTGAGCATGAGCTCGATGGCGACTCGGATGGCACACAAGGTCCCGTGTGGAATGGGTATCAGAGCCTCCGCTCTCTTTTCTATGGAGTGCACTCGGTCAGGCGACCGCAGAGGGAAGTCGAGGGACCAACTACGCCACTCCTGTCGAGGATGACGTGATCAATGTCCGCCCTTCGCAGAATGTGCGAAGGCATAAGCCGTGGGATGCTGTACCGGATTTGGGTGGCTGTGGCGGAGACGATAAAGTATGCCGCAGGCAAAGATGACATTGACAGGGCAAAGTTTGCGGAGCCATCGGGATGTCTGCATCAGGAAATTTTGCCTTAGTCATACAATCTCTCACTCTTCGCGTGTGCCTGCCCGCCTGCGCTGGGTCCGTCCTGGAGTGTCCCGAGGTTGCAGATGCGAATCCTGTAGCATTCACTGTCACCTTCATTCACCAACAATCATTTATGAATGGATTCAGAAGATGATATTATGGCCCGGTGAATTGTATGCTGCAAACCTGTTGTGATTGGAGTTGCGCAAACACGAACACAAACACAAACACCACCATCTCATGTCATGACAGACCGAGTGTCGGCTAACTTCGACGTTCAAGTTGTCTCCCCGAGGTATCAAAGTCACTGTGCAAATCATGCACGCAACTGCCCTAACTCGGATTCACATCCGACATCACACACCAACATCACAACACCCGCCTTCCTTCTCAACACCGACATCTGCGAGCACGCCACGACCAAACCGCCCTCTCGTCAGCCAGTCAAACCACGCATTCAAACATCATGAAGGTATGCTGCACCGTCACGGTCGACTGTAACAATGTGCTGACATCTCTGAGCAGACTGGAGTCATGATTGCCCTCGTGGCCATGGCGGCTACCGCTGCATCACCTCCTCGAGATCGACTTGACAAGAAGAACATCGAGCTCCCCATCCAGTACGACACCAACTACCCTGCTCTGGGCTGCGGCAACTCCAAACCCACGGTCAGTTGCACGGCCTACTCAACGTTGTGCACAAAGGATGCACAGGTGCAGCCTGGCAAGAACGACTGGTGCAACGATTATTGTCACTGTGTTCGCACCGAGAGCCCCCAGAAGAACGCTCCGGCCGGCACTGAGTCCATCGATGACGTTTCCTCGCAACAGGTTCACCAGCCTCAGAACCACGTTCGCGACTCCCCGCTCCAGCTGCAGTGCTGGTCCCCCGAGGGTGGAAATGCCACGACCAGCTACTGCCAGCAAGCAGGCGCGTTCTGTAGCCCTGACGGCGATGTCACGGGCTCAATCGAAGGCCACTGTTACACCTTCTGCCACTGCAAGCCCAACACCACTGCCAATGCCACTACAACCACCAGTCAGCCAACTACAACTACAACTCACGCGACCGCCTCCAGCCTGGTCCTTCCCACCGACCACAACATCCCGCCCCGACGCGGACGCGGCAAGCGCCAGGGTTTCGAGCCGGGCCCCGACTCCAATTACCCGGTTGACGACTTGCAGCTGAAGTGCGGCGAGATGACCGTCGGTTGCTCGAAGTATGTCCATTGTCTGGCTGATGGCGAGATTGTGGGGTCGGGTGATGAGAGTGGGTTCTGCAAGGAGGTCTGTCATTGCGAGGGTACGCGTGCGCTGCCGAAGTAGTCAGAGGCAGAATTACACGGAGTGTTGGCGTAACCTTGGAAGTATGGCGTTGTGCCGGAATACGTTGCGTATGTAGCTACACCTCTTGCTTTCATATAGGTATTGCGCGAGTCCAAGAGCGCCACGCCTGGAATTTCTCTGGAAGGCTAGCTTACGAGTAACATGATCACTTCAAAACGCGTTTCACTGGAGTACAGACTTCTATGATCCGAGCTAGGATGATGGCACCTCATTGCCAGTGACTGTGACTGTGGAAAACTAAACGAGTGGCAAATCGAGAAAAAGAACTGTGGGAGGGAAAACAAGTGAAAAACTAAACGAGTGGCGAACCAAGAAAAAGAACCGTGGGAGGCAAAATAAAGAAAGAAATGCCGAGGAGGACGGTACCAAGTGTCACCTGCTCGTGACGAAGCAAAAATCCCTATCACTCATGGGATGAGCCCCTCGACAGCGACAGCCCCCTGTATACTTCATATAGAAACCGGTCATCGTCTTCCCCACCACCAGACTGCTCCTCCATCATATCCCAGAACTCTTCGTTGAAAATAAGAACATTCATAAGCGTGGGTGAATCGCGTTGATCCTCGTCATGCGGTACGTGTCGTTCGAACAATGCCAACAGCGTCAGACTCATGCTCGATCAAGGTGCCGAGCAGATCATGGCCAGGCAGCGCGTCGCGATCCGACAGCGCATTCAGACGTAAAGGAAACGGCTCGACTCCTCTCAAGGTTAATTGACCAACAGTGAGATCGAGGGTCACTAGGGGTTCATGCTTCAAACCCAGGTAATTGAGTGCCGCGGCACGATCCAGCCATTCCCATGCGATAGTCGTTGCAGTGGCTCCTCCTCTGGCAGCTTCCAGTATGGCCGAGTTGGGGTAGAAGGAATCGCCGATATCGACGATGGCGTATCCGTCCTTATAATGTGCCACGGTGCCCAGGTAAATCTGTGTCGGGACCTCGAATTCCTTTTTGGGGTCGGTGGCAGCGGTCTCTTTAGACTCGAGGAGGCATTGGTGATGTGGGTTGTACTTTCGGCTGGCTTGGCGGCGGCGGTGATCAGGTATAGCCTTCCGTTGACGTGCACGATGCAGCTGCCGGTCACCATGCGATCCTTCCGGACGGGCGATACGGGTGTCTCTTTGGCGAAGCAGAGATACCGGGGTAGATGCAAGTCGTGGAAGCCCTTCTTGTTTTCGTTGGAGAGTACCCAGTCTCCGAGTCCTACCAGTGGAGGAGGAGAAGAAGATGAAGAGGAAGAAGACATGATTATGAGGGTATGGGTTGTGTTGGTTGTTGGTCGGTGCCGAAGATGGAGATGCTCTGCTAGGGGTGTGCAGGAAGGATGAGGCATATGGCATACTTTTTTGGTAGACAGCTGTGACTTATATGGACAATCTGTCTGGGCCATTCCAAAATGTCGAGTCGTACTATTGGTGACTCAATTCCGAGTTCCCCTTTGACCCTCGGTTTCGAGACAGGCGGGCGGCCCAACCAACACGACTCCTCTTTGTTCCCTTCTTGCGCAACCCCAACGTCCGCAATGCCGCCCTCGGCCAGGCTTGTGGTTCGAAGCCACGAAGTCAATGTATTGTGATTATCTGTCACCGAGGTCACGCCTGTGGGGTGAGTATATGCCCCTACTGCATTCACCCATGCTGTCCAGTGACTTCGTATCAGAGGTAGGCATAACCCCTTGTTAATCTTGCCTTGCATTCTGCGATTGATATTGCACCTGTCAACAAACAGTCCCTATCACTGTACCGGATTGCCGTACATGTTCGATTCATAATCGTATCACCGAATAACAACACCATCCCATTCCACTCCCATTCCCCTGCCGAGATCCCATACGCATCCACGCACCCGCCCAAACACTCCCCTTCACTTCAGCAGCGCCTCCTCTCCGGACTTAGGAGCCAGCTCCTCGAATCTCCGCAAGTCCATATCCTTTTCCAGCAGCGGGATGACGAAGGGGTCAAAGGTCTTCCAGTAGGGGTTCTCGAGGTGGTACTTCTGGCTGCCCTCGTTCTCGTAGCGCTCCACGATGGTGAAGTCCCGCGGGTCGTGCACCGACTGCATGACGAACCACGACAGCGTCTCCTTGTCCTGCGAGTAGATGGCCGACGCCTCGTTGAGCTTGGCGTGCAGCTTGTCGATGGTTTCTTGGCCGGCCTTGGCGCGGAGGTGCACGACGATTGTGTAGACCATTTTGATGCTGGTTGGTTTGAGGCGAGGTTTGGTGTTTGTATGTTTGGACAGGATTTAGGTTGATGTTGAGAGCGTGTTGGGTCAGCGCTGGCTGGTCTCTGATTTTTTTGACTTTGGGTAGTGAGGGTTGCGGTCTGTCGTGGAACGGGCTCGCTCCGCACCGGCATATGGATCACGGTGAAAAACTTGCGCGCGCCGGTGATCGGACAGGCGGAGCCACCTAAGAGCATATAGTTCGGACTAATGCCGAGGCTAGAACCGGACAACATTTCACACTGTACCTAGAACTCAGACGAAGTCGTGGATATCACGTGGTCATTCGGTCAGTCTTTCAATCCCCGACAGCGTCTGAGGTCATCATGGTTCAGAACAACCCAGTCGCAGTGACTTTGCAGTGGATGTGAATCATCCGTGATCGCTCGGTCAAAAAAGGCAGCGCGGTGATGAAGCTGGGGGAAGCCCCCGAGCATGAAAAGTAAGTTACAGGCATTGCTGACTTACTAAAACGAGAAGAGTATACAAGAATATAGATGGTTGTGTCCCTTCGAGAGACAGCAACCGTCATCTCTCCTGCACCAACCTCACCGGATCCCGTACTCCCACCAGCCATTCCATACCTCAAGCGTTGAGGATTCCCGCCCGTTCCATCTGTCTCAGGCGATGAGGCCAAAGAACTTGAGCATCACCGGCACGTTGGGGGGAGCAATGTGACCAACGCCCTCACCAAAGAAGCCCTGCAGCTGGGTGCCATCACCGTAGACCTCCTGTGTGTACTCCGCCGACGGGTTTCCAGTGACATTCTTGCTCCAGGGCACATCCAGCACATTCGACCACTGCTTGAGCGCCTCGGCCGCCGCCGCCGGATATACGAGGGTATCGGCAAGCCCGTGGACGATCATCATGCGTGGCCTTCTGCCCGTGTAGCCCGGGTACGAGTTGCGGACAAAGTTGCCCCATTCTTCCGGCGTGTGAGACAGACCTTGGGCGCATGTCTGGTTGGCTGAGGCGGGGGTCGCACTTTCGGTCCCGGCGAAGCATGCGTCTGCTACGCCGGAGTAGGCGGCTCCGGCCTCGAAGACGTCGGGGTAACTGCCGGCCATCACGTTGGTCATCATGGCGCCGGATGAACCGCCCATCACGTAGACTTTGCTTGCGTCGCCCTGGTATGTTGATAATGTGTAGTTGACCTCGCTGATGATGCCCTTCGCGTCACCGCCTTGCCCGTGGGTGAGGGACGCTGCATTGTTCACTACACAGTCACCCAGGTTAGCGAGATCCAACAGTATGAGTATTATTCAGTCTTCTGGCATTCGCCGTAGCTGTTCGGGCTTCCTAGCTACTGGATCTCAGAACAGAAACAGGATGGGGTCAGTGCGTACTGCATATGGTTAGCGTCGGCCGCGATTCACAGATAGTTTTCGTTATACACACCCGTCCCAGCAGTTGCTCAAGTGGGTGGTGGCCGGGTAGACCAGGATGAAGCCGTTCGAGTCGGCATAAGACGGCAGTTCGGTGGCTGAAAACCACTGCTGGCCCGTAACGCCGCATGGATGAAGCTGATGTGCAAGGTTCACTGAGCTATCACATCAAACATCAATGAGAATAGGGTGAAGAGATCGAAGACGTACAGCCACGACGACAGCGGGGTTGGTAGCTACTTGGTCCGGGACGTATATGTACATCTGAATATCGGTGGGATTGTCGCCGAAACTCATGACCTCAACCAGGGAGGCACATTGCGCAAGGGTCGCGGCCAAAGCCACGGAAAGCAGAGTGCGTAGCTGCATTGTGAGACAATGTGATATGACAAAGACTAGATGTGAAAGGCGTTCGGCTTCTGGAGATGGAATTTCCCCAGAATCCTCTCATGCTGCGGGAGGCCACAGCTGAAGTTTATATCTTACCCCGAACCCCGGAACGAGACCGGCGAACAGTGGCATCGCAAGGCATGCCGTTCAAAGAGACGGAGGTCGATCCGACTTCACGGCAGTCCAGCCCGGTAGACTGAAGATCTCGGTTCAGCTTCACGGCAGTTTAGCCCGGTATACTGGAGTTCCTTGGCACCCCGGTTTGGGGGACATTCGGAGACTTGGCGTTGCTCAGTTCCCATTTCGGGACGCGGAGCCCACAAAGCAGGCAGCTGGCTGGGCACAGGGTAATATAGGGTTACTTTATGGTACGATCTTCCGAAGCCTGCAGCTCGGCACATTATTACTAATCAATGTACATGGAACATGCATATTGGAATCGAGTTGCCGGGCATTCAATATGTCTTTCATTGGTGAGAAGCCATCACCACAAGGCACCTTTTTCATCGCCGAACCCGGCTTTCCAAGTATCGTGATACCAGTATATGGTGGCTTATGGGACCCAGGGATGAAGCACAATGCTCTGCGCATCTTCGGCGAGGTTGTTGAGGCCTCCCTCAAGCGGGGAAGCACTATTGCGTGCCGGTAATAGTGGCAGGACCCTGCGTGAGCTACTGTCGTTTGCAAGCAGAGTGTCAATGCCCCACCTTAAATCGCTCTGCACACACAACAAAATCTTGAGCTGGAATGCGACAACGACAAAAATACCTTCTTATTACCGGTTTAATATCGCACGTATTAATATATATGTATATATAATAATAGCCTTAGATCGTATTTATTAGTACATATTAATATAAATATTTACAACGTTAGTTTAAAAGCGTAATAATTATAAAATGTATTTTTATTGTCACTGCCGTTTTATTAATCTTAAAACTATAAAAGAAGTATTAATTTAAGGTATTTAATAAAGTATATTATAACTTAACAAACTTTAAAGATATAAGTAAATAAAAATGCTTTTAAAACGTATTTTAAAAAAATTTAATTTTAAAACTACGTAATTTTTTTTTTTTTTCTTTGATATGTCAGTTATTTTTACGTTTATAATTTCTTTTAAAAATCCGTTAAATTCTGTATATGTATAAACTTCTTATATATCTCTTAAATTAGCTGTATTTTGGTTTATTTAAGGGTGTGATGGTCTGACCTCCTATCAGGTCTGACATCCCATCTGCAGTGGTCAGTGCACTGCATCAGGTGACCTGGCGCAATGGACGTGTGGCTCCGACTGCCACTGGATTGGGTAATTGTGGGTCGGACTAAAAGATCTTCTAGCCCACCAGAATTGGCTGATGGACCAAATCTTTCTTTCCTTCTTCACCAAGAGATTATTACACGTACGTAGTAAAAGCAGGACTTTTACGCCCACTTCACATCTGCGCTTCGTGACAAAGGGGGGGGGAAAATCCTTTTTTTACAATGATTTAATGGAAACCCGCCCTGCTAACGCTCTGCTTGCAAACAACAGTAAATTGTCTATCTATCTTGATCGCCGGACCGCCCGATCAGGTGGCAAGGCAAGTTGAGCAAGGAATGCCCGACAGAGTAGACAACAAACCACTCTGATTTCCTGGCTGTCGCCTGCACGCGACTCAGTCAATCGTTCTGGAACGCTGCACAGTAGGGAGCGGGGGCGTTTACCGCAATTCATCAAGGTGAAACACCGATGTGTCAATATCTCCTGACATCCGCAGTCAACCATGCCTCCACCCGGGTTCGCGATCCATCCACTCTCCATAAAAACAAATGCTGCGACTGTTTCCACTGGCGGCTATATTCAAGGCCTCCAGACCGACAACGTTCTTGAATCTGGCGAGGTGCTGCACAAACCTTGTTATGCTCCACGCCTCATCCCAACTGCAATGCAGCAACCCAGAGCTCAAATGGACTGCAGGGCAGCTCACTGAATGCAAAACAATTGCCTAGTGTCTTATAGATTACTTGCACCCCTGTCTGTAGGCATGCTGGCAACGTTAAAACAACAGTTCGTTGTATAATAGACACTAGATCCGCACACGTACTGACTGAACTTGCTCTCATCACCGCTTCACGAAGTCTCATTCTCTACACGGTCTTCAACGCTGCTTAAAATGGTTGCTACGCATCACGTCGCTGCTCTCGTCAGCTTCCTGGTCTTCTTCGGCCAAACATGTGCATCACCAGTGTTGGACGACCGTTCATTTCCGGTGCAGAAACGTACTCTGGAGCCCTGTATCTCCAACACAAAGGGGAAGTGTCCGGCTAGCACGAACTGCTCAGGTTTGTGTACAATCCTCCAGAGGTAGTTCAACCCAAACTTACATCAGTCAGCTACGAAAGTGTCCAAAGCCATCCAAGCCGCAGAGTGCTCGCACAACACGCGCACATCCACGACTCAAACCTTCGCAGGTGAGTGATACCTCGCGCCAGAAAGCTCGAACCAGGGCTTAGCTAACTCGCAATCCCTAACCAGTCTTCACCACGGACCACCAATACGACAGCTCTCACGGCGCGCCCTACGGCACATGTGAAGCATACACTTGCACTGCTCCTACTAGCAGTGAAATGACAGATATTGATGAAGACTGCTGGACTTTCTTCTGGGGCAGCAGCACGGGAGAAGACACCGGAGTTGGTACTGGATGCATTCGAAGTCCTGTTGATGGTGCTTGTGGCTGTGAGAACTCCGATGGGACTTTTGTTCCTGGCAGTAGCAGTTGCACTTGAGAAGGAAGACTTGTTCTAGGGATACGGAGATGGTACACCCAGCCCTCATAAGTCTCCATACGCACCATGTTGGGAGGATTCCAGATCACACATCAAATGGGAATTTGGGAATACAGTAATAAGCAGACAGGAATAAGCAGCTTTAGTTTGATACGCCACTTCCAATGCTTATTGCATGGTGCTTATTCCGAATCGATAAATGCACCGTTCAACGTTTACTAAACGGCTGGTGTACGGAGACTTATGAGGGCTTAGTGTACTGCCACTCTTTGTGAAAAGTCCAGCCCCTATTCGGCTCGAACCTGAGCGTGCTGCGTACGGGGATCTCATTGAGGCGGCAGAAGACATGGTCGTGTAGGTATATATATAGTTTAGTCTTATGAGGCTACCGAGTGCCGTGACAGCCGCGGACGCCGACATCTACCTAGCATGGTAGTGCGCGATGTGCGGTGGCATGCCGCAGGACGAAGTTGAGAACATGACAGACAATAGTGAATACTTGAGGGGCCATTTCCGCGGAGCCGATCGGATGCTAAGGGCCGGATCTCGGTCGACTACGGGCTGCGTGTCCGCATCCACCAGACGGCGTTCCTGAACCGCGACTGCAAGATTCCTGACACGCCACACGCCCGTGGCCAACACCACGGTGGACGCCAACTGTCGAGATCGTGCCGAAGTTCTTCCTCTGCAGCATCAGCCACCCGCCAAACCCCAAAAACGTCGCGAGCGCGACCTATGGATTAGTGCGGGTGCCTTTCTCAGGCCCGGTGTCACTGTTGGACCCGCACACGCTCCCCCTTTTGTATGTTGGTCGGGAGAGCCAAGAGAGCCAAGAGAGCCAAGAGATCGTCCGTTGAATGAAAGTAGAGCGATTCCCGATCGGAAGATTTTCAGGCGCATGCTTATCCACACGCATTAGCGCTGATCATTCAGGGCCCAGTGTCGGTCCCTGGGGCCTGGGACCAAGGGGATGGGGCTTTTCCGTGCATAATAAATGGACAAAACCTGAGGGGATCCGGCTACATGCAACCTATCGATACCGGGCAGCTCCAGGGCTGGACCGCCAACTGGCCAGGAATGGCATCCGTCACCCTTTCCTCATCATCAGGCCATTCCCACATCCTGTATACCCTGCTGCATACATAGCGTTGCCCTACCGGCACGACAGGTTTGAAGCAACATGAACTTCGAGTCTTTTACGGTTCGGTAGTACACGTGGAAGGCTGGAAGCGAGTGAGGCCGATGCATGTCAGACTATCCCGGCCTACACACAGGAGGTCTAGATGAGCCCATGGATCGCAGATGCACCGACTACCTCCCTAGCATGCCTAGATCCAGGGTAGCAGGGGTAAGTCCAGGGTAGTTCCACTCCTTCTCGAGGATCCTTCAGGTAGTTCTGGCAGTCCATGGGAGGTAGTCCAAGGTAGTCCCTGCATCGCGCATCCTGTGAACCCGGTCAGGGTCTCGACCGCAACACGCACCTGTCTGTCTACCTGTCCACTATCCATTATCCTAGCATTTCTCTGCTCTTCCTTCTGTGATCCCTCCCCAATAACGGCATCGACAACGTCAATGGCTGACCGGCTACCGCAACACCCAGCTTGACTGTCACCGGACAGCTGCTTATGAGAGCCAGGATTGGTGCTCTTGCCGGGCACAGTTATGGCGAGCAGACCCGACGAGGCCACCCGCCAACGGGAGACGTTCAAGTATGCTCTCGGCCAGTCTTTGCTGTCGTTACTTCTGCTTCGCCCAAACTGACTTGGCACCACCCGTTCCAGATATGATGCTGCCGCGTTTGCCAACAATGCCTTCCACGACGCCACCCAGCCCATCTCCGAGGACACACTCCGCGGCTCTGCCGATACCGCATTGACGGCTTTCGCCCAGCTCGCTACCTTCCGCCTTAATGCCGCGAGGGCCTTGATATCCGTCTTTGATGGCGAACGACAGTATGTCATTGCCGAGGCCACCCGCTCGCTGCCTCTGGACCCCTCGAGCCAACACCCTGGCCAGCTGTCACTTTGCGGCGCTGCTATACCGCGGTCCGCTGGAATATGCGAGCATATACTCAACATGGATGGGCCGCTTCATGCTTGTGACCCCTCGTCAACCACCGCTACTCCACTGCCTGTCTCAATCGTGCCTGATTTGAGCCAGGATAGCCGCTTCAAGTCACGGGCCTACTTGAGAGGCAGCCCGAACAGTCGCTTCTACGCCGGGGTGCCGCTACGCTCACCCCGAGGCATCGACATTGGAGCCCTGTGCGTTTTCGACGATCAGCCAAGGGATCGACTCGATGATATATCGACTCAGTTCATGCGCGACATGTCCAAGACCATCATGCAACACATGGAGTCGAGGAGGTCTGGCGACGCTTCGCGGCGAAGCACGCGTATGGTGCGCGGACTAGGGAGCTTTGTTGAGGGTCATGGGTCATTATCGGACTGGCGGGGCGGTCTCAATGATCACCACCACTTCCAGGATGGAGGCAACGAGGGCAATCTCCACACGCAACAACAATCCCAGCGCGACAGCGAGAATAGCGAAGCCAATCGGCTTGTCCGACCCGAGCCGGTTCCAGTCCAGTCGGACTCTGGCCCGAATCAGGGGCCGGAGAAAACCCAGTCAAGCACATCGGTAGCGAGCACGGTGACCGCTGAGGTGGAATCAGGCGAGGACCAGTATCTCTCACAGGTCAAGCAGATCTTCTCGAGGGCTGCAAACATTGTTCGGGAGTCGATCGAGGTTGAGGGAGTTCTCTTCCTCGATGCTAGCATTCGTTCCTTACCCGGTATCGGCCTCGAGGCTCGGAGAGGTCGCTCAACCTCGGATACCACAACTGGAGGTGCTGAGTCATCGAGCAGTGATGATGATGACATCGCCGAACCAGCCGCGGACCCGGAAATGTGTGATGTTTTTGGCTTCTCAACCTCGGATTCGTCCAGTATTGACGATGCAAAGCCGAGCGCTTACCAAATCAACGTACCTGAAAGCCTGTTGCGCTCCCTACTTAAACGCTACTCAAAAGGCAAAGTATTCAATTTTCTAGACGATGGGACACTTGACTCCGGCGATGAGTTCGAGGAAGAACCGGTGTCTAGGAAGGTCAGGAGAGAGTTGACCAAGGACCTCATTGCTGAGGATACGGACTCAAAGGAAGCGCGACCCACGACCCGGCAGTCTTCCCACAGTCGGTCGTTCACCAGTATCAGCGAAGGCAAATCCCTCATACAGATCATCCCAGGAGCTCGTAGCGTAGCTGTTGTGCCTTTGTGGGACGCCCAGAAGGAACGATGGTTTGCAACCGGCCTTATATGGACGAAAACGCCGGGTCGAGCTTTCACATTATCTGGTGAAATAAGCTATCTCCGGGCATTCGGCATGGCCGTCATGACTGAAATCTCTCGTGCCAACACGTTAATCTCGGACAAGTCCAAGACAGACGTCTTATCCTCACTAAGCCATGAGTTGAGGACCCCCTTACATGGCATCGCGGCCGCCGTCGAGATGTTTCACGATACTCGCCTTGACGCCTTCCAGGGTCATTGTCTCCACACACTCGAGTCCTGTAGGTAACCGTCTTCCTTTTCAGCCTTGAACCTTGACTCTGCCCTGGCGACATGTGGAAATAACCCTCTACAAATTGCGAGACCACTGAAGTGGACGCTAACAAGCTTTAGGTGGACGCACGTTGCTCGATGTCATTGACCACGTATGTGCCTCTTTCTGTTTGAAAGCTGGGTCCGAACTGACTGTTTATTCCACAGTTACTCGACTACACCAAGATCAACTGTTACCGCAATCTGACAAAGACACAGCGCCTAGAACAGAACCGTCCACGATCTGTGACCGGTGCATTGATTCGGTTTTCCACTGTTGATCTTGCTGCCCTTGCCGAGGAAAGCGTCGAGAGTATGTACGCTGGCTTTCATTCTGACATTCACGGCAGACGATACCAGAACTCGGCTGAGTCTATGGAGCCTTTTGGCCATGAAGGTGCTGCAGCCAGCAAAGTGTCGGTGTATTTGGACATCGAACCAAACGTAGACTGGCATTGTCGCACTCAGCCGGGGGCAATGCGGCGTATCATTAGTAAGTGGCCTCCATGTGATGTTCCCCTCCCTTAATACGTTTGTGGCCACCCTCAAATTGTGCGTCCCCGAGGACTCTTGGGGCCCAATCTTGCTACACCTGGATCCATATGGCTCGGGCACTCCCCCTCACCCCCCAAGTACCCGTTGACAACAATATTCAATGCTGATCTTTCATATCTTGCTGCAGTGAACCTCTTTGGAAACTCACTGAAGTATACTCAAGAGGGTTTCATTTCCGTTACGCTCAAGCTGGAGCGTTCACCGTCCAAGTCTACGCCCCGTTCAAACTTTCTTCTTACTATCAACGATTCCGGATGTGGGATCGGAAGTGAGTTTTTGCGTACCAAAATCTTTACCCCCTTCTGCCAGGAAGATGGACTCACTCAAGGCACTGGTCTGGGACTGAGTGTAGTGTATGAGATCGTCCGCATGTTCCAAGGTACCATCAAAGTTGAGAGTCAGCTGGGTATGGGCACCTGCGTGATGGTCAACATGCCTTTACGCCTCCAGAAGGAGAAGGAAAAATCGGATGTAGAATTCCAGAAACACTTATCCGACTTGTCAGGACTTCGAGTGTGCCTCGTTGGCCTGCAGGGTAACACCCTCCCTACCAACGAATCCTCAGCAACACCAGGCTCCCCACCAACGTACGAAAGGGGATTAACTGAAAAGATCTGTCGAGGGTGGCTGAACCTGCAGGTGGTCGATGCCAGCAATGAGGAGGTTCGACCAGACCTGATGATTTGCAGCGAAACGGCGCTCGGTCAAGCTGCTGCCAAGGCAGATGCTGAGAGTTTGCTTCTACCAGCCGTGGTCATCTGTCACAGTGCCGCCTCGGCGTATCGCTTTACGACCTTTTATCACGCAGCTGGTGGAAGCCGCGTAGCTGAATTCATATCACGACCGTAAGTCCTGCAGGCTTCGCCTCCGTAACGGCACGTCGCTAACGAATATCATACAGGGTCGGTCCGAGGAAACTAGCCAAGGCGCTTATGGCTGCATTCGATCGATGGAAAGATAATGGCCAATCTTCCACGGCGTCTTCAGTCTCCGAGGAGTTTGCCACTCCTTCAGCTACGGCGTCCGCTGTTATAACTTCTTCCCCAGGGGGTGCAGCTGTCCGAGGAAGCGACTCATCGGCGCCAACATCACCACGCCATGGTCAAATTGAAGGAACCTCTTCTGTTTCTGGTGACTCAGCCACTGGAAAACCACGTGGCGAAGTGTTTTCGCTTGCTGAAAATCCAGAGACCGCTCACATGGATGCAAAGTCCTCATTTGAGGTCCAACTTCGTCCATTGCATGCTGAAAAACATTTCCTTCTTGTCGACGACAACAAGGTCAATCTCCAGGTAAAGTAGTTAGCCTATATACTCGGATGTGTCTTGGCTAATGGACGGCCAGATTTTGACTGCCTATATGAAAAAGTTGAAACATCCTTTCAAGACCGCGATGAACGGTCTTGAGGCACTGGAAGTCTTTGAAGCGGAACCGCAGCTATTTTCCTGTATTCTGATGGGTACGCATTTCCCCCCCATGTGCAAATTACTGAAGGAACTGCTAACATTTGCTGATATAGATATCTCTATGCCCATCATGGATGGTCTTGAATCTACCCGTCGCATTCGGGCTTTAGAGCGGAAGAAATCATTCGAGCCTATTCCTATCTTTGCACTAACTGGGCTTGCGTCTGCCGATGTGCAGAAGGAGGCTTTCGCCAGCGGGATCGACGTGTTTCTGACGAAGCCGCTGACTTTCAAAAACCTAACTAATCACTTGGCTGAGAGGAGTTTGACGTGAAAGAGGCCGTCATGGGTGGCACAATCACTTTTATAACCTCAAGACACCTCCATCGGCTACCCCAGGTCGAAAGAGCTCTTGATGCTGCAGACGCTCGAGGGTTGATTTCCTTCGCTGAAGCTGTTGACTCACCCAAGGGTGTCGCAGCTTGAAGGCGACACGCTACGCAGGCCATTTTATCACCTGTCCGTTATCGTCTAGGCGGCATGAGTTCTGCAAATAGACTCACTCGGCTTGTGATTCAATTCACAATGCCGCGCAGGGAGGAGCCCATGTGGGCTTGCTATGCCTGTGATGAAATACCCAGGAGGTCATTATGGCGTACGGTAGCAGTGGAGCGTCATTTGACGGCAATCCGGTGGATTTTGGATGCTATGATATAAATGGGATAGCGTCAGAAGCTTGATCTGTTCCTGTGTAAAGCGGACCGGCATACCACAGTCCCAGGCATGCCGCGTTGGACAAGCTGTTTGGAACTCGATTGTCCGAGACGAGCAGCCAGTCAACCTAGGCATATCCTGCGACTGACAAAGCTGAAGGCTCGGAGAACCTAATAGCCACGAAATCAATATCAATAACCTCCCTAAATGACCCGAATGTGCAAGAGTGGCCGCAGATTGAGGGAAATTCGGCACCAAACTCTATGGGCACCAAACTCTATGGTCGCCAAAGACTATTGCTTGACGGGCATGAGTCACAAGGTCCATGTCCATGCCCTTGTTCATGTCCTCGTCCTCGCATTGCGCGCTCCGTACTGAAAGTATTGGATGGCACGCAAGCCACCGTGTGGCGCCAGGGAGGTGGCAGTGCACTGAGCAGGGGCCATTAGGGCATTTTGGGCACCAAGGCCACATCGCAGACCTTTAGAACAACACAATCAGCACAGAGCACACGAATAGCCATCACATAACCATCTACACTCTGTTTGATAGAAAGCGCTTACATCACGCAACCAGGCTATTCGGCAGAATATGGAATCTATACCCGAATGCACGAGAGAGCAGGAATATGCATATCAGGTCCATGAAACTTGCGGAATGGGTATGGCGAGTTGCCCGCACCGCCCAAGTAGAGGACAAGTATGCACTATCTATTTCAAGTAAGAAATAACAAACTTTACGAGTAACACGTAGGGTTCCAAGTAATGAAAGACAGCCGGTAAATATAACAAGAGATCTGTAATACACCCTTTCGCTCCATCCCATCCCCAGCGACCTTCAGAACCTCCCTTTCGCTCCATCCCATCCCCAGCGACCTTCAGAACCTCCCTTTCCTTTACCCAGATCCCATACAGCTAGCTACCTCTCTCTTTGCCCCCCAAAGCGTCCACTCTCTCATGCCGCCGCAGCCCCCCCGAACTCCACGCCCTGCGTCGCGCACACCTGCGTCGCAAACTTGGTGATGCTCAGCGTAGGGCCCAGCAGCTGCTGGAAGGGCACGTCCATGCGGTACTCCTTGAAGATCCAGTTGCGCAGCTCGGCGCCGATCATGCTGTCTATGCCGTAGTCGGCGATGCTGCGCACGTCGAGCTCGTCGAACTGGTCTGGCCCCAAGAGCAGCATGCGCGCCAGCTTGTCGACGAAGTGCTCCGTCACGGCCTGCAGCGCCTCGGCTGGGGTAGGGGCCGCCTTGATGGTCGCCAGGATGCTCTGCGCGCTGGAATTGGTCGTCGCGTCCGAGGCGGCGGAGGCCATGTCGTGGACTACGTGGGAGAAGCGCGCGTCTTCGAGCCAGAAGCAGTCGTCGGCTGCTTCGTCGTTGACGGCTTTTTGGAGCTTGGACGGGTCGAGGCCTACGACGACGTGGTCTGTTTTTGTGCCGCACACAATGGCTGCCTCGAAGCCCTCGAGCAGGTGCTCCGAATCGATACCATACATACCCTTACGCGTCAACGCATCCTCGAGGGACGCGTTCTCGGCGACGACGCCTACGCCCAGCACCATGGGCAGCACGAGTGAGGTGGCCACCACACCTTGCTTATTGCTGCCGCCGACGCGGTTACGGTGTCGCGCCAGGGAGTCCAGGAAGCTGTTGGCGGCCGCGTAGTTGCCCTGGCCCGGCGTGCCGAGGATGCCCGACACGGAGCTCGTGACGACGAAGAAGTCGAGCGGGGTGTTGGCGAGCACGGCGTGCAGGTTCGTGGCACCTAGTATCTTGGGCTCGACGGAGGCTTTCCAGTTCGCGAAGGGCATCGAGTGGAAGAGTCCGTCCTGGTTGGGAAGTTAGCTCGCTTGTTCACCTGGGGTGGGGTTGAGGTTGGGGTTGGGGTGGTGGGGATTGCGACTACTTACTCTGAGGACCATGGCTGCATGGACAACACCCTTGATGGGGTTCTTCGTGGAGACGCCTTGCACAGCGCGGGTAACATCGTCGCGAGAGGTGGCATCACCCCTGACGACTTGGACAATGGCACCGGCGGCCTCGATATCTTGGACCAGCTTGGCGGCCGATTTGTTATCTGTCCCGGAGCGAGACAGGAAGGTGAATCTCCGGGCGCCAGACTCCATCATCCAAGATGTCAGACTGCGTCCGAGGCCACCCAGGCAGCCCACGAGGAGATATGTGGCGTCGGGGCTGAACCGCAGAGGCGCCCGAGCTGGCAGGACTTGGATAGGGGTCTCCGAGGGCTCGTACACAACGACGCTCTTGGCTGCGCCGAAGTTGTCGGAGAAGGTCGCCACGGCCTTGTCGAGGCTGGCCAAGTTCACCGATTGCGCCTGTCCAGGGGCAACAAGAGATCCTTCTTGGGCCATCTTGACGATGCCATCGAGCAGTCCGGAGAGGACTTGAGGTCGGGATTCATATAGCTCGAGTATGTCGAAGGACATGTAGCTGGCGCCGCGCGGCACGGGGACCGTGTCCAGGGCGTTGCGGCTCAACACGTCTTTCCGGCCACCGTCGACGAACCTACCGAAGCGGGCGATGTGCCGCCACGCCTCTCGGGCGTCGCCAGAGTCGACGCTTCCGGCGCTGACGACAATGTCGGCGCCGTTGCCGTTGGTCAGCGCGGCGAGGTGCTGGGCGACCGGACCATCAGTAGCTCGGATGATGTTAGTGTCTGAGAGGTGGAGGTGCGACTTGAGGAAAGCGGCCTCCTCTTCCGACTTCACCACGACGTAGGGCGTGGCGTCGTTCAGCTGTGCGACCCGGATGGCGGCGGTGCCGGCGCTGCCGGTGTTGTGCAGGATCAGAACATTATCTCCTTGCTTGACCATGGCAAGGGTCACGAGCCCGTGAAGGGCGGCAGCGTACGACATCAGCATGCCGACGGCGGATTTCATGTTATAATTTCGCTCGAGCTTGCGCAGCATGGTTGCGGGGACCTGCTGGAAGCTGGCGAACTTGTCGGCGTGGAAGCCCACGACGCGGTCGCCGGCGCTCAACGACTTCACCTCGGCGCCAACGCGCTTGACGGTACCGCCGATCTCGTGGCTGAAGGTCATGGGGTAGTCGGCGCCGGTGATGACGAGTACGCCCTCCTTGGTCAACCCGCTGCAGTGAACCTGCACCTCGACGTGGTCCGGCTTGAGCTGGTCGTCCTCGCTGGCTAGTTCCTCCTGGAACACGACCTTGCCTTTGAGGATCTTGCCCGAGATGCGGTCTTCGGGAGCGAAGCTCTTCTCCTCGGTGCTCTGCGATGCGGTGAAGGTGCTGTTGAGGCCGGGCATGCGGACCAGGCGGCTGATGTACGTCTTGCCGCCGGAGACGCAGAACTCGCGCTCCGGCATGTCGCTCTTGACGAGTTGCAGCTGGGCCGTCTTCGCGATCGCCTTTGATACCCTTTCTGGCTCCGTGGCCTCGATGTCGATGTCCAACGTCCGGAAGTCCAGCGACGCCTGCTCTGAGCGGACGGAGCGTGCGAGACCCGATGTCAGTGCGTGTTCGGGTTTCTTGCCCTCCAGTAGGCCGCCGGCGGTGACCCACAGGAGCGAGGTTGCTGAGTTGGTGATGTTCTGGATAGCCAGCAGTTCCTTCTCCTTCAGTGTCAGCAGAAGGGGCCCTTCGAAGTCTGTAAGCATGATCACGTGGTCCTGGACCGAGGAGTCTAGACAGTCGGCCAGGCTGGAAATGGCGACACTCCATCCCAGAGCTTCGAAAGCTGAGGTGACTTGCTGAACCACGGGACTTGGACTGTTGCGGTAGACTAGCTGGACGGTGTGATCAGCCGATGCAGATTGTTGTGCTTCTAATCCGCCGGCGGTGGATACGGCAAGAGTGCTGCCAGTCTTGCTCCCCATGGCAAAGTCGATGCCGCTGAAGCCTGCCTCGACGAGAGCGTCAACAGAGCCGGGCTGGGAGAACTCCCAAATGGCGTGCCCGCCAGCCTTGAGGAAGCTGCGCAGTGTCTTGAGAACCTCGACCGAAGGCGCCTCGCCAATGGCAATGAGAAGGTCGTAAGATTCCGACTTGAAGCCTTGATACTCGAGGTCTTCGGAGAAGTCGACCTTCATCACCTTGGCGTTGCGGTACTCCTTGATGCTGTCTGTGACTGGCTCCAGGTCCTCGTCCGAGGTGACAGTGATCGTGTACGATACCTGGGGGTTCTTCTCGAGGATAGCAGATGCGTCTTGAGCGCCGATCTCAAGGACCTTCATGCCAGGGTTCTTGAAGAGCGCCAAGTTGGCCAATTGGGAGACTGTTATGCCATCGACCTCTGCTCCCATCTCGAAGCTGTCAAAGTCGAGCTCCCAGGCCATCTCACCATAGGGGGCATCCTTAAGAGCGGTGTCCGCTTTCTGGGGAACGGCTGCCTCGTAGCTGGTAGTACGGACATTGACAATTTCCATGACCATGTTGCCGTCGTCGGCCACCATTTGCACGCTGGTCTCGCATGAGCGTATGCCGCGGCGGTCGACCCAGGCATATGCGCTCGCTTTCTGCGTCTTCACCTGCTTCCTGGTGGGCGGCCAGATGGTCATCTCGTCCATCTGCACAGGAACCACACCGCAATCGAGGGCACTCGTGCGACCGGCATAAATGGCAGCTATACACAGCTGCAGCGTCGAATCGACCGAAGCCGGGTGTAGGGCATAGCGAGACTCGCCCAATGACTCGTCGACCTCCTGCTTGATGTTGGTCCGGCAGCTGGCCTCGTAGCGCTGGCCATCGAACCGAATATCGTCCATGTCCTGGAACGTCGGGCCGTAATCGAAACCAACGTCTCGCAACGCCTGATTCCAGGCCTTGCCCGTGGCGCGCTGGGGGAACTCGGGTACCGGCCGGGTCTTGCGATCCGTGGGGGACCGGGTGTTGATGCTGATGCTGCCGGTCATGTGCTCCTTCATCACGCCCTCGTCGTCGACCGAAGAGACGCTGAAGTCCCACCACGTCGGCGTGGCCGCGGACCCGTCGAACACGGACGGCCGCATGTTGAGCATGATCTCCACGCCGTCGTCGTTGTCGGGCGTCACGAGCGCCTTCTTGATCGACACGTCGCGCAGGACGTACGTCGCAATGTCAGCGGGCTTGTCGCTGAGCTCGTTGAGCTGTGTGATGGCCTCCACGGCCATGGAGAAGTAGCCCGCAGCAGGGAAGACGGACTCGCCGCCGAGGAAGTGGTGCTTCAGCCAGGGCAGGTCCTTGGACCGGAGCATGTTTCTCCAGGTTGGCTCTGCTAGCGAACAGCCGATGACCAGCTGTCCGAGCACGTCGTGGCGGGGGAACTTGGGCTGGCGCTGCTCGCGACTCGTGCGGCTTTCTGCCCAGAAGGGCTTCGTGTAGTTCCATTGGTAGGGCGGCAGGTCGACAATGGTGGACCCGGACACGCCCTTCACTTTGCCCGTGGGCCCGGTCTCTTCCACCATGGTCACGCGCTGCATGTCCAGTGGGTAGTTGCGGAGGAACAGCTCACCAGCTACCTTGAGCAGCTGGACGGCGCTGTCGGTGCCTCGCAGCAGGGTGGGTAGGTACTCGAGTTTCTCAGCCTTCAGCTCTGCCTTGATCTGCTTGATGGGGCCGGCCATGGCCGAGTGCGGGCCTACTTCAATAAGGAGGTCAACATTGGCGAAGTCGTCACTCATCAGGATTGTCTGGACGGCTTGGTTGAACAGGACTGGGCTCCGCAAGTTGGCGCTCCAGTACGCCTCATCCAAGACGGCTGTCTCGGGTAGGACCTCGTTTGTGACGGACGAAACCATCCGGGCTTGTGTCTCTTCGGGGAGATCGAACACGAGGTGTGCTCGGGCGCCTTGAACGAGCTTCTCGTATTTTTCGGCGACGGGCACCATGTGGTGTGAGTGGTATGCCTTGCCGTTGGTCTTTACCATACGAGCGAAAATGCTCTCGGCGTCCAGCTTTGCCTTGACCTTCTCCAGGGCATCCGCATCACCGCTTAAGGTGACGCCGGAAGGAGAGTTGTGACAAGCAGTAACCACCTTGCCCGCGACGTCGGACAGGTAGGGCGCAACCGCTTCCGCCCCAAGACCGACGGCCATCATGGCACCGCCGGTGTTGATGTCCTTGACCACCTTGCCGCGGTAGTAAGCCACGACAATGGCCTCCTTGGCCGACAGAAGGCCAGCAGCATAGGCTGCCGCAATCTCACCAGAGCTGTGGCCAACAGTGACCACGGGCTTGACGCCCCAAGAGGCGAGAATCTGGACGACGGCAACCTGTATGGCGGTACACAGGGGCTGGGAAAACTCGGCTTCGCTTACACGGGAGTTCTCGGGGTTGTCGAGAAGGACATCCTCGATCGACCAGTCGGGACCGTCAGGCAGGTCGCCGAGCGCTTGGTCGAGGATCCTGATGGACTGGAGGAAGCTGGGGTATTGCTCCATGAGCTCGGCTCCCATGCGTGCCCACTGGGCACCCTGACCGGTGAAAACAAAACCGACGGTCGGTGTCTTCTTCTTGTCAGCGAAACTGAACGTAACAGCCGTGTTGGTAAAGACGTCGCGGGCAGTAGCGTGGCTGGCAACGTTGAAAGCCTTGCTCGGCAGCGAGCTTCTGCGATTGGCCAGCGTGAACGAGAGGTCGAGAAGGTCGTACTTGTCGATGATAGCGCCATGGGCGGTGATGTTGCGCTTCAAGGTGGGTTTGTCGTGGGCCGAGAAGGGCAGCAGGAAAGGCCGCTTGCGCTCGAGGGCACGGCGAGGGGAACGGAGCTTCTTGGGCGCGTTGCTGTCGATATACTTGTATGTCTGAGGCGACTTCAACAACGATTCGGCGCCTTCGATGACGAGATGGGCGTTCGTGCCTCCGTAGCCGAATGAGTTAATTGACACCCTTCGCACAGGTAGGTGAGCAGGGAACGGTACGGGCTCTGTAACGACCTTGACCTGCCACTCGGCCCAGTTGATCTTGGGGTTGGGCGTGACGAGCCCCCTCGTGGGAGCAATGACACCTCGCTCCACCATCAGAATAGCCTTGATGAGAGCAGAGAGCCCCGAGGCGGCTTCGCTGTGGCCTATGTTCGTTTTTACGGCGCCGATCCACAACGGGTCGTGCTCCTCTGGGCTGCGCTCCTTGTTCATAGCGATGGAGACGGCGTTGACCTCAATTGGGTCTCCAATGGCAGTTCCTGTTCCATGGCACTCGAAGTAGCCGGTGAGACGGGGATCCAAGTTGCCTCCTCGTCGGTAAGCCTGTCCGATGACATCGGCCTGGCCCTCGCGGTTGGGGTACGTAATGCCGACGGCGGGAACCTTGCCGTTGGAGTTGACGGCACTGGAACGTATCACGCCGCGTATGGGGTCGCCGTCGCGCACAGCGTCGGATAGCTTCTTGAGGTACACGGCACCGACGGCGTCAGCACGGCCGTAGCCATCGGCACTCTCGTCGAATGTGTGACAAGTCGAAGTCGGCGATAGGACACCGAGCTTGGCCGTGTTCATGTGCTGGTCGACAGTGATCATGAGATTCACACCACCGACAACGGCGCCCTCGCACTCGTCGTTGCGAAGAGCGTTGCACGCATTGTGCAAGGCATAAACAGAAGACGAACAGGCCGTGTTGACCACGATGCTAGGCCCGTTCAAGTTGAAGACGTGGCTAATACGGTTGCTAATGATGCCCGGATCCACGCCTGTTGCTGCCAGGTTGTGTCGGAACGACGGCTCTTTGAAGGACATCTGTTGCCAGTCGGCAGTAAAGCTGGCGGCGAACACGGCTGTTCTCGATCCCGAGAGAGCTTCGAGGGTCAACCCGGCTGACTCGAAAGTCTCATAGACGACCTCTAGTAGCTTCCGTTGTTGGGGGTCCATCCACATGGCCTCGATAGGGGTAATGCCGAACAGTCCAGGGTCGAAGTCGCCGAGGTCGTTGGTGAGGAAGTATCCGCCCAGGACGCCGAAGCTGCCTGGTCGGTCATTATTCTTGTGGATGTGGGCGTCGATGTTGAATCGGTTGCTGGGGACCTTTGGTGTGTTGCCGGTCCCTTTGTTGATGAGCATGTCCCAGAACTGAGCTGGTGACCCGACATCACCCGGCAATCGGCATCCTGTCATTGGCGTTAGCCATTACTGCTAATCAAAAAGGTCGTTTGTATAGAAAGATTACCCATGCCAATAACCGCAATGGGCTCCAGCTGCTCTTCGAGGGGCTTCTCTGCATAGCCAGGAAAGGAGAGAGCCGGGTAGTCTCCGTAGAGGCTGCTCGCAGGTGTTGACTGGCGGCTCTCCTCAGATCCTTGGGAAGGGGACCTCGAGGCCCTGGTGATCAGGCCCGGCATCTTGACCGCTACGTGATCTGAAAATCAAGACGAAAGATGCTTTGGGCCTCTGGCTGGAAAGGGCTTGTTGAACACGAGTTGCCTGATTTTCGTCTTGGGTCGTACGACTTGGGATTTACCTACTTGATATCTAAGCTTCACTTATCATCAGGTTCAGCATCACTTATGTCCGTGACTCCAGCCTGATGTACGGAGCTCACCCGACTGTTTTGCCGCAGCTGTAAGGTCGGGAGCGGGCCAAGGCGCTGACGGGAGACGCGGACCGGAGCATCTGGCTGACTGCAGAATGGTCATATCTTCTTCCCCGTCGAATAGCGGTCACCATGGCCATACTTCGACCCGCGTCTTACGAAATGTCCGTGACCCTTGTTCACGCAGATCGTGCCGCCATAGTCACTCGCAGTCCGGAGTTGCTGAAACCAAGCGCCCAAGAGATGTAAGCAAGTCTTCACCCAATAACAGACACCACGGAACCGGATAAAGCCGCCCGAGAACACACATGCTTCCTCAACCAGAGAGCGGTCCGAAAGTCCGTACGTGGCGAGGCCCCTTCCAAGTCACCGCCGGACAGAGTCTGGGCTGCCCGCAGAGTGTTTTTGTGAGATGCTGACAGGCCTGCTAGATTGTGAGTCAGTCATGGGCTTCGGCTATACGGACGCCCTACTGTCTTCTGCCATCAGATTTCATGTCCAAATAATACGGTCATGAGAACTCCTTGGGGTCATTATCTTCCATGTAACATCCAATGATCGTAATTATAGGGGCACGATAAAGCTGCTCCGTGCAAAGTTGTGTTAAGTACAGGAGAACTTCAAATGCCACTTCAACTTTGTTATCTCCCAGGCTCCTTCAGGTATAATTCCTCCCTTACGGTATCTTGTCGCCGAGCTCTATCATTCGGAGTCCCCAAAACCCCCATATTGCCGTTTAAGGACGTTTTACGGCATCTTCAGTCTTTTTTATTTCCTCGCGGCCGGTCCAAAATTCCACATTTTCATTTCCCGCAGGTTGTCGGCTCTGTGTCGAGATGAAACCGATCAAGGCCCAAGGGCAGAAGATTTGTTTAGTGAAGCTTACCCTGCCCAAAGGCTGACTCGACGCGGCATGCCTTGAGATGGGAAGCGTACGGCATTCCAGCTCCAGGGCTATAAATGCTAGCAACGGCCGCCAGTGGGCACTTTCTGGCCAACCATGGGCTCCCAAATCATCTAAGTGCCGAGAGCCAGGACGAGGACTACGGTGATCTAACAATCAAGCCGGATGAACCGGTGGGCCCTTTCACGTTGTTCGCTGATATGGTGGCGTTTGAATGGCGCTGAAGTGAGGGATATAAACTCTCCTAAGATCAAGATCACGGACTGACGGGCAGGAAACGTAGAGCACCGAGGCGACGTAGGCTGGCTTTTTGGTCCCTTTTAGGACATACAAGGTAAGGGCTTCCTGTAAGCACCGTTACCAGGCTGGGGGGGTTGGGTGGGGGGCCGCAGGTCGCAGGGTTCTAAGGCACGTCTTCGTCGACTCGTATGCTATCGTACAAGCTCCCAGACCGCCGCGGGCGGAAATGGACGCATACGCTATGCGAAGACAGATGAAAAGTAGCAAATAAATCTCGATTTTAATCATGCGATCAGCAGGAATGTCAGGTTACACAACATGAAGGTGTTATGTAGGGTAGCAATGGCGGTCCTAACCCGCATGAACTCGAAAGGGACCTCCAAGCATTCGACACCACCACGCCTGACTATACCATAGTCGACGCCATCATGCAAGGCTTTGTGACATGCTGCGGCTGACTGCAGAAAACCTCAGCCGCTGGAGGATGATACTGCACAGTGGGATGATGCAGCAGACGGATGAAGACCAGGCCCTGTTTCTCGTCTTATCACCGCCATTGACCGTACCATGGAGCTTATCTGTGAGCGCTCCTACGGCAGCAGTCATCATGCAGCCGGTAGGACTATCTGACAGAGATGTGGCGCATTTTATGTCTGACTGCTTGCCAAGTAGAACACTAGGTCTTCAATTCACAGGAACCAGCCGCGTATCTGTGTGTCAGATTGTTGGATCTGAGACCCCTCACCGCGACGCTGATGCCTTTTCTCTCTGTATAGTACTTAAGCCGCCTAGGCCAGGGCATGTCAGTATTTTTGGGGTAGGCTGCCGTCAACATTGGGGGTCGGAAACATCTCATTTCTGTCTGCTATGTCCTTCATCTACAGTATGAATTTCGGAACCGAGAATTCGCCGAATAAAGGCCAATCCAACGATTCGGCCGATTTCACGCGGCCACCTACGGCTCAGGGGGACAACGCCGGCGCCGACAACGAGCGGCCCGCCGAGCCGGCGTCGACGAAGCGTCTGGTAAGCTCCCTCATAGCTCCCTCATAGCTCTTTCGGCTATAGAGACGGTAACACTCAGCGTTCTTCATCTAGGCTTGCAATCCGTGTCGGGGAAGGAAAGTGAGATGTGATAGACAGCATCCGACATGTGGTAGATGCACCAGAGTAGGCAACCTGTGCATATATTCCAGCCCGTCCAAACAGTCGGTATCGAAGTCAGACATGTCCCAACTCTTGGTCCACCTCAACGATCGGCTCGGTGAGTCTGGCGAGGCCTGGTGGTGCACGACCGCACACGCTGAAGGTACCTTCGCAGAACAAGCAGAAGCCAGGCTGGCTTTCGGATCTCCAACTCTCAACACACAACAGAACCACGCGGCATGGCCTGAGCTGGGCCTCCTTACGTCTCCAAGCTCGGCGACCGTGGCTTCGGGCTCTGGATTCGGCCATCATGGGCACGAACAGGTTCAGCTGCTGCCCAGCGGGACAAATCTCCCTATCACGTCTGGCAACACAATACTGTTGGAGTCTCATGGACCGTACGTTGGCTAACTCCTCTCTCTTGGGCCCATCAACTAACTGGGCAGGAAAATCGAGTGTGGTGAGGCCTCCTCTGAAATGCGAATGGATTCGACAAGTACCGATATACCATCGGACTATCTAGTGGACCCATCGGCCACTGGCAGCTGGGACATGGATACTACGCTCCAGGAGTATTCGTTCAATTCCTACAGCGAGGCCGAGTCTGACACCACTCTGGTCATTCCAAGTGCCGTGCTCTCAAAGCTGTGAGAAATGGTCCCATACCCCCTTTTTCCTCGGCAGATCAGGCTAACTGCGACAGGCATTCTAGTTTCTTCGATGTCTTCCACCCTGTAACACCGATTATCGACCGCTCTCGGTTCCAGGCCAAGCTGGCTTGCGAGCCGGTGCCCATACAAACGCAAGCCCTCTCCCTGGCCATGGGGACGTTGGGCGCTCTGGCAACGCCGGAACTCGACTTCGCCCTCGATGCATGCTATCTCCAGGCCCGGAATCTTCTCAATCAGTGCGAGATGCAAGAGAGCGACGCGCCACTCGCGGATATAAATACCCTACAGGCGTGCATCCTGCTAAGCCTCTACGAGTTCAGACAGAATCTGTCCCGGGCTTGGATCACCCTTGGGCGGGCGATGAGGCTGGGCCAGATCATGTGTTTGGATAGGACCCACGCCACCCGAAATTCCGCCCACCCGGGCCCGTTCACGCCCCTCCCGCCCGTCTCCGACCCCGGGGAGCTCGAGGAGAGACGGCGCGCTTTCTGGCAGCTGTACATACTCGACGGCTTCGCGAGCATGAGAACGAACTCGACGCCCACGTTCGATGGAAGAGAGGTCAGTAATGTATGTATTCAAGGCGTGCCATGCTCTAAACTCTTTGCCAAGGTCTCTCTCCCCCTGCCCTGCCCCGGGAATCTTGCTACCATCTCCGAACCACACGAGATGCCACCACTAGGGCAAGTGTTTGACCTGTCGCGGGATGTCAAGGTATCGTTCTTCGCGGGCACCGCCATCATGGTAGCCATGTACCGACGCTGTTTCGACCACATCTACACCTGGGCTCACGTGCCATCCTATCCGTTCTGGGATACTCATTACGGCATCGACAGTCTAATCGCCCATAGCCGGGAGAATCTACTCGAGCAGTACTGCGAACTCGACGGCAACAGCACGGACCGGCCCCTCTGTATCATTCTACGTATGAACATGGCTGCGGTGGAGATCAACTTGCACGAGACAGCCATCGCCAAGGTGAACAACGAGCACCTGCCGTCGAGCCTCGCGACCGAGGCCATGACCAAGTGCGAGTCCGGGGCGAGGGATATTGAGGATGCCGTACGGGCCGGTCAGCGACTGAGAGGCAGAGATTTGGCCACGTTTCAGCATGCGAGCCCCCTATTCACCTGGCCCATGACGAAAGCAATGCAAGCCTACCTGTGGGTGCTGCACCACCGCAAGGACAACATCAACACGTGTATCAACGGTCTGCGCACGCTGGCCGCCTCGGCGAGGGAGCTCATCGACTCGGACCAACTGGTTCCCGAGCTCCTGGAGCAGATCGACGCCCGACTAGCCGAGGCAGATCGGTCCAAGAAGAGAAGATATGCTCCGGGGCTGAGCAGTTTCTAGCATCCCGCGCGGCGCGGATGTATCCCATTGGCATAGACATACATGCATACGTTGCTCATGCGCCTACCCAACAGATAGAAAGATTAGCAAGCGACACTGGGTGGAAACCATAGACCCCATTGGCATGAGAGTGCATACTCGTCACCTGTGCCCCCTCCCAGCAGTTGCTGCTGAGGTACTGAGCGAGAAGGACCACCCTCGTGACCCGTGTTATCGCTTACGACGTTCTTTTTTTTTTTTTGTGGGGGGGGGGGGGGTGGGACTAACTAGAAAGTGACAGGGGAGACCACCCCGCTAATCCAATAGGGGTTCGCATCAAATGCGGTCACATCTTGGAGCCAGGGGCAATGCCGTATAACGTTATCAGAACGCGGGGGTGGGTTTCGGGTGCGGCGCAGCGGGAGGGGCATGTCAGCTTCGATGCCAATATCACGGCTTACGTCAGACTCCCGAGTTCAGATATTCCCACTCCATTCCAACTCTTCCATCTGTACACGGCTATCTTAGCTTCGACTTGATACCAGGGACTGGATGAGTCAGCTGATATATATTAGAGTCATATAGAAGATATAAAAGCAACTTTGGGTAGGAATCAAGCCACCATGGCTCGCAGCCGCAGAATTCACACATGTAGAAGAATCGTCGTACTGATGTGATGCCGCGCGTCTTTCCATCAGTGACGTACGCAAAATCCTGGTAATGACCATGGGTTGGAACATGCACGTACGCCTTGCTGGTGTTTCATACCCATCTTGCGCGAAAAGACATAATGGGCCACATGCTTGCTCAGGCAGACTAGCGGTACCAGAGGTATCATGTCTCAGAAGTGTGCTCTCATCCAGCCCATCCATGCCTGATTTCACTTAGGGTTCTGCTATTTGCTGCAATACGGCCCCTTTTCCCAGCACAACTACGCGCATAACTGCACCGACAAGTGCACCAATAACTGCAAGCTGCACCGACAAATATACCGACAATCTCGATCTAATAGTAAGCCGTGAGCTTGGTGGTCAGCCCGCTGCCAGCTGCCCGAGGAGGCAGTCTGACAAGGTGCCAATAGCAGAAGTCTTCACTTATCACGAGGCTCTTAGATCCCACCCCCATCTCCCATTTATGACGCATTCAGCGATGACAGCAAGATGCTGACTCAGACTGTAGCTCGAGAACGCGGGCGAAGACATCTTCCAAACATGGGCCTATACCGGACACCGCCTCTTCGAAAAATGCCGTACATATGCAGTACGACCGTCGACTTCCAGTCACAGACCGACAGGCGTGTATAGGCGTTCGTGAGAAATGAGCTGTGCTCCCATTTTCAGGGAGGGACTAGGAGCGGACCGCCAACGTGACGGCAGCTGACCGCATATCTGGTTCGGAACAGGCCGCCGGGCAATAAGCGGCCGCCGTGCCATGCGAGGTGCAGGACACCCCCGTGCCTCAAAATGTAGCGGTGAGTGCTTCGTAGCCGCCATCCGCACAACAAGGTACCTGTGTGCCACCGCCGGCGGCTTGCAGACTCGGGCTCGTCATACGGTGGCGGCTTACCCGCAGGGCGGGGCCACCCGGAAAGCCTCACGGTGTTCTAGAGATAAGGGTCAGCCGATCTAGGCAAGGATGCTGCATAGAAGTATGTCATGGGCGTCTGTGGCTCACAACGGAGGCTGCGCGGAATATGGAGACCGAGGGTCTCGACGAGCATCGACCGCCCGGCATATGCAGCGACGGGAATCCATGGCCGAGAACGCCCGCGGCCTCGTATGAGAGCAATCGAGCCCTCGCGCGGCGAGTGCAATCGACACGGTTCACTGCTCATAAAGCCATATCGAACTGGGTAGGTAGATGATGGAATCTCTCGTGACGGTCATTGTTTTCGCGACGGTCATTGCTTTCATCTGCAACCTAGGACGCAGAACCGACGTTACCGGCAAACCATCCGCCCTCGACAGCCCGGATTCCTTCGGCATCATGGCGCAGAACAAGAGCGGTTCGCCGCCGGCCCAGAGCTTCCCCAGCACCAAGCCGGCCATGCTGTTCAAGGTAGGTCGTCAGACGAGGCGACGCGACGCGACGCGCCGCACAACTCACGGCAGCGAGTGCTGACCATCGCAGACCGGGTTCAACGAGAAGTTCATGTGTGGGGATATCTACTCCGGATCCACCCTCGTCGCCGTGGTACGTCTCTATCCCATCCCCGTCCCCGTGCCGGAGCCGCCGGGAGCTAGCTGTATTGACGCTGGGTTTGCTGACGACGCGTAGCCTCTGGTGGGCGGCACCCTCGAGTCGGTCGGCGACTTCGAGCCCAAGTTCAAGTTCACCGTCAACAGCGGGGCCGACTGGTTCCAGATCGACGCCGACAAGCAGCACGGGCGGCTGGGCATCAAGGCGGTGGCCACGGACGACCAGGGCGCGTCGGTCTGCATCATCACCGAGGGCGTCATGGCCATGAACGAAGTGACCATGCCGCTCGCGTTCGGCAGTCCCGACGCCAAAACGTCGCCGTTCGGCTTCGGAGGTGAGGTTCTTTTTTCGCCGCGCGCTTCTTCAGTTGCACAGCCCACCCCCGCCCCCCCCCCCAGCCCCAACACTGCATCAGCTAACGGAGAGTGTCTGTTGTCAGTCGAGACTTTCAAGATCGAGGCCGGCGACCCCAAGTATAAGCCGCTGGAGAACATGGTCTTTGTGGGGAGCCAGAGGTTCCTGCAGCCCGAGGGCGGCTTGGTTGGCGTCGAAGCGCGTATTTCCCAGATCGTTTCCGGCGAGGGCATGGAATAAGTTAGACTTTGGTGGGAATCGATTTGACTTCCTGTATTTTCAATCTTGTACTGGAACATGTCCCGGTCAAAATCCTCAATATGCCATATCCCGATTAATACCTATGCTTGATGGCCCACTCAAGATTGTCAGTGATCTGCTCAGGAGGTGATGCTGCTTTAGGGTGGTTGGTTGACAGCATATGATGTTGAAAGACTGAATAGGCGCTCCATTATTTCAATTACGGTCCCATACAACGACCTGGATGCTGCTGGAGCTCAAAAGGGGTACAAGTGATGTATTGTCTAAGTGTGATCTGACCAGACGGTCTGCCGAGATCCCCTTATATATGTGGCGGAGGAACCCTGTCTCAGGGGGGTCCACCAGGCTAGTCACGGATACCTGAACATGGTTTACTAATCCTAAAATATCCAGAGCATTCGGCAGGCAGGTCATCTTCGGCAATGCAAGTTTCAATAGATCACTGCAAGTGGAGATGTCATCAATTTTTTGCCGCCCAGTCAAGCTTTCTCAAGGTATCGACTCCGACCACCATGCTGTCCTAGTCCGATTCTAGCTTGATTCCCGGAATACAGCGCGCCACCCAAGCGGCGGAAAACAACATGACAACGGCTCCGGCCGCGCTGGCCATCTGCCATAGCCGCCGCACACCACTGGAATGTGTCGCATTCCCGCCGACGACCTTTGACCTCATGCGCTTCTCCATCTCTTCGTCATCCTTCCACGCCAAGCGCCCCGCGGCAAAGTCCCGAACCTTCACATAGTCGAGCTTGGGGCCGGCCCGGATATACTTACTCAAGTCGCTCGCCACCGGCGCGACGGGCAGCTTGGGCATCAGCCATCCGGCCACCTTGTGCAGCGTGGAGGCCCCCGCCTGCACTCTGCTCGCCAGGCCCGACAAGCTCACGATGTACTTGGCACGTTCCTTTCTCTCCTCTTGGTACGTCGCGAACAGGGAATCCAAGGCCGCGGCGCTAGGTCGCGTGCCGCCGTGCTCTCCTAGAAGCGCGTGAAGCTGATTGCAGAGAACGACAATGTCCTCCATGGCCGTGTTTCCGCCCAGGGCGATGTTAGGGGTCGCCTGGCCGCTGTCAGCTACCTGATTCGTGGTCTGTTCAGGCGCGGCGCTCGACGTACCTTGTGGACTGCGTCACCCGCCAGGACGATCCGGCCGTGATGCCAGTGCTCCAGGACGCCCTCCTCTAGCGATATGAGCGCCCCGCGTGTGCGGTTGTCCCACAGTTCGCTGAATTTGAGCGAGTCGGTCAGGGGGTGGTCTGCGATGCTCGCGGCCAAGGCCTCCGCTTCCTGATCCGTGTAGCGCACTCGGCTAGTCGACCGCAGAGGCTTGTCGAGGAGGAACAAGACGAAGAAGAAGGTGCAATGCGGCTGGGCCAGCAGGACAAAGGAGAACCTATTCTCGTGGACAAACGTCAGGTCGGCCGCGCCCAGTGACGGCGCGGGTGGGCCCACACCGATCAGGCATTTCCACTCTACCGCGAAACCGGCTATATTGTTTCGAGCATGTCAGCGGTGTACTGGGAAGGCAACCTGCCACGAGGGGCACCGCCGAAACTCACCCTCCTGCTCTTGCTTTGGGATCAATCCCGGGTGTACCTTGTTGGCATGGTCCCACATGAGGCGCCGCACGTAACTGTACACGCCGTCACAGCCCAGCACCATGTCCCCCTTCTCGACTGTCCCGTCGCCCATGGTGACTTCGACTCTGTCGCTGAACTCGCGAATGTCGGTGATCTTGCAGCCCGTTCGTATGAAGGTTTTGTCAGGGAGCCCCTCGTGCAGGACGCGCAAAAACTCCCTCCGCTCCATGGGTAGCAGGTCGTGGCCATGACTTTGGTCAGTCATTAGCTTACAATCTTGACAAACTCGTTATGGCAAGCGGCGGGCTTTCTAGGAAAAAGGGGGGGATTGAGATTGAGGCCTCATACTTCTTTGCCAGGCGACGAAACAGATCGAGACTGCCGGCGAGCGTGCCGTCGGGGCGCCGGATATGCCCCCACTCGTGAGGCACACCGATCTTCAGAAGTGGCTCTAGACAGCCGATCTGGTGAAGGACGCGCACGACCTGGGGGTAGATGCTGATACTGGCGCCCTCGAACGGCGCTACCTCGTCGCGCCTCTCGAGGACGACATGGTCAACGCCCGCCTTCTGGAGGCAGTGCGATGCCACGAGGCCTGAGATACCGGCGCCGACGACGACGACGCGGAAAGGTGAATCCGGGACGGCCATTGCAACGACAGAAAACAGAAGGATTGAGATGGGTCTGAGGATAGGTCTCGAATGGACCAGGTTGGTAAGGTAGGAGACGCGCCCTGCACAAAGCTTACACGCGTCTTTATCAAGATAGCATCGGGGCGAGAAGTGCCGCTATAGCCCTATTGCCGTCTCGCCTGTACTGCAGCGCGCCGCACACTTGGGCCTCTTAGAGGGCAGACGCCAGGGTCAGACTCAGAGGCAGAAGATTGATTTCCGGTGGACCGTCGGCCGCCTCGAGACCGCGCTGTCCCTCGCCACATGCACGACTGCATAAGTCTTGAGCACTTCTATAGCGGATGCCGCAACACGAAAGGAGACCGCATGCCACCAGTCCCGGGCAAAGCGTCAAAGCGGTTGGGTGTGGGGGTTGAGCTTGAGGCTCGCTCGTGGTGCATGGCGGACACGGCGGACATGGCGGAGACGAGCGGGCCGCGTCTGTGATCCTGACGGCCTCCAGTGCCTACGCCCACCGACGGTCTACCTATGGAGGATACGGTATCCGAGCTGGCTAACTGCTGATAGAGGCTGTGGAAAGCTAACATACCTACATGCGACATGTACATGTACGCGACGTATGGTACCTAGGTACCTACTCAGGCCGGGGCACCCCTATTGATGGTTAGGGGGTCTATATATCATCGATTTGGACCGATGCTCTGGGGTCATTCCTCGGGCTGTTCCAAGCCCTGCCGCATGCATGTACTGGTACCTGACGCTCGATGTGAATCGGTGCAGGCTGAGGTATACATGTGGCTCCTCAACCCATTTTCCAGCCACAATGACGGATGGGTCACGGACCAGGATACAAGGTACCTTGGAGCCCAACTGGTACCCGTTTGTACCTGATTTGTACCCAACTGGGATGATAGCTACTTCTGGGATGGGAGCACCACCCATCCTTCCTTTCAATCAAGCAACTTCCAGAATACAGACCAATAGCCACCATTCGTGACCTTGGTCCTGATTCTGGAACCGCTACCCACAAGGCACAAACATGTATGTAGGTAAGGTAGGGATCAATGCAGGCGTCGCCAGGCTGCCAGGGTGTGCTGCACACAATAGGTCTATGCATACTGGACATGAACATACCGTAATGTAAGCACATAATCGCCTAAAGCCGAAACCTCTCTCTTGTGTAACCTGCAAGATCGCAACTGCCTGCCAGAATAACAATGTAAGCACATAATCACCTATGGCCATAATCGCCTAAGGCCGAAATGTCTTTTGTGTAACCTGCAAGAGCCTGCCTGCCAGCCCGCATGTGAGGTCGGACTCTGTAGGTCGGTCTGGCCTCCCCCGTCTGCCTGTTGCCATTTGTGCTTCGGCATTTGCGCTGATCTTGTTGTTCTATGCTAAGTCCGATTCCAAATCTCGTCGGGCCAGCCACCAATTCACCCAGCACCGTCTCACCGTCCACCGTCCACCGCATTCCACATACGCGGATCAATCAGCAGGACCACGACAGCCGGCAGCCACTCGACACTCACTCGAGAGGCTAAATGCTCCAATTCCAGCAACCTTGGAACCTCCCTGCCTGCTGCCTTTCTCTCGCAACCAGCCAGTCTTCCCTTGTTCCCTATCCCTAGCCTCTACGTAGCCTACACACGCACACGGAACCAAGTCATGTCTGCCCAAACCGCCTCCGACGAAGAGAAGACGGGTGCCGGAGCCGGAGATGCTGGCCTTGTCACGCAGACCCCTCAGGCCCCGACGCGCCAGATTCGTGGACTCAAGGTACCGTTGGCCCCCTTCCCCCTCCATGCCTCACTCACCCGGTGTGGCCCTGCAATAGCGCCCACAGGGGATCTAGGGATCTAATCTGGACTCTGGACACTGACACGATGCTGACTTCGTCGCCCAGTGGGCTCTCGTCGTGTGCTCCATCCTGTCGAGCATGCTCATCTATTCACTCGACAGCACCATCACCGCCGACCTGGTGCCTGCCATCTCCAACGACTTCGGCCAGCCTGAGCTGCTGCCATGGCTGTCCGTCGGCTTCATAGCTGGCGCCGCCGTCGCGCTTCTGCCCAACGGCAAGCTGTACGCCAAGTTCAACGCCAAATGGGTCTACATCATCAACATCGTCATCTTCCTGGCCGCCTCCGCCCTCTGCGGCGCTGCTCCCTCCATGAATGCCATCATCGTCGGCCGCGTTATCCTGGGTGTCTCCGGCAGCGCCATGTACTGCGGCATCTTGACCTACCTGTCCGCACTGACCGATGAACGCGAGCGTCCCGCGTACTTGAGCTTTTCCGGTGCCACCTGGGGTCTTGGTACCTGTCTCGGGCCTGTGGTTGGCGGCGCATTCGAGAAAGTCACCTGGAGATGGGGCTTCTACATCAATATTGTCATTGGCGGCTTTTTCCTGCCCGTTTACCTGTTCCTTCTCCCATCCCTCGACCCTCTTCCGCCATCCACCACCTTCAAGCAGCGCGGTAAGCACTTCGATTTTGTCGGCACGGCTTTGTTTGCCGCTTCTGTACTGTGTTTGGTCTTGGCCATCAACTTTGGCGGCGTTCTTTACGCATGGAATAGCGGCAGTACCATCGCACTCCTCGTGGTCGGCATCCTTGCTTTCATCGCCTTTGTTATCCAGCAGAGTTACTCGTGGCTCACGACGCCGACCGAACGCATCTTCCCCGGCCAGCTGCTCCACATCAGAGAGGCTACCTTCCTCTTCATCTCCTCGATCTGCACCAATATTGCCATCTTCGTCCCCATATTTTATATCCCCATCTATTTCCAGTTCACGAGGGGTGATAATGCACTGGACGCTGCCGTGCGATTGCTGCCGCTGATCTTCACCGTCACCTTTGCCATGATAGCAAATGGCTTTCTGATGGCCAGATGGGGCTACTACTTCCCGTGGTACATTGCAGGTACCGCGGTGGGACTGGTGGGCAACGTGCTCCTCTGTAGGTCGTCACTTCCCGCCTTTTGTCGAGCCTTCGCTGACACCGTTGCAGACACCATTCACGTCGATACACCGAACGCAAACATCTATGGCTACGAGGTCCTGCTCGGCCTGGGCATAGGTAGCTGTAACCAGGTGGGATTATGTGCATACTATTTCTACAGCGCAGTGCTAACAAAAAGGTAGGCGGGTTACGCGGTAATCCATACCCTCGTCTCCAGGGAAAACATGAGCTTCGCAATCCCGTGAGTTGAATACTGATCCAAGACCGTACCTCTGACAGCGTGACTGATCTGCCTGCCTCAAGGTTCATGATGATGGCACAATATGGCGGCATCACGATTGGGCTCTCCGTATCTGGTGCTATTTTCGTCAACCAAGCCTTAAAGGGTCTTCGCGGCCTGCTACCATCGTTCTCTGAGTTGCAGCTCAATGCGATTATCAGCGGTAAGCGCCTCTCTATTCATGTCCCTCGAGCCTCCGAATCACCAGCCTGACTTTGCTCGTTTAGGAACTTCCGGTAACGCCATCGAGACAGTCCCCGAGCAGCTTCGCGAGCCGGCCATCTCAATACTCGTGGAGGGCTTGCGACAAACTTTCATCCTATGCTTTGTTGCCGGAGCCATTGCATTTATTCTGTCTGTTTTCTTGAATGTGAGTAGCCCAAATATTGTAGCCGGGACTATTATTGACGCCTTGACAGAAGAAGAAGGCATTTACCCCAGGTCAAGCAGCACCTGCCCATATGGGATAGGTAACTTTGTTCAACTGAAGACGGAGATTAGAAGACGGGCTTCCTTTCATATGCACTTAGATTTGATTTCCCATGCGGCTGTATTCTAGTAGTGGGCGGGAGACGAGCAATGAGCATAGGCAGATTGATACTTGAACTTGACTGAAGTTCATGACTTGTGTTATCATACTTGTAAACTTTTTATATATTCTCCGTATATATAAGACATATCTGTTACAGCCGCTCATGTGGAGCATAATTTCTTTGCTCTTCCGGTATTTTACGTTTGATTTTTCAGCTCAAAGCTTCTTTACATGATTCTTCTCAACTATACCATACCATCCCAGTTTAACACCTCAATTCTAGCGTGAGATAATCTACATCTTTCTAATGTTCCTATACGAGTTTTTGTTTGAATGGCCTCCTAACCATGGAATCATGTCCGCTTAAAGGTGATTGTCTCTTCAAATACAACTCTAAGTAGCTACTTGAGGTCAAATACTTAGACTGCCATCAAAGTATCAGTGTGGCAAGCCACTGAAGGGTATCGTCTCAACGTCCGGAGCGATTATTCACGATGCCATAAATGGGGTACAGAGCTTGTAACGATATGGAATGCGGTGCGTCTGCGATCGCCAGCTGTTGCAATTGTATGCGGCTGACAGATCAGTAGTAATGTACCTCCGGCTGGTATAAGAGAAGAGTAGGCGATGTCCTCGACAGGGGCGTTGGCAACATTTCTAAGCGCGGCAATACGTGTACGTACTTGGCTCAATCGGTGTTCTCGCAATAGATCAGGACACTAGGTTGGTACAGCACAGCTCTATCATATTGAGTTCTTCCCGCCTACAGACATTTATTGGCTCTTGAGAGCCAAGTCTGTCACAGTCTGTCATAGTTCCATCGCCGGCGACTCCAGAATTAACATTGTTGTTGTACGTGAAAAAGAAAGGGAACTATAAACCCAAGGTAGCTAGGAGACATGATCTAGTATATATAGTGGTTGACCCCTGGCGCTGTGGGGCTGTCTTCTAGTGAACCCTAACCCTAACCCTAAGCTCTTGAGAACAAAGTCTAAAACACCTAAAATAATCGAATGGAAAAGAAGGGGTAGAAGCGAAGTGCGATATCCTGCAATCCTTGAGCCCAGCCAAAATAAAAGATTCCCCATGTATACATCTATCACCAGAACGCCATGAGTGAGTAGCTAGATAGGTAAGGTACCTAGCAGAGATCAGACCTCGCTGCTCACGCATTAACAGTTGCCCGAGATATCGCAGGCGATCTTCTCGGCCAGGGCATCTAGAGCACGAACTGCGCGTTAGCTTCAAGACCGGGAAACGGCGAAGAGGTGGGAAGGAACCCCTTCGGAAGGGAGGACAGTGGCAGCTGGGGAAGGGGGCCGGTGAAGCACTCACAAATAGTCGACTGCGGATGTCCGGGCGGCAAGAACGGCATAGCAGAGGCGTCGACGACGCGCAGGCCCTGGACGCCGTAGACGCGGGCCTGCGGGTCGACGACGGCCTTGGGATCTCCCGCGGGGCCCATGGCGCACGTGGCGGCGCCGTGGAAGATGGTCTGGAAGCTGCGGCGGATGGAGTTCTCGATCTCGGCGTCGGTCTGCACGGCTTCGGCGCCCGGGTACGCCTCCTCGGGGTCGGCGTAGCCGTCGACGGCCATGGCTTTCGTGGCCCAGAACTGGCGCGCGCGCTTGAACCCCGCGACGGCGACCTCGACGTCGGCGCGGTCCGTCAGGAACCCCGGGTTGAGCGCCGGGTGCACGGACGTATCGGCCGACGTGATGTTGACGGACCCCCGCGACCGCGGCTTGCAGAGCACCACGGCCAGCGCCGCGTAGTTGTGCCCGTCGTCCGGGTCCGACGCTAGTGGGAGGACGAAGTCGCCCATGTACGCCGCGAGCGAGATGTACTCGACCTCGGGCCAGTCGGCCGGGTACTCGGCGTCGAGGACGGCGCGCGTGGTGTTGCTTAGGGCCGCGCGCGTGTTGTTGGGCAGCTTCTCGAAGGCCAGCACGTCGGTCGCCGGGCTCGTCAGCGCGCCCGCCGCCTGCTGGAGGAAGAGCCGGCTCTGCTCGGCCGCGTACGCCGGGTCGCCGCTCAGCGAGGACGCCGTCGGGCTGTTGACGCGGTGCGTCACGCCGAACAGGATGTGGTCCTGGAAGTTCTGGCCCACGCCCGGCAGGTCCGACACGACGGGTATGGAAAGGCTGTTCAGCAGGTCGCTGGGGCCGACGCCCGATGCCTGGAGCAGCTGCGGGGATCCGATGGAACCCGATGAGACGATGACCTCCTTGCGTGCCGAGATGGTGTACTCCCTGCCGAGCGTGTCGACGAGGACGCCCGTGGCGGTCGTGCCGTTGAAGATGACCTTCTTGGCCATGGTCAGATCGTAGAGGTAGTAGTTGGTGTTGTCGAGGCTGCTCCGGAGGAACGCCGTCTCGGACGATTCTCGCAGCATGGTGTCGGCGTTGATCGTAAACATGCTGTAGGACTGCCCGAAGAGCTCGCCGTTCTGGAAGCCCTGACGGACGTTGAGGCCGATTTCCTTGAGGCCGTTCACCGCCCAGGTGGCGTATGCGTAAGCGTAGTTGGGATACGTGACGGAGAGTGGCCCCTCTCCGTTCTCCAGCGCGGATATGTCGTATGAAGGAGTCGCATTGGCAAGTCGGAGGTCCGCGTTTGGTCCCGTGAAATTTACACTTTTCTCAAGATAGGGAAGAAAGCTGTCAAAGGCATAACTTGGATCCTCAACAGTGTCTGCCCACTTGTCGTAGGCGCCGCTGGTTGCCCGGTGGTAGATCATATAATTTCTTCCTGAGCACCCACCAAGCATTTTCGCCCGGGGGTAGTGCAGCGAGCCGTAGAATGCGCCCTTGGGAGGTGATTAGAAAGACCCGGTCATGGATGAAGAAGGGGTATTATCACGTACCGCCTGAGGTGTTGTTACATATCCCCAATCCGTCCGGGGCTGCCAGTCATCCGGATCCTTCCCGTTGTAGAAGGCTGTGTCGGCCGGCACCTGGCTGATATTGCTTTGGCCGAGCTCGTAGAACGTCCCAGCTTCGATGATGGCCACGGATCCCGCGTTCTGCTCTACTAGCCTGGTTGCCACTGTAAGACCAGCGGTGCCGCCACCGACGATCACGTAGTCATAGGTTGTATCGGTACCAGGGATGCCGAAGGACGAGCCAAGGAGCCTCCCGACGGGGGAGGCGGTTGTAGCTAGGGCCTGGATAGCCACGCCGCACAGGGCTGTGTAGTTGGGTTTCATCTTATAGGAGCTGTCGGAGAATGCGAAGAACTGAAGCAAGTGATGGACTTGGGAAAAGATTGAATGAAGTGAAAAGATCTGAAACAGTACTGGAGAGAGCGAAGGAATGAGAAAAAGAACTGTAGGTAGAGAGCAGAGGGTAGCTGCCCCAACCATGGTGGTCTACAGCCTCTGATATACTCGTTCCAGCCGCGCGTCGTCAGCGAAGCCCCTTTTTCTGGTCGAGATGCCGGGCATCCACCGACCGCAAGGATCTCGAGATCACGAGGGTGAGGCTCACGATAGCTCGCGTGGCGACTGTAAGCGATCCTTCCTGTGTCGCCATGTCGGAGTGGCGGAGCGGTGCGCCCACGGCCAATATTTTATGATCCTTCGACAATCGCTGATAAGGTGCAAGGGTTTGATTAGACGGAGTGTAGAAACAGGGCTGCTGATGAGTCGAGGTCTATTCGTGCTGCTGACCAGGCTGAGGCTACCGGCCCCAGGGATTGGCACAAGTGGTTACGCGGCTCCTAAATTTAGCCATCCTCATCAAGCCTCGTTTCGGTGCAAGTGCCTGCATTGGATAGTCAACGTGAGACTCGGCCGCGTGGGATTCAGCTGGGCGTGCTTACCGGGCCACCCCCGACGCCCACGTGGTGACTGCTGTCTTTCAGCTCAGGGCATAATCTCTGGTTGGGTGCCCTATCAGGCTCCAGCCCATGCCATGTGCTTTTTTGTCTGACTCATGGTAGAGTCTCCCGAGCAACGCCGCGAAAGCGCCTCAAGGTTGCGCTCAGCCGCGTGTTTCATAGCTCGCTACCGCTTAGAAGGGGGACGTTGAGAAGGGGGGTTAATAGGCACTCTCAGGATCAGGAATGGCGTTCAATGTACCTCGCATGAACGCCTGTATGGGACTTGTGGTCGAAGATGCAGAAATATGGCAGACATCGTAAAATTAGAGTATGTTCACAGCACTCTGTGTAGCACGGGGGCTTTAACTTTTTGTTTAATTTTGTTGAAGTCAGGTTTGGGTCTTCTCTCGCGGTTGAAGAGCTTAATTGGGCAATTGCTTATCTACGATTCTACGACGACCTTGGCTGCACTATTGGATGGCAAATTCATGTTTGAGTGAACTTGATCGTTATTGCAGGTAAGTAGCTAAACAGTTCACCTCCGTGTTGCGCAGCCGCGTAGAGCAACATCTATTTTGAAACCTCCTGTGGTACTGCTCTCAACCACTTGCTCTCAACCACTTGCTCTCAACCACTTCCCAAGGTTACATGCTCCTCGTCATGGAAATGACACCCGCATGCTGGCCTTTGGATTGCCGAGTGCAATGTCTTACTCCATCGTAATGACCGACCGGAATCGAACCTTGCCAGTCATCATCGCATCTACCAGGCAAAAGAATCAGCATAATCAACACATGAAAAAACATCGCGAGGCAGGGTATGAGCGTGTATATCGTACCGAAAGCTTCCTGAGCCTTAGCCAGGGGCCATGTCTCGATCTCGCACTTGACGTTATGCAGACTCGCAAACGCAAGCGCCTTCTCGGAGTCGCCCGACTTGGAGATAGGGCAAGCCTGTATTGACAATCCGCGTCCGACCATGTAGGCGGGATTGACCGTCACGTCCCCGGGGAAGCTCACAATGAGCAGTTTGCCCAGGATGTTGAGGCCCTTGAGGAGGGGCGTCATGGCATCGGCAGTCAGCGCGGTGGTGATGGCGAGCTTCGCACCGCCCAGGGCCGCCAGGGCCTCGCCGGCATCGCCCTTGGTCGCGTCGATGTACTCGTGGGCACCGAGCTTTCTCGCCGCCTTCTCCTTTTCGGCGCCTCGTGAGACGGCAATGACGCGGTAGCCCATGCGCGAGGCGAACTGCACAGCCACGTGGCCCAAGCCACCGAGGCCCTGGACAGCGACGGTGTCGCCAGGCTTGAGGTCGGAGAGGGACAGCGCGGCGAATATCGTCGAGCCGGCGCAGAGCATCGGTGCGAACGATGCGGCGTCGCCCTCTTGGGGCACACGCACGGCAGCTTCAGCGCGGAGGATGCAGTACTCGGCGACTGCAGAGCAACTGGATTAGCTGCTACACTATGGATGAAATGTGGACAGGGGCAGCAGAGATTCAAGACTTACATCCTCCGTCCTTGTTGATCCCGTTGTTGACCAGGTTATCGCACATCTGGGGCCAGCCGGCTCGGCACTGGGTACAGCTGCCATCGTGGCCGCCGTGGTAGCCACCGCCGATGCGGTCGCCCTCCTTCCAGCCCTTGACCTGGTCGCCGACTGCGGCTACGACGCCGATAATCTCGTGGCCGGCAACAATGGGGAAGCCGCCGCCAAGGGCATTGATCTGGGCGTAGAAGTCGGTGTGGCAGACACCGCAGGCCTGGACTTTGACGAGGATCTCGTTGCTGCCGGGCTGCTTCATGGGCACATCTCGGAGCTGGAGGGGCTGGCCTGCCTCCTCGAAGACGGCCTGTTTGTACGTCTTTGGGAGCGTCATGGTGAGTCGGCGTGCGTGCGTCGGGGGTTCGGGCTCGGGTTTGGGAGTGAGATTGGGCTTGGGAGATTCGGAGACTGGATGATTTGGATTTGGTCGATGATGTCTGGGGAAGCAACTGAATAGACACATGCGATCAGATGAGAGGGCCGGCAAGATTCACGATTTGGGGGAGCCGTGAGTCGAGACGTCGGCACGAGGAATCATATAGGTGAGTAGACTCGTCGCCCTGAACTTCCCAGCCCTGCCTCGGTGCGACAGTGTGACGAGGCGGCGATAGGCTGTAAGGTTGACCGCTACCAGGCAGAAGGTGCGGTTGCACAGATGCAGCCACCGATGCGAGCACCTTAGCTAATCCGGATCCATGTCGGCGTTACATGTGTCAAAGGTCGGCTTTTGGCGTAGGGGATAGGGGATAGGCAATAATGACGCCAAGGGGCAGGTCAGCTTATGTTCGCGGGCTTGTGTTACCTTCACGTTTGTAGTGCATGTAGCTTCAATATAAGCAGCCACATAATAAAGAACTTGAAGGTAGGAGGTATAGGTACAGGGGATGCAGTCAGCCCTGCAGCCCAGGGTCCCAGTGTCGGCTCCTCCCGCGGGCCCACCAATAGGGCTACTAGGGCCCCATCGTTCACGCATCCCCGCACCACGCTCTCGCTCGGGATAGGTATACCTAAGTACCGGTACCTCCCTAGTGGAGCTCGCGGGGAAGCTGAAAGCGGAGGTGGGCCATGGGGTACACCAATCATCACGACGAGGGTGTAGATAGCTATTGGTAGCCCCAATACCATTGGACAAGGTGCCTAATACGACAGGACGAAGCGACGAGGGAAGCGGCGTGGGCGGCCCGCGACTGCCCCTGACATTGAATACGGTCAGTTACCCCGACTGCCCGATTGCGCCCGTCTCACCTTGTACATTGTACATGATCATTAATGAGGCGGTTTCCGAGCGCACAGGGCGATACGGTGATTAGCTCTTCGGGTTTATGATGAACGCCGTTATCGTGTTGGAATACTAGGTATAACTCTGGAAGCTGTGTTGCATTTCTACACCATGCCGGTAGGGTAGGCTTAGGGGCACTCTACGGACTACCTCCTATCTCCTACCGGCAGCAGACAGCGACGAGCCTGATTTCAATCCGGGACTCCAATTCGGGAAGGCGTACGAAAGGAAGAACCACAGCCGAAATCCAGACTGAGCCTGCCTGCTGACCAAACAAACAATTCATCTCCGAAAATGCCTTTCATGTTAACGCCGCAGTTCGTGCGACTGTCAGCGCTCGCCTTGCTTCTGACCGCAGCCGTTGTGAGAAGCCCTTGGTGACAAGTCCTCGAGCATATTCGAAACCTGCCGTCTAACACGAGGACAGGTACTCGTCCGCCGCTGGAGTAGCCCTTACGCAAAGGTGCCGGGTCCATGGTACTCGCAGTGGACCGACCTCGTTTTCAAACTCCATACTCTGGCAGGGAAGGAGTCGTCCTATATCCACTCGCTTCATCAGAGATATGGTGAGTCATCCCTATCAAAGACCAGCATGTGCGTATGTGTCCCAGCTGACAGCCTGGCGACCCAGGTCCCGTGGTTCGTGTTAGCCCGGGTGCGGTAGATGCCATCTCGGCAGCCGATGCGCAGCAGATTCACAGCATCAAAAGACTGTTCGTCAAGTCGAAATGGTACGGCGACTTCATTCCCGGCAACGAAAACCTTGTCAATGTGCAAAACATCGATGTACATCGCCGCCATCGGCGGCTGCTGTCGGCTCCCTTGTCCGAGAGCAATCTGAAGGCGATGCTACCCCAGGTTGACAGCAAAGTAGAGGTGGCAATACAGCAGATGAAGAAGGAGATGGGAACCCGGGGCGCCGCCGATGTGCTGAAATGGTGGACGTGTGTGGCGACCGACGTGATCGGTGAATTGACGTTTGGGGAATCGTTCCGGACGTTGGATACCGGCGAGGTAAGACTCTGGACCAGCCGACCAGTAGCCCCTCAGGGGAAACCGCGCGCCACATAGACTAACAGATCTCGCCCCGGTCATAGAAGAACCAGTACATGCTCGACCTCGAGGTCACGGGGGCCACCAATGCCATGATGGCCTCTTTCCCGACTCTATATAGGTTTGCCCAGTTCTTACCGGTGCTCAAAGAGGCCGCAGCCGTCCAAGACCGCCTACGTTCCTATGCAGACCAGTCCCTTCGCCGGTATCGCGACCTGCTAGAGGAGAAACCAGACGAGGTCAAAGCAACTCTGTTCACCAAGGTCTACAAGGGGGAGGACGACGAGACCCTCACAAACAAGGAGATCAACGAAGAAGCGCAGATCTACATCGTGGCCGGGTCCGACACCACGGCTAACTCGCTGACGTATCTGACCTGGCGGCTGTGTCTGCCCGAGAACGCGCACATCAAAGCCAAGCTGGTGAGGGAACTCGCCACGTTGCCGGGACCCAAGCCCACGGACACGGAACTCAGGGGGCTTCCGTATCTGAACAACGTCATCACCGAGACCCTGCGCCTGCATAGCGCTGTGGCCGGGGCGCTGCGCAGGGTTATACCCCAAGGCGGCGCCACCATAGGTGGATACTCGCTGCCGGCTGGCGGCGAGGTCATGACGAACGCCTACTCGCTGCACCGCAACGCCGCCGCTTTCACCGACCCGGACAAGTTCGATCCGGACAGATGGGTCAACCCGACCAGGGACATGAAAGATGCGTATCTTCCATTTGGCGGTGGCTCGCGTGGTACGTCACAGCTTGCTCCCAAGCAGATCCTTCCATTGTCTTGATGTCTGGCTGCCCAATTCCCACACCCTTGGCATCCCCTCCTCCCCTCCTCCCCTCTCTACTTTCCGTCGAACGAGAGCGGGTCTAGGCCGTGCTTTATTGCCTCGCTGACATTATCTCTCTTGTGACATTAGTCTGCATTGGTCTGCATCTTGCCTATGCCGAGCTTCGTATGGGGGCAGCTCGTTTCTTCCAGACGTTTCCCGATGCTACTGTCTCGACCTTGGAGGGTATGAGTGATAAAGACATGGATCCGGCCTTATACTTTCTCATGCAGCCACGTGGCCATCGCTGCCTTATCAAGATGTGGTAGATACGGTGGACATGCACGGCTCTTCTTCAGGACGATGCCGCAATTGGAGGAACACCATTGATTGGCCATCGAGCAATAGTACGGGGGAATGTCGTAGGCACTGTATACATCGGGGTGAAATTGTTGATATTTCTGGTACAGAATAAAGCAATAACGTGCTACATTTTTCAATCCTCAAAAAGCATTTTGAACGTGTATCACTGCGAGTAAATATAACGACGGACAGGATGGCAAGACCACATCACTTACTTCAAACCTCCTTGTCAGACCAAATAAAACAGGCGAGACGTGACTGACACAACCTGGCTAGCAGAAGAAGCCGATAATCTCGTTATCACCGCCCTGCAGCTACCTCTGAAGCTCATTCCGAATCACTTATGTACACATTGATTAGGTCCTAAAGCCGCTAGAAATGGAGGCGTGCTACGCCGCGAGGTGATAATTGGTTTTTTGATACGAGGCTCTTCCTGAAGCTACCTGACACGATTGGCCACTGACTGTACACTTGCTACCATCTATCCACCTATCCATCTCCTCTATAAGGTATTCTTTAGTAGTTTCATGACTAGGCGAAGTCGCCCACGCCCGTGGTAGTGCCAAACCGCCAGCATATCAAGAACAAGAAAAAAACCACCGCACACAGCGCCACCAAGCTGCCGCGTGCTCTTCCCCCAGACTGCATCCCCTCGGCTGAACCTTTCCCTCGCGCACTTCGGAACTCGTCGATAAGGCCCTTGTAGTTGTACGGGTACGCGGGGAGGAACATCTCCGCGAGTGGGTTGCTCCTCCGCCGCGTGTTGATCCCCAGATCGCCCAGCAGCAAGTCGATGTACTGGAAGGAGCGGGTTCAGTCAGTCAATCAGTCACTCAGTTAGGGCGCGTGGCGGGCCAAAAAGAAAAGAAGAAAAAGAGGGCGTCGGGGATCAGGTGGTCGCCCAACTCACGGAAATAAAGTCATAGATGGCATAAGCATGCTTCCTGCCCTGCGTCGGATACCGCTTGCGCGACCACACATTCCACTCGGCCACCTCCCGCTCCATGGCCGCCAGCGGCGGCGGGTCGTGCAGGCCCAGCAGGAAGGTCACCCCCCAGAGGGCCTGCACCTCGGACACGAGCGGCGTGTAGATGGAGTGGATGAAGCCAGGGAAGTAGACGGAGCGGTCGCCCTGCGCGACCAGCGACGGCACCACCAGCCGCCGGTAGTGGCGGCTCGGGCCGTGGGCCAACGTCGCCGTGGCACCGGCGCTGGCGCTGTGCTGCTTGGGCGGCGTGAGGGAGGAGTCCTTCAAGACGGGGAGAAGCTCATCGACGCGCTGTTCGGCTCTCGCCTCGAGGAGAGACCACTTCGTCTCCTCGGCTGCGTTGGGTTTTAGCGCGAGTTCGGCCTGCAGGGCGGCGTCGAAGGGCTGGTATGACTTGTCGAACCCGGTGCATAGGATCACGTAGTCGGTCTGGAAGCGCGCGCCGTTGCGCAGGGTCATGGTGGCGCCGTCGGTCATGGATGCTATCTCGGACCGGTGCACTGTGCAGTCGCCCGCGTGGAACACCTTCCAGAAGTGCGGGACGCTGGCGGCGCCCAGGCCGGCGTTGGCCCAGAAGATCCTAGGCCCGTGGTCAGTGTTTCCGTCTTTGGTCGGTGGGGGCGTGGCCTTGGGATCAACAACAACAAGAAGAACCAGATCAACATACCCGTTACCGTACGGCAGCGGCCTCAGCTTTTCCGCGTTGGGCGACTTGGCATATCCCGCGTGCCGGTCGGCAATGGCCGTCAGCGCACTCCAGAAGGCCCTGGTGAGCGTGCGTCCGACGCGCGTCCTCTGCAGCACATAGCTGGTGGGCCCGTCGGTCTGCATGATGCTCGCCCCCAGCGCGGCGACGACCTTGGTGGCGACGGCGTCCATCGTGTTCACGAGCCCCAGGATGGTGGGCGGCATGATGGCGAGGGGCCCGGACCCGTCCTCGCGGATGATCCAGTTGACCTGCTTGCCGGCCTTCAGGAGATGGAAGACGACGTCGTACGCCGACTTGGCCGCCCCGACCACCATCGCCGTGCGGATCTTGTCCAGCGCCTCGAGGTGCGCGCCCAGCTCCGAGGAGTGAATGATGGGCGAGTGGAACTCCGTCTGGGGCCACGAGGGGATGACGGGGTGCGAGGTCGCTCCCGAGGCGTATATCAGCTTCGCGCACTCGATCGGGGGCTTCCCTGCGAGGTCGAGCCTCCACCCCTTTCCGGCTAGGCGGTCGACCTTGACTACCTTGGTGCGCAGACGGGTCCTCCTGACGAGGCCGTAGTCTCTGGCGAAGTCGTTCAAGTAGGTGTTTATCGTCTCGCCGGATATGTATCCGTCTGCGGAGACGCCCTCATTGCGCATGGGATAAAATGAGTATTCGAAAAGCCGGTACTTGATCTGCGCAAAGAGACTCGGGTAGATCTTTTCGGCGCACCACACGCCACCTATGGACGACTGGTCATCGAGAAGCACCAGGTTGGCGTTTTGCTCGAAGTCCAGATACGTCTTTGCGGCGATGAGGCCATTCCAGCCTGCACTGGCCGCGTCAGTAAGTGTACCTATCTATACGTCGACGAAGAGCACAGGTGAGCCCTACCGGTGCCTACGACAACAACGTCGAACTCCTCGGTCGTCATAGTCAATGAGTAGGTGCTGGTTCAACGTTTCCCTGACGACCCGCTGCTGGCTGGCTGGCTGGCAGAATTTCCTGACGAGCTTGACGTTTCTCGCGACGCAATTCTGCACCCTGTCCAACCGCACAATGCCACCATCTTTATCACGCTGGTTTGCGCTCGTGTTCTGCGCCATGCTGCGGGCCGCCCACGTACCACTGGGTTTCTGCAGGACCTTTCCTGCCCTCAAGCCGGTGGGGACGACGGTGCTTCGACTGCTACACCTGCAACATGAACGCTCCCGTCGCTCAGTCCGCAACATGATGGGAGTGCCCGATCAAACGTGAGGCCGGAGAGCGGCCCGAGCATTTACTATCCCGGACTCCCGCACGGTGAGCTCCGCAACCCTAAGGCCGGGCCGCCGGACCGCTGCGGCCCGCTCACCAGTCGGGCCCGTCTAAACTCCCTGCTTACCACTCATGGCCCGACACTCACCGACTGCTTCAAGTTGTCATTTGCGCTCGCTCCGTGTTTGGCTGATAGTTTTCATCCGCGCGAGGGAAATTCGGTAGGAAAGCTCGGTTGAAGCGGCCAAATGCAAGTTAATCGAGCGGTCAATCTAGCTTAGATACAGACACTCTTACAAGCCCAGATAAAGTAAGGTGAAGCAAGCCTCTCTTTTGATCCCTGCCTGAGGTCACGTTGCACTACCAATACACTCTCTCTTCCAGTCCGTTTATTGACTAAGTCCGATACAGGTCTCGCGCCTGGTCGCCCACAGTCGCAATGAAGGTGTCAACCCTAAAAACTGTCCTCATCACCTTGAGTTGTCTCGGACTCTTTCTACTATGGGGCGTTATGGCGCTCCAGGGTTCTCTGCAAGCCCTGTTCGAGATTAAGGACTCGGCCGTCTTCCCCAACGGGCGACGGTTGAAAACGAGTTACACCGGCATCGGGCCGGTCGACAACTTGCTGTGCATACTCGTCATCTTCTTCGACGGCCTGAATAACCTGGTCGAGCCGGCGCAGTACTTGATGCTGCTCGAGTTGGTTTCGACGCTCTTTGTCATCAACATGATGACCCTGGTGGAAAGCCGTCGCCCGGTGAAGCCGAGGTGGGCGCGATCGTAAGCAACCATCCACCCTCACAACCTGGTCGCATGTCGCATGTCTCTGACATATGCTTCGTTTGCAGCCCCACACTCTGGCAGTTTCTGTGGAATTGCGGAGGTGTTGCTGTCTTTCTGCCCATCTATTCGCTCCTATACATCAAGCAGGGGCCGAACAACTCCGTACCACTACCGGCGCCAGAGGCTCAAGCACTCCCTTTCACGGCCCTGTGGGGCCTGCTTCTCGCTATTCCCCTGATGACCCCTGCACTGATTGATGCTGCCCCGTTCAGGACCCAGGACGGAGTGGCCCTATTTTTCCTCGCCATCCCCGCATTCTCCGGCTTCCAGTATCTTGCGAGTTTTGTCATCTCGAAAATCAACTACCGGGGGGCGCAAAAGCCGGTCCAACTCGCTTACCGCATTGTCGGTACCGTCAGTGGCCTGGTCCATGTGGGAATCGTTACCTACGCTTTGACCTCGGATGCCGCAAATACGTCTTTGTTCAAGATCTTTATCCTTAATCATAGCGCTGTTCAGAACGATTCGGACATCATGACTCAAGCAGCCTTGCTGTTCATCCAGTCCGACTACGTCATCATAACCGTTGTCGTCGTCCTTCTTGGTATCTATACATGGTATCCGGAGCCAGTGTCGGGCGGCAAGGCCACGGCTGACGGTCAAGGTGCAGCTGGCTCCCTAATAAAGCTAGTGGGAGTCATGTCGACTCTCGGAGCTGGTGCTGGATTGGCCTTTGTACTCCACGACAAGGAAGGCCGGAAGGCGCCTACACGCAGCAGCAAGAAACGATTGCATGTGAGTTTTCTCCAAGTGGGTAGTCCTACGGGTTAACATGGTTACGTTGTATTTAACTAACGTTTGATCAAAGTAAGTGACGAGTATGCTATGAGTTGAAGTGAAGAGGGGTTTGACTAAGCGGTAAAATGAACCAGTAGTTGGTCTTAGTATTGTGTTGCGAAAAAATCAAACATCATCACTTGACACGATTTTTTTAGTGACTATTCAGAGCATGTGACCAGCTAGACAATATCGGCCATCGATAAGGGCCTTCCTTTGGTGTCTCCTATGCCGGCAGAAACCTAATCAACGGTAGAACACCTGTATCTGTATGGTGTTTAGCCGGTCGTTGGCTAAGTCTCCTCTGCAGCGCAAGAAGCTTTGGTAAGTACTGTCTGCTGGCTTTGATTGACGTCCAGAAACAGTTCTGCTGTCGGTTCCGCTGTCGGTTCCGCTGTCGGTTATGCGCGATAGTAGCTGAGAGAACAGAACGATATTGGGAAGCTCAGATGGTTCCACCCTCGGGATAGGGGTAAAAGTGGGGATTCGGTGGCCCACATAGGGAGAATGTTACAGCGCGTATAATTTGATGTCAAAATATTGATACAATTATATGATGATACCCACCCCTTTTTGTTTTACCGGAGAATCATCCCAAACTAGACGTAGTAGTTCATGTGAGATCACAGTGTCACGAACGGTAGAGACTGGTCAGCTACAATCACTCCTCAGCGGAGTGGTGTCTGCACAGGGTAGTTATCGTACGCGAAGCTGTGTTATATCTTTACAGCTGTCTCCATTGGAGTGTTCTTTCAGTCCATTAGCTACATAGTTGCACCAGCTGGCTGTCCTTCCGTCATCAACGACGTGTTCTCGTCCTTCTCAGTGGGCTTGACTAGCTTAATAGAGACATCTGGATCGCGAGCATAGACCCGCAAACCCAGAACGCATACAGCGTTCCATGGCGATGTCGGGCCTTCTGCATCATCTTCATCTCCAGAGGAGTCCTCCGAGTCTGATTCTTCACTTTCCTCCTGTACGTCGACAGCTGGACCTTCAACCTTCACTTCCTCGGGCTGGGGCTGTGGTTCCACCAGGGCATTAGCTTCTTTGGGTGCTTCTGTTTGCCGAGTAGCCTCGTCACTAGGATCTCGTGATTCGGTGGTTGCCTGAGCCTCGCTAGGCTTCTCGGCCCCTTTGGTCTCAGCCGACGTAGTCTGCTTCTCAACACTTTGTTTGTCGCTGTCGGCCCCTGACTTCTTCTCCTCATCCGATTTGACGTCGGTGCTCCCCTTCTTATCGCCACCACTCATCTCCTTCATCGCCTCCGCCGCCTTCTCCATTGCACTTGCGGCCTGCCCCATGGCTTTCTTCTGCTTAGCGCGCAGCTTGTCTTTCTTCTCTTCCTTCTCCAGCGCCTCGTCCTCATCTACCACCCCGCCTTTCGCGTGAGCAAGGTCGTATTGCATGCCAACCTGTCGAAGCTTCTGCGGATTCCTGTCGGCATACTCCTTGACGACCTCTTCGACAGGGCTCTTGTTCTCGTTCCGAGTGGCAGCAATCTTTGGGAGGACCTCGTAGTTCCCAGGCTCAAGCTCGACCTCGCACGAGACTGATCGGTTTTCCCAACTGTGCACCGGTCTGACCCGGCAGACATGCTCGCCAGTCGGTGAGCCAATTTCGCGCAGCAGGAAGTGGAGCTCAAACCAGTACTGTCCCTCCAATCCTTGGAAGTATCGATCGTCGAGCTGAGTCAGGACAATGACCACAACTCCCGCCTTCTTCACCTCGATTACGAATTTGGTCTGAAGATAGCCCGTGAGCCAGGATACGTTCGTGCTTGTCCACTGTTGGACAACGGTCCACCTTTCGTCGAAAAGGCGCGTACGGTGGAGGAACATGAAGGTTTCGAGCATGTCGCCATACTCCATCCAGAACACGCCATCATCCCCGAACGTATGGCCCATCTTCTTGAGCCAATATGAAGTCCATTCTCTTGACCCGTCGGACCAGGGCCCATTCCACTCGCCAAGACCATTCCAGGCACGTTCACCCCATGGGTTCCTGGCGTAGGCGTCAGCTGCCATGACGTTGACACCATGTGAGACGCGAAGTTATCTTACCTGATTTTAACCAGTCTCTTCTTCTCGAGTAAATCTTCAGTCGGCTCCTCTCGAGCATCTAGGATTGAATAGGCATGACCCAACGCCAGCCCACTGCGCGTGTTGTCCCACCCAGTGCCCATCGCGGCCAGCGCGAAGACGAATTCGCCGTCCTTATTGCTCAGCTCCTTCCACAGCCGGTGCTTGCTCAGGACACGGTTACTAGCAATGGTGGTCGTCACGCCGCCCGTCATGTCTTCGACCGCCTCGCCCGGCCAGCCGCCGTTGATCGCTGCGTAGTCACCATGTACCTTGGCATACGCCTTCTCAAGTATGGGCAGCCATGTCTCGTTCTGGTCGTCGCAACGGGCAAAGTACAATGCATCAGCGCCCGTCTGCATGTCTCTTCTGTGTTTCCTAGCCTTCTTGCCGGTGGGGTCATAGATGTCGCCATAGTAGTCGAAGTCCTGCTCCTTCAGGTACAGATTGTCGTCCACCACAACAGGCACCCACCCGCCGTCTCGCTGGAACACGAAGCCGTAGACGCCACATTCTTGACAGTCCTCGTCGTACTTGACACACACCTTCTCCATCAGGTCTTTGCGATGAGCGATGGTTGCCACTGCGGCCAATCACCAGCAGTCGCCGTTCCGGCCCTGCTTGATGTCACTGCTGGAGAAGCCACCCACGGTAAACTGCGGACTTGGGAATATCCAATCTACCCTGTGCACCGAGCCCGGATCATACCGGCTGCCGCTGCCCCCTTCCCCTTCGTCGACCACTCCGCCGTCTTGCCCAACGAATCGCCCTAGAGCGCCTACGTCGATGGGGACGCGACCGTCCGCGCCCAACATCTGGCTTTGGACCAGGGTCTGCAGACTTGTCTTGAGGTCATACGAGCTGACGTTTGGCGGGCCTGCGGCGTTTGCAGATGCCGTTGGGGGATAGCTCTGCACCAGACCGTTGAGGCAATTATTATATTCATCATGCTCGATGTCAAAGTCTGGGTCGGTGAATCTCTCGTTCGTACGGCGGCACTCCAGGACGATTCTGTTGACCCTGGTGCGACACTCTTTCGCGGCCGCCTCGTAGCTTTCGGCCGCGTTGCGGGCGCTCTTGAGACCCTGCTGGCGCCCAGGGACCACGACAGTAGCATAGAGTGAGCGCGGGAAGATCGAAGTCACCTTTCCTGGATGCTTGCTGGTGAATTTGGACCAGAAATCCACCAGGGTTCCCTGGGGAGATTTCTTGGAGGGTTTGTTTGGCGGGGGAGCGCTTAGGAGAATAGCTGATGGGGGGTCTCCGAACAACGACATTATTCAGGCGGGTGTTACGGTGTGATGCCGTGGAAATTTCGTGATATTTCTAGAGACAAATCGCGATATGTTCCCTTGAATGCCGTGTACTCTCGGTGCCTTGGCTTGAACATCAAAAACTGGGAGTCTCGATGAAATGCCTCCCGCGACCGCACCCATGCGTTGCTCTTTATGTGTCGGACGATGCAGCCCTGCCAGATGCCACCCTGCAACGACCCCTGGTCTCGCTAAGCTTCAGCTCAGCTCTCTTCGTAAATTGTGACCAGTCACCAGCATGCAGCTTACCGCGCTCTCGATGACACGACCAAACTTCAAATAGCACTAATGTACAGGGCTGGATACTAGCCACTGGTACTTTATGGGTGCTCATATCAATACTAACGGCTTCGTTAAACCCGAGAGCTGAGAGGCATCGACCTGGGTCTAAGCGGTAAATTACTCGGCCTCTACAATCAATTATTGACGAGAGACGAGAGACTATCCCGTTGGTCGCCGTAGCCTGATGCGTTTTGCCTTTTGTTGACGCGGCACCGAAAAATGTCAGCCTGTCCGGACCCCAATTCAGCCCGCAGATCGAAGTAGAGGTAGGCGTTCGTGGTCTTATCGCCCTTGATCGATTTACTCGGCTTGTTCGAAGGAAACTGATTGCGATCATAACCTGACAGGCAGAACCTAAATCGATTGCTGTGGATTGAAGGGTTAAGGCTTCGTGTGACTCTGAACGTACGTACAGACGAGAAAATAACAGCCTCGACTCTGTTATGGTGATATACAGTCGCCCCTTTCCGTCCGGCATCCCCTTATCAATCGTGGATCCCCCCTATCAATCGTGGATATTATTGCTAAGGTTTGGAGTTGCCTCGTGTCAGATTTGAGCCAATCGTCAGAGTGAAGTGTGTCTAGAGTGTCCTTGTGCGACCGTGGCAGTTTTGTGCCAGAGGCGGCTGGATCGGGACGGAACAACTAGGCTCCGGTGTCTACCTATCAAGGTGCCCTCTGGGCTCACCTTTAATCCAACACCTCGGAAAACCCAGCCCGTAGATTGACCTACGTTTATACGAATGGCAGATTCACGGTCTGGGCGTATCTGTCATTTTAAAACCCTCTATTATATCAAAGTATACGTATATAAATAAAGTTTTATAACTTGTTAAAAGTTAATACGGCTTAAAGTAATTGGTTAAACGTTTTAAAATTCTCGTTTCATATATAATTATTTATTAAGAACGTAATTATATATATATTAAATTTAATATATCAACGTTTTAATGCCTTTATAACGTCTTATATATAAACTATACTTTTTAAATATTACAAGCTTAATATTATAAAGACTGCTATTTAATTTATTACTTTACTTTTTCAATCATTTCATAATTTTAATATAATAGTTATAAGGTGGGCGGTAACGTAAAGTACGTAACTTTAAATTTGTATAATAAAAAATATATTAACATATTTGAAATCGCTATTATTTATAGACTTTTTTTTCGTTACTTACGCTTAAAATACTTATTATATACATTGTCACGGCGGGCGTACTAAGGAGCTGGGACATGGCCGGCAGCAAGCAGCTATCACTCTATTGACGAGAATATCAAGGCTAGAGAGGAAAGGAAGAGAGAGAGAGATAGGTACAGCGGGAGGTTGCCCCTTTAAGAGGATCCTCTGGTCAGATCCTTCCCTTATTGGGAAGTATCGGCTTGTCATGTGGGAAGGTCCGTGCAGGCCGTCACATATATTTATAATATAAAAGGTATTTCATATAAAGCGAAAGCTTAAGAGCCCTGCAAGGGCTCTCGGCGTGCCTTGCAGGGGCACGTGACGAAGGGAGTATCTGCATTTAATGGAGGCAAGTTTGGAGTTGTTGGATTAAAGGTGAGCCCAGAGGGCACCTTGATAGGTAGACACCGGAGCCTAGTTGTTCCGTCCCGATCCAGCCCCCTCTGGCACAAAACTGCCACGGTCGCACGAGGACACTCTAGAGAGACAGAATACACACACACACACTTCAACCTCACGATTGGCTCAAATCTGACAGGAGTATAATCCTTTGCACAGCCACCATTATACACGAGCAGCCTCCCTGCTGCCTAAATGGGCTAGATGGGTACTCAACTAGCCGCACTAGCAGTGCAAGTCTACATCTATATCTATCAGATAAGGGGAGTCATAAGTCAGAAACCTGATGTCCATCTCCTATCGGACTTCCTTTCATGATGGCAAAAGCCCAGGGAATGTGTTCTCACGATGCGCTCCAGCTAGAATCATCGCCTTGGGCCGAAGAAGCCGGATTCGAAAGGGCGAACCCCGACAGAAGGCTCGCAGCGACTACCAGGTCAGGCAGGAACCCACTGGCAGCGAAAGGACAGGCGTCTAAGACCCTTGAGAAGCTGACTCAAGATGCCGCCGACAAGCTCGCTCCTGCATTTCCCGGGCCGCTGTTGCTGCCCAAGGACGATCTCCATTGGGATCCCGACTGTCCGCCGCAGTCCTTCCGCTCGTGGCTGAATGAGAAAGAACGCAATAAGCCGACGAAGAAACGCAAGACCCTTTACGTGGCGGCCGTGCCTGAGATCACCTCCGACATGCCGTTCATGGAGGGGTGGCAGCAGCCCGTGGACGCATTTGGACAGCATTTGGAGAAGCTAGACCCACCGCCCGCTGAGGACATCGTCAAGTACTTGACGGCATTCTATCAGGGTCTGCCCGTGAAGACATTCGAGCCGCGACTTCGTTTCGTACCTTGGCAGGAGAAGAAGTCCAGCAAGCCAACAGATGATACAGAGTACGTTGGGCTAGCCACGCGCGATGATTGCACCCGCATCCGCGCAAGACCATCTCCAGACGGCGTGTTTAAACGCCAGCTGAATCTCGAAGACCTTCTTGACGCTGCGATCGAAATGCTTCCCGACGACGCTTACTCGATCATCCTGCTCATCGACCAGGACATGTACGAATCCGAAGACGACGATTTCTGCTGCGGGCGCGCGTACGGCGGCTCCCGCGTCTGCGTTGTGTCGATGGCTCGGTATCATCCGGCTCTGGATGCTCTCCAAGGGATAGACTACCAGCACCTGTGGCCCGCTTCGCATTGCAAGGCCTTCGTCGATAGCCTCTGCGCCGTCGAGGGGCTGAAGGCTGCGAAGCGCAAGAAGCCGTCGCCTCGAGATTCCAGTTTCCCGTTGCGACGGGCTATCGAGGCATCCAAGGGTGTCCTGGTACCGTCAACGCCTGAAGCACGCCGCGGATTGTGGTTCTCGCGCCTCGCGCGTACGGTAGTGCATGAGCTGGGACACTGCCTCGGCATGGGCCATTGTGTCTATTACGCATGCAATCTTCAAGGGACGGCAGGAATGGTTGAAGACGTCAGGCAGCCGCCTTATCTATGTCCAATCTGTTTGAGCAAGATCTCGCATGCTGTCGCATACGAGTTACAGGGGAGGGGCGAGAGACGAGCCGAATATGTGAAAGAGAGGTATCAAGCTATTGCACATTTCTGCAGTGATTGGAAAGAGGTTGCGCTCTTTGCTGGTTATGGTGCCTGGGTCACGGCAAGATTGGAAGAGCTTTGACGACGGCTGAACTGGCAATGCCTCCACTCTGACGCAGCCATTAATGGTATTGTCACGTTATATAGGTGATTCATAAGGCCAGTATATTTGCTACTGCACGGCTATGGAATCTTTTGATATGATACATCGTGGAAATCTATCTGGCCATCCCCCTATCGTATCATCAGATGGCATCGGTGTCATGGATTTCATACCTTTCCAGCTTGTGGCTCCAGCGTCTGACTTCTCGGACAATCTGAAGTAACTTGTGAACGTTGAATCTCATTGGTACTACTTGCAAGTCATAACGCAGGTGCGCCATGTCCTAGTCAAATACATCTCCAATAAACCCAACACCGAACTACCAGCTGGACAGATGAAATAATTCATGGACGTAGCAAACCACCCAAGCTGTACTGCCAGCCTTCGTCGAGAGAACCGACCTACCGCTGGAACCGTATACTATATGCCAAGGCATGCGCTGGAAGAAAAGAAAAACACCGAAAAGAGCTCCATACCCGCCTAAACACAGCCATTTGATGCAGCAACCGTCACGCCGGCCGTATCGCGCAATGGTCAAATGCGCTTGGTTGTGTTCTCGTTTGTGCGGTGGGCGACGAGAACAAGTGGGTTCAAATCCTGCTACGGCCCCCTTCTGACCCGGCTTGTGCAAGTCGATAACCAGCACACGACAATGGAGAGGCCCCATTATCGCAGAGCCCGATAGCCAAGCAACTTGTCTCCATAATACCCATTCCTGTGAGATTTTTCCCCTTGTGGGTTTCCCTCGCCAACAGATAACAAACACCTATTTCATCCACTAATGCGACATATATCGAACGGCTACTGGAACGATGTGTACACCAGAGGACTGAGGTCCACTGGGTCGCTTTGTCACTGGACAGGAGGATTTTCTGACAGAATCGTGTTTGGGTATTGACTAAAAACCATCTGGACACTCCAGGTTGGTACCGCTACAGCAAGGATGGGCTCGTGCGCGGATCTGAATGTATCTAGACTGACACATCTACAACCTTGCGATGCAATGGCTCTGGGAGGTGTGTTTGTTTGTTTGTTTGGTTGTTTGTTTTGTTTTTAACGTGGGGGGTAGCTCCTCAGTAGTGCAAACCACGCCTCCCAGAGCCTCTGCATCGCAGGGTTGTGGAGGTCTCAGGATAATAAGTACAGTCAGTCCCGCTCACGGGCCCATCCCCGTTGTTGCGGCGGTATGACGTTGGGGTCATCCGTCTGGTCCTTCTCTCTGGGAGGTGTGGTTTGCCCTGTTGAGAGACTGCACCCACGATAAAATCAATCAATCAACCAATCAACCATGCACACTCTTGCCAAAAACAACTATTTTTCTTGGCGCCCCGCTGTTAGGGCGCAACCTCTATATCTGCACTAAAGCAGGCATTTGTCTCAGTACCTGACTATCCTTGCCAAGGCGCAGAAAATTTTTCTCACAAGCTGGATGGCACCCTTTCACGACAGGCCCCCAAACACGCCAGTGGCCGTCCCAAAGACGACTACTGGCGGCATGTTCAAATCCCCAGTCCCTAAAAGAACACATGACCCGGCAACCCCAAGCAGGCTCCGCCAGGCACTGCTCGACGACATCAACAGCAGCCCGTCACAGGTCTCTGAGGCTGACTTCACCACTGTTTCCCCTCTGAAAGGAAAATCCCGAAATATCATTAATAGCAGCACCATTGATATGGAATTACCTCAGTCAAGCGAAATCCCTACAGACCAAGCCATTGGAGGTGATACAGGGAACAAAGTCTCCTCTTCAGAGTGCCAGGACCAAGTTGCCAAAATACTGACTAAAGACAAGCATCTCTATGAAGCCAAGATAACAATATTTCAGGAGTGTGCTGCAGCAGTCAATAAGACACTTGAGAAAGCTGGAACCGAACTATACTCTCATGCCAAGGAGTTCAGCACTTTCTTCTCCAAATGTCTGAATGAGTGGCTGGAAACCCGAGATCTGACCACAAGAAAGGCCACTTCTGGGGGGATAGAAATAGGGAAGCCCACCATGACCTTCGCCCAAGCTGTCTCTGGCCAACGACAGCATCCATGGATAGTCAACACTACCATAAAAAAACACAGCCTAGTGCCCTTATCACTATCAACCAATTGAAAAGGAAACAGGATGATCTCCGGGTTTTTGTCTGCATGAATAATAGCCATCTTGAGCCTTATGGAATCAAGTCTACACTAAACAGAAGACTTAAGCTCCACCCTCAGGAGCTTAGAGAAGTGACACGGTGTCCTTCTGGATTTACCTTACACCCAAGGGACAAGCCAACTCAGGCTAAGCTTCTGGCTTTCCAAGAAGAAATTGCTGACATTCTCAAGGCACAAAAGATTGAGACCCACACAGTCTGGCATCATTACAAGGTCGATGGATGCCCAAGAAAGGTCATCAGTGCAGAAGGGTTCACAATCGATATTACCGACACTGTTGTTGCCGATGAAGTTGAAGCCCAAACAGGCGACAGACCTCTGAGGTGCATACTCTCAAAGAACACGACTGATTCTGATCCAGAAACCACGTGGATAATCTCTCTGCCCAGTGCAGCAAGGAAACCATTCACTCTTTTTGCCCACTCAATGACCTCAAGGCATATTCAACACACCCCCAAGGTTCACCAGTGTGCAAGCTGCTTCAGATACCATGGTAGGAATTACCGATGCGAAAAGCAAGTATGTGCACACTGCGCCAACACAGTACACCAGGGAGAGTGCGAAAAACCAATCCCAAAGTGTGTCAACTGCAAAGGACCTCATGCTGCCAATTTCAATAAATGCCCTGCCCGCCTCAAGGTTGTGAAAGGTACCATCCATAAGCACACATGGGAACAAATCCAGAAAATAAGGCTAGCCGGGGAAAGAGCCAGATCCAAGGCCTTCAATGAAGCAGGCAGAAACCAAGCTGGGTCAACACCCAGCAATAATAACAAAGACACCACAATGCAAATCGACACAACAGATACAACTCATCCCAGAGATGCCGATACCATTATTGTCAGTCAATGTTAGGTACATCAAACGAAACACATCGACACAGGCATCTAGTCATCCATTCTATGAATACAGCAGGAGGACAAAAGAGTGCAGGCCCTACAGAGTTAGCCATCAACCTGGCTGACTACAAAAGAGAACAAGCAGACATCATTCTGATGCAAGAGCCCTGGGTTGGCATACCACCAGGCAGAAGAATGGGAGTAAAGACACACCCCAATTACAATATATACTCCCCAGTGGATTCCTGGGACAGCGACAGTACACGGCCCAGATCTCTCATCTATGTGAGAAAACACCTTTAAGCGGATCAATTTCGGCCCTATGCTACACAAGACATCACCTGGGTCAAGGTACATGGCATCACTTTTGCCAGTGTCTACCGGCCATGTGACAACCCACAGGAAGTGGATGATATTCTGGAAGTATGGACTCCACCTTTTGGCTGTGTTATAGCTGGAGATTTTAATGCTGGCGACATATCCTGGGACTCGAGCAATCCAGGATATCATGGTGGCGTCATACTGGCACAGACTATGGCAGACCACGGACTGGATCTGATTTCTGAACCAGATGTCCCAACACATAACGATGGAAATGTACTGGATCTGGTGTTCTCAGATGTCCCCATGGCTGAAGCCTCAGTCAATAATGCACTTCAGTGCACCTCAGATCATAAGATATTACGAATAGTCATTCCAATTCAGGGAGATCGGGACCGAGTTCCTAAGGCCAATCATTGGATAGTACCGGACGATAAACTACAAGAGCTGGCAGACAATGTCCAAACCAGGATTCATGAACTCCCCCGGCTGGGTGTTTGTTTGTTTGTTTTGTATTTAACGTGGGGGGTAGCTCCTCAGTAGTGCAAACCACGCCTCCCAGAGCCATTGCATCGCAAGGTTGTAGAGGTGTCAAATTAGATACATTCAGATCCGCGCACGAGCCTATCCTCGCTGTAGCGGTACCAATCTGGAGTGTTCAGATGGTTTTAGTCAATACCCAAGCACAATTCCGTCAGAAAAACCTCCTATCTAGTGACAAAGCGACCCAGTGAACCTCAGTTCTCTGGTGTACATAACGTTCCAGTAGCCGTTCGATATATGTCGCATTGGTGGGTGGAATAGGTGTTTGTTATCTGCTGGCGAGGGAAACCACAAGGGGGAAAACCTCGCAGGAGTGGGTATTGTGGAGACAAGCTGCTTGGCTATCGGGCTCTGCGATAAAATGGGGCCTCTCCACTGTCGTGTGCTGGTTATCGACTCGCACAAGCCGGGTCAGAAAGGGGGCCATAGCAGGATTCGAACCCACTTGTTCTCGTCGCCCACCGCACAACGAGAACACAACCAGGCGCATTTGACCATTGCGCCATACGGCCCCCCGGCTGGGTGTATCCCCTGGCCAGGTAGATACCTTTACACAAAGCTTGATCAATATAATTCAAGGCTGTATCAGGACAGTGGGCAAGAAGCCCCATCAATCTAGGCCCACTGCTAAGTGGAATGATGACTGCAAAGCAGCTGTTCAGACATACAGGGCCCTTTCTAAACAGACCACAAGCCAAGAAGGGCGAAATTCAGCCCGACAGGAATTTCGCTGTGTGGTCCGAAAAGCTAAGAGAGAGTACTGGCGGACTCTAATTGATTCAGCGACTGAACCAAAAGACCTGTACAAAATTATTTCCTGGCACAAGCTGTCAGCAGGATTGCGTTCCCCCCTAATCATCATAGGGGACCAAATCTTTGAGTCACAAGAGAGCAAGGCAAATGCACTACGCTTAGCCACGCTTAAACGAAGTACCCCAGACAACGATATCATCGACCCCTGGTCTGCTCAGATCACACAAGCCAAGCCACACATCCCCCTTGAATACCATGTCGGACTAGAAGAGGCTGAAGGGTGCACTATAGGGACCAAGAGCAACTCCCCAGGAGTAGACACCCTCACAGTACGGATTCTGAAAGCTTGCTGGCCAGTCATTGGGGAGCATATCAGAGCCCTTTTCCAGACCTGTCTACAGATTGGACACCACCCTAAACCATTCAAAGTAGCTGAGGTGGTGATGATCCCAAAGCCAGGCAAGAAAGACTATTCTAACCCCAGGGCCTACAGACCAATATCGCTATTATCATGTCTTGGCAAAGGCCTAGAACGACTCATTACAAAAAGAATTGCCTGGTTTGTCATCAAACTTGGAATTCTAGCTCCACAATATTTTGGAGCTCTGCCAAAGCGCTCTGCCGCCGACTTGGTAGCTGCACTCATACACGATATTGAGCAGGCCCTTGACCAAGGCCTTGTTGCAACGGTAGTCACAACAGATGTAAAAGGGGCCTTCGACGCTGCCCTAATGGGACGGCTGGTGGTTCGCATGAGAGAACAGGGCTGGCCAGACTTTCTCATAAGATGGGTCCAGTCATTCATGTCTGAACAGTCCGCAAGAGTTCGGTTTAAAGGTATTGTGACCGACATAAAAGCTCTCACTTGTGGGCTACCACAAGGCTCACCAGCTTCTTCAATCCTTTATATGCTGTATACAGAGCCAATCTGTGCCCGACTCGGTATGAAAAGGAGACACTTTGGATATGCAGACGACCTAGCGACTCTCTGTATTGGAAAGAACCTTAAGGAAACAGCTATAGAGGCTTCTAAAAACCTTCATTTACTTAACCAATGGGGACACAATAATGCTATTGAGTTTGACCCCGACAAAACCGAGATCATGCACTTCTCACAGAAAAAGAACTCAGACAATCCTCTGGTCCGCCACAGGACAATAAACAGAACAGCAAAGAACTCCATATGATGGCTGGGTGTCTTCCTGGATAAAAAACTGAACTTCAAAGATCACGTTTCCTACTGGGCCAAGAAAGCTAGTAAGGTAGCAAACCACCTTCGAGGACTATGCAACATAGTCAAAGGACTTCTAGTAAAGTCAACCAAGAGGGCTGTGAAAACTTGTGTTATTCCTATTCTTACACATGGCCTGGAGGCCTGGTACCCAGGAATGAAAAAAATTAGGAGCTTAGGTGGGACATCAGTATGTCGCATTAAAGGGCTTCTTAGAACGATAGATGCTGTACTACAAACGGCAATCAGAACTATCTTGCCAGTCTAGAAAACACACCCTGGACATATCCTACACTTTGAATCACAGATTCCTCTAACAGGAATTCTTGCAGAGTCAATAAGAAGACGTCACGGCCTCCGACTCGGACGAGTAGATCAGAGACACCCTCTTGTTGACAGGCTCCAAATACAAGCTCGCAAAGAACCAACAAGGCTACAAAGAAGCTTCCAACTAGTCCCTGACTTCCAGAGACCAATACTTACCAAGCCATTATGAAAGAAGCCCCCAGTCCGTAAAAACAAAAACAAAGAAATAGAGCTCTTCAAGCAATGGCTATAAGAAAGAAATACGAACACTGACCTTATCATCTATTCAGATGGATCACAATTGGACGACCAAGGCACAACCCGCACTGGATGGGGCTATACCATCAGGAAAGGCGGCACTACACAAGAAGTATACCGGGGAAGGGGCAGACTTCTACAAGCAGAAGTAGTGGATGCTGAAGTCCATAGTGCTCTCCAAGGTCTTGCAACAGCCAGGGCAATTGGACACGGAAAACAGCTATATGTCTGCCTGGACAACACATCAGTGGTGGATGGGCTCAATGGGACTCCACCCGAGACATCACAGAAAAATTTTCTGCGATTCCAAGAACTCGCCACAGCACACACTCCTGGAGTGACCGTCAAGTGGATTCCTGGACACAGAGATATTAATGGTAACGAAGCTGCCGATATATTAGCAAAAGAGGGTGCTATGCTAAAAACAGACATAACAAACCTTCCTACAATCTCTTGGGTTAAGAGAGATCTCAAGAGAAAGGGCAAGAAAGAGTTCAACCAATGGTAGAAAGACCAATCAGAACCTAAATATCAAGAAGTATACTCACATACAGTAACTGAAAGAGGCCTTATATCCTTTAAGAAGAGCACTTTACACAGACTTTTAGCGGCCAGATCTGGACATGGCGACTTTGCCAGATACCACGAACGCTTTGGGCATACAGACTCGAACAACCACTGTAGCTGTGGTGAAAAGAAAATACCACAATATATTTTCTTTTGTAAGAGGTTAGGAAAAAATTGGTTGTTGCCTAGGTACTCGCCTAGGACAGCCTGTTTACAATACTTAGGGGAGAGGAGCACAGAATGGGCAAAATTCGTGGAGAAGAGCAAATTCTTTTCATCAATCTGTCCTCGATAGATAGCTGTTCTTGAAGGACCAGATGGATGACCCCAAGGTCATACCGCCGCAACAACGGGGATGGGCCCTTGAGCGGGACTGACTGTACTTATTTTCTTGAGACCTCCACAACCCTGCGATGCAGAGGCTCTGGGAGGCGTGGTCTGCACTACTGAGGAGCTACCCCCCACGTTAAATACAAAACAAACAAACAAACAAACAACCAATCAACCAACCGTCACGCAACGTAAGCGCTTCAAAACATAGCGAAAAGTAGTCATATAAAACGAAATAAATTAATCACTATGATGATTTGTTATAGAATTAAGCTGCGTAGTAGCGACCACCAGGGTCTCAAGGACGATGGGACGTGGCAAGCGGTCCACTATGTGTGCTAGCTACATACATTTGTGGCTCCCAAAGCCAATTCAAACCTTCGTCAGTGTATCACCGGTCAGGTCCTTCTGTCTGTGTGGCTGACTGCCTATGGCTGATTTGTGGCTTTTCGGTCTTTTAGAACCACCATAAGCCAGGTAGAGAGACCAGCCAGGAAGATTGTCATCAGTATTATTTCCCAGTTGGACATCCCTGAGTTAGTCCCCCTGGCGATGAGGTGTATGGCCTCCGTTTGCGCGGAGATTGTTCGTATGCGATCGGCAGTTTGTCCTGTGATAGTTGTTACCCCAATGGATGATAGGGTGCTGGGGAGCGAGACAGTCATAGCAGAACTCGTGCCCGCATGGTTCTGCGATGGATGTCAGTATTTAATCTTATTCTGTGTTCTTCATACGTTATCGACTCCCAGGTTGGTAACTTATTCAGTATGAAGAAGATGGAGACCAGCCTTGTGTTTGTGTGAAAGGGCTTACGTGCGTATGCAAGTCATGTGTGAACTGTGTAATTGGGTCAGTCGACCGTGTCATTGAGTCAATGTAAGTCTTCCACTTACCAGCCCGTAATCTTCTGTACATCCATCTTGCACTTCGGGCATGGCTTAGAGTCTTTTTTCACAAGTCTTCGGGATGCCTCGTCGTCATTTCTTCGTTGTCTGGCACTAGCTCGATAGTCGGCTTTGAGTTGTGGGAATAGGTAGCGAAGGGCATCAAGTAGTAAGTATACCGGAGCCATATCAGCTGGATCAACCCGTCATACCAAGCAGGAGCGTTGTTCGCGTCGAATTGATGGCAATTGAAGCCAGTATGCCAGGGCAAGCGGTGCACGACACAGGTCTGCTGGTGGCATTTGCAGCATGTAAGGATAGGCTCTGCCTGGCCGGCGGGATGTAGCTGTCCCGACTCGCAGCCATGGGCGCACCAAACAAAATCCGGGTCTTTTTCCAGGAAGTGGTTCCTCTGTATCTCGTCGTATCTCGCAATCTTTCAGCGTCAACGGATGCTTTGACGATCAAGAGATCCAGCGGCGAGTTGCATTCTGGACAAGCTGCATGGCCATTGCGGTTACGTATGTCGCTGCGGATGGTTTGTTGCACACAAGTACTGCATGTATTTGAATCATACTTGCAGTCCAATCCTAGTGTAACCGTTGGAAAATATGCAATGGGAAGGTCTTCCGTACAGACAATACATTCTTTAGTCTGTGGATTGGCCTGCATGGTCTGACATGGCTGGGACTGTTGAACAGCTCCCGGCCGGGCAAAAGGATTGCTTCTAATAGACTTCATATCTGACAGAGATGGCTTTGAATAGGTGTCGTTGTTTTTTGGTATAGGGACTGGTCTGTGTGCCGATCCGAATAGGTAGTATTTTGTCAAAGGCAGGATACTTGATCGCTGAAGTGAGCCATAGTAAGGCTTTCGATGAGGTCTTTATACGCAATCATGCTTTGACGCCTTAGGCATGGTAAGGACAGCATCAGGCCTTCGTTTCTGGTGTCTGCGACATTGGTCAAGAGGCTTTAAGGCTGGCGTATATCGCAACAGCGCCTGCCAGATTTCTCGGCTGAGTACTATGCCTCGATATATGAAGTTTCGAGATGCTTCGGTAAGGAATGGCTCAGCCAACTGAGTCGATTTTCTTGTTGGCGCGAGTTCGAGACAATTGCCATCTTTTCATGCGGTTCCTTCGAAATCATTGAGTCCAAGCGGGTATTCAAAAACGAGAGCTAGGCATGGAATCCCAGCAAAGGGTATCAATGGCTAGGACACTCGTTGATACAAAATGAAGAAGGAAACATCATTTTCATCGCATTAGACAAGTCAAACTTGCAAGATACACGTAATCCTACACTCATCCCTCACCACTTCTCGATGAAGGGTCGGATATCGACTTCCCAGGTGAATCCCGATCTGTGCTGCGTGTGCAAGTTCCAGTACGTCTCGGCGATCTGCATCGAATCAGCCACACCATCAATTAGTTAGTTTGCTTGAAGAGCACTTACCGAGTCAGGACTGATCTTGCTGTCCTCCCCACCACCGTTAACGCTATAGCCCGCAGTCTTCGGGATATCGATCACGCCGTCAATGACCGCATGCGCGACGTGTACGCCCTTGGGGCCGTACTCGCGCGCCAGCGACTGTGTCAAGGCGCGCTTTGCCCACTTCGTCGACGCAAAGGCGGCGAACCTGGCCGAAGCCTTGACGGAGGCCGTCGCGCCCGTGACGATCAGCGAGGGCGGGTGAGGCGACGAACTGACGGCGTCCTCGAGGAGCGGGAGTGCCTTCTGAGCGAAGTTGAAGAAGCCTCGGCTATCCGACATGTCAGCTTGCTTCCCCTTGAGGTATTTGATGACTTCTCGTTGGAAACATACATGTTCGCATCAATACTGGCGTCAAACTCCTCCGGCTTAATCTCGAGGAATGGTTTCGGTGCCAGCCTGGCAGATGCGTTGTAGATAGCGGCGGCGAGCTTGTGGCCCGGCAGCTCCTTGCCGATAGACTCAAAGGCAGACTCCAGAGCCTTGATGTCGCTCGCGTCGGTGCTGATGCCGACGGCCTTGCCCCCGGCGTCGTTGATCTCCTTGACCGTGTCCTGGTAGCTACCGGGGGTTCGGGCGAGCAGGACCACGGGATACGCCTTTGCGAATCTCAATGCGGCAGCGCGGCCTGAGTGAATGGGTTAGTCATGACATCACCGTCCTGAAAGGGAGGTTATGCTCAGACCTGTGCCGGGCCCCGCTCCTACGACCACGGCGAAGAGCTTTTGTGTAGACGCCATTATGAATAATCGATTGGTATTGGTAGTTATGAACGGATGTCGTGGGTGTGGAAAGAAACTTAGGAATGTGTTGAGGTGATGAGTAGGAATGTTCCCTCTTATAGAGAAGACGATTCTGTCGACACCTAATTGTCAGCAGTAACTTCAGCACCTTCAGCGCGGTGCCCGACGCGTATTACTAATGCTCGCACTCCCCGCAATCACGCCAGTCGACGCCATTTCCCATGTCGTTGACATACATTCGATGTATCGAACTTGACGGCACCTTCTTGCCACGGCGCCGCCAAATGTAAGCCAGTCATAATAATCAGAAATAATGTGGTGACCATTCGAGTCGTTCGATGTTCAGTAATCTGACTGTTCGGTGCTGCAGGCGCTTTGAACATTGGCCCTAGCCCCTGAACAGCCACACTTAGGGGCAGTTCAGTCACACAGTTCTCGTTATTCCACCAGCCACCCTGGCAGCATAATATTACTCACGAAGTTGTGGGGCTTTGTGCACTCGAATCTCTTGGGCGGGCAGTCGGGACGTTAAACTCATCACGCGAATACTGCTCCCAGAATGGCATTCTGAACTCATTCGCGGCGACAGCATTCAATGCCAATCTCACCCTTCCGCTCTCGCATCGGCTTTGGGCGCTCACAATGCGTACCTGTACTCCGCAGCTTTACGACCACCAAGGCCGGCGAGGGGGCTGGAAGAGTGCTTGTCGCAAGAGCAAGAAGAGCGTTGGCATCAGAACAACAATCTCAATCTCAGACTGCCAACAACCGACGGCGAGCTCCACCCCTACCTCCAAATGTACGACCTCTGTGGCGAACCCGCACATCGCCTCAACTATGCCCGTTCAACGCCCGCAAAGTCACGACGGACAAGCTGGTGAGGATGTACACACGCAGGCTCAACAGGAACAACCCGCTTCAAATCAGGAATCTTCCGGGCTTTTTGGAATCTCAGGTCTGGATTGAGCACGCCAACAACCCGGATGGCTCATTCAAGATTCCGCGACTTCCGCTGGTGGGATCACCCACCCCCGACTTTGCTCTTCTGAGGGACATCTTGGCAAGCGCAAACCCGGGCATTATCGACAACAAGATGAAGTCGGGCACTAGTCAACCCTCCCAGACGCGCGCCGTCTTTGACATATTTGACGACCTCGAGGCTGAGTGCAAGATCACGCGCGGCGCGCTCCGGGCGAATATCCGCCCCTGGTCCAGTTCCGCGACTGGCTGCAGCAGTCCGAACGGTATAAAAGCCCGTCTTTCGACAGAACCATCGCCGAGATACTCGCAGCGCACCGCTCCAAGCCGATGTCATGGGTACCCTTCAAGGCCTCGCTTGGCTTCGTCCGCGCCGTCTATCAGTACAACCGCGCCCGGGAGGCGGCCCACGAACAGGGTAGCGCCAGCTGTATCGCCGGGCTGTACGGCCTGGTGGTGCTAAAGGAAACGCTGTACGAGGAGTTTCCATTCCGCCCCATCATCCGCGATATCGGCTCGTCTACGTACAGCACCAAATCGTGCAGTCTCCGGGTCGGGGTCCGGCCGCTGCGTGCCGACATGCGTCGCTACAAGCACAGCACCGTCGTGATCGGTCAGTTGGCCGGGTACAGCATCGTGACGCTGGTTCCGCCCCGGCTGAAAGCGCTCAACGGTCTGTCTCTGGAGTTTCATTGGAGCGTGCCCAATACGTTTCACAATGACACCATTCGCTTTCCGCTCGGCCAGACAAAGTTCGCGCTGTCGAGCAAAACGTGGACGCGCGAGTTGGAGAATGAGCTGAATAGCGCTGGCGACATTCTTCTGTCAACCCTGACGCCTGTTGGTTCCTCCGGGGTGGTGGTATGGCGTTCGGAGCATCAACAACGGACTGGAGTTGAACGCGAGCGTCACGTGGTTCCTGGCTCGCGGCGACATGGACGTCGAAGAGCCGGACGAACCCGAGGTCAACGCCTCGAAGAGTTATGCTCCACATGTTGAGATATAGGGGGATGTACTGATAAGTGTAGGAATTTGTGTAGATAGGTGGAGTAAGCTTGTGCATCGTGTCAACCCACGGTACCTATCCAGCAAGCTTTTTGGCATCAAAACCTTAATGAAGATAGCTGTCTACACCACTTCCGGTGATTTTATCTTTTCCCGTCGGGATCAATATGCTGTTTTAGGGTCCGCTAGTATTTCGGCCACCTATTGGTTGAGCTCCACCTACATGTTGACCCATATCCTGCGAGTCTTGACCGCATATATGACCTACAGGAACCATCTTCCCACTGCAAGGCTTCTACCAACAACTATGCAGTGGCTGCGGCACAGTCAGCTGGATTAGGCAGATGTACCTAATCTTTGGTGGTACATGCTCCGGGGGCCGCCACGTCTTTCGAGTCACGACCAACAGTGAGGCGCAAATTCACGAACTATTCTTCGCCTCACCCCTACTGGACCAGTCACTGGTTGGCAATGTAGTATTTTGAGCCAACTGACGGCAGGCTCTGCCTGTTCGGCGTCCAGATTGGAGCTGCGCAGACATGAAACGACGTTGCACCGTTGCGGGGCCGTTCTCCAGATCAGAAGAACTTCAGCAAGATGTTTTACTCAACAGCGCTCCTCTTTTTGGCATTACCCAAAGCGCGCTTCAATCTCACTCTTCATTACTCGCGGGGCTTTGAGTATTTGTGCTCCTCTAACCTGCTCAATGCCACTGGTTCATATCACCAACTGCAAATACCGGCAATTCAGCTATGTCTTCAAATTGGGAGACCAAAGCGCGCGATTGGATCAAAGAGCAAGCCCTCACCGTCACCGAGCACCTAGGCATTGCCAAGAGCACGGAAGCGTCTCCGTTCCTAGAGTTCATCATACCCCTACTCGGCGGACTGATGGACGGCTCCGCCAACGTCGCCCAGACAATAGGCCACGAAGTCATCAGTCAAATGACCGCCTCCCATCAAGACACAGACGAGTGGGGCGAGATCCTGTGGATATTCTTATTGGCAATTGAACATACCTCGACAGACAACGCCCACGGCCGACTCGCAGCTCTCCTGGCCGCCGTGGGCCAACCTCCCCCATAGATTCACTTCCGGGGCCCGAAGCAAAGAAGATTGCGTTGGTTGCTCGACTCTCTTCACTGGAAGAATTTGGATATATATCCAGCGATTGCTAGAATGGTAGGTAACCGCTTGCCCCAGACCTACGTGATGTTTTCTCACGAGACCACAGGCTCCTCCAGGCATATCCGTCCTCCGGCAGCGGCCCATGCCGCGTGGGTGAATCTCAACAGGTTCTAAGCGCACCTCAGCAGGCAACAACGGTGGGAGACGCTGGACTCGCTAAGAGGTTGGGTAGAAGTGTCCGGAAAGTACACCATCGCCAAAGGACTGGAGGAAAAGAATGACGATGCTGTTCGCAACTTCGTATGGTCTGCGGCCGTGTGGCGGGGCGCGTGGCGGACATGATGTGTGAGATTAAGGGAAAAGGAATGGACGAGTACAGAATCAAGAGTAACTGAAGTAATTCGAAAGTCCACACCCTACTAGGCTCTCTGAACCTTGTACGTGTTTGTTCGAGATACCGAACCAGAATTTATTTTCCACCCTACTGCTTATCGCTGGTCAAGCATGGAACTCCTGATCTCACTTCTACGTAGGCCTTGCCCATTTGTTCTAGAGGTCAAAAGCATGATTAAGATCCAGTTACGCGTTTTTACAAGAGGTCGTCCACAAATCCCAGACTATGCCTCCTCTCATCGCAGACCCTAGCAAACTCAAGAAGCAGCCTCCAGACATAAAGCAACATATCCTCCCTTCTTAGCACCTTCTCCGCCCACCGTCTACCCGTCTCCGCAATCATCCTCGCCGCCGCATGGCCCTTTTCATCTTTTAAAAAGTAATCCAACACACCATAGAGATCCATAAGCATATTATCCAGCGGAACGAAATGGACCCAAGGCGCCAACCGATCGTCGTGCCACTCGGCGAATATAGTACTTTTCAGCGGCAACGACGTCGACAGCAGCAGACTCCTGAACCGCGCACTGAACGAGTTGCCGTCGACGTCAGGCATGAATTTCCATTTGAACTGGTCCGCCATCGAGACGGCGTCTACTTTGCTGAAATATGGCTCTAGATATCCGCAGTCGTTCTCCGGAAAGCATTGCATGTACGTGAACCCTGTGTCGGAATGGGCCTGCAGCCACTCCCCCAGACTGAGACCCGGACAGGAGAAACTGCGCATGCCGTCCGGCATATTCCCAAAAGTCGGGGCCGCAGACCGATTCCCCTGTTCCAATTCCGACACCGTCGTCCCGTTAAGCATCTGGACCAGTCGAAAGCGCTGGAAATGGGACCAGTTGTCCGCCTGCAGCCTTCCACCTGAACCAACGCCGCGCCAGACTACGCCCTCCTTCTTCTGTTCCCAGGGCGGTCCGTGGTTCCAGCCGCCGCTGTAGCGCAGCTCGCCCGACAGGTACATAGCCCCGGGGATCAGGATATCATTATTCATCGTGAGCTTGGACCCGCCAAACATGGGCACGAGCTCCTGCGTCACCTCGATCCGGGCCCATTGCACGAACGCGCCGCTCATGTCTCAGAGGTGCGGCTGCAGACAGGGGTCCATCGACGCCGTGTAGTTCTTCACGTACCCGTTCTCAGAGAAGGGCGGGTGCCAGTCTGTCGGGAAGCTAGGCGGTGCCGAGAAGTCCTCGATGGCCGAGACGTTGCATCCCGGTGTGTCCGGCGGGCACGTCTGCCGTGCGAGATCCCACAGTTTCGACGCACCGGTTGTGATCCAATCCGGCTCTCTGATCTCGACATTTTCGTCACCGCCAAGGTGCGCCCGCTTCGTAAATTCCCGTACGGTGTCCTTGGTCGGCGTGATCTTCTTGTTCCGCTCCGCTTCGGTGACCAAGGAATTGATCTCGTCCCAGGGGGCCAGGATCCTGCTTTCATCCCAGTAGTTGATGGGCATGTCCACGTCCGGCAGCCACGCCGCGGCCTCGGATACCAGACCGGTCCATAGCTGTAACCACGGCACATGCCCTTTGGTATCCCCAATGCCGTAGGCGGCACCGTCACGGACTCTCACGACGTGTTCCCCATTAGCTGCATGTTTGGATATGATTCTTGGGTCCTGGGCCCAGAAGGGACGGATATCGTGCTCAATGCGGTCGAAGAACCTCTCGGTTATGGTGGCGTCATGCTTGGATGCATATTCGAACCACTTATCGAAGCCTGGCGGAGGATGCCTCCCTCTACGACTCCGGTACCCGGCCGCGGCAGTTCCGACATCATGCGAACGCTCGAGCAGAAGACGGTCCTGGGCCCTCTTGGCATCCAGGATAAGATCATCTATCGCATGGCGCGTGGAGGAGACGTCGTTGAGCAGTTCATTGTAGCTGTCGAACACGGGTCGAGAGCGATGATAGGAGTATTGCAGGGCGCTGGGACCATAAGATGAGAAGAACAGCAGATAATAAAGCGCGACAAAACCTAGTAAGAGGCCGTAACATGCTAGAGACCTCAGTGCGAGTAGGGCCTTCCGTGGTGCACATTGTAAGAAGCCGTACGCAGAAAGCATCTCGCTCCAGGACTTTGCGATAAGGGGGATATTAGCGGAAAAGATACGAAACCAACGGCGCATGTGCAATACTTGGTAAACAAAAGCACTGGAGGTTCTTGCCCATGGTACTACCCTACATGTACTGTGCCGTACATTGAGATGAGCGTTGCACGAACCATGCTTACGTTCTTGGTAATTATATCCTACAGTCCTACTGCGCCGTGATTACACCTTGGAGCACAGCCGAAGATCTACAGCCAAGAGCCAACAGTCATCAGCCGTTGGAACACCGACAGAGAACAGCCAAGAGCCAGCAGTCATAAGTGGGTCCGTCAGTGTCACGAATGCTCAGCGTATAATGCGGTGCATATGGGGACATTCTGCACTAATTCTCTGTTTGTGGCATCCTGGATCTAGTGGAGGGCGTCTTGCTGAGGATTTGTCAGAGGATGATGGACCGGAATCACGATTCTCCGGCTTGGTTTCGCCAAACCGTCTGTGCAAGTCTGCCTCCGCAGGCCAGGACCTTTGCGTTGCTGGGAGGTGCTCACGAGAGAGACCAGAAACGCCTACGCGGCAACAAGCCCCCAACACTAATGGTCCCGGAGAAGCTACTGAAAGCAGGAAATAAAAGTCCCAGAAGAAATTGTGCGTTTATTTGTCGGTGAAGATATGTGCCAGGCACGAAGGCCGTGTTCCCGTCCCAGATGCTCCTGCTCGCCAGTTGCTAGAATACTGCCGAGCTTTAGACGCCCAACCGAAAAATTCCACCCCAGACCTGCCCCAAAGTGATGATGATGTTAAGAAATACAGTAATAGCTCCCAAGTTGATAACGCCACGATGCCGAGCCCCATTCCCCCCCACCGAGTGGTCGTGTCGTTGTCTCAAATGGCTCGTTAAGATAGCTCGAGTGGAAGAGTATCGTTATCATGTTGTGTAGCGCCCGGTTTGGCGGTGAAGGTCGCCCCGGAAAATGCGAATGTAGATAGAATCCCAGTGCGAACAGATGGGAAGTCGAAAGATAGCGAATGTATAGAGGAGATCAAGAAACCCGCGGCCTCGCCTTTGTATTGTCAATATGAATGAAAGAACCAAGTTTGGCATCACAGATACTTACCTAAAGCCACCAATCCCAGATTCCTCAATGCAGAGGGAGGGAGTCCATACGAACCCATGACTAGAGATACAGCCGGGCACCAGATGTAAGGCCACCAAGAGGTTGACGTAGATCCTGTTAGAAACGAGTCACCAACCATAGCTGCCGACGCGACGGTATCTTCTAGTGAGTCCAGAATCTCGTTGGTCATGTTCTGCGCATGCTGCAACAGGTGTGTATGGTCGTCGTACCTCGTCGATAGGCTTTCCGTGATATCAATGAGCCGCAGCATACCCTATGACTATATTAGAGGATCCCATGTTTTGACGAGTACCGAATGGCACTTACCAGCTCGATGGCGTCCTGTCGAGACTCGAGCTGAGCAGCTTGGAGACGCGAGCTTTCCTGTATCTCGGTTAGCAAGGGGAACCTAACGCCTTTGGAATTGACTCCCGTACAATCTGGTTGTGTAGTGTTATAGATGTCGCCAAGGCTGCTCCCATGGCTTTCATCATGGTCTCGAGGCCAGACTCAGCTTGCTGGTTCATAGTCTGCAAAGAGTGCTCGTGGACAGATGCGGCTTCTGCGTGGCTGTCCACAATGCCCCTAAGCGTGAGTTCGAGCATCTTTTGCAAGTTCGCCGCATTGTCGATACCTGCGTTGACCGAGTCGGTGGATGTCTGGTATGGAATCAGTTCGGCGTGCTGCAAGAAACCGGCAGTTGTTAAACTCACTTTCAGCGCAGTCATGAGTTGCCGAGAAAGCACATTCTCTGCAGAGAGTAGGCCTTCTTGAAGTCGATCAAGGTGTGGGAACAAGCTATCAATCTTGTCGCCGGTGGCCTGAGCGCGGAAGTCGAGATCATTCATGCGTCTGTCGAACTTGTCATCGACATCATCTGCCAATCTACTCATGATATGTGTCAAGCGTTGAAAGAGGAGGATGTTTTGGGCTGGAAGACGTTAGTACAAACCCACAATGTTAGATCTCTGGACTTTACCTCTGTCATTATCGGCCCTAGCAGCTTCGCAGAACCGCAAAGCTTTGTGGCGATAGCTGACCCAAGTGTTCCAAGCCGAGTCGGAGGCGCCGAGGCCGGCAAGGCAGCCATCGATCTCCCGGGAGGTGACGTGAAGCTGGGCTGTGTTTTGGAGGGGGAGTTGGCCCAAGGCAGATTCGCGGAACTTGGAACATTCTCTCGGGATGACGAAGCTGCCTCTCTCCAGGTCGCAGATTGCTAGGCTTGCCGCATACGAGTCGACGAAGTCTCTGATCTTGCGACCGCTGTCAGTGAGGACGGTGGCTTCGTCTTTGCCCTCGAGTAGTTGACAATTGTTCACCAGTAACCGCGCGGCTATCCTGTGGCACAGAGGCTCGGACTCCAATTGCTGTAGTTCGCTCAGCGCCACTTCGTAGGAGTTTGGTATCCTCGAGCCGGCCTGGAGGAGCTGCGATGCGCTACTGCTCGGTGCCAGACCAGCAAACTGTCCCCGCGCTATATTGCGAATCAGTAGCAAGACTTTGGAGCGAGAGGCGACAGACTGTACCTGATCTGACTTTTGGGTCACTGCGCCATGAAAATGCGGAGGCGACTTGAGTATGTGTCAGTACGAGCAGGATGGTAACCTTTAGCAAGGCCACCTGCATCAAGCCCCGTCGAAAAACCATGATGGTGATGTTACCACGAGAGATGCATAGCAATTGGAAGGAGAGCGGTTGGTATTCGTAGGTATGATAGAGGAAGGAAAATGTGGAAAGAATGAGGAAGGTGCAGGGTTTTGCAAGGTCGACTGAGATTGAAGCAGCGGCGACCTTGAGGATGTGGATGTATGAGAGAAGAGATCAATCAAGGAAAACGGAGGAGAGTGTAGGCCACTGGCGAGTTGTGGGAGGTTGGCTGTCAAATGCCTGAGAGATGGATTGGTCGACGCAAATCTTAGAATGATATTTGACGAGTTCTTGAATGAGATAGTACTCGACCATTGTTCGTAGGGAAGGTGCGACTGTCCAAAGTGGCTCTATCATCACTTGCCTGAGGTGACTTGGAGGGTCGAGTTGACGCAGCGTATGTTTACCCACCATTTCACGAGTTCCAATTGCAACTTCAGGAATCTTACATGAATTAAGTCCTGGTTATTCCAATTGGCGGTGGAATCACTGACAGGTGGCTCTTTCCGAAGGCCAAATGAGATGCTGTTCGAGTTGGTGATCGTACTGATTGGGAAGGAGCGCTATGCTGCGATACTATATGGATGCATAACCGCCGTTATTGCATGAGATCATGAGCAATATGCAATACCCACGTGATACCACCTCATACAATTTCTGTGGCCCCAAGCAGCCCGAACATTGAATGGAAGCTCTGCTCTCAACGACCCGATCTCAAGCACGCCAGCTGTTCCAAACGCGGTCAATTGCGACCGTCACGCACTCCCTCACAATGCTGGTCCCAACGCGAGGCAGGGTCCTCGAAAAGGCGATCACGGGGAGCGCCGCCATATCACTACCAAGCTTCCTCGTGCCAGCCTTCCAACAGAAGGCAGCACCGCGCCGCCAGTTCTCCGACACGTCCAGCCGACCCTCGAAGCTCGGGCGCACGCCGATATCGATCCCGCCGGGCGTCGAGCTGCTCATCGGCGAGCCGAGAGTCAAGAAGGACCCCACGACGTACCTGCGCATACCGAAGCGGACTGTGACCGTCTCGGGGCCCCTGGGTAAGCTCAACCTGGAGATTCCGCCGTTCCTCAACATCGACCATGACGAGGCTACGAGGAAGGCGCTGTTGAGCATTGAGAATGGCGACGAGAAGAAGCAGATGGAGATGTGGGGTACGTGTTCGCATGATACTTGATCGACGAACCGTCGGGGGTTCACGTATTGTACTCGGGTTGGCTGACTTGGTTGGATAGGCACCACATGGGCATACCTACAGCGATACATCATCGGCGTGTCGGAAGGACACACCGCCATCCTGCGACTAGTCGGAGTCGGATACAGGGCGACGGTCGAAGAGCGGCCCAAGAAGGCCCAGTACCCTGGCCAGAAGTTTGTCTGCCTCAAGCTTGGTTTCACGCACCCCGTTGAGGAACCCGTTCCATCTGGCATGAAGGCCAGCACGCCGCAGCCGACGAGAATCCTGCTCGAGGGCATCAACAGAGAGGAGGTCATGTCGTTTGCAGCGAACATACGCAGGTGGAGGAGGCCGGAACCCTACAAGGGAAAGGGTATCTTCGTCAATGACGAGACAATCAGGCTGAAGCAGAAGAAGATCAAATGATCGGTATCTGCGATACTCGATTCCGAGCTGTATCTATACTTTATACGATGGCGTATATCCGGCCACGCGATGTGTACTTTTTATGTATACTCTATACTACTTGTACACTTCATTTCTGTCCGAGAACCTCCTTGACGACCTCGAGAACTTTAGGATGGGCAGCTGCCGGTGCGGCAACCACACCCTTGTTGTTCGCGAGTGTCCTCCCAACAGTGAAGTCTAGTCTGTTGCCCTTGATGTCTGTGACGACACCACCAGCTTCGCGGACGATGAGGTCGCCGGCCGCATGGTCCCAAATCTTCTCCTGATAGGTAGCCGAGACGGGCAACCGCAGGTAGATGTCTCCAGCACCACGGGCAATCGAGGCGTACTTGGCTTGCGAATCCATTCTCACACTCGGGTTGGTGATGCCAAGCTTCTTCGCAATCTCGGCCTGGTCTCCGTGTGCCGAGTGGCCAGCCTCTACACTCTCGCAGAAAGTAGCGGCAGCAATGTCCTTGATAGCCTTCATGGAGATGCTCTTCTCCTTAGACAGCGCGCCCGTGGTCAACGGACGGCTAGTGGCACCCTCGCTCAACACACCGGAGAACAGGCAACCCATACCCTCGTCGGTCTGGCCTGACTCCTGGCCTGCGGTCAGCGGCGCGGCATCGTCTACCGGGAGGTTCGGGCATCCCAAAACTCCGACCTTGACATCCCCGTCCACCATCAATGCCAAGCACACGGCATACTGGCCACCACGCAAGAAACCCTTAGTACCATCGATGGGGTCGATAGCCCATATCCGGCCCTTGGCACCGCCCTTGCTGTTGCCGTAGTCGATCATGGTAAGCAGGTCATCCTCGCTCTTGATGGCGCCGCCGAGCACCTTCTCGGCCGCCTCATCCTCGAGCGAAGTAGTCTTGACCAGCTCCCAGATGGTCTGTCGCAGGTTGCTGTCCTCCTTCAGCTGCGCGGCCTCCTCCTCAGCGACAATCTCGTCCTCGGGGAAGTTGGCCTTGAGGGCGCTGATGATGAGGGCCTGGGCACCGAAGTCGCCGATGGTGACGGGAGACTTGTCGTCCTTGCTGACGGTGCCCTTGGCCTTCTCGTGGAAGACGCGCTTGGTGAGGATGGCGGCGCGCTGGACGGCCAGCTGGGCGACCTCGAGCTCCTTGGCGTAGGAGGACATGGTGTGCGTGCTTGAATGGCGTGATAAGCTGAAAGGAGAGCGGATAACAGGCAGGGACAGATGTGAGGCGAGAGAGGTGAGGCGGGGCAGGGCTCTGGATGACAGGAATATAGCCAGGGTCACGATCAGGAGGGAGGACACGAGCAGCAGTGGGTTCGTCAACTTGGAGGGCGACTTTTTATTGCTGGCTTTTCTCATGCCAGATCTGATGGTCGGACTTTGTACAGGATGTGCGACGCCGGGAATCAAGTAATAAGAAGTATCTGTAGTGTCGAAATCCGTCTGCCCTAAAGTTATTACAAGCATTTCGTCACTTCTGGGGCTGAGTTTCCACGGTCCAGCCTATTAGGTAGGCGGTGATGCTTGTCTCAGGCGGCTGCAGGTAAAGCTCCATACCCCAACAGCCGGTATGCGCACTAACTTCCGCCCCAACTTTCCCTGAGACAAATGCGCTGTAAGACCCCGGCCGGGAGACAACTGACTGCCGGCCCGTCGCCCCTCCGACGACAAGGGCCTGCAGTTCGGTCAGCAATGATTATTCACATGTCTTGGACGAGTTGCATATCTGTACATCTTGAAGTACTCTCGTTCGAACGATAATACCGGTCGACCCAGAGGGTATTCCACAAACTTGGATGGTTTCTTGCTGCTCCACGTAACTGGAGATACGACCTAATCAGCCGTCAACCGGTCTACATTGGTCAAAGGATGAGAGCTGTTGGTTCATTGGACCAACCTGAGCCATCCGGCTAGCATCCAACGGAAAGACGCGATTCACCTACCAGCACACGAATCCTGTTCAAGTGGGGGTGCCAATTTCGCGAGCGTTCTGCGATATCACCAGCACTACCACCCATCACACGGAGCAACCATGAATACCACCAAGCGGAAATTCAACGCCTTGCTGCAAGGTATCGGCGCGCGATCGTCGCCTCAGGTGTCAGATTCCGACGGCAGAACTTCTACATCAACACGCGATGACACCTTCAAGCCCTCATTGTCAGCCTTCGATCGTCATCCTATTTCAAGCCCGATACCCGACACTTCAACACCAAAGGATATGGCCACGATTGGAAGCTATTCGCCCAGCACCGACCTCAACAAGAAGCGCCGGGTTGGTGTTCTTGGGTCGACGACAGCGAATTCGACGATCAACGCGACCGGGTTATCCAGCGTTTCATTGAAGAAGTGGTCACCAGGGAACAGCACGAGTACTGCGCGCAAGGACACAAAGACAGCAGCACCAAAATACTGCCCCGGCGATCGCGACGAGCTGATAAGGCGACTTGGGACATTCCAGGGGCTCACCGAATGGACACCGAAACCAGACAAGGTCAACGAAATCGAGTGGGCCAAGAGGGGATGGGTATGTCAAGGCAAGGAGCGCGTACGATGCATACTGTGTCACAAAGAGCTGGTGGTCCGGACAAATAAACGGGAGGTGGAGGGCAAGGAGGTTACTATGGTCGCTGGATCGGATATCGAGGAAGCCATGGTGAAGAAGTTCGCCGAACTAATCGTCGAAGCGCATCAGGAGGACTGCCTCTGGCGGAAGCGTGGCTGCGATGGTAAGTCTCTCGACCATCAGTTTTGATCAGGCGGGACGACATGTGCTGACTGAATTACAGATTCTCTTCTACGGTTACCGTTGGCGAATCCGCAAACTGCCCTTGCCTCTCTACGCGAACGATATGACGACCTTTGCACGCGACCATCCTTCCTCCCCTACCTCTTCAATTTACGACTACCAGCAACTCTAGACATACAAACCGCTCGATCCCAACTCGACTCCAGTTTCTTTAACGACCCTCCACCACCCAGTATCAACCCCTCGACCCCAAACGATGTTGCGCTCGGTCTCGCCCTTACCGGCTGGCAAGGTCTCACAAACCTGAGGATTGGTGCAGTTCCAAACACAGCCGCATGCGCTACATGTCTGAGGCGATTGGGACTATGGATGTTTAAAAGCAAGGAAGTTGACGAGTCGACCGGCGAGATTCTCATCCCAGCGCCCATGGACCACCTCGATCCTGTGCGGGAACATCGTTTCTTTTGCCCCTGGCGGAATGGGGCTGCGCAGAGGAACCCGGGTTCTAAATTGACGGATACCAAGGTAGCCTGGGAGGTACTGGCGCAAACAGTGAAGAATAACTCGTACCTTTGTAGACAGGCCGAGAAAAGTAACCAGCGCCCTGCGGCTATGCACCGCCCGACGGTGTCGGTACCGAGTACGCCATCTCGAGGAGGAGGAGCCAATGAGGATCAACGGCTGGTGATGCTAGGCCCCGACATGGGGGAGGACGAAGACGATGACAACACTACCAGAGACGCCAAGGACAAGGAGCGATGGGCGAGGCTGAGAAGGGTGAAAAGCCTGTTCGACACAAAGAACGGGAAGAAACTGCGGCGCGCGATCAGTCGACCGGGAAGTCGAGCTGGCACAGCTGCAAGTCGGCCCCCGACGGCGCACTCGAGACAGGACAGCGTGGCAGATGATAAGTCGGCCGAGAAGGCGTGAGGAATTGATTCTTTTGATGCTTCTGGCGTAGTCTGGCGTTTGGTTCATCAATTTAATCTAGGTAGTGACATGCGAGATACCCGGTATGATTCCCTCAGACGGCCCAAGACTCCCTCCCCTCTACGTGTGGCAGCGAACATTCGGGATACTCCCAATATGGTCTAAACAATATGGTTTAAACAAGTATTGTCGAATTCCATGTAGGAAGATGATCGAGTCTTGTTGGAAGGAATATGTGCTGTGCTTGAGCTATTGCGTCTGTGATGCGCCTGTTAGTAACCGCTCGAATCTACTGTACCACATTGCATCGCATGGTGGTTCATCGAACCTGTATCACCTGAGCTCATCGATCGCAGTTGCCATATGGGCGTTCGCCGATCATCTCGGTTTTGAAGTGTGAGAATTAATCAATCGGATTCCATCAGCATCTTCAGGTGTACATGTAGTTCAGGAGTAGCAAATGGAACCATCTCCCCCTTTAAAACGAGGCTGATAATAGTGGCAAGCCTCAAGGTCTCAGCTTTCTTCAAACTGGGTGTGACGTCCCTCGGAAAATTAGAACTGAACCTCTACAGACATGTCATGTAACTGTGCCTTTTTGGTAGCGGAACCAGAACAGAGATCTATCACAAGTCTCGGTTGGGATGATCTGTATTCTGGTTGGTGCTTGGTTACGTTCGGATGGGAAGGATCCCATCCGAGAAGTATCTAAATACCTATAAATTACAGTGGGTTGGTACCTGTCACCTGGGGCAGCCAACCCAGGTAACCTTATCGTAGAACGCCCTGGATGACAGGAGATCCGATAAGGTACTGGTGGCTGGATCCAGTGGCTGGGTCCACATAACGGCGCGGATTCTTCATCATCATGACGGGATTACATAAAGTGGCGACGCACAAACACTTCAATCGGCCTCACCCCTGGCAAATGGCGTGCGTCCACAATGTTTGATTTACGACGCCACTCCCAGAGCTTGCAGATAGACACTGCGCCGTTTGTGCGTGAAAGGTTACCCCTTTCGGTCGGGTCGCCACGGATGGCTGGCTGCCATTGGACGCCGGCGGGCGTGACGACACGGCACATCACCACCGGCCAAGTTACCTACATACCTTCTTCAACGCAGGTATTATTATCTGTCCTCCACGATGACTCACTGCTGTCACGCTCCATCTGGTATTGCAGTTCCTGTGCCGCCGTCTGCTTTCGATCTGATTTGGGAAGCTATCCTCGGGTGCCGGTGCCACTGCCACTATCAGATCGTCCCATCACTCGGGGCAGGTTGTGACTCCCGAGATGGCGCGGCCATCCTCACTCGAGACGGGAGCCGACGAACCTGTGCGCCGTGTTTCAATGATAGCCCATATATGTTATCCCAGAGCTACTGGGCAGGTGCGCGCTGATTCACTATACCGTTTGATGGTAGTCCTAGGGTAAGCTAGGTAATGAGGTACACTGGACCCTCATAAGTCTCCGTACACCGCCCACCCAGCAAACAACATTATATTCACCGTAGTTGGAATAAGCGCACTCGGATAAGCACCAAAAGAAGCGTACGAAGCTGCTTGATCTTGTATGGTTATTCTAGTGTTTTAAGTTGCACGTAGACTTATGAGGGGTGACAAGGTACCTCTGGGGCGACCTGGAACCTTCCTGCCAGAATATGTGGAGTCGTTGCGGTGTTTGTGCGTGATGAGGCCAGTCAAAACCGCAAAGTGCGGCCACCTTGAACTATCAAAATGTTATGCCAGAAACATCTTCTCTCCTCTCCTCGCTTGTCACATTCACCTACTAAGCCCTTCGCCTTTCGCTTGCCTCTGTTGCGATATTACGGCTGATCACTCTCAAATCCGTTTGTGCACTATTGGTCTTGCCGTGTACCGAGAACCACGAGCGCTACCTGCTGGGTATCACATACGTACATCACCCTCCTCTTTCAGGCTGATGTCACATTACACTCGCCTCCCATCATCCGCTCTGCCAAGAAAGGACATCATTATACATCCGTGCCAATATATCGTCGCCACAAATCGACACGTCGCTTAGGCTCCCCATCACAGCATCGCTCTGCGACGAATCAGCGGCGCGGCCACGAATCTGGGGTGCATTCCGCCCACGCCTCGCCAGTCTTCGTCGACAATCAACCTGACACTTAATGATTAATACTATATTCGGACCCCTCCGCTTGATAGTCCTTGACGAGGGAGGCCGCACCTGTCACTCAAGATGGCGCCGTCACATTCGCCGGCCGCCACCACCACTTCGTTCCTCGTGGGTAATCTCCACTGTCCTACCTGTGTCTCCGCGATACAGGATGCTCTAAAAGGCCTGCAAGGCATCCGATGGGTGTCACCAAACGTTGTTACTTCTTGGATTACCGTAGAACACGAGCCGGGCGCATCCATCATGCAGATGGCATCCAGGTTGGAAGAGGCAGGCTTTGAGCTATCCAGCATCAACTCGGCAGATGGCGAGGTTGACATGGAGAACTACATGGGCGGCGATACCGCCAACCTCGTCGGCGGCAGACAACCCACTAGTTCGGCAGACGTCGGCCAGCTAGACGGCACTGTGGATTACATCTCCAAGAAATACGGCAAGCTCACGCCTGTGCGGGCCTCCGCTGCGAAGGCTGAACATGCCAAAACCCACCTCAACAATTGCAAGCAATGCCAGACCACAGCATCTAACCCCTACAGTTCCTGTATCAACGGGGCGTTGGTTACGAGTCACGGCAGAACCAGTGAGCAGGACACTGTCGATAAGAACGCCGACGGTGGTATGATCGTGTCTACCAGTTCGCTCGCCACTGTTGACAATGAACAACCAATATCGCCCTCGCCAAAGCGTTCGTGGCGAGCTTCGTTAGCCGTTGGTGGTATGACATGCGCCGCTTGCTCAAACACCATTCAAGATGAGCTCAGCAAGAGAGATTGGATCACCAAGATCACCGTCAACCTGATATCGAACAGCGCAACCATCGAGTACGTTGGAGACGAGGGCGACGCCAGCCGTGTTGTTGAAAGCATCGAAGATCTTGGGTATGAAGCCAATATCGATCAAGTCGTCAGCCTCGACGATGAAGTAAAATCAACCAAGCATGAGAGAACGGTCGAAATCTCCATCGATGGTTTCTACTGCCAACACTGTGCTCAACGAACAGCGAAGAGCCTCGCCGTCTTCGGTCACAAATTGAGTGTGGTCAACCAACCCACCCAGCAGAGGCCTATCATCAAGGTCACATACATCCCTGAGGTACCAACATTCACGGTTCGCACGATACTAGCAGCAATTGACGCGAGCGATCCAGCATTCAAGGCGTCTATCTACCATCCACCAACATTGGAGGAACGATCGAAGCGCATGCATGCGCAACACCAGAAACAGATTCTCTTTCGAGTAATCCTCACGTTCATCATCGCCACACCAACTTTCATCATAGGCATTGTCTATATGAGCCTCCTCTCTGACCACGGTCCAGGGAAGATGTTTCTCATGGCACCATGGGCATCCGGTATCAGTCGCGCACAAATTGCACTTTTCATCATGGCTACACCCGTATACTTCTTCGCAGCAGACATTTTCCACCGGCGCGCAGTGAAGGAGATAAAATCCCTATGGAGGCCCGGTAGCCGCACACCCATCCTACAGCGGTTCTATCGCTTCGGAAGCATGAACATGCTCATGTCTCTGGGCACGACAGTCGCATACGTATCCTCCGTGAGTCAGATGATAGCCGCCGCTGCGGATCGTTCTCAGCAAGTCAAAGACTCGAACTTTTACTTCGACTCGGTGGTCTTTCTGACTCTGTTCCTACTTGTGGGTCGGCTCATTGAGGCCTACAGCAAGTCCAAGACGGGGAGTGCCGTCGAAGCGCTTGGTAAACTGCGACCAACGACAGCCATTCTGGTCCAGAAGGGTGCGGATAAAAATTCCACAGACAGTGTCGTTCAGACTGACTTGTTGGAGTTTGGCGACACTGTCCGTATTCCCCACGGTTCTTCTCCCCCTTGTGATGGGCGAATCATCCATGGTGAGACCGTGTTCGACGAGTCAAGTTTGACCGGTGAATCCCGCCCCATCAAGAAGCGCGTGGGTGACGAGGTGTACTCTGGGACTGTCAACATGAGTTCCCCAATCTTGGTCCGCATCACGGGCGTCGCAGGCCAGTCGATGCTTGATAAAATTGTCAACGTCGTTCGCGAAGGCCAGACCAAGCGCGCACCCGTGGAAAAAGTCGCCGACTTGCTCACAGCTTATTTCGTGCCAGTTGTCACATTGATCGCTATCCTCACGTGGATTATTTGGCTGTCCGCTGGCCTGTCTGGTGCAGTTCCAGGACATTTCCTTGAGTCATCTGGAGGATGGGTCGCATTCTCGCTACAATTTGCCATTGCGGTGTTCGTCGTCGCATGTCCCTGTGGTCTGGCCCTGGCTGCCCCGACAGCGATTTTCGTCGGCGGCGGGTTAGCAGCGAAACACGGTATTCTCGTCAAAGGCGGTGGAGAGGCTTTTGAGAAAGCCAGCCGCATCGACTGTGTCGTCTTCGATAAGACTGGCACTCTGACTACGGGCGGCGAGCCTAGTATCACTGATTCGATGATCTTCCCAGGCCAAGACGTCAATGCAGAACAGCGTAGCAGGCTACTGTCTGCGCTTCGGGCCGTTGAAGAGAACAGTAGCCACCCCATTGCAAAAGCCATCGTCTCCTTCTGCAGCGCCCAGACGCCGGAACGAATCACAGTCACTGAAGTCATGGAAATACCCGGGAAGGGTCTCAAGGCCACCTGCAGTGACGGCTCCCCTGGCCAAGGTTTCGATATCATTGTTGGAAACGAAGCTCTCATGAAGGACTTTACCGTGCCCATACCCTCAGCAGTCGCTTCATCTCTACAGACCTGGAAGACGGAAGCCAAGTCCGTTGTCCTCGTTGCCACCAAATCGACCTCGCCATCCGGCACACCCTCTTTCTATACCGTAGCCGCCGCCCTGTCGGTATCTGACCCCATACGCCCGGAGACATCTTCCGTAATTCAAGCCCTGCGAGCCAAGGGAACAGATGTGTGGATGCTCTCGGGCGACAATATCGTCACCGCGCGCGCCGTCGCTCTCCGCGTCGGCATCCCCGAAACCAACGTCATCGCGGAGGTACTGCCTACGCAGAAGTACGATAAAATCACGTACCTGCAGTCGACGCTCAAAGCGCGTCGCGGCCGCGGCTCCAACGCGACCGAAGACCCGGGCGGCCGCCGCGCCACCATTGCCATGGTCGGCGACGGCATCAACGACGCGCCCGCGCTCAGCACGGCCGACGTCGGCATCGCCATCGGCTCGGGCAGCGACGTGGCCATCTCGAGCGCCGACTTCGTGCTCGTCAACAGCAACCTGGGCTCCGTGGTCACGCTGCTCGACCTCAGCGCCAGCGTGTTCCGGCGCATCAAGTTCAACTTTGCATGGGCGCTCGTTTATAATCTTGTCGCGCTGCCCGTCGCCGCCGGCTGTCTTTATCCTATAGTGGTGCGCGGCGAGCATGTGCGGTTGGATCCTGTGTGGGCTAGCCTGGCTATGGCGCTGAGTTCTGTCAGTGTCGTGCTGAGCAGTCTGGCGCTAAGGACGCGGGTGCCTTGGTTGGGGTTTCGGGTTAGGAGTGTGAAGGGGGTGGAGTGATGGAGTGATTGATGGAAGAGCGCGGCGGCGAAATGGTGCCATTGGAGGAAAGGGAAGACCCTTGATTTTGCATGGAGTCTGGTTGGGTTTAGGTGGGGATGCTTCGTGTATAGGCTATCCATTCCGTTGAGAGAGTGAAGAGTATTGAATTGCGAACAGCGCGTATGCTATAACGGCGGGGGCCCCCAAGTGGGACACTTTTCACACCCAATATCACAATGTTCACTTATACACATCTCTATCGGCAATAAAGCCCTAGATACCGTAAATACGGCAATAAAATTCTCTTTTCTTAGTGTTTCTTTTAAAGTAGATTTTATTAGGTTTGCCGCTGCGAGATAGCCCGTAGTAAAGGTTAGAAGTGGTATTTAATGGAATAAGATTTATCTTTATTCTAAGTATTAAGAAGTAAATATAACAAAAAATAATTAGCACTTCCAGGCCTAATCTAAAAGATAATAAAACCCGTGCCCTTTGTTACCTCCTATTGAATAGAAGTCTTGCTGTTTTTTTGGTTTTTTTCCCTATAAGTAATAGTAGCTTCGGTACGACGAAATACCTCTTTTATATACTAAAAAAACCTCGTAAAAGCAATAGCCGCTATAAACAATAGCTTATCTTTTTATAAGGCTTATTATTACTGAAAAGTACTTAAATCGACTTTTTTTACAAGGTAAACGGCATTATAATGCGCTTAACTAGTACAGTATAAAAAAGACATTCTTATATTTAAACTTAAGCCCTCTTCAAAAAGAAAAGCTAGTTTTATAGATTTTATGTTAAGAAAAAGCCGGCTACATGCTAACTTACAGCAACGTTAAGATTATTATCCGCTAGATCTTAAAATCTAAGAAAAATCAGATTATATAAAGAGCCATTACGTTTAAAAACGTAAATGCGTTTTATAATCTTTATAAGAAGTTCGCATTTATTAAACTTAAAAGCCGGGTAAATGTCGATAAGTACGGCATTATATAGGGCCGGCAGTACGTAAATTATTTATTTAAAGAGGGTTTTAAACGGTTAACGGGGAAATTATCAGTTTAACAGCTTTGAAATAAGTATTTCTAGCATAAAAAGGGTTAACGTTAAGTTAAACGACGACCGTATATAAATTATAATAATAAAATCGATCACCGCTATTAGGAAAAAGTTTTAACTGTTTATTATTTTAAAGTAAAATCAATATAAATATAGTGGTTTGAAAAACCAGCTTATTAAAAAACATGTTATGATAATAGAGTGGTTTATAACGTATTTTATTAAAAGCTTGCCTTCAAACGAGATTGCGTTATGATAGCTGAAAAAGGTTTTTTTTAATAGCGTTAACTACATAATAATTAAGCCTTAGATCTATCTACTTAATATAGCTCTTTGTCACGATGCCTGCGGCGGTGTGTTGCAATCTAGGATTGATTACGAAATTAACCAGGTGAGGAAGGAAAAAGAAGCCAACAAGGTGGTATGTGCAGCACACACCTTAAGTAGTGGTCCCGTTCCTTCCTTATCTAATTTACACGTGACCTGGTGGTTCACCTGACTAGGGACCAGGTGGGTGGACCGTCACACTCTTAAAGATCTTGATAATTTTCGCCTTTTAATACTAAATATTTATAGTAGATACTACTTAAACGAGTTTATATATTTTTATTACATAAATAAAATTTATGTATGCTTGTTTCCTTCTTATATGGTAAGTTTTTAATTTAACTAGTAATTATTTTACTAATAAAGGTAGGTTTACATCTTTTAGCTATTGAATTGAACCGTTTCCTTCATAATAAAGGCCGCTTATCGCCGTCTTATTAAGCAGCTTAGTAAGCTTAATGATTTAGCTTTTAATAATATAATTAACTTCCTTAATTATTTAATAAAAGCTTGCAATATAGTTACGCTGGTTATCGTACGTTTAAATTATCATGCTCCTGGCTTTTAGCCTATAAATCGGCCAAAAATGCTGATAAACGAACATATAAATGAATTAAAAAATACAAGTAGCAGTAATAATTATAATAGACTTAAACCCCATTTTTAAAGCATTAAAAGCCTTTAAATTAAGACAAGACATAGCCTTAATACTATGAATAGTAATTAAAACCTTTAAATAACAAGTAGAAATCTACACGGTCATAAAGGCATATAATAAAATGAAAATCAAGATACCTTTTTTAAAGCAGTAAATAGAAATAATAAATAATGAAATCGAACGTTTACAGTAAAAGAAGCGCTGTAAGGCCCTTTCAAAAAAAACTTAATTAACGGCTATAAAAGATTAAAGATCATGACGGTGTACAGCTGTATCTACCTAGTTGGATGCTGAGTCATCAGGTCACTTATAGATTAGACAAGGAGATTTGGACCATATGTGCTGCAGCCTCAGCTGTACGCACAACTGTTCCTTTTCTCTCCCACCTTGTTATTTTTGAAGTACAACATCAGTATCCAGCACACCGTTAAAGGCTTTGTGACAAAGATGTTATTGTTAAATATATTGAGCATATAAAGGCCGTACAAGCTGCTATTAAGTAATGGGTAAAAATATAATAAGTTTTACATAAATCATAAAACTTGCATACTAATGAATTAAAAAGATATCTATTTAAAGACTTCCTTTTTTTTAAATATAACGATTTAAAAGAATTTGTCAGATGCTGGATCCCAGATATAGTGCCCTTAGGTGCAGTACCCACTAAGGGGCTGTCAAAAGAACAGTGGATCCACTCTGGCATGGTGCAGTATGGTATTTAGCTGTAGAATAGCCCTGCCGAGCATACTTAAGAATGACAACAACATTTACAACAACCACTCGCACCCCCAAGGCTTGTGACCCTTCTAGAATATTACATGGTAGCATCTCGTTTAATTTATTGTTGAGTTATCGTTACAATTATATAAATCTGTTGTTCTCCTAACTGACAAATCAATAATACGATAGATCCCACCACAGTAACTGTTATAGAGCAGGGCGAGCCCAGCGGCTAAGGAGGCCAGCGCATCGTCACGCTTCACACGCAGCTGCGAGCGTATGAGAAGGTGGTTGAAGCGGAAGATCGCGATGACAATCGTTAGCACGCTGCTGCCGTTGAGCAGGACGAGGCTTCAGAGTATTCAGATTCCCAAAGAGGCATTAAGGACCGCTAGTACGAGCCAGTCATCGACTACTACAAGAGCAAAGAGGTCCAGAAAGAGCCTCATGACAGCACAGGAGACGCTGATTAGAACGGCGACAAGACGAGGTTGCCCACTATAAGGGAGACGACAAGGAGATCTCCCTTACCCTCTAAGCATAAATCTTAGAGGGTGTACGCGCCAAGAAGGCGCAGAAGACAAAGTCGGATCACTGCCTTACCTTTGTAGAGATCCAGAAATTCTCAAACGTGAGAGATCATATCAACAAGGTCTAAGAGACCACACAAGAGCTCACCAAAGAGTACACACGCGCCAAGAAAGAACACAATATATACAAGCGAGCTCTCGCCAAGGCCAACAAGAGACTTGCCAAACAGCAACAACCAAGAGCCAAGAGCGCCAACACCTATGAAGCAGGTGGTGCTTGCCTTGACCCTGAGAATCATGAGAGATTTTTAGGAGCGGAATCAGAGCCTCGCCCTGTCAAGAAGCGGAGCAAGCATCAGAATCCCCCTGTCATGGATACGGGGCTTTTGGCGCTCCTTGTGCAAGGAGTCACCCTTCATAGAGGCAATACAGACATTGCAATGTCTATTACAGGAGAGAGACTGCGCCAATCGCAATCAATCTTTAAGCCTCCTTCCCAGTTTGGTATGCAATGCGTGTTTGGCGGATCAGGCCCGCTTTCTGACTTCTCCAGCTCGTCTGACATGAGCTTGTCAGATGACTCGAATGACAAGTGGCACCACTCTTGGCACTATCGTCGTCACTGAAGAAGAAATCCCGTAAAAATAAGGATCTTGTCTGGGATAAGTTGAAGAGCAGCAAATAGCCCAAGAATCAGCTTCTTACTAGTCCTGACAACTTTGAAGAGTGGCCTGAGACCCTTTCTGTCAGCATGAAAGTGATTGGTTACAAGCCATGCCGAAGAGCTTACTCAATTTGATTGTCTGAAGCTTGCAGAGATTATACAGAAGACCTCCAAGACTGATCCAAAATCAAAATTCAGCCTTATTGCCCTGATAGAAGATATCAGAGATAGCAAAGAAATGTTGGAGCTCCTCTATTGCTCATACACGCTCACCAAAGAGTCAAAGCGAGGCCTTGTCTGGAAGCAACTAATAGAGCTCACATACGACGGCAACTGCCTAATTGTATACATCTCAAAGTGGCGTAAGAGAGTACGTGCTTGCAAAGACTGCGGCATCAAGTCAGTTACACAGGAAGATAAGTTGATTCTTCTGTTCCTTAAGAAGGCGCGCCCAACGGTCAGCTTCTTGGTGCGCTGTATCGATATTGCTAGGGAGTCGCAGCCCATGACCCTTGAACATATCATCAACAACTTCAACAAGGAGTTTCACAATTATATTGGTAAGAAGGCCAGCCCAGAGAAGAAGGGCGGCTCTGCTAACTAAGCTGAATCTCAGCAAGGCCGCTCTAACAACCAGAACGGCGGCAACCCTTCAAATAGGGGCCGCGGGAACAGCAGAGACAGGAGCAGAGGCCGTGGCAAACGCCGTCAGCAGTCTGACCACAGCAATTAGAGTGGCATACGTTGTTATAACTACGGCAAAACGGGCCATATTGCCAGAAACTGCCCCAATGAGTGAAAGACCAACAATAACGCTGCACGCAGCGGCGGTGATCATGGTAACAAAGGAGCAGGAGCTTCACAAAGAGCCTCCCACCATGCTTTACAATCACAGCCGCATCCGCCAGCAGGGCTTGAAGAGTTTGCTGGTACAACGAAGAACGGCCGGAGTAACTCTGCCGCGGGAGGCAGTATCATGATTGACCTCCAGAAGTGGTACGATAGAGAGATTTGTGCCAGTGCTCTGGCTGATCAGGAATGCCACAGCACGCCTAATCAA